CAGCCAAGAGCCAACACCACCCCTTGCCACACCCTCGCACAAAAGGAAAGAGGCCACCAGAGCAGATGCGTCAAGATACTATTTGATCGGAAGCCGCAGCACAGACAAGACCAGTCCAGGCCAGAGGAACAGCAGCCACTCGCACAGTGACAGGAACAAAGAACAGGACGGACCGGCGATCCACTGAAGTCTTTACCACAGGCGCAGACAGCGGACGAGAGAGACAGGAGACGCCCGACGGCGGCATAGCCCCTAAAGAAGAATCACAGAAACACACGACCGGCAGAGCAGATCCCTCTGCTCTCCATTAACAACGCCACAACACAATAAAAACATGAGGACAGGAAACGGGCGTCGAGACGCGCCATTCTAGGTAGTCAGGTTTGTGGGCAGACACAGGCATCAGCAGGCACGCGGGCGGGCAGGCATTATACGGAGGCTCTATTACAAGAAGACACAAAGATCCTCGGTCAAGGCGGTTTGTACTTGCGAGCATCTTCTATACACTCTACTATCATCATCTTCCCTCGCCTTCCTGCTCCTCCACTTTAAGGCTCTGTGCTAGCCCTCTCCACATCCCCTTCCCCAGGAGCGGATCGATTGGCCTTCTTATCCACCTCTCCCTGCTTGCTCGCCTCTACGTCAATCTTTCGATCGAGTTCCATGAGGAAGACGCTGAAGAAGCTTACTCCCCCAAGCACCACAATTGCCAGCCAGACTTTGCCCAGTGCCTGATTCGCCGCGGCCACTACGGCGGGCAAGAACTCGGGTGGAGTCGTTTCGCGGAAGGCGGACACACCCTTGGAGAGGATGGCAGCAGGGTCGATTCCGGGGATGCCAGAGAGGTAAAGAGAGAACTTGTTTTGGAAGATGGACTGCGCAAGAGAGACGGCGATTGCACCACCGCATGTCTGCCAGAAGATGACGACGGCGCTGCCGAGTTCTATATCTGCGGGCGCGAGGACGGCAGTGCTGGCGATGAAGGGCAGCACTAGTTCAGGCGAAGGGCACGAAGAGCAAGTCATATGACGGTCAGATACTGCGTGGACAACTCTTCTCTCGGCAGGGTCTCTGTGTAACTCACTGAAAGTCATGCCTGGTCCAAAGCCAGCGAGGAACTGAAGGCCGACCCACTGGGAGAGACCCGTGTCGGGCTGGAGAGTGTAGAGGGTACCAGCGCCGATGGTCATTAGGGCGGTGCCAATGAAGAGGAAAGGAATATAGTGACCGAACTTGTTCACCAGACCGCCCGTCATGGAGACGGAGAAGATGACAGAGATGATGAAGGACAGAGTTGCAACTCCACTCCTGATGGCTGAGTCTCCCTTGATCGATTGGAAGTAGATTGGTAACTATAGTAGGGCGAGGTGAGGGACGACGGGCTGGGAGGTGAGCGACCGGACAGCTCTTTTCTCCACCGTAAAGCGAACATGGCTACACTCACAAAGTAAAGCTCAGCAAAGTAGGTAGCTCCGACCATAAAGTTGACAATGCTTCCTCCGAGGATCGTGCGTTGCTTAAAGATCCTGAAGGGTGTCGTAGCCCTGTCTACCATGTACCACTGGTCGACAGCAAAAGCGACTGCAATGGCAAAGAATCCGACAATGAGTCCAATGATCCTCGAGTCGGACCAGGCATACTTGATACCACCCCATTGAAAGACAAGCAGGATACAGATGAGACTGCAGAGGATCAGTGCGGTGCCCAGCCAGTCAATTGCGAGGAGGCGGGCGGTGAGAGACGTGGTCTGAGGGCGGTGCTTGACTTTGAGGAAGAAGACGATGACGGGGACGACGACGGGGATGCAAAAGAGATTGAGGTAGAAGCACCACCTCCAGGTGGCCTCGGATGTCAGTGCACCACCGATGATCGGTCCGATTGTTCTGCAAAGGGGAAAAGGAATGTAAGGGCCGGCGGCAAGCGTTCGGTCGGCGTAAGCGAATGTGACCAATGCAATGGGTGCGTCTCGAGTCGATTGTATTCACCCTCCAATTCCATAGATGACTCCGACCAAGCTGGTCAAAAGGGGCCTGACGTGCAGAGGTGCGACGAGGTTGATGATGATGAGACATCCCGAGTAACCTCCGGCCATTCCCAGACCGGCAATGGCTCGTGCGACGATGAACATGGGTGAAGATGTGGCGACGGCGCAGAGGAGGGAACCTAGCTCGAAGATGCAAAAGGCGAGGAGATAAATCCACTTGACGCCGAATGAGGCGTACAGTCGACCGAAGAGGGGCTGGAAGGCGGTGGAGGTGAGCAGGTACTATTGCCATGATGGGTGAGGAGAGGGGGTTGAGTGGCTGCCCTGCGAAGATGCATGGAATACTGAGAGACGACTTAGATACTCACGGCACTTCCGTACCATCCTACGTCGCTGAAGCTGTTGAACTCATTCGTCACTTGAGGCACCGCGGTGGAAACGATAGTCTGATCGAGTGCGACGAGAAATACGTCAAATGCAACGACGAGCATGATGAGGATAAACCTCACTCCACGTGGGTATTCGGCATCGTCCTCCGCCGCAGCCGCCGCTGTCGTGGTCTTCTCGGCTGCGTGATGGTCAATACTACTGTCCTTGCCCATGGCTGTGTCCTGACCATCGCAGAGGGTGCCAGCGGGGGTATCGGGTACTAGGGCTACCGCGGGTGTAGCAGGGATGGAGGGTACGATGACAGCCTCGTGTTCGGCCTCTGGTATTTGGATGCTTCCCATCTCGGGGTTGGGGTCGATAGTATGGACGGGAGTAGGGTATGTCCGCGAGGTCTAGCGTAGGTACGAAAAGAGCAACGGTGACGAAGAGGTCGGATCGAGAGGGTAGGAGGTGTCAGCTGATGGAACGATGTGAGGGGATGAGAGAAGAGCTCTTTGTTGAGACTGGGAGCAGGAGGACGGCTGTGGGGAGAAGTGGGAGGGGGAAGGGTCGAGGCCGTGGGGCAAGTGCTCTTATGTATCTCGACTCCTTTGCTGCGGGCACTGCCAAGGTATGGTACTTATCAGCTTACTGAAGGACGACTGTTCACACACGCACACGCGTCCGATGTGAACAATTTATTTTCGGTAAGCTGAAGTAGAGACGAGGACCCAGGACGAGGAGTATGACTCATCCGCTCTGCTGATTCCCCTCCCCCCTCCCCCTCTGCACACTCGGCGATAAGCAGATACTCGGCGATTAGGAGAGAGGTGCTGGACTGAGAGACAGCGGAGGAACAATACGCCGGGCACGGGAGGACAGGCGCGCCGACCAGATCTCGAGTCATGGAGGGTTTCACCTTCTTGGCGAGTAGATGCTCAGCACTGCTCAGTGTCGCTTATCTTCTTGACCACGTGGCGGAAGAGGCGCGAGATCGCCGTTGGAGCGCGTGAGTCGCTTACGATGCTCAGCACTGCTCAGTTCCGGTCATTCTTACGGACGTAGGATCAGGACACTCGACCAAGATCGCACCATTGGTCCTGCTGCTGCTATTCGTCCTCCGCCTTCATCCCCTACGACAACCATCTTGGGCGTAGATACAGATCGCCTAGACGCCACCCTCTCGCCGAAACCCACCCGATCGCACACTGCCTTGAATCGGTCATCTCTGAGCACCACAGATCATTTCTGTCGACGTCGCACCCGGGAGAAGCTAGTAAGAGGGAGGGGGCGGGAGCTGACTGAGTTTCCGTCTCCTCCTCCTCCTCATCATCGGTCAGATAGTCGACTAAATTGCGCTCCAGTGCCTCGCCTGCATAGGGGGAGCGCCCGGATTAGAGAAGATGGGCTGAGCACATGGCTGACGATTGCGGATCACTGCTGCTTTGACTGAGGTGAAGGAACTGCTTATACTCCAGGCTGCTACTCCCAGGGGTAGTTCAGAGAGTTTCGGCATCGGGGCTGCTAGAGTGCGACACGACAGGTGACAATGCTGAGCAGACAGGCACTCGAGGGACTAGAGGTTGATTGGCGAGATCAGTCGAGGCAGATGGGGTGTCAGACTAGGATGGTTTGTGGCGATGTTCTTGCATTGAGGATGAGAGCAGTGAGGATGAGAGTCTCAATTCTTGTACACTAGCCATCTTGCAAACGTCCCTCCTGGGAGAGCTCCTACCCTTCTGTAGCCTGAGCCTTGAGTATCTTCACCTCCTCCCGAGGCCTGTCGTGGGCAGGATTGTGGTCAGGAATCCGATCATCTCTAGCTACGAGGCAGCTCATTGACCAGCCTCATCTATCGTACTCACCGGTCCTGAGCGTCCACGGCAACCAGGCCCATGCGTTGTACCACCGACATCCCCTCGCTGACTCTGCCAAAGATGGTGTCTGTACGCGAACAAGCAGATCATGTCAGCAGATGCACCGTAGAGCTCACAATCGAAGGGGTGCGTAAGCTCGTTGTACTCACGTTTCCTGTCCAAGTGAGGCGTGGGTGCGAGGGTGAGGAAGAATTGACTGCCGTTGGAATTGGGCCCGGAGTTGGCCATTGCGAGGATGCCTGCGCCAGTGAATCTCAGCGTGGGTGTGATCTCGTCGGCAAACTTGTCCCCGTAGATGCTGCTGCCCCCTCTGCCTGTGCCGGTGGGATCGCCTCCCTGGATCATGAAGTTGTTAATGCTGACCGCGGGAGAGAGGAAAGAAAGGGGACGGCATTCAGTGCTATGTGGCAGGTGAAACGCCACGAGATGGCGCAGATTTCCGGCTCACATTCTGTGGAAGGGTACGCCATCGTAGTAGCCACGTCTGGCCAGCTGATAGAAGCTGTCCGGGAACATTGAGCTGGCATCAGCGAGGAGGTCACTGGCATCGTCGAGTTGCAAAAGTCTCACGTCTTTGTCTCCCGGCCGTGATGCTCACTTCTCACACGTCTTTGATGCCTCGTCCCAGTAGAGCTCTAGCGCTATCAGACCTTGTGAGGTCTGCAATACCACGCCACGATCTCGCGACATGCTGTGCGATGGCGCAATGGCGAGATGGGAAGGTGCAGGGAGTGGTACGCACCAAGGCGAGCCGAGGAAGAAGTGCTGCTGCAATCCAGGCCCATCCGCTCCTTCCGCCGGAAACACGGAAAGAGGACTCACCGGACAAGGCCCGAGCGTTGATGTGACACTCACTGCTTCTTCCGACCAACACCTCCGCGGGAAAGGTTGATCCATACCGCCATGTCCTCTTCTTCACCATCGCCCACGCAGTCTCGGCCTCCACCATCCTATACCACATCGCTGCTGTCCGGGGCGTTCGCCGGTTTCGCAGTCGATGTGTCCCTCTTTCCCCTTGACACGCTCAAGACCAGGGCCCAGTCTGCACAAGGCTTCGTCAAGGCAGGCGGCTTCAAAGGAGTCTACAGCGGGCTTAGTAGTGTCGTCGCTGGCAGCGCCCCAGGAGGTGAGTCATGCTCATGGACCTCCTCTTCTGCTGGATACCATCGCGGAGCCGGTGAGCTCATCAGCTGGCGCTTCATGATCACAACCTTTCCACAGCGGCCACCTTTTTCACAACATACGAATCGCTCAAGCCAGTCTTCTCCTCGCCTGCCTCTCCCGTCACTCTCTCGCCAGCGGCATCGCACATGCTCTCAGCCTCGTTAGCTGAGACGGCGGCATGCCTGATACGTGTACCTACAGAGGTCGTCAAGTCACGCATGCAGGCAGGCGTCTCGAAGGGGAGGATAGGTGAAGTCATCGGAAGGATACTACACAGGGAAGGACTCAGAGGTCTGTGGAAAGGCTTTGGGACAACAGTGGCTAGAGAGGTGAGGACCAATCGCTGCAAAGAGAACTCCAATGTACGCACGTTCGTCTGACTCGCTGGACCCCCTTGCCTTGTGCAATTGCTCTTACGATGAACACCTCCAGATCCCCTTCACTTGCATTCAGTTCCCACTGTATGAGCGTCTGAAGCTTCTGCTACTTCAACGGCGGCAGGCTTCCACCTCCGCCCTCACCAAAAAGCCGACAACGCTTCCCACCTACCAAGCAGCGGTCGTAGGCTCCTTTTCTGGAGGCTTCGCTGCTGCCTTGACGACGCCCTTGGACGTAGTCAAGACGAGGCTGATGCTGGCAGAAAGAGTAGGCGCTACACCACCAGCAACAGTAGCTTCCTCAGAGCATCGCGCACCCACAGGGTCCACTCCAGTCGGCGTCAATCAGAGATTCTTGCCGACATTGCTCCACGTCTACCGGTCAGAGGGCTTTAGGGGTCTGTTTTCCGGCGTGCTGCCGCGAACAATCTGGATCAGTCTGGGAGGCGCTGTCTTTCTTGGCAGCTTCGAACTGGGCGTCGAGCTGCTAGAGCGGGACAGCGTCTCAGTACGAGACGAGACCTCGGTAGCAACGGCTTAAGTCGCGTTCCCGTGCTGAAGCGCCGTGTGAAGGTCAACGACAATGTAGGCAGAGACAATGCCGTTACAAAAAGGATTTCACGTGTAGATGTTGCTGCTGCATTGCCTTTACCTCTCCTCTCGATGTGTCTAGCAGACGGGTATCATGTGCCAGACCCGGTCGATCCGACAACAGCTGCTCTCTTCTCCCTGATACTCCACAAAATGATAAGACCATCTCCACACTTCTCAATGTGACCTCTGATGCTCTTGACGTACTCTTTCTCTTCTCCGCTCCCTAATGTGTCCAGAAATGCTCTCCACCCAATGTCTCTCCGAGTGCTGTTCTTGCCCATAGCAGCGACGCATAGTGCATCGAAGACCTCGCCCCTGAGGTCGACTGCTATGACTGGCACTTCCCCAGATGCGAAGCTGGAAGCTATTTTATGCACTTGACTTGTTGCCGAGTTGATGATAGGGTGGTTCGATGCAAGCTTGACGCGTCGGTCCATGTGCGAATGGTTCGACTTGTCAGACTTGTCCGGTCTCCTGGAAGACGAGGCATGGACAGGGAGCACGATCTGCGTCTCCATCATGGCCGGCGCCAGGTTCGTAGCATTAGAAGAGGCTGGCAAATCTGCAGAAGCAGAGCCGAGACCTGTTGTTGTCTGAAAGCCACCCGTCATTGCACTGGCTACATTAGCAGCTGCACCTTGAGTGTCTGAGCCCTGGACTCCCGTGCCGTCAAATGGAGCGCCAGTCATCGAACTCATACCGCCTGGGCCAGGATTGCCAGAGGCCCTGGCTAACTGGTCTATCAACCAGGGTACCAGCTCAAACATCGAGACGAACTCTCCTTCGGCCATCTTACTCCATAGGCTTCTCACCTTCATCAGCCCTCGTGTCGTACCGAAGATGAGAAAGGAGAAGCCTTCTTCCTTGCATCGAGCAGCAGTAGTCAGCATACTCGACTCCTGCCCTACATCGTCCTCGTAGCTCAGATCAGCGCGGATGCCGTGTGACCACAGGTCCTTACAGATGGCCATTCGCAGATCCAGCATGCCGGGTGAGCTGTGTACATACACATCTGCTCTGCGTGGTGTCCAAAGATCAGGAGGGCGGCGCAACTCGTTGATTTCCTGATCCCTGGCTAGCGCCGAGATCAATTTTGAGACTGCAAGCTGCAGGCCGACCCCGCTGGGCGGTGGTCCACTCAGAGGCGTCGCAAATTGCGCGATCAATGACGAGTATCGACCACCAGAGGCTACAACGTCCCAACGGGCTCTGCGTCTCTTCCTGCCACTGCTGCCGGGTGCCCGAGCGACCTGGAAGAAGACTGAGCCCCTGTAGCAATGACTGTAGTTGGAAAGCAGAGGGCAAAGGAGAAAGCGCCGCTCGACTGAAACCCCCAATTTGCGCGCAGCATCTCGTACGTCGAGGATAGCCTGGACTGCTTTGGTGAGAGCAGGACGATGATCTACCGGCAGAATTCTCTCCAGACGGGTCTGAGCAGTCTCGATGTCTTCTGCCATAAGGGCGCATGCTTCAAGCTCGTCAGCAAGCGATCTGGGCAGATTCATCTCTTGAGAGAGCTTTTGACGTATAGAGGCCGTTGTTGAGCCTGCTTGACGCCCAGACAGAGCTGAGAGAGTGGAAAGCAAAGTCGAATGTTGTTTGGCGGGCACACGCTGTGAGAGTTGAGTTTGAGTCATCAGTCAGAGGTCAGTGGAGCCGCGAAGCACGCCAAAGCTTGACTCACCTCCAACAACAAATCTAAGATCGCCCCGTGATTGATCAGGATGACCCAATCGCTCTTGAAGCCAGGGACTTCGCCAAGAATCTCCTCAAGGCAGGCAAGGCATTCGCCTTCTGCAGCACTAGGAAGATTGCCGCCGGACCCAACGATGATATCCATGTTGGCTGCCAAGATGGAGAGTGGCTGACCGCCGGCAAGCAAAGAGTCTCGGTAGACTGGTCCAATACAAAACCGTTTCAGTCGGTGGTTCTCTGACCGAGCAATCAACCTGGCGAAAGGGATGAGGTGATCTCGAGGCAAGAATACTACCTGTCCGGTTGCGTCCAAGAGCTGGACGGGCGTAGTCCCTGATGGACCATCTTTGATGGATGAGTAGAGGCCGGCTCGAGGAGGCATAAGCAGTGGACTCTGCAGATCTACAGCACCATGACGTAAGAAGACTGTGCGCAGGAAGTCGACGATGACTGATTCTCGAGGATCGACCACGGGAGGGCAAGTGCTACCTCCCTTGCTGCGCAGCTGGTGTTGGGACCCCGCGTCGAACGTCACATCCCGTATCTCCTCGTCAGCGAGTGGCTGTGGAGCAAACAAGGCGTCCAGTAGTTGCAGATGATACACTGATGAGTGATCTGTGACCAACCGCAACGTCTCCTGGACAGACTCGTCCTCTAACCGCGGCGGAAGGAGATCGCTCTGAAGCAGTTCAAGCGGAGAAGGACGATCTTCCGCTTTGTGCGTGACCAGCCATTGAACAACTTGCCGCTCTTTGACGAGCTCGCTTGGCCAGGCTGGGGGAAACTCAGGCACTGATTGGCGAAGACCACGGAGACGCTGTACTCGTTCCATGCCTGTGGAGTAGATCCGGCCAGATGCAAACATCTCGAAGAGTATGATGCCCAACGAATACATATCGACCTGAGAGAGAGAGCGTTATGGAGGCCTCGTCAGCATAAGACCTCCGCAGTAAGCGGCGAGCCGAAACTTGCCTTGTAACCGTATCTTGCCCCTTGTTTGCGCACGATTTCTGGTGCAGTGTACAGTGCTGTGCCGACTTCACCTGTCATGTCATCGCTTCCTTCATGGAGGAACCTGCCAGATGAGTCGAGCTGATGTTGGTGCTGATCTGATCGTATGGGAGGCAGAAGGCCAGAGGATGCCATAGTGACCCCATCTGCGCTTGTAGGAATCGTCTCTAGAGTTGTAGCTAATCCAAAGTCTCCTATCTTGACATCTTGGCCCGCCATAAGAATGTTCGATGGCTTGGAAGAAGGATAGAGTAGTGCGAAAGTGGGAGTACTGCTTCATTTAGCAGCATTCGCAAGTCCTGTCAGGCCCACTCTGCCTACACCTTACCTTTAGATCGCGATGGACAATGCCAAGATTGTGAATATGGACCAGGGCATTGAGGATTTGGCGCAACAGCCTCCAGCAGTCCTCTAGGCCGATTGGACCCTTCTCGATGAGCTCTCGCAGCGTGACATCGTCCACGAGCTCCATCTGCGCCGTTGAACACAAGCACATGGTATGTTAGCTCAGGCATGCTGATACGTGAGCACGCATCGTCACTACTGACCTGTATGTACAGCCATCGCGGAGCTTGTTTCCCTTTCTGAGACCTGACGCCATCGAGAGCACTGCGGCTCTTACTTCTGTTGGCCACACGCCCAGTCACTCGCCCCCTATGGCTTGGTCCCTCTGCACTGACACTCTCCTCGTCGGTATCGCTCTCGCTGCTTTGACCACTGCTTGCGTCCTCCTCCTCAAATCCCACATGACTCAAAAAATCTTCCTCCTCGGCTCGAGCGATATCGTCGAAGTCTCCATCTTTAGGTGGACCAAAGGAGAGGGAGAAACTCATAGGAGCTGCAGCACCTGTATCGGTGGCGGCACTTGATGAGACGGAGGTCGTTGCAGCGCCCGACTCGGTCGCAGTGGTCTCAGATACGTTCTCTTCGAGCTGGGAGGACGGAGCGGTAGCCTCTTCAATCCACGCAGCATAATATCGAGTAACGTGTGGGTGGTTCACGCGAGCAAGTGCGCCAATCTCTCTCAATGTCTTCTCTTCTCCATCTCCAGCTTCCCCCATGCCTCCATCGAGTTTGATCTTCTTGACGGCATAAACACCGCCATCGAGACGATTTCTCACTTTGGTGACGATGCCAAAGGCCCCCTTGCCGAGTATAGACAGAGTGACGAAGTCGGACAGGAATCGAGAAGACCCCGGGCCTCCCTGAGCAGCCGTATTGGCTGGGCGAGTGGAGAAAAAGGAAGACCGAGTCAGGGCGGGTGTGGGTGGATTGGCTGAGGCGGCAGCTTCGAGCTGTAAGTCCGAAGAGGCAGGATATCGTATCGAGTCCGGATTTGAGGGAGCAAGGTAGACTTTCCCGTCTTCAGCACGCAGATAGAGGATAGAATGGAGGTACTTTACAGCCTCCGCTGGCGTGGGTCGCTTCCGAGCAGAGCGATCCAGGAGTTTGCCGAGGAACTTTGCAAAGACTTCATCTATTGCCCCACTGGTCTCTGCATTACGCAGGACTGCCCACGGGTCTGGGGTTGAGGAGAGCGCCGCAATGCCCACCAGCGAGAGGAGTAGTATCCGACCGATGGCGAAAGTGTCGCTTTTCCGCGAGAAGCGCACTTCGTTTTGTAGTTCTGGTACTACCCAGTCACCCTTCCACCTCTCGATCGTAGACTCAAGCGTCTCGTGAAACGGATTGCCTCTGGCCAGCTCCAGTACGCTGCCCTTCCAGACTGCATCTATGAGAAAGCTCTGATCTGATAACATACAGATCCGATCCAGACTCACGTCTTTGAGGAGAAGACCTCGGACATGGAGCTCGTCTGCTGCTGTGAGGAGACCTTCTGCCAAATCGAAGACCCTTCCGACAGGTAAAGGCTGTAATGATAGGAGAGTGTCGAGGCGTGCCTCAGGCCGAGAAGGCGGGGCTGAGACAATGTACAGGGTGAAGTGACCCTCAGAATGGGCTTCTGGTGCTACTCGTGAATCATCTGTCCTGCGCAGCTGGAAGCCTCGCATCTGGCGGAGACCCCGGTGATCTATCTTCGATAGAGCCTCGAGCTCCCGCTCTAAGCCAGCAAGCTTCCGGCGCCCTCGAGATGTTGAGAAGTACGACGATGTGATGTTGATGGTATCGAGCGACTGGGGTGGCATTTGGGAACTTGAGATAGGTATAGCGTAATGGTGAGCACAGAGGTTATCGAGGTCGTCCCGTACGATAGGCGAGACCTGAAAGCGAGCTATTGTGACGGCTTCTGTGAGGGACAGCGGTGGATCGAAGTCGAGGAAAGCAGGGCCCGTGACAGTCATATCGGACACAGGAGCATCTTGCAACGAGTTGCCCGGAGGAGTAAAGAAGAGGCTCGAGTCGTCTTTGGAGTCGAGTGGACCAGACCTCTGAGTTTTAGCGGCCCTGCCTGGGGTCACATCGCTCTCAAACCCGACTCTGCGTCGTTCCTTTTCGGCTCTGATCGCCTCCTCCTTCTCAGCCATGACTTTGGCCAGAGACGACGCCTTCGCGTCGGACGTCTTTCGGTCTGCCTCAAGTTTCCGATCGAGTTCTTGTGCTTTGAGCTTTAGAGTCGGAAAGGCGACGTCATCAATGGAGATCACGCCAATGATGGCTCCGCCTCGTCTGCATGGCACTCACCTTTTGCCCCTCCCCTTCTCGTCTTTGCTTCTCCTCTTCCAGACTGGGTATCATCTCTGACTTCCTTCTAGCTTCCGTCCTTCTTTCCGCTTCCTGCTCCTGCGCTTTGATGAGATTCGCATTGGAAAGGAGCTCTGCGCCGCACGAGTACACCTCCCAGATTGCCTCCTCCCCTTTGGCGGCGAGCTCAGTGGCCCTTTGCTTAAGGACAGAAGCCAATTGGCTGAGCTGCTGGCTAGACACGTTGGCCATGACGCCATCTCTTGGGGCAGTGGGCACAGTACAGATCAGAGGTATATTGGGATATCGCTTGGGCAGCCTGATCTCGACCTTGACAAAGACCTGGTCCTTATACCTGTCCTCGTCCGGTCGGATGGTGAGGGTGAAGAGGGGCTGGTTGATGGACGCATTTCCCCATGCAGCCGCAGCTTGACCATCTGGTTGGCCGGGGGCAAAGTCGGGCCCCAAGATGGACTGCAGGGCTTCGATCTCGTCTGCTTGGACTTGCGGGAGGTCTTGTGCGCCATGAGAGAGCACAGGAGCCGCAAGAGGCATGGCGAAGAGAGGGGAGCAGGGCAGCTAGCGTCGTGTCATGACAAGGAACGAGGATCGAATGGCGGCCAGAACAATCGTAGTGCACAGTAAAGTGAGGGAATGGCCAGGAAGGGAAGCTACCGCGTATGCAGCGACGAGCAACCACGGCTCCACCGGGAGGAAGAATCTGTGACTCGGAAAGGGAAGCGTGCCATGCGTCTCCGCGGCCTGGTGGAGGCGCGACGCACCGAGCGACACTTTGAAACCCGCCCCGGCACCTCGGGCGAACGCAACGGCCTACTTGACGACAAGCGCATACGGCTGGTCGCTGCTAAGTCATTCCGCCAACCCAGGATTCCGATAGAACCGTCGATTCTGTTTACATCGACTTTTGGTTCTGCGTAAAGACAGCGTCCCGTCGTCGCACACTCAGTCCTCTGTCGCAGGCTGTGCAGGGGTCCGTATACAACAGCCCTACCGCACAAGGCGGCGAGTAAGGCTGCCGCTCAGCGATGCAACGTCTGTTTACACACCATGGCCAGCATCTCAAATGACCAAGAAAGCTCCAAAGCACTACAGAGGTGGCTGAAGGTATTCCCACCTCCGTGCCTTCGGCAGACTTCACAGACAGCCAAGTGACATGCTGTCACTCAGCCTGCTCGCCATCCTAAGCCATAAGTGCGTTGGATATGCCACAGAACTTCTGTACCAAGCACTCGAGAATGCAATTTCGTATTACTCTCCTTGGCTTCGATGTCTGGAAGATGTCGGCGGTGCCTGAATCGAGGCGATGCATATGCCGAGATATTGCAGTCCTCGCAGCCATCGTCAGGCGATCATGGGATGCGAAGGTGGCAGTGCACGGGTGACCTGGATTTATCAACATGGTCAGTCTTTCGCTCTGCTCAATCCGGCCTGTCCATGTAGGAATAAGGCTCCTCAATGGAGACAGGTCCATCACGTGTGTGTGCCCGCCACAGGGACCTTGATCAATGCGGTGGCTCCAGTAGTATCAACCGTCTGACCTCCTCGCGGTTCTCGACGGCCTCAAAATACTGCGGGGAAGCAGAGGTATACATGCGCAAGTCTAGAGTCTCAGAAGATTTCGGTCTCCGTTTGCAAAGTCTCTGGAGGGCACCCATGTCGCGCTCGTAAGCTGTACCCCGAGACGCTCCTGAGTGTCACCAATCAGCATCGATCGATAGAAGCTATCGAAAAACAAAGTTAGTGGTATGCATCGCGCATGCGGAGATGGTTCCAATGAGGTGCACCGATGGAGCAAATGAGATTCTGTACGCAGAGAAGGTAGGGTCAGCAGAACAAGGTGTCCATGTGTTTCGCAAAGAAGCTGGGTCCAGCGACCGGGTGGGTCTGAACACGTAGCAAGCCTCTACGAGCCGTGAATGAAATTCGCCACATTGTACTACTGTGGGATAGGCGCACCGTATGACGACTCAAAATCCCAACAGCACATAGCCCCTGATGCTGTGGGGTTGCGACGGCGACCACAGACCCTCTTCGGCTGATCCAGCCATGCGCGGACGGTTTGATCACTTTTTGACCGTCAATGAGGCTCCGCTAGGCGGCTGTGCTCAACAGTCGTGGAGCGGGCTTTCGCCCTCAGAATCGAATCCTGCGCCATGTGCATACAAACTGCTGTTACCTACGAGGGGCGAGAGAAGCACAGCGGACAGACCGACCCAAGATTGCTCCTTACTCCCATCATTTCCGAGGATCACGCCGCACAAAGCAACGCACTGCGACCATAGCTTGTGATGTCACTGAGGCTTCTGAGCAGCCAGCGACCCGACTCAACAACAGCTGGCCACCTACCAAGATGTCTGCCCGGAAGAGGGATCCTACAGTACGATTGCAAGGGGCCTAAAGTAGTGTACTGTGGGAGAGAAATTTAACGCGCAGGAAGAGTTGAGATCATACTCAGCGACCTCGACTCGCACGGCCGCGATTGCAGGAACACAGGGCGCCGCACTGTACACCGATTGCCTGAACCGTCCGACATTTCGAAGCAAGGAGATCAAAGAAGACATTGCGGAGGGTATGCAGTAGCAATGGACGCTCTTACAGTACAGCGCAGAAGAGTGCGCATTGAGTCTTCGACCTCATATCTGTGAACAAGCTCCGATTTTTATTTAGCAATGTACAGTACGGTAGCGCCTTACCGCTGGAGTGCAGTACGGTAGATGCGCTCAACAGAGAGCAAAGAGAAGCCAAGGATTCTCGACTTTGTGACATCCCCTCTGAAAGCCTGCCATCCTGACATCGTAGCGCGCGCATACTGCACTCATTTAGATGTCAAAGGAACACTGTACAGTATACTGTACAGCAGCGCCAGCACAACCTGAATCTGCCATTCTTCGTCTGGCAGACTTGTCCGGGCTCCGGACATAGCTTTCCACGTTGGAACCTGGAAGCCGGGGTGTACGCGAGATGTCTTTGAGTCTCGAATAAGGGATAGTTGCGAGACTGACCTCACAGTACAATACTGTACATTACTGTATGCCCATGGGATCCCTTCACCTCTCCTCTTTGCGGAGGTCTGTCACAATGTACTTGAGAGGACTGTACCTTGCCCAGAAGACGACGAATGCGACGTAATTTGCAGCTTAGGCAGACGATTCCGTGTCGTACAGTACAGTAAAAGTGAATGCTCGCAACATGCGACCAGAACTGCTTCTTCATTGTAAGAGTATTACTCTCCTCAAATACGTACAGTACCTGCCTCTTTGAGACTTTTCTCGTCGCCCAATCTGAACCGTGCTATGCTCCATTGGAAGTCTGAAATGCAATCTGACAGATTGTCATGAGCTCTGGTTTTCTCAGTCTGAGCCAAGCCACACACCGGTCTCCATCAGACACAAAGTGGTCTGTACTGCCAGTAATCACCACCAGGTTGGACAGCTTTTTGAGAGAATGTACAGACTGAGGCAACTGCTGATAATGTGCTGCCGTCCATTGAAGCTGAATGGATCTCTTCAATTTACAGTGCCAAAAGTTGTAATTGCAGATTTCAGCCCCTGCCCCTACATTACTGTATTGAAAGAATACTGCACGATACTGTACTGTAGATGAATACTGTTCAGCACACTTCAGTCCTTTCCACACAAGATGAGTCGTGCTACAAATATTTTGGCTCCATGCACTTGCCAATTCTGGCGACATGGCACTGCTCTAATGCCTAAGTTCGGCTGTATTGTGGCTTGTCCCAGGCTCAGATTGCAACATTGCTAGACAGATTGCCAAGCGTCCTGGCAGACAGCTGGTCGAAATTTTGTTCGGCTCAAATTGAGTGACAGGAGAAGTACTGTATACTGAGAAGATGATCATGCTCGTGAGGGCTACAGTACGCAGCTGTTTCTGCAGCATAGTGACATTTTCGATACAGTACTTATTTGCAGATCGTTGATCAAACTACAATCAATCGCAAAATGCCAGACTCTTCTGCAGGCCGAGTACTGAATCGATGTCGGCAATACCTCACTGGCTGTGGTAGAGGGGCGAGGTAAGGTACTGTACATGGTACAGCACGGTGTTCCGTTCTGCGTTCGGATAATGTCAAAGACTCCATTAGCATCAATGTGCGGACCCCTTGTCCTAACGGCCAGTTCTGCATTGCAACGCCCAGTCTTGCATTACAACGCACAAGATCAGTGCTTCACTTGCATCGTCCTGTACGAGCCGCCAATTCTCACTAAGGTCATGTCTCCATCTGGTTGTGGTTTGACTCAAAGAGGTTTCTACGCTGCTGGGACTGCCTATCAATGACGGAGGTATATTACTGTACACAAATTTGTGCCGCTGTGCAAATTCGTAGCCTGTACAGTACAGCACTGTTTCGTATCGCTCCAGGACGTCAAACATTTGTGCAGCTACAGACTTTATTTTGGGCATGCAGACGTGATGAGGTGAGATTCCCAAAGCTCACACAGTACACTGCAATGCAAGCTAGGGTAGTCTCCAACTCTTGACGGTCACAAAACTGTACACTCATTGCAAAAGGAGTCCTCGACCAGGTCGTCCTTTTTCTGGTCAATCTGATATCTCAGCGCTCACTTCTAATGTAGCTTCCGTACTCCATCTGTTCCGTAGTCCGAACAAAGCTTTGGTCTGACACTGCTTTTACTGTACGGCTGAGCTTGACAATAACGGGCCTGTTGAGAGGTCGAACTCGCTGGTCAGAATGGGACATCGTGCTACTGAGCAGGATCACAACAAGGGCTGACTTCCGACATTACTTTCAAGGTACAGTGAGTACTACTGTATACACGAATGCATCGCCGGCTGCTTGTATGGCATCATTGCACCGCGCTTTGCGGACAAAGTCGAAGAGCACTGCAGCTTGTGTTGTACGGTACCGTACAGTAAGAACACGCAATGATGTGCTTGCCTTTGTCAATGTTCCCGTGGCCAGCTAAAGCAGCACTGCCTGCAAGGTCTTGGACTGCTGCCGATCAGACTCGGCCGCTTTGCACTTGAATTTTACCTGCTCTACTGAAAGTTGTACTGTACTGTACTATGACAGATAGCTTGGCGCTGGGTGTGCGACAATTCACACAAAGGAAGAACGGGGCAGGGGCAAGTAATTCATACCTGTAGTGAAAAAGGTTTGCAATTACTGGCAGAGACGCGTGCAGTATCCTTGTATTACTGTATATGCGAACATTTGAGAATTCAGCACTTTTGTAGCTACCCAGACTGTACAGTACCGTACAGATCTTTTCCTCACTTATGATTGCGATTAATTCAAGTGGCGCGGGCTGCCAGACTGTACAATACAGTATAAGCCGGGCAGAATCACTTTCCTCCATATACGTTGTAGTCAAATCATGCAAACTCAACTAATCCCAGTGTCGTGATGACGCCCTACTCTGTGGACTCAGGCGCGTTTGCAAATCTCAAGCAAGTACGGTACTTGAGTTCCAGATGAGTGAGCATACAACGTGCCGTATCTACGCCCAACGGAAGTCCGTTCCACTCTGGACTGCGGAAATTGCAAGCGTCGCACATGACATACAGTAAGACCTTTTAAGATCGACGCAGAGCAGCGAAGTCTACAATGCATCAAGACTCTACCGTACGCGTGCAGTACATGCGGGCGCTGTGACAACACTCTCCGCGCCTGAACACAGCAAGCTTACTGTAAGATCTGTCCTCAAGTCGCAAAAGCGGCACACTCGCATCGGGTAAATACTGTACTGTACTGTACGAAAATTTCGAGGGGCTGTAAATCGTACTGATGCACATGTAGTCCATGTGGGTCAGCATCGGACGACAAGCTTAGCAAGCATAAGCAGACAGATTCGAGTATCTGGCATAATCAACGCAGTCCTCGATCAGTTCGATGGAAGTTCGAGTCAAGAAGAGAAGAGGTTGCCTTCAATCTTGCCCTGCAATGATTCGACTACTGAGGCCCTGCTCTGCTCTAGCCCCTTGTCGCTTGCTATTGGCTGCCCCGCAAATGTGCAAGCCTCCTCGGTCCACGACATGAGTGATCAGGAAGATCTCTGAAAGGTCATCCTTTGCGCAACGTCATGGGCCAGCTGCAATGCAAAGACGCCTGCACTGCTATGGCGACGGAATACAATTATAATTCACTGATGAGAGACGGCACATTGCGAATGACGATGGGTACACGAAGATAGAGCTCTGGCTGATCGAGCAGCCTTATAGCACAGCAGCCGCTGCCGGCACCTCCTTCCGGTCGCTTTCGTGGGTGACTTGGCCATGCAACTTTCTCCCTTGCTTACCGTGCCAGCTCTTGAGTACAAATGGAACCACCGCCAACACTGCTGCGATACTCGCGAGTACTGTTGTTGCAACGGGACTACCCAGACTCGAGTACATTTTTGCGCTGGCCAGCGGCAGCGTTGCAGAGAGTATGTTGCGGCAGAATGATTGGGCAGCCATCGCACTGGAGGCGCGCTCTTCAAAGATGTCGGCCAAAAAGGAGAATAGGCTGAGGTAAATGGGAAAGATTCCAAAGCTGAAGAGGAAGTAGCCAAAGATAGGCCACCCTGGGGAGATGTTCGGCTGACCAGTCCAAGCGAAAATGACGAGTCCGACGGGAACGAGGACAGCTCCTGCACAGGCGTAATGAAGGCGCGCTTCGGGAAGTGGTCGTCCTGCAGCAATGGATCTGTCATGGTAGATCCGACCTTGGTGCCAATTAGCTGCGAGCCCCAGCAGACCTGCGGGCACGGCAGCCACCATTACGCTGGTTTCCTCGACCAAGGTCCATTTGTAGCCTTCGCTGAAGACTACGGGAATGGCTTGCACGTAGATGTATGTGACAGACCAGACAAAGGCGCTCCACAACGATAGACTCTGTACTGTAGAGTTGCGAGCCAGAAGGCCCAGAGGTACGCAGAGCGAATGCCAACATTCCATACCCAGGTGTTTGATGCCCCCGGCCCAGCCCTTGACCTTGCCTGCTTCACCGTCGTTGATCCGTCGCCTCGATGCGGTCCGACATTCAGTCATGCACAGAACAACGACGAGCATGCACAGACCTCCGCAAGCTGTGTTCCACCAGAAGACCACTCGCCAATCGCGGGAGGCCAGCGTGAGAGCGGTAATGACGGGCCCAGTCCCTTGTCCTGCCCAGACGGCGAAAGCATACATGGCCATTGGAAAGGCTCGATCCGCTTCTGTGAAGACATCGGCAACGACACCGCCTGCCATGCTCGAGCCGACGCTTGCTGCTGCCCCCGAAAGGAACCGAAAGGCGATCAAGACGCCGACATTGCGCGCCAAGGCCTGTGGTATAGTGAATACGGTGTAGAGAGCGCATGCGATGATGAAGACCGGTTTGCGGCCATGTCGCTCGGACAGAGGCGCCAGAAGAAGAGGGGTCGCGGCGAGGGCTACGAGATAGGTGGTGTTGCCCGTCTGTACGGCAAGGTCAGACGTGTGCAAACCAGCTGCTACAGAATCACCCAGCAGAGGGTACCCGATCACGTTGAGGGTGGAGATGTACGTGAAGAGCAGCGCGCTCAAAACCGTGGACCATTTCCTGCTGGCTGGCCAGTCATGGGGAGACGTCGAGAGCCCCATTGTTCAGAAGGTGAGGTAGCAGGTATGGATACTGATACTGCATTGTGGGGAGCAAAGCAAATCAGTCTTCCAGGGTCAGCAAGGGTCAGCGAAAAAGAGTCATTCGAGGGGGGCCAGTGCGGGAAGATCTTCGGGATTTTGCCGACGCGGGCGCGGGGCTGCAATGCTGCCGGACTTTACCCGAGGGTGCAGGCGAGGCACACTACTCGCGTCGCGACCGCACCAGCCCTGCCACTGGCGCCCTAAAGATAGGGAGAAGGCCGGCAGTCCGGGCAGGACCCTCGTGGGGTGTCAGCGCTGCTGGGCCATTGCAGAGGCAGACAACGAGACAAGGGAAGAAAGGCAGCAGCGCCATGTGCGAGCTTCGGACTTAGTCGAAGATTCTCTTTGCAAGAGCGTCCATCTCCCTACTTCGGCGTGGTAGTCGATGCCCGGTCCTAACAAGTTCGGATGGCAGTGATCCAGCAGTCCGCGCAGTGTAGGAGTGAGCTGACTCGCTCGCTCGCCTCTAGCTGCTCCAGTCGGTCTGTGCTCGCCTCATTCCGACCCCCCTGCGCTCACGGTGTCGTACAACAAGTTGGACGCATTGTGTCTGATTACAAGATGTGCAGTGCCTATGTTTCTTCCACCACCATGGCAACGACGATAGCGATGTCGTCGACTTTACCCCCAGAATATCTAAGTCGGCTTTTCTCGGCTTCGGCCTCGAAAGGGCTCCGCTTCTTCTCAGAGAATTGGCACATCAGCGTGTATTGAAGGGCGCTACAAAGCAAAGTAGGAGCCAACCAGTGCCATCAGCGAAGTGTGGCAGAGGCAAACTTGGACTGCCCACGTACTCACTTGTATGCAACGACCTCGACCAGTGTTTTCTCTTCTTTCCATCGAAGATCGGGAGACACCGATGCTGCCGCACTTTCGTTCTGTTGGCGCTGTGACTCGAATGCCTCGTGGTGCTTCTCCCTCAGAAAGCGCTGGGTAGATGGATCCAAGACCGTTAGATACAGTAGTGCAAAATCGGCTTGACGGCTCACTCACCACCAAAGCTACCCATTCCTTGCCCCACACGTTGTCCCATGCGCCGTCGCTTGCCACAATCACCAAGTCTCCATGCTTGAGATTGCACTCCCAGCGATTTGCCATGTCAGGTCTGCATTCGAGGCTTGGAGACTGTCCACCATTCTCTCGTTTCCACTGCTCCATGACCTTGGCCGGAATTTTGGAGAGCTGATAGGGGGCATTGAAGTAGTACTGCTGAGGGCTGGAGCGGTACAGGGCTCCGGCAAGAGGCCTTTTGCCTGGTATGCCCCTTCCACGACCTAAGTCATCATCGGCCGAGGGAATTCCGAACTCGGAGCCGCGCACGCCTTCACGAAGAACGACGAAGCCAGAGTCTCCAACATTTGCGGAGCGCAAGAGTCCGGTGGCAGATTCCAGGGTAACAACGACGGCGGTAGACGAGCCTGCTGGTACGCCCGGATCAGCGAGGACGTGGTCGTAGGCGTCTGAAATGAGGCGAACCGGGTTCGCAGACGGATCGGCGGCACCGCTGGCAGCTGCAAAGGCTTGAGAAGCATGATACATCAGGGATTGACTGATCATCGGAGAGCAGCAAGTGGGGAAAGGGAAGCGTCGTGAGATCTACTACGCCCGAGCTCCCAATCATTGGCAGACTCTTTGCACACTCACGAGAAGAGCGCCGGATCAACGCCATTTTCACTCCAGCTGCCAACGCCGTCGGCGACACCAATCGCTATATCCCCGGCTTGCTCCGCTGCTGCTCCATCAATGGTAGCCACCATGAGACTATCCTCTCCCGCTTCTCCTCCGCCTAGTAGAGCCTCGCGCCACTTGCCGATCTCGGACGTGTTGGGCCAACCGATCTGCTTCTTGGGTCGCGGAGGCACCGCTTTGGAAGACGATGGTTGCGGGGCATCTGGTTCCGGAGGTTTGCCCTGGAACGAGTGTGATATTAGGAAGCGGAAGCGGCTGGCGCAAGGAGTGGTATGCAGCCCACGGGAAGTGAATGTTTGCAAGAGCTGGTTGGAGTGATGTAGATGACTCGCCCGCCTAGCCATTGGCGATGCCAACAGCTGCGATCTGCGCTTTGCCTTGGAGTTCTGAGAGATCGAAGAGAGGGACTTTTCGAGTGGCAGCGATGTCTGCCCGGAAGCTGAAGCTATTGTACTTTCTTCTGGCCTCTGCGAGCGGCAGAGTGGTAGGAGATGCTGCGCACTCCGACTCTGGCCCCGACATGCTGTTGATGCAGAGACTGCGAGGTTCGCCGCAGCATGAGCACGGGCAGACATGGAGGACGACGCAGCCTTGGAAGTGATGACGAGGACGAGGACCAATCGGGACGGCGGCACTGGCTGAGGGGCGGACCAGCATCTGGTGCGTGGGTGAGGAAGCGCGACCTTGGCTCATACCGGATCTTGTTCGTCGGGGTTTGAAAGTTGTCGGATCTCCACTCCCTCTGGCGTGCCGGGGGCCGTGCCTTTGCCCGCACCCCGCGCTGGGGCGTGTGCGGTACTGCACAGACGAGGCTCCCGCTCCCAGCACACTCGCTCGCTCACACCCACCACTGCCTACCCACGCCACCTGCGGCACTGTCACCGACGGCGCCAAGGCGCAGAGAGCCATCAAGGTCCAGAGCAGCAGCACACCACTCTCGAGGCTCAGCTCCCCATCCTCAATCACCAGCATCACATCCTACCGACTCCATCAGCGGCTGCTGCCGAGGAGATAAGAAGCAGCGCCATCAACATACATTGCTGCAGCTCCTGGCCCACTGCTGCCTCATCCATCACCATCACACCATCTGCTTCTGCGCCGTATCCGCCATGCCACTCGGTCATGCTTCTCACCCTTCCTACGCCTCCACAGACTCCCTCGTATCCTCCAATTCCTCTTCTGCCGGCGGCGTGCATCGGCGCATCCGGGCGCCAAAACTGGACAAGGATGAGGAGCAGCAAGGCGGAAGTCCCCTGGTCAAGGCGGGCATCGTAAAAGGCGATGGCCTGATGCTCTTCATCACTTGCTTTGCCAGTCTGGGCGTATTCCTATTGTGAGGATGAGAATTGATGGCCTCTCTGCGCATCCTCACCCTGCTGACCCACTTCCTCGCATCTGTGCTACCTTCTACAGCGGGTACGATCAGGGTGTCATGTCTGGCATCATTACAACGCCTGCCTTTCGCGCCTTCTTTGACAATCCACATCCAGCAGAGATCGGTACCATGGTCGCCGTCCTCGAGATCGGCGCCTTCTTCAGCTCCATCGCAGCGGGCACCCTAGCGGACGTGTTCGGTCGCAAGGCCATACTCTTCTGGGGCGCCCTCATCTTCTCCATCGGCGGCGCAATACAGACTCTCACCAGCGGTTTCACCGTCATGGTCATTGGCAGAATCATTGCCGGAGTCGGTGTAGGTTTCATGAGTATGATTGTGCCAGCCTATCAGAGCGAAATCTCGCCTGCGGAGAACAGAGGCAAATTGGCATGCATAGAATTCACGGGTAAGTGATAATGGGCACAGACGCTTGCGACTGCCCTCCAGCTCGCTGAATCTAAAATACTCCATTCCGCTCTGTTCTGCGACGTCTCAAGGCAACATCATCGGCTATGCTTCATCAGTCTGGGTCGATTACCTCTTTTCCTTCATCCCTGGCAATCTAGCTTGGCGACTGCCCTTGTCGCTACAGTCGATCATCGGACTCACTCTCTGCTTCGGCTCGCTGCTCATACCCGAGTCACCTCGTTGGCTTTGCGACAAGGACAAGGATAAAGAAGCTATGCGTGTCCTCGCCGATCTCCATGGCAACGGCGACCCTCGCAGCCGCAAGGCAAAGCGCGAGTACAGGGAGATCAAGGGCAATGTTCTGACTACCAGGGAGGAAGAACGGGACAAAGGGCGTGGTTATCTCGAGATGTGGCGACGCTACAAGAAGAGGACCTTGATCGCTTGCTCCAGCCAGATGGGGGCGCAGTTAAACGGTATTAAGTGAGTACGACTAGGCCGTGGCAGCGGTAGGAGAGGTCTCCTACATTGCTCTGACGCTCTGTGCTTGCCTTTCTTATAGCGTAATCTCTTACTACGCACCGAACGTCTTCCTGGCCGCTGGATGGGTAGGACGCGACGCCATCCTCATGGCTGGCATCAATGCAATCTTCTATGTCCTTTCCACGATTCCCACATGGTACCTCGTCGATGCCTGGGGAAGAAGACCAATCTTGCTATCCGGCGCAATCCTCTGCTCACTGGCCCTCTTCGCGACCGGCGGTTTCCTGAGGCTTGACGCTTCGTACACCCCCAACGCCGTCGTTGTCTGCGTCATCCTCTTCAATGCCGCATTTGGCTACAGCTGGGGTCCTATCCCATGGTTATACCCGCCCGAGATCATGCCACTCTCCTTCCGGGCAAAAGGAGCCTCTCTCGCTACTGCAACCAATTGGTTCTTCAACTACGTCGTAGGCGAGCTGACTCCAATACTGCAGGATGCCATTGCTTGGCGTCTCTATATCATGCATGCACTGTTCTGCTTGGGCAGCTTCACGCTAGTATACTTTGTGTACCCAGAGACAGCCGGAAAAAGTCTCGAAGAGATGGAAGAGGTGTTTGGTGACGCGTTGCCCAAAGAGGATGATGACGACGACGACAGCGACGATGATGACAATGTAGTCAGCTTTGGGGCTAGAGCCGCGCCCATACAGATCGGAGACAATTCCAATGCCGGCTCTCAGCGACAACAACCACCCGAGCAGGAGGTACAACAGGCGCAAGCTACGAGTGGTGGCCCTGCCACCCAGACGGAACAGAATAGTGAGGCCCAAGACAGCGGTGGTGGCATTCTTGGTTGGGTGACGTCGTGGTGGCAAACAGGGTCTCGTGGTGACAGTACCGGGTATCAGCAAGTATCTTCTCGGCCATCGGCGACATGAATGAATGAGATTGCGCATCTGTTTGAATAAGAAAGCTCGAGATTCTTCTTTGCATATTGATGCGTAATGAATGAAACACATGGGGTGCACAACCTGTTTACTTCTCGCTCGACGCCCGAGCAAGCTTTAGCTCTCCTTTTCATTGCCAGGCACGATCTTCAGGGTCACCTTCATCAAAGGATGGTCAGTCTTGATCATGGCCTGCTTGAACTGCAAGCTAGCTTCGAATGTAGAGCACTGCTTGACGAAAGCATGGTCGACCCTAGAAGAGATCTGGCCATCTTCCATGCTTTCTTTCGACGCAATCATGCGGCGCAGACCCAGCTTTGAGATGCAGTCCTCAACGACTTGCAGGCGTGCCTTTGGGCCAACTGCTTTGTCCAGCTCCATATTGCCAGTGGGAAAGCGAACATTGACATCGCCGAGCAGGATATCAGGAGATTGGCGGTCAGAAGGCGCAAGGAATGTTTTGAACAGCGACCAATCCTCGAAGTGACCCATGGAGGGGGGCAAGTAGACCGCGTGGATAAGGAGGGCACAGAACGTGCCGGCCGGCAGAACAGATAGCGTGCAGCAGTATGGTGTGATCCTGTGCATCGTTACGAGTAAGTCAGGACGTGCAACAATGAGCAGCCCACCTCGTCGAGTCGACTGACCAACCGTCGACTGGCGAGGACGGTCCATGGGTTCATCGCTTGAGGAGGGTGCACTCATGGCTTTGATCCAGCCAAAAGGTTCAGCGGCAAGGGCCTCTCTGACTTCCCGATTTGGACCATGGCTCTCGGCAATCAAAAGCAGAGAGGACTGGTGAGCCGAGTGTTGTGAGGCTTGGAAGGCGTGAAACAGGGCGTCCCATTTCTCTAGCGTGAGACCTTGCACGTTGAGGTACATGATACGGAAAGTGGCGCTGTTCTTTGGCTCAAGAGGAGCTGCTAGCATCGAGCTATTGGACCGTGGCAAGGTCCTGACGATGCTGCGTCTGCTAGAGACCGCGTTCTTGGTCTGAATTTTTTGAGACAATGGACAAACGACAGGACTTGGGCTCGTCAGCGTTCCGGCGCCGAGACTGATGTGGAAGTGGAGTTGCTGGGGCAGATGGTGAGCAAATGGATTGTTCTCGTCCCCTGTGGCCTGCAGCTGGCTGCGCTGTGTCTTTGGGGGTGGCCGAGTGGAGAGGAGTGGCGGAAGGGGTGGGTCCGAGATGGAGATGGTAGCAGTGATACCCGGACTCGACGAATTTGCTCCAACAGCTGTCAGCAGTGTCAAAAGCGTAGAAGTGAGAGCGCTTGAACGAGACTCATCCGGGTGCACAGACTGCTCTCTTGACGTGCGACTTTTAGTGACGCGGGGACGCCCCTTGCAACTGTTGTGTGCAGAAGCCAAAGGGATGTGGGGCTCGCATGTTTTGGGCCGGCTAGTAGGACCAGCAGTAGGAACGCCGGTACGAGGCTTTCGCGTTGATCGCGTTGCTACTACAGCAACTTCCGAGGCTGAGGGCGCAGGGACGACGGTCTCCGGAGCTGGACTTGCTGCCTCGCCGCGATGGACAGCAGCATGATTAGCTGGTGCAGTGACTCGATCAGCGCGAGAGCGCTTGCGATCACGTACGGTCACTGTCGCACGGCCCGGTGGCTCCTCCCGACGTCTACGGCAAGACGCCACAGCATCCGGCTTTTGGACTTGTGAGGACTCTGTTGTAAGTACTGCTCTGATCTCCGGAGGCTGTGTTGAGGCAACGCGCCTCCTCGCGTCATTGAGCAAAAGACCGGCATCGACGGCCGCCTTTAGCTGTGTATCGTGAACCACCAGAGCCTGCAGCCTTTCCTCGAAGGCTTGATAGTCGAAGCGCGCTCCTTCCAGCTTGAATCGTTGGCAAGCCAAGAGGCTCAGAGAGATGTATCGCTCAGCCGTAGCTTTGGTGACCGCGGCGGTTGGCGAGGCGCTGTCACGCGCTCGCTCGATACAGCGCTCGAAGAGGGGGATGATGCAGTTGAGCAACATGTTACCACAGCCCATGGTGAAAGATTGCGGATCTCCCCTGGTGGTGCGACACTTGTGCTTGTACCTGCGCCGGGCCTTGCCATCTCCGACGCAATTCTGGTCGAAGTGAAGACCATTCTTGACGTTGCAAGATGGACACGCGATATCTGCTCGGTACTGTGCAAAGAGTGAGTCGGTGAACAGCGTCGCTGCGTGCTCATCGGCGAAAGGCTGGAGCTGCGTGCCTCTGAGTATGAGGGCCATCCTCACAGACTGCCTTCTGTAGAGGCGTATGAACGAAGCAGTTCAAGCAAAGAAGTGGTTCGAACGCGAAGACGCGACAGAAGGAAGAATGAGCCTGTCCGCGCCTATAATCCAAGCGCCCAGCTCCAGGCTGATCAGGGCAAACATGAATGGCTAAGTTGGCCGGCTACCAATCTCTAGCCGTCTTTCTTCTGGCTCGTCTAGTATCAAACCCAGGGGGGGCGCTTCGCGCCCAGGCACGTCGGGAGCTCCTTGCTCGAGGCGTACATATATTGCTGACCAGATAGCAACTTCGCCGGAGTCGTACACTCGTCGGCAGTCTCGATGTCTACCGGATCGTTGTCCAGCAGACGCTGGACCATCGTCTTCCTTGCCGGCTGCGCAGCAACGCGAGAGAGGTCAGCTGCTGCCTGGCACGTCTTGATCAGAATAGGCGAGTATAGTTGGGATCCCCTACCCTTGCGCCCATGTGTCCTTGGCCGAATTCTTTCTTGCTGCCCTGGCCACCATTACCCAAGGTTTTGCGGCTGCACTTCGGATCCGCTGTGCCCTGAATTCCCTTCCGAGACGCGCAAGGTTCCCCGCGCGCGTCTGGAGTCGATGCCCCGTGCGGGAACAACGAGGCGTCCGTGCGCTTGGCCTCCTCCTTTGCCTTGGCGCGGCAGAGGCTCCTGGCAACCTTCTATGGCGGCTCACCTCTCCTGACTCTGTACTGAGACCATACGCCGCAACGATTCGCCCCCAGCACAGGCATGCTCATCTCTTCTGTCTGGCTCCTCTTCATCTGCTTTGTAACTGCGGTCTCAGCTGCGCCGCCTCATCAGCTCACCTTTGCCTCTGACGATGGAGCACCTCACCCCACGCTGGAAAGAGGAGTCGGACACTTTTCGGAATGGTCCGCCTGCGTAAAGGAATGGTTCCTGTCCGATGTCAAGGCAGGACGCGCGAGCAATTGGACCATTGTACTGGGCAATGAGGCTGGCGATCTCGACAGCTTGGCCGCCGCATTCAGCTACGCCTACCATGTCGGCCACGTCAATCCCAGCCGCCCCACAATTGGCTTGCTGCAGACGCCCTTTGATGCTCTGGACCTCAGACCAGAGAACCAGGTAAGTCGCCGTGTCCCAATAACATCGGCTCACTGTATACTTACCAACTCGGCAATGAGCCGCTGCGCTGGATCAGCTGACCCTGAACAACATCAAGATGACTACGGGCCACCAGGACCTGCTCACCATTGATGAGCTGCCGATCCCTGCGGAAGAGCTGGCATCCCAAGTCAGAGGAATCGTGCTTGTCGATCACCCTCTACCACTGCCGGCATGGGAAGGTGCCACAGTGCTGAGTCTCTTCGATCACCACGCGGACCGAGGTTCCTCACCCGATGCACATCCTCGAGTGTTTGAGCGGGTGGCCAGCTGCTCTACTCTTGTAGGGAGGCAGATGCTCGATGAGCTGGAAGCCCTACCCGCAGGCGAATATCACGTACCTCACGAACTTCTCGAACTGCTATTGTCTGCCATTGCGATCGACAGCGGCGGGCTTCAGAGCAGAATCACGACACCGACAGATCACTTTGTCGCTTCTCGACTCTACAAGCGGTCTAATTGGAGCAACGAAAGCTTCTATGATAAAATGCTCGAAGTAGCGAAGACACTCAAGGCGGCAAAGAAGGACCTCGACCATTTGAGCGTCCGCGATCTCCTGCGAAGAGACTGGAAAGGTAAGCCTCAGTTGCGTTGGACGGTGCATGAAGCTCAGCACTGACAGCAGACGAAATGACCTCTGGTCTCAACGCGAACAGGCGGCATTGTGCAGACGCGTAAAGGATTACCAGATGTACACTTGGGATTCGCATCCATCCGTGAGCAGAGACGTGATTTCACGAGAAGCGGCCAGCATATACTGATCCTGATCTCGCTTGATCCATAGCCTACTCGCTCTCACGATTGATCCAGATTACACCAGAGCAGTCCGTCAGTGACTTCTTTGCCATCGAACGCAATTGGACAAGTGAGATTGAAGCTGATATTACATTGGCTCTTCTTGGCTACAAGGTGAAGGTTGAAGGCGAACCACCGACTCTGAATGACAGCGAGACAAGAAAAAGCGCAGACCAGAACTACCTGGAAGAAAATGAATTGATGATGTATGAGCAAGAAAGTGGCGAGCAGTCCAGGGTAGTGGGAGACCACGATATGGAAGCGTCAGAAGAGATGCGTCGCAAGGTGAAAGAGCGGCAGATCGTACTCGTCGTCCGAGCAGATCACCGCATCAGCGAAGCTGAAGCTGACTCTCTCTTCAAGCACGTCTCGCGCGCCCTCGACGAAAGCGAGATTCTTCTCGCGAAGCGCTGGGAGCACAGCAAGCAATTGGGCCACCGGCAGATGGTCTGGACTCATCGTGTGGCCACTGGGGGTCGGAAACTGGTGCGGCCGATTGTCGAGTCGGCCCTGACGACTTGGCAGCTGGAGAAGGACATGCCTTCCCAGCGGCAAGGTCACCAGAGCCATATGCCATGAGATCGAAGCAAGCCCATCAGTGGACCCAATTTGCTGTTCTTGAGTGCCCATGCCTGGGGAGGAGTAGTGCGTTCGTCGAACGGAAGGGCAGGTCGAGAGCGTACTAGTGGAGAGGCGATGAACACCCGATTAGCGAAGAGCACAGCGTCTCGTGTGCCCTCAGCGGTGTTCAAAGTACTACCGGACGGTCAATTTGCACGAGTTTCAAGTTGCGCTGCGAAGTGCTCGTCGAAGTCCAAGCCGAGCTTGTTCCTAATCTCATCGGGCACTCGAGCTCCGTGACGAGCGAAGAAGATCCAGTTCAGGCCAGCCAAAAAGACAACTGCCGAAAAGACTGCCACAGTCCAATTCATGTCTTCCGACGAGGTCAAAGGGACCGAAGTAGGGAAGAAGAAGAAGAGGGACGTCAAGACGATGTAGACGAAGGCCAGGGCATTGACGATAGGACCCCATCTGTTGCCCATTGAATATTTTAGTGGCTTGCGAGCATGTAAATGGAATGTCTTGCGGTTCATCATGAGCAATGCAATCGTGGGAAGGTATGAGAACTGTATCAGCACAACAGAGGTGTTGAGAATTGCGGCCAAAGTAAGGTCGGACCCGAATTCTAGAAGGCCAAGGATGGTAAGCCAGCCAGTGCAGAACAGTACGGCCCAGATAGGTGTCTCGTGCTTAGCGTCTGTCTTGGAGATGTATGTACGTGCTGGAAGGTTTCCATCAGCAGCGAAAGACTGGACCATGCGAGAAGCCGAGGTCAAAAGAGCAGGTGTGTTGAAAGTGAAAGTGAAAAGACCCAGGGTCGTCAGAGCTGTGCCGCCGGCCAAGCTGCCTGTCCCTTGTGTGAAAGCTTCCATCATTGCCGAAGCGCCAGCGTCAATGATGGCGAGAGGATCGGTCATGGTGGCAGCCACAGCAACCAGGACGACAAAGCCGTGGAGGGAGCCAATCAGACTAGCAAAGACCATAGCTTTAGGGCTGTTCACATGTGCGTCATGGATCTCATCCACCAAGTGAGCTGCACCATCAACGCCAACGAGAGCATACTGAGCTTGCAGCAGTCCAAGAATCCAGGCGACTCCGTCCGGCCAACCTGTGATATTGATGTGATTCCCAAAGGTGAAAGCAGCCGAATTGAGGCGATGTTCGGATGCAGCGCAGGCCAGCAAGGTCAGGAAGATGGTAATGGCCGAAGCATCGCTAGACCACATGGAAATGCGGTTCATCCAGTCGAAGATACGTGCACCGAAACAGCACACGATTGCGCCATAAAGCGTGTAGCCCATGTATACCAAGAAGAATTGCCAGGACGTCGAGACATAGTCAGGGTGAAATCCTGAGATGATGCTGAGTGTCAATGAAGCCGCAAAGTAGGGCGCTGAAGCTGTGAGGACGATCCATCCAGAACATGCGAGCCAGCCAGTGAGGTAGGAGAGGGAATTCCGAGCGGAGGGCTTGGCCAGAATGTAAGTCCAATGATATTGGCCCCCCGTCAGTGGCAGTACATGACAGATCTCTGCTAATGACGATGCGATGAGCAGAGATCCCATGCCTCCTGCAATCATGCCCCAGAGCATGGAGGTATTACCTCCCGCTGGGAGTGACACGTAAATGGACTGTGTTGCGGCATTCCACGTATTCAAGACGGACAAGGCCGTGCCGATCAGGGACAGTGTGCTGAAATGGTCCAAGACCGGAGGGGGCGGAGGCAGGTCACCCTCTACGTCCCCTGGATCGCTGTTGGCGCTCGACGATGAGCTACCATTGGCGTGTCCGAGGCGTCCGATCGTCGCAGGTAACTCGATGTCGCTGGTGGAGGGCTTGTCCTTGCTTTCCGGAGCCATACTTGCTGCTGAATGTAGCTGGGCTTTGCTGGGGCTTGAGATCCTTCAGCGGTGCATTTTCTGATGTCGAGAATTGTCGCCGATGTCCAAGTCGGATAGCAATATAAGGATTAAGCTATGGCTATCTCAACTTGGTCACGCTATCATCTCTGGCAACGGGATCGTGACCCTGTTTCGGGCATCTGAATGTGGTAGAGCAGAGATAGCGTTGCCTGCATGTTAAGCGCGAGTGTGGGGTCGCGCGACGCTTAGATAGGGAGTGGGGCGCTAAGCGCCATACTAAGCGAGGCACAAGCGCGAAGCGCAAGCGCGCTCGCAGAGCAGCTTGAGGTAGCCGAGCAGAGCGTCTGGGGTACGGCTCCGCTACTTGATTCGGACCGAGGCCCATCAAGCGAGGATTGGGCTGCAACCACGGGCAAAGAGTGGCCAATGGGAGCCTATGGGAAAAGGTGGGGCTGCAAGTAGGGGTATCATGATTCTGAATGTGCACAACAATTCAAAAGGTATAGGAGATCGTCTTCCTCCGCTGCGCGACCAAGCTTTTCCACGTCGAAGTCTTGCCTGTCTCGTCCACGTGTTGCCAAATCATTCTCAAGACTTCAATGGTATCCACGATCGCCTGCTCACACCCGATGCTTTGCAATTGACGAAGGGCAGTGGACTTCTGGTCCGGAGTGACACACACAGTCCCTGCCAAGAACCAGACCATTGTCATATCCCAGACATCGATGTGATGACTGAACGATCCACTGGGCTGCTCTAATGTAGCGACGGTCTCGGCGATTTCGAATATCTGATGGAGCGCTGCTTGCATCTTGACTGACAAAGGCCCCAGATCATGCACGTCTTGGTAAAGATAGATTAGAGCTGCTTGTCTCCACATCTCGTGCAGACTCTGGGCACGCAATCGGCCTATCCCGTCATGAGGTTTCTTCGTGATGTCCAGACCGCTCGATAAGATCTGGGCTTGCAGTGCTTTTGAACGTGCGTCCACTTCCGCCCGGCCTAAAACTTTACCTTCCTCTATGTCAGCGGCTAGATCCTGTATATGCTTCAGACATACTACGAGGTCCACGGAGAAGCTGCTCAAGTAGCGGAAGCGCAGGTTGACGCCATCGTCCTGGGTGAGAAGAGTAGGCTCCGTCGGTGGATCGTTGGCAATCTGGCTTCTCATCCCACGTACGGAGGCTGCATCCATCACGTTGGCGGCAGCGAGAGCTTGCACGAGGAAAGCAACTATGGTGCCAGACTTGGCTGTGCGTTGTAGAAAAGTGATATCAACCTGGAGCTCTTTCAGCTGCACCGATCAGAAGGTAAAAGGTTGCCGTCAGACGATTTTGTGGATCCTGTGGATCGATGCAGACATTCGAAGGGAAGATACGTACCACTCGTTCGACATCTGGTGCCAGGTCAAATGCAGCCTTGGCACCAAGTAAGCAAACGCTCGCGTAGCGTAAGTTCAACAATGCCAGCATTCTGGCGGCCAGGGAGATCGAGCCATCGCTTCCAATGCGCCGCAATTCTTTCAAAGTGTACTCGTACCAGGCCCCTGCATACAGACTTGCGTATTGTTCATCGCTTTGGGCAGCCTGGCGTGCTCTGGACTGAGTGGACGACTTGCTAGTGCTGGTCAGATAGCGAACAAAATGCGAGGCCTGGTCTTTCTTCTCTCTCGCAATCACATCCCTGTAAGCGAGACAGCAGGCAACCATTGACGCTTTGCTGACTGACGAAGACTTTGTCACCTCCATCAGACTTGCCAGAACCGGTCGGGCATCTGCTTCTCCCTCGGCAACTGGCAGCGACGTGTCAACGAGGGCTCCAATGTAACGTTCGTAAATCACGCCGCACCGGCTAAGGAGATCATCCAGATCTTGAAGCTCGATGGTACGCTGAAGCGACCAGTCGGGCCTGGGCACAGGTTGAGAGGGCAAAACAGCTCTTGTGGAAGAAGCCTGATAGTCTTCGAGGGCAGTCGAAGAGCCGCTGCTCCCATTGGCCAAGGATGTTGTCATCGATGTCGAAGCCGATGGAAAGGCTGGCTGAGATGGGGAGGGCTGCAGTAGAATATTCGAAGTCGTGCTATCGGTGAATGAAGCGGCAGAGTAGTGATTCAAGCCTGCCATCATTTGATTTTGCGGCCGTGCCGATGCAAGCCCGCTGCCGTCCGCTGGCTCTGTCATGCTTACGATCTCCTCAAAGAATTGATCGAGCCAGGAACCATCCTGAAAGGGACTGCGCTGTTGCGGCGCTGCCACCTCCTGAAAGGGATTGCGCTGTTGTAAAGCTCCTCCATCATGGGGAACAAGACGCTGTTGGGAAGTCTCTAGACTCCCTTCGCCAGGCTGCATCATTGGCCTGCTCAGCTGATCGACTTCGACGGTACCCCTTCCGCTGTTATCTCTTGGGTGACCCTGGAAGTTCAAGAGTGACTCTGCCGCTTGTACAACATTGGTGTTGGCGGGCGGCGGTGAGACTGGCGAGAAGTTGCTGTGCGAGGCATCCGGCATCCTACATACTTCACCACGACGATGGCAGGCTGTGCACGCTTGTCTTCCGTCTCCCCAATCCTTGTATGTTTCATCGCATTTCTTACGCCGGTTGCGGCAGGTCAAGCAGCCTCGCTTGCTTCGTTTGTGTCTTCTCCAAGCAGACGAGGCTGAGCTTGCCGCGGACGAGGAAGGATGCATTCTTCTGCGGGACGATCGCACATCCGTAGGCAGCGGGTAAGGTGGGCGGTAAGATAGGCAGTCGCGGCAAAGGACGACGCATTGCGGGGAGAGATAGTCAACTGCAAGCGCGCGCAGGCGCGGCAACAGCGCGCTTCGTCTCGTCAGGCGCGTAGGTCGCGCTTCGCCTTCGGCAACGGCGCAGCAGATCGGGAACCGGCGACGGTGCACGGCCCATGATCTAGTAGAGCGATAGCATCCGAGATGGATCATAAGGGGCTCTTTGGGCCAGGCTCTTGCCTTGGCCTCTGTCACAAGACCGAACAACTCACCAAAAATGCCGTCTCAAGCAGCTCCTGATATCAACGTCCGCTCTACCTCGGGCAGGAGCATCGCTTGCCCCTCTGGTATCTTCATCAACAATGCCTTTGTCACCGCCATCGAGGGCAAGAAGCTGGACACTGTCAATCCAGCAACCGGTCAACATTTGGCGACCGTAGAGTGCGGTACATCAAAAGACGTCGATGTCGCCGTGAATGCCGCAAAGCAAGCGTTCGCAACCACTTGGGGCCGTAAGAGTACTCCCGCTCAACGTGTCAGCTGCCTACTGAAACTTGCCGATCTAATTGAGGAAGAGGCTGATGAGCTGGGAGAACTGGAGTCGCTCGATAACGGCAAGCCCAAGTGGATCGCAAAGACAATGGATGTAGCGGATGTGGCTGGCTGCTTCCGCTATTATGGGGGCCTGGCGGACAAGATCGAGGGCAAGACGATTGAGCTGAATGAGTCCATCAAGATGGCAATGACAAAGGTGCAGCCAATCGGAGTCTGTGCAGCCGTATGTCCATTCAACTATCCGCTGGGTATGCTCTCGTGGAAGTTGGCACCTGCGCTGGCTGCCGGCAATTGTGTCATCTTGAAGCCAGCTGAGCAGACGCCCATCACAGCTCTACGCATCGCTCAACTTGCTGTGAAGGCAGGATTCCCACCTGGAGTTCTGGGCGTCATCAACGGCTATGGACCTGATGTTGGCGCAGCACTTGCAACTCATACCGGCATAGATAAGATAGCTTTCACGGGAAGTACGGCGACTGGTATGAAGATTGCGGAGATGGCAGCCCGATCCAACCTCAAGAAGACGACGCTGGAGCTGGGAGGCAAGAGCCCGGTCTTGGTCTTCGACGACGCAGACCTCGAGAAAAGTCTGCCCTGGGTAGTCCTTGGTATCATGTTCAATCAGGGACAGGATTGCACTGCTGGGTCGCGTCTCTTTGTACAAAGCGGCATCTACGATACTTTTGTGAAAAGAGTGGTTGAGGCCGTTCAACAGCATGCCATAGGCGATCCTCTAGACGACAACACTTTCCAGGGTCCACAAGTTTCCCAAGCTCAGCAGACCAAAATTCTTGACCTCATCGAGAGTGGCAAGTCAGAGGGCGCCAAGCTCGAGTGCGGCGGACAGATCTGGCCGGGAGCCAAAGGGACCAAGCTGGAGAAGGGCTTCTGGGTCGCTCCAACGGTCTTCTCGGGCTGCAGCAAAGGCATGCGCATCTTCGACGAGGAGATCTTTGGCCCGGTCTTGAGTGTAGCCAAGTTCGAGACCGAGGAAGAAGCCATCGCCCTCGCCAACGACACTGACTATGGGCTCGGAGCGGGTATCTTCTCCCAGGACATTTCGCGGTGCATGCGGGTAACTGGCGCTATAGATGCTGGGACGGTCTGGGTCAACAACTACGTAGTCTTGTCCAACTCTGTTCCCTTTGGAGGCTTCAAGCGAAGCGGTATGGGTAGAGAGTTGGGGGTGGATGCGATCAAAGAGTACACGCAGGTCAAGTCGGTCCACATCAATTGGGGCGAGGAGATGGAGTGGCCGCTGCGAGGGTGAGAGCGGTCTGAATGCTCCCGTGCTTGTGCTGCTGCGATCGTGGCTCGTTGAATCCACACCTTTCACTTTGTCAATGTTTGAGTCATTCTCCTTCCTCCTTTTGCTTCTGTTCAATTTTCGGACTCCACGAAAGGACTGCGAGTCCGTGAGCTCAATGTCGTGCCTAGCCCTCAACGGAAAGATCCAGCATCCTACTCAGGATTGTGCAACATGCGCTTCGGAGCCGACATCACAGGACACATACCGGTGAGGAGCAGGACACCGGCCAATAGGGTGACATCTGAGAGACACGCACACATTCGTTATCGCACGGAACAGTGGAGACTATGAATGTTATGTTATCGCGTAAATGCGTCGCTGTTCTATTTCAACACTCGTAATTGCCACTGTCGATCGAAGTATGACGTCCCTATTCTACAGCCCGTGACCCGACCCAGACCTCTATGATGCTGGTTGAGCGTTTGAGGCATTGCCATATGTCTCCGTTCCGTTTGCAATGACCTTCCGTGACACCGTGTCCTTCATTTGCGGCAGATCCATGGCTGGATTCCACGCAAAGAAGTTGGCTGGTTTGAGCCAGACAGCGAGGTGCTCGACGGGCATGATGGGGAAGCTGGACAAAGTATGGGTGTAACAGAGGGGTCAGGTCTACGTTCCTCGACTGCAGCCGTGACTGGACATTTCTATACTCACTCTTCCGGCCGTGGAACGTGTGTAATGCCAAAAGTGACCCAGGCAACCAAGTCTTCATTCTCGACATTGTGACTGTCTTCGACCCAGTGAGAAATGTCGTCTTTGGCCGTGTCCCTCTGCTGTGGTACGTATTTGCCGGCCGGCCAAAGCTGTTCTTCATTATGCTGCGAGACCCACAAGGCTTTCGTGGCGAATCGAGCTCGTTTGGTCACCATGGCATCACGGTGAGGCGCGAGTGTCTCGTAGTCTCGGGTATGGATACGGTATGAGACAGGCAATCCAGACGCGAAATGACGACGCTTGGTATTGACAATGGAAAAAGTGCGGTGCTTCGTGGCATCCCAGTCATAACCACCTGCTTTGGTGATATTGGAAGATGACTGTCTGAAGCCATTGCCCAGGTAGTTGGAAGAGCTGCCTACGGGTGCCGCCGTAGGAACCACGTCGGACTGCACAATAGTATTCTCATGTCCATCGATCATTGGGTCGATTCTGAGCGAAAAGATGTGCTGATGTAGCTGCGCAGTCACTGATGGTGCGACTTCAACTCCATAAGGATTGACTTCCGCTTCACCTTCTCGTTTGAGAGCTAGGTTGAGGATACCCGTGAGTCGCACCTCTGTTTGTATGCTGCCGTCTGTATAGAAGTTGTAGTTGAAAATGTACTCGTAATTTGCAATCGTGCAGATCATTTGGACGACGAGCTTCCGATTTCGAGCTGAGTAGGCTCGCCCGCCTTCTCTGTAGTCTGTGTGTTTGAAAGCCAGCCCAGCGTCTTCTTCGTGAATACAGATGCATTGCTTGATGGTGACAGGGCTGCCATCCAGGCCTACATAGGTGCCATCGAGATAAGAGATACTGCCTAGGCAATCGCACCCGATGGCAAGACTGTTGGCCAGCGTGCCGATTGAGTACTCTCCGACGTCGAAAGCGAACTTGCGAGGGGAGGGAAATAGAGTTTCGGCGTATGGAACAGTCATCTCAGCACATGAGAGTCGGTAGAAGAGCGGGCGGACCTCATCGCCGTCTTTGTATGTGACAGTATTGATGGTAAGGCCGTCGCGAGGATGAAAGCCAATGTGAAAATTCCATTTGCTCCAGGAGATCTCGTTGCCGTTCAGTGTATAGCTCACTCCCTCTGGCTGAACTACGTACAGTGGCTTCAGATCATCGCGGGGCTTGGCCATCCGAGGGTCCTGCTCCATCAGGTCTGGGAGGTAGTCGTAGGACTGCATCGGCGGAGGGATGCGTTCTCGACCAGCGTATTCAAGGGCGACTTCGGGATCAGTGGTCAGAGAAGAGGGTGGGCGACCGTCGATGGGCTCTTCTTTCCTGCCTCTGTGCTTGCCCATGTCGATGGAGATGACCTCATGGGTCTGAAGATCGAGAACGACAGTGAAGTCCATAGGATGTGCGTAGAGGTTCTCATGAGGGGTTTTACGAGCGTAGACCAGGCACTGCTGTACTCTGCGTCCAAGCTCGAATCGATCGTCCCAGCCAATAGACCATCCGTCGGCATAGATCTGCTCCGGCTCAACGCCCACGTCACGGGCGAGCTTGACGATGTCCGGATTGCGACGAAGGGCGAAGTCGGCCTCTGCGAGCTCGTCGGGGTGAAGCGGAGGCTGAAGGCCTTCTTCTAGCTTAACGACCTTGGTCACTCTGCCAGGTGCCGGGTAGATGTCCACGTATAGCTCGTAAGCATCGCCCGTCAGAGCGTCAACGATCTGACACTCTGAGTGGCGGGCGGAAAGAAGTCTTCGCGCCTCTGCTTGCGAGACTGCTTTTGCGTCGAGAGGCAAGGGTAGATTGAGTGCGGCCAAGACAAACTCCTTAGGTGGATTGGCCAAGTACGCCGTCAGCAGCTTATATGCTCGAATCTCAGTCTCTTCGGCAATGAAGACCTGAACGATCTTGGCCAGATTGCGCATCCTGTGTGATTAGGGAGAGCTCTGTCAGCGCCAGGAGGTTCAGCCTGACTGATCTATTGTCAGCCACTCACTGAGTCTCATCGAGTGGATCAAGCGGATGTTGGAGTCCGCTTCGGTCTTTGTGAGCCGCCGGATTGCTTGCGCATCCCTTGGATGTGCACGACTGGGAGGATGGCATCTGTCCGCTGATGGTGGTTGTGGCAGGACTCATGGTGAAGGACGATAGGAGCGAGGCATGAGATGGGAGTGGTGCAAGGCTTGCAACCGAACCATCTGCCTCTTGTACATCCTCCCGCCTCAACGGACATGGCTGGACAGGCTCAACGGGTGAGGAGCACAGGGCCGTGCAGAGCAGTACAGGACCAAGCAGAGCAGCACAGGACGATGCAGCCGGAAGCGCGAGCATCGCCTCCCGCCCGCGCTTGTTGGAGACACCAAGCGCGCGTCTGATCGCGCTTAGTGTTCTCCGCCAGACTCCTGTAAGCGCGCTCCGCCGCGCTTAGACCATCTCCCAAGATAAGGAAGTGCGGGGTCGACGCAGTGTTCCATGCCTGGCGCGCCTAGCCACTGTAGCGGGCTTCGGCTAAGTCGGGCGAGCATCGGACACCAGGAAGCGATCGTCGTACGATCGATCGACTACTCTCGAGATATCAAGCAGCGAAAGAGGTGACCTTGCGTAGTCAGAGCCATACTAGGCAGAGCTAATCTCGATCTTCTATCAGGCAGCAAGTGTCTTCGATGTTACCCATTCTAGCATCGATTGTGTTAGCTTTGATCCCTTACACTGCAGCACATGGACATGGACATGCTCACGATACCGCCGAGCACATGCGGGTCGCTCATGGAGTCTACCGAGAGCCATATCCCGAGTGAGTCCAGCATCGCTCTCACCAACAAGACCGCTTGCCGTGAGAAGCAAAAGGCTGACCACTGTGCACTTCCACGAGCAGCGGCAAAAACCCTCTGACGCTCGTCGAGCCTCCATTCCTGGCTTCAGACGCTAATATAAATCTGCAGACACCCGCGGGTGATGCGATCTTCGCTGGCCTGGGCACTTTTGGCCATCTGCCCTTCGGAGCATGTCTCTCGCCCATTACCGCGCACATCCCTCATGGCTCTGAGGAGCTCGCGCCTGGGGACAACTTCGATGTCGGCATCATCGGTATGCCGTTTGACACTGCCGTGAGCTTCAGACCTGGCGCTCGCTTTGGGCCCAGTGGTATCCGCCATAACAGCAAACGCATGTCCAAGTTCAGAGGCTACAACGTTCCTCTGGGTCTCAATGTGTACGAGAGCGGACAAAAGATCCTCGACTGCGGAGACATCCCAGTGACCGCCTTCGACAACACTTTGGCGCTGCAGCAGATGGAGCAGGGCTACTTGTCGCTGCTTCACCGTCCAACAAATACAACGCAGGTCAAAAGGCGACGAGGAGAGACCGTCGCCGAAGAGATACTCGATACACCTCTCTACACCAAGACCGGGAAGCTGCATCCCAAGATGATCACCTTGGGCGGCGACCACACCCTTGTGCTCCCCGTCTTACGTGCATTGAACACCGCTTACGGCCCCGTAGCGGTAATCCACTTCGACAGGTGAGTGGTAGCCTGATCGCCCCGCCCTGCCCTTCGCCAATCTGACTGACGTTGTATACTCTCATTGGGACACAGTCACTTGGACTCCTGGGACCCCGGGTTCTATGGCGGAGAAGACACTTCCAAGACATCCGCTATCAACCATGGAACATGTGAGTAGAAGCAAAGGTGCAGACTAAAGGTGAAACAGTGGCTGACCTCAGCTTCGCATTTCAGTCTTTTGGCACGCCAGCAACGAGGGTTTGATTCGCAACGGCTCGGCAACCCATGCGGGCATTCGTACAAGATTGGCCCAGGCGAGTGATTACGATGACGACTTCAAGAGTGGATTCACACTTCAAGAAGCCAGCGTCATCGACGATATTGGAACTGCGGGGATCGTGGAGAATATCCGCAAAGCTGTGGCCGGGAACCCAGTCTAGTAAGCGCTGAAGGTGGTGGACACAATTCTATGGATGTCTGACTCATATACTCCTCGTCTCGACAGTCTGTCCATTGATATCGACGTTCTGGACCCTAGCGCAGCTCCTGCGACCGGCACACCAGAGACAGGAGGCTGGAGCACCCGGGAGCTCCGCAAGATCATCCGAGGACTGGATGGTCTGGACATCATCGGTAAGTGCGCGCTGGCAGAATATGATCCATTTGCTACGGTACTGACATGGGACTATACTGCAGGAGCCGACATTGTCGAAGTTGCTCCTCCGTATGACACGCAAGCATCTCTCACACAGATGGCGGCCGCAGATCTAGTGTGGGAGATTCTGGGTCTAATGGTAAAACGCGGGCCCCTAGTCGAGGGAACACAGAGCCTGAAGTAAGGGAGCGGTGGTGGATCTCTCCATTAGGACGGTTGCGTCATCCATACGTCTTGCGCAAGGGTGCCTCGTAGATTGCTAAGAGCGAAGAAGGGCCGCTTGGAAGCGCATGGAGTTTTGAGACCTTGACCGCGTTCGTGACTTGTCGATTGCCCAGAAGAAATGAAGTTTCACGCAAACAGAAGGGAGGAGCTCTATGTGCTCTCTGTCTTTATGCTCTAGCCGCAAAGCTCGATGTGGGGACTGATACGTGACACACAAGTGCATAAGAACTCGACGCACCTCGGCGAGCGAGAGAGTTCAGCTCAGCTACAGATGAAACAACCTCCCGCAGGCTCAGTAGCCCTCGATCTCCTCCTCAAACGGGTTGTACTTTGGTTTGTCCTCGTCATCCTCGTCTTCGTCCGACCCATTTTCCTCTCTTGCCAGCATCTCCTTCTTCAGCGCGTCCTTGTCCTTCCTTGACATTGGAGGGGCCGTCTTGGGTGGGGGCGCAGGCTGACGATTCGGATGCAGCGGTGGGATGAAAGACCGTCGTCCAAGACCTGGCCTACGGTGTGATGCTGACGAGAGAAGAGAGGAGAGAGCTGACAGGGAGGAATGTGGGTAAAAAAGGCTCAGATATTAGCGTTAGCGATCCACAGACAAGCAATGACAATGCGACTCACCTTTGCCGGAGAAGGACCTCCGCGCCGAGTCTTCCGGAGTCTCTGCCCTAGTAGGCATGATACCTGGCCTTGTTGTTGCAGCAGATGGAGTCATGGGAGAGGGCCGAGACTGACCATTGGAAGTCGCCTTGCTGGTCGAAGCTTGCGCAGGCGACATTGCCATGGCCGAGGGCTGTCCTTCTTGAGTCTGTCCTTGCTTTGCGGATGGCTCAGACGCAGATGGGCCTTTCGCAACATCTGCCACTGGTGGCTTTACAGTACGAGTCGCTGCTGTCATAGCCTCGTCGGGCTCGGTAGCCTGAGCGCCGTTGCTTGACTTCTTGCGACTGGCAGCTTTGACGGGCGGGGCATCTTCCTCATCACTCATCTCTAGCAAATCCATCTCGTCCCTGTCATCGTTGATTGGTGGGACCCTCTGAGGTGCCATGGTGGATGAGCTGGAGGCAGAGTGCTGTGGAGCCGTTGCTGCTTGGCTACCCGAGCTTTTGCGAGCAGGTACGACTACCTCAATGGCGTGATCGCTGTTTTTTGTCGCATTCGATGCCATCTTTCGTGAAGAGTCGTCTTCCTCCTCATCACCTTCACTTTCAGTCTCCTCGCCTTCCCTCTCCTCGCGTACCTGCAAGGCCTGCAGCTGCCTCTTCCTCGCACTCGCCTTGGCCTCTCGAGCAGCGGAACGATGCCGGTCAATGGGGGCTGTGACTTGCCTGCCGCTTCGAGTCGTTTCTGCAGCTCGAGGCGCAGCGGAGGTGGATGGTACAGTCGACGTAGATGCTGATCTGCTTGAGCTTGCCTCAGCGCTAGCACTCTGAGGCTCAACGCTGCTTTTACTGCCGCTAGCACTAGTGCTTCTCCTAGCAGCTCTCTCCTCGACCTTCTTGACTTTTTCCCTCTCTTTTTTCAGTCTTTGCTTCTCCTTCTCGGCTGCTTTCTCTTCCTTGCTTTTGATCGGGTTGCCGTCTTTATCGCAGTCAGTGGCGTAGCGAACTTTCTTGAGTGAAGCTGATCGAGCTGGCCTACCCGCCGCTGTAAAGTACTCGTCTGGTGATGCAGGGCGTTTGCTCACCGCTGATCCCACCGGGGTGATCGGAATGATGCTGCTGCCAACATCACTGACGGCTGTCTGGCCAGAGTAGGCGGGCTCGGAAGCAGAGACGCCTGTCAATTCAGAGTGAGAAGATCAGAAGGCCCGCCAGGTAGGCGTCAGTGATACAGCGGAATGAGCCATCAGTGGCGGTTTCGCAGAGCTCTCACCTTGGCTTGCATTGCTACTGGCCGGAACAGCTCTCAGTGGTGAGAGCATGGTATTGGCACGGCCTGCGCCCTGCTGAGGTATTGCGGAAGAGCTGCTAGTGGAAGGCGCACTGGCCGCTTCAGTAGCTCCTTTTTCAGTGGGACCGTCGTGCAGTGCTTCTCCTCGCATCTCTACAGGAGGTGTGACCATATCGGCACGGTCTGTCATCCTTGTCTGGGCGAGTACCTGGCAGGATATATGCGAGGTTGAGGGGAAGTGTTGGTTGGGTGAGTGGAGCAACGTCCAGTCGCGCCTCTCAACCAGAAGCGCGAAGCCACTTCCGCCGGCTGGGCTTCCGTCGATTGCCCAATGCTTGCCCGCTCACTCTCTTCCGCTCCGACTTTTATGCCTGCGCGCACGACCTCGAGCCGCCTGCCTTTCTTCCCGAGGCCGTCTGGTACGGACTGCTGATCACACCAACACTGCCTTCGATCACTCACATCTCACCTACCATGTTCCCAACACTACGCCTGTTCTCGCGGACAACATATCGAGGCGCCGCGGGCTCGGGTCCCGGTCGCTCAGGAAACACGGCCTTCCGTTCCTCCCCCGACTCCCGCAAATCACCCACCGATCTCGCTTCCGCAAATTGGTTCAAGAGGTCCCAACGAGGTCTCTACGATGGAGCTCAGCTGCAGACGGGTAACAACGTACCAGAGTCTCGTCAGAAGACCAAGAGGCTGTTCAAGCCAAACGTGCAGAGAAAGGCCATCTGGAGTGAAGTCCTGAATGAATGGGTCAGACTGAGGCTCACTACAAGAGGGCTCAGGTCGATTGAGAAGAAGGGTGGACTGGACCAATACATTGCTAGCACATCCGACTGGAAATTGGGAGAGTTTGGCAGGACTCTCAGGACCGCAATGGGCAAAAAGGCAAGAATTCTGCAAAGAGAGGCACAACTCGCGCAAGCCCTTGCCGCGACGGCGCCAAAGGGAACTCAGCCTCGGGCAACTGGACGCAAGGTGGCAGCAAGCCGGGCCGCCAGCGACGTGGATCAGACAGCTCAAGCATTGGAGGGCATGGACATTGGCGCTGCAAGAGCTGCCGAAGCAACATAAGCCTTGCCCTGAGCTGGATGGCCACCCTGAGGCTCGAAACGACGGGCACGAAGGATTCTTGGCCCGAATCTGGCAGAGGACTTAGTCCCTTAGACAATGTGAAGAGGCGCTTTACTCGGGCCCCGCTGTCGCAGTTCAAGGCGGCTTGTCCTACGCCCCGCCTCCGTAGACAGTAAAGTTGGGGTCCTCCCTCGTTCGCACCATATCCGATCCTCATCGGGGCTCGATCTCTCACTTCACTTGTACAACAGCATTACATTTCCCTCAGCAATTCAATGATCCCCAGACTCGGACATGGACTGAGTGTGGCTCGACGACTCGGGCGGCGGCTGTGTCAGGAGGACCCAGAAGCTAGTCTAAGCGAGGCGGGGTGAGCTGCAGCTGGCAATGACTCGACGGTCGGTAACCTCGGCGGAAAGGGGCATGTGGGGTGCAAACTGCTTCGCCTCACCGGGTAGCTCTTCCAATTAGCCAACATGGGAGGGCGTGGTGGTCCTGCGTCGAGGGAAACGCACTCACCACCGTCCCTGGCATCGACGCGGTACTCAAGGTGTGTAGCAGATCTATGAAGTGCGTTTGTGTGTGTGCCTGTCAGCAAAGGGGCGGCGGCGGGGCAAGCAAGTGTGGCGGGAGCATCACTGCAATGGAGCAACTGCCGCTCCGGCAATTGCGCCGGGCCCGGCTCTACCCATCACCCAGACCACACCGCTCCGCCCCGACCAACGGGAAACTCTGATAGGAGAACAAAAGAGCGAATCCTCAGCCTCTCCGCCCATCGAGTCACTTCGAGGCAGATCCCCGTATTCCCTCACCGCTTGCCACCGCCTATACTCCACCCAGCTCACTGCTCCTCCAGCATACTGACAGATCAGCTGCGCCGGGCAGGCTGACCGCAATCAAAGCGGCACACCTTCAAACACTACTGATCATCCCGACTCTTGAGCCTTCCTCATTGGGCTCGGTGGAGGGAGGGTGACTCAAGCTCGGGAGAAGCACAAAGCCGTTCCCTCTCACAATTAGAGGATCCAGCATACAGCGAGGAGCACCGCCTCCTGCACTCTCCCACCCAGATCTGCCAGGTACCGCACCAGGGTGGACGAAGCGCAGTGACTCGGACAAAGGCGACTTGCCATCCATATAAGATCCGCAAAGCCTCAGCTTGGCATCCATTCCCCCTTTCCCTCACTACCAGCTGCTCTCCCGATCTCTCTACCATCAACTCGTCATTCAAACACTCCTATCGCCATTCCCAGACGCCACTGCGATCGCAACATTCGCAACTGCAAGGTCGAAGCGGTCGCAGCGCTTGCCCTCTAGCCCTGCTGCCGCATAAGCTCCACGAGCTTGCCATCCTCAAACGGTGGCTCTGCTTAGCTTTACCACTTCGTGCAAGCCTCAATCATATCTCCATAATGCGCTCAAGGTGAGTGAAAGACACTGAGCAGCAGCAGGGCCGATGCGCTTGGACGTGGTAGTCTACTGACGCGTCGCTCTTCCGCCTTTCCGACATTCCTCTGATACTCAGCAATCCCTCCCTCCGCTCTCAGCAAGCACGTCTATCTCTACACTACGCCATCGTGGTCACAGTGCTGGTCATGCTACTCGCCGTCAACGCCAGTGCACTACTGTTTGACAAGGATGATGGTCGTTCAAGGCCTGAGCCCAGGTGAGCAGCGACCATGAGCGGATCGGCATTATCAAGCGATGTACTGGTATCTGACCCATCCTCCTGTGTACTCTGGGCGGGCAGCGAGGCTGCTACGACTGATAGCTCATTGTTGCTGGCATCGGATCAAGTAGTCCTTGCACGCGGTGCTCCCGTCGCCATCACGCCCGGCGCAATGCCTACTCCTGCCCCCTTCGTCATGTCCTACCCGCCTTCGGGCGAAGAGGAGACAGCCTCACACAACGTTGTCACCTTTACCAACTCCATGGGCTGCATCGAGACCATCACCGCCGGCACTGCTGGCATGACGGGCAGCGGTGGCTCTCCCGAAGAGACATGGATCCGAATTGCAGGCATACTCGTCCCTGCCATTGTCGCCATTGGGCTCGGTGTGGGTGGCTTCTTGGTCACACTCCACGTCAATAGGCGCAACCCTGATGGAGAAGACGATTGGAGGAACTGAGCACTGTACCAACCCATCCTTTCCCTCTACCCCGTCACTGTCATCATCAAGGGTCCATATACACGTTGGACGCCTCAAGTCTCAAAGATCATTCCCCAGCATCTGCACACAACTACCCATCGCTATCGACGCCAACGAAGCTTCACGACTGTATACTGTAATCCATCCACTCTCTGTTCCACTGTTCCCATCGCACACCGGCAATACCGTTTCCACTGTAGACTCTTTCCCCTGTTACTAGACTCCCGTCAGTCGTACTGCTCCTTTCGTGCCAATGGTCAATACTAGCGAAATGACTGCAAAGTCTGCGTCTGAATGAAGATGATCACACTGAGTCGAGTGTAGTCAATGATTGTGTTGCATTGTCGCTTCTGGACCTTTGCTACTTTGTCGCGTCCTTAGACTCCAATATCTCTGTGATCCACCTCCTCATCTCACAAGGCCCTTTTCTACCAGCCACTCTTGAACTTACTAATCCTGCCTCCCAGCAGCGAACGGAAGATGTTGCGATAGCCCTTATGAAGCTTGGGACGCGCAGGGGGGAAGAGCTTCTCTCCGGATCTTGGCCCTTTCTTCTTCCGATTTGGGAGCGTTTCGGCCTCCAACTTCTTCTTGCGCTTCTCGCGACGAAAGCGGGCTAGCCAGCTTTGCCTGACACGGTCTTTCATGGAAGTTGGCATGACACGCTCTCCCTCTGCGCCAGAAATGGTACTCTTCGGGCCTGCTCGGCTCGAAGAGGAAGCCGTTTGGGATGATGATGGCCTGGGCGCTTCTTTGCCGAGACTGGACAGGAGGGCCTCGGTGCTGGCGTCCCACTTTTGCGGCATAGCTGCTGCCCTCTGCAGGCGAGGTACCGATGTCGGTCTTGGGGGACTGGTGTGTCTCAGCGAGGCGAGCTGGGCTGCTAGTCTTTCTGCATCGGCAGCGCTTGTGGATCGGGGAGGAGAAGGTGTGGGCGAAGGCGAAAACATTGATGACGCTGGCTTGTCCTTGGGGGAAGGCGGATCGGGGGAGAGGAGTCGCGGCAGTAGCTCTTGACGTACAAGGTGCGTGCCCGTTCCTTCGCCGTGTTTCGAAGTCGTTGGAAGGGCCGCTTCTTGAACTTCGACGACTTGACCCTCGACGACAGAAGAAGAACTACGCTTGGAGAGCCGGAGAGCCTTCTTCTTGTGCATCTTACTACTTTGGCCTTTCTGTAGGCCCGCAAACATGCTCTTAATCTTGTTGAGAGATCTGACGGGCCAGTTTGAAGGGCTTTTACCCTTGTCCGCGCCGAATCGAGCTGACGTACTTGCTAAGATCTTCTTCTCGAAGAACTTGTGTAGATTTTCCTCTTCTTTGAGCTGATCGTACCACTGTTTGTCCCACCTTAAGAGATCCGCCCGCGGACGTGTGTTGGGATGGACTGGCGGCCGGTTGGCGGTGGGAGGTATCGTGCGCAGAGGAGCATAGGGCATCAACGCCTGGCTTTGCTCCCTGAGAGGGGTCGAAAAGGCCGTCGCGTAAGATGTGGGGGAGGATGGAGCCGAGGATGTCAAGCTGCCGTGGGTAGAATGAGCGGAAGAAGTGCTGCCAGTGGACGATCCGTGACGTGGTCGCTTCTTGAATGGGACTTTCATCGATGAAAATGTTCCTCCCCGAGGTGACAGCTCCTCGAGTGTGACTCCAGAGGCAGGACGTGGTCCGCGAGGTTTCGGAGAAACAGTATGTCGAATCTTGCTGAGATACAAATTCTTGGTTCGCTGAGACTTGAGCTTCTTGACACCACCATTTTGGACTTGATGTAGCTTCTGTTGATAGCCCTTGTACTGCTTTGTGTGTTTCAGAGGAAAAACCTTCCTGCCCGGCCTCCAACGACGTCCGAACGCAGCGGACCAAGGCTCCGGCCAAGTCGCCTTTTTCGACTTCTTCTTCGTGTAGGGCTCTCCTCTGTACACCTTTGGACCGCTTGCCACGGGCTTCTTGTAGAGGATGCTCCCATCCCACATGCCGGGTAAGGGTTTAGGCTCATCCGGATGGAGTGGCGGGAATTTGTTGCTCGGAAGGATTGTTCTTAACGGTGCAGGGTGAGGGATGGTTTTTTGTCTCTTGGGCTCACTCAAATATAAGTCGTCAGAGGTTTCGCCGAAGTCGTCGAATGGGCGTTTCTTGAGAGCCAGGACCCAAGGTGGATATTCTTCGCCATTGGTTCGCCCGAGAAGCAGAACGTTATGGGCTTTCTGATCCTCGTGACCTACTATGCCATTGAAAAGGGATACAGCAAACGGTCTGGAGTCGGACGATGTCTCGGACAGCTGGAGCGCGGCGGCTGCGAGCCCGAAGGTGGCAAAAGATAGGAAGATCAAGACCAGGCATCGCACTTGAACCATTTTGAGAATTGTTGTCAAAAGAATAGACGTGAGCGCCTGAGGAGGCGGTGAGAGAGCGAAGACCAGCTTCGAATTTGCAGACCAAGCAAGACAGCTGACATTAGGCTTTACATCGATGGGGTGGTCAGCTTATAAGGCGGGCTGCATTGCTACGAATCGATGACATGGTCCTGCAGTGTCTTGTTGCGCCCAGCAAAGACCACACGGAAAATCTGTGCAGAGTGTTATGAAGCATCAAGCATTCATCTAGCCAGCTCAAACTCGCGGAGTCCGATAGCCCATTCGTTCCATCCTCCTGAGGAGATCACTCGCCACAAGATGAATCATGTCTGCCCTCAGCAACGTTGTATAGTACTTGCGGTGGCATCAGCCGGTTCGCCTGACGGGACAAGCCGTTCGGGAAGAATTGTCGCGGCAAGGACACACTCTCTCAAACGCTGTTTGCGCGCAACGCTCTGCTCGACTTCTCTTGATTGCTCTGTGCAACGCAGTCGTCACGCATTGCTTTGCCCCACTGCCGCACTTGATCCGCCTGTACTCTCCAATGCCTGGTGAAGGACCTAACGCCTGTCTTCTCTGTGCAAAAACTTGAAATTCTTGTACTTCGACTTCCAATTGAAATCAGCCGTCTCATAAGTCAAAGGTCGTACCTTGCCATTCTTCTTCCCATAAGCCCCCAGAGAAGACTTGATCTTGAGTTTGAAAGGGAAACGTTTTCGTACGCTACTCTGAACGCTGTGTAATCTTTTCAGGTAACCCTTGTACCCTTTTGCGTGCGGCTTTGGATTTGGGCGATTGGACGGGAGGGGCTTTGTGGCGATTAGCACGGGGGGCTTCTCTTCGGGGATGGGGGCACGGTAGGTGAAGCGGGCAGGGGCATAGCGCTGACTACCGTCGCCCCAGCGGCCGCGGGGAGCAAGATAAAAGGTATGCGGCTCTGCGTTCAGTGGACTGGCTTTCTCCTCTACCTTTGATACGGGGAGAGGGTAGCTTGAAGTACTATGGTCCTGGGCAGAGGCGTACATGGAGTTGAGAATAGTGAGCACGATGGTGAGGAGTAGTATGATTGGTTTCGAACGATTGTGAATTGCTTGGGTGGACAACTTGAGGATGGCGAGTATTCGGCCAGGTATGTACTGCTCAGGAGCCGTGCTCATAGGGAGTGGTAGGAAAAGACCAGCTTTCTACCTGTACCTGATGTGACCGAACAACGGCCGTCTATGCTAGCAGAAAAATCTATATGAAGTGAAGAGTTTCAAGAAAGATGCAAAGCTCCTCACGCTTCTCCACACCTCTTGAGGCCTTCATACGGGCGTCGCTCCAACACCGCCACAGCTTTGTACATAGCAAAGCGGAGACGGTGCACCGGGCCGGCCGGCGGGGGAACGGTACCTGGGCTGCTTGTCTTTGCTTCGCAAGGCTCACTGTTCACCACTGCTTCTGGTCCAACGTCTTTCTCGTATCAGCTTGCTTCATTGAACTGACAGATCTCCCTCGCTACACTGCTCGTCGCCGCCTTTGGAGACTACTTGTCTGCAGCACTCCGGTAGGCCATCATGTCGTATCACCAAGTCCCGAATCTTGCACCCTTTAATCTTCTTGCGCATCTGCCGTCCTGGTGTTTGCTAGGTGGGCATAGCTTGTTCTGTATGGTTACTGCTCCCTCTTGTCCACGTGAGCGGCTTGTCGCACCTCGGTACCGGTCTGTGTGACGAGATGGACCGGAATAGCCGGCGTGGTTTGAAATCTCGGGCATCTGAGCTGTATGTCCGTGCGCAAAGGGAAATTAATCTTTTGCCCGCATGGGTGGCCCCAACGCGGGTCATGGCTCAGCGGTTTGAAAGCGATGGCCGTGGGGTGGAGTGACTCCTTGTCTGACTGCTTTCATGTACCTCACATACGGATCAAAGGGACCGAGATCACCAAGGGCTAAGGGCAAGGAAGTATCTATAAAGAGCCGCAATGTAAAGTGGGGACCTCAGATCGGACAAGAAGCCCAGCAAGCCATCTCCGTACTCAATCGCTCCATACCATTGCCACGAAGCTCACTTCGCAGCACTTCACATACTCGCAGGCCATGCCGTCTCTCGCATCGTCCAGCCTCATTGACTGGCTGAGCCCTGGCGGCTCATCTTCCTCTTCTGTGTCTCCCCTCCTGGTCCTGACGCTCGCAATCCTAGTCGGCCTGGCCATCCTTGCTATCCTCTATCCAGACAGGCCCATCGGTGTCGCACCTCATGCTCCCGGCATCAACCACTGGAAAGGCTATCCCCTCGTGGGCAGCCTAGACTGGATCTTATCAGTGTCTCACGGTGGTAATCGGCTTCTAGATGAAATATTCCTCATGCAGAAGACCGAAGGCATGGGAGCCGGAGGCCAGCCCATGAGCGTCACTTTCCCAGCTCTAGGGGGCAGAGTCACTGTCATCAATAACCCGCGCTATCTGGAGTGGGTGCAGAAAACCAACTTCGACAACTATCCCAAGGGACCCGACTTCCACCGATGCATGTCTGACGTTCTCGGCCCTCACGGCATCTTCGTAGCAGACGGCGCGCCCTGGTTCCAGCAGCGAAAGCTTGCCAGCCACATCTTCAGTCGTTCCTTCTTCTCGAGCCACGTACAAGACACCATGAAGGCCGAGGTGGTCAAGCTGGACAAGCTCCTCCTCGACGCTTCCGACGGCAAGTGCAAGGGCGAAAAGATCCAGTTCCCCGATCTCATGTTCCGCTTCACACTTAGCACATTTGCCTTTCTGGCGTTCAATGCCGAGGTGGACGTGCTGCCAGACAACGTTGACGGTCTCCAGAAGGTCAATGAATTTGGACGGGACTTTGACTTTGCTCAGACTGTGCTGGACCACCGCTTCGTCAGCGTCTTGCCAAAGTGGACCGAATGGTTGTGAGTGACAAAGGGCGAGCGTTACCTGGGCAGTGGTCCTCTACGATTTCTGGGCTAACACAGCGCGCCTCCTCTTGTTCCAAAACAGCACAAAGGAAGGACATCAGATGCGCAAGACCATCAACGGCCTTCACAACTACTGCTACCGCATCATCGATTCGCGTCTGGAGCGCAAGAAGGCCGGAGGTGAGATGAGCGGTACGAAAGCAGGCAAGGACTTGCTGGAGCTCTTCATCGACCAAGGCATCAGCAGAGAGGAGCTCCTCCCCGTCCTCCTGAACTTCATCGTCGCTGGTAGAGACACGACCGCTCAGAGCTTAGCGTGGTTTTTCTATGAGATGTGGAAGCACCCAGAACATATCGCAAAGATTCGTCAGACGCTCGTGCCCGTGCTTGGGGCGCCGAATGAGCAAAGGCCAATGGACTTTGAAGACTACAAGGAGCTACCTTACCTTCATGCGTGTTTCTACGAGGCGATCAGGGTGAGCCACCCGCAGCACAATCCCTCCCTCTAAATCGCATTGCTGACTGTCTCTCCCACTGCCCTTTCTTCAGCTCTGGCCCGCCGTGCCAAAGAACGCCAAGCGTGTACTCAAGGACGACATCATCCAGCCTTCTGCCTCAAAGGACGCATCTGGAGACTCTTTGAACCTCCCTCCCGTCCCAGTGAGAAAGGGTGAGTCCGTCCTCTGGTCTGACTGGGCCATGGCACGTATGCCTGAGATTTGGGGTGAAGACTGTGAAGATTTCAAGCCGGAGAGATTCTTGGAGACGGATGGGGGTGGGAAGATGAAGGTCGTGGAAGTGAGCCAGTGGAAATTCCACGCTTTCAGTGAGTGTCCGAGAAAGAGGGGAGAGTGCTTGTGGGATATCAAGGATCTCACAGTCTTCACTTACTCTAATTCATCATCTTCATCGGTAGACGGTGGCCCTCGTCTCTGTCTGGGAAAGCTACTGGCAACGTATGAAGGCATGGCCGTCATCGCTGCTATTCTCGGTCGGTGAGTGACCCACGTTTCCCGGTCAGAGCCAGTAATTTTGGCTGACCCTCTGTCTCTCCCAACAGATACGACGTTGTATTCGACTCGGAAGACCTTCAGCGCAACCCGCCGACGTACCAGGATAGCCTCACGCTACCTTGCTCGCCCTACTGGGTGCAGTTCGAAAAGAGGCAGGACATCTAGGATAGTAAGAAGTGGAAGGTATAATGGACACCTACGAGGAAGAAGGGCCAGAGAGGTGGATGTACGAGGATATCACTATTGAGCTCGGGTTGGTGCCTGGTGCATAATTTACGAGTGGCATGCAATGTCGACGTTGCTACTCGTCGTGCCCTTCTGTCAAATCTATCATGGTTTCCATACGTCTTGCGTGAGAGTGCGGTTTGGTCCCGGTGCGGGGGTGGCTGATGCGGGGAAAGGGGCGATGGATTGCAACTCCGCTCCATGGAAATTGGTTCCGTATCGCCATCCCGTCAGGCGCACCTCGGCCTGACCTTGTCTGCTCCTCACCATCCCGTCATCGTCGTTGCGGAGGCAAACAGGCAGGGCGAGATGCGACAGCATATAAGGAGTGCCATGCCTCTTCCCTCGTCGTCGTCCTTCATCCGTCTCTGCCACCACTCCATCCATTCAGCACCTTCCCTCACCCTCCACCCTCAACCATGCTCGGTATAAAAGCTCTTCTCAACGACCTGCTGCACTACGCAATCGTCACCTTGGCCTTCACTTCCTTGGCCCACGTCTGCGGCATTCTGTCCCTCCTCCTCGCCTTGATCGTCCTACCCCTCATCATTATCATCGACCTCACCAGCTTCCTCTTCGATCTTGTCGCAGCAGAGGTCATCAGAGCCTTCAAAGAGGCCAACCGCTACTGGGGTACAGATCGATTGATCAAAGTCGTCGTCGGCGAAGTCGAGGAGTGCATACAGACTATCCGCGAAGCTAGGGAGCAAGAGCGTGTTCGCCTCGTCACTGGCAAAAGGCTCACTTCCGCTGCTGTGTGCGCTGCAGAGGAGAAGAGGAAGACGAAGAAGAGGGGATACCTGTCCACCTTGGCCATGTCGCGACACTCTCCCTTCCGCGAGTCCGTGGAAGTGGAAGAGCCCATCTACCGGGCCCTCTCTCCGCGTCTCGCTGAACTTCCCCAGGAACTCAAGGAACAGATCTTCTCCTTTCTCCTCCATTCCACGTCAAGGAAAGGCACCTACGATATCACGCCCCTGCTGCTCTCCTCTTCGCTGCGAGACCTCTACCAGCCGCACATCTACAATGTCGTTCATCTCTCCAACTCCTTTTCCTTTCGAAAGCTCCGAGAGACCCTTGTGTTGCACAATGCACACCTGGGCACGCTAGTCAAGGAGCTCACATTCGCCTCGAACCAATTCGACGATACGGGGTACCTTGCCGATCCTCTAGCACCCGTCAGCGCTCTCTCCACAGGCATCGAGCAGCTCCTCCTGAGCATGCCCAACGTCTCCTCGCTCGCACTAGACCTCTATTCTCTTGCTGCCCTCTTCGAAGGAGACGCGCTGCGTCGTCTAGAATCTGGACCTCGCCCCACGAAGCTAAAAATTGAGCTGACAATCCCGCAGTACCTCGATATACCGCTGTACCTGGAAGTGGAGGAGCTGGAGATTGTCTGTTTCGGAATCGACGAGAATGTCGCACGAGAGCTCAGGGAGACGCTCCCACGCCTCAAGAAGCTGACGATGAGGCTGGTGCGCAGAGCAGGCAGGGACGGATCTGTCACGTCGGAGATGGTGTCCAACGGCGGCGTGTGGGACGACGATGAAGACCCCTGGCACGAAGAGCAGGGGATCCGATTGCCCTACTGGTCCGATTCCCGGACAGGCGCCAAAGACGCCAATGAAGTCATCAAGGCCATTGAGCTCCTTCGTTCCTGGCCGGGCAAGGAACGCCGCAGCGGCACGCGCTTGGAGTCTCTCACTGTCCTCAGCTGGGGAAGTGCTACCCGTGAATTGCAAAAGTACTTTGGGTACGAGTCACCCCTCCAAAAGAAGAAGAAGGCCGCATCCGAAACTGTAGAGCCCTCCGGACTCCGACTGTCCCCATTGCGGTTGCTAGAGGAGAATTCAGTGGTGCGCTTTGAGGAGGAACTGGATACCCTGATGGAGCTGCAGAGGGTGAAGGCAAAAGAAGAAGACGTGGCTCCTCTACCGAGCATCGTGAGCACCACTTCATGCAACGACGCTTGTTCCTCTTCTGGTAGCCCAGCAACCTCATACTTCACCTCTGGTAGTACGAGTCCCGACGGAGTGGAACAAGCCTGGAAGGAGGCCTCCTCGCCCAATCGCAGCCTCTGCCCCGCTCCCTTACGACTGGACTTTGACGCTTACAGACACTTTGGCCCACGCAGGGGAAGCGTCCTCGCTTGGACCGGTGCGAAGCCTGATTTTCACTGAGGTGGTGTGCAAGAACAATTTACTTTGCTCTCTCTGGCCATGAGGCGGCCGCATCTATTCCTGCTCTTCCTACCATTACTATAGCCCACCTTCTGATATGTTTCATGCCTACTGTATTATAGTCTTCTTCGCCATATCACGGCCTTGCTATCGCGTTTCGCCTCAGACTCGAATCTACATCTTATGCTCATTCATTCTCATTACGCATCCCTCCTCCGTCCAACTTAAGCACACTCCTGACTCATCGTCTGCGACTCGACTGCTCCCCTCTGTCCTCTATCCAAGCCATCCAGCTCCTTCATATCCTCCTGACTCAACTCCCACCCACCAGCGAACGCGTCCCAATTCTCCTTTTGGCGACCCAAGTTGCTACTCTTGGGAAGAGGGATCATCCCGCTCTGTAGACTCCAGCGGAGCATCACTTGAGCTTCTGTATGACCGCTACGAGAGGCGATACGGGAGAGGGTGGAGTCGCCGTAGTAGTTGCCTCGGGCCAAGGGGCAGTATGCTTGCACGAGGATGTTGTGTGAGGCGCACTTGGCGCGGAGAGAGGATTGGGCAAAGAAGGGGTGGCACTCGATCTGTAAAGACCAGGAGCGACGTGAGTATTCCACTAGTCAGACCGGGAACTCTCTCTGGATGCTTTTGTTCGTACCAGTACTCACCTGATTGACCACGGGAAGCACCTCAGGTTTACTCTGCATCAACTCCTCCAAGTGCTTCTCACCATAGTTGCTCACTCCCAAGCTCCTCACTTTTCCCTCCTTCACCAGTCGACTCAGTGCCTCCCATGTCTCCCTCCTCGCCTTTGGCCCACCATCAGGCGCGTGAATCAGCACGAGATCCCAATACTCGAGTTGCGCAGCGGAGAGGGAGCGAAGGATGGAGTCGTAGGCGGAGGAACCTTTGCTGAAGGTCTTTGTCGTGAGGAACAGCTCGGAGCGAGGAACAGAGGAGGAGCGAGCAAAAGCTCCCGTTTCGGCCTCGTTGCGGTAGTATTGCGCCGTGCTGGAGTGTGAGTGTGAGCACGAGACGAAGAGGTAGGGCGGTCTTCAGCATTCCTCTTTGGTGCTCTGCCAGCTCTGCTCCTCCAAATCGCACTCACTCGATATGTCTATATCCCACCTGCTCCACTGCGCTCCTCAGTGCATCAACCGTTTCTTTTCCTCGCATCTCCCATGCTCCGATCCCAAAGCGCGGGATGGAGTGGCCGTCGGCCATCTTGATCATTGTGGAGAGATTGGAAGGGGAAGAGGTACTCATGTTCGCTGCGGAGGCGGTTGTGGGTGTGAGAGGTGAAGAGGATGCGAGATGGTTGTGCAGGGAGGCTATACGCTTCGTCGCTGCTAGATTCAAGTTGGTTTTCGAGCTGCTGAGAATCGGTCTTGCGAGGAGCATTTGACAGGAAAGAAAGGTGACCAGATCACGATAGACTAGCGGCTTCGTATCAGTCGAGGTGAGTGCGGAAGTGGAGCGTGCAGCGAGCGTGAGGTGGAGGGAGCGAGGGGAAATCGGAACGGAAGCAAGGTGGGTGCAGTAGACGAATGGCGACACTGAAGCTCTCAAAGGCCAAGGAACAGAGAGGTTTGCCGCGATTAGTTGGAGGTTTATGCATTGCATACCATATCCAGGTCTAGCTGCGGTTTCCAACACATAGAGGTCCAGGTATTGCACGGTGACACGACACTGTGACGCCATCTAAGCACCACGCCAAAGCTCATGCACTCAAACGACGCAGCTGTGAACACTTGCACTGCTTGGAGCTCAAGGACCCAGGTCGGTATCTCGTGTATAGAAACCTCTACGGCGACGACCCTGACTCTGCGGTCGCGCTTGCTCCCACAAGCTCTTGGCCCTGTTCGACGGGACTATCGTGAGGCAAAGGGAACTTCTCGTCCGAAGTAGACACCTGCGAAGCCGTCGAGTCCGAGCTGGTCGTCAAAGGCGATGGGCCCGGCGCTTCTTCCTTTGTGCCTCTGACCGCAACCCAATGTGCCACCACTACAGTCTTGATGATCTTCCTCCCTTCCCAGAGCGGATACAGCCCTACGATGGTGAAAGCCACTATTGCCCATGCGAGAGACACTCCGACCCAGCCTTCGAAGAAGGATCTTGTGAAGATGTACTCCCTGTACAAGCTCAGCGGCCAGATCAGCATGAAGACTGAGAAGATGATGACAGATGCAATCACCGAGACGTTGAGCCACTTGTTTAGGTAAGGACGCGCAAAGTGCTCGTCATTCTTGATCTTGTCCACCTCTTGCGCGTCCGCGGCGGACAAGTGAGGAGAGGTCCAGATAGAGTCCCAGTCGAAGTGCTGCGGGGTGAAAAGGGAGCCGAGGGTGCAGAGGAGCAGGCCGGTCCCGATGGCAGTGGCGAAGGTGTACAGGCAGACGTCCGTGTCGCTCAAAGCCGTCAGGGAGAGGGGTCCCTCTACCAGTCGGGAGGCGAGTGACAGCCAGACTGCAAGGCCTGCACCAAAGCTGATCCAGACACCGGGGAAGAGACACCACCTCGGGAGACGTGAAGAAAAGAAGATGAAGCAGATCTGGCTGAGAGCGGCAGTGGACCAGACACCTGTGATATTGTACAGGAAGCCCACATCGACTCCTACACCGTGTAGCATGCTGCCAAAGGCGGCCATGAAAATCGTGAAGGCGATGACGCTGATCTGCTGCACCCTCAGAATCTCATCGGCAGTAGCTGAGCGCTTGAAGTACGTTTTGAAGATGTCGTAGCCCGAGATGGACGCGACTGCCATGAGCTGGGCCGAGATGGCCGATGTCGAGGACATGAACATCAGGAGGAGCACACCAGCCGATCCTCCCTTGCCCAGGATGGCCTGTGCAGCATAAGGAAGCACAAGTCCCGATGAGACCTGGTCCGCAGTCATCTTATTCGGATAGGTGGGGAAAGAAGGGGAGGTGGTCTCGAGAGCGAGAGCCACGAGGCCCGCAGTAGTCGCAAGACACCAAGGAATGGAGAACCAGGAGAGCGAGCCAAGAATGTAGCCTGGCACTGTCGCCGAGGGACTCGCTGCGATACCCTTCTGATGAAAAGAGGCATCCATGAATACCACGCCAGTATACTCGAGAAAAGACAGCCAGCCTAGCGGCGCGAGTAAAGGTGAGGATGTCAGCGGCTAGGGGGGCAGATATGAATAGCTGTTTCTTCACTCACCGAACTTGATGGCCCCCAGACTCTTCATTGTTGTCCAGCTACCCTCATAATTCGGACTCGGATTACTAGTCGCAGCTTGTTGGAGCAGATCGTACATCCTTCCAGGAGAGCCGACCTTATCGCTTGTGGCATAGGTGGTGAACCAGAATACAAAGAGGATAATGAAGATGACGATGGTGTGCAGATAATCGGCGAGGATGGTGGACCTCAGACCTCCAGTGAGGGTGTAAGCCATGACTACCGCTGGGAGCAGCCACAAGGCCGCATAAATGGACACTCCTGTTATGGAGTTGATGGCTGCAGCTGCTCCTACTGCTACTGAGCTCACCACCAAGATGTTGGTGGCTACAGCGAAGAAGAGCACAGTCAGATGACTCGCAGCCCCGTACCTGACATGGATCAGCTCGAGGTGAGTATGCAAAGTGGGTGCTTTGCGCTTCATCTGGATTGCAATGAGCGAGAAGAGGGTAATCTGCGACATGTTCCCCGCTCCGTAGATCAGAGCACCAGCAAGTCCATAATTGTACGCAGTCGATACCGAGGACAGCAGCGTTACCGACCAGCACCAAGCAGACACCGCTCCAGCCGCTGTCAGACCGGTGGACAGGCTGCGCGACGCTACAGCATACTCGCTTGCAGACTGAACGACGCCAGAGTATCTCCGAAGAGCTTGAGAGATGCCCACTACGGCGAGGGCAAAGAGGGCTCCGAGACCGATAATGACACCGTAGCCCGCTCCTTGACTGAGCGGGACCTGCACTGTGGGAGTAGCCGACATAGTCAGTCGAGTCGGGGAAGAGAAGTAGGAGGGGAGTCAGGAGGTGAGACAGCGAGGAAGGTCAAAGTGAAACGCTCTGGAGTCAGGTCGAAATATATGCAGACCCTTCCTGCCAAGATCAGGGCAGCGGTACGCCCGGCCCACGCCCCTTGCACCTCCTCCTTTTCCGGTCGTAGATTGCTATGTCGCAATCCTACGTCAACTGTCAACATTATTGCAAGATCTTGTCGAGGGTCAATAAATATCAGCGTCCGCGCTGGGCCGAAGCGGGCAAGGGGAGAGAAAATGCACGGCGCTTGATCCTATCGTCTAGTACAGCGCCATGTGCCTGTTGGGCAGCATGGCACCTCGGCTGGAGACGAGCGTAAGCTTCTTATCTCCCTCGGTGTCTGCAATCGTCGCTCTCGCTCGTGCTTGTGCTCGTGAATCTGCCAAAGTAGGCGGAAGAGAGTAGTCAATCTACAATGGCGCACGACGGCGACGGGACCAAAGACGTGATTTCTGCCGTAAAGCACGGACCTGCCTTTGCCATCGCTTCAGACTCCGACTCTACGCTTCAAACGAGGCGGCGTGTGGTACGCTTTTTGCCGTACTCACACGCCTACAGCACGCAGAGTGGGAATGTGGGGGATGCTGATCACGGCTCCGAGGTGTTACAGTTGATTGCAGCTGACTCTGACTAACACTGTTCTGAAGATCGCGCTCTGATCCACTTTGGCGGGCAGTATGGCCCTCTCTTTTGATTCAGCACTCGTACGGCTGCTCTGCTCTGACCCTTGCACCCTCATCGATGACTCGCGGGGAGCCTCTACTGCTCAGAGGAAGGAGCGTCGAGTCCTGCCTTCTTCAGAGCCTCCTCAGACGAGTAGTCGATCTCCTTGCGAGCGCGTCGAGGGCGGTTGCCGATGCCGTACGACTCAATGTTGCTAGGGTCCACCTCATCTGCCTCGATGGAGTCGTCCTGTTTGCAGCGCAGAAGAGGAGCGCGTATCAGCATGGTCTCATTTTAAGCATCATTCAGCAGGCTTAGAACATACTCACTTCCTCCCCAGACTCGTCATCTACCTCAAAGTCTTCATCGTCCTCCTCGTCATCGCTGTCTGCCCCTCCTTCAACTTCCTGACTCTCGTCCATTCGGTCCGGGTCGAACTCCTTGTCCTCCTCTTCTTCCTCGTCGTCGTCGGCAGAAGTGTCTGAGAAGGGAGGGGAGAGAGGAATTGTGTGGTCAGGGTCGGTTCCAGCTGACTCGTCCTGCCTCCACTGTCGAGGCCATTAATCTACTCACCCTGGGTGGCCTTGCCCTTGCCCTTGTTGGATGCGATCGGGGCAGCAGCACTGGCGTCTGTCGTCTCTACGGTGTCGGTTGAGGCCGAGACAGTTGGTTTGCTGTAGGTCAAGAGAGCAATGCAGGCAGGGGAGGACTCAGCGCTCGATCCTTCCGCACCGCGCATGGTGAGAGAGGAGGGCTAGGCAGCACTCACGTTGCTTCGTCAGACATGTTTAATGTTGGTCGTGGTCGTTATGGTGAAAAGAAGGTGTGCTGATTGAAGGAGATGCAACGAATGATGTACTGGTACGTTGGTCTTGCAAGGAGGAAGATGGTGAGCGAAGAGGTCGGGAGAGAGAGAGGAAAGAGAAGAACACCTTCCCCTTCAACCAACACTTGCGCGCGCGCGGCGAGTCGAAGGAGGTCACGCGTAAATTACAGTGGCAAACGCGCCTCGAGGACATGTCACTGCCCGAGACAAGTCGATGCCTGACAGCTCGAGACACGAGTACAGTCGGTCAATCCCTTGGTCATTGGAATGCGATTTCATCATTGCATTTATGCTGCTGTGCACTGCACCTCTATGATCCGCTGCGAAACACTGCCTTCTTGCCCCTTAGCTCAACAAAGCGGCTCATCAGCGCCAGTCTCACCGGCAGATCCTCCTCCAAGATCCTCGAGTCCGCCACATTCGCCAGCGAAAAGCGGAGCAGGTTCGCACACACGTCCCTAGCGACCGCCTTGCTCTCCTCGCTTTGGGCAGACTTGGTCTTTGCGACTTGATCAGGCATGAACCCATCAGCTGCTAGGATCCCCACGCCAAAGAGGGATGCGAGTGCCTCGGCTACCTGACTCGAGGAGAGGAGCTCCTCGCCCTGTGGCACGTCCCGGTTGAAGGGATGCCGGACAAAGGCGTAGTACCCACCCAGACTCTCAATCTCCCAGCCTAGCTCCGCTAGACTCTTTCCCGCAAGCGCACTACCCCCCAGCTCCCACTTTTCGAAGTCGCCCTCGGCAATGACCCGCTTCATGCCGCGCCGAAAGACTTCCCCTCGCCTCTTGAGCTCCCGTGCGACCTCTCTCCTGCCGCGTACCTCATCTTCGTCGAACATGCTCCAGGCTACAACGTTCTGCGTGTCCACTCGTGGTGGGACAATGAGAGTATTGTCGAGCGCCTTGGCTAGAGGTCCAAAGGTTGCGGGAGTAGTAGGTGATGGCGGTGGAGGGGAGAAGAGGGAGGGGTGAGAGATGATGGCTCCAAGGCGGTGGCCTGGGATGGCAAAGGACTTGGAGAAGGAGTAGAGGTGTATCACGGCTGAGAGAGGAGTTGTTGAGAAGCAAGTGAAGCTCGTCAGCTATTGGCGAGCTCCTGTGCCCATATCAAGGCTTACTCACTCTGTCTCCACTCCCACTCCTTATCGTCCCCTAGCCCATCTTTGAACAGCTCATGAGGCGCCTTGACACCCCCTTCCTCCTCATCGCTAATCAGAAATTCCCTATACGTCTCATCCAGCACCAAAGCGATCCCTTCCCTCTTGCAAATCTTCCCAAACTCGGCAATCAGCTGCGGTGGGTAGATGGAGCCGGTGGGATTGTTGGGTGTGACGAGGACGAGGGCCTTGATCTTGGGCAGGCTCTGCGAGGCGGAGTGCTCCTTGAGGAGCGATTCGAATGCGGTGGGAGACGGAAGGTACGCGGGAGGAGACGAAGGGAGAGGTACTGGCTCTACAGAGAGGGAGAGAAGCTGCATCGAGTGGTTGAAGTACTGAAGGTACGCATCGAGGGTTGCGGGTCAGCGAACTGCTCGCAGCCTAACTGCTTCTACTTCCGGCCCTAGTGACTCACAAATGGCGTGGGGATGACCACGGCCTCGTTTGCTCCCGGCTGGCATAGCATTCGGAACACAAATTCGCTCGCACTATTGCAGCCCGCAGTGACGCAGATGTCATGCTCTCCCACTGCTCCCCTTCCCTCCGCATCCTCCCCTCGGCGGTACACTTCGTTGATTTGCCTGGCGAGGTTCTGCCGTAGAGCAGGAGCGGCGAGGCTGTAGGAGTGATGCAGATCTTTGGCAGCTTCGTCTCTTAGACGAGAGCGGAAGGCGGCGGAGGGGAGCTGGCCAGGCACTCCTTGGGAGAGGTTGAGGAAGGGCGGGAGGGTGGAGGAGGCGCCCGTCCCTGCTGTGAAGGGACATTGGGGAGCTGGGTAGGACTTCTGCCAGGCTTGGGCAACGGATATGGGTGAGGCTGGTGTGTGTATCGCTAATGATGGCGCCAGGGAGAAGAGCGGCAGTCGAGAGGAAGACATGTTGCAGGTCGAGGTAGAGTACGAAGAAGGAGAGGCAGTCCTCGCACCCGATCGATACTGAGTCAATCTTCGTGATCCTGCATGGACCAGACTCTCCGCCCTTGCCTCCTCTGAAGCGGACAGAGACACGTGGTGCGACACGAGAGGTAGGCGGAGTATGAATTGCCCCGCCTCCACTGCACCGCAAACGTCAACACTGGATGGCTGCTGCGCTTCCCGCATTGATGGATGGGAGAGCTCAAATTGCCATCCACGCAGCCAGGCCACACCTTGACTCCTCTTTGCACCCATCCATACCAACACAGCTCACCTTTTGCCACCCGACGATAGCTTCGTCCTTCAATCCTTCCATTCCAACCAGCATCAGCTCACCACAATGGCATCCATCCAGCACTCTGTAGGCTCCCTCGTCTCCTCCTTCGAGCACCTCGTCTCCGGACTACTAGAATCCGTACTGGCCATCCTCCGCCACTTCTTCAACATCATCGCCGGTGTGCTCAAGGGTACATTGAACATCAGTGAAGACGTACTGGAGAGCGCCTGGAAGGTGGTGGAGTCGTCCGTAAGACTCGTCTTTGGTGAGTGGCACTGCTGCAAGAGGAAGGGGGAAGTGGATGCATTTCCCACGAAAGGACGCGTTGCGAGCTGCTAGAGGCGCAGAGCTGACTTGCCTTTGCTCTCTTCCTTCTCCTTCTATCAGCCAACTTCCTGCCCATCGTACTCCTCGTCCTGGGAGGCTTCGTTGGAATCATCGTCGCCAACCGCCAGACCAGCGCTGGACAAAAGACGGTCTCCTCTGCCAAGAAGGGTGGCAAGAAGAGGGCGTAGAGGTGTGACTGGTTCCTTCACCTTTGGCTACGGAGAATCGACAGTGGAGCTTTCCTTTTCAGGGGTTCTTCTGAATAGGCTAGGGACAGGAATGGGGTTGCAAGCCTTTCTCGAATGGAATATACCTGTAGGCGGACGTAGGCTTGGACGTTGAATATACTATGCATTCCAGACTTGTCAGACCAACGGAAGGCCCTGCGTGAGGTCTCTTCAAGTGTTTGCAGCAATTCTTCCTTGGCTTGTCACAGCACTAGCAATTGGCTCGAGTGGCTTCTGTTACAATATCTCCTCAGACCCCTCTCCACTTTCAAAGACAGGCGGCAGCTCCCAGAAGTCCTCCGACCGGATGTCTGGCCGCACAGTTGCCTTTTCTTCCTCCCTCGCAGATCCATTGCGTTGAGGCCGCCGCTTCTTCTTCTTTCTCGCGACTTGAACAGTAAAGGCGGCTTCTTCCGACGTATCGTCCGCACAGGGTATCTGACCTTGAGCTTCCGTGGAAGGCAAAGTATGTGATGCGTGCGTGCCCACTGAGATCGGATTGGAGAGCTGCAGTCTTGATAGGCTCTCAGCGAGCTCGTTGTTGTTGTTGCTGTCCCGAGTATTGGAAGCAGCAGCGGCCTTGGTCGTCTGCTCGATCTCCTCGTCAGGATCGCGAACGTACTCAAAGACCAGATCGTTGAGTGCCTCTGCATATGGCGGGGACAGCGAGGGCAACGGGTGAGTCTTGAGGTGTGGGACTGCAGGATATGGAAAAGAAGAAAGCAGTGTAAGCGGTCCCTCCGGATATGGACGTGTACGACCCGCAATGACTGTGCTCAGGGCACTTACTGATGCGGTACAAGCATGGCGACTCGCGATTGAGCTTCTCGTCTGTCAAGCTGTGGTTTGAGAGGTATGAGTGAGCTTCACGTCCGATGTGCATACGCCTTCTTGGTCTAATCGCCCACTTACAACTCAGCATATCTTCCCACCCTGTTCCAGCAGAACGAGACCCGGTGTTTTAGCAGAGCTTCCCTGCTCCAGAAAGCCCGAAGATATCGTTCCGAGAGAGGCCTCGGGCAGTGGGGCATATACATGAGGCTGTACTCTTCTTGGAAAGCAGTCGTTGCCGATCCTCCGCTGGAAGGTGGGAACGTTGCCTCATAGCAGGCTTGAGCGGATGCTTCTTCGCGGGTCAGAGGTGTCACGCCCAATGAAGTGAGCACCGCTCTATCTATGTCGCTGAAGATTGGGTCGAAGGCCATGAGCGCTGGTCGGAGCGAAGGCTGGAAAGACTTCTCCGAATCCACTTTGCCATTCTGAGACGATGCAGAAGAGGAGCCTTGGCCGCTAGTGCCGGACGGCAACTTGCTTTTCTGCTCCTCCTCTGCTATACGCGCGATGTGATCTGCCATCTCAAGCAACAGGGCCACCTGTGCTTGGGCAGATCGACTCTGACTGATTTCTCCGATACCAAGAGCATACATGCGGGTCGGTAATCTGGAGGATGAAGGTTGTTTCCTGCTATGATCCCATCGTAGTGAAGAGAAGTAGGAGGAGAGGCAGCCTGTACCAGGAGACGTGGAAGTGTAGTATGTGAGCTGTACTGTCCATTTGATGCATAAGTTGGCATCAACTGACTTTGTATATGATCGCCATGCTTTCCATCTGCTAGCAGCTCTGTCTTCTTTCGCTCTATCGAGTCTCGTAGCTCCGAGACCAAAGCTTGAGGATCATCTCGAGGTGCGCCTCGTTGTAGCTGGACGTGTGCGCCGCTGTCTGCTCTCGTTGATGGCTCCTTCTGCCTGAGTTTGCCTCTGCCCTTGGACGCTACACCATTGTACTTGAATCCATCGCCAGTATCCTTGACCTGGCTCGATGCATCTGTCGTCGCCATACCAGTCGCTCACACGACGATGGTTGGTCGGAAGAAAGGCAAGGAGCAGCCGCCCCACTTTTGCAGCGCAGCCGAGTCGTGCGTGCATGGATCAGCCTCGCCATACGCGGACAGACATTCAACATTCATTCCCTTTGCCTTGTTCCTTCTTGACCTCTTCCTCCCTACCACCTCCCACTGTGGGAGCCGATATAGCTGAGCATCGTCAGCGCTCCTCCACGATGGCCTCGTCTCCGTCTGCATCAAGGCGGCAGCGCCATCGTGCCTCTACCAGCCAAGGCAGCAGCGTACAAGGCCGGCATGCTCGCTCCTCTGTCGTCCTCTCCACCTCGTCCTTCTCCAGCAACAATAATAACCACAATGGCCTTTCAGCTTCGACGTTTCCCATCTCCTCGTCATCGATGCAGCAAGTCTCAAACCCCCTCCTACAGCCAGACGTCACACCGTCGTCCCTACTGACTCAGTACACTCCGCAACAGCTCACAGCTCACCTCGATGCTCTACGAGAGGACCTCAAGGGATATGAAGTCGAGATGAAGCGCTTGATCAATTCGCGCTATGGTGATATTCTCAGTGTGGGTGGCACCATCAGCGCAATGAAGGGGTCTTCGATACACCTGCACGAGAAGCTCTTGCAGGTGGGACAAGGGCTGAAGACACCTTCGGAGAAATCAGATGGCCAGCTCGATGCCGGGAAGGCAATCTCAACATCGGCTGATGAGGAGGAAGAGCGGGTGAGAAACCTAGCTGCTCTCCTTACCATACAGCAAGAGGCGCCTGAAGAGATCTGGACTACATTGGACGCTGTATCGACCTCATTGAACCAGCTTCCCTCGTCCCCATCCAGTCTGGAGAGTCTAGCCACGCTACTCAAGTGTGCCAGATCCCTCTCGAGTGCCATTAGCCTGTACGATGCTACTCGGCTCGCAGGGTGGGAGATCGACGGCATGGAGGAGCATGAACGCATACAGAAGCTCTTCCCTCATCCTCTCGAGACTCGCAGCACCACTCTCTCGGCCATCAAGGGCGAGATGCGTCTTGCGCTCGAGCAGATCGTTGAAGTCGCTACTGTTGGATATGCAAAGCACGACGGTACGCCAGCTGCTCAGGAAGCCCTCTTCCGGACCACTTCACTTGCACTCCTAGGTCTAGTCAGGCTCAACATACTTCAGCCAAGTGCAGTTGGGGAGTGGTACCTCGCTAAGAGAAGAGCAAGACTAGAGGAGACAATCAAGTCGACATATCAGTCCTCACACGAGAGTACAGGTGAGGGACAGAGAGCGCTTGTAAGAGTCATGAAAGAGCTGGCAGAGACAATCGCTGTCCACTCCAGGCTGCTCGGACCTCAGCAGGGGAGTTCCATGACCCTTCTACCGTCACTACTTCGTCGCATGATGTCGAGTGACGTAGCAGAAGATGAATCTTCCTCAAGCACTTCGCAAACAGCAGATCACGCAGCTCTCCTCCCCCCGAGCCCACTGGCCTCACTCTCTGCTCTGTCGAGCTCCTCGCATGCACTAGCCACTCTCGATGCGAACAGCAGTCTCAGAGACTGGACGCCCTTCTTCGAGCTAGGTGACAGTGCCCAGAGCAGCAAGTCGCAGAATGGTCAGCTGTCGGCATGGGTGGACAGTATACTTGCCGATGATCTGAAAGCGGACGGCGGTACCTGGGCAGTACAGCTCGTGCTGGAGCAGCCTGCTCTCGGTACATTGACGGCGATCAGCAAGGCACGGCGCAGACTTGGTCGGCAAATTACTGCTCACCAGCCCAGCGATGGGGAGAGAGATAGATTGACAAGGGCAGTGCATGACCATCTAGAAGAACTCCTCTACGGACGAGCAGTCAGCCTTGCGACTGAGGAGGTCGCGCGCTGGAGGAGTGGAGTGGTGAGAGAGCTCAAGCTGCTGACGGAGGCTCAGAGAAGCAAGAATGGAGACAGGGCGCTGTACGAGAATCTCTTCTTCCTCCCTCCTTCCTCGTCAGACCCAACCCCATCCCGGCTTGGATCCAAATTCTCCCTCATCCGGCCAACAGCGGCCCTCGCTCCCTTCTCATCTGCGCTGCAGGAGCAATGGGACGAGTATCAAGAGCTCAAAGAGACGTACTTCGACTATTGCTTCCAGGACGAAGAAGCCGAGACCGCCCAAGAGGCACAAGAGAGGGCTGTATGGGGAAGAGTGGAGCGCGAGGGGTGGACAAGACTCTTTGGAGAGGTAGAAGAGGTCGTTGCCAACTTTACGCGCGCCTCTCATCCTCGTAGCCAGGACGCTACTGAAGCAGAATCAGGGCAGGCTGTAGCTGTTCGGCTTTTCTCACAAGCCCTGCTGCAGCTCGGTCGTCTTCCCCTTTCCGAGCTGTCCTCACCCTTTGAGACGACAGAAGAGGATCGCAAGCAGTACACCTCCCTCGTGCACCGTCTACACCTCTCGCGTGACGCTCTGCTCAACGCCAGCTGGAAATTGCATGTTGTAGCTCATGCAGGAGGGCTCTTGCTGCGCTCCGAAGAGGATAGCGCTCCTGGCAGGGAGGACACAATGCTCCGCGCCTCTGCGAGGCTACTGCGAGCGCTGTACTACCTGGATGTTGAGGCAGGGAAGATCCTTCTTCCTTCTCTCTCCTTTACCTCCCAGATAGCAGGAGCGGACCAGCCACCATCAACAAGTCCAGCAGTGGGCTCCAAGCCTGACCTCCTCTCCTCGCTCCTCGTCTGGCTGAAATCACAGCTCGAAGCTGACGACTCTCTCCGCAGCAGGCTTGAGAGGAGGGACGTGGAGATCCTTTGCGCTCTGCTGAGTAGTGCGATGACGGATGAGGGCAGCGCTAGCGGCACCGCTAGTGGTATCAGAGAAGCGCTCCTCGCGGCTGACTCTGTTCGCTCGCTGCTGGGGCAGGATGGAGCTTCGGTGCCTCCACCCCAGCAAGACAGCAGCGGTCAAGCCGAGCTCCTCGAGTCTCTCTCCCCATACGCCCTCCTCTTTGGCCGAATGCGGGGCGTTGCGCTCCCGGCTCTTACTGCGGGGAAGCAGCAAGAGCAGCAGGTCTTTACCAGTGCCCCTTCGCCTCCCCCTCCGTTGTTTGAGATTGCACCGGTGAAGGCGCGCATCAGGGGTGTAGAGGTGAGGTGAGGTGAAGTGAGGCAGAATTGAGAAGTGAGAGGCGGACATAGAGGCGGCGAACGCAGAGGCGGAAGGCAAAGCAACCTTCAAGGAGAAACAGAGCGTCATGGTTTTTAATCTTCGATTGATTCTTGCTACTAGCTAACTGCATCTACAAGCTCTCTCGCTCACTCCTTCGCTCCCCCATGTCATCAATGGATTAGAATCCACGTCTTTGTACAGAATGTATACTCTTAATTCCTACTAGACTACTACTGCTCATCCGCTACTAGTCTACCGCTACGATTTCTTCCTCTGAGCGGAGCGTATCCATGCGTCACATCACGAGAAGAAAGGCGAAGCGCCCCCTGGCCCCGCTCCACCTCCGCCTCCCGCAATAGCCTGTCGTCCTCTCTGACCTTCCTCTCCTCTCCCTCCTTCTCCCTCTTCCTCCTTTTCACCCTCCCCGTCACGGTAGCGGTAGCGGTAGCGCTCGCGCTGTACCTCCCTCAGTACACCTTTGACGACGGCGAGGTAGCAAAAGACGTACTGTCTCTGCGTCTGTACAGAGCTCATACGCTGCTCGCGCGCCACGTGCGTCGCATGTCGGATGAGGTCCTTTTCGCCTATGGAGGCCATTGAAGCTGAAGCAGTAGCCGAAGCCGAAGGCGTCTCTGAGGCTGAAGGAGGGGAAGTAGGCGCTGTTGCAGAGGAGGAACTGTGTGGCGTGTTGCTGGTGGTGGTTATGGTCGCCGGAGGGCTGGTGCAGAGGGGCGCACCCATGCCCATCTTACTGGCGCCGTCCGTACCAGAGTCCATACCGAAACTACCTCGTGTGCTGCTGGACTTGGGTGCAGGTCCGGGTGGGTTGGGAGAGGAGCGCGCTTCAGATGCCGAGGAATGCGTCGTACGGGCAATACTGAAGCGTCGTGGTTCCTGTGGCGTTGTGCTGCTCTGTGCTTGCTGCTGCTGCTGCTGGGACTGTTGCGTTTGGCTGGTGGCAGCGCCGAATGGCAGGGAAAGCTTGAAGCTCGAAGGTGTCGGTGCTGGAGTCGATGCAGCTCCACTACTAGCACCACCGCTCCCGCTGCCCCCACCGCTGCCGCCGCTACCAAAGGTAAACGGCGAGGTGGGTGTACTGATGTGTGAGGAGCGACTGGAGGAGGAGAAGCCGAGGTTCATCCCGTCCATGGCTCTCGAAGGCGTATCCATACCCTCTGCGTGGCGAGTAGTCGATGCGGGGCCACCCTCTTCGGCACTGATGCTTCCAAGGCGCGACTGATGGCTAAAGCTGCCTCGTGCACTGGCACTACCGCTCGAGGCCATCGACATGGCTTGCGGCAGCGGAGATTCCCGATCCTCCAGAGAGGATGGCCGGTCGATATCTGCATCCGTCGTGATGACGCTGGCATCATCAGAGGTATCGGACCTCTGTCGACGTAGACCTCTCGCTCTGGCTTCGCGACGCAAAGAGCCAGCAGCACGAGAGAAGGAGAAGCCACTCTGTTGTCCAGAGTGAGCGCCACTGGGACTCCACATCGCAGAGGGAGTAGAATCTTGAGGTGCTGACTCATTCGTAGAGGGTTCGTCCAGATCCATGTCTGCAGAAGGCGAAAGTCCCCTCTTGAGCTTGCTGCGAATCGAACCACCTCGTTGCAGATTCGACGAGCTCGATTTCGGCGACAGCATGCCATCCTCGGGGCGACGCGGAAAGCCAAGCGCTCCGTGTTTCGCATCGCCGGGAGGTGAAGCGAGCGAAGTTGCTGACGTGGAGGCGGAACTTCGCTCGGGACCGCCTGCGAAGAAAGGTGAACTCTTGGACTTGAAGGGAGATTGCAGCGTGTTGAAGTCGAACGTGGCTGACGACTTGCCGGCGGGCGTCATGTCAACGTCGTCTGCCTCGCTGGAGTCATAAGACGTCCCATTGTCCCACAGAGCGAGGGGAGGCAGACCCATAGACTTTCTCCTCTCTTTTCGCAATACGTCCAGGACGGAGTCGATGACGACGTAGGTACCTGTTCGGCCCACGCCTGCAGAGCAGTGCAGGACCAACGGGCCGGTGGCGCTGGTCTTGTTGTCTCTGTGCTTGCCCTGCTCTACATCAGCGCTGCTCGCGAGAGCCAGATGGGCTTCATTCTGAGCCTGATTCACCAGGTCCATGAAGACCAAGACGGCTTCTGGATCCTCTGGGATCGAATAGTCTGGCCAGCCAATGTACTGCAAGTGCGTTACCTCCTTGGGTGCTTCGTCTGAGTCAACAATGGAGAGGAGCAGCTTTCGTCGCACCATGACAGGTTCGTTGGGATCCTTCTCCTCGGCGCTAGTTGAGGAGAAAAAGAAGCCTCCAGCAGCTCCATCATCCTGCTTCTCCCTCTTTCTGCTCGACGTGCACGTCTCGCCCTTGCTGTTCAGCTCCACCTCCTCAATCGTCTTCAGCTTCACCGTCGTACCATACGATTCTTCGCTCCAGTAGTTGTGACTCTGCACTCGTCCACTCTCATACTCCCGAGTGAGCATAGCAATCGTGCGAGAGTTTTGCTGCCATACTGCATTCCAGAACGTCTCGAACGTCGTTGGCAGTGGCGCCTGGGTGGCGATGTAGCTCCTGTGAGCTCCGAACTCCCTCAATGGCTGAACATATGAACCATTGAGATAGGACGACACCGAACACCCAGACTTGTCCTCGCCACAGGCACCTTGGGCCGATACCGGCACACGGGAGTGCTCGTATGTCCAAATGTTATTGTACCTGTTCTCGCTTCCTCGCTCGATCGCTGCTGCAATGGAGAAGGGGAAGGATGACGCTGAGGGCGAGCTAGTCGAGTCGACACCTTCCACTCTGGAGTAAGCAGACGACAGCTGAGTAGCTGACGTCCCATCTGCTGCCGAAGTGGAAGTTTCCTCCGTCGTTGAGATCTCGCCACCGGCAGTGCCAGGTCTTTCATTCTGACGTGGATCCATGCTGCTCTCGGCAGCGTGCTGCCGCATAGTTGCCATCAACCTCGTCTGCTCAGCCTTTTCAATGTCGAAGAAGTCGTGAGCGAGCTGATCAGCCACCGTCTTTTCATCCTTGAACGCAATTTCTTGCAAGAATGGCGGCAAGCTGTTCTGCTTCTGCGACTCGGTGAGGAATTGCAGATCAAGTGGGATCTTCTCAGTGATACCATGCTGCAGCTCGCGGTTCTGTCGGATGTTGTCAAAGAAGGGATTGCATGCGGCAGAGGATCTGGCCCCCGCAGCAGACTTGCCGTTCAGATTGAACAAGTTGGAGTCGCTAGCGGACAGGAGCATCGACTGGTGACGACGTCTGCTGGGAGCGCCCGATGTAGTGGTCCGATCTGTGAAAGCGTCCATGGGCAGCGCGCCGAATTGAGCTTGTGATCGACCGCCACCTCCGAGGTTGGGCGGCTCCTGTGAGGACGGCGACCAATTGTCGGGGACGCTGGCATGTCTTTGCGACGCAATGTCGGACAGCCTCAGTCGGCCGACAGGAGCCTTCTTTGCCGCCTTGGTCGGCGAAAGAGGCACAGACACTGCGTCCATTTCTCCAGCATGGGCACCTTGAGTGATCTCTTCTCGGACACCTTCGTCGAGCAACTTCTTCTTGTTGTCCGGATCATGCTGGCCCGCGAATGACGAGAACTCAGCATATCCTCCAATAAGCCAAAAGAGCTCCCCAGCAAACCCAGCAGCGTCGAATTTCTTTAGCATGCCTAGCAGGCAGGGACCTCCACCGCCGACCGAGGGTCGACCCAGAGCGTCAATGGTGCTAGTATCAGAGTCGAGCACAACGATGCGCTTGATGCCATCGGATGCGCCCGAGGATGAAGTACGCTGATCTCTCCCACCATCGTTGCCCCCTTTCATCGGACCTTTCCTCCACCGCGTGAACTTTGCCCGATCTGCATCGCTTTGCAGCATCTCGCTCTCGATTCGGTCGACGGTCACGCCTGGGCGCCTCAGCAGTGTCGAAGGGGCACAGACGTTGACGCTACCTGCGATGCGACTGCTCGCAAAGGCCGTCGAGGGACGTATATCGAGGATGAGGAGAGCAGATGCTTGCTCTTCACTATCGGAACCGTCTTCGCCACTCATCATTTCCGAAAGGGAAGAGGCATCTGTAGACTTGTACTTGGACATGTCCTCGCTTTGTGACAGCTTCGGGCCCTTGACTGCCACAGGCCAAGATGCTGCAGATGGGCCTAGGTGGGCTGCTTTGAACCTAGCAGGCGAAGCTGAGGCCGGCTTTGAGAAGCTAGCCGCATCAGAGAGGGGCGACTCTGCGAGCGAAGATGGATTCGTGGTATAGGAGGTTGACATAGACCCGCGACCTTCTTGGGAAGCAGCGGAGCTGTTGCTCAGCAGAGACGGCTTCCGAGACCGCACACTGTTCTGCGAGTCGCGGCGCTGAGGTTGAGGTGCAGGGATCTTCTGGCCAAAAGGGTATGATGCGCCAGAAGGGCCGCCACTGTTGTGAGCGCTTGGTGTAGGTGGGACGGCCTCACCGGCGCTTGCCCCTCCGCCACCAAACATCTTGGCCCAGGGATGATCCTGGCCATGGCTACTCGGGCCAGGTGTGGGTGGAATGACTGTGTGGCCACCACCAAAGCTGCCAGCGCCAGGCTTGCTACTTGGGAAGGAGAGCTGCATTGGCGTACGTGCGCTGTGTGGCGTGGGCTTAGCAAAATAGTCCGGAGCAGAGGATTGTGGCGGTAATGGGTGCGCTGATGAAGAGGAAGATGATGCTGTGGACGATGAGGATGCTGATGCCGAAGCAGTGGATGATGATGACGTACTTCCAAAGTCGGAAGAGAAGGGATCTGATTGCTGTTGCTGTTGCTGTTGGGAATTGCTTCCGCTGTGTCCCCAATCAAATGCCCCTTTGCTCATTTCGCCCATCTGCAAGGAAGATGACCGAGGTGTGACTGTACCTGAGCTCGGGGTACCGACGGTCCTCTCGGGGCGGTGCTGAGCCGTATTGTCTACCTGTGATGTATGCAGAGGTGGCATTCGCATCGTCAGGAGACGACGATGACCGAGATGGATACCTTGACCGATGCTATTCGAGGACGAATATAAGTGCGGCGAGGGTGTGTGGAGGGGGGGGATGGGATCTGCTGTTCACACAAGTGCAAACATTCCTCTAGTGAGCAGTGATGGTATAGAGTGGGGGACTAGAAGGAAACCGGCCGTATATCCTACAAGCTTGAAGTGGACTTGAAGCGTGTGGCGTGGCCTTGGGTAGTTTGGCAACGAAAGATTGGGGGAGGAATTGGTGGATAGTCCAAGTGGCGAGACAAGAGGGCAAGAGTGGGCGTTTTGGTCGAAGAGGCCCTTGCTTGTTTTACCGCCACAAGATCTAACGTGCGAGAGTGTAAAATGTAAATGTCCCGGTAATATGCCGATGGATGTTCCGATCACAGGGGAGAGGGGGGGGCCGTTACGATTCGGACAGCTAAGTGATGAGATGGAGAGACTGAAGGCAGTCGTTTCCCAATATGAAAGATGATGTTTGAAGTATGGGTCGGGGAGAATGGAAAAGAAAGAACTTTGCTGCTCTTGGCAGAGACCGGGGAAGGGCAGCGAGGGGCCAAGGCAGACGATGGCGAGTCCAATTCTGGAGGGGCAAGTGGAGGAAGCCAGGCAAGTGTCGACTATTCTCCCATGCAACCCTGTCTGTGGTCGCTTGTGACAGAGTGTACCTCGGGAACGATCAAATTGGGCAGAGTGGATGAAGGAGCAGTGATGTAGAGGCTCAAGGGCAGATGTGTGCCTGCCTGCCTACAATTGAAGTGTCTGTCGTTGATTGCCCGCCCCGCGTGCTGGGTGGTGGTGCTGCTTGTTTGCTGCAATTGGCCGCGCCTCCACAGCTCTATGAAATTTGGTACGCTCACGGCGGGAGGGCCGAAGTCTAAGGAGAAGCTCAATGACAGCTCGCCTGATGGGCCTTACGACTGAGGGGGCTCGTAGCTTGCTGCCTGGGCTGCTGCTGCTGCTGCTGTCTCGGAAGTTCGCTTGCGCCTAGGAGAAGGATGCGAAGGATGCTTTTGCGAGCTTCCGCTGCTGCTTGGAAAGGATCGAGTGGGCTGCAGTAGAAAGGCTGGCAGAAGCACTAGAGCGACAGTCGATGACGAATGGGAGTCCTAGCAGTGGCAAAGGGGCAGACAGACTGTCACCACTGTCCACAGCAGTCTAGAACAGACAGTCACCAGAGCCAAGGCGCCGCTGATCATGCGGACAGTGGGAAAAGCAAGCCGACTAAGTTTAGAGCACAGCGCCCGCGCACACGACACTGACGTCACAAACACCTGCACCCCGCCCTGCCCATCTCTGCAGAGACGCCGAGGGCAGACGCGAGCATGGCAGGGCTGAGCAGCAGCTACCACTGGCTGGGCAAAGGAAGGCGAAGACAGAAGCGAGCAGACCACGACGATCATGGTAATGGAAGACTTGTCTAGTTCCCAGCCTGCAGTAGACGACACTTACCATGAATGGGGTGTGTAGAGAACAGTCACAGAGGCACTCCAACCAGGTCACGTCTTTTCCACACACGCGCATCTTTACCGTGGCTTGCTGGGCAAGAAAAAGCAAGCAGCTTTGGGCACGATTTGACATCGGGGGATTTCCTTTGACGGCGCCGTCGGAAGCATTCGCGTCAGGCCACTTGGTAGAAGAGAGACTGGAGACATGACTTGGGGGATGCGAGTGTGCAATATGGTTGATTTCGATACGTGACAATGCCAGGCTGCTGCTTGCTCTCTACACTCCCAGCCCCTCTCCAGTGTGCTACCACCCCCTCCTCAACCACACGCCTCTGCTCTCCCTACCTCACCTCTACGTGCATGAGTGACATCTACAATCGACCTTTGTCGGCAGCTTTGACCAAGTGCCCTGCCAGGGCAAGCCGAGGTACCGTCCCTTGCTCCTGCAGAGGTCCGTGTACCAAAGTGCGCCGTCTGACTACCAGTCTGGGAACAAGTGGGCAAAGTGATCCGGCACATCCGTGACTCCATACGAGCTATAGTCGGCCTCCTCATATCGCTCAAATTGGCTTGCATCGCCATCTGTAGTGACCGTGGGAAGATAAGGGGCAGGGATCTCCCTCCTGTAAAGTCTGTCCCAGTCCACTTCAGCGAACCAGAGGTGTCCAAAGATGTCCTTGCTGCCCCTGTGCAGGTTGCCGAACCGTTTTGTCAGGTCCGCCGTCAGGAGATTCTTGAGCAGGTCCTTGGCAGCAGGCTCAAAGTAGGGCGGGTAGCGGACCTTGCAGGCGATAATCTTCTCGTATAGCTTGATCGGATTGCCGTCCTCTGTGAAAAAGGGCGGGTGTCCTGCCAGCATTTCAAAGAGGAGCACGCCGAGCGCCCACCAGTCGACGGACTTGTTGTAACCCTTTGACGAGACAATCTCCGGCGCGAGGTAGTCTGGCGTACCACACAATGTCCAAGTCACGTCCGGCACCCACTTGGCAAAGCCAAAGTCGGTAATCTTCAGGTGACCGTCAGCTCCCAGCAGCACATTTTCCGGCTTCAAGTCTCGGTACACGAAGCCGTTTTGATGCAGGTAGTCGATGGCCAATGCTACCTCTGCTGCGTAGAACTTGGCTACCGGATGGGGGAAACGCTGCGACTTTCTCAGCAGTGTGAAGAGCTCTCCTCCTGGCACAAAGTCCATGACCATGTACAGATTTGTCGAGTCGGAGAATGTACCCCACAAGTTGACCAGAAAGGGATGGCGCACGAGCGAGAGCACGGATCGTTCCGAATTGGTGTGCTCGATCTGCTTCATGCGGACTACCTGCTCCTTCTTGAGCACCTGTGAACACGGGAATCCAGTAGAGGCAAAGGTGAGTATCACGAGCCGCCTATGCAATGGCTGAGAAATCCCGAGTCCCATCCTGACGCTAGCTGTACGCGGTCTGACTCACCTTGATCGCGTAGAATCTCATGTTGTGCTTACTCCTCACCAGATGCACCCTTCCAAAGCTTCCCGTTCCCAATGTACGCTGGATGTTAAAGTCATTGAGCGCGTACCTTCCCGAGAGCTTTCGACCGGTCTGTGCCAATTGTGCTTGCTGCTGAAGGAGAGTCTGTGCAGCCGTCTGTGGATCTTCGACAGCAGAGGAAGAGGCGGCTACGGGTGTCGATGGGATGGCAGTAGCACCCGTTTGAGGAGGGGAGAGGGCGCTGCTACCGCCCATTGCGCCTTGGTTACTGGTAGCCATGGCAGAGGAGAGAGCAGACGGGTAGGGCGATGGTGAGAAGGGGAAGTCTTGAGGGTTGGACTGCATCTTGAAAGGTTCCGTTCGTGCAAGGGGATGCCACGGAGTGATTTGGTGCCGACGGGTCCGGAAGTCGGAGAGGCAAACAGGGGAGGCAGTGAGGGCAGAGGTGGTGAGCGGGAGCTGGGGGATGGGCTGGAGGATGGGCTGAGGTTTGGAGTAGATTGGACAGAAGCGGCGGGGGTTCGGAGGAGGAGAAGAGGGACAGACAGACGGCCTGACAGAGAGGAACCCGCAAGCCGACGCCGATCTTGAAGCTGAGGAGGCGTGGGAGGAAGCGGGGCAGGGGACACCCGGCTGAAGCTACCGAGGCTGCGAGGATGCGGGAGGCTGGCTGGCGCAGGGCCAATGTGATCGGAAGCTGAATCTGGGGCGCGGGAAGCCAAGGGAGCTTCAGCCAACAGCCAGTGCAAGCCAAGCGATTCCTGCGTGCGTGCAATGAATGCGATCGAGGCAACACCCACCTGCAAAGAGGACGGCAGCAGCAGAGGGCCCAGACGCCAAATCACCTACAGGACGCGTCTAACCAACGCCGAGGGTCTAGATCTTCCTCCTCCTGACAGGATACTCCAACTCAAAGCCCGTCGTGCGGCAATGGGGGATAAGCTTGCAGCAGCAGCAGCAGCAGTAGAGCAGCAATAGATGCTCTTCGGTCCGACGGATCGGGACCTCTTCGGCGAAATGATTGGCACGGACAGCAGCTGTCGATGAATTCGGAATAATCGCGGGTGAGCTTCTAGGGACGCTAGTGTCCTCTCTAGCCCTGATGCTCGTCGGAGGCTCGCACGCCTGACAAGCTTGCGGGTGGGAGAAGTATACGCTGCAGCACTCGTGAGAGAGTCGCAAGCAGCCTGCCGTAGTGGATATCTTGTATGAAGAATATATGCGGACTTGTCCCTTGGCTAGTCGAGGTAAGGGGAGACCAAGCGTGTTCTGTTCGTTGGGTAGTATGATGGGTAGAGTAGAGTAAGAGGTGGGAATGGTGCTGGTCAGCAGAGGTGACCACACCGACCGACTCAGAGCAAGGGTGCCCTCACTCCTGGTAGCAAAGTACGCCCAGGGCATGCTACCACCGCCTCGGACCCGAAGACTCTAGAGCAAACAGGCAGAGACGCCTCCTTCCTTGTCCCGCGGGTAAACCTCTTCACCGTCGGAAGGTTCGGAACGGGACGCCCCTCGTTTCCGGGTGGAGTAAGGAGTAAGCGACGCAGGGACCCGGTTCCGTACAAGGCCAAGACAATACGTTTCTTCCGGCTGCTGCTCAGCCAGTGTGTCTGCCCTTTCCGCAAGGGCTCATCCATACCACGCCCATCATCCACCATCACGACGCAAGGCTGCCAGTCTAGACAAGAGCCACCAGGGACCAGCACAGTTCTACGCAGAAGTGGATCTCCTAAGGTCAGCCACAGGCGTAGATTCTGACACTTTGCTCAGCCGGGGCGGTCCCATTGCCTTTGCGCTAGCATCGGTGGTGGTACTCACCCTCCCATCGACCCTACGCAAGGAGCAGTGTCAGGTCAATGACCTCTACCGCTGCCCCTGCAGCCTCCTCCTCCGAATCTCCCTCGGCTCCCACACCTCCGCCATCTGCCACCCTGCTGTCAGGCGCCCTCTCCGGGCTAGCCTCCTGCGTCCTTCTCCAGCCCCTCGACTTGCTCAAGACTCGTCTGCAGCAAGCCAATACCCCCAGCGCACGCATAGGTGGCAAGACGAAGCGACTGCTCCGGACCGTGGATGATGTTGTGAAAAAGGACGGAGTGGTGGGACTTTGGAGGGGGACACTGCCAACTGTGCTGAGGTGAGTGGTGCTGGACGATGGGAGAACGAAGGAAGAGGGATGGGATGTTCTCACTCTCTCTGACCTGGCTGCTCACTTCGCCCGTCCACTCAAAGAAACGTCCCTGGAGTCGCCCTTTACTTCTACTCGGTAACAGAAGCTCGGCGTGCCCTCTCTCTCAAACCAATCCCCTACCTCTCCTCTCCCTCCTCTTCTTCTGGCTCCAACCCCTCACGCACATTAGCCACCCCAACTCTAGCAGGCAATCTCCTCTCCGGTGCAACCTCGCGCGTCTTTGTCGGCTTTCTCCTCTGTCCCATCACAGTCATCAAGACGCGCTTTGAGTCTTCGAACTTTACAGCAGCACAAAATGCCACTCTTCTAGTCTCTTTACGATCCATTTGGGCAGAGGCGGGAGTCAAAGGATTGTTTAGAGGATTTTGGGCAACGGCATTGAGAGATGCTCCTTATGCTGGATTATATCTGGGATTTTATGAAGAGGGAAAGACACTACTGAGGAGGATAGATGGTCTGGGAGGTGGAGAGGGCGAAGAATGGAAGGCGAGGATGGGGAGTGGTGAGTCTACGACTTGAGAGTAGAATAAGCGCAGTTCCCTATCCGATTGCTGACCTTTGATTCCTCCTCCTCCCTCCTCCCTTTCAGGCCTAATAGCCGGCACTCTCGCCACCCTCCTCACCCACCCCTTTGACATAATCAAGACCCGCCTTCAATCCTCTCCCCACCCTCTTCCTCTTCCCACACCCTCTACCCTCCTGAGCAATTCCTCCACTCTCCTCTCCCCATCTCCTCAAGCAAGAGTTTCTATCCTCTCCACTCTCCGTTCCATCCTATCAGAAGGAGGCTCCTCTTCCCTCTTTCTAGATGGACTAGGATTGCGTTGTGCACGAAAAGCGGCTAGCTCGGCAATTGGGTGGGGAATCTTTGAAGCTGGGAGGGATCTTTGGGTACAGAGGGAATTGGGGAGGAGGGAGAGGGAGACCGAGAGGGGGACGAGAATGGAGAGGTAGATGCTGGTCACGCGAAACAATTAAATTCAACCACTCCAAAGCTATTCAGCAAACAAGGCAGAGTTGACGAGAGTGAAAAGCAGTCTGATATTGGTGGAGAGACAAAGACGGGGACAAGAGTACCCAACGAGGGCGTGGCGGCGCAGCGAAGTCTTGATGCAAACAGGCGCAGGGCGTTCCCTTCCGCCAAGGGCAGCCCACCCATGGCTTCCTTGCACTCGCTACGCTCACAGCACCCTTAGTTGGTCTGAGCACCCACGGCCAGCCTCTTCAGGTGCTCCAAGAACACCTGCAGCGACACATCGTCGGTGAAGATGGCCGCTCCTCCCGCTCCCTGTCCATTGCCATAGATTCCTCCACTCATGTGCGTAGTCGAAGGGTTGAGCTTGCTGAGCAGGAAGCGAGCCTGAGACCCACCCTGGTCACAGACGATGTATCGCGGAATGGGGAAACGGTCCGCTAGCAGCTCGGCCGCGTCGGCCTTTGGATTCTCTAGACACTCCTTGAAGTTCTCGTAGCCTTCTTGATCCTGGTAACCTGCATTGCGCCACTCCTTGATCGTCGTACCGTGGAAGATCAAGACGTGGAAGAAGGTGTCCAAGAGCAAGACTACGTCGGGCCTGATGGACACCGAGTCCAACAAGACGGGCTGAGGCGCTGACTCTAGACCATACGACATCAGAGTTGGCTGAATCATAATCAGGGAGTTGTTCACATCCTCCACATTCATGACATGGCGGTAGTAAGCCGTCTCGTCTGGCGAATTGTTGAACACCTGCAAGAATTGACTTCGGCGCAGGTGGAACATGAACTGAGGGTAAATGGAGAAGTTGTCCTGTAATCTGAAGCTCGTTGCGTCGTCCTTGCGATAATCGGCAAAGCGCTGGCAAAGGCGAATAAGCATCCGATCCAGCCATCGTAGCACATCCGGCGAATCGTCGATCTCCGCCTTGAAGACGGCGATACGAGCCATGAGTACTGCCGATGCTTCCTGATCAAAGGATCCAGCAAGGAGCTGTGTACCACCGCTTGCTTCAGAAGCGAAGTTGCGGGCCATTGTAGTAACGCGCAAGCGGTAGGTACCGCTGGAGTGCTGGTAGTGCGTGACGTACTGGATCAGACCTCGAGCCCCTGGTTGCAGAACTGTTCCAGCCGGTGTCACCACCTCGAAGTAAGTACCCAGAGAGGTTTGCGGAGTGATGGAGCACAGCTTCCACGCCGAGGTTCCTCCGATACCGATCTCGGTCTCGGAAACGCAGCCAGACTTTTTGTTGGCTGAAACAGCGTGTCCGATGAGGCCAGAGACCTTGAGCTCTTTTGTCGTCTGCAATGTGGGAAGAGGAGCAGAGTGAGCCTTGTTTCCTGCAAGCCCGTCCGCTTTCATGACTCACCTGAACATCCAACGTCGCGTTGAATCCCATCAACAGATCTCCCTTTTCGTCCTTGGCAAAGATCTTCTGCAGACTCTGCTTGAAGATACCCATCTGGAAGCTATCGGCCAAGATCATGTTTCCGTTTGTCGCATTAGCCAGTGCCTTCATCTCCAACAGTCCCACTTGGTCCAAAGCTCCAATGAAGATGTCAATGGCGTGTCCGTTCTGAGCGGAGCGACGAGCAAGGGCATCGTAGAACTTCAGGGCTCGCTTGTAGTACTTGACATTGTCCTTGTCAATGTCGTGGTGAGATCGGATACGGTCACGGAGCTCGGTGGAGACGACGTTTCCTGGTCCTTCCGTGCAGGCTCCACCCGAGAAGAGCATGACACGAGCTCCAGTGTTTGGGAAAGTGGTCTCGAGGAGACCGACAGCTACGCCTACGGCTGTCCCCGTGCAACGCTGAGCTCGCTTGTCGTTTGCTACTGGCCAGGCGTCCTTTTGCAGCTGCTCTAGGATGCTGGTCAACTGGAACTCGCACTGACTGACGGGAAGCAGGAATCGAGCTGCGCCGAATCTGGCGCCAGCAGCCCCTTGGGGAGGCTGGGATGGCCCACCAGCCTGAGGTGGCATGCCAGGTCGAGGAGCTGTTCCAGCAGTGAGACCGAGCATGTCCTGAATGGCCTTGGGAGCGTACTCCTTTGTTCCTCGGAATACGTATGACTTGGGGCAGGCCTCGTAGCCGAGCTCGTGGACCTGAGTCATGGTACCAAAAGTGATGAGACCTACGAGGGCATTGGGTGGCAGGAGACTGAGACTGACCACGAGGGCTTCTCGAAGTCCCTTGAGGTCGTCTTCATCGAGGCAGGTGTCTACTACGTAGAGGAAGATGGGTGGGGTAGGCGAGGTACGCGAGAGGGTGTACTCGATGGTGGTATACTTGGGAAGGAGCTCAGCAGGGAGGTTGGTGTTGGAGATGTCTCGGTAGTGAGGTGGGAAAGCATTGCGAGACATGCAGAATGGGCAGATCCAGAGCTTGGCCCGTACATCGATTTGACTGGAGGGAGAGATATGGGGAGAGAAGGGAGACCGCGTGTAAGTCGATGAATGGCATGCATGCAGTGCGAAGGTGTACTGGTAGCTCACTCACCAATAGGGGTTGAGTACAGCTCGGCAGGGTGCCTTGCAGGTGACTGGCTCATAGAGGACAGGGGGTAGGTCCTCTCTCTCCTTGAGCGGGGTGTAGAGGGCGGCTACTGGTACCACGGTGCGAGTTGCCTCTGCGCGGTTCGAGGGCCAGATGTTCCATGAGAGACGGATACCATCGCGGTCCTCGACATCGTCAACGTCTGGTCAGAGGGAGAAGGGGGGGGGGAGATGATTGGTCAGCTCAGTTGAGTACCTTGCAGTGTTGCAGTGCCGTGTACTCTACTCACTCATGATGGGCGGTTGAAGGGAGGTGCGACGAAGAGATGCGAAGGTGTTTGTATGGCAATGGTCGAGGTGTGAGTGGACGATGGGCGCAGAGGAAGGAGTGGGGCCAAGCAACAGAGGCGCGTGGCTTGGCCTGGCTGGCAACCGGGCCACGCAGGCCACGCAGCCAGCCAGCCTTGCGAGTGCCCGCGTCCCTCTTCCGCCCGCCCGCTTCTTGCTGCTTCCCCACAGCGCTCCTCACCTCAGGTCAATCATCGAGGGCGATCAGCCCGTCATGGTCTGGAAAGCCGCCCGATTATGTCACGTATAAGCCACTAGGACTCTTGCGTCAATGTCGGCATCATGAAATAATCCACTCGTGCCTCTCAGGTCAGAGCCTCCAGCGTCTCAGCAACTGGCAGTGCAGCAAGTCAGAGAGAATGCTTGTAGCTTGTACCTATCATTACTGAAGTGGCGTCCAATCGCAAAGGCGCCTGTGAAGGGCCCACATAGTACCATGAAGTGTTGTACCCAGCATATGTCACACCATACACGCCGTTCAGGCTCATACTCAACGCCTTCGAAGCTACCGCTGGCCCAGAGGCAGCAGTGGTCTGGTCTACAGAGCGGAGAGGCGTTGTGGAGGCGCGCCAAGGGAAGAAACGAAAAATCACAAGTCCCCTTTCCGTACAGGCGTCCTTGACTAGAATCAATCGGATAGTCCATACACACCTCTGCAGCATCTCGTCTGGGCAGCTTCATCGCCCTCAGACTCGTCTGTTCCATCCCCCCTCCTGCTCTCATCCTCTATGGGCAAGAAGTCCAGCGGTGGAGCGTCTGCATCGGCGGGGAAAGCCGCAGCCAAGGCGGCCAAGAAGGAGAAGCAGGAGAAGCTCGCCTCGCGAAAGGCTGCAAAGGACGACAAGAAGAAGTCGTCTTTGGTAGCTGCCGCTTCCGCGAGTGGCAAGAGCGGGAAAGGAGGGAAAGGAGGAGGAGCAGGAGGAAAGGGAAAGAAGGCGGCTGCTCCTGCTGAAGAGGAGGATCTGGATGCTCTATTGAAGAAGTTTCAGGCGGATTGGGAAGAGGCACACGCAGTCAATGAGGAGACTGTGGGGGGGCCACCTACTCGTAGAGCCAATGCCACCCTCACGCCTTGTCCCCTCGGAAATGATCTATGGCTGTTCGGAGGCGAATACTTCGACGGAGACAAGTGAGTCGCAGGAAACCGAGCTTCACCGAAAGCATGTCACTTGTTGCTCACTACCCTGCTTGTTCGCCTACTCCCAGAGCTTTCTTCTATGCAGACCTGTACCGGTATACTCCCCCCTCTACCTTACCTACCCACTCCCTCGCCTCTACGTCTTCATCAGCCGACGCTTCCTCCTCAGCTTTCACTGCTTCGGGAACATGGCGCCACTACTCTTCACCCAACCAGCCCGGTCCACGTTCCGCCCATCAAGTAGTCGCAGATCCCCGACAGGGCGGTCTCCTCTGGCTCTTCGGTGGCGAATTTGCTTCTCCCAAGCAGACTTCCTTCCACCACTATCGAGACCTATGGGTCTTCTCCATCGCTACCAAGACTTGGGAGAGGGTAGACACGAAAGTCCGCCCCTCGGCGCGTAGTGGACATCGTATGGTCCTCTGGAGACAGTACCTCGTCCTCTTTGGAGGCTTCATCGATACGGGAGCTAGGACTACATATCTTCAGGACTTGTGGATGTTCGATACTGCGCAGTACAAGTGGTTTGAAATTGCTCAGAATGACCTGAAGAGACCGCCGGCTAGGTCGGGGTTTTCGCTCATTTCGACACCAGAGGGAGTGGCGCTGTATGGAGGGTATTGCAAGCGTTATGTCAAGGGGCAAAGAACACAAGGTGAGAGCGATGGAGCTGCAGAGAAGACGATGGAAAGAAGGAATTGCACACTAACACCGCGCTCTCTCCGCTTGCTCCATCTTGCCAGGTGTCGCCCTCGAGGACTCCTGGTTCCTAAAGTTCCACCCACAGGCAGATGGATCGCTCCTACCTGCCAACACACCACAGGGCGGCAAGATCGAGTGGGACAAGCGGAGAAAGATTGGATACTCTCCCGGACCGCGGAGCGGCTGCACGATGGCCTACTGGGGCAACAAGAATATGGGTGTGCTATTCGGTGGTGTGATGGATCGGGAGGAGGATGAGGAGAGCATGGAGAGTCTACTCTTCGATGAGCTCTTCGGCTACAACATCACTGGCGCGGGACGCTGGGTCTCTCTCAACTTGCGCAAGAAGAAGAAGCAGGGCGGCGCAGGCGGCAAGAAGAAGAGGGAGAAGGCGGCAGCTATTGCAGCTGCCAAGGCGGCCGAGATTGAAGCTCGAGTGAGGGAGCAGCAAGAGGAACAAGAGGAGGAAGCAAGACAAGCTGCTGCTGCCGCTGCCGCCGAGGATCAAGACAGCTCGGATGAAGAAGAAGACGATGAAAATCGACCGCCCGTCGACTATGAGGCACGGTTCAAGCAGGCATCGGCGGCGGCAGCAGCAGCAGCAGCCACTGCTGTTGCACCGTCGAAGCCTAGCCCAGGCTCTGCTTCAGTTGCTATCGCTACCACCTCTGCGCCTCCCTCTAAGCCGTCCGCTCCCCAACAGCCGACAGAAGAGGACCTAGACGAGGATCCAGATCTCTCCCGTCCCCTTTCCCGCTTTAATGCGATGCTCGCCGTGCAGCGCAACGTCCTCTACCTCTACGGTGGCATCCACGAGACTGCTTCCCGCGAATACACCTTGGACGATTTCCACGTTCTCCAGCTGGACAAGATGGAGCGTTGGGTTAGTCTCAAGGAGTGTCGTATCGAGGGTTTGGAGTGGAACGAGAGTGATGAAGAGGACGACAGTGATTCTGAGAGTGAGAGCGGTAGTGACTCTTCCTCAGATGGTGGGGAAGGAGAGAATGATGCGGCTGCGCAGGAAGGAGAGGAAGTGCAGTCCCTCAATTCCCATTCGGATCACGAAGGAGAGGGAGCAGACGATGATGCTTCACCGGAAGAGGTGGCTGCTCGTCTTGCCAAGCAGGAGCAAGTGAAAGAACAAGCCCGGCAGGCCTATGGTGTTCTCAAAGGTGGAGCTACTGCCGGTGGAGAGACTTCGGCAGAGCTATCGGAGGAGGAGAGACAGCGCACACCTAATCCGGGCGAGACGTTGCGGATGTTCTTTGATCGTACGCGAGAGTACTGGGCACGTAGAGCCTTTGAGGGAAGTCAAGGCGAGGTGAGGGGAAAGGAGATGCGCACAAAGGGATTCGAGGTGAGTCTGTACAGCCCAAGAGAGCTTGCTTGAGCGTGTCGTAGCCCAAGGTTGAGATCAATTCAGCTGACCTGCTCTCCATCCTCGACTCCAACTTCTTCACTCAGCTCGCTTCGCTACGGTACGACGAGTACTCGCCTGTCCTGCGGGAGATTGAGCGTATCCAGGCTCAAGCAGGTCTGGACGCAGAGGAGATGCGTGCCTCGGCTGCTCGCGCCTCGAATGGTCCACTGGGTGGAGGAGGCGTGGGTGTCGAGAGTCGTAATAGGAGGTAAGGGGAACGGGGTGATGATCGATAGCCCATCACGCGGAATATACACACTATTCATGCATCTTTACTACTGAGAAGCGTCAAGTCTGTACAATTGACTGAGAGCGATCACGGCTGCTCCCGCCTTTTTACATCGCCGCTGCTCCTGCAGGACTGCTTACCACTGCGAGCCTTACAGCGCCCAGCTCCCTACCCAGCTCAGCCCATCCCACATCATGAGAGTCCTCCACTTCCCCCCACGTCTCCACCTGTGCATTCGTCTCAACCCAAGCGGCCTTCATTGCCTCTTCCACTCCCAATCTACCCTCTAGCAGCGCAAGAGAGAGGTAGAGACTCTTGGTCAGATGCAGCGATTTCTCCAGACAGGCGAGGTGAAGCGCATCTAGTCCTTGCAGGTGAGAACGCAGGGAAGTGATCAGCTCGGGAGGTTGGTTGATGACTAGCGTATCCTGAGCAGTGCTGGGACGATGTCCGAAGCGAGAGGAGACCCAGTCTAAAAGTGGATCCCAGTGCTCTGCCTGTAGACGCACTAGAGCCTTCGGTGACGATTCGTGGAAGCTGAGGAGCAACGCAACGCAAAGCAAAGCAAAGCAAAGTGTCAGCTCTTCCATCGCTCCAAGCTCGCAGTGTCCCCATCTCCTCTACGACTGCTCACTTACCAGATCGTATCCGTCTGCGCATACTTGAGCATCTCCTCCACCGCCATCTTCCTCTCCCCCTCCTCAGCAAATCCATCAATCGCCCTTGCCACAAGACTTGTCAGTGGCAACGCATGACTCTTGATCAACCTCTGCTGAGAGTCCCATTCATGCACAATTAGCCGAGCCAACAAGGGGTGATGTAGGGGCACAGCGAGGAGTGAGCCGGAGGGAGTGCGAAGTGAGCGGGATTGATCTAGTTGAATCTCGTAGTGTGTGGGTGTGGAGCGGAGAGAGACTGATTTCCAGAATCGACGCATTTGCGCTGAAGCGCGAGTCGTATCGGAGGGTTTTGCAGGGGGGGTAGGAGGTGTGAGAGGAACAGAGGTAGAGGAGGAAGAGGCATTGCCGCTACTGCTACTGCTGCTGAAAGGGCGTGAGCGTAAGCATGATGCTGTTCGACTGACACTGCTACAGCTGGTCGAGAGCAGCGCCACCCTGCCGGCGGAGCTCGAGGCTGATGATGATGATGATGATGCCGAGCCGATCGGAAAGCTAGCCGCAGCTCTCCTGAGAGAGAATCCAAAGGACGTCATGATCAGCGCCTTGTGTTGTAGTGTTGCTTGCAAAAGATCGGTAGGCAATCCTACTTTCTTGCCCGCCGGGAAGAAGAAGCGGACACAGGGCCTGCCTCCGTTCCGATGGAGCATTGTGTTTCCGCTCCCTGCTCCACTTGCGGAATACGGGCATTCACTTCTTCCTAACAAGTCACTTCTGAGACCATCAGCATCTGATTCTGCTCTGGGATTTCACATCTCCCCTTGCTCATGCTGGCACCAAAGGGCAGTGGAGCAGGAGGTAGGGCGGCGTATCTCCTCTTCCTCACACACCACCTCCTCTCTTCGACGAAGCAGTCGCAGCTCCGTACCTGGGCCAAGGACCTCTCCCTAGTAGGGCTCGCCAAGCGCGGCTACCCAGGTGTGATCCTCCTCCTCGCCTCCTCCCCCTCTTCTTCTTCTGCGACGTCTTCGAATCGCAAGGACTCGCCTGAGAATATTGGTGATGAGAGCGCAGCTAGGCTCGAGGAGGTAGCGAGGAGGATCAAGCGCATGCAATGGGCTTCGCAGGACCTCCGTCCCGTACAGCCTCTGCAGGCCCGCACTTTCACCCGCCTGCAGAGGGTACTCGGTGAGCGGCAGGGAAGCGTAAGCGAGACTGGTTCGGATACTTCAGCTGTCCCCAAGGGAGTGAGCGTGAGAAGAATGATTCCTCTCTTGTTCCTGGATACTATGAAGGAGATCAGCACCCTCTTCCAAGAAGCCGACCAGCTCGCGCACCCTGCCGCCGAGGGAGGAGGCAAGATGGATCAGTCGGCCAAGGCGTCACAGGAGGACAGCCAGGAGCTTTGGAGGGACATCTGGCGCAGAGAGATGAAGCCGCGCTAAACTAGATGCTGGAGAGGTAGACTGAGCTCAACGCTACTACTACTACTACCATGGACAAATCACCCCTATGCTACATCGCCTAGAGAGCAAACATACAAATCGAGCAGAGGCAGAGTCACTATCATGGGAGACATTATTCATATTCGTACAGTGAAGCATTAAAGGATCCTAGATACATGCTACCTTCTGAAAGAAGGGGGGGTTGGAGGCTTTGACTGGAGAAATGACAGTGTTGCGCTCGGCTTCGCGGGAATACTCCGCCTTTGTCGCGGCTCGCAAGCTACACATCTCGTCTGCAAGCAAAGCATGGCTAGTTGATAGCTGGCACCATCTGCCACATGTAGACGAGGTCACTGAACAGCAGGAGGGGATAAGGAAGACCTTGTATCAGCTCAACAACTCCTTCACTGGCTATGCACCCTGCAACGCACTACTACCAGACACTCACGCAAACTCCTCCTCGCTCAAATCCTGCTCTTTAGCAGCCTGACAGATGTCCAGGCAATTCTTTGCCCGCAAGCTCTTCGTCGACGCATTCGTAAGAGCGCTCATGACGGACTCGATGGCCGACTCCGTCGCGCCCACGGCCGAAGAGAAAGATGGGGTAGACTCGGCCGTCGTCTCGTTGAGCTCGACGGGTTGCCGTCGCAGGAGGGCGACCTTGTTTGTAAGGACTCGAACGAGGATCTGAAAGGGAAAAAAGACAGTGGGACATGGGACAGAGAGGATCGGAAATCAGATTCAAGTTGGCTTTCCTACACAGCACGCCGCTTCGCGGACTAGCTACTCACCACCCAAGCGGCAAACGTCTGCGAGTGAAGCAGAGACAAGTCGTATGCAGAGTTGAGGAGGAAGTGGATAGTACCGAGAAGGATCTCCGACGCTCGCTCGACGGGACCACGGCCAAAGGTCGTGTTGTAGTCCAGACCAGTGACCTCGATGAAGAATGTGTGGATGGTAATAATGGCCAGGCATGTATTGGCCTCTGTGAGGAACGCGGAAAGGGTGTAACATCAAAAGTCAATCAACTGTTGACCTACAGTCATGTCGCCTGTGCCCTCCTCGCAACGACTCACCAGCGACGATCCAGTCTGAATCTATGCCTCTTCTCTTCGGAAAGGTGGTCAGAAAGTCCTTGACATCCGAGTCGAGCTCCAGCACCTGCGGAGGTGGTCGCGACATCAAGCTCAGTTCTGTTCCATTTCGACTAGCGATCATTCTCGCCCGTTTGAGCAGACTGGCCGACTTGACGAGCAACGAGAATGAGTCTGTATGCCCCGCACGGAAGAGATCCGGCGAATTGAACGTCTGCTGCGAGTAGACGAGATCGGTATCTTCCTCGACCTCTTCCATCTGCACAGGCATAGTGGTCGTCAACTGGTTCTTCTCGTCACAGAAGGTCGGCTCGTAGTGCCTCACCCCACCACCGCCATACGTGTCGGCAATGTAGACCTGCCAGAAAGCCATGCGTTGCTCGTAGTCAGCAATGGAATTCTCGGGAGGGCCGATGATGCCGCGAGTGTATCCAATATGGTCCCGGTCGTTTGGCATCCTGCCGTACGCGGTAGCACTCATGCCACGAGCGGCGCATGCAGCGAGGAGGAAGTACTCTCCGGCTCGACAACGCTCGCTGATGCCGTACCTGGGATGGGGAGAAAGAGGTAGGAGGGTCAGCACCTTCTCAGTCTCAAATGCGGCAGCGCGAAGCCTCTCAGTTCGGTCCTCCTGTCCGCAAGTTCAGGTGGTCTCACCGCCCTCCGAAACTCACAAGACCAATGCGGTTGCTTGAATCCATTCCCGTGGCCTAGAATTGGAGGTAAGAAGCGCAACCTCTATCTCCCTCCTGGCCTTGGCCAAATGGAATTCCCCAAATGACGAACCCGGCCCAACGGAGAGCTCTGGTCGTGAAGCCTCGAGGGGGTGGACGATGCCCAGCAAGCCTCTCCCACTGGCTTCAAAGTCGTATGCCATCTTCTCATACATGGACGGCATGGCATTCTTGCCCGGATTGTCTGCCGCCGTCTCGTCTTCGTCTGAGGCTTGACGCCAGAGAGGATTGTGATCACGTACTGGGCCCAGCAGAGGGGAGTACGGCTCGGCTACGGCCAAGACGGCGTGGATGAGGGAAGGGTGAGGACGTAGTGGGTGACCGGGCGGTAGGCGGAACCTGGCCAGCATGAATTTCTTGCAGAACATATTCCGTAGAGGATGCTTGTCAAAGAAGAGCTTGGCCATGTGGTGAATGGTCTCGGGGGTGGGGAGGTCAGGAGTCAGCTCGGGCAAAAGCTGCCTGAGCATCAGATCGATCTTTGGCTTATCCTCCTCCTCATCGCCGTCCCTCTTCGAAGTAGATTTGCTTGGGCCGCTGAAACTCGCGTTGGCGGCCGTAGGATTTTCCGAGTAGATGGGGTCCATAAGATTGCGTAGGCTCATCTGGGGATTCTCGCCATCACGTACCGATGTCTGATACACCCGTCGGACTCGGGCTCTCTGACCATGCGAAGACTGTAATTCCAGGACGATGCGCTCGTTGCGTAACTCGCCGTGTCTGCCACGATGGAGATCAGTGTAGCTGGTTGGGGCCGTGGTGACAGTATTGACGGTTCTAGGACTACTGTCCGAGCTGATCACACCCGGTGAGGGCCCTGTCGCTATCATTGAGGGATTGCGATTGCCTCGGCTGCTGGGACGAGAGGCAAACGGCATCGAGGCCTCGGCTTCACCAATGCGTGCCGATGTAGACTCGATTGTTGTCGGGTGACGTGCGAGTATAGGCGTGGTGAAGGCAGCGTCGGCCATGGACTCGGAGGCGGATGCAGCAGGAGAGCTAGGACTGTCCTCTTCGGGATAGACACAGTCTCCAGGAGGCACGTCGGCCGTGAGGGCATGGCCTCTGGCTGCTCGCTTTTGAGAGCGACCACAAGCGCCGCAAATGGGTCGTACGGCATCGCATCGGGTCTAGATATGAAAAAAGGGGGGGAGATTGACAAGAGGTGAGAGATCTGCTTGACTGAAGAATGCAAGGGTTCGACGAGCAGCGGACAGCAGTGATTGTCATGCCCACCATCTTTCGCGAGCAGCCATGAAAGCTCATCTTGGCTCTGTACTTACCTTTCTTCGCTTGCACGTCAGGCATGCCTGCTGCTTCTTGAGGTAGGGCTGGGAGGCGTCCCTCGCCATTGGCCCTCCACCGGGGGCTCCCTTCCTCTTGCCCAGCCCTTCGGGCGTGCTTCTTCCGGCAGCGGGAGAGTAGGTCATCGGTCCTCTTGAATGAACCCCGTGCGAGGGGTCACCATGGTGAGAGGAGTGTGGAGCATGCGGCGATCGAGAAGGTCCCGCAGAGGGGGGAGTGGAAGAGGAGCTTGGATAGAATCGCGACGAGTGGGAGTAGGCGCTGCTGGACCCGTGATAAGGAGTGGACCCTGAATATTGCGATTCCGTAGTGGCAGCCCAGGAGGGATACGCAGGCACTCCAGATGTGTAAGGGTAGGGAGGCGGTGGAGGCGGTAGAGACGACGAGGAGGCGGAGGAAGAGGAAGGAGCGTCTTGGTAAGAAGTAGAAGCGTACGCATGGTGTAGGTGAGGGTAGCTGGGATTATGCTGTCCATATTGAGTCACATGAGAAGGTGGAGGAGGAGGAGGAGGGAGAGGGGGATGCAGAGAGCGCGATGGCTGAGTCTGGTACTGATGTGAATGATAGTGATGCTGTTGTTGCTGCTGCTGCTGCTGCTGTTCTGGCTGTTGTTGCTGGTAATGATGGTATGATGGTTGTTGTTGTTGTTGAGAGCTATGATAGAATGAAGAGGAAGGAGAAGAGGGCGATGCTACTGGTGCTGCCGCTGCTGAAGAAGATCCCGGTCGTTGGGATTGTGATGAAGAAGATGAAGATGATGAGGAAGGTGGTAACGGTGGCCGTGATGGATAGAAGCGCGGATCCATTGGCATCGCTGGAAACCCCGCAGGTCACTGGGTCTCTCCCCCACACCCTTCGTCGCCCTCTCGTCGCTGTCCGTAGTCCTGTTGCGTCTCTCTGAGTTACAGGAGAGACGCGGTGAGCGGTACCGATGTGCAAGGGAGCACTGATATGACTTCGGCTTCGGCTTCGACTTCGGCAGTGGGCAACTTTTGGACCGAGGTAGGTGGTGAGATGAAGAAAAGGAAGTGGGAAACGGCGAAAGCGGACGGCGAGAATGGAGGCGAAACTATGTGAGATGGGGGGAAAACAGAGGTAAGAGGGGGGACGGGGAGGGGGAGAGAGACAGAGAGACAGAGAGACAGAGAGAGGAGTGTGTGGGCGGGAAGGCTGTTCCGGACCGGAGCTGGTATTGGAAGAGGAGCAGGGCAGCCGGTGGTCCCCCCTCTTTCCTGTGAACGGGGATATCCGAAATGAGTAGCGTCAGTGAAGGGCGGACCAATGGCCAGGGCGGCACAATTGCACCGTCAGGCGAATCCAGTAGGTAGGGGGGAGAAGGTGAATGGAAGTCCCATACTGGTGCTGGTGCTGGTGCTGCTGGAGGATGGCCGATGGCGGTTAGTGCAGACTGCTGCTGCTGCTGCTCCTGCCTGCCTGCCTGCCTGCCTGCCTGCCTGCCTGTCACAGTAGATCCCCGTTCCGACTCCGCTGATCCCATCCATCCCTACGTACGACTGAAGATCAGACTCAGATGGCCGTGGTGGTGTTACATCTGCAAGCTTCTGCTAATCCTGCCTTCGCTTTGGCTCTTTTTACCCCCCTCGGCCCATTTTCCGCTGCTGCTGCTGCATTCCATGCTCCCCCCTTTATGCCTCCGCCTTTGTTCCTGACGCCCAAGGTACACTGACGCTACGCAGGAGGCAGAGTTCTCCGTGTGTGAGGGGGGGAACAGAGAGCGGAAATGCTCACAGGTCAGGTCAGGGCCCAATCATACTATTTTCATCGTCTCCAAGCCCACCCACGCTCGTAATGTCCACTTTCCCTTACCCCCGCCCGCATGGCCTCCGCTGCAGATGGATGGCATCGCTTCTGCAAACTGTCTCTGGCGGATCAGCAGAGCAGCCGCGGGTCAGTGGTAAGGCGCCCTTGCCCTGAAAGTGCAAGCGGCCTCCACCCTTTGCCGCGTGCCTGTCAGTCAATTCACCTTCCCACACCCCGCCGCTGCTCCCCCCGTCCTGAGGAGAAGTGAGTGTGAGGTCCGTCGGGTATTCGGTGCCTATGTCCCGGGCTCTCCACCCTTGGCTTGCCTCGCCTTGCCTTGCTTGTGCCTTGGCCCTAGTCAACCTTGCCGCTCCTTGCCCCCTCATCGCTCCGTCGGGGCAAATCAAATCGGGAAGGCTTCAGACGCCGATTGAAGGAGATTCAATTTCAAAAATGGACCCGGGGGCCAGAAGCTGCTAGGCAAAAGTCCAGCCAGCCAGCCGAGGGCGGGGCGGAGCGGCGGATCTAGATTATTTACAGACTGGATGGATGTGCGTGAGAAACAGGACGGGCGGGCGGGCGAGCGAGCGGGCGGGCGGCATCCTCGCATCCTAACGCCGGTGGGGGGGGAAGGGGGGGGGGGGGATCGTTTTTCATGGGACGATGATGATCAAATCATCCATCATTCCATCTTCGGAACGCAGGCGACATACATACATACATACATGCAAGCAATCGATTAAACTCCGGGTCCGAATGACTAAGGAAATAAAAAAGAACAAGTGTCCATGGCAGGCCTGGCCAGAGGGGCGAGTCGAGCACCACCCCTATTGCCCCGACCCCTTTCCCCCACTTTCAACGTAGCCGACTTGAGCCTTGGCCCAGAGGTGCGGCCATGATGCTCTTCTCCCAGCTGGCATCATAATTCGGAGAAAGGCTAAAGAACATCATCGTATAGCAGACCACGACAATTGCAATCGATCCTGCCAAAAGGGCAATTGCAATCTTCTCGTGCGCTGGTGTAGCATAGGCACGGTGACCATCTGTGCTGTTGGAGTCGCCGGGATTCTCAGTGCTAGCAGTGTCTGGATACCGCGTGTTGTAGTCGTCGTAGAAGAGCCTCTGCAGGGAGACGTTCGACGAGTACATTGGGTAATCTTGATGGGACACATTGGCAATGAAGTCCACTGTATGGTTGGCCGGGAAGCCGTAGCTAGTGTACTGGTTCTGCTGGAAGTCCAGGATGAACTGCGATCCTCTGTCCAAATGGTTTGCGCCCTGCCATTGAGCCGCACACGATGTGGTACCGGGCCCATTGTCTAGTAGACCAAGGCCATAGGCGACTCTACGTTGCAGATAGCGCTTAATGACGAATGCTTGGTTTGCAATGACGTCCTTTCGCGCATACGACGTCAGCTCCGTCTGATTTCCATTCAGCCCATATGGCCAGGAAGTCGGAGAGTCGGTAGTAGCGCCAACGGGACACGAGGTGTTGGAGTATGCAAAGTTGCTTGTGAGCCAAGCCCAAGAACCAGGGTTACCGACCCAGAAGCGTACGTTGTAGTCGTAATTCTTCGACTTCTTCAGCACTGCATACCTCTGCGCTGCCTGTCCACCTAGAGAGTGACCTGCTACCACAATCTGGTTCATGTTGGGGAATTGAGCCTTGTCGGCAAGCATGTCGGTAAAGACGTCCATGATCTCGTACGAGGTGAGCGTCTTGTTCATGACGGGCAGCTTCGTGTGGGATCCCGCTTGCCACAGTTCACCTCCAAAGGCAAATTCATTGGCGCGACCTGCGCCTGCTGTAATGTCCTGAGTGGCCATGAAGACGGGTGCGAGAATCAAGACAGAGTCATTGTTGATACCCCACTCGGCAAAGTTGGTCGCCACAACCGTCAGGGCATTGCGCATGAGATTGGCATAGTTCCACGCATCACGAGGCTGGAAAGCAAGAAGAGGTGACGCGTCAGTACATGGCCAGAATAGTTCAGAGAGCAGCGAGCCCCGACTTGGCCCTAGACGACAACCGTTCGATCGCGCCTACTCACCTTTCCTGGCCACACAATGATTGCCCTCTTGATCTCCGAGGGTGTGTAGACGTTGTTGGTAACGTAAAACGGCATAACTCCACTTCCCGACTTGTCGGAATTGTAGATGGTCAGAGACCTGTTAAGCACGAATCCAGGCGTTTCGGGCAATTCCTGCCATCCACCATCCTGTGAACCATTGGTAGCCGCCGAAGTCTGGAAAAAGACGTTACTGTTCCAAGGCAATTGAGATTCATCACCGGTATCGGCCGTGTACGAAAAGGCAGACGCGTCAGATCCTGTGCTGTTGCCCTTGATGTAAAGCTGGTCATCGGCTTCTGTGGCGGCAGTAAAGGGATCGGATTGGGAGAGGGCTGCAATGGCCGTCTGCACAGCTCCGGAATCGGCTCGCCGCAAGATACGAGAAGGGATATCGGGCTGATGTCTTGCATGTGGTGAGTGTAGCACAGATAGATCTCCTGCAGTCACTGCTGAGGGTAGAAGAGGCAGCAGACATAGGGAAGATGTCGCAGCAATGACAAGCAGCGTGACTATTGTCCTTGCGATGGAGCTAGACCCTGACCGGGACGAGGAAGAGGCGTTTGCCATGCTGAGCAAAGACACAACTACAGCCGTGGGTCGTTGGTGGTACAGAGTGCAACAGACCTCAGCAGAGTGCCTTGAAACCTGACCTAGTCTAGATGAGAATGAATGATCGGAGAGATAGGGAAAAGGGAAAAAGGTCGAGGAGGGAGAATGCAAGGGCTGTACAACAATGAAGCTAGGAAAGAACATAACACCGGAATCGCGACACAGACTGATTGACGTCTGCCCTCCTCCTCCTCCTCCTCCGGCCTCCTCCTCGATGGGGGAGGGAGATGCAGAGTTGCAGCCCTGCCCTGTCCTCGTCTGCCCCTCTTGGAGAGCAACGAGGGGCTTCGCTGCTACTGCCCCCCCTCGGCGCCATCTCCGTCACCCGCACGCACACGCACACACACACACATACACACACCTACGCACACAGCCTCGGCCTCGGGCTCGGCGCCGTGTGTGTAGGCAAAGGGGCGGTAGAGGCCTAAGAGCAGAGGGGCTGCCGGCGGCGCGCCTGCCTCATCTTCTTTCGGCAAGGGGAGGGGGGGAGGGGGGGAAGGCTAAGCAGGCAACACGGGACACCGGGGGAGGAGAGCCTGGGGCGCTGCTGCTGCTCCTCGTGCCGAACAAGGCGAGTGGCGCAGGCGTACGCACGGCGGACGGCGCTTCTGCCGTGCGTCCCTCGCGTGCGCTCACGCCTCCCTGTTGTCCCTTGCCGTGTGGTGCAGTCGCCGCGCCTCTCCTATCCTGCCCAGGGGGCGGAGAAGAGGAGCGCTAAGATGCCGGGCTCAAGGGCGTTGGCCAGCTGAGATCTCGTGCAGTGCAATGCAAACACACACACACGACACGAGGCAGCGAGCGCCAATCGATGTCTTGCTCGCGGGGAGTAAGCTGTCAGGGGTGCCTTGAACCTTAGGCTCGACAGTGGAAGCCTATTTGCGGGCAAATGATGTACCGCAAGCACTGCCGGGACGTGACGCGATCGACTTGATACGTACGATTCGGCGGTCCCAGATCTGATGAAGGTGGTACTAGTGATCTTACAACAAGTAGACGAGGTATAGAGGACAACAGATATAGGAGCGAGTGCGATGGTAGAAGACGCAAGAAGAATGGACCAGCAGCATCAAAAGGAGTCGTCGCCATCTGCTTCTTCCTCCTCGTCGCTACTCTCCACAATGGCTCTCCTCCGCCCAGCGCCTGCCCTAGCTGTCCGCGTAGCCTTGACAGGAGCAGCAGCAGCGCCCCGTCTACCACCACTAGTAGCAGCAGCAGACCTTCCTTTAGCTCGTGGTGCCTCATCCTCTTCGTCGTCTTCATCCGCAGCTGCAGGCTCCTCCTTCTCCTCCTCTTCTTCTTCTTCCTCTTCTTCCTCGCTACTCTCTGCTTTCCTTCCCCTTCGCGATCTTCCTCCTGCACCTCCTCCCCTTGCCCCACCGCGTCCAGCAGCACCCCCCCTCGCTGCACCCCTCCCGCGTCCCCTACCAGTAGCAGCTCGCGCCGCATTGGCCTGAGCTTTGGCAGCCTTTGCCTGTCCGCCCCTCTCCAACTCCATTTCCTCTGACCCCTTGAGATGGAATCCCTCCAGCGCAGCCTCAAAGTCTTGCAGCTCAGTCTCCGATACACCCGTTGAAGATGCACCAGCTTTACCAGCGCCGCCACTGCCGCCGCCACCAACCTTTGAGCCGCGCGCCTTCTGGATGATCTCGACGAAGCGCTTGTACACGTCTGGATCGCGTACTTTGTCTTGATAGAACGGCAGACCCTCAATCAGCTTCTTCATCGATCGCTCTGACTTGAATGGCAAAAGGGAGAGACAGAAGGCAATGTCCCTCCATTGTCTCTCCGCAGTGGTCAGCCTGAATCGCTGACAGAGCTTCTCAATGACGTTTTCGGCTTGCTTCTCCTTGTCTATAAAGGTAAAGATGAAGCGCATCGTGCGTTCGAATGTCTCTTCGTCCACAGCATGCTTGCCAATACTCAGGTGAGAGATAATGTCTGGCAAGTTGTTGTAGACTGCATTCTCCTTTATCGCCAGCTCGGAGAAGAAGAGCTTGGCAAGGTTGGACACACGCGCCTCTGGGTCCTCGAGACACTTGGCCATCTCTCCCAATTGACCCTTGACTTTGATCATACCGTTCAGGATCAAGTGGGTCAGCACCATGAGTGTGTGCTTCTTCACCCCGAGATCCTTGTCGTTCAGCCCAGCGTAGAGTCGATCCGAGTCGGCATCAACCAGGTTGCCAAAGGATACAGCAATGTCTCCTAGAGCGATGACGACGTTGGAGCGGGTGGTTGGGTCCGAAGAAGTGCTGAGGATGTGCAGCAGAAGGGCGAGATGGCGCTCGCAGAACTTGGAAGAGACGCACATGAACTTGCACAAGGTCAGGACGGCTGCCCGTCGCAAGTGATCCGAAGTGTAGCTCTTTGGGTTGCTCGCAATGTGCACGACAAAGGGTCCAAAGAGAGCCAGTAGGGACCGGCCACCGTAAAGCAGCTCTTCCTCTCGGACTTGGCCCATCGTCTCGCCGACTTCGTCTTCGACATTTCCCGCCACTTGCTCCAGCTCGTCTCCTTCGGCTTCCTCCGCGGCATTCTTGTCGGTACCCGCGCCTTTGCCTTTGGCTCCCGCTTTGCCTGTCTTCTTGCCGCGCCCGCCGTTTGTTACGGCGGGTGCATCGTCCCCTCCCTTGGCAATCGTGTCTTGCAATGCCTTTCTGCGCTTGTACTCCCTTTCAACGGATTCGAGGTAGACGATCTGCTTGAGAGCCACGTGTCCAACGACGAAAACCATCTGTGCGAGGAGGAAGGCCGATGCCGAAGAGCCGAGAGCGGGGTGAGAGGAGCTCACGTTGGGCTGTTGGCTCTCTTCGTCTCCTGGAGAAGAAGCTCGACCCGCCCTCGTCTCCCCTTCCTTTGCGCCGAAGACTTGCAGCATGAACCACTTGACAATGTCACCGCACAGACGGTCAGGCTGCTCTCCGAGCTCGTATATGACCTGAATACAGTTCTCTGCGAGTGAAAACCATTCGCCCTTCTTGTCTTCCTTGCCGGCTTCGTCGGCGAGACCAGCCGATAGGACAGCGGCCCGCAGCTTGGCGAACATGGGATGGGTCATGGGAAAGCGGGTACGCTGATCAGAGAGAGCACCCTTGACCTTCTTAGCGGACCCGCCCACTCTGCCGAGAGCAACTGCAGTCCACTTTGCAAGGACAGGGTCGGCTTTGCCCAATGGTGCGAGGCCGACGCCGAGGAGCACATCGATCTTGTCCTGAACGATCTGCCTACGGCTTGCGGCAAGCATACTCAGGATGATGATAGCACCTCTTCGTTGACTCCTCTGAATCTTCTTGCCAGCTGGAGTGGCATAGACTGCCCAAAGTCGATCCACCACCTCGAGGGGGATCAGCTTCTCCCCGCTCATGGTCGAGATCAGCTCTTCTAGCGAGGTGAGCTCGGCAAGGGTGGCACCTTGAGTACGCTGAACCAGATTGCGGGCAATAAGTCCGATGTTCTCCTTCTCGCTCAGATGGTCCAGAGGGGAGAAGTACAAGCTGGTGTACACTTCGACTAGACGCCCCTTGATACTTCTCGGTGCGGTGCTTGGTCCACTAGCGCCGCCATCTCGCTCTTCAGCGCCAGCAGCTCCAGTGACTCCACCTGCAGTAGGCTCAACCATGACATTGTCCTTCATCCAGACCAGGTGTACCATTCTTCGCATGCCTTGCTCGGCGCCAGGAAGCTTGTACTCAGCAGCAATGCGGAAGAAGTCCATAGCTTCCAAGGCTTCACCCTTGTTCGAGGAGAAGAGAAGCTCCTCCAGAGTAGGCATGGAAGTGGAGAGAGACTCGATGAACGAGAGTGCATCAGCATAGTAGCGATATGTGAGGCGAAGACGGTTCAGCATCTCAAGGTCTTGAGGCGAGAGTTGCGCGGATAACTGCTCAACAGTGATGGACTTGCGGCCTGCTGACTTGCGAGGTCGTCGCTTTGCTGTCGCATCGGCAGCCTCTGTCTCATCAGCGTCGTCTTGCTCCTCCTCCTCCTCATCTCCTTCGAGGTCTTCCCCCTCTTCCTCAACGGGCAATTCTATGCTGCCACCAAGCTCCTGCATCTTCTTTTGGATCTCCTCTACTCGAGTCCTCCACACTCTCTCCTCAAGCTCTCCTCCGTGCATGAGGCCGTATGGGTGAGTCAGGACCAATCGCGCAAGTAAGGTGATAGCTGCCTTCCTTGCAGATGATGACTTGTCCTTGAGCGCCCTTTGCGTAAGGGACAACAGCCGTGTCCTCTGCGCAGGGAACTTAGCGGGAAGATCACACAGTCTCGTGCAGATGTTGAGGACCTTGACTCGGACATAGGAGTTGACGTCCAGAAAGCGTTCCATCAGGATCTTCCAGAAGCCTTCAATCTGGCGCGTGCGCACCTCTTCCGAAGTCTCTCGGGCCTCGTCATCTGCGTGCGCTACAGACGCATCGGCATCACGGCCTCCCCCTTGACTGGCAGTGTTTGGCAACTGGTCATCTGTCAGTACTAAATCTCTGATGAGCAGATAGAAGATCTCGACGAGAGCGTTTCGTAGAGGGTATGCTTCAGAGTCGATGAGCTTCTGGAGAAGAGGGATTGTCTTGAAAGTGGTCCGTGGGTTCGTCTCTGTGAAGGCGACAAGGAAGCGAGCGAAAGATCGGGGGACTTTATTCTCCATGCTGGCCGTCATTGCCAATCCGCCGCCGCCTGAGGAGAACTCTCGGTTTGCAATCTCTACCAGTAGCTCTTCTGCAAGTCGAGGAGAGTCGTACTCGAGGCGAAGCACCGTGAGCAGCTGAGCAACAGCCTCAGGCAGATGGTCATGGTATTGCAGCATCTGAAGCAGCAATGGCTGGACTGTTTGGGCTTGACCATGACGCTTGACCGACAAGCATGTGATGCTGAAGACGTGCGTCTTGATATCGGCATTTGCTTTCAAGTTGGACTCGCGATCGAGGAGTGCGAGACTGGGTCGCAGAAAAGCAGAAAGTATGCTCTCGCGGGGCGTCGGCAGGGGATAGAAGAGATTGGAAGGGAACACCTGAAGGAAGTTCGAGGTGACTTGCAGTAGCGATGGGAGGAGAATCGTGCTCCAGGGGAAACTTGATGGGGAGCTCGAGCTACCGCCTGCACCTCCAGACGTTGCCTTCTTTCCTCTGCCTTTCGACTTCGGTGCAGCGGCGCCTGCGCCAGACCCCGACGCCGACGTCGTGTTGGCTACATGATCTGCCATGACAAGCAACCAATTTACCAGGAACGCCCACATCTCAAGAGGTTCGCAATACATCTTCCGTAGTTCCTCGGGCGTGTAGCCATCTTCGTCATCACTGTCATCGAGCATGGTCCCAGTCCGGTGGCCTGTGCTGACGAGCTCTGCATCTCTCTTGATCGCTGCGACTAGCTGCGAGAAGGCAGAGGTGATACCATCTGCGACTTTACTCCTGGCATTGTCCTCAAGGTTCTCGAAGTACTTGAGCACCGTGCGCAGGTTATTCCAGAGGTCCTGTTCTCTAGGTAGCTCCTCTGGCCTAGTGAGAGCGAGCTGATCGATGAGGTTGTTTAGGAGAGCATTTTGCTCGGCTGTGGAGAGCGTTGAGACGTCTATCTCATCGGAAGAGATGCGGTACGAGGACGGAGCCACGGCGTCCAGACCATCGAGCTCTGCCGCGAGGTCGAAGTGTGTGTAGGTACGGAAGGGTGAGTCGTCCATGGCGGCTGACGCCAGAGGGACGATGTAGGGAGGCGCGCGCTAGATCAGAGAAGACAGGTAGGCGCCGAAGGGGAGGATGTATCGAGGCTGGCTCTGCTAGTGGGTCGAGGGGAGCACGTCGAGGTGTTGGTGTAGGTGAGTTGGTGAAAGTGTTGGTTGCCGGCTGTTGTCTGTCCGTGTGTGTGTGCGTGTGTGCGTCTCGCGTTTCCGTTCAGACACGTGGGCGGCAGAGCGGAGCGGAAGCAAAGGAGGCGGAGCGGAGCAACACGACGGAGACGTACACGTAGGAACAAAAGGGCCTCCAGGTCAAAGGACAGCCAGCTGGTACTTCCTTCTCCCCCTGAACGCATCAGATATCTCGAAGCAAGGTTTCAGCTTCCTCTTTATCGTGATGGTGAGTAGACTTGAAAGGCTCTCCAGAGCTCCGTCTGCCGGCGTATCGCTGCTGGAGCTGCTCTCTCACCTCCCCCTCCCTTCCCCTTCTTTCTTTGCAGGAGCAACAAACCAATGCCCCGCCCGAGGCTCGAGCCATTGCTGTCTTCCTGCGCAATTCCTCCCTCGTACCCGTGAGGAATGGTATTCTCGGTGGTACTCGCTACCCGTATTTCCATGGCACCCGGGCCGTAGCTGCTCTGCTCTCTCCCTCATACGCCAAGCTAGCTTCCAAGGCAAAGCTGCCCCTGCCTGTTCCACAGGATGAGGAAGACGCAGAGAGGATCTTGCACGGCATCTTACCGTTTGCTTTTTTCTTGAGAGTGGAGAGAGGAGAGCAGGTTGGACAGCAGAAGAAGAAGGAAGGGGGAATGACCGAGAGGTTGAGGGAACTCAAGGTGGTGCAGCAGCAGATGTTCAAGAAGGAGATGGTGAGTTGCCGTGAGATGGCATGGAGACGATGAGGTCTCGGATGTCAGGCCAAGCTGCTCACCTTGCTGACTCTTCTGTTCACTTCGGCTTTCTCGCTCCTGCTGCCAGCACTACGCCTTCTTCTTCGAGGGGTCACAGCTACGTGTCCAGCTCATGGGACTGGGAATGGTCGTCATCCTCCTGGCCGCCGTGATGTTCCCCCTGTGGCCACCGATCATGCGTCTGGGTGTATGGTATCTGTCCATCGGAGCCCTAGGCATCATCGCACTCTTCTTTGCCGTTGCTATCATCCGGCTCATTCTGTGGGGAGCAACGGCTGTGTTCGGACGGGGGTGGTGGCTGTTCCCCAATCTGTTTGCTGATGTTGGCTTCGTGAGTAGTACAAGACTTGACTTCATTACCCAGACACACACAAGCTGACCCCTTGCGAGCGTTCCATTTCCTTTTTCCTCCACTCTAGGTCGACTCCTTCATTCCCGTGTGGGACTGGGACGTGCCTGCTCCACCCAAGAAGGTCAAGAAGGCAAAGTCGCGACCGCAAATAGAAGGTGGTGAGGGCAGCTCAAAGGCACCGGCAGCGCTCAAGGCTGCAGCAGGCAAGGGCGAGTTAGGCGTGTCATCAAAGGCGGGATCAGGTACCAGCACGCCTGCCAAGGGCAATGGTACTGTGAGTGAGGTGGCTGCTGCCCCTGCGGCAAAGGTGAAGAGAGAGTCAGATAGGCTGGGCGACTTGGATTGAGAGATCAGGAAGTCCTCAAAGCAACGAGGCTCATGAAGACTTGTGGCACTCAGACCTGCAAGCTGGTCTCGGTGGAGCTGCTGCAAGAGCGCCTACTTTGGGGCAGTCGGAAACATCATCGGCCTGCGAATGTCAAGAGAGATCGCGAGCTCTACCATTATATCCTTCATGTCCGTCACTTTCTTGATCTGCACGACCGTCTGACTCTTGACAAGGGTGGTGTAACCGGCCAGGATCGGGTCGTGGCGTGAGTGGTGACGGTGGAATGCGGGAAGAAGTGGGAAGCTTCCCCGCGCGGCCGAGGCGGAGTGAGACACACAGGCGGGGGGCGTGGGTTGGACGTTGAGCCATTTGCAACGGAAACGGTCTCCACCAGCAGCAGCAGCATCCCCTCCTACACCAGAACCCATACCTTGAACACCTCTCTACCCCATTCTACTCTCGGCTCCTACCTTCCACTCCCACTGCACTCACACTCCTCACGTCATGCTGTCCCTGTCGCAAGCCAGCGCGGCTTCTCGCCGGGGTCTGCTCCGAGCAGGCGCAAACACACCTTTGGCCGCACGCCGCTGTCTCTCCACCTCGTCTGTTCTGAGCCGCCCAGCATCGCAACGTCAAACCTCTCCCCTCGTGCAGTCCACTACCACCTCTGCAGCTCGCTCTCTCGCTCCTCGTGGCGCACTACTGAGTCAACAGGCTCGTCTCTTCCATGTCTCACATGTCGCTTGCGCCGAGACGGTCAAGGTGCCGTCAATGGCAGAGTCCATCTCAGAAGGAACGCTGAAGCAGTGGAGCAAGAAGAAGGGAGACTTTGTCAATGCCGACGAAGAGGTTGCTACCATTGAGACTGACAAGGTGAGTGTGCAGTCGCAGTGCAAGTTGACAGCGGCAGTCACACCAGAGTAGACGTCCAAGTCGAGGCGGCGCTGGCAGGAGCTCCTTCTGACTCGGCCCCTTGATTCGTCCTTTGTGCAATCCCAGATCGACGTCACTGTCAACGCCCCGCAATCCGGTACCATTGTAGAGCTTCTAGCCAACGAGGAGGACACTGTCACCGTCGGCCAGGACCTCTTCAAGATCGAGCCCGGAGAGGGCCCATCTGAAGGAGAGAGCAGCAGCAGTGGTGGTGAGAAGGAGGAGAGTAAGCCAAAGAAGGACGAGGGAAGCAAGAAGGAAGAGGACGGCTCTTCAAAGAAGAAGGAGCAGGAGGAGACAAAGAAGAAGGAAGAGCAACAGCAGGCCGAGAAGCAAAAGAAGGAGCAGAACTCGCCTTCGGAGCAACAAAAAGACGACAAGAAGCCATCTCCACAGGGCAAGAAGGACGACAAACCTTCGCCTCCACCCAAGAAGGAGTCTTCTCCCTCGTCCTCTTCGTCCTCTTCTGAGTCTTCGAAGCCCACTGCTGGCTCCCGTGGAGAGCACCGTGTTAAGATGAACAGAATGAGGCTCAGGATTGCCGAGAGGCTGAAGCAGTCGCAGAACACTGCTGCCTCCCTCACCACCTTCAACGAGATCGACATGTCCGCCCTGATGGCCTTCCGAGCTCGTCACAAGGACCGTCTGCTCAAGGAGCAAGGCATCAAGCTCGGCTTCATGGGAGCCTTCACCAAGGCCTGTGCCCTCGCGCTCAAGGAGATTCCTGCTGCCAATGCCTCGATTGAGGGAGATGGACTGGGAGACACGATCCTGTACCGCGACTACGTCGACATTTCCGTTGCCGTTTCGACCGGCAAGGGATTGGTCACGCCTGTCATCAGGAACGTGGAGTCGATGAGCATCATGGAGATTGAGCAGGCGATTGCTGATATGGGCAAGAAGGTGAGTTGACGAGGCAGAGACTGAACAACAGACTAACGAATTGACATTGTACTGACCACATCATCGCGCCTTGACCCTTTCCTTTCCAGGCCCGAGACAACAAGCTCACCCTAGAGGACATGACTGGCGGATCCTTCACCATTTCCAACGGAGGTGTTTTCGGTTCCCTCTTCGGCACCCCCATCCTGAACTCTCCTCAGTCGGCCATTCTGGGAATGCACGCAATCAAGGAGAAGCCATGGGTTATCACTGATGAAGCTGGCAACAAGACCATTGGGATCAGACCGATCCAGGTCGTGGCGCTGACGTATGACCATAGGCTGCTGGATGGTAGGGAGGCAGTCACCTTTTTGGTGAAGCTGAAGCAGTACATTGAGGATATGGGAAGCATGCTGTTGTAAAATGTAGTCGATAGCAGCGAATGGGAGGATTGGAAAGAAACCTCCGCGGGAAGACGAAAGGGTGATAGGGACGCTTTCTTCTCTTTGCACTCATCTACAACCCGACTGAAAAAATCAATAAAGCACTCTCTTGACTTTTCGCGTGATAAGAAACACTTTACGCAGTGTGACAGACAAACAGACAGACTAAGGGACGGCGATGCTGATAGAGACGTGATGTATATGGACAGTGCAGCTGAGCCCACTTTTCGGTATGGAACGGTAAGCCATTCGCTCCGCGGACAGTACAGTAGCGCTCTCAGAAGCTGTCCTTGAGACTTGCTTCCAACAAGCTGCAGAGCGTACGTTGTGCTGTCTGGGAAGTCTATTGCTCTGTGAGCTCGCTTCCTGGTTGGAATGTGTGGCACAAATGTCAGCGAGCCTTTCGACTGTCATCATAGAGGAGAAGTGACTGACAATGCGAGATAGCGATGGTGGCTGTGCGATTAGTACTTGACATCTAGAAAGAGGAGTGCACAAAGGGAACCTTCGTTCGACGAGTCCAGAGAAAGGGTGGCGAGACAATGGGACATCGTTGGAGGCAAGTTGGACCCTCTTGGAAGTCGGGTGAAGCCAGGTCCGAGAGCAGTCACAGAGATGGGGCTGAGCAGGAAGGGTCGTTATCAAGACGTCATGACTCAATGAAATGACGCTGCATTGAAACGCGCGCGGTGCTGGCCGCTGACGAAGGGCAGTGGGATACGGTTCTCTTCAATCTGCATATTGCTTCATCCGGTCATGGATGTTCTGCTCGGTCTGTGAGTCTGGGGGTGATGCTTTCTGCCCCCCTGTCATCGATGCTAGGTGGCAGTTGTCATATCTGTGTGGCAGCCAGAGTGTCGCACTGGTGCGATTGAGAGGTCCGAAGAACGCGCAGACGATCCATGACTTTGGAATCAGCAACGTGTGACAGTGCGCAAAGACCTCAGGTTCTCTCTCACACACATCAGAGGCGGTACTTGGTCTGCCAGTGGGGTTCGAGCCCGTGACGATTTCGTGTTGTTCAGGCACACACTTGCGCCCGTTCAGCGAGGTAGTATCAAAGGATCATGATCTCTGTTCCTTCCTTGAACGTGTAGCGTAGGCTCTGCTCTGCGGACCCCAAGCACACCTTGGTTTGCCGTGAGGTCATGCCTCCCCAGTGCCCATCGCTGCTTGAGAGGCGGGTGCAGCCTTGAACGTCGATATGGGGTGAGAGGGGTCGACGGGCTCGAGGCAAGTGACGAATGTGCGCATGAGTGGTGTGGATTGCTCGAAAGTATCTGTACTGACAGTCGGGGCAGTGTCTCACCACTAGCTGGTAATCGGGCGTGTAGCTCAGGGGTAGAGCGCTTGCTTAGCAATACAGTGTTCACCGCTGCATGAGGCCCGGCGTTCAAATCGCCGCTCGTCCATATCTTTTTGCGTCTTGGCAGGGCGCTGATCTTTTGTTCGCAGAGACATGGTCTTATGCCTACGTTGTCTCAAATCGTCCGAGAGCTTATAAATTGGCTTCACTCATCTCCTAGCACGGCTATCATGCTCTATGTGTACCTTGCACCAACCTCCTGACCGCCTGCCCTGCGTAGCTTTGGCGGATCGCTTGCGTGGTAGGCGGCCGGAACGGATCCGCGCAGCGAAGCTTCTCGTGCACGGCCTTCCGCTCGATTCTTCCTTGTGGTACTCCCCGCTTCCTGCCGCGCTCCTCCCTCCCTACCCCACACTTCGCCAGATCCTCTTCAGTCATGTCTACCTGGAACAAGGTGAGCGACTCGAATAGTAGCAGTACTTCAGTGAAAGGACATCTGCTAACACTCCGCCCCTACCGCTTTGCCTACGGTCTTTACTTGCTTGCAGCACTAGTCAGTAGCTACCTCTACGCCCGGGAAGCCACCATTGCAGTCCTTTCTGACCCTTGCAAACCCCCGCTCCCCCTCGCTCGCCTCACAGCCACTGGAAGACCAAGGGTTGCAATGCCTGGTCGAAGCAATACTTCATCGACCGCCTCGTCTCGCAGCCGGATGCCACCACGTCCTTGCCTTCCGGCCAAGAGCTGTCCATCTCTCGTCTCGACTCCTTCGAGGGCGACGTTGAGCTCGGCAACCGCAAAGGGAAGCTCATCACCATCTACGACGTCGACTTGTCCTTCGTATGGGTAGCAACTGAACCTTCTAGCTCGACGAAGATCGCACAGGGCAAGCTGCGCTTCCCCGAAGTGTCGCACGAGGTGGAGGATCAGGGAGACGAGTACACCTGGGAGAGCACCCTAGACAGCGATGTCGGAGAGGGAGACGCTGCGAAGAAGCAGGAGATCTACAAGGCAGTCAAGAGCGATTTGGTAAAAAAGGTCCTGCCTGTTCTAGAGAAGTTCCGGGCCACGCTGATTGATACCCACGCCAGGGATCTCGGCCACGAAGAGTCTGCTAGTGGGGGCAGTGGAGCTTCCACGCCTGCTGCTGCTACTGCTGCTGCTCCTTCTGCCAAGCCGGCAGCTACATCGAGCTCTGCATCGAAGCCAACCACCACCAAGAGTGGAGTGACCGTCTCCAAGGAGACTATCGAGCTGGAAAGCAGAAATGCGTGCAGTCAGGCAGACCTCTGGGACCTCATGACCAACCAGGCAAGGATACCCATGTGGACACGGGCCCCAGCGCAGGTGAGCAGAAGGGTAGCAGGCGATGATTGCAAAAAAGGAAGCCTCGTTGACCTCGTGCTTCCCTGAATCTCCCTGCTTTCTACAGTTTGTTCCCCTCCCTGACCACGCTTTCAGCCTCTTCAATGGCAACGTCACCGGCAAAGTCGTTTCTGCTACATCTCCCTCTGAGCTGGTGATGTCATGGCGACCACCTACTTGGCAGCCCGCAGACCACCATGGTACTCTCAAGCTCAACTTTGTTCAGCAGGACGAAAGCACGCTTCTGAAGATCAACCTGACTGGCGTGCCCGAGGGAGAGGAAGAGAGCGCAAAGAGTGCCTTGGACGAGTTCTACCTCAACGGACTCAGGAGGCTAGGTCTGGGCAGCATGATCTGAAGCCCGGGCTAGTCGCGACAAGACGGTGATTTTGAGGCGGATAGATGGGCGAAGTGGAACAGAGATGGTGTGAGGCTGAGAAGCCAGAACCGTACAGCTAGACTTCTGCACTGGGGATACAAGCTCCTGAAAGAGGATGCAGCTACGTCTGTCCGATGTGATTTTCAACTTCATCGATAGAACTCATATACATTTCCATACATCCGTACCATCTCCCTCTCTCCTTTTGTGTCAGAGTACAGGAGACCAACACTTTGGCGCGCCACGTGGGACCCGCATGGCCCGGTCGCGATGTGACATGCAGAGGATCAGATCTTCCTGCCACTCCTCCTCGCAGCGCTTCTCCGATTCCTCCTCTGACACCTCGCACATCATCCTGAAGATCCTCCTCCTCCTCCTCTTGACTTGTCGTCAGGATGAACGCTCCTCATCCTTCCTTTCTGTTCCAAGCCGACGATCAAATCGAGCTCGGCAGGAGGAGAGCAGCTAAAGCAGCGCGGCTTTGTGTGCCCTCTTCCTCCTTCCCCTCTGTCGCTTCACCTCCCACTTCCGGCTCCGCTTCATATGCCTCCCTCGGCCACCCAATCTTTCTCGGTACTAAGCAGGACGATGTAGCTGAGCTTGCGCTGGGAGGATCGGGCGCTGATGGAGGGCGGGAGAAGGTGTTGGACGCGCTACTCGAGGTGCCTGCAGCGGGTGGAGCTAGTGGAAGAGGGATGTGGACTGCTGAGAGTGGAGGGATCGTGAGAAGGGTGGACTTGAGTGTAAGTGAGGGCGTGCAATAACGAGGATGAGAGATATGAGCAGCTCTCATGTCCACTCCTCCCCTTCTTTCTCGTTTCCAGACTGGCAAGACGACAGATGTAGTGCTAGCACACAAAGCGCCTGTATCCGCTCTGGCCCTCCTCCCCCTCCCCACTGTTGGTCAGTCGCTCCTCTTCTCCTCGGGATGGGACAAGGTCATTCATATCCATCTCATCGTCCCGCTCTCCCCCTCGGACAAGATCCCTGCAAGCCCGCGACGTCTGAAACCGCTGCTGACCATCGCGGCTGCTTCGACGGACTTTATCAAGGCACTGGAGGTACTGCCTGAGCAGGGGGTGCTGCTAAGTGGGGGAAGCGAGAAGGTCATTCGTATCTGGGACTTGAGACCGCTGATCGCTTGGGCGCAGGGCACACAGGGTAGCCAGGGGGTAGAAGCACCTGTACCTCGATCGGCTGGCAGCTTTGGAGAGCACACGAGGGGGATTACCTGCATCACATCGCTCCCGCCTCCTCCAACAATTGGCAGCTCAACCTCCGCCACTACTTCAGGCGATCTACCTATGAGTACGACCATCTACTCTGCCGACTCGATGGGGCGCATCTTCCAGCTCTCTCTCGACTTGGGCGAGCATGCTGGCAAGACCTCCAACGGCGACACCGCCAGCACTAGCAGGAGCACCGGCAGCTCTTCTCTCCCTCCTCGCGCCCGCCTCGTCATCCAGCGAGAGCTTCGCGGGCCCGAGACGGCCGTTTCGGACATTCATGTAGGCTGGAACGTCCAGCGTGAAGAAGTCGACGATGACGACGACGATGAGGATGGCACTCACAGGCCAGTCACAACAGCCGGTGCTCTGGTGAGAGCGCAAGTGTGGGTAGCAAGCAACGACAAGAGCGTCCAGCTTTTTGTGCCCTTTGAGCGGGATACGCGCTCCTCAAAAACCTCCTCTAGACCATCGACATCAAAGAGGCTCCCTCTGAACGGATCCTCGTCCTCCTCCACCACATCTTCTACGACCCTCTCACGCGTCTCTAAAGTCGGAGCAGCCCTCGGCTCTCAGCCCCCTCTGGCACCCATCCTGGCCATCAGACACCCAGACTATGTCAAGAGTGTACTCCCACTCGCTGTGGCTGCGGCGTCGGAGGCGGGCTTTGGTAGCGCTGCTCTGCCAAAGAGCGTCGTGGTGAGCGGGAGTGCGGATGAGGATATACGAGTGTGGAAGGTTGCGGGCCTGGGGGGAGAAGATGCAGATGCAGAGGACGCTGAAGACGAGGAAGAGGAAGAGACAGGAGACGAAGCTCGGCAGCGATCCCTCGACGGTCAAGTGCAGCGCAGCAGCCCCGCAAAGCTACTCAGACGACAGGAAGGTCACTGGCACGAAGTCGAGAAGCTCCTGCTTTGGTATGGATCGCTTCTACCCGCTTCTGATAGAGGCACAGTCTCCCTCTCCAAGCTCGACCTCGGCCCAAATCACGAAGAGGAAGGAGCCCAAGCTACTCCCTCCCCCATCCCCTCTGTTTCTCAAGAGGAGCAGAGCGCAGGCAAGGAGAAGGCAGAATGGCACATCATCTCAGCCAGCCTAGACGGCTCAATCCGTCGCTGGCCCCTCGCCCACTTGCTAGAGCCGCAGAGCATCGCCGAGCGCACTCTGATCGAGAAGGGGGCGGACGCCCTTCCCGGTGCTGCTCATGCAGGTGCTGATGGCAGTGGAAGTGGAAGTGCCGGTGGGAGCGCTGGCAGCAACAAGGTCAATGGGAGCGGTCCTGCTTCTCAGCCCGGGAGGAAGAGCGGCTCCGGCGCAACTGGGAGTGGAATGACGGCCGAGGAGGAGCGTGAGTTGGAGGAGCTCATGGGGAGTGATTTAGATGAGTGAGTGAGTGAGCGAGTGAGTGAGCGACTGAGGAGCGAAAGTGGAGACTTTGTCAGATGGGTCAGACTCGGACGACAAGACGAGAGACGAGGGACAGAGGACGGGTAAGGGCGGAAAAGACAGATGAAGTCCAATTGAATGATAAGACGAGGCGAGTGGAATCGAGCCGGAGAGAATCGGAGCGAGCTGGTATGAGACGGAGGAGTAATTGTACAATAGAGCAAATCTTTCTCAAAATTGAGACCACGAGAGATCAAATCGAGTCACGAAAGCTACGAGGTACGAGTCGCGTAATTTGGGTATATAGGGACGCATGTCCGTGTCTGTGTCGAGTCCGGGGAGCGTGAAGCGTGCAACTCTCAGATGACCCACTCTTCTCCAAGGGCATAGTCGTCGAGCCTGCAACGAAAGACAGGAGGAGCAGAGGCGAAGCAAGGTCAGAACATCTCCCTCTTCTACCTCCTGCACGACCAGCAGCCAAGCAGTACTCACTCATCATACATCTTCAAGCGCTTCTCCCTCCCCTTGATCTCCAGAGGCGCGTCCTGATCATCGCCGTCGTCGTTGTCTTGGTTCTCCTCGTCTTCATTTTGAGGCCTCTTGGCGCCACGAGCCTTCATCTTCTGCCCTCCTCCGATCTTCGAGCGCGCAGAGGCAGAGGCAGAGGTGGAAGAGCTTGCCACTTTGCTGGCCACTGCCTTTGCCTTAGGCTTAGACTGGGCCTGATCTTTGCCCTTCGCCGTCTTGGCGAGGGCGACATTGCCCGCCTTGCTGGTCGCGAAAGGTCTAGCAGCGGACGTGCTACCAGCGCCAGCAGTACCAGCAGTAATAGCAGGAGCGGCGGTGATGGGAACAGGCACGCTCTTGGAGTTCTGCGCACTTTTGCGACTGCGCTTGCCAGTGGTCGTGACTTCGGGAGTGGACGAGGGAGAGAGCGCACTCCCTCCGTGTTCCTCTTCTTCTTCTTCCTCAGAGGGAGGAACCTGCTCTGCTTGCTTCTTCTTTGAGGATGTCTTGCCTGTGCTGGTCGCCACCGCCGCAACCGAGACTCCTCCACTCTTTCCCTGCCCCTTGCCCTTGACTCCGGCTGCACTTCCCTCCTGAGCATCAGGCACCTTCGGTCCCTTTCTGGGGTTTGGGCGACGAGGCTTCTTGGTCGGCTTCTTCTTATCGCCTCGCGGAACTTTCGGAGCATAGAGGTAGTCGTCGGTATCCATCGAGGCATCGTCGTCCGAGAATACAATCTCGTCCTTGTCGGCAGAGGGTCGAGCCAGATCAGATGGGGACGAGCGAAGCAACGCTTGCAGCGAATCTTGGTCTATGAGAGAAGAGACCTGCGAGGCTGGCTGAGCGGGGTGGAAGGAGGCGAGGGAGCTGATTTCGTCCTGCTGCTCCTCGTGAGCCGAAGCGGGCTTCCTCTCGTCATCGAAGTGTACTCGCTCCTGAGATGGACCCGGCAACACCTCTCTGCGTTGCTTGGCCTTGTTCGCCGCGCTCTTCTTGAGTACAGTGTAGAAGCCGAATTCATCCTCTTGATCTCCTTCCGAAGTGCCCGTCGTCTTGCTTCTCCTCCCCTCGGAAGGCTCCTGATACTCCTCAATGGGTGGAGGTGCCAAGCTAGAAGCAGATCCTCGATGCTGTCCGCTATTACCGACAAACGACCTCACCCGCTCGAGCTTGTTCTCGGTAAGCTGCCGTCGAGTCTTGGCCTCTTCGCTATCTTCGCTTCCGGAGGGTTTTGCAGGCCCGAGCTGACCCTCGGCATCGCTGAGCATCTCCTCATCGAGCAAAGACTGGAAACGGCTTTTCTTCGTCGCTTGCGGTCCTTCCTTGCCCTTGGCCGCAAGAGAATGAGCATGAGCAGGAGCAAGGGCAGGGGAAGCAATAGGCGTCGAGTGGGCAGGCGCGTCTTTGGTCTGGATCAAGGAGCTATCGGCGGGTATAGCTGCCGTCGAGACGCGAGAGTCATCGATGTAGGAAGCCTCGAACTCGGCAAGGGAGTCGACGCTCGGCTGGCGCTGCTGGCGCTGCTGGCGTTGAGGCAAGGCGCGTCGACGTGAGGCAGGCAAGGGATCGTTCTCTTGGTCTTCGGCGATAGGTGGTGGTGGTACAGTCGCGACCTTCTTGGCAGCAGCTCTAGAGGTGGGCGTGGTACTTGTAGATGTAGCTGGCTTGCCGATTGAGCTCTTGGCTGTAGATGAGCTGCTCGAAGCTGTCCTCGTATTGAGTTCCTCAAAGGCCAGTGGCGCTCGTCTAGTACGCGATGAGGTGCGAGTGCCGGCATTGGCAGGCGAGGAGCTGGCCGGCTCTGCGGGGGCGACCTTGGCAGCTGTTCCCCTCTTAGCGGCGCTCTTGGCTCTTGCCGTCGGCATGGCTGCTGACTGATACAGAGTCTTCGAGGTCCTCGTACCTTGTACCAGTGAGAGCTTTCCAGGACAACGTCTGTAGCTGCTGAGGTGTGCTTGGTTGGTAAGGACGGAAAGAGGGTCGCGTGTGGAGAATCGATTCCTCGCCGCCTTTCCGTCTTGCAGATGGAAATCTAGACTGAATTGCCCCGCCCACCTTGGCTTTGATCCTCGGTCCATCTGACCACGACCACCACCACCTCGAACCTCGTAACCTCAATACATACAGACATGGCATCCGTAAGTCAATCCTCATCCTCCTACCGACTACAAGCAAGACGAAATCTGACAGCACTTACCTCCTGCTCCACAGAAATCCACCAGCAGCAGCAGCAAGAGCGACCCGGACCAAATCACTCTCATCTCCGAAGAAGGCGACTCTTTCAAAATCTCACGCGCCGCCGCCTTACGCTCAGGGACTATAAAGTCGACGTTGCAGGGGACTTTTGTAGAGAGTGAGACGAACACCGTCAATTTACAGATTCGGTGAGTGGGCTTGAGTGAGAGGGAGAGAGCGAGCAAGGAGGAGGAAAGGTCGGGATACGGAGAGGGATGGTGGGGGAAGAAACTATAGCAAGGTCAAGGGTGGCAACCAACTCCAAACAAATCCAACTCACTCCCCTTCCCTCCCCATCCCCCTACTGCCTACTCACTCAGCTCCCCCGTCCTGGAAAAAGTCGTCGAGTACCTAGAATGGGCTCACAAATTCTCCGGTGCCTCCGAAGGTACGCGCGTTCCGGATTTCGAAAAGCAAATCCCACCTGAGCTGGCCCTGGAGCTTTTGATGACGGCGGATTTCTTGGATGTTTGATGAGAGGTAGAAAGAAAGAGGGGACGGTGTTGTTGTATATAACTTGTCTGGAGGGAGGTCAAGGGAGATAAATAGATGGGAAGCTCATGAAATGTATGCATACAGACGGACGGACACAAAAGCGCTGATTAATTGATAGGCTACGATTTAGTACCGGGTCGCAATAGCGTTCTAAAGGATACGGATATCAAGCCCTGCCTCTGCCTTTGCAGCTCAAGTTTCTTTTACCCAATCCTCTACTCGTCCCTCCCAATGATCTCCACCTCCCAGTCACCCCTCACCAGCGCCCTAGGATCCTTGATCACCAGCCTACTAGCCTTGCTCGGCGTGGCTCCACCTTTTGACTTCTTCCGTCCAGCTCCAGCTCCCGCCGCCTCTCCAGCAGTCCAGGTAGTACTCAAAACATCCTCTCCACTACTGCTACTACTGCTCACACTACTTCCTGTGCTGCTACTCAGGAGCAGATCCCCCTTGACGCGAACTTCGTACCCGGCCTTGCGCTCCTCTAGACCTAGGACGATAATCTTCTCGATGCGGACCTCGCGAATCGCTTCGGCGAATTCGTTGCTGGGGTCGTACGGTGGGCTGAAGCCTACGGCCGTTGAAGATGAAGGGGAAGACGAAGAGGCAGCAGCAGTGCCTTCACTGGCGCGCAGCATAGTCTCATCTCGTGACTTGATTACATGGCGTTTTCCACCACGCTTCGTCTCGAACGTAAATCTTCGCCAGACAAAGGCTCCCTCCTTGTAGTGGTACGTCTGTCCATCGTCGAGGTAGAGAGTGCCGCTGGCCCTGACACCCTCGGGAGAGTCGGCTTCGTCGTCTAGGGCGATGATCAGGGTGACTGGATCGCGCCAGCCTAACTCGGCGGCTCGCCTCACCCGCTCCCTCAGAGGGAGAATCGATCCACCTCGCTGAAGAAGTGGCGCTTGGTCGCCGAGAGGTGCCTCTACAGGCACTCGATTGTCCTTGCTGGGAGAGTGCGCTCCCCTGTACACTTCGCCAGTGAAGAAGTTGTAGTAAGGTCGATTGGCATCCGAGAGGTAGATGCTCACGTGGTCCACACCTTCCTTGACAGCCGGCTTGACCAGCAGTCCAGAGTCACCAATGTAGTACTGGTCATCAATGTCCAATCCCGCTTGATCATTGGGGAACATGAGGAATTGAGGTCGCAGTACCGGCAAGCCACTACCTTCGTCGGACGCCTCACGGAAGGCAGTGGTCCAAATTGGAAGCATCTTGTACCTCCATCTAATCAGCTCTCGCACCCAGCTCTTGAAGGGCTCTTCGAGTAGGAAAGGTTCGCGACGCTTCGTGTCGATGTGTGCGTGAGCTCGGAAGAAAGGCTCAAAGATACCCGCTTGGTACCATCGTGTGAGCATCTCGGGCGAAGGATCGCCAAAGAAACCGCCGATGTCGGCTCCGCAGAAGCTCATGCCGGCAATGTTGTTGGCGAGGATCATGGGGACACTGACGGCGAGGTGTTCCCAGGTGCCGAGATTGTCGCCGGTCCAGATGGCTCCAAAGCGCTGGGTACCCACCCACCAAGCTCGACTCAGCACAAACGGCCTTCGCTCCAGCTTCAGACCGCTGCCTTCTCGGGCTCTGAGCGCTTCGTGCGTAGCAGCGTGGAAGAGTACACCATTGATGTTGTGGATATCGCGGTGCTCCCAGCCTCCGTGGTGCTTGACGTCCTTGGGAGACGTGACCTCGGGTCCGTTGAAGATGGCAGGCTCATTCATATCGTTCCAGATATGAACGTTCCGCGCATTGGCTCTAATGGGGCTCTTGCCCTTTGAGTCTAGCGTGTACTGCTTTTTCCACCAGGTCGTGGCCAGAGGATTGAACATGTCAAGCCAGCTAGCACTACCGCTCCAACACCAACCTTCATATTCTCCGTTCCCACCGGGAGACTTGACAAGCACCTCATTTGACTTTGCCTCAGAATAGAGCCAGTAGGAGTCTGTGCGCTTCAAGTGAGGATCGATGATGATGACCAGCTTCCTGCCCCGGTCATCCAATCCCTGCACCATCTTCTCCGGATTGGCAAAGTTCAACTCATCCCAGACTCCGTACATGTGGTCCTTTGAGTACTCGATGTCGAGCCACATGACGTCCATCGGGATGTCCTCCTCGTCGAAGCGAGACTGGACATTGAGCACATCCGAATCGCTCATGTAGTTCCATCGACATTGGTGATACCCAAGCGCAAAGGTCTGAGGAGCAGTCGACCTTCCGACCAGCTCAGTGAACTTCTGGATATTCTTCGCAGGCGTATCGTCTAGCATAATTAGCAAATCGAGAATGCCCGACTCCGCGATCCAGTGAGTCTGGCTACCAGTCCTGGTGCGCTCAATGTCGATCCAAGTCTCGGCTGCACTGAGGAAGAAGGCTGACACGGCACTGCTTGATGACTGTGCATGCATGATCGGCACGCTTCCATACAGAGACATTGCGCTGTCTGCATCGTACTCGAACACGTCCGTGTTCATCAGACGGTAAGGATCGGTGAAGTCGCCTTCCTTATGCCCCTTTGTGCTGCGAAGATTGAGCGGCGAGGCATGTTCTGGAATACCAAAGAGGAATTGTTTGCCAGGGAAGGAAATGTCCAAGGACAGTGCTTCGGGTCCCTTTGGCTTCGAGTCGGGCTTCTTGTCCCACATTTCTTCCCACTCGCCGCTGTCGTGCTCCTCAAAACCAGCCCACTGCTGCGCTTGCGAGGCAGAAGCTCCTCGCTTCTGGAAGACCAGAGCGGGCTTCTCATCTGAAGCAGACTTGTCACTGTCTTTGTCATCTTGATCGCCTTCTGACTTGACAGGCTTGGGTCGGAAGTGCTCCATGTGCAGCAGACCTCGCTCATTGAGAATGACCTGGGGCTCGCCAGCGCGGTAGAAGGTGGCCTTGAATGGTTCGTACTCAATCTTGACAGAGTGAGACCCTTGAGGACCGAAACTGAAAAGTGAAAGCGAATCGAAACCGCAAGGTGAGATCTTGTGTACACTTCGCAGCCATCTTCCACCGCCCTGCACTCACGTAGCAACCGTCTCTCGATCCTTGTGCTGCACGTCCACCTCCCCTTTACCTGCAATTACTGGCTCCCTCTCATACGCCCACTTTCCCGCTTCGTCATACCTCTTCCACCCTCCGAACTTCTCTCCCACCTGGTCCATTCTCACCCTTGCAGTTCCATCGCGATGGAAGGTGAAGCTGATCTCAAACTGCACATCCGGGTAGAGGGCGCTCTTAATCGGGGAGCTCAATGTAGCCTTCTGAACGTCGAAAGTCGGAGGAGAGGAGGAAGAAGGGAGAGAGTAGGGAGAGGAAAAGTTCTTGACACTCGAGGTGTAGCTGGAGAGACGACGTAGACGACGGCAGAAGGACGAGTCTGCGCATTTCTTGAAGTCGTGATAGCGCACCGCTTGGGTCGGCGAGGTGAAGAGGAGGAGAGAGGTGAGGAGGAGAGAGACAGGAAGGAGCAGCCGCAGCAGCGTCGAAGAGACCATCATGATGAGAGAGGGATAGGATTGACGATCTGTCCTGACCTCTGAGATGAGATGATGAGATGGTGAGATGGTGCCGAGCAGAGCAGAGCACTTTGTCGCTCGGCAATGAACTCGAAGCATTTCTTCCCTCAATGCACTTGGCTTGACCGCGTTTCTGCACAGACCCTCTCGCCGCGTGCCAGCTCAGATTTCAGCCACCCGACGACCGACAGGCAGACAGACACAGACACAACAGCGAGTAGCGATGTTTGCATTTGAACACAAGCAGACAATGATGTACAGATGATGGTGATGATGACGAGCGCTTGTGTATCCAGTATTGCGGCTCCTTGCTCTGTCTCCTCAGCTGCTTTGGTTCTTGATGATGCTTTCCACTTCTCTCCTCGGCTTCAGCCACGTCAAAAACGAAGGGAACTGCGAGCTAGACCCTCCTCCCCAAATCCTCTCTCTCACACTCGTATTCCCAGCCGTAGTCCCCACACTCTCATCTCCGTCTCCTACTTCTTCGCCATCCCCTCCATCCTCTTCTTCCTCTAGTTGTGCCCGCTTCTTCTCGATCAGATAGTTGCAGAAAGCAATTAGGTGCGCGTATCGCTGCAGGTAGTTGGTCCAGACCGTAGTGAGGTGTCTGCGCTTCGTGCTTCCCGGCTCGGCATTCTCGGCCCTCATCTTCGAGTCGTAGATGGCCTTGCGCAAATTCTGTACAGCCTCCATGCGATCGATGGCAGAGTCGACCAATCGTTTGGCGAGCTTGCCGTGAGAGAGAACTCCGACAAGCTGCAGGATGGAGCGGTACTCTCCTTGCAGCCATAGCTCGTCTTCTCTATTGTCCAAGAAGTCTTTCGCTCCGTCCATCCGAGGGCCACCGGTGATGCTAGCGGCCAAGTCTTCGTCATTGTTGGACAAAGCGATGCTAGCTCCCATGTCTGCGTTCAGCAGTTCTTCTCCGTAATGGTGAACCGTGCTGATCAAGCTAGCAATGACCATGCCCGTGGTCGTTCGGCCTCGACCCATCTGACAATTGAAGGCAGTGATCGAGTGCCCTCCGTGGCCGCCGTTGTCGTCCTTGAGCGCCTTGAGAACCCGCTGCTCGATTTCACTGAAGACGGCAGGCACAGGGGCCTGTTCGTCAGTCACAGCCACACGCGCGTAGTCGACGCGATAACCCTCGCGCTGCACCAGCTCGTAGACCTCGCGAGGCGTGAGAACGTCTCCAGGCTTGATCGACTCCCATACGGGGATGATGTCGAATTTACCAGGCTCAATCTCCACTTCGTCGTGCAGCAGGATCCGCCCGTCGCGCGATGCCGCTTCCTGGAGGACGTCATTCTTGAGGGCAATCTCTTGCCTCTCCACCGTCTCTGTGGTGATACCCGTTGCCTCGAGGTTCGTCAGCGGCTGATCAGCTAGACGGAGAACATGAGGTCGGCCTCGAACGTAGCACACCGGCTCTTCGCGGAGCGACGTCCAGTACACGGACGTCTTGTTCGTCGCATCGCCATTGTTGAGACAGCCCATCTTGTTCAGACCGCGGCGCAGACCATCAATCGAAGGCATGCCCGAGCCATAAGTCGTCTGGTCTGAAGCCGTCACTTCTCCGTCTTCAGTCGAGGGAGCGATGAGAAGCGGCACAGATCGCAGATTGGGAATCCCTTCGATCTGCGACAGGCTGACTTTGGCGATACCACTGAAGAAGTCAGACTTGAGCATAGTGTACGCCGTGAGGATAGAGCCATGACGGTTCGCAACGACTTCGTTGACCTCGTCGTCCAACGCCATTCCATCCGCAGCCTCTATCCGCTGCAATGGAGTAATCAGGGCCATGCTGACCTTGTCGAACTCCTTGCTGATCGTGCTCAGCACCGGCTGGCGACGTACAAATGACTCAAAGGTCGGCATGTCATCAATAGTATCGGGTGTAGTAGCATTGAGATACGCCTGGAAGACGATCAGAGAGTAGTATCTCTTTAGTGCTTGACACCCTGCCGAGATCTTTGCCTTTCGTTGAGGGCTCTCAGGGTCTTCGATCTCCTCCGCAGCCAGTCGAGACTCCTCGATCGAGTCCCTGAGGTTGATGATGGAGCCTGCCCTGTCCACGGCATCATCGACGGTCTCTTTGACTTGCAGACCATAAGGTGTCACGCGGAGCAGACTGTTGATGAGATGGTAGCTCAGGCGAGGTCTACTCTGTGGAGCTTCCTCTGCCTGCTCGTCATCGCCGTCAAGCTCGGCAAGACGCGAAGTCTGAGATTCCGATGGGCCGCTGCTGTGTTTGTGGAGCCACTGCGAGATGAGAAGAACGATGACCGATGCCAGCGTACTTCTTCCTCGTCCGAGCTGACAGTTGATGACAATCGAGCTCAAATTGCCTTGAGCTCTCAGTACCGTCTCCAGAATCGACCCAACGTCTTCGAGATCAGCCGACTTCTCTGCTGTTAAAGGAATGCGGCGGAACATCAGCTCTGCAGAGCCAGCACTGCCATGGCCCGCGTCGTGTGGGGCGTCTTCCGCAGACGACGGGCCCAGCGGGATCGTGCCACTTTCGATCTCGCCTGCTACAGTCGCCATTACGTCTTGCAACGTCTGCACATCATCGGCCTGAACTTCAGCCCAGACAGGGTATACAGTGCCATTCTCATCCTCCGAGTGCAGCAGCAGACGACCATCGTTCTGCTCCAGCTCATTGATCACGTCTTGCTTGAGACGTGCTTCCACCATCTGGAGTCTTGTCCACGAGATACCTCCGTAGGCTTTGATATTCCTCAACGATAGAGTTGAGTCTCGCAAGACGTATGGCTTGCCGGAGACGAAGAGGATGGGCTCTTCTCGCAAGTTGATCCAGCCGACCTTCTTGACCTCCTTGTCCGCATCTGCCTGCTCAGAGTGTCCTAGCTGCTCGCCAATGGACCTCAGCACATTTCGGATGCCGTTCACCGAAGGCTGACCAGTGGCCCAGATGGACGTATTGGGTACTCTCCGTAGATTGATGGCGCCTGGGACATCCATGACCCCAAAGTGGGGTTGCTGGGCTCTTTGCGCCTGCCAGATATCTTCCTTGAGCAAGGTACCTGGCCGAAGCACGATACCCGCCCGCGTACTGACATGGTGCTGTGCGAACTCATCCCCTGCCGTCATCTGGTCTTTGCCGGTGGGGAGTCCGATTGCCGAACGTGACGAGTGGGACGGAGCTGAGGTCAGCTGGCTCAGGTCATGCACGGGATCGAAAAGGTACAGCTGTCTTCCTTTGCTACGTATCCGCTTGACAGTGTTCCAAACCTCGGACCTCTTCTTGAGCCAATCTGCAAAGCTATGCTCGAAGATGGCGCTCTGAGACCCAGAGACGTAGGACGCAAAGGCACAGAGGAAAAAGTATTTTTCAAGGGCCCGCACTGCCTTGTCTAGCTGAAGAGCTGCTACTCGAGAACGAGCATTGTTGGACTCCGACCCTGCCAGTGCATAGCTCGCACGATTGAGCAGGATCTCTTCTCTCAAGTTCGTGAGATGGGCAGCCGAGTCGATCGCGACATCGACGACGACCTTGTCGTCGAGGCCTTCATCTAGGATACCGCACAGAGCGCGCACGATATTGAGATCACCGACCAACGCCCGCCTGAGAGGATCGAGTAGACCAGGGCTCCCCAGAAGTAAATCAACAGGAGCAGTAGAGCCGGCAGTGCCAAGCAGCTTGACAAGTCGCAAGAGAGCCTGCGCTTGAACTTGCTTCTCATATGTAGCCCGCAAGCGCTTGGCCATCGATGCATTCGCTTTGTTGTCGACGTTGCGACGCACCGCATCAGGTCTCGGGGAAGCAGTCATCTCGGCCAAGGAGGCCCCTCCGCCTTCAGTGAGGTCAAAGGGGTCGGGCTTGCCCAGCAGAATGAGCTGACGCCGGCGCACAATCTGCGCTGCTACCATGGCGAAGGTGGTACGAGTGAAACCTGCGCCACAGTTCGCGACTACACAAGTGCGCAGGGGGTCCAGGTTGCGCAAGATGCGAGTATATGCGTCGAGATAATTGTGCTCAATGGGCTGGTCCTGTCCGATTGGTACTCTGTGGTAATCAACACGCCATCCTTGCGATCTGAGGTCATCAAATACCTCCTTGATAGTTTTGACGCTCTCCTCATCTACAGCGATCCAGGTCGGCTTCAGAGAAGGACCCTCGCTCTCCATATATCCACCTTCCTCCTCGTGGCACATAATGAGACCTCCGAACCTGCTTGCCTCTCTGATCACATCCGCCTTCAGGCGAGTCTCGATAGCCTGCAGATTTTCAGCTCTTGATGATAGCGAGAAAGAGCTGGCAGGGTTACTGTGCTCGCGCAAGACGAAAGGGCGCGCGCCAATGTACAAGACAGGCTCGTCTCTAGTACAGAACCATACAGCTTGCCTTGGCTCCTGCTGAGGTGCATGGTATCCTTGAGGACCGAGATTGGGCGAGCGAGCGGGAGGAGTCGAGTTCGAAGATCTCCGTCCGCCCAGAGCATCATTATCGTAGCTGTGTGGCCCTCCCGGGCTCAGAGTGCCAGAGACATGCCTGCTTCCCGATTTGTGCGGCTTCAACGGAGGGGAGATAAAGGAAGGCCGTGGCGATGAGGAAGCCAGGGTAGCTTCTGAGTGAGAGGCAGAGCGCGTCCACTGCCTGGATGCCGTTCCGTTGCTCGGAGTGAACATTGGGTTGAGGGGCGTGACCTCTAACACGGTCAAGATCGTCTTGATGCCGGTGATTGTTGGTTGAGCCACGCCGTACACTTCGGTAGGAGTGTCAGCTTTGCGAAAGCATGGAGCGCCTTGGAGCGAAAGGTCAAGGCTCGCGGGTTGGACTGAAAGCAAGGGAGAGATACACTGTGTTAGCTTCTCCGATGGTGTGACCAAGCTAGTGGTAGCATGCATTCACTCACCTCTGGTGCCCTGGAACTGGTCCGTCTTGAGCACGAGGCCTCTGGTCAGAACGCTACCCTGCCTTCCCCGCACTACGGTCGTCTCTCTCGCCTTTGCTGACCATAGCGTGGTATATGAGCTCAGCTTTGCCTTGACATCCTTCAGAGCTGCGAGGTCGTCCTGAACCTGGGAGTGCCCATCCGCACCGCCGAAGCGCACGTGGGGAGGCTGAGAGGGAGGGGAGGGAGCCGGGGGGAGCTGAACGTCGTGAGGCGGCTCTTGCAGGGCGGCATGTATTGATGACCTCTGGGGGTCGTCTGATGCCATCACTCGTACGATGGGGGCTTGAACAAGGCGATATGGATCGAGAAGAAGGAGTGATCGTCGTCGTTATCGCTTCCCTTGAGTGCCAAAGTGTTGCTCTCTCTCCCGGCGCTGCTGCTTTCCGCCCCTTGGTGCTTCCGCGGCGTGCCGCTTCCGCTTCCGCTCCTGTCGCCCATCAACGCGAGAATAGAAGCACCGCGAGGAGGTGAGCCGCCTGAACCATACCATACCAATGCAATGATGCGGGGGTGATCGGTACCGAGTCGGGCCACTGTCTCACCTTCCTCATATCTTGACGTGTCGCCAATATTGCTGCTGCCAAGTCAGAGCTTCACTGCGATGCCGCTCAAGAAGGGCAAGCCGCCCAAGGGTAAAGGCAGACACAAGCCATCAAAGCCAAAGAAACCAGAGCCGGTCAAGCTCTCCTCGTCTGGCAGACCGATCAAGAAGCCTCGATGGGGGAGCAGCTCTGACGATGGTGGATACAGCTCCGGCTCTTCCATCTCAGGAGGATCCCTCCATGGCTCTGACTCGGAGGCGAGCTTGGGCTCATGGGATACCACTGATCAGGTCAGTGCATTTGCGCAACCCGTATACCAAGCTGGACAGGAGTTCGAGATTGATGCGGTCCTCAGATGGCGGAGACACCCGAGGAAAGGATACCTCCAGTACCGGACGGCATGGACCAATTTCCCTATCTGTGAGTAGCATCTGCAGAAGCTGCAGAGAGTGCGACCTCGGGGCGCTGACTGACTTGATGCTGCACATACTGCATCCACTCAGATGATACCACCTGGGAGCCAGAACAGATGTTCGATGACCGCAAGATCATCAGTCGCTTTTGGAAGAGGCAAGGTGGACGTCCAGATGATGTTCCACCTCCCCCTCCGAGCGACGATGAAGGTCCCGTACTCGATCCGGGAGAGGAGACAGAATCCCTCAAGCTCAACAAGGGCGCCATTGGCAGACAAGCTCGAAAGAAGCTCAGAAGAGAATACCGGAGAGACAAGGTGCAGCTCAGAAGGCATTGGCAGACTGTCGGTACCAAGGGCGCTGGCGCAGAATCGGATTCAGAGAGCTCAAGCGATCTGTCGTCTGCCTCTTCAATGATTCCGAGGAGAAAGACGCGCTTGGCTATATCGGATGATGAAGACGACGTCCCGAAGATCAAAAGGGCCAATGCCCTTCCGAGAGCTGAGAGTAAAGCACGGGTACCGGCAGCTAGCAGCGACATAGAGGACGACGAAGACGCACACCAGGTCAACAGCACTCTCTTTGTGACACCGTCCAGGAATACCCAGAACGCGGCTATAGCTGGCCGGGCGTCCACAGCTCAGAAAGGCAAACGCCCTGCTCCGTCTTCCTCGACACTGACGAGTGACAGTGGCAGTAGCGACAGCGACAGCGACGCTGTCACGGCGGGTCCCTCATGTTTGGCTGAACTGCAATCAGTGACTGCGCAATCATCAAATCTGTCATCGGCACTGCAAGCCGGGACTTCTGCGGTGTCTCAATCCGTCGGTGCAACGCCTCCACAGAAGCCGCCATTAGCTACTCCAGCTACATCTTCCTCTTCCTCCGCAGCAGTAGCAGCAGCAAGGAAGAAGGACAGGCCGTTAGCAGCTGCCTCGCTGCAACGTGTGAAGAATCAGATCAAGTCCAAGCCGAGCCTAGGGCAAGATAAAGCCTCTACTACCGTCCGCGGCCCCCCGACGCCAATTAGGCCTACGGCAGACCAGACCAGCGGTAGTACAAGCGCCACTGAGGCAGCTACTGCAACGAGAGCAAGTGTGGAATTGACTGCGAGCAAAGCACCCGAAATTCCACTCGCAACGAACAAGGATACCACTGCTGCATCAATCGGACCTACGACACATCTCAAAGCGCCACCGACCACCTCAAGTGGCAGTCTGCTGGATCTCATTGCCGGTCCCGTCAACGCACGATCTGCAAGCGCACAAACTCCCTCCGCTGGACCAGCGAAGAGCTCAGGTGCCTCTGGAGCAACGCCAACAGATGCAGCCGTGACAAAGGGCTCGTTTCGAGGAGCGCACAAGAACCTCAGCAGAATCGGGCTGCTGCCTGATGCCCCGCCACCTGTGCTGGCTAAGCGGGGGCAAGCTGCGCTCCGGGGCAGGGGAGGCATAAACGCAACTCCTGCGAGGGCGGACGGATTCGTTCCACCATCGCCCGCTGTGGCTGCTGCGAAGGCTGTAGCCCCGAGTGTTGCGACTGCAGATAAAGATGTAGCGACTGGAGTTAGCGGCGTGGCTGCAGCTGCTCCCAGCATCGGCCAGACGGCTCCCTCGGTCGCAGACACAAGTGCCCTTCCTCAAAGCGCTACTGGAGCCTCGGCTGCCCCAAGCATTGAACAGGGTGTTTCGACGGCTGCAAATGCACCTGTCTCTTTTGCTGACGAGGCTGAGGACTTTGCAGACTTGTCGGTCGCCCCTCAAGCGCCACCGAACAAAGATTGTACTGCAGGAAACAGAGGAGACGCATCACCTGCCAGGCCAAGCGCTTTGCCCAAAACGCCTACCGGTCCCCGCGCAGATTCGGGTGCGGAGGGGAGCAAATCGAGCTCGGCGAGGGCCACCGGATCCAATGCTGCTCCACTCGGGCAACCGGTACCGAGCCCGACCTGGCGCAATCGGACGTCTCAGTTTGGACAACCTCCACCGTGGCAGCGCGATTCGTGGTTGGAGCGACCAAAGTGGTGGGGCCAGAGTCACTACGCGAGTACGTGGTACGCTGCCCTTCAGCAGAGGTGGGATCGCCAATCGCGCCGCTCGCCCCCTGTGCAAGGGAGTGGGGGCCGGCACTGGGAGATGCGACAGCGCGAAGCAGCACCCCACGAGCCCAATGACTCTCCACCGGCTCAACCCCCACCGCCACCTTCCTCTGCCTCCTCCCCTTCTGCTTCTGCTCCTGCTACGCAATCACGCCCATCTCAAGTGCAAGATCCACGGAAGGCGAAGCTCATCGCTTCCAATTCAAGCGCCGGGCATGAGCCAGGTGGCGGCGGCAACACAAGTCCCAGGTCGCCTCGGACTTTTACAGAGCGAAACGGCAGTGCCAGCGGGACTGCCTCGCCGCAGCAGCCGGCTCCGTCCGGCGCAGTGAACAGTGTTGGGGCAGGTGGCACTGCATCTGATGATGCTCATGGGAGGGAGGAAACCCGGCCTCGTGCACCACAATGGATGGAGACGTGGGCGAAAAAGAGCGGCGCGGAATTGGTCCCTCCGGCTCCTTTGCGTCCGCCGTCCAGACCTCCTTGGGAGGATCAGACGCGGAGAGCTTATGCTAGACTTCCTTGGTAAGGGCAGGAGGAGGAAGAGAAAAGAGTAGAAGCAATCCGCATTCTGAGTGTGTGTGTGAGAGAGAGAGAGGACAAAGGCGTGTACATTGTAATACTATTTCTCATTGATACCTTTTCGGACCTTGGAGCCTAGGTGTGTGTACAAATGACTGCATGTGTGTGAATGAGCGAAGGTGCAATAGTGCGATCAGGGGATGAGGTGGGGCAAAGTGGGGCAGCACGGTCAGATTTGTCTAGTCTATTCAGGCAGAAAGTTGGAAGAGTGTGCGAAATAGGAATTAAAAGGTAAAATATCTTTGGTATGTAGACGAAACACGTGCTAAACTGCAATAGCTGTCTAACATGATTGAGAAACACTGTGACAAAATCAGAGGACCAAAGCATGACGCACTTCCCCCTCCCTCACTCTATCTACTGCACTTGACCCCTAATCTATCTGTAGCTCTTGACCAGTTACCAATTACGACTTGACAATCTCGTCTTCAGCCCTCACGCGGGCCTCTCCAGTAACGTGCAAAGGTGGCTCATCGGTGACGCAATTTTGCTTATCGTTGAGCTTGTAGTCGTTGAGTAGAAGACCCAGAACGATGGGAACAGCCGACAGGGCAATTGCGACGGTGAGGAGGGTGTGGAAGTAACCATTCCAGGCTTCGATGAGCGCTGTACGCTCAGGTGTACCCAGAGGGTAGCTGATAATCTCAACCAAGGGCTGGGCGTAAAGGTTGGCCTGTACCTCGGCGGTGGCTCCGGGTAGGTAGCGGGCGATGAGAGTGGGCAGACGCTGGGCCTGGATAGTACCCAGAAGAGCTGTACCGCAGGCACCACCGATCTCAGTAAGGAGAAGCACAAAGGCAGTGACCATTGCGACGTCCTGGTGAGGTACAGAGACCTGAGCTGCAACCTGAAGAGTGACTCCGAGGAAACCACCTCCCATACCCTGAAGAATCTGACCCATGACCAGTTGTGCCGTTGTGGCATTTGCGGTTCGGAAGGCGATCATGATGCCCAGACCGATCATACGGATGCAAGCTCCAGCCACGAGGGACCACTTGTACTGACGAGTCCAAAGGTTAATGAAACCAACCATGATTCCAAAGAAGGTCAGGCAAAGAGACTGAGCGTTGGAAAAGTAGGTGGCATCACCCGAAGTCCAGCCCTTGAGGATCTGAACGTAAGAGAAGGAGGAAGTCCAAGCGAGGTAGAAGCTGAAGAAGTCGAAGAATCCAATGAAGGCGGGGATAATGACATTCTTGTTGAGGATGTAGCGGCGTCGGATGACGGGCTTGGGTGCCACGAGCCACTCCCAGAAGCCGATGCTGACGATCAGAACACCACCCACGACAAACATAGCGATGATGTAGTCGGTGTTCCATCCGTTGGGAGCGTAGGTGTAGAGCGTGAGAGGGAGCAAGATCAAGATGAATCCTGCGGCGATGAGGAAGAGACCTCCGAGGTCAATGTCGTCAACAAAGGCCTTGAGTCCTCGGAAGAAGGTCATCTGCGTGTAAGGGTGGGCGGGAGCACGGCCTGCCTTCTTGACCTGACGTTGGCTTGAAGCCAGGGCGAAGATGATGGGACTGATGGCAATGGGGAAGACGATGCAGAAGATTCCAGGGCCCCATCGCCAAGTTGGCGAGTTGAAGAGCGCGCCGTAGAGACCTTGAACGAAGCGTCCGCTAACGGCGAAGTTCATGAGGTATGGCCACGAGAGCAGACCAATGGCAGCACCACGCCATTTGGTGGACACGGCATCGGCGATGATGATCTGCAGCATGATCTGTGTACCGGTGTTGCCGACGGCGTAGAAGAAGACTCCTGCGGCCAGAGTGGAAAAGTTTTGGCAGGCGGCCATGAGGATGAAACCGAGCACGTAGAAGACGAGCGAGACTGCGAAGCCCTCGGCTCGTCCGAAGACATCGGCAATCTTGGCAACTGGGAACTTGAGGACGGCAATGACAACTTGCTGCAAGACACCCAGTGTGGGGTAGAGGACGAAGTTGTTGGTCGCCTGGGCACCAGCGTAAAGCGTTGCGTATGTAGTACCGTTATCGAGACCGCAGAAGTACGTAGTGAGGAAGATACTGCGAGGTGGGGAAGAGGGATCAAAAGCGGGGAGCGGATCAGAGAAGAGATCATACTATGGGAGGACTTGGCTCAGAGATGCACTCACCCAAGGTAAGCGACCCAAAGCTTCCAGCCAATCAAGGCCCTGGCGGCCTCGATGGTCACGATACCGACTTGCTTCTCCTCGGCGAGCTTCTCCTCGTCGAACAGCTTGCCATCGGCGGAGTGGTCGTCCCCAGCGGAGGGGGACTCGTGTTGCTTGACGTCGTGTGTGGTAGAGGACATGGTTGCGCACGGCAGGGAGGCGTGGCTAGATGATGAGGAGGGGGAGAAAGGGTATAGGATATGGATGACCGAGCGGCTGATGTCGGACGGGAAGGGCTGCTGAGTGCCGGCTTCTTATAGAAAATCTATGGCTACCTCGCTATCAGATTTGCGGGCGAGAAAAGTTTCGGCCGGTGCGTGTAAAGAGCCGAGCGGGAAGTGTTTGAGGTATGCTTGCATGGACTTGGCGACGCCACTGGTCCTGACGGTCGGCTTGAAGGACGTCTTGACCGGAGAGGTCACACAAGATGCTTTCTCTGCTGGTATGGGACCAAAGGGCAGAGGATCCCAGACGGGCAATGCGAACAAGGGACGGGAAGGCAAGGAGCAGAGTTCGAGGTCCGTGGCTGCGACTCCGCTTCGATCCCCGAAACGTCTTGTCGGCAAGACTGCTCTGGTGCCTGGTCCTCTGCCCATCTGATATCCTCGATTAGTCCACCCGGCAAGGCGCAAAATCTACTGGCGCCTTTTTTTTCGTTTCTTCTTCGCCCGCGCGGATTCTGCCGGAAGAGCGACACTGATGCAGTGACACCAGCACCACACCCCCAACGTCGCCTTGGCGCAGAAGATCCAGCATAGAGCAATGGCAGGAGCGACCAGGCCCTCGCAGCTCATTTGGTACATGGCGCTCGCATCGCCGTGCCGATGTTGACAGGGGGATCGCTGCACCGCGGCACGTTTCAAGTGCTTGTGATCCACGAGCCATAGCAATGGATGGTCTTCGGCCGGGTCACCGACTGGGCCCTTGCGTCGAGGTCGATTGCGAGCTGGTATACAGCTCGCTTGCCCTTCAAGCCATGTTTGACCACTTGCGCCACCACTCGAGCCTCTAACTGCACCAGCTCCCTGTGCCTTGACAGATCCCGATTCCCGCCGCTCAGACGGTGATCGAGACCGAGGTGGCTGGGGTACAGGCATGTACCGTACGTTCGTGAGTGCTTCGATCGGTACATCCGACATACGCGCTCTTCTCAGCTACCCGCGTTAAGTAGATTTTTCCCGCGGCCTTTCCGAGCACTGTATTTGCGCCCGTCAGACTGAGGGCTTGCATTGCGACTTCTCGACACCATCGCATCGTTCCCGAGGCAGTGGCGACACTAGTGCGAAGCCAAAGCCAAGACTCTGACGGAAGTTTAGCCGCACAGTGCGTAAAGACGATGGTGAATGAGTCTGCATGCGTGCTTTTCTAGTCATGCTGCCCATCGTCTGCCCCTCGGCGAGCGTCTAATGGTGATTGTGTGAGTTCACACAGCACCCTCACACCAGCCTTCGACTCGACTTCGAGTCTAGAAGAGGCTACTTGTTAGAGGCTCTGACACCTTTGGCCTGTCTGTGCGTCCGCTACCAACCTCTCTTCGTCCTTGACTTCTGGCCCGGCTCATCGTTTGATCACTGAGTTCTTCAACGCGGGCGCAAGTCAAGTCTGCCCGCGCATAACATGTGCTACATCATCGTGTAGCTCGGTGATCCTCCCTGGAGTCTGCAACTGACGTTTAGACGGCGAGCTTCCTACTATCGATTCTGCCGTGATACGGTCTGTACAGTCAAAATTATCTCCGGGCCCAGAGGTGCGCGCGGCGCCCAAAGGTCGTTCCGTCTCCACTCGATTGACAATCCTTCTATCCGTGTCCGTCCAAAGCTCAACCTTTCCTCTGACACATATCATAGCCACCGCACCTCTACTCTCCATCCTCATCTCCGTATTCTCATCTCATGATGTCCGCCACCACCAACCTCGTGACCATCGAGTCGCCCGAGCAATTCACCTCGGTGATGAGCGCAGATCTAAACCGCGTCAGTCTGCTAAACTTTTGGGCGCCTTGGGCTGAGCCATGCGAGCAGATGAATGGCGTAGTCAAGGAGCTGGCGGCAAAGTATCCTAAAATTCTGTGCCTGAATGTGAGTATCTTGACAGCTTCTGGTACGACGCTACCAGCGGCCCATGGCTGTTGTGAAGTCGGCGCAGGATACTCAGGCTTACCTTCTCCTCGCCTCCTGGTCTCCGTGCTAGATTGAGGCTGAGTCGCAACCAGACGTCTCTGAGTCCTTCGATGTCGACTCTGTTCCCACCTTTGTCCTCCTTCGCGGTCATACACTTCTATCTCGCGTGACAGGAGCCAACGCTTCCGCTCTTGCCTCAGCTGTAGCCTCGCATGCTGCCGGTCCCTCTTCCTCATCCGCCGGCAACGGACCCTCCTCCTCCACCTCCTCTGCACCTCGAGCAGCCCCATCCACCTACCCTGGCGCAGTAGAGGGAAGCATTGATGCTCACTCTCTCCACCAACCGCCTGAGAGCGAGACGGAGGAGGAGCTATTTGAGAGGTGTAAGCAGATCATGAAGAGCAACAAGGTCATGCTTTTCATGAAGGGCAACCCGGATCAGCCAAAGTGTGGCTTCTCACAAAAGACGGTGGCTCTATTGAAGCAGGAGGGAGTCGGATTTGGCACGTTTGACATTTTGCAGGATGAGGCAGTCAGGCAGGGTGAGTCGGCGCTATAGGCTGCTTTAGGGCTTGTGAGACCGCCTAATTGCTGACGGCTGTAATCTGCTCTTCCTTCCTTTCCTCTGCAGGTATGAAGAAGCTCAATGATTGGCCGACATTCCCTCAGATCTTTGTGCAGGGAGAGCTGATCGGCGGGTTGGACATTCTCAAAGAGCAGATTGAGACAGGCGAGTTCAAGGAGTTGCTTCAGGGTCCAGGTGCATAAATAGCAATGACTTGATAGATGAGCTGGTGGCTTGGGACGCTGCCAGCTCTTACTTGTATACCGAATGCCTGTATGATGCTCGCTCCAACCGAACGAACGCAAATTACAGGGGCACTTTCCTCAACAGGTACACCGCGGGCCTCAGTCCCATCTCTACCACTCTAGCCCCGCCCATCTCATCAGCCTGCTTCGAGCCCTGCGCATTCACTTCACTTCGTTCTCCTTCTCCCTCTCCCTCTCCCTCTCCCTCATTCAGCACGAGCCTCTCGAGCTTCATCATCCATCTGTGATGACCGCGCCTCCTGATCACCCCTTCCACCTCTATCAAGGCTCTCTGCAACGTCTTGTGTTCTAGCGTGACAGCTATAGCACAATGGTATGGCTTGAGGGTGCGTAGACAGGCCTGTAGGAAGTGCGCATAGAGAGAGGCAAGGACGCCGTGCGAGAGCTCGCGACGACCCCAGGGAAGGTCCACTACAATGCCGTCGAGCAAGCCCGCTCCTCCAGTTGACTTTTCAATGGCGGGAAGTTCGAGGAAGTGAGCAGCGCCCGCTTCGTCCTTCAAGTCGAGGTGCTCATATCGCACCTCGATGCCGTCTCGTGCTAGCCCTTGTTTCCAACCACTAGCGCGACTGACGCGTCGAGCGGCAGCGATGTTCTCTTCCTCGACGTCGCTGCCGAAGATGGTGGCTCGTAAGCCGCGCTCGCGGAGAAGTGCGCAGAGTTCAATGGCAATGGCGCCTGTGCCTACACAGGGCTCCCAGATCTTGAGCTGCTGAGCCACTCCTGCAGTTGGGGAGACGGGGAGAGGGAGGAGCGATGCGAGCGTGTAGGCTCGGTAGCGCGCAAGGGCCGTCGATCCTTCAGATCCACTTTCCTCCTTCGTCTCGGCAACACTGGGCCGATGTGACATCTGTTGGGTGAGCGGCCCATCGGGTAGCTTGATCATGAACAAGACGGAACCAGGCGGATTGGAGTTCCAGGCTTTGCCGTACGTAGATTTCTCCTCACCCTCTCTCATCACCGGTCCCATCTTCTCAGCATTCAGCCACGGCGCAAAGGAGCAAACGACGTCTAGATCGCACTCCTTGAGCGAGACTGGGTGCGGAGGGTGGTCGTCCACCGTAAGGGCTCCATTGAGCGTCGCCCAGACGTGCTCGCCGACGTGGCGACAGATGTCGGAGCTCACGAGCGTGGGCAACTTGTACACCGAGCGCTCCACGGTCGCGCGGAAGGTCCACCGCTCGTTGTCCTTGGACAGGCTACCCGAGGCGATGGCGTGCTTCCTCCAGACTTGAAGAGCTGCATCGATCTTTGCCGCACTCTCAGTCCAGACTTTCTGCAGAAAGGCGAGGAGACGAGCTTCGGAGGCCACTTGTCCATCCGGGGTCCGCTCCACGGGCTCTGTTGTCCTTGCCTCCTCTGTTGCAGCTTTGTCAGAAGCAGCAGCAACAGCGCCCTTCTTCGCTCTCGCTTTTGCCTTCTGGTTCACTCTGCTCTGCTTCCGAGTGCCCAGTGTCTGCCTGTCTTCCAAGAGCTGGTTCAGTGAATCTTCTGGAATAGTCTCGCTGGCAATCAGGACGTATTTGCCACTGACAAAGGGCAGGTCTGGAAGCTGCCAGACAGCCTGCGCGAGCTCTTGAGGAACGATCAAGTGGCCAGTGTGCACCGCCGTCTTGATGGGCGGAGTAAAGGATGTCATCGTTCCCCTCAAACGGGTCTGCAGATCTCGCAAGGTGAAATCTTCAAGACCCCTGAAGGTCTCCAAGACTAGTGAAACTCCGTCTAGAGCTTCCGAGAACGGTGAGGAGGCGCCTACGATCCCAGGCAGAGGAGCTCGCTTCAGAAGCGGAGCAAAGGTGGGGGGAGGCCAGACATCTGCAGGTGCAAGATCTATCGCTGATGTGCCATTGGACAAGGCTGCTATCTCGTCCCTTGAATGTCGAGCGATCTCGCTCTCGACTCCGTCATGTGAGACCTCAGTGGCTGCTTGGCCTTCATGGCACACCTGATCTACCTGCGAACCCAGAGCCTCCATTTCGCTGACAAGCTTGAGTCTCGGCGGCCGTATCACCTCGCCCCTCTCTCTCGCTTCCTGCGCTTTCTTCAGTGCATCCGGCGATCTCCAGCCCTCTCTCGCCCACCAAGGCATCTCATCTTCAAAGGACCAATCGTCTGTCTCGTACCGGATGGCATGCAGATAGATGAAAAGTGCTTCTGCTGGTGGATCTGGTAGAAGAGGCAAGAAGCACTCCTCACAGTAACCACCCTCATTGTCGTCTGCCGTCGAGCTGACGAAGCCTTGAGCTGGAGCAGCATTGACTCCGCTCACGCTATTGCCTTCTTTCCACCCATTCTCCTGATTCCACTCTGCAAAGCGCACTTCATCCTTCAGACGGCTCCAATCCTCCCCTTCGTCTTTGCTGTTCTTGAGCGCCTCGATGATAGATGCGCACTCACGCGTCGATGCAAGGTACTTGATGGCGCTGGCGTAAGCATGTGCGGCCACTTGCTGGGCATTGTTTGTATTGTGATTGCCTGCGACTTCGCTCGTCGATGGGACGGGGATGTCTTTGAGGGAGCCAGCTGGGTATTCTTGCCAGATGGGATGCGCATAGATCGGGTCATTTGGAATAACGTGGCCTAGCAATTGAGCATGGACCCGAATCTGGTGCGTCCTTCCAGTGATAGGCCGGCAAAAAAGGACGGACGTATCCGTCTCGCTGTCGTACGAGAGCCTGTTGAAGATCGTCTTGGCCACACGGCCTAGAGGGTGGACGATGACCACACCAGTCTGACGATCTAGTGACAGCAAAGGCTCCTCACAAACCGTCTCGGCTTCAGGGAAACAGCCTTTGACTCTGCATATGTAGGCCTTGCGAACCCTCCCCGACTCAAAGTCGGCCGCGAGCTCCTTTGCAGCTGCGGTGGTGGTCGAAGCTACCATGATACCAGATGTGAGCCTATCAAGGCGATTGGCAGTGAAGACTTTCTCAATACCGTGATCTGACTTGATCAATTCAAGCAGCGTATGCCGCAGGTACCTTCCCGCCGGATGCACTGGAACGCTTCCTGGCTTCACTACTACCACCCTGCCCTGTTCGTCGTTCTGGTAAAGGATTCTGACTGGGTCGCTCGTAATCGGTGGCTCGTGCTTGTGTGCGGTGTGAGTTATGACATCGCCATTACGAACGATATATCCCGGCAGTACCTTTTCCCCGTTGATCTTCAGCAAGCCTTTGTGTATTGCCCATGTGTAATAGTGTTTCGTCCGATCCCTGAATTCCTCGACAAGGACATCAAGAATTCTCCGATTGTACCACCGCATCTTCGCATTGGTCGTGAAAGTATGCCAGTATGCCGGCTCGCGGCGCAGGACATCATCTCGCGATGGTCTCGACGGACCAGCCGCCGCAGATGAAGAAGAGGAAGAAGAAGACATCTGAGCCGTGACAGTTGACGGGACAAGCGCTCAGGAAGAAGCGCTACCGTCAGTACGAGTTGCTGCAATGCTTCGGAAAGGGAAAGCTGCATTTTTGGCGGAGCATCGACCGCGCGGGCCACTTCTTCGCATTCGACTCCTTCCCAGGACGCCGCCATAGCCGCCTACATGCACTAGACTACTCATCCTCAGCATCCTCGGTATCACGATCACACTATACCCTACCTCTTCTGACCTCTGTTGCTTGCCTCACCATGCCGACACACGGCAAGGAGGCCAAGAAGGTCAAGAGCTGGCTCGCTCACGCCGACGATGGGCAGGAAGACCCCTACGACTCAGACGCAGACGAGATGGCGCCTTCTCACTCTCGAGGTGACGCTCAAACAAGAGGCCTCCCCGACCCGAACGATGATTGGGAAGATTTTGTGGAGCAAGCAAGAAAGAGAGCCCTGCTATCAAGTGCAAGGGTCAGGGAAGAGACGTGGACGGAGATCACGGAAGTCGTTACAGGTGAGCGCATACAGGCAGCCAGGGGAATATCTGACCCATTGACGCTCACAGATTTGCCATTTTACGCTGTGCTACTCACAACAGCAAATGACGAGGGAGAAGACTGTTTCGCGCCTACGTCTGCGCAGAGGGGCGATCTCGTCCGCCTAGCATTGCAGACACAGCCGCGCTATAGTGATCGTCCTTCACGCCTACTAGTGCTACAAACGCTCTCGCTCATTCTCCGGCAAGATGAAGCTGCCATGCCAGAAGGCTCCCAGCCCGCCACCTCACTCGCTGTCAAGACTGCAGTTGCTCTGCTTCACAAGGAGACCGAACGCGTGTGCAGAGTGGGTCCAGCAGGCAACTACGCGACTGCGCTCAGTCTCAGAATATCGCTCTTTGCTTTCATCTGCTGCGTCTTCTCAGTATGCGCTAGAGTGAAGGGCACCGCATCGCCTGTGTGGGGACCTCTCGTGCAGATGACAGCGCTGTCTTTCGACGCCATAGCTGGCGAAGAGGAGACTCAGAAGAGGAAACCTGGTACAAGGAATGCTCTCGTGTTGGCGAGGAGGACCATTCGGCAAGTGAGTAGTGGAGAGTATATGTGCCAGTCTGAGATCTTCGCAATTGACAATCCAGTCGCTCCCTCTCACAGGCTCACGAAGTCATTCCGGCCATCATTGAGACCATTACGTCTGCCCCAGCTTCTGCATCGTCTCTCCGCATGACTCCCTTGCTTGGTCTGGTCTGCGACGTCGCTCTTCGCCTACGGGCGGGTTCTGAACAGAAAAAGGGCGCTCAAGACGGCGTAGGCAGGAGCTACCTACGCTCCAACCGAGAGAAGATACTCGGTTTCTACAATACTCATGTGCTGCCCTCGAAGCAAGCTGTCCCAGCCCACATCTGTCTCGCCCTTCGGGATTTCATCGGCGAGGAAGTGACAGAAGATGATGTCGTCACAAAGATCCGGCCGACTATGGAGAAGCTGCTCATAAGATCGCCAGAAGTCTCGTTGCCCATCGAATCTCACTTCTTCGAATGCTACGCAGGAGATGTCGGCCCTCACTTCCAAGCACTTCTACCTGGTATTATCTCGTCATCAAAGTCTTCGGTAGCGACCACTCGAGCAAAGGCCGTATCCGTCGTTGGGACGCTGGCGTCACGATCGCGGTCAGCTGGGCCCAATAAGGCTGTTGCCGACGAGCTGCTTGCCTTGATCAAGTCTGGCAAGACGAGCTCAGCTGACCAGCGAGCAGCTCTGTACGAGATGCTCGCTGTCCTTCCGTCGATGGATTCGGAGCAGAGCCTTTCGGTGGCAGAAACGATCGCTGGCTTACTGACGAAGGAGGCAACGAGCGAAGTCACTTTGAGGCAAGCTCTGGCTGCCTTGCTGAAGTACTTGGGCGCCGCTCTGTCCAGCACAGCAGAGGCTCCAGCTGCAAAATTGCAGACGATAGGCCAGGCTTTGAGCAAAGAGATGCAGAATAGCAAGGTCCCCATCAGAAAGCTTGCTTGTGCCTCCATTGGAGAAGCAGTGTGGAGCTGGGAGGCAAGTGGAGGTCAGAGCGCTGCAGCATTGGCTGATGCAATGCTGCCTGCATTCGAGCTCAATCTGAAGAACGCTAGTACCAATACTTTGACAAGTCCAGCAGGACCTCTCGAGGGCTATGTTGCGGTTGCTTTGGTAGAAGGGCCTCTCTTCGGCTCGTCGAAAGTGCAGACTCTGGTCTCACAGAATGCTACGCTGCAGGCTCTCCTTGCTAGCGACCCGAAGCCATCCTTCCTACTCTCCGACAAAGTGCATCGCAAGTTCAGCTCCGAGGAGGAAGAACTCTGGCTGGCCAGAGCGCTGCAAAGCTGTGTCCTGCGGAGATATACTCAGATCGAGAAAGATCAGGCTGCCGCAACTGCAATCTCTCACGCTTTTGCTCAAGTTGGCCTACTTAGCCGGAATCACAAGATTGGGCGGGAGATCCAATCGGTAGTTGCAGCATGCGCTCGTGCCCAGCCTCTCTTCACGAGCAGCCTTGTACAGACAGCCGTCTTGGGCTGGGCAGAAGGGTCGGCGGGCGTTAGTGTAATCACTAACGACGATGAGCTCCCACGCGATATGAGCAAGCCTATCAAAAACCTACTGATGGCAGCGGTGACACTAGAAGAGACTGCCGATCCTTCAGTAAAAGCCTCAGTCCTTGAGCGCTTGCTCATCTGCGCCCATCTTCCTCAGCTCAAAGATACCAGAAGAACAACCTTCGAGCTCCTCTGCAAGCAGGCAAAGGTGCAGGCGCGAGCTGCAATCGAGGCTTCTCTCCCCGATCTGCTCCGGACATGTCGAACGGCATTGTCGAATGCGAAGCTCCAACCTGCGGCTCTGGCGAGTCTGTCGACGCTCAGCACTCTTGCCCCCGAGTCAGCCATTGCAGAACTCGTGGGTGATGTCGAGTCCCTCGTTCGACCCGATCAGCTTCGTACAGTTACTTCCGACGATCTGGGCATCCTCGCCACGCCGGCCGACACGACATACATCGATGTACTAGCAGATGGGAAAGATTCGACCGCCAATGTCGACAAGAATCGAAAGGACGCAAAGATAGAGCAATGGGAGGCCGAGCTGCGAGCCGATCTGGCCAAGAAGAAAGCCGCTCAGACCAAGACCCTCACCAAGGAGGAAAAAGCAAAGGTTGACGCTCAGCTCAAGGTCGAGGCATCAAGGAGAGCTGAAGTCGCGTTGCTGCAGACCGATCTGAAGACAGCCATGCAGATCATCGACTCTCTGGTCGTCGCTCGCTCAGAAGAGCTCGACTCCTACCTTCCTTCACTTGTCCGTCTTGTGAGAGAGGTGCTAGAATGTCCTCAAGCCCGTCAACTTGCCGAACAACAAGTTTTGTCTGCCTTTACAGCGCTTTGCTCATGTTCCTCGCCGCGTTTGGCAGAGTACAAGCTGTTCTTGAGGATCGTCCTGCTGCGGACCATCTCTGATGACCTCGTCTCGGAGGATTTCACAATGGAGTCTCTGCGTGACCAGACGCTACGGATTCTATACCGCCTGCGATCTTTGTCCGAGCAAGAGCCTCTTGACCTGGCTTCACTTGCAGTCATCATGCCATTCCTCACCCTCGTCATCTCTCGAGGTGGAATCGAGGTTAGCGCACAAGACGATCCCGATGGCGTATTGGAGCAGATGCAATTGGCCATGGATGTCATTGACTTCCATGCTGGTTCCTGTGAAGACGTTCGCTTCCCTCGTGGGGAGATGATCCACGATCTGGTCACCATCGTTGCTAAGCACTCCAAGCTGGCCCGCGATGCTGTGGGAGTTTTGCGGTCTTTGGGAGAAGCAATGAAGGACTCAGCTCTTCCGGCTGAGATCGACTCTCTGCTGAAGCATGTCCTCGCACAGGAGACGTATGTGAGATTGGGGGCTCTACAGGCTATTCAGTCGCTCGACTTGACCGAACTGGATTACAGCCCCGAGCTTTGGCTCGCTTGCCACGATCCCAACGACTCCGAAAACGCTCGATTGGCCTTCAAGGCTTGGGAGGAGAACGGCCTGGATCTGCCTCCTGTCGGACTCTCTGCTTCCCTCCTGCCATACCTGGAAGACAGTCGAGCCTACGTCCGCCGAGCCGCTGGTCGCGCATTTGCAGGTGGTGTTGCTGCGCACCCTGAAACTCTGGTCGAGGTTTTGCAAGACCTGTACAGCTTGTACAGAAAGCGAAATGAGGTGCTTGTGCCAGAGTACGATCAATTCGGCATGATCATCGAGAGCACGCGGAACCGACAGGATCCCTGGCATATTCGCTCTGCCATTGCTCAAACCTTCAGCGACCTTGCGGAGCTACTTCAGCCCACCGATCTCGAGCCTTTCTTCGAGTTCCTCATCAAGGACGAAGCTCTGGGAGACCGAGAAGACGCTGTTCGCCAATACATGCTTGATGCCGGGTCTTCAGTCGTCGATCTACACGGCAAGGAGAGGCTGAGCGCTCTCATTCAGCGCTTTGAGTCTTTCCTCGCATCGCCACCTCCTCCAAGTGAGGCTCTGGACGGTGTGCTCGAGGCTGTGGTGATCCTGCTAGGTCGATTGGCCCGTCACCTGGCGTCCGATGACAAGCGTATCTCCTCCATTGTGGAGCGTCTCCTCGATGCTCTGAAGACTCCATCCGAAATGGTGCAAATCGCAGTCGCTGACTGTCTGCCCGCTCTAGTCCCCGCCATCAAGGACGACGTGCCTCGTCTCGTCGAGAGACTGTTCAATGAGCTGCTTCTAGGCGCCAAGTATGCCGAGCGCCGTGGAGCTGCCTATGGTCTGGCAGGTATGATCAAAGGCCGTGGTATCTCTGCTATTGCCGAGTTCAGGGTCATGCCCCGTCTGGCCCAAGCCGTCGAGGACAAGAGCAGCGTAAACGCGCGACAGAGTGGTGTGGAATGCTACGGTATCCTGGCTGCTACCCTCCGGCGTCTCTTCGAGCCCTACATCATCGAAGGAGGTGTCATCCCTCAGCTGGTCACAGCATTCGGTGATACTAAAGCTGAAGTGAGAGAGGCAACTGAAGAGACTGCAAAGGTCATCATGCAGCACGTGTCCGCCTACTGCGCCAAGCTGATGATGCCCACCCTGCTAGAAGGGCTGGAGGAGAAGCAATGGCGAACCAAGAAGGGCGCGATCGAACTGCTGGGTGCTTACTCGTCTGCAGCGCCCAACCAGCTGGCTGCCGCTCTGCCCACTGTCATCCCGAGGCTGTCTGGTGTCCTATCGGATGCCCATCCCCAGGTGAGGGCTGCTGGTAACCGCTCACTCAAGCAATTTGGTATGGTCATGAAGAACCCAGAGGTCAAGACCATGGTGCCAACACTTCTTGCAGCACTGGTCGATCCAACTTCAAAGACGGCTCCTGCGCTTCACAAGCTCCTCTCTCAGACCTTTGCTCATTACCTCGATGCTCCGTCATTGGCTCTGGTCGTGCCCATCGTCGATCGTGGTCTCCGAGACCGATCTGCTCAAGTTCAGAGAGATGGTGCCAAGATTACTGGTAATCTGGCAAGTCTGACGGATGCAAAGGACTTAAGAGGTCACTTGGCCCGACTCATGCCGCTCATTCGCAATGTCCTTGTTTCTCCTGTGCCTGAGACACGAGCAGAGGCTGCCCGCGCTTTGGGTGTGCTGGTTGAGCGTCTTGGTGAGGTGCAATTCCCGGACTTGGTGCCCTCGCTCATGGCGCAGCTGCGTGGCGCGAACGTTACTGGTGTCGATCGTCAAGGTGCTGCACAGGGTCTGTCGGAAGTGCTCGCCGCGCTTGGTATGGACCGATTGGAAGCTCTGCTGCCTTCCGTCTTGGACGCTACTTCCAGCCCGCTGGCTCATGTTCGAGAGGGTGGTATCGCCTTGCTCATCTATCTGCCAGGCACCTTCGGTACGGTCCGATTCGGTCCATACGTCAGTCGAATCGTTACCCCTATCCTCAATGGTCTCGCCGACACTAGCGACAGTGTTCGTGACATGTCCATGAGGGCGGGTCGAATGATCATCGGAAGCTTCTCCACCGCTGCTGTTGATCTGCTGCTGCCAGAGCTGGAGGCCGGTATGTTCGACGATACTCCTCGTATCAGGGTATCTAGCTTGCAGCTCTGCTCTGAGCTGCTCTTCAGGCTCAGTGGTATCTCGGGCAAAAACACACTCGAGGGCGATGATGCCGATGCTGAAGGCGGTGCTGCTCCTGAGGAAAGCATTGTGGTCAGTAACTCGGTGCAAGCAAGACTTAAGCATGCTCTCGGCGAGGAGAGGTTCAGCAGGACGATGGCTACAGTCTTCTGCTTGCGTCAGGACCCCGCCTTCAATGTACGAGACGCTGCTGCTAGCACTTGGAAGGCGATCATTGTCAACACTGCCAAGACCATTCGTGAGCTTCTTACGATGATCATCGATCTGGTCATTCGCGCCCTAAGCACGGACGGAGAGGATCAGAGAGAGATTGCCTCTCGCACACTCGGAGAGCTTACGAGGAAGCTTGGTGGGTCAGTCCTCGAGTCCATCGTACCACTGCTGCAGGAACGTGGAACCGATGCTGGCTCCTCTGCATCTGTGCGAGCTGGTGTCATGTTGGCTGTTGAGAGCTTGCTAGAAAATGCCACAGATGTGCAGCTGGAGGACCATCAAGATGCGCTCATTGGCGCTGTCCGACACGGGCTGGTGGACCGTTCACCGGTCGTGCGTCAAGCTGCTGCGTCTGCATTCGACGCTCTGCAAGATTCGGTCGGTCAGAAGGCCATTGAAGCTATCATCCCTACTCTGCTTGGTGCACTGCAACACAGAGGTGACAGTGGCGCAGACGAGTCTCTGGCAGATACTTCTCTCGCTGCTCTACGAGAAGTCATGAAGAACAAGGCAGACGTGGTCTTCCCTGCTTCTCTACCTACACTTCTGGTGCAGCCTATTTCCGCTTTCAACGCTCGAGCACTGGGAGACTTGGTTGGCGTCGCCGGCAATGCCATCAACCGCAAAGTGGGCACCATCCTCAGCGCTCTCTCGCTCGCTCTGGAAAAAGAAGACGATGAAGAGGTGCTGGAGGCCATCAATGAGTCTATCGAGAACGTTCTGACTGCTGTGAGATCCTTCGAGGCTCTCCATCAGCTCATGATGTTCCTCCTCGGGTGGGCTGGAGATGTCGAGAAAGATCGTCGCAAGATTCTGCACGCTTGCCGCTTCTACACCACCTTTGCCACGAATCTGGCAGAGCGCGGTGGTGGGCGTGCTATGGAAGACTACAATGCGGATTGGCTGAGGCGTCTGGTGTCACTGCTCGACAACCGTGATTCTGTCATTGTGGATGCAGCCTTGCCAGCTCTTGCGGCTTGCGTTGAGACGATGGAAGATCCTGAAGAGCTCGTCGTCTCCCTTCGTCACGCCCTGTCGAGCTTGCCCGGCGAGGTAGCCGGCCTAGCAAAGAAGGAAGGGTTCGGCAGCTGCTCTGCCGTCTTCTTGGCGGGTCTGATGAGCGGAACGGGAGAGCAGAAGGAGCAAGCTGCCATCGGTCTGGGTATCCTGGTGGAGAAGGCCGATCCCGTCGCCATCAAGCCGTTCGTGACTACTGGTCTCGCTGGCCCACTCATCCGAGCCTGCGGAGAGCGACATGCAGCCGCTGTCAAGGCTGCAATCCTATCGACGCTCGACATCTGCCTCAAGAGGATTCCTCAGCATCTCAAGCCTTTCTACCCTCAGCTTTCGCGATCTTTCCTCAAGGCTGTCAGTGACCCCACTGGACTTGCTGTGCGGAACCAGGCTGGTCTTGCTCTTGGAACCTTGTCGACCATCCCGGGCACTCGTCTCGATCTCAATGCCCTGTTGACCAGCTCTCGATCTGGTTTGAGCAGCGAGCCTTCCTCGAGTGACTATCCAGACGGCTCGGCTCTTGCTCTTTCGCACATTCTGCTGAAGAGCGAGCCTGGCAATGCTCAGGTGCATGCCGTCAAGGACGACATCGTTGATCTCATCGACTCTGCCTTTGCAGGCAGTGAGGAGGAGCGTTTCAAGATTGCCATCGGAGAGGTTCTTTCGGGACTAGCGTTGCATGATGCAGCTGCAGCTCAGTCGCTGGTGGAGAAGAGGGTGCTGCCGACGGCTACTGACCCTCAGCTGGCGAGCTTGTGCTTGACCAGCTTGATGGAGAACGCTGCCGATATTGCGTATGGCTTTGGCCATTCTTCGAAGATGGCGCAGCTGGTGTCGGAGTTCATCTTTGCTGGACCCACCATCTCGAGGCCGGCGAGGGAGAGTCGGGAGCTGATGAGGAGCAGATCGCCGTGGGCTGCGGACGATGACGTGATTGCCATCTTGTCCAAATGAGTGGGCGGTGTAGGAGCAAGAGCAATGTGACGCCTAGAGTGAGAAGGGCGTGGCGAGAATTCTATAGCAATTGTACTTCTTCGGTGCCTGAGTCATGGGCGCGCGCGGTGTTGGATGGACCATGACCCTTTGCTCTGGCGTTGTGTTTGCCATGCGGACGCAACTAGACACTCACCTCGCTTTTCTCTCATCCCGCGGCTCACCTCAGCCGGCCCGGCTGCCTCGGACGATTGACCGTTGATCCCCTGTGCCTTCCTTCCCCTCATCGTGCTCCTCATCCCATCTCCCTTTCCCTACTTCCTCCTCTCGACATCCTCTTCACCTGCAATCACTACCTCGACACTCTACTCTCCCTCAGAGGCATTCCGCCTCCGCCATGGCCACCCAGCAGGCTTTCCAAGCCGCAGTCGGTCTGCCCGGTGCAGAGGCACTGGGTGGGGACAACCTCTGGCTCACCCCTCCCATCGATGAGTCCTCCCATCAACCTCACTTCGTCAGCAGCAGCTCCTTCACCATCATCATGTACTCCATACTAGCCACTGCGCTCTTCTGTCTCTGGATATGGCTCGTGGCCATCGCCAGCAGTCGCATTCGCAGGATGCCCGTCTTCTCCATCCTGACGCTCGCGACCGTTGCCTACTGCATACAGACGATGCTCGAGGTCTCTAGGACGGTATGTCAAGATTTAGGGTATTCATATCTTCGCAACACTGACACTCCCGTCGACCTTCCGATGTCACCTCCAGGTCGATCTGCTCACAGGCAGAGTCAAAGAAGACCGCGAGCGCCCAGTCGCAATCGTCTTCTTCCTCTTCACAGTACCTTGGATCTCTGATTGGACCTTCATTCCACGCTTGCTAGCATTCTTCCCGACAACCATTCACAGCACCAAGAAGCGTGTGCTAGTCATCCTCCTTCCGGTCAGCATGAAGATCTGCCGAGCAATCTTCATTGTGCTCTTCACCATTCACACCTACCACACTACTCACGGACCACCGCTGGACGAGGCTGACTTCTACAGGAACATCGCTTTCTCAACAGCTTATCCCCAGCTCGAATGGATCGCCACAATTCTCGATGAAGGCTACTGTACTGCTTTCCTGATCGCTCATCTCATGCTTTTTAAGCGCGGACATATCCGTTCGCAAACACTTCTACATGCCGTCCGCACGGTCATTTTCGCCTCTGTCGCTACTTTTGCTCTACCCTTGGCCTTCTGCGTCACCACGATCTCACTTCAGTATGCACATATGGATCCCAAAGTCACTAGGGACGCTTGGGTTGCTGCGGAGTTCGTTATTGTTTTGGGGGCATATGCGAGTTGTCTTGCACCGAGTGAGTAAGACTTTAAGACGCAGCAGCCTATGCCTTTGCTCATCTTGTGATCACGGTTTTCTCCTTGCAGCCATTCGCAGCGAACAGCTAGCACAGAAGGCTCTGGCCCGGCAGCCAGTCACTACACCAGAAGGCAGCGACCTCCCACCACTTTTCACTCCCGGTCGAGACCTGGCTCGTCGACCTGGTGCGTCTCAACAGGGCAGCTTCCCGGCTAAAGAAGAGGTTTTTCCTAGCCCTCGATGCCATAAGAACAATCGTGATGATCTCGAACTTGGCACCCTCAGTTTGAGTCACTTCAAGGATAGCTCGCCCTCGTCACCCCCACGTCCAGGCTACTCGGATGGTATTGAGCTAATGCACACCTCACCACATGGCCGCTCAAGCTTTGACGAAGAGGGGCTGGCCACGCCTTCCAAATGCAAAAGCAACGGTATGGCCATCTTGCTCAAGTCCAATAGTCTGAGCTCGATGAATGACGGCCGGTTCAATTCGACTCCGCATCTGCTACCGACGCTAATGCACGCCAACGAGCCCGACGTCAAGTTCCGCTTGGGCCCCAATCTGCAGACGCACCCCGATCCGTGTGCTAGCTCTCGCCGTCGTCTGGGCACACCCGACAAAAGTGTCACCTTCCACTTCCCCGCCAAGAAGTCGTCCCTGCCTTTGCTTGGTGATCAGAGTGGCTCTGCCCAAAGTCAGAGCCAGCAGGTCAGACCCAAGAGCTCTGACGACAAGACACTGAAGGACCCAGAAGAGAAGTCCGAAGTAGTCGAAGAAATCTGCCCCAAGGCGGTCAATATGTCCAATGAGACTACAGAGGGTACTTCACGCCCTCTAGGCACGCCCAAATCTCTCCGCACTACCAAGCATGCCGATGCCAAGTCCGGCGTTTGGCGCTCCACTCAGACGACCATGCGCCCGTGGACTGCATCAGGAGCCACAGGAGAACACAGTCATGGCATTTCCAGACTCGAGGGCCGGTCCAAGGTCAAGCAGTTCAAAGTTGGTACAGACTTCTCTTGGCAGCCGAAGATATCCTTGGACGCTGAGATGCCCTTTGCCGGCAACTTCTTGTCTTCAAGCCCCTGTCGACACTCCGACTCAGAGCTCAGACAGACATTGAGGAACGACAAGCAGCGTCCTACTCACACTTCGCCCTCTTCTGGCAGTAAGAATAGCAAGACCTCCGACACTGGCCGAAGTCATGCCTCGTCTGACCTCAATAACCTTCTGTCTGGCACGACTGAGCTAACCGACTGGACTCATGCACTCAACAGTGCCCTTCCTTCCAATGCGGGCTCAGCAGCAAATGTCTCTCCCACTTCTTCTTCTTGCCCCTCGTCTCAGTTGTCCCCTCCCAATTCTTCAGCCGGCATCATCCGCAGGGGCAAGATGCTAGCCATTAACACCGCCAGAGCCAACAAGTTCCTGCTGCGACCAGGCAGCGCTTCCGGCGGTCCTGCCCGAGCAGGTCTGGACAGCAGTCTCCACTTCAAGCGACGCGGCGACAAGGAGTCTGGTGGATACTCACCTACTACGAGCCACTGCCTCGTCCGATGGGGAGGTATCAGGGGCGCTGGACCGCCCTGTTTCGGACACATTGAAATCTCGATGCAGCGAACGACGCGCATCGACTATGCTTGCGAGGAAGAGGAGCCTGAGCAGGCTTGTGGTGGCGATCTTGGTGTTGCGACGGGTGGACGACGCGAGCACATTGGCGGGCAGGACTGGACTACTGCCTCTGTCCAGAGGGAGAAGAGAGACGTGGATATCGAGTCGTGGTAGCGCCATTCCTTTCAAGCTCGCAAGATGTCACCCAACTTGACATCTGAAACGAGAAGACGCTCAGGCAGGCCGGCGTCCGACTTTCATTCTGTCATCTCTCTCACCGTCACAGCCTACCGTACCTCAAGAAGTCATCTGTTCTTTTCTTTCCCCACCACACCTGGTCGCGTCTGCCGTTCCAAATGTGGAGACTTTGTCTGCTCGTTTCGATTTTCTCTTCTCTCTGGTCACACAATGAAAACGTCCCATCAGTCAGGTCGAATTGCTGCGGGTTGAAGGGAAGATCTTTGTAATGTTGGTGGAATCTAGACTACTGCGCAGCAAGTGCAGCTGCTGCTGCTGCCATATGCCCCCTCTTTTCCTTTCTCTTCTTGCAAGTCTAGATCAGGATGCACCTTCCTCGCACCCTCCTTTCCTGCACTGCCTGACAATCTCCTCGGCCACCACCCTCTCCTTCTCTCCATCAACTCTCTACGGGGTACACCTGCCAGTGAATCTAGGATAGAGGGAGCAGTCGCGCACAGTGTAGCGGTTGAGAGTCCAGGCTAGGAGACGCTCGACTCTGCAAATGGTACGAAGAACAAGGGCAACTGGGTGATCAGCTCTTGTGTCTCTTCAAGTCCTCTGCGAGAAGAGTCCTTTCGCTTGACTGTGCTGAGCTGCGCTCCGCCATGGTCCACTGCTTACTCACCCAAGTCCATATCCTCCATGCTCGCACGTACCGTACACGCGCTGATCCGTGTACCAATAGTAAGGGCTGGCATCAATCCCTTCTCCCTTGTAAGCTTCAAGTAATTCAGTCGCATCACTCATCCTCATTGATCCTCCTACGATTTCTCCAACACCAGGCATGAGTAAATCAACACTTTCTGTAAACTCTTCATCTCCAGGGATGCGCTTCATGTAGAATGCCTTGATTTCTCTTGGGAATCCAACGAGGAAAATCGGAACGCCGAGAGCATCGGTCATCTTGCGCTCGGCAGCTTCGGCAATGTCGTCTCCGACCTTGTGAGGGGAACCATCGTCGGTGCGAACATCGTTTTCGTTGAGCCACTTGATGGCGTCCTTGTAGTCCATGCGACGGAAGGGACGACTGGGCTGCTTGAAGTCGGGGTTGAGCTGAGTGATGAGAGAGGCAGTGGCGGGGTTGGCCATGACGCGCTCGAGAGTTCCGCAGATCTAAAGGTGAGAGGGGGAGACAAAGAGAGCGAGACAATGACCAGAACGTCAGTAAGCGCCTGCAAACTTCTCCCCGATTGTTCAGGCGGTCATGAGCTCGTCTTCCTACGCACCACCTGTTCAAGATGCTCCAGAAGCTCCGCAAAGTTGAGGAAACCCAGCTCAGCCTCGAGATGGGTGTACTCGCTCAAATGTCTCCTCGTGTGACTCTTCTCCGCTCTGAAGCTCTCCTGTACACAAAAGACGTCTCCCAAGCTAGGCAGACAGGTCTCGAGGTAAAGCTGCGAGCTCTGCGTGAGGAAGGCTGGTTGGCCATAGTAGTCGAACTTGAAGAGGGTTCCTCCTCCTTCGACTTGCGTCTGCACCATACAAGGGGGAGTCACCTCGAGCAGACCGAGGGACTCGTACTCGTCTCGGAAAGCACGCAGAACGGCAGCTCGGACCTTGAGGACCGCAGAGGCAGTCTCTCCTCGGATGACGAGGTGTCGCATGTCGGCTAGCAGCGATGGGTCGGCGTCCTTGCTGATCTTGTTGGTGAAAGCGTCATCTCCACCTGGTGCCTTGCCAATCACCTTCCAGTAATCAGCCACGAGCTCGTGGCCATCAGGCGCGCTCTTGCCCTCAGGTACAGCCGCGAGAGTACCCCACACCTCGACGGTAGACTCGCTGGTGAGAGTCATTGCATCGTAGGTCTGAGTGAGACGATCCGAGAGGACGGCCTGCATGTACCCGCTTCCATCCCTGAGGACGAGGAAGATTCTACCCTTTTGGGATCGCAGTCGGTGGACCCAAGCGGATACCTTGACCTTCTTGTCTCGACTGTTGATACCCTGACGAATCTTGATCTTCTGGTACTGTGCTGGGTTCTTTGGCTGCTCAAGGACGACCTTCTTTGCATCCTCGAATCTCTGCGTATCAGCGCCCTCCTTGTTGGCATCAGCCAACTCCTTCTCCTCTTGCTTCTTCTTCTTCTTCAGCTCGGCTTCGTAGAATTTCTTGGCCCTCTTCAAGCCTGCGCCAGAGATGGGAGCATATCCATCAGGGCTAGTTGCGACGGGCTGCTCCCCGCTGGCCGTGGATCCAGCTCCCTCTGCACCTTCTGCCTTCTTGACAAGAAGTGTAGCTTCGGGTCCCTTGGCAAGAAAAGCGCCCACAGGGGTAGCAAATGGCTTCTCCTTTGTGCCCTCGCCAGTAGAGTCTGAGCCGGCCTTTTCATCAATGTAGAGAGTAAGACCCTGACCGGTAGGGCCAGTGGAGCTGCTGTCTTTCTTTGCACCGCCGCCGATGTGGAGAGCATCGGCTGCCTCAGACAGAGCGTCCTTGATACCTGACATGAAACGTGATTTCAGGATGCCGTAGGTGTATGTGTGTGTGGTGTGTGAGTAGGAGTGATGGGGGATGATGAGAGTCGAGTCAAGGCGACGACGAGGAAGGAGTCAAGGTGAGGTCGAGGCAATTTAAGGCTCCGACCAGAGGAACACTTTTGCTGCGATTGCGGAACCGGAACAGACGACGATCTCCACACAACGCACGCACACACACATGGTATCCACCACCAAGGACTGCCACTACAATCAGAGGCTGCCGAGGTGGTAGTGCACTGGCTCATGCCGATGGGTGACGCTCGTTCTGACACGGCATCGGAGACTGCAAGTGAAAGCGACCATGCTGTCGGTGCCGACGGCTGCCATAGCACCGCGAAGTCGGAAGCAGCATCGGCAGCGGTGCCGCTACCCGAACCTGCAGCGGCATCGACTTCGCAGCGACCACACACGGCAAAGCGCTTGAAGGTCCTCGTACTTGTTGGCGTGAGTACAGCTATAGTCTGGGTTCGGATAGGTGAGATGCCGAAGGATTCTAACGCGCTTCTCATTCGCTCTACGCAGCTCGTCGGAAGCGGCAAATCTACCTGTGAGCGAAGACCAACTTTCCAGACCTGTGCGCCTCGTACGCTCATGCAAGCCCCCTTCTTTACCCTCAGTCGCCAAAGCATTGTGCAAGTATGACAATGTGAGTGTTCCTAGCATGCCATAGACCATGACCACGATGATACCAACTCTTACCACTTACCCTCTTCACTTGCATCTTCTGCCGTCCAGTCCTACACCCGCTCCTCTCAAGACGTTCTCGGCTCTCGTCAAGCAGTCGAATCGCACCTCCTTTCTCTCCTCTCGCGGGGCCAGAATCCAGTTATTGATCGGACTAATGTTACTGTAGACCAGAGGAGCAACTGGCTCAGATTAGCGGCTGACTGGCAGAAGGGTCAGCAGGTCAGAGGAGCTGCTGCTGCTGTCGCCGACGGCGAGGCTGCGCCTGACACCGATGGGGAGGAAGCGCAACAGATCGCAGTTGAAGTGGATGCCATCTACTTTCAGACTGGAGTGGAAGAGTGTGCTAGACGACTCAAGGGACGAGTAGAGCACGAGACGATCCATTCGCCCGAGCAAGCGCTTCGGTAGGTACAATCTCGACTGGAGAGCTACCGCCGAAGGGCACCCCTCCATCCGTCCGTCCGCTCACTCGCTCTTTCCACTCCCGTCATACCCCCTCTCTCAGTGTCCTCAATGCCTTTTCCTCCCAACTCCGCCCGCCGTCCACAGCAGAAGGCTTTCACAAAGTCCTCGTCCTCACACCTGCCGACTTTTCCTCCATCGAACCAAGCGAAGAGGAAGTGCAGCGGGTACTGCAGCGCCTTGAAGAGACACCTGCGAGCTATGAAGGTGGGACTAGGGGAGCTTTGATGGGCGAGGCGAAGAGAGTGGGGTCACGGGCACCTTGGAGAGGGGATGGGAGGGGGAGAGGAAGACCGTACGGATGGGGTGCGCTGGACCGAGGAAGGGGTGCACGCGGTGGACCTACGAGGGGGAGAGGAGGCGGTGAAGCTTGGAGAGGAGACAGGGGAGGCAGTGGAGCTTGGAGAGGAGACAGGGGGAGAAGTCAAGGTCAGCAGACGTTGCCATCGGTCTGGGGTGCCTTTCCACCTGCTGGAGCAGGACTGCCTCCAAGGCCTAGCTGAGGGCGATAGGTGGGGGAGATTTCGAAATGGTAACATTGTCACCCTGAAAACATTGGTATAGAGCTTCTAGTCACCATCGATGATACCTGTCGTCGTCCCCTGTAGGCCTTTTGGAGCAATCTGCCCAATTGTACAATCTGGGGACGAAGTCGTAAGGATCTGTGATGCATACTACCCGATCGATCGGCAATTGCTCTGAAAGGTAGTCAGTCTACTTATCAGGCACCACCAACATCAAGCGCCACGCGCGTCACTGTCCCTGTCCGCCGCGCCCCGCTGCCCCGCTTCAGTGAACATCAACTCCGCCCGCCCCTGCTGCCGCGAGGATTGGACAAGACAAGATAAGAAAAGCTGCGATCGAGGAGTGTTGCGGGCAGCAAGGCAAGGTGCGAGCGCCATCGGCAAAAGGTCAAGTGGAGTGGGGGGAGAGGGCAAACGTGCAGCAGCAGCAGCAGCCAGGGCATTTCAAATCGGGGAAGTCGCCTCAAGTCCGGCAGGCAGGCAAGCAGGGCCGGCCGGGGGGCAAGCATTCCAGGCGATAAGGCTGCTGCTAGAGGTGGAGTTTCCTTACAGAGAGTAGGACGTTACCTTCTTACCTCTCAATCTCATCAGACTCGTGATACTACCTAGAAGAGTGACAGACGGACGACCCTCCAAACCTCCAAGCCAGTCACCTATTCCACCTGCCATTTCGCCCCTCGCCGCCCGCCATGAGCACCAGCTACTCCCTGGATGATCTTCAAGATCTACAAACCCAACCAATCTTTCTCTCTCAATTCCTCAAACTCTCCCTACCACGTATTCGTACCCTCTATAATCCAAGTACAGCACGTCTTACAGGTCCTACCCGTCAACCAAGTTTCACAAATCGAGCCTACTTTGGTAGTACCACCGCGGTAGCCACGAGTGATTCACCTCCTTCTCCAACGTTGCTCAAGGCTCTTCCCGAACTACAACTCTCCGAATGGCCTTCTTTTCTCGAATCCATCCATACCTCTCTTTCCACCATTCAGGGAGGAGAACATATCCTTGCCCCACCAGCCTTTCGAGCAGATGATCTACCCATAGCAACACTTCTCCCCACTGTCTTCCTCTGGGTCATTGTAGCTGTTTGGCAACCCTGTCTACGAATGTACGAACTCGACGAGTTTCACATTGCCATTGGTGCTGGTCAAGGGGGAGAAGGAGAGAGAAGACGAGAACTCAAAGCTGGTGATCATTTACCTGAACATGAGGAATTGGAATGGGCACAGCAGGTAGGAGAAGAGACGGTGGGTGCTCTACCGAGACAAGTCTTCTATACTATCAAGCCTACTACTACGAGGGATCGGATGGATCCGCCTGGAAAGGAGGAAGACGAGGCCTTTCGTGGGATCAAGGCCCTCATCTCCGTCGAGGAACCCTGGACAGTCGATCTAAGTCTGCTAGACCCTACCTCGATTTCCTCAGAGGAAATCCTCTCTTGTCTAAAGGAGAGCGGTCAAGGCAAACTCAAGAATCAAGAAGGAGCAGACCTAAAGCGCGCAACGACTTTTGCTGCCCTCCTTACCTGTCTCTCCTCCCTCCAAGAGTCAAAGGTACGATTTGCCGTACTCACAACTTATGAGCTCTTCGTCTTTGTAAAGGTTGGATTCTCGGGGGATGGAGTTATTGATATGGTGGAGATGTCCCCACCGGTCAAATCGGGTGATACACTCAAGCAAGGCAAGTCAACCTCGGTCTTTGCCGCCATGTGGTGGTTTGGCAAGGAGATTATGACTGGATGATAGATGGAGGAGAGCACGGTCAAGATCGAGAGGAGAGGTTGCGGGACTCACTATAGGCTCAACGTATGTCATGGAGTCGTATATAGCAATTGCATAAAGAGTATGTCACTTATCAAGACAAAGACCTCGTGCGCTAAGGAGGGATTTCTGCAAGGTGGTATACTACCTCGGCGTGCTTATCTGGCTACCCCAATTCCCATCTGGTGAGCCTGCTCCTGGTCCTCTGTACCCTCCGTACCTTGGACTTTGACGCTGCTCCCACTCGACGTAGAACTCAGCGTCCCAGTGCGGTTGTCAGTGCTAGTGGCCGTGGCCATCCCATCGCCTCGCAGCAAGAGTGGCCTTCGCAGGGCACTGTTGTGATCCCCCTCCTCTCTCCTTCCCCCACCAGCTTGACCCCCTTCGTATCTCTTTCCCCTCTCGTTCAGCTCCTCGAGTCGTGTCCCGTCCAGCTCTAGCGGGCTGCCTTCGCCTGAAAAGGAGCGGAACCCGCCCGAGGAAGAGGACGAGCATTCTGTACCTGCTGCGCCGGAGGAAGAAGCACTTGGGCGTTGGTGGGAAGGCGGAGAGCGACCAAACCTTCCAAAGAGGGATTCACCGAGCCCGAGACCTAGGAGGATCGAGATGAAGTAGTAGACGTTGAAGGTCCTGCGTCCAGTGATTCGGAAGGTCAAGAGGGGTCAGCGTATCTGGATTGATGGGGTGACAAGTGCGAAGGTGATCGAGTACTCACATGACTGATAGCATGAGGAGGTAGCCGACGCCGGAGAGGAGCACTTGGTATAGACCGCGAGGTACGCCTACCTCTGCCCACCAGCCTGGTCCACCACGCTTGCGTCTCCTCCTCCCTCCCTGCTCCCGGTCCATCGTACCATCATCTTCCGATCCTTGCGGCAGTGTGTTCCTTCCCCCACCTCTTATCCTCCTTTCCTCTCTCACCCTATCCCTCTTCAGGGCCTGCTCAGTCCACCCTCGCACGAGTAGTCGCTCAAGCGCATTCAACAGGCGATAGGCACACGCCAGTACTGCAAGGGCTAGGCAGGCAGCTGCTACTGCGCCGGGAGAGGTGGGGGTGAAGGCGCTGAGCCAGAGAGAGGGGGAGGTGTCGGTTGAGGCGTAGAAGGCGGTGGACATGCCTTCTCCAAATGAGGACGAGGGAGAGTCGGGATCCATGCTCATATCCATTCCTGGCATCGAGGAAGGATCGCCTTCGTCGCGTCGAAGGAGGGGTGACATTTTGTTCAACCTCGCTTCGTTAGATTGGGTGGGGTGGGGTGAGGGAGTCCTCGGCGTAAGGAGCGGTGCAAGGTAGTGTGAGGCTGGCTGGTATCACGGCTTTGCTGACCGGCGCCTTACTGCTTCCTACATCCGTTCCTGGAATTGGCTGCCCTGATCAGCATAGTGGATGGTCGGCACTCACTACCCGCCGCGCATGCCAAGGAAGCTACGGACCTCCATGGTACGCCTAAGATCAAGCGGAGGCCGGCATGGTCATACCGCCGTGGTCTGCCTGGTATTCGTAGAGCAGGAAGCTCGACTTCCGGGGTCATGAGCTTGGCAGGGTATCGTGCGGGGGAAGCTTTGGCCGCAATGTATCACCAGCGCTCTGTCATTCGAAGCGACTCGTCTCTCGTGTCATCATCTTGGAGGCAGGCAGCTACAGTGGAACCTGTTCATTGCTCATCCCCCCCTCTCTCTTGTGTCGCTATTTGTCAACGCAGGTGGATTCTGCCATGTGCTCTAAATCTCTTCTTTGCATCTTTCAGCAGATCCGGGATGCGGGGGTGGAGCGCCATGGGAAGAATCAGAGGAGATGCGGACAGACGGTCCAGGCGCCCAGGCGAGGCAGATGACGTCTCTTGACGGCCACCGCACCCCGACGGCTTCCTTTTCTCCCTCGGGCACAGACAGACAGGCGAGGCAGCCACCCACCACACACACGGGCCCCCGCTTCGCCGCATCCTCGCCTCGGCCCTGCAACCCCCGCACTCCTCCCCCCCCCACACTCACATCATCATCATCATCATCACCCCTCCTCGCCCATTCATCTATACCACTTTCTTCTTCTTACAGCTCCTGGCTTCTTGAAGTCTACTATTGATCAGTAGCCTCAATCGGATAGAGCTTCAGATCAACTGTCTCTACTGCGACAGCTCTCTGGTACGGCGAATAGAAGTTAGCTCATTCTCGTCTGCACTACTTCGTACAAACAATCTCTTGCCGGTCACAAAAGGGAGCAATGGCGAGCAAAATCTCCATCCCCTCTAGCTCGTACGAGTCGGACACTCCGTCGAAGCGCAATAGACGGTCTATCCTTTCCTCTATGAGCCCATCCAAGAGTGAGACCAACGGCCTCGTTGCAAATGGGGACAGTCAATCCCAGCTCCCCTCTCCCGCCAGCCCTCGATCTACAGATAGTGTTCTGCGAGCGCAGAAGAGTGGCAGCACCAGCAACGGGACTGCCAATGGTAACGGTGTAGCGTCTCCTACCAATGGCGCCGCACCCGCTCTCAAGACGGGCTGGGGCAATGGCATCTCCAACCAGAATGGCCAGGCCAAGACGAATGGGACGGCTCAAGGAAACTTGGAGGTGCCATCGGGAGGACTGGGAGGGTTGAGACGACGAATGTCCAACCTCTCCATTAACTCACAGCGATCGCAAGACGATCGAGCCTCTATTCGCTCCAAGCAGTCTGCTTCCCACAAGGATGCAATCTCCTCTTTCATACGTCGACGAAGCACTAGAGGCGGCTCTGAACCCCCTGAAGCTCATATGGCAGATGACAACGAGTCAATCGCTAGTAAAGGAGGTGAGCCTACTCGCAAAAGCAGCTTCATGCGCAAGAGAACGCTCAGCAGTACCACATCTCGCATGAAGCTGGGCAAATTCGGAGGCAGAGGAAAGAGGAACGGAGAAGCAGCAGATGGCGAGGAGCTCTCGCCGTCCCCTACCAATGGCTCGATTCACACTGGCAGTGTCAATGTAGGCAATGGTCGACCAAATTCGGTTCAGGCTGGCAGCGGCGGCAGTCAGATGAACAGCGGTCCCTCTATCGCCTCAGACGACATGGATAATGACGCGCCAAAGGCAAGCCGAAGCAGTATCCTGAGGGACTCTCGTCGTCCGGTCGGATATCCAGGAGCCAAGAACAAGGGACCTACAGGCCTGTCAACAGAATCGCCTGCAACAAACACGCCTGCTGCTGACGTTAGACGAGCCCAGCAAGGAAAAGGCGCTCCTCTGATCCTGCGCTCAGAGGCAAACAACAGGAGCAGCGTCCACACTGAGCCTGCTCCCCGCTCACCTGAGCCTGCGGAGACGAACAAGCCACAGCGCGTCGGCTCTTCGCGGGCTAAGAGCAAGAGTACGCAACAATCGCCGAAGAAGGAGCAGTCAGCTGAGCAGCAGCGAGGTTACATCGGCGCTGCTACTGCTGCTGTGGGAGGTCTACTTGGATTCGCCGGAGCTCATGAAGCGAACAAGAATGACGATGGTTACCACAGTGAATCGGATGGGTCCGAGGACGAATTCCATGACGCCGAGCTTGGAGACATTCGTGAAGATGATGAAGAGCAAGATACAAGCGGCGAGGGAGATGATAGTGAGGCAGAACAGGAAGACGAAGAGGAAGAAGCCCAGCGCCCCCCTCCGCGCTCGCCTACATCCAAGCAATCTGCATACGCACGAGCTGGTCGATCGCGTGGCGTGTCTGAGTCCTCTGGCAGGGACGAAAAGAGGTCCTCAAAGTCCAAGAAGGGTAGTGCCATTTCTTCACGGAGAACAGGATCTCCCGAGCAGATGGACGAGGCTACTGCCAACCCCTCTGCAGCGCCTACCCGCCTGAAGGGCACTTCTGCCGCCAAGCGTCGAGCGGGCTCTGCACCTGTCGAAGGTGCGGAAGAAGACGGTCCTTCATCGACTCCCTCTGATGCCAAGGCAAAGAAGGAGACTCCGGCCGAGGTGAAGGAGAAGTCTGCCCGTGTTGCAAAGATGGGTTATGATGATGTCAAGGAGGATACAGAAGAGATGAGGGACGATATCGAGACTGCTCGAGGTGCCCTGCACTTGTTCTTGAACAGTCGTATGATTGAGGCTGAGGACATCATAAAGACGAAGGCAGATTACAGAATGGTGAGTGGAGGATTGTGAGCCTCCAGAGCTAGAGTGCTCCAGCTGATCACCTTCTTCTCCCGACTATGCTTCTAGTACTACGCCCTCGGAAATTGTCTCATTGCTACTATGAAGGGCTTCATGACCTTTGAGCCCGAGGATCTCGCCACTGCCATCTCTTACTGCAAAGACGCGATGCACATTGCCCATCTTCTTCGAAAGCCAAGCAACACAGTCGCCAACTTTGGGCGCTTCGTTCGAGGCTCTGGTCACAGCCCTAGCGCTTTTGCCTCTATGACGCCCGTACAGCGCCATGCAGAGCTAGTCTACGTAGAGGCACAGTTGCTCAAGAGTTGTCTGGGAATCGTTTACTCGGGAGACTTCTTTGGCTTCGTTGCTGAAGCTCTCCATATGAGAAATGCCTACGGAGTATATCGCTCCTTGGCAAAGTATGTTGATACGGCTGACGGCAAAGCCTCTGGGAACCAGGATGAGGACATCGACGAAGACTTCCGATCGGGTGTCTACCTGGGCAGCGGTTTGATCACTATGATCCTTGGTCTCCTTCCCGGTAAGATTCTGGGCCTGATGAGCGCATTCGGATATGAGGGCGACACAAAGGCTGGATTGAAGACTCTGATGCGCGCGGGTGGATGGAAGGCATCTGGTCAGGATAGACCAGCGATTGGCATCAAGGTGAGTCGGCGTGGAGTTGCGCAGACATATGGCTAGGGACGGTTTTACTGACCACACGTTTCCATTGCTCCTCCCTTATTGCAGGACGAAGGTATCCGTCGAAGCGTCTGCGACATGGGTATTCTGCTGTTCCACCTGGTCGTCTCCGTCTTCATCCCGGTCACAGGCGTGGACATCCCATTCGCAGATCGTATCCTCCACTACCATCTGAAGAGGTACCCGAACGGTGTCTTCTTCCTGTACTTCTCTGGTCGTCTCTACTCGACACAAGCTCGATGTGAGAAGGCAATCAAGCAGTATGCTGCTGCTAGGGATGCCCAAGAAGAGTACATCCAGCTCAAGCATATCAGTTGGTGGGATGCTTCACTCTGCCACATGTCACTTGCACAATGGCGCAAAGCACAGACCTGTTTCGATGTTCTTCTCAAGGAGTCGAATTGGAGCAAGTGTGTGTACACTTATGGTGTAGCTGCGAATATGGCTCAAGCAGACGAGGAAGAGGCAGCGGACGGGACAGGAGGTGCAGCCAAGGGCAAATCCAAGTCCGAGGCGGCCGACCTCTTCTCCAAGGTTCCCGGTCTCATGCAACGCATTGCCGGCAAGTCTATCCCAATGGAAAAATTTGTGGCAAAGAAGGCGACCAAGTTCAACAAGCAACGTCGACTTCTCCTACCCGCCGTAGAGTTCTCCTACATCTACCACTGTCTTTCCAATGCTCCACGATATGCTTTGACCGACGAGCATCTAGTGATGATCTCCGATGCACTCTCAGACCTAAACGAGCACGAATCCAGCCCTTCGTCCTACCATTCGGGCGAAAACGAATTCTGGGATGACTTTTGCCTCGCCCACTTCCTCCGCGGAGTCGTCTTGCGTCACATTGCCACTCCTGAATCCCATGCCAAATCAGATCCTCGCGACGAGGAGAATTCCATCCCTCGCGAAGAAGCACAAGAGCAAGCACTGCTCAGTTTCCAAACTGTTCTGGAGAATGGTCATCGAATTACTACAGACCACTACATCATTTACTTTTCGCACTATGAGTTGGGTAGGCTTCATGCCGATATGGAAGATTATGGAGATGCAAAGAAGGAATTGGATCTGGTTCTTAGTGGGAAACTATTGGAGGACAAGGGTACTAGAAAGGGAAACCACAAGTATGGAATGCAGAACATGGCGCTGCTTAGGTCCAATGGTGCGCTGAATAATCTCAAACAACAGGGACACGTGTAAGGGGCATTGGGTTATACCGTCTACTCTTTTCTTCTTCCTCTTTCCCTGCCTCCCTGCCTGCCTGCCTGCCTATACCCATCTCTTCTCTTTCCTTCGACTTTGCTCTTCTTCTTCTTTCCTTCTTTCCTTCTTTCGTCTGCCCGTTCTCACTGTCGCAAACGTAACTTAATTTACACTCCACGGTGCAATACTAATGGTGATCACCAGTCTGATACAATGAGGATTTGCGTCTGCCTTCAAGGAGAATTGTACATATGTGATGATCGATGCTCGATGCTTGATGCTCGAAAGGGCTACGTCTTCTTCTTCCTCTTGACACTCAACATTGTCACCACCGGTTTGCTCTCCCCGCTCTCACCCACACCGACACCTACACCCATTGCTCCATCCCCACCTCCACCTCCAGCATTCTTACTCTCTCCCACCTTCCTCTTGGCCTCCTCTACCTGCCCCTCAGAAAATCCAAGCAATGGAACGCTATTCCAGACAATTCCCTCTCCCACTCTCCAAATCCAATCCTCATCAGCATTATTCCTCTTTCCATGCTTCTTTGAAACCTTTTTCATCTTTTCTCCACCTTCCACTACCAATTCTCCCTTGACGGTAGCTCGAGTCCTTCTGGCTCCACGGAGTAAACGGAGACGTTCTTCATCTTTTTCCTCTGGGTGTAAGCGACCGGCGTGAGCGAGGAGACGACCACGTTCTTCATCAAAGTATTGGGTGAGCTCGATACTGTCTCGGGGTAAGTGCCAATTACAGTCGTCCAGCTGAAGCTCGTTGCGCATGGTGCGTTGAAGTTCGCGCATGGGGATCGTGAAGCGTGGACGAGGTTGGGGTGGGACGAGGTGCGATTCTCCAAGAGGAGGAGCAGCGGATGAGCTGGAGGAGTTGGTGACGGCGGGTCTGGTGAATCCGAGGAAGAAACATCCTACGAGGGAACCGCTGGAGCATTCTTGCCTGAAGCCCATTCGCATCCAGAATTCATCGGCGCTGACTGAGTCTAGTGACAGGCGGGAGCGCAGTGATGAGAGCTGAGCTTGTGTCAGTCGGGGACCGTGGGCATGGCCATTGCCGTTACCGTTGCTGGTGCTCGCCACCATTGCGGCTGCTGTTGGCAGCGAGGTGACATGGCTACCATTGACTTCCCCATTGGACTTGCTCGCCACGGGTGCAAAGGGCAAGTCCGTAGCCGAGGCAGACGAACCCAGCCGTGACCTCTTTCGCGGGCTATGCATCTTTGTCGGACTCATTCGCGTCGAAATACTTGTTGTCTTGACAGGACTCTTGGATGGGGAGCGCTGCGCCTCCTTCTCCCTCAGTCGAGGTGAAGCTCGTGTTGGTGTTGGAGATCCACCACGGGATGGAGAAGTGGGAAGATCCTCGGCTATGTTGTAAGGTGAGTCTGCTCCGGAGCGAGTGCGCTTCATCCTCTTTGACGGGGTTTGAGGCAGGCTGGAAGACTCGTACCCGCTCCGCTCTCCCTTCCATCCCGAAAGTCCATCCTCTGAACCGGACCCCTCCGCAACGATCGTCTGGCTCGAATGGGCGCTAGAGCTCGTAGTGCTGCTGCTGCTCCGACTGCTCATAGCAACAGCGGCAGGAGCACCGTTGGACACTGCAGTCGCCGTACTTGCTCCAGAGTCACTTCGCTTCAGTAGGTCGGCAAAGGCTGCAAACTCTTGGCCCTCGTTGGCCAACTCGTCCAGGAAGCGACTCTGCGGGTCGTCTTCAAAGCGGGGCATCAAGGTCGCTATCGACCTGCTCTTCGCCGGTGGCAGATTCGGGTCTTGCGATTGAGCTGACCTCGCTGAGCTATCAGGGAACAGAGGTAAAGGCGGCAAATCCGCAGAGCTCGGATCTGATCCTCCGCCCGTAGCAGTGTAGGGGTGCCCATACTTCCACCCGACCTTTTTGACAGCTGCATCGTGCGACAAGTGTGGTAGAGCAATCAAAGGGTGACTCTCCAGCTTGTCCATCCCCGGAACCATATAGAACGCGTCTATCCGCTTGCCCTGCTCCGACTCTTGCCTCTCAGCTCGCCGCACAAGTTCGACGACTTTGGAAAGAACCTGCCTCCACCAGACGATGAGCTTTGCATCTCCCAGTGGTTTCTTGAGCGGATTGTCGGGCGAGTTGGGAAAGATGTAGGCCGCTTGTGCTCGAGCGAGGATGTGTAGAGAGATGTGTCTGGGAGGTAGACAATCGACTGCTAGGCGAGGCATGTGTCGTAGGGACATGAAATAGGCGAGGAATTGCTCGGTGAGATGACCAGTGATTGAGCTGACGTCCAGCTGTGACTCTCCTGTCGATGTCGAAGTCGAAGTCGAGGGGGATGCCTGTCTGTCCCTCCCTTGCAGTTCAAAGCTCGCAAGCTGTCGTCGGACGCTGGGGTGGTTCAGTCTCGGTCCCCAGCCAGTGGTATCCAATTTCGAAAGGTAGAAGACAGCACTGGCATGCTCTGGCAGGGTGTAGTGATACCCCTCAATAGCCATGATCATCTTCGCATCATCCTCATGCTCATCATCTCTCCTCCACTCCGCATGAAAGAAGACCATCTCTTCCCACGTCTGTACGGTATGAGTAGGAAAAGGACGAAAGCCTTGCGCTACCTCTCGCGGCTCGTCAAGGTGAGCCCATGGGTAGAGTTGCTTGGTGGGACGAGGAGGAGAAAAGATGACTGATAGAACCAAGTGACCTTTGCCTGCTGGAAGGGCGGAGCGAGGAATGGTAGATGCAGCATGTGTGAGGTGAGCTAGAAGGGGTTGGGAGGGAAGCTCGGGACAGAGAGGCGAGGGAAGAGCCTCCTCGGTATGGTCCTCCATATTGGGTCTAGCTCCGCTTCTTGCCGCCGTAGAGAGACTTGCGTACGACAGGGATCCTGATAGAGTAAGACAGAGCAGCTAGGATACACTATCAAGCGAAGCCTCGAAGGCGTGAGAAGAGTGGTGTGATACGGCGGTATGGCGAAAGTGGTAATGGGAAAGAATGACCAACTGGCCCTCGCCCCCACACCAAGACGCGCACCTCGCCGCGTCAATTTAAGCGCGACGAGGAAGGGCAGAGGGCTGCATCATCCCACTCCTCGGCATGCATACCGCCACCCACCGCCTTGCATCACGATGGGTCTGCCTGCTGCTTTCGCTCGAAGAAATTCGTTGTTGGTATCAGAAGGAACTGCTTTGACACAAGTGTGCTATCTCAAATAGACGGTATACAAGATGGTGGAAAACGTACAGTAGATGCGACCGAGCCCAGGCCAGAGAAGTCTAGCGGGCTGCGCGGATATACTTGCCCAGAAGAGGGACAAAAAGTACAAGAGGAGTTGCTTCGGTGCAAGGAGGAGAAGTGTAGTAAAGACCGTAAAAGGGCGGAAAACGAGGCCGATACAAGGTGACTCTGGATACTGTATACCGGGCGCTGGATACAAGGGGAAAGGAGGGGGCCACACGCTGGGCCACATAGTGACGGGCGTGAGATAGAATACATTTGTGCTCTCTCTGTCTTCTACTCGAAAGTTTCCTTGAAGCGGCTGCCAGCAACCCCAATACTAGGCTTCCTCTCCAGCGTAGACTCGGGGCCTTGGGGCATGATAAGGTCTCCAACACCAGTGACCGAGACTGTTGGTACTGCGCCTGCATTCTCTGAGCCAGTAAAGGTGCCTGCAGTGTCTCGCGATGCAGCTGCTGAGGCGTCAAGGGCAGTGCGCCATTCGGCCGCTCTGCTGGTGTATGCCCAGCTTTGAGGCGACAATTGTGCCTCTGGACCTCGTGTCGCACCCGTAGAGGCAGCTCTCCTCAAATCTGCACCAGCCGCCCCGCTACCAGGCACTGCTTTGGCGCCAGACAGAGATTTCGTCTTCTGCAGATCGTGCGTGCCCTGAAGGAAGTGAGGGTATTTGCTTCGTCGAGCAGACTTCGTGGAAGAATTGCGGCTGGTCTTGCTCCCACTGGCAGATCGATTCACCAAGGCACCACCACTCGGACCGCTTGGAGAGGCAGTGCGAGGACGTCTCCCTGACCCAGGCGTGGGAGTCTTGAGACGTATGACATTCGACCACGTTCGTGTCCGTCCCGCGGTAGTCTCAGCGGCAACAGGGGCCGGAGGAAGAGGAGCAGCAGCCGTGCTTGTGCCAGCCGGATCTTCTCCTTCTGGCGAGGGCATCACGACGTTCAGGGCTGGAGCAGCAGACACGGCGGGATTGGTAGTTGCATTTGCGCCAGCCGCAACATCTGGGTTCACTTGGGGAACAGAAGGTGCCTGAGGTCCTCGGGCGGAGCTTGCGAATGGATCAGCATTTCCTTCTGTCGAAGCACTGATTGGGCTCTTGAAGGGATCTTGTGAGCTCTGTGTGCTTGTCGCGCTTCCGCCTCCAGTGTCGAGCTCATCGGCCTGAACGGCAGATAGTACCGCGGCGCTGCCTGCACCAGTCTTAAGCGGGGATTGCGTCGAGGCCGGAATCGACTTGCCTTTCTTCGAGCCGCCAGAACGTCCTGACGGAGCTCGGGCGGGTGCGATGGCTTCGGTGCGAGACTGGTGATCGGATTGTAGTCCAGGGCTAGTGCCGCCGGGAGCAGCCGAATTGAGATGAGAAGCGGCTGAGACGTAGCCTGACCCGCTTGAGCTCATCTTGGAATTGCTTCTCGAGAGCCATGTGGCCTCCGACGGTCTAATAGGAGTGTCCTCGTCAAGGTTTTCCGAAGATGGCGATTTCGACTCACCTTCCTCAGCTACCTTTGTAGCGGGAACGGCTTCATCTCGAGCAACGCTCGCAAAGGGCGCCAAGGCTGCAATGCCGTCCACGCTGACTCCCCTGCTGATTAAACCACTGGGTCTTCCCTCGCTAAAGCTGCTCTCGCCAATGACACTGAGGGCTTCGGAATCGTGTCTTGTGTGGCCCTGGTGGTTCCGTGAGGACGAGCTAGCAGTACGCTGAACAGACCCAGAGCTGTCTGGAGCGCGGCCTTTGCCCTTGGCGGCGGAGGGTGTTCGCTTGACGGATGGATTTCTGCTACTTGTAGCAGATGCGATCGGCTTACTGATGCCATCCCATGCCTTGTCAAGCTGCCTAGGGTGTGCAGCAGAGGTTTTAGGCATTGGTGAATCGCCCATGTCCTCTCCAGCAATGCGCCAGACTCTTTCAGCAACTTCCCTGTCTCTGTGCTTTACGCTCGCTTTTCTCTTGAGTGGATCGCGAGCCGCATCAGACAGAGCTCTTGAGAGAATGGGAGCATCTTCGTCCACATCATCATTCTCTCCCTCTTCCAAAACTCGCGTCTTTTCTTCTCGAGCCACTGCCTCAGAGATGCGGCGAGAGTAGCGCTGCTCTCTGACCTCCTTGACGCTGCTATGTCGCCCCAATCTGCTCATAGCAGAATTGGCTCGAGACAAGCGCCTTTCCTCCCTTTCCCTTGCCCTCTCTTCGTCGCGAATGACTAGCGTGACATTCCTGAGTGCAGAATCTCGCGCTTGGCTCTGCCGCCTCTTGCGATTGAAGACCCAGACAGCAGCTATGATGGTGGCAGCGAGGAGCACGACTGGGATGAGAAAGAGGAGCCAGAGACGATTCCACGAGTCACCTGTCCCCGAGGAAGTCTCACTGGCCTGCCTGGCCAGAAGGGAAATTTGTGGAGGCAAAGAAGAAGCTTCTACCTTGCGGATGGATAGATTACTCATCTTGTCCAAGCGTCGAAGACGATGCCGACGTCGTGGTATGGGAGGGAGCAGCTCCCTCCCTGTGATGCCAGCGTCGTCTGACATGGCGCTCACGCCCCTCGCGTAAGCGAGACCAGCGGAGGAAGGCAGGCCCGAGCGTGTACGTGCAGAGGGGTGTAGCGTGATGGGCTGGGTATAGGTTTGCGTGCGCGAAGTGATGGATGGTAGTGAGTAAGAGTGTGAGCAAGAGTTGGGGACGATGGTGATGTTTGGGTGGCGAGTATTGTGTGTGTCTGTCAATCAAGGGGATATCAGTGTGGATGTCTCAGGTGAGGAGCCATCCATTGTTTCAGATGACTAGAAAGTGGCAGACAGCCAAATGCCATGAGGGTCCATCAAGCGGGGGCGCCGGCGACAGGCAGCAGACGCCCACTGACAGGCAGACAGACAGACGCCGGCGCATTTTTAGACTCAGGGCACCAAACCGCGGAAAGAGGCCAACCCTCAGACGCCGGGACCACAATCAGGAGCCCCGGCTGCTGCCCCGATCGCTCAGCTCCACAGAGAGAGTCATGCATACCAAGCATCATGTCACTCATCTATTGCACCCCTGGGCAATGCCGACTCCTATCACATGGGCGTAGCTCACTTCTTCTGGAACAGGTACAGATCTTCGGTTGGAAGAATGTGGGAAGATAAGATACCAGTCAGGAGCCTGCCACGTGAGCTCGTACCGCCCCGACCACGCCAACTCACCGGTGGTGTAGGGATACTCAAAGATCCCATTTGCCTTGTCGATCCACTTTCGCCCTAGCTCCTCGTCCGATTTTGAGCTGAACAGAGCCTCAATGTCCTTCATCAGTGTATCTCGCTTCTCTTGTGGCAGCAGACCGATGTAGCTATATTACATCAATGGATTGAGATGAGATCAGCTTCGAAAATCCACATTCGTGCCGCTGTCAAGTCTGCTCCTCACCTCTTGCTCAAGACACGATTCTTGACGCCTTCCACAGTGGTGGGTATGGAACGAGTGAAATGCTTGGGCTCCACGATGTTGAAGTTGGCCTCAAGGGCCGCCTCCTTGTACATTGTCTTCCAGTAGCCATGACGATCTGAGGGGTTGCAAGCAGGCTGCCAGGTGAGCTGATACTGTATCCCGCCTTCACAGCTGTTCGAACTCACACTGCGGGCTGCCGTCTTCGAAAGGCTCATATAGATCTCGAAGCTGACCGACCCACTTTGCACCGGTGTCCTTGTTCTCTAAGTTCCAAATGAGAGCGAGATGACCTCCGGACCGCAGGGCAGAGGCAATTGCTTCAAGGCTGCGATGGTGGTCTGGACACCAGTGCCATGCCTAGTGAGCGCATCAGGCGAAGCGACTTGCGTCAGGGTCAGCTCTTCTTACTCTTACAGCGTCATATTTGCAGGGGCATACATACCTGAGCGATCATGACAGCATCCCACTCCCCCTTTGGCGCATTCAACTCCTCAAAGGAGCCATCAATACAGCTCACTTCCGCCTCTTCGGGCAGCTTGCCGCTCTGCCTAAGGTCTAGCAGCACCTTGTCCCGAATCGCCTGGTCCCATCCTTGTCTCATACCCTTTGAAGGCTCCACTGCCAGGTACTTCACAATCTTCAGCTTCGTCTCACCCGCTTCCCTCAGCAGACTCTCCGTTGAGATTCCCGTGCCGGATCCGATCTCGAGGATGTTCAGCAGCGGCGGGGAAGGCTTACCGGCCTGAGCGGCTTCGAGGATGGCCTGCATGGAGGCCTCTGGGTAGTTGGGTCGAGCAGAATGATACAAGCCCGAAGCACCAGAGTCATCGAAGCCGGCGCGAGGCTTGTAGTTGTGAGTGGCAGTAGACATTGTGCGGGCGGTAGGTGGAGTAAGACTAGAACGGAGGAGTGCCGGGGTGTGACAATGAAGAGTGTGGGGTAGCCGACGCAGCATCAACAAGGTCAGAGGAGACGGACAGACAGCGCTTTCTATAGTGATCCGCCGGACTTGTGAGGGAGTAGTACGACTCGTTCAGAAGGTGACTCGACTCAATTTGGGCCGAAGATGTTCTTGGCGTGACTCCGTGGAGGGGGAATGGCGCAAGGGACGTGCATCGGAAGCTCTGGCTGGGGTTGCCATTGCTGCCGCTGATTGCCGGCTCAGCGCCACGCCTTTGCCGAGAAAGCCGAGAGCGCCGAAGGGGCAAAAACGCGTCGAGGGGGGGGGGGGGCCCTTTCCGTTCAGACGACTGTACCACAGAATAGTACCACAATTACTGCGCCATTCCTTGCTCAGCAGACCTCCTTGTATTCACCCGCTGGGGACATCGCCCACCGTATCATCATGAACTATTCGCCTGAGCATTCGCAAGCCATACGAGCTCTCATCGACGTGGATGTGATTGCCCTGAGCCCAGCAGATGTGCTGTGCTCGATACTGATGCCCCCTCTCTCTGCCTGTCCTGACAGTATGAAGCAGTGATAGCATTCCTCTCACAATCTCTCATTCAGCATTATCGTCATCGTCTGATAGCCATAGCAGAGTTTCCACAGCCACTTTCGACCTATGATCTGGGCATACAGTGCATACCAGACGAGGAGTTCTCTGCAAGGGAAGAGGTCGGCAGAGAGCCATTGCTCTTTACGGAGGCGGCGGGAAAGCTGGTCAAGCAAGCTCTGAGAGAATTCAAAGCTAAGGCGACGAAGTTGAGAGTGTGGATGAGAATAGAAGAGCAGTTACGCAGAGAAGGTAGGAGGTAGCTTACGCTTTCACAAGGGGCGCAGAACAGGCCTCTCTTAGCGCACACTGACCACCTCGTGCGTTTTGATCCGGCAGACGACGAGCTCTTCAAGCCACTTCCCCTTACGCATTTTTACGAGGATGTGTTACTGAGCAAAGCGAGCAGAGAAGCAACGGTCAGATTGGGGCGTGTGCCCTTCGACCCATCTGCTCTGGGTGAAATGGCTCCTGTGGTGCCTTCCACGGTACCTGTAGACACTGTGCCGGACTATGATGAAGCTCGGCAAGAGCTACGGCCGGTGGATAAGCTCTTGTGGGAAACTTTCAGTAGTATGGAGACGAAGGCATGAGAGAAATCGAGACTGACAGGGAAGTCTATGCACACTGCCTCCCTTCACAGCTCCAACGATCTCAAGTTCAAAGACGGGATCGAGCAAAAGACAGTGATAGACCTGGTGCTACATGTGACAAGCTGTATTCGAAGTGTCAAGCCCCTCGAGCTGGACACGTTCCTCGGGCCAGACGCAGTCTGCGAGACTGTCGAGCCAAATCTAATGCGCCCGATCAGTCCGCCACTTGTTGCTTCTCGGACAGGCAAGGACAATTCTGACTTAGTGGGATGCTCTTCTACATCGATAACGATGCTCGTTGCGGGACTCATGGAGGTGCCGTTTGGTCATAAGCGAAGGGACGCCCATGCGTTGGCGTACACTTCGCGCAACGAGTCGCAAGATGACATCGACCTCGAAGACTTTCAGGAGTGGGAGAGCTCGGAGTCTCTCGACTGCCCAAGCGCTGAGGTGATGGCTAATTTCTCATGCACCGAAGATGAGCAAGACAACAGTGCCGCAAGGTCATGTTGCGGGAGCATAGACGGTTTGCAGCTAGCACAAGTCCGTCGGAGATCGCAAGACCTGTACTTGTCTGGTGAAGAGGAAACAGTATGGTTTGGTGCCGGTAAGATACTGCGCTTCATCGTGTCACGCAAGCCTAGGCTGAGTGTGGCTATAACCTGTATCCCCTACAGACGCACCACTCTTCCCACGCTCGCACCAGCGGGAGACTGGCAACTTTCAAGGAGGCATTCCGACAGCATATACCTCGTTCCTACACGATCATCTTTTACGACGGCCGCCCTTCAATCTTGACCAAGCCAATCTTGATCTGACCCTGCTTCCACTGATACCGAGCGACAAAGATACACGGAGAGTCTGCAATTTGATCGCGGCAGAGTCACTCGACTGCAGCTTCAGCAGCATCCTAATGCTGCCCGTCCCCTCTTTACCCAGAACGAGAGCGGCCGACTCTCCAGCTTCATCGTCGCTACTGCTGACAACCAAGGCTCTGGTCGGCCGTGAGCCGCCTGACAGGACACTGGCCAGGAGAACCGGCCCTCTGAAGCCTCTCAGCGGGCTCAAAAGCCTCAACATCGAGCTAAGCGATGTCTGGTCTGCCGATGCATCGAAAGACATTACTTTCTTGTCGGAACAGCCCGACTGCATCGAAGAAGCTTCTGCCCTCGTGGAACAAATACCTGTTGACAGCCCAGTGACGGTGAGGGACATGGTACGAGGATTTGGGAAATTAGATGAGGAGGAAGTCTCGTGCACAGCGCCTTTACAGCAGGGCATCGCAAGTGACACTCCGTCACCAGTCCTAGAAACGAAATGGATGCCGGACCGTCCACCTGCTCGCCCAGAACACAATGAAGGGGCTGAAGCAGAATACGATCTTGAGGGCGATGGGGTTTTACAGGAACCGACATTGGCGGAGGTGAATCCAGGACATGAAGCACGCAAAGTGTCACCCCTTCGACATGGCTCTGGCGGGAGGGATGACTCGCAGCAAGGGCTTTCAATAGATGACATGAATCGCCAAGAAGAGCGAGAGGCATGTCAGGTCGTGTCAAGATTCGACGGTGACCTCGATTGCGAGAGTTCAGATGCGCGACCGCTGCTGTTCGACAACGATGGCTCCCCTCTACATTTCCTAGAGTACAGAGACGAAGAGGACGTTGAAGACTCTCACTCTCTATCTTCTATACTGCCTCAATGGGCTACCGAGCGTAGAGGATGGATGGACTACGTAGTCGATGAGGATGAAGAGCAGATAGCGATGCAGGGTGTGACCAGTCTAGAAGATACAGGCGAAGGGCGTCCTATATCAGCATCAACGCAAGCCCAAATGAGAGACCCACCGGTCACACAACGCCCGGCGCCCGCTTTGCAGACCGAGACCTCAGCACAGATACCCTGCCCAGTGCGATCACAGGCGCAATGTTTCCCTTACCCTCGCTCAATTTGGAACAAACCCGAGGCTCCGGACTGGCAGGAGACTCGCAAACGCCAAGCGGTGGACAGCATAGCCGCTGAGGATGGAAAGCTTATGGCAGTAGTGAAAAAGGTGCGGTCAGAACGCGCAGCTGCATATCGCGGAAGACTGAGTCCGATCGATATGTACCTTCGGATGACGGGCAAGGAAGTGCCATCTACTAAGGAGGAGATGACCAGCAATCCAGGTGCCATGCGGCCTATTGAGGTACGTCCTCCTCAACAGGAGAAGGTTGACGAAGTTGAACACCCAGCCGAGGAGGACTCTCCTTCGGACCCTGCGGCAAGTCCTGCAGAGGGCTACCTTGCCCCTTCGCACACCCATCACTACCTCGTGTCCCTTCGTGGTCTGCAGAATCATCGCGTCATGTCTCATCTGACCGGGAGGTGCAACGTCTCTCTTATCGAGGCAACGGGAGTTCAGGACGACTGGGAGTGGGACCTTATCCTCGACGCGACGAGCGCGGTGAGCCTCTTCAAGCTCTCTCTTCTCCCTGCTGCAATGAAAGTCGACGACCGAACCCCTGGGGCTGGCTCAAAAGCCCTCGCTAGCGGCAGCGGGGGAGATCTGACTCTCAAGCAAATGCTACAGAGCGAGCGCTTCGACTCATTTCTCGTAGTACTGGAAGCCTACTCCTCCTCCGGTCGCCAGGTGGAGCAGACTAGACCTCTGCTACTTGCGCAGGACGCCCTAAAGGAGTACATCTCGCGGCATCTGGGCTCAAACAAAAGCGTTACGATTGATGTGGTGCGGAGCCCCTTTGAAGCAGCAATACGCATCCGTCGCTGGGGTGATGAACTGCAGGAGAATGCCGCGCGGGAGGATGAGGCGCTGTTGCGACAAGATACACCGACGAGTGGGGTGATGTTGACTCCGGCGAAGATTTGGGAGGGTCGAGAAAGGTGGCTTTCAGAAGCTGCGTTGGAGAAGGGAGAGCGAGAACGCAGCCGTCTGCAGACACTGGGGCTCAATATCTTGTGAGCGAGAAGAGCTGAGCATTCATACTACCTCTGTAGATGAAGGAGCTGACAAGCACCGATTACCGACTCTTGTTTTTCAACAGCGCCTCAACGATCGTACTAGCGGTGCGCACGTCTTTGTCTGTCTTTCTCAATGACCCTCCCGAGCGTCGGAGAGACGACTTTGCCTCTGTACTAGGTAGACCTCGTAAGTGACGACTTTGCCTACGAGCGAAGAGATCTTCTAATACGGTCGGGTGTACAAGCTGATGAACGCAATTCTTTGGGGGACAATCCCTCTCTTCCAATGGTCAGAGATGAACAAGCTGAATGCACGCTTGAAGAGGGAGGAAGGTCTCAGAAGACCCGATGGCGAGGGTGCATGACTCTCTGTATTGACTATTCAACTGCACTCGACAGTTACTCTTTCTCCTAATTCGCAGTCGTCTTGACCCTTTTCCTCTCCCGGCCTTCCTCTTCGACTTCTGCCTGCTCCTGCTCCTGCGGTGGTGCAGCGACTTGTACCGAACCTTTCACATCGGGAACAGGGACGAATGCCTCCGCCACCGCCACCGCCACCGCCTCCGCTCCCGTCCCCTCCTCCTCCTCCTCTCTCATCTTCTCACTCTTCCTCCTCTCCTCCTCTTTCCTCATCTCCTCCCTCGCCATCTCATCCGTCAAGACCCTAATTCCATGAAGAATATATCCTCCCGTCGCACTAGTATTCATCTCCGGGTGCGTCCGTCCAGGAAGGACTTGGTATCGTCTGAGCCACGGCTCCGTAAGGCTGAGATTGACAATTTCGTGCGAGGCGCGGAGGATGGCGTGGGCTTCGACGAGTGGTTGTAAGAGGGGGGAGTGCACGCAGATCTGGGCCGAACCGGCCAGATAGGGTAGAAGAGAGGAGATGATTGAGACGGGCTCGTAGCCGCAGGCGATGAGCACACTGTAGGATGCCGAGAATGACGAGATGTTAGCCATTCGGTCAGCTCTGCTATGATACTTTGAGCCTCCCTTGAAATGGGACCCCGACTACTTACCCGTCAAAGTCACCCTCGAAGAGCTCCTCCCTCAATTCGTCCAACTCAGCCTTAGCGGCATACTTCTTGCCCATCCTGTGTCTCTCCCTCTCCCTTGCTCTGAACGCCTTGAGTCCCTCAGCTCCACTATCCTTGACTGCGTCGTCCAACCTCTCCGGCATAGGCGGGATATAAGGATGCTGGTACTCTCCGTCCACCTGAGCCCAGTGCAGTGTACGAAGCACATCGTCCACTACGTGCGAAGGGAAGTTGATGGAGCGTACAATGTCGAACTCAGGGACAGAGTCATTGTCGTGAATGGCCAGCAGTCGACCATGCCCGCCCATACGATCCAGACAGGCGGCGGTAAGCAGGCCTGAGGTGCCGTCTACGACGAGATAGCGTCCTCCCGGTGCAACTCCGGCAAAGCTGAGCATCTGAGCTAGCGCGTCAACCCTGAGCCCGCGTACCTTTTCTGGTGATCGCTCAAAGTGATACTCGGCCATTACGGCCATTGAAGGTGGGAGCGGTGTGAAAAGCTTGAGATGTTTCGCTTCCTTCTTCTTGATGAACTTGTCCTGCGACCAGACTGTGCGCTTCTCGAAGGAGCTAGACGCTTTGGTCAATTCGTCGATGAGCTCCTGCCCTTCTAGTCCCGAATCACGCAAGGCTTGTACGTCGACCATTGTGAGGCGTGGGGCAACAGTAGGGTCGTCGAAGATGTCCTCATTGGTAGCATCGGTCTCCTCGAGCTCGGCAAGTGTCGTGCCAACCATGATTCGCAGAGCTCCAGGAGCAGTAGATAGATCCGAGCTAGCACCGCCTTTCTTGCCTCTCCCACCGCCTTTTCCGCCCTTCTTTCCCGTACCGCTGCGAGTGGCAACAGCAGCCGCTGCTGCCACAGCTGCTGCATCGTCTCCAGCTTCCATCACGGTATCCTCATCCTTGACCTCTCCAGCTTCCTCCTTGACAGCAGGAGCAGCCTTGGGCGGTCCGATCTCCCAAGTCCACCCAAAGGGCACTCCTTCCAAGTCCTGCAGGTCAAAGTTGCCGAATTTTCCTAGCGAAACGACCTTTGTAGTTCGGAGAGAGGCAGGCTTCCTTGCCCTCTTGCCTTTACCAGCTCCCCCGGGTGTTGTAGTCGTGGCAGAACCAGCACCAGCCGTCGAGCTCTCAGCTTCAGCCTCGGCATCTGCATTCCCTGGCCCGTCCTGCTGCTGCTGCTCCTCTTGCCCTGCTGCGGTGCCAGTCGTGCTGCTCCCAGCAGGCGAACCCCACGGTTTGACATACTTGATGGCCCCCGAGGGTAGACGGAGGTAGAGATGATCCGAGGCGGCAATCGTCGAGAGGCGACGCCGGAGAGGATGGATCGGAGCGGCAGCGGTTGTAGAGGAGGAGGAGGAGGTGGATGCGGTAGCTTCCCGCGAAGGGTCCGCTATGGATGTGCTCGCAGTAGCGCTAGCGCTCATCTCCTGGCACTGAAAGATTTCTACGATGAACAGGGCGATATGTTATGCAAGGATGGAGAGAGGACGAGGAAGACTCTCTGTGAGACACGGAACCCAAAATCCCTGGTCGTGGTCAGTCCTTCCTGCAACGGATCGGAGAGAAGTGACAAAATGAAGCTCCGATTGCATTCATTGCATTGACCAAGAAGGAGCAGATTGCTACGATATGGTGGATGAGAACAGGGCACACGTGCAACGGAGGACACAGGCGAGAAAGAACAGGTGATCACTTGCTCGTTCGTATCTGGATTGGATATGCTGGACGCCCGGCCTACCTACTACAGCTTGGGCTTGTCGCTCGCAGTCATCTGTGCGGACACTTGCCTGCGCTGGATCTTGCCCGTGGCCGTCTTTGGGATGGCGTCGACGAGGTAGATCTTCTCTGGGATCCTAGTGGACGATAGATGCAACACGATGGAGAAGAGAGGTAGAGAATGATGTCAGTACTCCATCGTTCTTCACACATTGCCTTTTGATACCCGATCGACAAGCCTACTCACTTGAATTTGCTTAGACTACCCGCCAATTCCTTCTTGATCGCATCCTCCGTCACTCCACTTTCCACCACACATGCCGCTCCCACCTTTTGTCCATACGTGGCATCCTCGACGGCAAAGCTTACTGCTTCCTTGACTCCCTTGACCTTGAGCAGAGCCGCATCAATTTCCAGCGGGCTGAGCTTCTCACCACCACGGTTGATCAACTCTTTGATGCGACCAGTGAGGACCAGATAGCCCTGCTCGTCGAGCTTGCCTTGGTCGCCGGTCCGGAAGAAGCCCTTGTTGTCCTCGTGACCCGCAGGAGGGTTGTGCACAAAGGACTCGGCATTGGCCTTTGGGTTGTTGAGGTAGCCCTTGGTGACATTCTTGCCCCTCACACACACCTCGCCCTCTCCACCAGTAGGTACAGTCTTGTCGTCGGTACCGATGATGCGCACCTCGACGCCTTGGCCAATACCCACGGAGCCAGGCCTGCGCTCGCCCTTGTGGGGGAGCTGGTTGGAAGTCATCTGGTGCGCGGCCTCTGTCATGGCGTATGCCTCGAGCACAGGCGCCTTGAAAGCCTCCTCGAGAGCATGGAATACGCTCGGTGCGAGCGAGGAGGAGCAGCTGCGAATGAAGCGCAAGGGTGGCTGAGTACTTGGACGAGGGGAAGAGAGAAGCATAGAGTGGATGGTGGGCACGGCAGTGTACCAGGTACAGCGCGTGAGGGTCAGCTCGGACCAGAATGTTGAGGCGGAGAACTTGGGTGGGATCACCGCGGCGCCTCCAGAGAGGAGCGTAGAGAGGAAGGCGGCTTGCATGCCGTGGACGTGGAATCTGGTAAGGGGGAAAAGATGAGATGAGATGTATGACAAGATCGGTCAGGCTTCTAGCTCCTTATCTCTTCGGACACCGTCTGTTCAACTCACAATGGCATGACCAGGAAGGTCCTGTCCCTTCCAGTAAGATCATACGTCCTAATGATATTCTCCATCGTCGCAACCAGATTAGCATGCGTCAAGGGCACTCCCTTTGGCTTTCCTGTCGTACCACTAGTATGCAATACAAGCGTCGTGTCCTGTTCCTGCGGTTCACGCTTTTCCGCTCCGACCTTGGGAAGGATCTTTCCACTGGCATCCTTGAGGAAGATGGCACCCTTGCCGTCGCTAGCGGTTGGATCAAAGACGATCTCATAGGCGGGGATATTGAGCTTCTTGGCTGCAGAGACGGTGGGAGGAGTGCTTAGAGAGGTGGAAGAGAAGGAGCCAGAGGGAACCAGGAGCACCTTGGACTTTGTGTCGTCGAGGTAAAATTCGACTTCACTTTGGGTATAGGCCGGGTTCAGGGGAGCTGCAATCAGCCTATGAGAGCGCAGGAGATCAGATCAAAAGTCAGTGGACGTTTCTGTTAGACCATCTGGCCAGGCTAACGTCTGCCTTTCCCCCTCTCCCTGCAGCACTCACCTCTGCCATCCAGTAGCAAGAAAGGCGATTGCGAACTCCACTCCATTACCCAACGAGCTACTGACCGCGTCCCCGACCTGCAAACCCAATCCAGCAAGTTGATCCTGCAAGTCCAGAATCAATGTATGCAGATGGTGATAGGAGATGTGAAAGGGCTTACCGGGATTAGCAGAGGCGGCTGCATGTGGGGAAGAAGGGGGGAGGATGATAGCAGGAGCTGATGGAGTGTACCCTGCGCGAGGCGTAAATGGGAGACGGAGCGTTGCGGGCGTGACGATGGGGGTTGCCATTGTTGCGAAAGTGGTCTGAAAGGTGGAAGGAATGGCTGTATCGAATAGATACCAGATGATAGAGGTGGAAGGACGGTCGATGATAAGTAGGGCCCGGGGGTTGGGCAATCAGTCAATCGATCTTCCCCAAGTGGAGCTCGCCCAACCGAGCCGAGCGGGCGGGCGGCCTGTGTGCCCAAGGCAGGCGTGGCCCAGCCTCGGAACACACGGCGAGCAGGCCGAAAGAGACGAGCACCCAAGTCTTGTGTCACATCGGCCGAAACACATTCCATCGAACACAAGCACGCAAGCGCATCAGTCAGAGGCAAGCGAGATCATCACCCATTGTAGAGTGTACGGAGGCGCTACAGCTGAATGTATGATATGAAACGGAAGCGATGTGGGGAACACGGCCGAGACAAAAGAAGAGGAGCAAGAGACCGGGGCGGTGGTGAGGAGACGGATTAGAAAGCTTGCCCAATGCACTGCAGGGCAGACCATCCGAGCTGTGAAATCGAAACAAAAGACTTGTATTCTCTGTTTTCGTAATTGAAGGGACATGCGACATGACAAGGTCGTAGAAGAGGCGGAGTGCGATCCAAAGGGGATGCAGGGGATTGGAATCCTTATGGGTGTCGTACGTAGGTCGTAACGGCAGTGGGAGTCGTCGGAAAGCGCAGCTTTCCGTTACGAGTCTCACCGTCCTTTGGGCATCGTAAAGATCTTCTCGAGCTACTCTCAGACACCTCCTTTGCGGACGACTGCACCTCAACTTAAGCGCTCCTGAACGAGCGCTTAGGCGAGGAAAGCGGCTCCGGCAAAGGCAGCACCGACAACGGCCAGAGCGTTGAGGGAGGACTTGCTAGCACCGCTGGAGGCGGCGGTGGAAGAGGCGGCAGCGGCAGCGGAAGAGGTGGAGCTGCTGCCCGACTTGGACGAAGATCCACTGGCGGCAGAGGAGGTACCGGCAGCGGCGGCAGCAGAAGAAGTAGAAGAGGAGTCGGAGTCGGAGCTGCTTGAGGAGCTCAGGCACGAGGTGTCGGAACCGGCGTTGACGGTGACCTGAGAAGAGTAGTTGGGGGCACCAGTGCTGTCCTGTGGGGTGGTAAAGAGCACGAAAGCAATGGGACGGCGTCAGAGAGGGTATTTCATGCACAGATTGCCGGGAGGTTGCTCTACAGCCTTTCTTCTCATGGTGCGTGGCAAGAGATACTCACGTTCACGATGAAAGTGACGGTCTGGCCAGAAGTCACGTTGACCTTACTATTGGCGCGAGGGGAATTGTGGAGAGATCAGGAGTCAGTCGATGCTAGACGGGACGCAACAAAGGCACCAAGCACATCAAGGAGCGACCCAAAAGCCGAGGCGCCTTTGCTTGTCAATCGAGCCACATGCCTGAACACTCACGACCAGGTGTAGCTTCCCGAAGCGCCAGACTGGGTGGGGAAGGAGACGTAGGCAGCGCTGGAGACATCGTCACCCTGGAAAGTGTTCAAGAACAGGAGCAAAGCGAGCAATCAGTATCAGGTCAGAAGAGAGGCACAGAGCAGGCCATGTGTGAGACTCACGAGGACGACAGAGAGGTACACGGAACCAGAGGCACCAGACCAGGTGATGGCAGCGGGCTGGACAGAAGGAGATCAAGGCAAATACGGCGTCAGCATTGAGGTGCCGTGTCCAAGGTCCAGCCAGCGGGTCAGAAGACGCCGAACAACGCAGTCTCTCGTTACTCACCTGGCACTCGATGAGGTTAGCAGGAGACTGCACAGTGGCCTGAGCCCTGACGTAAGTGATGGCAGCGATACCGACGGCGGCGAGGCCGGAGATGGCAGAGAAGGTCTTCATTTTGAGTGAGAAAGGGTGATGTGAAGTGTGAGAGAAAAGATTTGCTTTCGATGTGAAAGGGTTGATGTGCTAGGCCGACGGGCTTGGGTTTGTCAAGAGAAGGTGAGTTGGTCAGACGAGGAAAGTCGAGTGAGATGCAAAGAGTGATGATGGTAAAGGAGGGAAAAGAGGAGAGAGGTTTGGCCGGAGGAGTGCAATTTGAATCGGCTCCCCTCCCCTTGCTTGCCCACCGGCCATTCCTCGCTCTGTTGTTTGGGCCAAGTTGGCAGTGCAGATCCTTCAACTTCCTCTGGGAGCGGGGGAGGGACAGCAGAGCCAATTGCTGCTCGTGCCTCTTTTGCTCCTCCCTCCGCCGCCGGGGCTTGACATGCCGTGCCTGTGCTGACTGTCAACCTGCATCATCCCGCTTGCTCCTCGTCCTTCTCGTCCGCTTCCTCTTCCTCCCTCGTCTCCTGTCTGCTGCATGCCCCTTGACGCAGTTCCCTCGGCGGCGGGCCGGCGTGGAGGTGGGTCCATCGAGGTGAATCGGCTCGAACCCTGGTTGACTCTGCAAACGCAACGCAACGCCACCTCCAAGGAGGAGGGCTTTGGAGAGCATCTCCCGTCGGCACCTCTTCCTCCATTCCACCGCCTGGAGGACCCTGAACCCTCTTCTTGACCTCGTCTCGCCCTCGCCTCTTCTGCCTGTGCTTCTTGACGGTTTTCTTGCGTTTTTTCCCCTGTTTTTCTCCTGCCTGCGTCTCTTCTCCGTGCTGCACTTCTTCGTGTTGATTCCCCGTTCCTCAGACGCCGCGCCCGGTGTTGATCTCGGCATGGCGCGCGGGTCTGCCTCTGCTCTACTGCTTGACCTCACTGAGAAAGCTTGGCCCGACGATCGGCCCCTGACCTGACCTGACAGCGCGTGGGGGGTCAAGGGCGCAGGGGGGCCAGGGCTGGCAAACTCTTCTCTCGGCTGGCTCAAGAAGTCGCCGAAGGGCTTAGCTGTGGCTGTGAATCCAAGGCACCGAGGAATGCCAGTCAGTCAGTCAGCCAGCCAGCGCCTGCCTCGATTTTCACATTGCAGCTTGCTCAGGCGCTCGTGTGGCAAGTGATGGCTAGGCTAGGAGTGCGGATCCGAATCATCGTTGAAGACAAACAGTCGGAAATCAGGGTACGTACTGTGTGATATGAAAAGGGACCTCTGTGCTACCCAGGGTCTGATGAGAAGGTACAAACAAATAGAGGAACGGGGGTCGAGAGTGTGTTTATATGTAAAAGATCGTAGGAAATGAAGCGCATCAAGAGTGTCCGTACCACCTATCACCTCGTGGCTTCCTCACGCCTCGAAGCTCAGCTTGCCCGCTCCTTTAGCCACTGCCTCCACCGAGCCCCACAATTCTGTTCCCTTCAAGGGCGGCTCCTGGCCAGCCCCACTCGAGGTGTTCCTCCACCACACCTCGCCCTTTGCGTCATACTCGACCGCACTCTTGCTCCCGTCCGCAAAGGAGAATACTCTTGTGCGAGCCTTGGCTTTATCCTCTGCAGCAGGAGCCGAAGTGATCTTGGAACCAGCACCGCCGAGCAGGTGGTAGGAGCCTACGTACTCTTTGTCCAGAGCCAGACTGAGCTGTCCCTCGGGCGCCTTGGCATTTACGCGGAGGGGGATCTTCTCCACGTGCTCTGCAAACCTCACATTCAGGTCGCCCTGCTCACTGAAAGCGTCTACAGAGACGTACGGACGCTGCTCGGTCCCATGCCCCAGCTGCGAGCGCCAAGGCGTGTTGACACCAACGGCAGCTTCGACGCCCTTGGAGCCTTTGAGGATCATCGTGTGGTTCGAGTACCAGGTCCCCTGTGGGCTCGCGAGTCTCCCGTCATCGGCCTCTGCGTCCAGCCTAGTGCCGTAGATCTTCACTCCCTCTGAGATCGAAATGTTTCCGTGGTGGGCCAAGACGAGCACTTCGTTCTTCGACTCCAGCAGGGATCCCTTCTCGATTGTCAATTCTCCTCGTCCAGCTTCGAGATGGATTTCGTGCGCCCGGAGATGTGTGTCCTGTTTCACCTCGACTGGTCCGTTTGAGTTCTCGGCCCAGAGACGACCAGTTGCGCGTATGGACCCGCCAAGGGAGAGGGAGCCGTGCCTCGTTACGGCGATGAGGCTGCCAAAGAGGGGATGCGGATTGGCAGGGTCGTCCTTTGCTGAGGCTTGACGACGGGCAAGCGCATAGCCCAGACGCCCTCGCGGCGAGGGGCCGTCGCTCGCGACGGACCTGCCGACGTGGCGCCTTCTGCTGTTGCTACTGGTGGATTCAGGAGTTCCGGGAAGGCTGCGAGCGTCCAGATGCCGCCCACTCGCCGCGTCTGGCTTGGGCAGATCGGTGAAAACTGCAATGTCAATGTCGCTGCCTTCTATCCGGAGGTTGGGAATGAGGACTGAGGGTGGTACGTGGACTGTTACCTTGAAGGACAGGAGCGGGTAGGGGTACAGGGCTTTCGGCACGTTGACGAGATTGGGCGGGAGTGGCCATGTCTGTGTGCAACCATCAATGGAAGGTGAGTATGCCATCAAGAAGAGTACGCTCCCTTTCTTCCGACAACTCACATATATTCCGACTCCCTGATCGTTGAGACCTGCCTTCATCAGGCCCACATGAGCTCTGGCCAGCAGGGGCTCCAGCTCATACTCGTAGAATGCTTCAATATCGACCTTTGCCTGGCCCTCAAGCTCTCCATCCATCTTGACCTGAACCGTAGCCGGCGCGCTGCCTCTACCGTCCGAGAGATGAGCAGACCGTGGGGGGTCAATGTATACGAAGATCTTATCCGATGAGAAGAGGGATCGGGGATCGTGCGGGATCTCTAGGTTGTATGACATCTTGCGCGAGCAGTAGGCTGCGATACCGTACTTTTGGCAGTTGGCAGATGACCAATCTGCTAGTTGAACGTAGTGGCCATCTCCTGAGATCGGCGAGGGAGGGATCAATGCAAGGAACTGAAGAGGTGAAGATGGCGGTCAGTGCCTGCTGCTGAGCTTATTCAAATCATCTCTCTATCGGAGCTCACCTCATCTACATTCTTGCTCCATCCTCGAGCACTCTTGTCCCATGTAGGTCCGCTGACGATGACGATGATCCAGAGACCAACGATGAAGAATCCTGCCTGAGCAAATCTCGAAGTGGGCCAGTACTGTCTGATCAGAGCACCTAGACTGCCAAAGCATATCCGGCCATAGTGCTGTAAGGACAGAGCCACTTCGGAGCGATACCAGGGGTCTTTCACGTAGATGGCCTCGCGATAGGATGGTGGGAGGGAAGAGGGAGAGGTAGGAGGATACTTTGTATGTTGCGAGGTAGCTGCATCTCCGCGGGGACCATATCCTCCGGGACCTGAGCCTGCGACTTGGTCGTCATCTTCCTCGTCGGACGGAGCCTCTACATCGTCTTCTGATATGGCAAAGCGAGAGTCTCTAGGCGGCTGACGACGAGAAGACGAAGGGGCGGATGAGGAAGAGGCATCCTGCTGCTGGAGCAGAGGGATGGACACTTCGTCGTGCCCCTGCCCGGTCCGATCTGCGCCATCGTCCTCTGAGTGGCGTTCGAAGAGGACGCTGCCTCGCGCCATGGTGATACGCTACTGGATACGATGACTTGTGAGCGTGTGAAGAGTACCTAGGAGATGGATGCTGTTTGCGTGGCAAGGATGAGGAGGCTAGCAGCAGGATCGCGGAGGATGATGGTCAATCTTTCGGGCGTAAGTTGGCGGTGCGGAGGCTGAGCGGGCAAAGTCAGGCGCATGGCGGAAGTGGGGGGGTTGCACCCGCACTCGTGGTTGGAACTCCGCGCCACCTCATGGCTGGCCCCTTGCTTGCTTGTGTGTGTGAGTGGCTGCTCCCGCCAGATGGGCGACGCGGAGCGCGGCGGCGTCTTCGCTACCAAGGCACAGGCAGACACGGCACCGCCAGCATAAGCTCACCATCACCAGTATCGTTACCATCGTCACCACAGGGGACACATCTAGTCAGCTTTCCATCTCTGGAGACCGACCACGCTTAGGCAGCAGGCACTCTCTCCTCCTTGTTCTCACACCCGCCCTCTTCCTCTTCCGCCCCGCACACTCGTCCACGCGAACCGCCGCTTAGACCAACACCCGCTCACTCCTCCTTTTCCTCCGCATCGCTTCTCCTGAACCACTTCGTCCGGTGAGGCCAGAGTCTGACCAGAGTCCCCAGACAACCTCACTTCCTCTGCCACGCCGGGCCAGACAACATGGCATACAACAATAATGCACGGGGATACGGCGTCGACCCGCGCACATCTCCTCGCCCGCCTCACGCAATGCCTCACGGAGCGCCACAGGTCCACCAACCTACAGCGGCAGCCTATGGAGCTCAGTATGCCGGACACCCATCAGGGATGGTAGGAGGACCGGGACAAGCTGGATTCGGTGGACAGCAGCAGCAGCAGCAGAACATGGGTGCAGGTGGTGGGATGTCCAACTATGGCTATGCTAACCAGGGAGGCTTCGCAGGCAATCAGGGTGAGTGTCAGGGTCGTGGGGCCGGGCTACCCTTCATCTTCCAAGCATCTCCCACTCCTGCCGGTCTCTGCCTTTCGGAGAGCCTGTACTCCGAGAGAAGAGACGAGCGAGGCCACTTTGGTCCGATGGGCCAGAAGGGGGGTTCGTGCGTCAAGCAAGGGAGGTGCCCACAGCGGCACGATATGACGCAGCCTGGGCATCACCAACACAAGGGCGCAGCTCCCCCGCCATTGTTCAATGTCTTAGAGCATCACCTGCAACACTTGGAGGCTTACCCTTTCTCCCTGCCCTCTTCCCTTCTCCTTCACCTCCACCACCTCGTCACCGGCCACCCTCGTCGCTATGGAATCTGTTTCTGATCTCACCCCATCAGCATACACCCAGGGCAATCCGTACGCGGCTCATCAAGCCAACCTACAAGCTCAGATCCAAGCAGCAGCAATAGCAGCGCAAGCACAGGGTCCACCCAGCCAGCTTCAACACCCCGCAATGCAACAAGCTCAGCAGCTCCAACAACACCAGCAGCAACTCCTAATGCAACAGCAGTACGGCCAGATGCAGCAAGGTCAGGGTCAGCAGATGCAGCAGCAGCAACATCAACAGCCGCCTCACAACCTACATGCTCCGACAGGCTATCGTGGTACCAGTCCTGCAGGTGGCAGCCCAGGCAATCGCAGCCCATCGCCAGGAGGCATGCAGAGGGGACAGAGCCCTGGACCAGGGCAAGGCTCTGGTGGGTCTTCGCCGACGCTCGGTGGAGGTGCGTCCTTGGCAGAGAAGGGCGCAGACTACGTATATTTTGAGAGGTCAACTCAGGGCATGAGCAAGAATACTCTCGATGCCGCCATGGGAGCCAAGCTCAAATTGGAGCACTTTTACAAGGTTGCGGTGGAGCAAGCAATTGAGAGAAGTACTAGGAGAGTCGAGGTGGAGAAGAGGCTGGCAGCCGACGCATCGACGTCGGACGATCGAAAGGCGAGACAATTGGGCGCGCTTGGTCGACGAGAGTCTGGGTTCTTGAGGTTGAGAAGGACAAGGCTGGGCCTGGATGACTTCAGGACTGTCAAGGTCATTGGAAAGGGAGCGTTCGGTGAAGTGAGACTAGTGCAGAAGGTGGACACCGGCAAAATCTATGCCATGAAGACTCTGCGGAAGAGCGAGATGTTCAAAAAGGACCAATTGGCTCACGTTCGAGCCGAGAGAGACGTCCTGGCCGAGTCAAATTCTCCATGGGTGGTACAACTCTTCTACTCCTTCCAGGATTCGGCATACCTATACCTCTTGATGGAATTCTTACCGGGAGGAGATCTCATGACGATGCTCATCAAGTACGATACATTCTCAGAAGACGTAACGAGATTCTACATCGCAGAGTGCGTTCTTGCCCTGGAAGGTATCCACAAGCTGGGCTTCATCCATCGAGACATCAAGCCCGATAATATCCTCATCGACGCCAAGGGCCACATCAAGATGAGTGATTTCGGTCTCTCGACGGGATTCCAGAAGCAGCATGACTCGTCGTACTATAGGAGATTGTTCGAGGGTGCTACTACAGGAGGTCAAAACCCTCAGCAGGCGGGGAGAAATTCGGTGGCGGTCAACTCTATCAATTTGACTTTGAGTAGCAAGGATGCAATTGCGACTTGGAAGGCCAACAGAAGAAAGCTGGTAAGTCAATGGGAGCGTATTAGTAGCAATTATCCGCGAAGCGCTTACTAACTTCTGATTTAACCTACCACCCAAACCCTGCCACCAGGCCTACTCTACAGTCGGCACACCAGACTACATCGCGCCAGAAATTTTCATCCAGCAAGGCTATGGTCACGAGTGCGACTGGTGGTCACTAGGAGCCATCATGTTCGAATGTCTCTGCGGTTACCCACCCTTCTGTTCGGAGAATGCCCACGATACCTACAAGAAGATTCTGGCGTGGAGAGAAACACTGCAGTTCCCCGATGATATCCACTTGAGCCCGGAGGCAGAGGACATGATTCGAAGGTGAGCAGCGGCCCCGTGGGCAGGGCGATTTACTGCGCCTCTCTCTTGCTTTGTAGTGCTCACGTTCTCCATTCCCTTGTCTTCCTCCACGCAGGTTCCTCACCTCTTCCGAAACCCGCCTAGGTCGAAACGGCGCCACGGAGATCAAGGAGCACCCCTTCTTCGCCGGCGTCGACTGGTCCACCATCCGAGCAATCGACGCTCCCTTTATCCCTCACCTCAAGAGCATCACCGATACTTCTTACTTTCCTACAGAGGACTATCAGGATGTACCCGAGGTGCCTCCTGGAGCGGAAACGGGTGTGGGGGCAAAGGATTTGGCATTTGTTGGATTTACGTTTAGGAGGTATGAACAGAATATGAACTTCTGAGGAGAGAGAGAGAGAGAGACGGAGCTGAGGCGAGGCGAGGCAGAGGCGAGACAGGGAGACAGGTAGGGAGATTTGGGCGGGGGAAGCGCTAAAAGGGTTTAGTGAGGAGGAAGGAGTCTGTAGATGAGTAGAAAGATGACTTGGCTGAGACGAGTGAGGCGCACCACCAGACGAGTGAGGGAGGAAGAGGAGAGGAGGAGGAGTGAGGAGAAGCTGGGCGGACCAAACCTAGTATGTTTCGCTCATTTCGTGTCAGAAGTTCCCTTCTCCCTTGTCTCCTCTCCCTTCTCTTCTCTCCCTTCTCCTCTCTCTGTAATCCATCAGATTCTAGTGTCGGCCTGTCACGCGTTGCACCTCGGTCGACTAGGAGATGGGGTCCACGATGCGATAGGGTGCGATAGGGTGCGATGCGGTGCGATGCAAGACGTACGATTTTGGCGAGAGCGTTGGCGGGTGAAAGGATAGTACTGCGGGGTCGTGGTGTGAGGAGCAGCTTTGACCGCCTCTCCTACCGTGTCTCCGGTTTAGGAAGCCTGATAGCCTCCCCTGGCATACGTCTCTCCTCTCTCCCTCCTTCATTCCCTTCTCCCTCTTCCCTTCTACTCTACACCCTTCCACCCACAATCATCTCTCACTTTCTCACCTAAGCAACCTGCAATCCCTTCAGAGCCATCATCTGCTGTAACTTCTGTCCCGCCGCAGGTTCAAGTGCAGCAAGCAACGGACCTACTTTGCCTGGAAAGCGCTGCGAACAATCTGCTACACGTGAGGCTAGCCAATCAGGTAAAGGTTGAGCACCCGCAATGGTCTTGACTGGATCTCCTCTTCCTGACGAGGAGCCAGATCCAGGCGCAGAAGCAGAAGCGGCCAATTTAGAGAAACCAGCCTGGAAGGTGTTTTGTTCTTCCCAGTCTTCCAGGAAGAGTTCGTCTTCCTCTGCCTGTTGCGCCTCGATGGACTTGTGTGCAATGGACGTATCCGTAGAGAGATTGACCAGTGCGGCGAGTGTACCGGGGAAGACGGCGGCTGCATTGGCTCCTTCGAGGAGGCGGGGACCGCTCTCTGTCAGCAGGCGGCCAAAGCCGACGATGATCAGTGGACGCCTGCGAGCGGGCGTCTTGCTGAGCTCGGGGAGGATGACGCCCTGCATGATCTGAGTGAAGAGACCTGGTTGAACACTTTCGAATGCGTCTACTACTGCGCCAGGATAGGCATCGCCTGCCTTTTGGATCGTGGCTAGAGAGGCGACGAATGCGACGAAGCCCTTTGTGAACTTTTCTGTGCGCGAAGTCTGAAGACGAGTGAGCATGAGAGTCATAATCGCCTGGCGGTAGGGTTGGAGAGCCGCTTCGTCGACATTCTCAAAGACGGTCTGCATCAGCTCGAAGCCGAACTCGTCATTGATCCGACTGGCGATGAGCTGCTGGTAGATACCCAGGACAGCAGGGATCTGATTGTTGGAAACCATCGTCGAAGCAGCTTTTGTCAGGTAGGCTTGCAGAAGTCTGACCAAGGCCGGGACATTGCCGCGGGACTGCCACAGGGTGGGCGTTAGCAGCGAGGGCAGTAGAGATTGGTAGGAAGCTGGCAGCTGACCCGCCGGTCGCAGCTCAAGGAGTTGCGACAGCAGCTGGAAGACATATGGCACGAATTCGGCAACATCGCCTTGCAGGATCTCGGTAAAAGGTGGGAAGAGCGTCTGCTCAAACTGGTCGAAGCTTGAGGGCTCAGCGCTGGTGGTAAAGCGAATGAGGGCGGCCAGGGACTCGAAGGCGAACTGCGAGAAGCGAGGATTCGAAGGGTTCTTTGCAATCGTCGTCAAGATCTGGCCGAGGTGTTGTAGGATGGTGAGATAGCCCGGAGCCAACTGTTCCCTGCCGGTGGTCAGGACTCGCATGACACACTTGATGAAGAAGTCGTTCTCTGCCACCTTTTCGGGTGTACCTCCAGCCTCGATCTTGGCAAAGAGCGCCAACAGCGTCTGTTCCGCAAATGGCTGCACATCTTGCGGTGTGAAGATGGCCTTGTTTCCCTCTCCGCTCCTGATGATCAGCATCCTCTCGATTGCAATGGAGGCATACGTTGCGATACCGACGTTGCTGCTCTGTAGATGCTGCACCAGCAAGGGGAGAACACTCAACAATTGCTCCTTGGTGAGCTGGTTGCGGAAAGTGTGCAGGTAGCGAATGGCGTCGACCTTCAAGATCGGATGCACTGTTCCGCTGGACTCAGCTGCCTCCAGATCAGAGTAGATGTGGTTCGAGAAGAATTCGACGACATTGACCAGGTTATTTGTCGAAGCCTCGGAAACTCCATGTCGACCAGTCCCACCTCTTGCAGCTACTCCAGTCATCAGCCAGATGGCGGCGTCCTTCTTCCGCCACTCTTGCGAAGGATTGGCAGCGTACTCTTGGAGATATGTCTGAATATAGGACGAGATGATCCTGGTGATGTCTTGTGTGAAGTGCTCGAGAAGTGACCGCAGGAAAGCCAGAGAGGAAAGACGAGGCGTATCTGTCTCTGTACTGCCTTCGACTTCGCGTTTGACCCAAGCCAAGGGCTCGTCTTCGAACATTTCCTCCTCACTTTCCTTCATGCCAACGTTCGGAAGAATGACTCTCTGCACGAGTGATTCCATGACGCTGCCTCCACCTTCACCTTGTGCGAAAAGGTGACGCAGAGAGGGCTGGCGTACAATGACGCTCAGGAAGCTCAAAGCCCTTGAGAGAAGGGCATCGTACTTTCCGCCTGCTTTTCCCTCGAGCTTGCCAAGCATCTCCCACACCGCCTGAACAAACCCGGCAACTTGAGGCTCCCAAGCGTCGAGGTATCTTTGTGCGTAAAGCTCGCTGACTTCGCAAACGGCTGCCTTGACGTTGGTCAACTCGTCCGGCTTCTCTTCATCCTCGTCTTGAGGCAGGCGAGACGAGTCGGGAGAGTATGAGAGCCAGTGGAGCAGAAGAGAGGAGACCTCGGCGAGATTGTCCTCAAAGAGCGGCGGGAGGTCTTGACAAGAGAGGTCGTAAAAGAGAAGTAGCTCGAGATGCAGAATGTTCAGTAGCGGCTTCATCTGTGTAGCTGGAGTAGCCGGTGATAGCAGTGCTTGATTAGTCGCCTGTGAGGGGAAAGTCATGGCAGGGAGGAGAGCGGGTGAGAATCGACTTCTTCCTTCGTCACTTGTGCGAAATGCGGGTGGGCACACACCTTGATGCTCTCCCACCACACCGGTGCAAACTTTCCGAGGACGTAGTTGATCTCCTCATAAAGCTTGTCACTTCTGAATTGGCCCCTCCATGCCTTTGTGACCTCATGAAGTGTGGACAGACATGCCTGCACGACTCCCAAGTCTGGGTTGGGCTCAGAGAGCTTGACTACAATGTCATCTAACAGTCCAGTCCACGTCCTGGGGAAGTCGTGAGAGGCTACGAGAGAGAGGGCTGTATTGAGCTGAAGACGCAGTGGGAGGGGCGCGGGGCTGTTGAGCGCCGAGAGGGAGAGGAGGAGGGGTAGAAGGTTTTGACGCAAGGTAGCCTTGCTAGTCTCGTCGATGGGAGGCAGCTCAGCCTCTTGGGCCTCTTCATTGTCCCACCGTGTCCTGATGATGTTCTTCAAATGAATGGACGAGGCGAGCCGGATGTTGCTAGGGGACTCTGAGGCTGCTATCAGTTGCAAGAGTGAGGGTACGTGTGAGGGCGAGGAAGTGGAGAGGGCCACGAGGTGTTGTTCTGCTGCTGCCCGCACTGCTGGGTCCGATGCCAGCGTCTGGGACAGGAGGGTTGACAACTGATCGGCGCCGTCTGCCATGGCGTTTCCAGTCGTGGGTGTGAGGGGGTTGGTATGTATGGTGGGAAGGTGGAGATGCCGAGGGAAGAGAAGAAGTCTAGAAGAAGGCCACTGACGGAGAAAAGTGAGTGTTGCTCTCCACACCCGCCCGGCCAAATGTGCCTTTGCGCGTGCGTGCCACTGTCAAACAGTCGTCTGTCTAGCCAGGTCGATCCCACCGCCAAGCCAGACTCTCAAGTAGACACAGTTCAGGGTAGCATCGAGAGCCAGCAACAAGGATTTGGTAGAGGCTCGTACTCCAATCATAGACTCAGACCCTCTTGGGAAGGCGGCCCGCGGCCAGGTTCAAGCAGCCAACGCTGGTCTCAGGGCAGAGCGAGGCGCCATGGCGGCCCATGCCAGGCAGGCGTCGCGCCCCACACCCAGATCACACCAAACACACACCACCACTCAAGGGCCGGGGGATCAATGCGGCAAGGGCTGTGATTTTTGTATCTCTCATATCTCGTCTGGTCTGGTGTCGCATCTGACTGTGGGAACGTCGCCCTGTGCAAAGTGGCCGGGGAGAATGTGTGTGTTTGGCTATTTGACTCTGGCAGGGCGGCCTTGTTTTGTTCTCCGGATGAACGTCGTGTCTGAATTGCAGTCCCGCTGCAGCTGCCATGGCTTCCCCCGCCCACTCGACTCCATTTCCGCCCTCTGTCCACCCTTCCATCCTCACATTGCCTTGCCATCCACCCCATACCACGCCCTTACCTCTTAGTATACCCCCACCTCCTTCACCTTCTGGTGGAACAGGGGCCAACGAGCCGCCATCCATGCCATCGCGCAACACCAGCAGTGCGGGCTCCTCAAAGGGGCCTCGCTCACCTTCTCCCGATGCTTCTTCCCCCACAGCAGCAGCTTCGCCCACCTCGTCCCTCCGCAGACCATTCCGAAACAGCGTCATTGCCCATCCTCACGAGTACAAGGGAGCCAAGATTCTGCCTCCCAAGACGCCCACTTCTGCCGAGCTCACCGCCAGCGATTCGGCAGATCAGTTGCTACAGCTCTACTCGCCCATACTCAACTCTAGCATTACACAAGAAGGCCCAGAGGAGAGCGAGGGCTATGGCGCCAGTGGCAGCGCAGGACCATCACTCCTGCACGGAGTCGTACTCGCAGAGGGCATCAATCTTGTCCCGCAAAGGAGTGCACCTGCGCCTCCAGTAGCAGCTCGTAGTGCAGGCGCTTCCAGCAGCTCCGCCAATGGCTTTGCAGGCAACCCGCCAGGCTCTCCCCCTGGCATTCCTACCACCAGGACAGCAGCACCACAACGTTCTTCCTACATTGCCGGATCCTACCGTAACTACGCATCGGTGACTCCAACTCCATCTGCTTCTCAGTCGTCCAGCAGGTCGGGCTTGCCCCCTCAGTCTCCTGGCCTCCCCTACCCTCAGACTGGCAACTCGTCCGCCCCTGCATCGGGCCCTCCTGCAGGGACCGCATATCCTCAACGACCCGAGCGTTCTCAAACGGCAGACTCGGAAGCATTCTCGTCTCTGAGTAGCCTCAGCCAGCGAGGTTACCAACAGCAGCAGCAGGTAGGGTCAGGCTTGCCGGGAGGCATGCATAGTCTGTCCCTTACATCGCCGTCTTCGAGCAACAGCAGCAGCAATGAAGCGGGAGCAAGTGGGGCGACAAGCCCATCGGCCTCTCAAGCCCCATCGAGCATCTCAAGAGGTAAAGCAGACGGGCCGAATGGCAGGAATACCCTCAAGAGCGTATTGGGTGGATTCGTCAATAGCATGAGCGGTAGGTAGTCGAAAGAAGGGGGATCGAGAAGCGCCTGTGAACTGACTCAGATGACTTTATACCTTCGTATTCACAGACGTCTTTTCGCAGCCAAGAAAGATGGAAATCTCTACGCCCTACGATCCGGTCCACCTCACACACGTAGGGTTCAATTCTGACACCGGAGAGTTCACAGGTCTGCCGAAGGAGTGGCAGCAACTTCTGCAGGAGTCAGGCATCTCGAAGCAGGACCAGGCAGCCAATCCCCAAGCTGTCATTGACATCGTCGCTTTCTACCAGGATGCGACTACTCACACTGGTGACAGCGATGCTGTGTGGAAGAAATTCGAGGACGCCAAGGGCTCCCAAGTGGATACAAGTACGGTAATCAGCTCACCAGGTATGTCGGGTACATTGCCTCCTAGTCACGTCTACGAAAAGCCGGTGAGTACTTGCAAATTGGGCCTTAAGCAAAGACTACAGACCAGTCGCTGACTATTGCCATGGATCCCTATATGGACCTTTCAGCGAGCTGCACCACCGCCTCCAGGTTCAGGCAGTGGGCCCATGCGGCGGCTGTCGGAGCAGATTGCACCACAGCGCCATGCTCCTCCTCCTCCTCGGGACAAGCCTCTGCCGCCTACATCCAATCCAGCAGAGAAGCTAATGCGGCGAGGGTCGCAGAAGTCGTCGGTCTCAAGCGGCAAAAGTTCCTCTGGCTCTGGTAGCCTTCGTCCTGCACAGGCCCCTCCGCCCCTTACAGCTAGCGGCTCGATCTCTACAGCGGGAGCTCCTTCGGCTGTAGGGGTGGCTGCAGCAGTGGCAGCTGCTGGATCAAGCAAGGGTGCAAAACCAGTAGCAGCAGTTGTACCTACGGGTCCGGGACCTACCCCTCGCAGGAGAGAAACGAAGAAGACTGGGCTCAAGGATGCAGAAGTCGTCGCTCGTCTGCAAGCCATCTGTACTGATGCGGATCCCACGAAGCTCTACCGCTCGCTGGTCAAGATCGGCCAAGGAGCATCTGGAGGCGTTTATTCGGCGTACCAGGTCGGTACCAATCTCTGCGTAGCCATCAAGCAGATGAATCTAGAGCAGCAGCCCAAGAAGGACCTGATCATCAATGAGATTTTGGTTATGAAGGAGTCAAAGCAGCGGAACATTGTCAACTATATCGACTCCTTCCTCTTCAAGGGCGATCTTTGGGTGGTAATGGAGTACATGGAGGGAGGTTCATTGACGGATGTGGTCACGTGCAATATCATGACCGAGGGACAGATCGCTGCTGTCTGTAGGGAGGTGTTAGAGGGATTGAAGCATCTACACGAGCATGCTGTCATCCATAGGGACATCAAGAGTGACAACATCCTGCTCAGTATGGAGGGCGAGATCAAGCTCAGTAAGTGTAGGCAGACTTCACCAGGGTGTAAGCTCAGGGACTGACCGAGCCTTTTGCCTCTTACACATCCCCTTCATTCGACAGCCGACTTTGGATTCTGTGCGCAAATTGGCGAGTCACATGCAAAGAGGACGACCATGGTGGGCACACCATACTGGATGGCGCCCGAAGTGGTGACCCGCAAGGAGTATGGTCCGAAAGTGGACATCTGGTCATTGGGCATCATGTGCATCGGTAAGTTCAGCCTCGTCACGCACGGGACCACTCCACTAGCCCGTCTGCGGACTGATAGCTGACCATCATCTCTCTCCCTCTCCTCTACCACGTCCTCTCGCTCCGCCTCTGCAATAGAAATGATCGAAGGCGAGCCCCCTTATCTAAACGAAAACCCCCTCCGTGCCCTCTATCTAATCGCCACTCACGGAACTCCCAAGATCAACAATCCAGATCAATTAAGTCCCCTCTTTTTGGATTTCCTCAAGTGTTGCTTAGAGGTAGACGCTGAAAAGAGACCGGACGCTCAGGGAATGTTGAGACATCCCTTCTTGGCCAAGTGTTCCGATTTGAGGACATTGGCACCTTTGATCAAGGCGGCGAGGGAGACTAGTAAGAAGCATTAGAGTGGGGAATGGAAAGAGGTAGGAAGGGAGGGTAGGAGGCAAGGAGGGAGGGATGGGGGAGCAGGCTTGCTTGATGCACGCACGCACGTACGCAGGAAGCGAAGCAGGGCGAAGCGAAGCGAAGCAGGGCAGAGTAGGGCTCGCCGCTATTATGGACCTTTTTCTCTCCTCTTCCCTCTTCCCACTTCCCACTTCCCACTTCCCACTTCCCACTTCCCACTTGCCTCTACTCATCCTCTTCCTCCTTCTCCTTCCCCAACTTCACCTTCACCTCCTCTTCTCTTGTCAACTCTTCCTTTTTCCGCCGCGCCTCATTTCCTGACTTGACTTGACTTGACTTGACTTGACTTGACTTGTTCAATAGCATACCATACTTTTCTCCTCCTCTGTGGGAGGAACCAGATCGAGCGAGGGATCTGTGACTGTTTCTGATTGCAGTACGAGGAAAGACAAGGCGAGACGAGACGAGACAGATGGCTTTCCCTGTTGTACTCCTCTGCCCTCTGTCGTCTGTGCGTCTTTTTCCTCCTCTCCGCCCACACCCCTCTGCCCTCTCCCGGCCCATCTATCCAAAGTAGAATAGCTCATTCTTCTTCTTTGCCTGTACCTCCAATATGCCTCCCATGTAATGCTCATGATCAAGCACCGTCGCTCCCTCTCTGAGTGCCAGCATTCCCGCCTCGACACAAACTGCCTTTAGTTGTGCTCCATTCATTTCATCGGTGGACCCTGCCAGTTCCTCAAAGTTGACATTGGGTCCTACTGCCATTTTCCTAGAGTGGATCTCCATGATCCTCGCGCGGGCTTGCTCTGTAGGAAGGGGGAATTCGATTTTTCGATCTAGACGACCAGAGCGCAACAGGGCGGGGTCGAGGATGTCGATACGATTGGTGGCGGCAATGACCTTGATCCTAGCGTCTGAAGAGAATCCGTCCAGTTGGTTCAACAGCTCAAGCATGGTACGTTGAACCTCGCGATCTCCCGACTTGTCCGAGTCGAAACGCTTGGTACCGATGGCGTCGATTTCATCAATGAAGATGATGGCGGGTGCCTTTTCCTTTGCCAATTCAAAGGCGTCACGTACTAACTTTGCACCGTCACCGATGAACATTTGCACCAGCGAGGGACCGGCTAGCTTGAGGTAGCAGGCATTTGTCTGCGCTGCGCACGCTCGGGCTAGCAGCGTCTTTCCTGTACCCGGTGGGCCGTACATGAGAGCTCCCTTCGGTGGCCTGATGCCCAAGTTCTTGAACCTCTCCTCCTGTTGCATGGGCAGCACGATGGCTTCCACCAACTCCTCTACTTGCTTGTCCAATCCACCGATATCACTATACGTCTCTGTAGGCCTCTCATCTACCTCCATTGCCTTTACCCTTGAGTCGTACTCTGCAGGTAGCTTATCCAGGATGAGGTACGAATCCTTGTTCACACCGATGAGGTCTCCAGGTCTGAGAGCGTCAGACTCGACGAGGCCGATGATGGGGAGGAAGATGGTCTGGCGGGTGGAAGTCTTGATTACGGCGCACTTGGGTCGCTTGCCCACTGTGGGGGGTACAGAGACGGCAGAGGTGGGCTCATCGGCGTCTTCGTCGACGTCTGGGTCTATATCGAGGATCTACGAAGAGGTAAGAGAATGTGAGTGGAGGTGAGCCCGTGCGGTGAGGTATGGCCCTAAGCAAGCTGTTGGTTTTAGCACCATGGGCTGCTGCCACTCACCTCTACTACATTGCCCACGAGATAGGGCAGGATCTTATTCTGTCTAATCTTGTCTGCATTCTCTGCCACCTTTTGCTTCATTGCCGTCTGTTCATGTATGAGCCTCATATGTTCCGACTTCATCACCTTGACGTCATTGTCTAGGAGTCTTGTGCGGGTGTGAATCTCGTCGATGGAGGCATTGAGGATGTCTTCTGGAATCTCTGGCGAGGCAGGACGCTCTGGCGCTGCTGCTGCTGCCCCGGAAGAGGAGGATGCGCCTCCGTTGGGAGGTGGAGCTGTACTTGTTGAAGGAGCAGAGCTGGACATTGTGTGAGGAGGAGGTGAGGTGTGGTGAGATGCTTGAGTGCATGTAGGCTACCAAGGCTTCGTCTGCCTGGTCGTCGCTCCCCGTCGAGGCCGAGTGTGCTGCTCCACTCTGGGGGGGACGCGTGGTCTGGATGTGCAGGCGGCAGTGGCCTCAGCCTGATGACACCGCGCGCGGGGCTTCCCTCCCTCCAAGCCCGCCTCGCCCCCCCTTTGTGTGTTTCCGTGGCTGAACGCTGCCGAGCGGAACAGAAGCGACGCAACTCGGGCATTTGAGTCCAACACCGCCCGCACCGCAAAGAGGTAGATACCTTGACCGCATCCCTCTATCCATCGTAGACTCTTCTTCTCCTTCTCAGTCAGAGTGTTGGCTCCTTCAAGGCCAAAGCGTATATCACATTCCCACCTCAAGAACTCCCGCCGCCTAAGCTACTAGCGCAACATGCCCATGCTCTACCAGCCGCTCGCAGGGGGACAAGCTCCCTCGGGCACTCTCGACTATGCTCCCCTCGATGGGGCTATCAAACACCCTTCCCTTACACGCTCCGTCATACGCTCACTGGTACGCAGAGCTAGTCGGATAGACCCCACGTCCGATCAAATCAGGGTGAGTTGCACAGAGAGCATGCCCTGATGGAAAGGCGAGGATGAGAAGTGCAATGACTAGCTACACCGCAGAGTAGTGCTACAATACTAAGAAAGCAACACCCTCCTTCTATCCTCCCGTAGATCATCATCGTAGCTTGCGTCTACGTTCTAGTCATCGGAATTCTTTGGAATGTACCCTACCTCAAGCTCATCATATACCCCTTTAAGCTCCTGACCGTTGCCTTTCACGAATTCAGCCATGCCATCGTAGGCTTGATTACTGGAGCCAAGATTGTATCTGTCAAGCTCGACCCAAATGAGGGAGGTGCAACAGTCATGAAGGGAGGAATCTCATGGCTCTCTCTCCCCGCTGGGTATCTCGGAAGCAGCTTCATCGGAGCAGCGATGATCGCTTGTGCATTTGACATCAGAGCTAGCAAGGTGAGTCGCGTTCAGGATCCCAGCAGATTCTTCCTCTGCCTTTGCTCATAATCAGCGACACTCCTTGAACTCTGCCGCCAGGTCATGACGATCATCATCGGCGTCGTCTTCCTCTTTACGCTGTGGTGGGCAAGGAGAGACTGGCTCACCTGGCTTCTCCTCCTAGCAGTGGCCGGTCTCATCGTCGCCTTCTGGTTCATCGCCGAAGGCGTGGCATTGCAGTACCTTGTGTTATTCCTTGGGGTCATGAGCTGCCTCTACAGCTGCTTCGACATCCTCGAGGACCTCGTCTTCCGCAAGGTAGAAGAGAGCGATGCCAGCGCCTTTTCGCGACTGGTTGGCGGCAGTCCACAGGCTTGGGGAGTATTGTGGTTCCTCATCTCCGTCATCTTCTTCGCTGCAGGGCTCATCATCGGAATCGTCGCCTTCAAGACGTCTACTAGTGCTCAGAGGGCGGACAACTTCCTGAATCCTAGAGACGAATACGTCGTCTTGATGCCCAGATGAACATAGACGGGCTGAAAGAGTAGTAGATGAGTTGGCTGGACACAGAGCAGTTCTTGCTTCCGTCACCCTGTATATAGAAGACTTGCATAGCACAGACAATTTCGCCCTGCCTCCGCTCCTGTAATACCATGCCTCATTGCAGTGACAATGATCCAAGTGTGCATTCGATGTGTGATCCGCCTGTTGACGGTGCAAGCCGCGCGCGCACGCCAGTCCGCCCCCCGCTCAAGATCAAAACCTCCGTCCGGCGCCCGCTCTTTCCTCTTCTTCCTTCTCACCAAAGGACTTCGGTAGTTTTCGTCCGTTTGATTCTCCCTCTCGGGGGGTAAGAAGCAGAATGGCGAGCTACATCCCACCGTCTGAATGGGCCCGTGAACTCCTCCTGTAATGGGAGGGACCTGTACGGGTTTTTGACCAATTATTCATTACTTGGTCGGCCTGGCGGCGAATTGTCCAGAAGAACCCTACCTCCTTCCCCCTCTGGAAGCCTTCCTTTGCGCTTCTAGTCCTTCCTCGGCCCCGTAAGGGAATGGGGAAGTTTTGATTGGAGTATAGTGCGGGAGGTGGATGGAGGCGGGGTTGGGGGCCCTGATTTCATTGTGAGTGTAAGAGTAGACGAGGCGAGGCATGGAGAGAGTGGATGGGAGTACTGATTGCTATGCGTCTCTCTCTGTCTCTGTTCTTTGCTCACAGGCATAGGAGGAAGTCATTATGTGACCATGCCTCGACTTGTAACAACCCAGGGCCCGACATGTGTTTCCTATCCCCCACCTGTTGTATCATCATTTCCCCCCTCGTGCTGCTTGATCAACTCAGATCTTTATCCTTGTCCCAGCTGCGTGTGTGTGTAGCGAGCGACGCCCCAGACGGACGAGCAAAAAAGTCGTCGCCCCTCGTCCGTCCGTCCGTCCGCGCGTGCAAGGCCACGGCTGATCTTCTCAGCCTCACCGGGACAGTGGGCAGGCAGGCAGGCAAGCAGACAGGCAGCCATCGCTCACTTCTTCCCGATCCCATCCTCCTCTCCAGCTTCACACCACCGATCCTCACTACCGACCCAACAGAAGTCTTGCTACTGCTGTTGTGATCTCGCCCAGCATGTCCTGGCTTTCTCGTCTCTCCCCAGCTCTCGTCTCGCCATTGAAGAGCACCCGGCAGACTCTCTCTCCACTCAGCGCCGCCTTTCATCCTCTAAACTTCAACGCCGAAGCCTCCTCTTCTTCGTCTTCGTCCTCGTCCTCTTGCACCTCTTCCTCTACTATCTCTTTTGCTTCGGGCAGTACGTCCGTCCTCCCTTCTTTCCCATTTGGAGGAGCGATTCAGGTGCGAAATTCGACGAAGCGTGGGGGTGGATCTTCGAAGAATAATAGGAATAGTGCGGGAAAGCGACTGGGGATTAAGAGGTATGGTGGTGAGTTTGTATGCCTGGCAGCGGGGATGGTCAACTTCACTTCATCTCGTTGGTGCTTCTCTGGACACTCCGCTCACTCTACCTCTACTTTTATCCCTCTCGTCTCTTCTCCCGCCTCACCTCCTCACGATCCCTAGGTCAATACGTGCAAGCAGGCGAGATTCTCATCAGGCAAAGAGGTACCTCCTGGCACCCAGGTCAAAACGTCTCCATTGGTCGAGATCACACCCTCTTTGCCCTCAAGGCAGGATGGGTGAGATTCTACCAGCCCGTACCCCCGCCGGCTTCTGTAGTTGCTCCAGCTCTAACCGCCGATGGGATGGGCGCTTCGTCCTCGAGCTCAAGCACGAGCACGACTGCCAGCAACACCAGCACCAGCACCAGTACCAACCCGGCATTGCGTCTTGCCATATCTCCCCTCCCTCAAACTCCCGCTTTGCCCAAAGGTGAAACATTGCGTCCTCATCCCTCTTCGCGCAAGCGTCGTACCGGACGTAGGTACATCGGAGTAGCCCTTTCGGCCAATTCTCCCCTGCCGGCTGCTTGGGGTGCACCTAGGGAGAGGAGATTGGAAAAGATTGACTTGATCAAGTATAAAGGTTTGAGGAAATTGATGAATAGGGGAATGATGATGCAGGAGCAGACTGCTACTGAAGAGGGAGAAGGAGAGTGGGAGGATGTACTGCCTGCTGAGCAAGGGGAGGAGGTGATGGGTGAGAGGATTGTAGTTCAGGCGGACGCGAAAGGCGAGACTCAGGTGACCAGGGAAGCTCGAGTGTAGACTTGAATTCACTCGACAAGACACAGTCACAGACCGACTCGCCTTTTGTGACTTGCACTGCACTGAGATGAGATGAGGTGCCGCAAATGATCAATCAATTAAGCATCGCATGAAGCATTGAGCATGAAGCATCGAGCATTGAGCATCGAGCGTGAAGTTTCAAAACAGCAGTGGCGCGGCGTGATGTGATGTGATGTGATGTATGGTGGATTGTCATGAGTGGGGTGAGGAGATGGGAGAATGGGAGAATGGGAGATTTGGGGAAAAGTAGGGTACAAGGGTGGGCAGTGCGGTGCGGTGCGGTGCGGTGCACACTAGGTGGTGACAGCAGCAGCAGCGGCACCACCAGCAGCAGCAGCAGCGGCAATGTGAGGACAGCAAGCGCACATGAGAAGGCCAAAACTACCGCTGTGCCGTAGGATGTGCTATGCTTTCTCCATGCCGCGACATCTACCTCTCCCCTCGCCTCCGGTCGCCTCTCCTCTCCTCCTCTCTCCTCTCCCCCAATGCTCAATTCCCTCGCTCCTCTCATCTACTCCAGCGCCTGCAACTCCCTCCTTAACTCGCCCTCATTAGCAATCTTCAACATCTGCGTCTGTTCCAATTTCTCCCCCGCATCCCGCCGAGCTTTGAGATCCTCAATCGCCTTGAGCTTCTTGGTCAAGTTGCGCAACTTCTTGTCTAGAGCAACCGCTTGGCTGTTCCCGCCTACTTCTGCCGCACCAGATGTGGCGGGGGGAGCGGAGGAGGAGGAGGAGGAGGCGTCGACTGCTTCTGAGCCTAGGGATACCTGGGCTCCAGGGCCAGGAGAGGCAGGAGCGGTAGGTGTGGGAGTGCCCGTATTGCTCTTGGCCTTGTTGTTGGCATTGTTCTTCTTGCCGCCCTTGGGTCCAGTGGGCGTACCAGGACCAGGCGCACTGCCGTTGCTCTGGTTCTCCTTGGGCCGTGGTGCACCGGGGACTTGGCGCTTGCCCCTGTTGGCGCCGGGAACGTAGGCTCCGTGGCCATTGGTACCTGCACCAGGTCTCGAGGGACTACTGCTACCCAGCGAGTCCTCCTCTCGGCTGTACGCAGTGCTGGCCGCTGCTCCTCGAGCTCCTGGCGGCCTGTAAGCACCAGCGGGCCGTTGAGGCTTGGCAGCCGCCTTGTCCAGCCACTCCTTGGCAGCCGCGCTCGGCGCAGGCGAAGCTGGCAGCTCAGCAGGGAAAGGGGGAGGGTCGCGAGCTCCTTGGGCTGTAGCTGTGCTCCATCCTGGCCTCCAGCCGGCCTGGTACATCTCGTCGATGAAGTCAACGTGAATCAATTGTCCAGTGCAATGCCAAATCTTGATGCCGTTCTCCACTCTCAGGCGAGGGCTCAAGGTAGCGGTGAGGATGAACTCTCCACATGGGCTCCACTCCAGTACACTAGAGTTGCTAGCGTCAAATGTGAAGAGCTTTCCTTTGCCCAGATTTTGACGATCCCAGACATCGACCATTCCGTTCAAGTTACCGAAGCCGGCGAGGCAGAAGAGACGGCCCTGAGGGTTGAAGGTCACAGTATTCCTGGCAGCCGAGCAAAGTTCTGCAATGACATTGACCCGGAAGCTGAACAGCGTAGCCTTGGACGGCATGTATCCGTAGACGACAATGAATTCCCGGCCGTTGCTAGACCATTCGAAGTCATGGATAGGACCTTCCTTGTCAAGGGCTACTCGGCAGTCGAAGTCTCCTCGCGAGGAGATCATATAGAGATTTGTCTCTCCATAGTACGACTTGCCGGTCTTGTCCACATCGGTCGATGTCATGAACAGAAGGGAAGTTCCGGCCTTGTTCCACTTCATCTGAATTTTGTCTGCCTTGAAAAACGTCTTTTGCGAGACGGGAGCTGGAGGATTCTCTGGCGAAGGAATGAGGGAGGCGAGGGAGAAGACTCTCACTGAGGCCGGGGCTCCCTTTTTCTCCCCGCAGAAGACAGCGACTACCGGCTTTGAGCCAGCTCCCAGCTCGAAGCTGGTCATGCCTTCTAATCTCAGTCTCCCCACGACGCCCTTGGCTTGCACAGCGTTGGGCTCAAAGACCTGCAGCTCAGTCGAGACCTGGCGCACGAGGTAGGTCTCCTCCTCGTTGAGCTGTGGGTGACATCCCTCTTGGCTCTTGCGCTCCCATGCGCCCACTTCAGCTCCATCGCTTGTACGCCATAGGCGCAGGTTGGGCACGTTGTTACCCTCTTCGTCCTTGAATGGGCGTTGCCATGTGCTGAGGTAGCCTCCCCTGGGCGAGAAGGCGAGGTCTACGACTCGTGGTAGCGGGATAGTGTGTGTACGAACTGATGCAGTGGGATCCGACGTCGAGAGCAGGAGAAGGCTGTGCAGGGGGGAAGAATAGGGGAAGTGGAGATGACGGAAGCGTTAAGAGGTGATGGTTCGCTGAGCTGCGAAGACGTTGCAGAGCCGTTGTATTGAAATTGCCGTGTACTCACTGGTTCTCCATTCCCATTGCCACCCATCTTCCATCGGGGCTGTACTTGAACACCCTAGTCTGATTTGAGCTGTCTGCCTCTTCGCGGTCAAAGCCGGAGACGGGCGCATAAGAGGGAGGTCCGGTGAGGAGGCCTATTGATTTTTGCGACCGGTCTAGGAGGGGTGGGGGGAGAGAAGAGAGCGAGGAGAGTGACTTGCTGATCAGTCTGTTTTCATGTCTGTCGATGTTTATGCCGGCCTGTTGAGCCTACTCACAAGCCCATTGCGTCGTTGCCGACGATGAGGATTGGGAAGCCATTGTGGAGCCTGGAGGGATGCTGTGAAGCTCTATGCCTTCTGAGGAGACCGCAGCGATGTGCCTGTAATGTTCCTCCTATTTCAGCCTGCGATGATGAGGCTGTGACAAGGAAGAGTCTGCTTAGTGCAGCTTAATGGGAGATGGCTCTGGCGAGAAGAAGTGCAAGGACAATGAGTGTGCGTCTCTTGGTATGCGTGCCCGTCGTCGGTATTGAAGGGCCCAGCTGAGAAGAATGCGTCGCCCCGCGCGCGGCCAGGCCAGAGACAGCTCAGAGCCAAGCCAGGCACACACGCGGGGCGATTGACTGTTGGACCCAATGCACACACGCGCTCACACCCACTCACTCACTCACAGGGGCCCACACGCAGGAAGATTCAAAGGGAAAGGCGACGCAGCGACGGGGTTCCTCCACTCCTCCCCCCCACCTCGTATCATTGCAAAGGAGTGTAGTCCTCACCGAGAGTCATCCCAGACATGGTCGCACTCCCATCCTCGAGCTCATCTGCTCGAAGAGCTCCTGGGCGGTACTCCTCGTCGCTCCTGGCCCAAATCGTCCTCACCTTTGCCCTCTTCTCCGCCCTACTCGTCACCACCTCCCTCGCAGCCCGGACCAAGGCCACCGTGGTAGAAGGCAGTGAGGCCATCCTTCCCATGAAGAAGCACTCCCTCTACGCGCCCTATGTAGAGTCGAATCTTCAAAACAAGTACTGGGACTTTGGCGGAGACGCAATCGTAGATACAAATCGACACGTTCGGCTTACACAGGACAAGCCTCACCAGGCTGGCTACCTCTGGAGTAGGACGCCCATCAACAATGACAACTATGAGATTGAATTTGAATTCAGGATAGATGGGAAAGCTGGAGTGACCTTTGGAGACGGTCTCGCCCTTTGGCTCACAGATGATAGGGCAAAGACGGGGCCGGTATTTGGGAGCAAGGATAGGTTCAGGGGGTTGGGCGTCTTCTTTGATACCTATGCCAACGCTAGACATGTGAGTAGAGCGATGATTGAGCCATTGCTGGTGAGACAGGGAAGAGTCAAGTGGCTTATGAGAGTTCCACTCTCTTCTGTTACATCAAGCCATACGCTTTCCCAAGGGTAATGGCCATGATTGGAGATGGCAAGACAGAGTACAACGGAGCTAGGGATGGAGGAGGTCAAGAGCTAGGAGCTTGCTCGGTAAGTTCGAAGGGAAGAAGCATTTGCGAGCTAAGGAGACGACAGACTGAAGGACCTTTGCTCTCCTGCAATGACAGATTGACATACGGAGAACGCGGGTAGCAACAAAGGGACGCCTTACATTCGTGCGGGGCGTGTACCTAGAGGTGAGTGGGCCACGCGGGGCGTTTATACTGAGATCGTCGAACTTGGGCGCTGAACTGAGATTCATCCGTTGCCCTCGCCCCTCTCAGCTGAAGATCCACTACAAGGAGTGGGACACATGGGAGCCGTGCTTGTGAGTAGAGGCAAAGAGCGAGCGAGCGACGGTTCGCGGCGGCAGAGCGATTGAGCTGATGGACCATACGCTATACCCAACAGCAAGATTGAAGACGCGCAGGTGCCCAGAAATCCTTTCTTGGGCTTCAGCTCTCTGACTGGTGATGTCAGCGACGCCCATGACATCGTCAATGTCAAGACTAGCCAGATCGTCTTCAAGAACAGGAGCCATGTGGTGAGTACACGGGGACTGCAGAAACCCGCCATGGATCTTCAGCTGTCAGCATACTCAACCCGGCCACCTTTGTCCCTTCATACATTCAACAGGAATTGTTGGCGGAGCGACGTAAGCACTTCTCGCCAGAGGCCATCAAGTCGGCCAAGGCTGGCAGTGACTACACGACGGCCTACCGTGCTAGCAGCTTCGTGCACGGCGTGTACCACCTGATCGTCTTCTTGGTCAAGTGGGGCATCGTCGTGGCTGTTCTGGCCGCCCTGGTGATCCTTGGGCTGAGGTATAGGAAAAAGAGGGACGTCAAGAGGTTCTGAGTAGTGGCAAGAGGGGAGGGCACGGGAGATAGGGGCAGGCTGGATGAGCCGGTGGAGTGAGCCCGTCTATTCAACATGGCTCATGAAGAGCTCTGTGGCTCAAGAGTCAATATCATGAAGCTGTCATCACACCTGTCATCTTGTCTGTACCCTGATCGTCATCACCCTGCTCCTCCCGTCTGGCTCTCCCCCCTGCCAAAGATGATTGGGGCGCCACTCACCCTTGCGGCCCGGCGGGAATGTCTCGGAGTGTCGGAAGTGCGGGGGCTGAGGGAGCGCCGGCGCCGGCCCAAACAGAAAAAAGGATCAAAGCCGAAGGAGGGGGGGGAGCCTTTCCTTGTTTTGCAGGCGCCAAAAGGTTGACTCGACACTTCCGCACAACAGAAGACATACATCGATACCCACCAACCCCTCCCCAGTATAGAGAGTCTTAAAGAGGTCGTGGCTAGACAGTCTAGACATTCTTCCCTCTTCTCTCCCACTCTCTCTTCCTCCTTTACTCTCTTCCTTTGCCGGCTGTCTCTGCAAGTGTTAGGAATGATCCGCTCAGCTACCCCTAGAGCCCTTCGCAGGGCGCTCCAAAGGGCTGGCTCCTCGGGAAGTGCCTCCCCTTTCTCCTCCTCTTCTTCGGCGGCGGCGACCTCGATACCAGCAGCAGTAGCATTGATACCCTCTCCATCCTCATCATTATCATCGTCGTCGTCCCTAGCATCATCAAGGTCATCATCATCATCAGTATTGCGCCAGCATAGCGTTCCTCATCCCTCGCGTCGCAGCCTCCATTCTTCCACCTCACTCGGAAGCGCATGGCCCGTAGGAGCCTCAGCGGGGGAAGTGGAAGGAGAGTCTTCTTCTTCGACCTCTTCTGCTGTACCAAGCTCAAGCTCAAGCTCAGCCTCAGGAAGCGGTAGCGCTAATGGCAATGGCTCCTCCTCTAGCACCTCGCAGGACAGAAGGCCAATTGACTTGACGGATGCGGGCAGCTCGAGGGGTACACGGCAGAAGTTGGAGATGCCAAAGAGCAAGGCGGTCAAGTCTTTGATGGATTTGAGAGATATGAAGAAGAAGGGCAAAGCAATGTGAGTGGACAATCTCATTGAGGAATGGAATAGAGCAGAGCACAATAGAGACTGATACGAGCTACCTCTCCGTCTACTGCTTCACCCGCTTTGTAGAGCTTGCTTGACGGCCTACGACTACCCGACTGCCCTCTCTCTGCGTCGGTCCGATATCGACATCTGTCTCGTGGGCGACTCCATGGCAAATGTAGCCCTCGGGCACGCATCCACCCAATCCCTCTCCCTCGACGCTACCATCCACCACTGCCAAGCAGTGTACCGTGGTCTCTTCTCTCCAGTCCTCTCCATGTCCCCCGATACCCCCGGAGCGCCAATCCTCATCGTGGATCTGCCATTTGGTACCTTCCACGATTCTGTAGAGCAGGGAGTGCAGACGGCCGTGCGACTGCTCAAGGAGGGTGGGGCAGATGGCGTCAAGATCGAAGGAGGGAAAGAGATTCTCCCCCTCGTGCGGCGTCTCACCCAATTCGGCATCCCCGTCATGGGTCATCTCGGTTTACAACCACAGCGAGTCGCCTCTACGGCAGGTTATCGCCTCCAAGGTCGTACTGCCGACGAGGCTTCGCTCATCCTTGAAGAGGCGCTAGCCCTACAGGAAGCAGGCGCCTTTAGCATCGTCCTCGAATGCATTCCCAACAAGATTGGAGAACTCGTCTCTCAACAATTGGAGCGGACAGTCACCATTGGAATTGGAGCAGGACCAATGTGCGATGGACAGATCCTTGTAACGAATGACCTACTGGGAGAACTTACCAGTCCATGGCATGTAGTTCTTGGGCTTGAGGAGACGGGCAAGTCGACGACGACGACAACGACTGCTGCTGAATTGCTGCCACGGCTGCACCCTTCTGCCCCCAAGGGGCCCAAGTTCGTGCGCAACTTTGCCGAAGTAGCTCTACAATCCATGTCCAAGTCCAACTCTAGCAGCTCCAGTACCAGTAGTAGCGGAAGCAGCGACCTTGCAGCCACTGCGGGTGCTGGCGCATTTGGTCTTGGCGCTCTACGCCTCGCGGCAGTCGAGGCGTACGTGCAGGCAGTCAGGGAGCGCTCTTTCCCCGATCCGGAGCGCGAGGGGTATAAGATCAAGGGCGATGAATTGAGAGAGTTTGTAAGGAGGTTGGAGGGGATGAAGAATGTAAAGAATTGAGCTGGAGCTTGGAGTTTGGAGCTTGAGACTGGATCTTGGGATTGGACTGACGATACCAAGACGGGTGTGGTGCAGGCTGCGTATGTGATTGCAGGGACGGAGAGCATACCCCACCCACACAAGACCGACAGTGTAGATCGAGGCGTTTTTCATCCTCGGCATCATCTTCGGCAAAAAATAAAATACCAAAAGTCTTGTCATTATAGATTTTGAAGATTCAGGAACAAGGTCAGAGACGTTCCCTTGGTCCCTGCTCGGATCGATAAGGATCTCACATCACAGAGGCAATGTCCACCAACTCTTTCGCCAACCTGCTGGGCGGACTTCTCCTTTTACAAACCCACCTCAGGTCCCGGTGGCCAAGGCAGTCCACCAGCGTACCTCGGTCCACCAGGCTGTTGATCCCTCCGATGCCATTCGGCCTCTTGCGCTCTAAGTGCTTCTCCCGCCGCCTGTCCCCCACCTTCTGCAACGACGATGTGGTTCCGCACTTCTTGCCTACGACGCTCCTCTTCGCGTCGCTCCTGCTCTGCACGGGCTTGAGCGGCTTGACGGGCATAGACGAGCATGGCAAGGGCAGAGAGGCCAATGACCATCATTGCGCCCTCGATCATCGCGTCGGCTTCTTCCTCGGAGAGAGACATCAAAACACCGCCGTCGCTTGCGTCACCGCCGTTACCTCTTCCGCTGCCGCCGCCTCTGCCAGCTGTATTGGGAGCGCCCTTGGGTGGAGGTGCTCCGCCTTGCTGTTGTGGTGCCGCCTGCTGCTGCTGCTGTTGTTGTGGTGGAGGAGGTTGCTGCTGCTGAGGTGGCTGCTGTTGTTGACCAGGGCGAGGCTGCTGGCGTTGATGCGCCTGTTGTCCCCCTCTTGCGTTACGCCTCAGGTCCCACGTCTCTGGCAAGTTGAGGTCTCCTCCCTCTTCATTAAAGTAGAATTCCTCGTCGTCTTCCCTACCTCCACCAGCAGCGCGTAACAGCTCCTCCTCGGCTTCGGTGTATCCGCCCAGAACTCCGTTGCCGGCACCCGCATAGCTGCTGAAGAGGGCCACAGCGCTCTCCTCACGCTTCCAGACAGTTGCCCATAAAGCTTTGATGTGCAGCCGGATCAGACTGAGCAGGACGGGCAGGTAAGCCTCGCTGTTGATCTCTACCGCCATGTCATAGTAGCGCTTCGCGAGATGGAAGTCGCGCCGCGGAACGCCTAATCCAGCTTCGTACAGGTGGCCCAAGTTCCAGTAGGCCAGAGCAGAGACTTGTCGATCTGCCGCAGATGCATAGCACGCCAGCGCCTTCTCGTACTCTGGCTCGCCACTGCTGTCATTAGAGGAAGCCGATGGCAGGCCGATGCCGTAGTAGTAGTAGTCTCCGAGCTTGACAAGAGCATCAACATTGTCCTGCGCAGCCGACCGCGTCCAGTACATCAAGGCAAGTCGATCGGATGACGTGTCTGGGGGACCATCAAGGCGCGGCACCTTCCATCGCCTCTTATCTCTGTCTAAGATCCACGCGACATTGTTCTGCGCCACCTCGTCGCCTCTTTCTGCAGCCATGGACCAATAGATCAGTGCTCGCTTCTTGTCTCCCAACTCCCAAGCGCGCACTCCTCGAGCAAAGACCGGGGATTCCCAGTCCCCTCGCTCGGCTGCGTGCTTGAAGAAGGATACGGCTGCTTGGCAACGATTGTCGTTCGCGCCCGGAGGGCTCAACGTCGCCAAGGACTGCTTGTAGACCTTGGCATTGACAAGCCCAAGGAAGTAGAAGCCTTCAAAGGGTGATCCAGTCCTGACGGCAGTCGCAAAGTGGGCTCCAGCTGACGTCAGGTCTCCCATCTGAAGATGTATCTTGCCCAAGGCGACACTCGACTCGGCGTGACCGCTGAGAGAGGACTTGACAGCATCGTCCCACATCTCGATAGCTCTTTTGCGATCTATGTTCTGCCCCTCTCTGATGATCTTGCCATCTTTCTTGACCCATTGGTCCGGAGCCATCCCCAGGCTTCTCATCAGACCGAAACCATACTTGCAGTCTCGGTCCCCCACCTCGCTACCTCTCCAGAACCAGTACCAGGCTCTGGCGTAGTCGACTGGCACGCCTTCTCCTCGGAGGTACATCCGTCCCAACAAGGCAGCTGCGGAACCAGCGAGCGATCTGACGGACCCCTCCGTCTTGAGAATGGGGTCCTCTTCGCCTCCTTGCGCGTTGCGGTCATTGGAGTTTCTTGTGACTCGCCTGCCCTTGACCATCCTGAGGTTCGTAATGTCCACAGGCCAGACCATCCTGGCGACCTTACTTGCGAGCTCTCGCGCTTTGGTGTAGTCTCGCGGTACCTGACCTGCGCTCTCGCTCGCACCATAGATGCTGCCCTGATAGTAGATGCGGGCCAGCCAGAGTGTATGACTGAGGGAGCCTCCATTGGCATGGTAAGAATAAAAGGCGAGCAGATCGTTGAGTCGGGAAGGGTCTCTTGTTCCCATTGAAGTAGGAGAGTTTGTCGAAGGGAGGAACTGAAGAGCAGCCTGGATGGCCGGACGGTGTGCTGCCGGCCCAGTCGACGCTGCTGAGGCTCCAGGGCCGTAGACTCCTCCGAAGAGGTCTGACAGTCGCAAGTGGGTATACGGAGGCGTCAGGCCGCCCGGAGGCCCCTGCTGGAAGCGCGCCTGAGACTGCGAGGCTGCCCGCTCGTACCACTTGAGGGCTTCCGTACAGTCTGGCGTGGTTCCGATGCCGACAAGACTGCGATATGCTAGAGCCATCTGGGAGGCGTAGTCGCCTTCGCGAGCGGCGAATGTGTGGTGAAGTAGAGCCTGTAATGAAAGCGAGAGGAGCCGTGGTAAGTACACCATCACAAAAAAAAAACCAACGGCGACTCCAACGCTCACTCACCATGCTTTGACTCTGTCCTGGCCACTCCTCAGCACTCGTTGGTCTTCCCCAGGCCCTCCACATCTCATTCGAGCCCTCTAGCCATGCAAGCAGATTGCGAGCACTTGCATTGCCGGGCTTCACTTCCTCTACCAGAGTCGTCAAATGCGGGATGGCAAGCCACGGCCGAGGCTCTGCGCCATGTGTTCCTAGAATATAATGTTGCGCCAGTACCCAGAGAGCGTCTGCTGATGCCCGGTGTGGCCGAGGTGGGTAACCTGCATGTTGCAGGAGGGCGAGCGCCTCAGAGACATTGTCGGCAGCTTGCGAGTCCGTGTGCGAGCTTCTGCCCAGCCGTTTACCGCCTATTGTGGTGGACGAGATCCACTTGAGGATCTGCTTTGTAAGGAGGGAGGAGTCGCTCGACTCGCTTTCGCTCTGCCAGCCCTTGAGCAGGAAAGGGCCATGGAGGGCCGAATCGCCACCTCCAACTTCCCACTCTGGCCAAAGCTGAGCGGCTCGCTCTCCCGTCCAGGCGTGGGGTCTTCTCGAGTCCAAGACATGTTCAGACCGGCCATTGCCGCCCCGAAGCAGACTTGGCAATCCCGCACCCGAACCTGAGAAAGGGACATGCGCTCTGAGCCAGTGAGCAAAAGCATAAAGAGAATACTTGATCTTGACTGAAAGCCTGAGCATCGTTCCAAATGGGCCCCAGGATGTGAGAAAGGTCAGGTACGGCGACAAATCCGACAGAGTCACACGAGCTTTGTCCTGGGCCGAGGGCTGATGGAGAGGGGAAGAGGATCCAGATGAAACGGAAGTTTTGGCAGAGCTCTTGGTTCTTGACGGTGACTTGCGATTTGTCTGGGTATATGCAATTGGCTCTTGTAATGCCGATGGCTCTATCACGGATCTGAGGAGGATCAGGGCGGACTGGTAGGCTTCGTCGGCTGAAGATGCGAGTTGGATAGGCAGGCAGGATCTCTATGGTCAGTTGCTCTTCTCGGGTCCCCTTCCGGACCCTGCTTCCTTTTGCTACTCACAAGACATGTTGTGCACACCATTGCCATTGCCTCTTTCTGGCCATGCAGACGTAGCATGGTCAACCCGGCCTGAAGTGCTGAAGACAGTCCCCCTTTGTACCTCATCTTCCACAGTGACGCGGCGATCAGGATGCGACTCCTCCTTCTGTCCATACGTCTCGCCAGGTAGACTAGCGAGCAAGCTGACGACAATGAGAAAGACTGCCCAAAGCCTCAAGCGGGTCGCCATGGTCTCTGGCCTTCAAAAGGATGACGAGGTGACGATTGGGGGTGGGTCTTCTGAAAGTCCTCTGGTCCAGCTGGTTTTGGCAGCAGTGGCGAGGAGACGTTCGAGTTCGCGATCTATGATGAGAAGGTTGCTCTGACCATGACAGCGTGCAAGATACTGACAGGTCGAGAGGTCGGCAGGGAAAGTGTAGCAATGACAGGTGAGGGATGTATTCTGGGATGGCCCCTTCGTGGGAACTGGTGTCTATTGTCCCTCACCGCCCTCCGTCTGGCCCGGATGTCGTGGAGGCTGGACAATTCTAACTCCGCCCGCCTCGCCTTTGGAAATCCCAGGTGCACCGACGGCTTCTCAGAGGAATTGAGGATACGGAAGCAGGACCAACGACGGCCATTCTTCCTCACTCACACTCACAATGGCGCCTCGGCTCTGCTCACACTGCAACGTGTCAAAGGCAGTGCTACGGCGGCCCAAGACGGGGCTGCTGGTCTGTCGCCCCTGCTTCTTCTACGTCTTTGAGACGGAGATCCACCAGACCATCCTTGATGCCAACCTCTTCAAGCCGGGGGAAAAGGTGGCAATTGGAGCTTCCGGCGGCAAAGACTCCACGGTGCTGGCCTACGTCATGAAGACGCTCAATGAGCGGTACAACTATGGTCTCGATCTCTTCCTCCTCAGCATTGATGAGGGGATCACTGGCTATCGAGACGACTCGCTGGAAACGGTCAAGCAGAACAGCGAGGAGTATGGTCTACCGCTAAAGGTGCTAGGCTACAATGAGCTGTATGGCTGGACAATGGATGACATTGTCAAGAGCATCGGCAGGAAGAACAATTGCACCTTCTGTGGAGTCTTCAGAAGGCAGGCATTAGACCGAGGAGCAGCAGTGCTCGGTGTGGATCACATCGTCACCGGCCACAATGCTGATGACATTGCAGAGACGGTGCTGATGAACGTCTTGCGGGGCGACATTTCCCGTCTTTCTAGATGTACAGAGATTGTCACACAGTCTGCCGACGCCGATCCTTCACAAGGCTGTGGTGGTACAGTCAACGAAGATGGCAGCTCCTCACTCGACTTTCTGGGCATCAAGAGGTCCAAGCCCTTCAAGTACGCCTATGAAAAAGAAATCGTCCTCTATGCCTACTTCAAGTCGTTGACCTACTTCTCGACGGAATGCATCTACTCTCCCAATGCATACCGAGGATACGCCCGTGCCTACCTGAAGGACTTGGAGAGCATCCGTCCTTCCGCAATCATAGACATCATTCATTCAGGAGAGGCACTCAAGGTCGGATGGAGAGAGGAAGAGAATAGTCAGGAGAATGGCGAAGGCAAGCAGAGCAATTCAACTGCGAGCAAAGGTCAGGCGCGTCAGGTGCAGCAGACCTGCAAGCGATGCGGCTACATCACCTCAAATGAGCTCTGCAAAGCTTGTGTCCTGCTAGAGGGGCTCAACAAGGGTGTGCCCAACTTGGGCATCAAGAGTAGCGTCAAGGTGGGAGGTGTAAGTGAGAACGACGCTGCTGGTACAGCTGCCAACCGTGTTCAACCTCGACCGACGACGGCAATGTTGCGGGCTGCCGCCTCAGCATTTTGATATCAGCCTCTCTGCCGTGTATCCGTCTTACGATCTTCACTTGTACAATATGTCCCATCAATGTGATACCACTTCCTACCAGTCCTCCGATGCGTGCAGACTGCGACGCGTCATGACATGAAGAGCGTTCGATTCTTTCTATGAACAAGAGACCTATGTACAAACGATACGACAAGATGTTCTTTACTTTCCAATGCGTTCCAATAATGATGAATGATCTTGATGGTCTTGATGATTCTGATGCTGAAGAGACTTTGTAAAAGACTCGATGGCAGCTTACACAGCCATTTTTCCGGCCGCCTGAGTCGCCTGCTCCGCCTTCGCCTCTGTCTCAGTGACTGGTTGCCGACCAGGGATTTGCAAGACAGCAAAGCCGGCGAGTCCGGGGAATCCCATTTCATTGTTAATCTCCAGGATCTTCGCCTTTGAGTCTGTTCCAGCCACAAGATCCCACTGCCTCTGGCAGCTCATCGACCCGGAATCGTACTTGAAGTCGGTCTGCGGATCACACTTGCAGCGGGATAGGTATTGCTCGCCTCGCGGGCAGGCGGTAAAGGGGTCATGGGTATACCCGATATTGGTGAATTGATGGATTTCATCCTTGCTCAGAAGCCAGGCAGCAGCAATCGAGTGGACTGGTGCATCCCCCCATCTCCATTTGAAGAATTTGCCCGTCCTGTCGAGCTCTTCAAAGAACTTGATGTATCCCTCGGAACGGTACCAGTCCAGATCAGCGATTTCGAAATTGGTCCAGAAGTGGCAGTGGTTGTAGCTCAGACCTACCCGATTTCGGGAGGCGACGAAGTCCAGAGCAGTGAGACCTGGCGACTGATACTGAGTATTAGCCTTGAAAAAGCGTAGACTGTGTAGCCAGAGGTCGCGAATAGTGGCAGGATACTCTGTCAAGGACAGGACCCAAGCGTACTTCTTCTTGTTGGCCGCCATCCATCGGAACGGGTCGAAGAAGTCTCCCATCCCGTCTGCCTTTGCATCCCAGCTTGTAGGAGCTGCTCCTTGAGATGGCACAATGTTGCAGCTGAATTTGACATCTGGCTCCACTCTCCAATAGTACTTGAAGTCTTGCAGCAAAGGGTGCCGGAAGAAAAATCCAGACTGAAAGCGGCACATCTGCCTGTAGCTGAGCGAGGCGGCATACGGGATATTGGCTTTGATCAGGTCGCTCCAACCCGTCTTCATTTTCTCGAGATTGATGTTGCCAGGTACATCCCAGTGCTCTGGCGGGATTTGGCCGAAGCGTATGTCAGGTTGGGACGCACTTGGACCGCCGAAGCGTGCTCGAGCCGTAGTGAGATAGGCAGTGATCTTCTCTCGAAAGTGCACGTTGAAATCATGATTGTTGAGGAAGACGTAGGTGTATGATGTCAGAGGATGTGCGTTGAAGGTGAGCTCGAGATCGTCCAGCGAAGGGAGGATGCCGTTGATGTCAGAGTTGCGACAAAGAATCACGATAGCAGCTGAAGGCCGCGGTGGAATCTCCGTCGCACTGGCAGAGAAGTCTGCCTTTCCCACTAGAGGCCATTCACCCCGCACCTGACGGCCGGAGTAGGTATTGAGAAGAGCAAGGATGGTCAAGAGGGAGGCAATGGCCAGGACAAGCCTGACGGTGAGGCGAGCCATGACGTCTGTTGGGTTGCGAGTGGAGCGATCAAGAAGAGGCCGAGGATTTCCGGCGTCGCGGCGTCGGAAGTGAGACGCGCTCGGTAAGCCTACTCTACGCAGCAACGACTCTGCTGCAACTCTTGACAGAGCAAGATGGATCATCTATGGCATTGACAGCAGCCCACCAAGGTGAAGTGTGCAAGCCTTAGTTAAAGGCTTTGCAATAATTGGTTACAAGTACATAATGGTCAAAGGACAGACCCTACAGGAAGCGGGCGACATTTATTTGATGTAGCGGTGGAGAAATTCTTTGTGGAAGGAGGTCCTGGTAAGGTCATTTACAAAGTCCGGGTTGTTCGCCTTTGACCCTGCAGACTGGTTCTTGAAGATGACATCTGTGAATGAGAGAGACTGCGTGTCAGCTGAGGAAATGTTGCGAGGTGTTGGGAATGGCAGACTCACCATCGTCCCACCTCCTTTTGACGCCAAAGGAAGCGACACTGCTCGAGCCATCGTCCGTGAAGGCCTCTTTATCCTTGATGCCGTCGTTCAGGAGAGGATTGCCCTTGGCGATCTCTTCTTCCCTCTTTTCCTTTGCCTCTTCTTCCTCGCGGGCCTTCTGTGCTGCCGCCGCTGCCCTCTCGGCCTTGATCTTCTCGAGCTCCTTCATGAGCTGGGCCGTCTCATCTTCGTCATCGTCGTCGTCGTCTTCAGATTCGCTCGATTCGTCTTCGTCCTCGCTGCCATCCTCATCGCCACCTTGAGCTTTCAGAATTGCCCTAGCTCGAGCCTCGATTTCTGCGTCATCCTCTTCATCATCATCATCTACATCGACAGCATCACTCTCTTCCCCCTCGTCGGCGTCTTGTGTTTCAGATTCAAGGGCTCTGCTTTTGCCTTTGGAGCTTGTCTCATCGTCCCTCTGTATCGTCCTAGGTTTCTTGAATTCAAGCTGTGTCAATTCCTCCTCCTCCTCCTCCGCCTCGGAAGCTGACTCGGGCTCAGGCTCCAATCCTTGCGCTTTCCTCTTCTTGTTCCTCGCATCCTTCTCAGCCCTGGCTAGTCTCGCCTTGAGCTGCTCTCGAGTCTCTTCCCCAAAATCGTTGCTTGAGGGAACGACTTGATCGCCTTGAGATTGCCTGTACTTGAGCGTGGTCTGGGATGGCAATTCGCGAACGCCAGTGACTCTCGTGACGTGGCGATTGTCGCCTTTGCCCTGAGCGGGAGTCCATGTGGGGCGATGGGCGGAAGACATGGTGGAGGCTCACAAGGGGAGGTGATGAGCGGTATAGAGATGACGAAGAGAAGATTGAATGGATGATCGGGTAAAACAAGGAAGGAGCGACGGGCTGCTCCTGCATCCGGGGTCCAACTCCGCACCCGAGATTTTGGCTCCGGGCACGCACCCATCCACGTCGGCATCACACATATCACCTCTCTCTCATAGCATATTGTCCTCTCATCTCCGTCACTTCACACATCAGGCCTTTGCCGTTGATCAGCTCTTCTGCTTGCCTACGCAGTTGATCCCTCGCATCGCATAGCCAAGTGCCGCCGTTGATCAGAGCTGTAGCTTATGCTTCCCTTGCGAGGTCCGCGTGGATCACAATGAAGCACCCTTGCACCTATCCACGTCACATCAAGCAGACACCTAAAGCTTCATTTGCCGACGTTCTCGCCTCGTCATGGGACGACGGTGATCCATCTTGTTCGTCATCCACTCTCGCATCATCAGATGAGGCTTCCTGCTCAGTGCCCTCGATGCCATCTTTCTGCCCGGACCGATGCGCCAGTAGGGCGAAGCGGACGCCATGGTCACGGCAACGAGGCCTACTTCTTCACATTTTCGTTGCCGTTGCCCTAATTATGCTGCAGGCCGCTGCGCCTAGCCGTGCAGCCTCAAGTCCTGAGGGGTCACGGCGCTCGGAGGTCCCTCCTGAAACCTACCTGAACGCAATCCGGTCCTTCGCCAAGGTCATCGATACTCCACCTCCTCCGGATCCACGAGCTCTGATGCCACTACTCTCTCGTGGCGAGCCTGTATCGATACCGAAGGGGTGCTTTCGCACGACTGACCTTCTGAGTCAGTCTTCCGTGAATCCCTGGTCGTCGGCATTTCTCAGATCTGCATCAGAGAGACCAGTTGCTGGCAGAGGGTTGCGCAGTGAGCTTGTACTGTGTCCGCTGCACAAAAGCAGTGACGACCAGAATTATCGGGTGTATGCAGTGTCCGGACTGCTTGAGGTCGCATCTGAGCAGCTGCCGTCTTCCTTGATGCAAGAGACGGCAGAGGTGAGAGCTGTACCAAACGCTCAGATTGGCAGCATCGCCATGAGCTCCCTCGTCGAGCAGCCTTCAACGTCCGAGGCTTCCTGGCCGGTGGTGGGTCATGACAACAACGGTTACTGGAGGCAGAGGCATGGCAAGCTAGAGTGGGATCCTCAGCCCACAGAGCCAATGCCTCTGGTCGCACCTCAAGGTGTGCCTTCACCCTCAACTGTCGCGTCTGCCGGAGACTTTGTGAGCGGTGTGATCTCCCCTCAGGGCAGTCAACAAAGCGAGGCTCCGTCAGGCAATGACCATGCTTCAGCCTACGATGCTTGGTCTGCATCAATCGGTGGAGAGGCTGCACAGGAATGGCTCAGCTTTGGCGCCTGGAAAGAACGGCACCTAGCTGCAGAAAAGGAGAAGGAGAAGCTGGCAGAGGCCGAGAGACGAGCAGAGCGAAGCAGGAGAGCCAAACAACAGCAAGAGCAAGCAGCAGTGGCTGCTGCTGCTTCCATCCAGGATCCGCAAAGCTCTGACGTCAGTCGCGAGCAGTCATCAGCCACCAACTCGAAGACCTCGCACTCTACTGCTGCAGAGCAACGGACTGCATGGTCTGAGAAGGAGACGAGGCCATGGGGAGCTTCCTCTACTTCTCTTTCATCAAAAGAAACAGGTCAGTCTTCCACCAAGGGTCCCAGCGAATCTGCCGTGACGGCTCCCGGAATCCAGAGCAAGCAGTCTAGCTCCAGCGAGCCTTCTTCGACATCGCCAGCTTCATCCTCAGCGAGCTCTTCGGCATCCTCACCCTCAGCAACCGCTACGGAGGTTGGTGAAGATTCATCCAATGCTGTGAGACCGGCTATCCGTGACACGTCAGGCTTGCTTCAAACTCTACGTCATCGATGGAATTTCGCGTCGATGGACTGTGCAGCAGTAGTGCACCGAACAAATCCCTCTGCCAAATTCGCTGCATCTATCCTCTCGGAGAAGAAGGATCGCTACATGCTGTCACCGTGTCCAGATATCTCAGGCGATCCTCAGGGTAATTTCGTCATCGTCGAGCTATGCGACGAAATCAGTATCGACACGATCGTCCTCGCGAACTACGAATTCTTTTCTCGGATGTTCAAACGCTTCAGGGTCAGCGCTTCTCAGACCCTCAAGAGCGGGAGCAGTAGCGACTCTGAGAATTGGTATCAGCTAGGGATCTTCAGAGCAAGGAATCTCAGAGGCGTTCAAGTCTTCAACACGTCGCTGCCCCAAACCTTCGCGGCCCCTTCTAGATTCTTCCGTTATCTGCGCATTGACTTTCTCGAGTACTATGGCAACGAGCATTATTGCCCCCTGAGTCTTTTGAGGGTGTATGGTCTGACACAAATGGACGACTACCGGAGAGAGGAGGAAGAGGAACGCAGAGCGCTGGAAGAAGCCAATCTACGTTTTGCAATCGGCGAGCTCGATGACGACAGTGCAACGAATGAGCAAGCCGGCCTCCTTGTAGAAGCCGAGGCCAAGGCGGAAGACCCCCCAATCATGGACCTACCAGAGGATAGCAAGCTCTCCTCAGACAGCGGCTTGTGGGACGTCTTATGGAAAGGCAAGAACTCCTCCCCGGAATTGTCGGCTGCCAGCAATCAAGAGGGTGACGTTGTAATCTCCAAATCGGCATCCGATTCTGGGTTAAGTGCCGGGAGAGCCAACGCTGCCACGTCTCTACACGCTGAAGCGCCGCCACTCCGTTCCACGCCAACAACACCAGACAGCAAGCCACATAGTACACCTGTGGCGGCGACTCCTCAGCGTACCACCAACAATGATCCTTCGGCATCTCAGTCTGTGTCGACACAGCCCTCCGAGGCTTCGTCAAAGACTATCGTCCACACGAGACAGTCTGCGGACGCACAGACCAAGGTCAACTCCACGACATCGCTGCGCAGCACGTCACAGATCGGCAACGCTTACAGCAAAGCTAGGGTGACCGAACCGGGCTTCTGTACGGTCGTACGGGCTGACGAAGAGGCTGGAAGTCTCAATAGCAGCTTTGCTGAGCCTATCTGTCCCATCCCTGCTCATCCCGCGCTCATTCATAACAGCAGTCAACACCTCGGACAAACTTCACCGCTCAGCCCTTCCGCCGCCAAAGCAGCTGCTCAAGACTACACTTCACAGTCGTTGCGCCCTTCCTCAGCGGCGCGTCAAGACAAGTCTAATTCCTCCGTCAGCCAGTCGTCGATCTCAGTCTCAGAGTCTGGCAGTCGGCCCGCTCAACCATCTGGCAGCAATGCTGCTTCGGGAGGTAGCAGCGAGTCCATCTATCGAACGATTGCGAAACGTCTGAATGCTCTAGAAGCCAACGCTACCTTGAGCATGCAATACATCGAGCACAGTGGTCAGATGCTCAGAGACATCTTCAGAGCAATGGAGCGTCGACAAGAGACACGTCTTGGGGACATGCTACAAGCTCTGAATGCATCAAATTGGCGTCAAATCGAAGCCTTGAAGCGAAGACAGCAAGTCGACCTCCAGAGGGCAATCTTTGAGTTTGATGTGCACAAACAACAGACCGAAATTGAGCGTCGAGCTCTGATGGCTGAAGTGAGGCTCTTGACCTCCGAGGTCATGTTCGAGCGCAGAATGGGAGTAGTGCAACTGATACTGGTACTCGGGCTTGTGGTCTTCATGATGTTCACAAGGGGACCAAGTGTGTCACCCTCCGTACTGCACTCCGGACTAGCCAGGCTCTCCGCAACAGCATCTCCCCGTACTGCCGCGGGCTCTTCCTCAGGCAAGGGCACTTCGCTACGGCCGAACGTACTGTTCCGATCGAGATCTTACGGGCAAGGCTCTGAGAAAACGATACCACCGGTTGAGCAGGGGAGCAAAGGCGCAGCTGCTGCATCCCAGGAGAACTTCAAGGATGAGTCGGAGGGCCATCGAACGCTCACTGCTGGTAAAAAAGGACAGCAGCAAAGCCGCGGAGACATCGGTGGAAAGCGTCCACAGAGCTCGCACACGATCACCAGCCATGACAAGCAGCCCGCACGTGCCCGTCAAGAGCGCTCGGAGCGTCAGCAAAGTGCACCTCCAGAGATTTCGTCTCCTGGGGGCCCCCTGAACGACGTCGCTCAGCCGCCTGCTGGCTTCGCTGAAATGAGTCCCACGGAACTCAAAGCATACCTTGGGCTCGACTCGTCCCGATCTGCTTCGACTTCCTACGATACACCACGTCAGGGCGTGAATGGCTATCAAGATGAGACGGGTGATGAGGGCGCGGAGACTGCCATGGAGGACATCGAGCCTGACAGCGACGACGCTCTTGATGAGTTCAACAAGATGATGAAAACCGAACATACACCCAGTGTACACTGGGCGGGCGGCCAGAATCTCCAACGCAATGATCGTGAAGATCACTTCTCGCCCGCAAGGATGTTGTACAGACGAGCAGCTTCTGCAGAGCCGGGGGTCAGCATGGAAGACAGCTCTCCACGTTCCAAGAGAGAAGTTCCTGCATCACAAGGCGCTAGCCCAATGCGCAACGAGTCACCTAGACATCAGCCTCCGATCGATCCGATAGTCGCACGCCGGGGCTTGTCAACGTCATCCTCGGATCACCACTTGACAGGTGACAAAGTGCTCGACATCTTGCACAAGGCGGGAGCGGCAGTCGGCTCTTCGCGAGGGTACAACGGGTCACATGGCAGCCGATCTCAGGGCAATGAATCTGGGCTTCGTCAAAGCCCTGACTCTGACGCCAGTGATGGGGCAGACTCAGGGTCTGAAGACGGAGGGTTGCCGTGGCAAAGTGTGCCGCTGAGGCGCAAGAGTACTCAGACAGGCTACTCTGGGCAGACTGCTCAATACCACGCGGCGGGTCGTGCTGACTTTGCTGCCGAGGGTGGCTCAGACGCTGGGCATCGCTCACCAGGTAGTGTCCCCCTCGGTCGGCAAAGGTCTGCCAACAGTCGTAAGAGCTGGGTTTCTGGGCACAATGGTGGAAAGGGAAGCGTTACACCCACTGGATCTGGACTCGGAGCCTCGATTCTTCTGGGAGAGAGCCTCCACGTGAATCGTCCTGCCCGATCGGCCAGTGGGAGCTTCACTAGGCCGCCTGTCTCGGGACAGAGAGCAAGGCAGCCATCCGTGTCCAATGTTAAAGCGCCGATATCCCGAAGCTCATCCCCCTTGTCTGGGGAGACTCGTCGGCAGTCTCTGGGCACCCCCGGCAGTCTTGCCGGAGGGAGCGCGAGGTCAACCACAGCAAGCCCATTGGTGCCGCCTTACTCAACTGTGGCCAAGGACAGCCATGGGACTGGAGCATCGGAGGTAGTCGGTCATGGCGATTGGGGCCAACGCTATAGAAGTGCTTCTGGGACTTTTGTGGACAAGAGTCGTTGAGGGTAAAAGATGCGAGGCTGTGTCATTGTAGCGCTGAAGCGAGGATTGCGTGTGGACGCGTTCCTCCAAGATCTCCTAAGTTATTCGAACCTTCTGGCTGTGATGCAACCAAGTGTGAGCATAACGTGTGCCTGGCCTTAGCAATCGAAGGTCTGCGTGGAATCTTCTTTGATCGCCTGCAAGCAGGACCTATCGGTGGCTTGGAGATAGCAAGTTAAGGTCCCGGCGCAGCTAGCCAGGACCCTCCCATGCGCTCCTACATCCGCTCATTCACCATCGTCTCTCAGCGCTTCTCTTCGGCTGTTAGCTTTCCTTTTCCGCCGGTTTCAATTACACCCAAACGAGGGGGTGTCGCAAGACCGAAGTGATGGGCTTACGCAATCCATGGAAAAAAGGGCTTGTACCCAAGGGACTGGACCCGCGGGGAACGGAGCTGGAGCTGGGAAAAAACTGTCTAGGGTGGGACACTGGGACACAGGCGAGGTGGCCGTGGGAAGCGGCGCAAGGCCAAGGCGCGAGGAGGGGCCCAGGTGCATTGGCAGGGAAAAGGCCTGGACGAGGTGAAAGAGGAGTGTGAGGCGCACAGAGAATCAGACAGCAAGCGATCTTCGCTTGTTCTCCAGCCGGGACATTCGATGCTTCGCCTTCGCCTTCACGAGATTGATAGATGGCCGCGTGAGAGGCTAGGACTGCGTGCGTACCGAGCGCTGACTGCTGTCGAGGTCTGGTCTTTGCCCGTCTCTTGTTGTACAGCAACTTGCATCCATCCATCATTGACATCCTCCCATCACCCCGTTGCATCCATCACCTTTGCTCTTTGCCCTGACCTGTGGCGCTTCTCTGCACGCCCGAGCCGCGAGCCGCCCTGCGTGTCCGCTTTCGTTCTTGGCTCGACGCCGCCGCCGCCGCCTAGCACTTCTTCCTCCGCCCCCCGCGGAAAAGTCCGCGACCAGCACTCGCTGCCCCGAAACGCATTTCCTACCGTCGGACCGGCGACGCCGAGGTGGATCACACGCTTCTCCTCCTTGCCTCACATACATCCTCTACATAGCTTACGGCTAGCACCACCCTGCTCCTTCTCCTTCCCTCTTTGCCCTGGGAAACCTGCGTCCCTTGCTTCTTCTCAACTCCAGCAGGCTGTATACTGCCGACCTGCGCTGCTCAAGGAACAAGTCGCCGCCGCCTTCCATCAGATTGGCAAGCTAATAGCTGCCGTCTATCATTGCAAGGGTACCTCTCCTCCTTGCAGTCGCCCTATCCTGCAATTGCGCTTGACTCTGCTGTCTTCAAGCTCGAACCGATCCCTGCAACGGTGATCGGTTGTCTCATCACAGCGGCTCGCACCCCTTTCTACCTCTTCTCAAGTTCCGCCTCATTGATTCTCTGGTCATTGGCAGCCAATCTGTTCCTGGCGTAGACGGCGCCATGTCCGTTCTACAACCGTCCGTTCCTCCTTCGCCCACCAGCCATGATGAATCGGAGGTTCGAGACCATATCCTCCTCATGAGGCAGGCCAAGCAGCGCCAACAGCTTGCGGCACTGACCGAAGCCCTCGCCTTAGATCAACTCACCAGCGGCAGCTCTCAGTCTTCCGCATCCTCTCCAGCCTCGACCTCAGTCCCTCCTCAAACGCAGTCTAGATTCGGAAAGGGCCGTGGTCTTGAGCAAATCGGCGAGGAAGATCCTCGTCTCCTCTCTTGGTACGCTGCATCGACTGAGGCTGAAAGCGATTCTGAGGCGGATCAGCCTTCCAAATCGGACGAGGACCGTGCAGGGTCTAGGAAGGGTCATAGTCGGGATGACAGCACGAGTGGTGAGGAGAATGCTGTACTGGGTCAACAGACAATAGCTGCTCTTCTGAGCTCGTCGCCGGTCCTGCCAACCCGAGCGCTAAAAGTCCCTGCTTCGGATCTCACCTCAGCGGACTCGGCATACAAAAGGAACAGTGCGGGTAGCGCAGGGAGTAGCGGCGAGTCGAGGAGAACCCATGCGTCTCTGTCTCACAGTCCGGCAACCTCATTCTCTGAAGGACGTCGGAGTGATTCTCGGTCGTCCTCTCGTGCATCCTTCACCCCGATAACCTCTCCAAAGGGACCACCACCACGAGATCCTTTGCCCGCTCTGCCCAGCAACGGCATGACTCGCCAGGGCTCGTACCCAGGCCCCAATGCTACGCCTATGACTTTCCCGAGGAGACGCAGCGATGCCTCCCCGTCCACGCTGCAAGTGCCTCTTCCTTTGGACCCTCCTCTTCCGCCTCCCTCTGGACCTCTGCCAGACTTGCCGGAAGGCGGCTCTCGTTCTCGACCCACTTCGTGGCAAAGGCCGTCTTCGACGACTCCTGTGCCCGCCAGGTCATTATCGGGCGACTCTCCTACTTCTTCACGACAGTCCTTTATTTCCGCAAGATCCGGTACCGACGGTCGCAGATCCTCCATCACCAGCGCGTTGGGTCAGTACTGGCCCTCGTCACCTGCTTCGCAATTGTCGTCATTTTCAACCGCTGACGATGGAGCCATCAGGAGGTCCACAGACAGCAGCAACTGGACAGCTGGGCTTAGCGGCCCTGAGGATCCTGAGCTCACGGATCGCGTATCGGCCAGTAGGCTTCAGGACATTCTAGATGCGGCCGAGGTCAGAAGGCGTGACATTGCCAGGAGATCCCTGGGTGGATCCAGTATCCAAGTCGGCTTTGAAGATGTAGCTGGTGCAGAGGACCAGACAGCGGACGCGTGGGCCTCTGGAACATCTCTGGCAGGGCCCGACACAGAGAAGGCTCTTCAAGCTACAGGTCAAGAGACATCAGCCACAGCGCTCACACAGACCTCTTACAAGACGGACTTGCAGAGGCAATTGTCTAATTCGCGGATCGTCTCGATGTATGAGACGCCGCCGGATACACCGGACGAACAAGATCCTTCCCGTCAGCAGACGCCTACACCACCGGTACAGTCAGGTTCAAATAACAAGGCCGTCAATCAGTCAATGGTTGAGGACGAAGAGGATGTGGATAGTGATGACACTATCTCAGGCATCGATGTAAGCGGAGATGGTCCGCGCCGAAAAATGCAGAGGAGAAGAGGAAAGTCAACTAGCAGAACCTCTTTCGACTATGATGCTCAGAGGGCTTCCGCTCCCTCTCTGCGCAAGGGCAAGGGTATGCAAGCGAGAACGGCAAGCGGCGGGCACAGAGCCGGCCTTGCTCCTCCCTCAACCCCGCCTGCTACAAATGGTGAGGAAGGCAACCCGTTCGCATTCTACGCGTTCAGTCCCGACCTCCCTCCGTTCGTCCCTCAAGGCCTCCGACCCCTTGACCTGACTGGGCGAGGAACCTGGACGAGTATTGCCGCTCGGGCCGGTGCGATGACATCCCCTGGAAGCGCAGCCCTTTCACGGGCTTCCAGCTATGCATCCACAGTCACAGCCGGTCAGAGAAGTAGCTACACAAGTCAGAACAATAGCCCCGTCTCGATGAGGCAATTGGCTGCTGAGGCACGCTTGAAACAGCAACAAGCGGATGAGTACAGAGACCAACAGGCCGCTTTGCTGGCAGGAAAGTCGTGGAAGCCTTTCGACATCATCGCTCACGCTACTGAGCACGGGCTTTCGTCCGCCTCAAGTTCGGCAACGCCATCACTCTACAGCAACTCTGGAGCGCCGGATGCAAGCCCGAGGTCGCACTTGTCCGCGTTGAGTGCTCCCTTCCCCAATGGGCTTGCTCCGCCGATCCTCAGTAGCTCAGAGGGGATTGCCTACCACTTCGATCCGTATGCTCATCTGCGCAGGGATTCTCATGCTAAGACAGAGGCGTCGGTCGGCATGGACGATGATGAGGACTTTGCCTCATTCATAGCAAAGCGCAAGTCGGTAAAGCAATACCGCGAATTCTCCCAGCAGACTAGCCCTCCGCCCTCGCCAGGGCCGAGCAGAAATGGTGTCTTGGCCGAAGCAGGGGTTGGAACAGATGCTGAGGGAGATGTTCCTGCCGAGCTAGACGCAGGCGGCGTGGGCACCGATCAGCGAAGAAGCAGGAAGTCCGCTGCCTTGACGAATGGCATTCGCGACATTGATTCGTACTACTCCTCTTCGGAAGATGAGGTTCCGATAGAATCTCGTACATCAGCGAAGAGACGCTCGCAGCGTACGTCGGATCATCGACGCCGAAGAACAACTTCGGGACAGAGTGGCAAGGGCCGTAGTGTGCTCATCGAAGATAATGACATGTCGTGGCCGAAGCCGGTGAGGACCCCGCGTCTGTCTTCAAGAAGGAGCAACATCTTCACCACGCCTGTGCGAATCCCAAGCTCAGCCGCTTCACACAGAAGCTCGTCTCTCTCCCTGAGGGACGATGCGAGCCAGGCCGATGTACACCAGCTGGAGGAAGAAGATGGATCCTCGGACGAGTCAGACCTGGACCTGAAGACGCCAATCACGGAGTTGGCCGCTCGCACTGGAGCATTTGATGCAACTGTACAGAATCGAGGTGCCAAGAGGAAGGCGGCTGTCGAAGTGCAGCTGCCAGTAGACAAGACTGTGCCTGTAGCGGAGGACAGGCCTATTGCAGGGACCACTAGGGTGATGAGTCACACTTCTCCTCGCAGAGTTGTCTCCAGCCCTGTCAAAGCCTCGCCGATGAGAAAAGCTGAGCGAGGTGAAGCGAACCTGCTGCAGAGTATGGCGGCGCTCTCAGTCGCTCCAGCTACCAGGCCAGTAGGCTTGGGCAGACGAGCAGCTTCTTTCGATACTGCCTCTTCGCGCTCGGCAAGTCCTGACCTCGACGAGAGCTTCGCAGCAGACGTGAATAGCGACGACGACAATGTGTCGCTGATGTTGTCTGAGGTGGACTTCCCTTATGCTACCAACGCACCCTCGCCTCGATCAGACAGATTTGACGTACGTACCCCGCCTGCTTCGCCAGCAGTGAGAGACCCCAATGGTACACCGCGAATTGGCTCAGTCCGGGTCAAGAGCATTGCAAGTTCGATCTTTGGATCAGTGGATACTCCTCCCCGGCCTTACGACAGCAAGTCTGATGACGAGAGTGTGATTGTCGACAAGCCTACGACCCCTGGACACAGGCCAGTATCGATGGCTCTAGGAGATTCGCACAATGCCGTCATTGAGGGAGCTCCTTCCGAAGCTGGATCCTCTTCTGGTCGCGTCAGCGCCACAACGAATACAACGTCTCGCTCGACAGACGGTTCGCCTCCTAGCAGTGGAGACGATGCTCACGAGAACAAGGCTAGGTTCAGTATGGCTACAACTCTTTCCTCATCATACACCGAGGAGGCGACCACTCCTCCTCCTGGTGCGGCTCGAGCAGTCAGTACTGGGATGTCGGGTCACAGTGACGATGGTGACTTCTTCAGCTCCGCTCATGATCCAGCTCGTCAGCCCACTACGCCAAAGCAAGGGCCTCAACCGATGTTGTCACCGGGTAGCCCGGGATCGTCGTTGGGTCGACGCTCTGTGGAGCCCTTTGACCGTGTCTTGAATGCTCGATCGCCGTTGTCCATGCTGCTGGACTCTGGACATCGATCGTCTGTCTCGAGATCCTCTTCAATTGGATCACGAAGCCCAGCTGGCCCAAATGCCCTTCGCAAAGGACCAATGGCTTCTCCCTTGGCGGATCGTGGACTGCCAGGAGGTGGCCTCCGCAAGTCTGCCTCGTTCGCATGCGCTATCCCTCCCTCTCGTTTGTCCAGTGATCAGCACAGGCCAACAGGGCAGACGTTGGCAGGCGCTCCCGCTGCAAGGGTCGTATCGCAGCCGAGAGTCAGCGCACCGCCAAGCGCCAGCGGCATTCCTCGCTATTCGGCTCCTACAGCGGCCCCTCCTCTCCAGATGTCAGCCACCTCGAGCCCAGTCTCTGGGATTCCTCGCCTCTCCTCTGTCAAATCCCAAGATCCCTCGAAATTGAGTCCTGGGCTAAGCAGAAAGAGCAGCGGCGTCTCTGTTCGCTCTGGCAACGGGACTGTCAAGCTTGTGCCTGCCATTATCCCATCCTCATCGCTGCCTCGCAAAGCGACGAGTCCGTCGGGCAGTACTAGCACACTAAGCTCACCGGTATCGCCAGCTTCTACAATTGTACCGATGCGAGCGACATCCACGTCACCTGTGTCTCCCCCGACTACTATGGTTTCTCGCATCCCGCGCCCATCCGTGGTCTCAGCAGGAGGTGCGGGCAATGGAATTCCTGCTCGAAAGAGGTGAGCAGCTACTAGTAGGGAGATGAGACGTTGTGTCGAGGTGGCAGGTCCATCCTTTTCTCCTCCGTTGGGTATTAGATTGTCACCATATTTGTATTGTATCCACCGGTCTTTTTCAGACTGGCAACTTGTCCCTCACTTATATAAGCTGTTTATTTACCCATAGTCTGTTCACTGTCGTTGTCGTGACGTTCGAATGGGCGTCGTGCGGTGTCTAAGGGACTGTCAGTCTTGAGGCTACTTGCCCCGCCTTGGGCGCCTCGCGCATTGGCCCATGCTTCTGCTCCGCTCGCTCGGCCTTCATCTCATCTCCACCCGGCTCGACGCACCTCACTGCCCTTTCCGACAAGGAGAATATCTCTTCCTACTTTGTCCCACAATCTTCTCCTCACCCATCATCGCCATCATCGCCTTGTCTCGCTGAGCAGGATGTCCTACACTCAGAGTCAAGCTCGCAGAGGGTACGGCGGTGCGCGTCGTGCCTGTCTGATCCCCATCCCCAGCCTACCAGCATTCCTAGCCCCCTCCCGCCGTACCTTTGGAATCTACCTCTCCGGTGCCCTCTTCTCCATCGGATGGTGGTTCTTCCTAGACGCAGTCATCTCCTCTTCCATCCTCTCCCGTGCTCCACCCGAGGGAGATCCAAAACCCTGGACTCCACCTGATGTGGCAATCACCTTTGCCGATTGGATTCCCGGGCTGTGCGGGACTTTTGGAATGATCGTCGTGAACCTCATCGACAAGTCCCTCTTGGCTGAAGCGGGACTTAGCTCGGCTCTTTTCAGTGGTGGAATGGGAGGTGGAAGTGGGGGCGGAGACGCAACCATGTGGCGGGCGAAGCTATTCCTATTTGTGGGATTCGCACTCATGGCAGGAGGACTGGCGGGGAGCGTGACAGTCTTGGTGGTCAAGTACGTGGTACCGGGACATCCAGAGGAATATGGAGTGGCAAATGTTATTCAGGTGAGTAGAGTAGAGATGCAGAGCTCGTTGGCTGCTCACTCTAGGGATGCATCGCAGCTGCCTTGCCGGCCGGCCAATTGCTGCATTGGGACGACCCAATTCTCTCCCTGACACTTCAATCTACTATCCTCAATGTCCCACAGAACCTCTGCCTAATGTTGTCTACGGTCTCACTGTGGATTGCTCAATCGACAGAGGGAGAGTACGACTACAACCTCACCATCTAAGTAGCAGTGGCATACTGTTGCATAAGAGCAGTGTCAGCTAGTGATGTAGCTGATTTCATCTGAAGGGCGCTGAAGGAGCCTTGCGACCATCATGGCGTCCGCGAGCAAACTATCGAATGGGCTCCCATAATACCAATTCTCAGTGCTTTGCATCTGTCTGCTCCATGATTTGTTGCATGTATCGGCTGAGCCCTTCCTACCTCGACCTTGAGTGAGGCAGCCGAGGGCGAAGCGGCTCCTGCGCCTGCGCCTCTTTCCGTTGCCCGAGATGAGATTCCACTGCCACCCACCGTTGCTTCGTATCCTCCAACTTGAATCGTTCGCCACAATCTCATCATCTCGCAACCATGGCCCCAGACGCAGCAGCCTTTGCTGGTCCATCAGCACACGCTTCCACTTCCTCATCTACTTTGAACACAGATGGGGAGCCATCCTTCAAGCGACGACGCCCCGTACCTGACGATGATGCGGACGGCGCTGCTGGGCTGCTCAGCTTCGACGATGATGCAGACGAGGAGGACTACGACTCGAAGCGCTTTGTGCCGCTGAAGCAACGGAGAGCGCAGCAGCTCCAAAAGATCTCGTCGGGTAGGGGAGCCCTCAGTCGCGGTGGAGCGGGTTCGTCCCGAGCTACCTCGAGCAAAGGTGGGCCGGGGGCAGATGGTACTGCAAATGGGGAGGGTCGGCAAGGCGCTGGCAACGGGGGAGTGGGAAGAGATGATGACGAAGAAGAAGACGAGGAGGCAAAGCCCGACTTTGGTATTCGGCAGAAACACACAACACTACTGGACGAGGCGCGAGCACTTAGAGAAGAGCGAGCGTACGCAACTCAGACACCTGCTCAGCAGCGCGAGGAGGAAGAGAGGAAGATCCTCGAAGCTCACGCTGCTCGGAGGAAATTGGCGAGTGATATGGAATTAGCTCAGGGGATCAATTATACTGAGCCGCTCAAGACTTCCTGGACTGCTCCAAGCTATCTGCGGAATAGGACAGAAGAGGAGAATGCAAAGATCAGGGAGGAGCATCATGTCTTGGCTGATGGAATGGACATCCCGCCGCTTGCCACGAGGTTTCAAGACATGAAGATCCCGAATGCCATCATCAAGCATCTCCTTGGCAAAGGGATCAAGAAGCCGACGCCCATCCAAATGCAGGGCCTGCCTACCGCCTTCTCTGGCCGAGACATGATCGGTATTGCCTTCACTGGAAGTGGCAAGACGCTTGCTTTCAGTTTGCCTCTGGTCATGTTCTCAGTCGAGGAGGAGAAGAAGCTGCCATACACTCGCGGCGAAGGACCTCTAGGGATGATTGTCTGTCCCTCTCGAGAGCTGGCTCGTCAGACGTACGATGGCATCAAGGCCATGGCGCAGGCTCTTGCCCAGGATGGCTACCCAGAGATCGGCGTGCTGCTCTGCATCGGCGGAATCTCAATGGCCGAGCAGTCCCACACAATGGGCAAGGGCTTCCACATCGTCGTCGCCACGCCGGGCAGACTGCAGGACATGCTGACAAAGAAGAAGTTCACACTGGAATGCTGCAAGTACCTCTGCCTCGATGAGGCTGATCGAATGATTGACATGGGTTTCGAAGAAGATGTGAGGAACATCATGAGCTTCTTCAAGCAGCAGAGACAGACGCTTCTCTTCTCTGCCACGATGCCGGCAAAGATTCAGGACTTTGCCGAGCAGTCTCTCATCCGTCCCGTGATCATCAATGTCGGACGAGCGGGAGCAGCCTCGATGGACATTATCCAAGAGGTAGAATACGTGAAGCAGGAAGCCAAGATGGTCTACCTCCTAGAATGTCTGCAAAAGACGGCACCACCCGTCATTGTCTTTAGCGAAAACAAGAACGAGGTAGATGATATCCAGGAGTACCTCTTGCTCAAAGGCGTCGAGGCAGTGGCTATTCACGGCAGCAAGACGCAAGATGAAAGAGAGTATGCTATCCGGGCATTCAAGACTGGACAAAAGGATGTGATGGTTGCGTCGGGAGTGGCCAGTAAAGGACTTGATTTCAATGAGATTCAACACGTCATCAATTTTACTATGCCAAAGGAAATTGAGGTAAGTCAGCACGAGAGGCAAGTGGCAGGAGATGATAGCAGGAAGTGGCGAGCTGACCCACCACCACCTTCTACCTTGCTTCGCAGTCTTACGTGCATCAAATCGGTCGAACAGGTCGAAGCGGCAAGACTGGAATTGCCACGACGTTTGTGAACATGAATGTCCCCGAGCAGACCCTCTTGGATCTCAAATACCTCCTCATGGAAGCCAAGCAGCGCATTCCACCTTTCCTCGCCGCCATTGAAGACCCTCGAGCGGCGGCTGGTGGAGCAATCAGGGCATGTGCCATCTGTGGTGGATTAGGTCATAGTATCTCTGATTGTCCCAAGTTGGAGGAGGAGCAGAGGAGAAAGATGGCAGGACATTCCATGGATGGTGGGGGTGGATACTGAGAGCAAAAGGAGGCAAGGAGAGGAGCGCACTTGTCTTGTCACACAGGTCTGTCAATCAATGTGCTCAATAATGGCGTCGAGAGTGATGGATATTGCAGTGCCATAGCCCTGGACGGGAACCAAATGTCCCATGTATACAATCCCGTCGGTATCGTCTTACAGGAGTAGGACCCTAGCCTCGCTTCCGTATCTATTGCTCCAGGAAAGCCTTCTTTGCCGCGGTCCAAGAAGCGGCAGCTCCCATCATGATACCGCTGGAGATGGCCATGGGCCTCACGCCTGCAGTGGCCTTGAAGATGGCTCCCGACAGTCCTCCAGCAGCCATTGCGCCGGCCATGTCGTGCTTGCCGCGGGCATTGTCGATGATGGCGTCGATGGCATTGTACAAGAGCGCTGCAGGGAAGGAGTGGGGTGGGCGGGCGAGGACGAAGAGTGAGCAAGCAAGTTTTACTCATGTCGTGGTTGCGTCACATCCGTTCGACATCTACTCACCAATGACACCAGCGCTGTTTCCCATGAAGCTTCCTCTCCTAGTGACCTGGTTGAGCATGGCATTAATACGCAGACGCAGCGTCGGCGAGTCCACACCGAGGGGTCTTGTCAAGCCTTCCCGAGCACCGAGCAAACCACCAATGGCGAGTCCGGAGAGGTAGGTTGTCCCTGTACCATAGCAAAGATCATCACTCCATCCTCGACTGGGCAGGGCAGTCCTAGCTCCCTCTAGCGAGTTGGGCGCAGTGTCTACAATGTCTAGATATTCCACTTCGTCCTTGCCCAATCCAGCGAGCGGATGAAGCCGAGCAGCGTCAAACTCTGGCGAGGAAAAGAGACCAGCAGCGGTAGGTGTGTAAGAAGAATCGTAGGGAGAAGTGGAGGAGGAAGGCTGGGAGAATTGAGCAGTATTGAAGTAGGCCGTCGAGGAGGAGGAGGAGGCTGAACTGTCTGCTTGGAGAGGTGGCTGAGCCTGGGTGAAGTCGGTCGAGGCGGAAGCAGGAGCAGTGGCGTCTGCTGGCACGCCTTGCTGCTTTCCAGAGGATGAGAATGGCCACATTGTGAGAGTCAGAGCAGGTCGGTGAGTGCGAGGGCGCTAATGGCGGCGATGGCGATACGGTCACACCGAGTGAGGTAGGGACGTCGATGCTGAGGCGAGGAATCTTTTGTCCTTCCTTCCTTGCAATCAGCCGTTCCGTCACGAGCCGTCCCGTTCCGGCGTGCTCTCTTCGGCTCCGAGACTTCGGACCCACGGACATCCCGCCTCTTCGGCCACGTGGGAGGTGCAGATTCTCTGCCAGACGATCTCGATCTTGTTCTCGATCTTATCGGTCTTCAAATTGACACCTGTGTTTGCGAGATGGACAATCTGCAGTCGTCCGGCGAACCACTCTACGCGTAAGCTGCGAAGCGAGAGCCTAGGTAAACCAGACTTTGATGACCTGACCCGCCATTGGTTGGATTGAATCAGCCTGAGATTACCCCGTGGGACTCTCCGGTCTTGACCTTGCGGGGGTGCTGAGGGGTGTAGCCAAGAGCTGAAGTCGCAGCAGCCTCGGGTCTACTCGCAGGTCCAGTCGCGCGAGGGAGAGAGGATTGCAGTGGCGTCTCCTCTTCGGCGAAGGCTTTGGGTGGCGCCACGGTCTGACTGCCGTGGATGCGCGCGGGTGCCAGGCCTCTCCTCTTTTCTCTCCTCTGCCTCTGGAATGGGAGTGGAGTCGATTTTTGTAGTGTGCCATGCATGAGCCATGCAGTCCGCGACACTCTACAGCAGTCCAGGGTGAGGTGCAGCAGAGGAGCAGACCAGGAGGGGGGAGGACGGGAACGCGGTGGCGGAAAGGATGGCTGGGTACCCTGGCTACTCTACCTCGCAGATGCCGCTCACACACGCTCTGGTCCCAGCAGGACTGCAGCCGTGGCAGCGTAGCCCGTGAGTCGTAGACGTCTTGCAGGCCCGATTCCTGTCACTGGCTTTCTCAGCGGATAGCACAACGCAGGCCAAGCACCGGAACAAGGGGCAAGGCAGAGCAGCCTAGGGACCACCCACACATCCGCACTCGTCCGCTCCGGCCCACTCAGATTCTTCCACAGTCCCTTTACAAACTCCCCCCCTCCCCCCCTCCGGACCCTCGTGATCCTCCCTTCCCTCTTATCCTCTACACCATCATCTCAACGACCCTCGCAAAGCCGTCATCTTCCAGTTCTGGTGCGACCCGACTCAATCTGTGAGTTGATACATGGACAAGAAGTGAAGATCGGGCAAACAAGGCCCAAGCTCCGGGGTCCAGCGCTGGGAGGACTTGTGCCGCGGTCCCTCTCCTCCTACGCAGCTCTCGCACCCCACTGGAGCGCCGTGAGGGGGCTTCCCGTCCTAGATACCGTCATCTGTATATGGCAAAGGAGGGCCAAGCGTAGACACAAACATCCCTCGGCAAGGGTGTGCAAAAGGTCGTGCACAAGCTACCTCACTAGTCTATCCGCCCGGAACGGGGCGATAACGATAGAGCTTGCCGGCAGAGATTGTGACCTTGACGCAGCGTGGGGAACAGGCACAATCACAATCTCACAGCCGTTACACCAACGCCAGAGGCATAGCTGATTGATAACTAACATGGAGAACCCTCTATCCTCCCATCGCCCCGTTTCCTTTTGCAGATTCCGTGTCTCCCCCTCGTTAGCCGTCTTCTCCCCTGCCCACATCGCTCCCAACACCCCTCTAGCATCATGGCGTCCGACTCATCCCATCCATCCGAGAAGGATGCTGGCAAAAGGTTCCCCGAGGAGCCTAGTGTGCAACATAGGCCCGTCAGCGTGGGCGGCACCACCGACGATGACGCCGATGAGCGTTTGGCCAACATGGGTTACAAGAACGAATTCAAGCGTGAATTTGCCAGTCTGAGTACTTTCAGTGAGTATACTTGTTGCAATTGATACCTTGCAGTCCAGCGTGCCTGCGCGTCCATATTGGATCACTGACGGCACACGCTTCCGCTGCTTACTGCTCAGGTTTCGCCATGGCCATCATGGGTCTGATCTCCAGTGTCATTACAACCTTCAACACCCCGTGGGTGTCCGGAGGTGGTCCCTCTGTCATTTGGACATGGTTCATGGGATCCATCATGAACATGACTCTTGGTGTCGCCATCGGTGAGCTCGTCTCTGCATACCCTTCAGCTGGTGGTCTCTACACTGTCTCTGGTCTGGTCGTGCCCAAGCGCTGGGCCCCTATGGTCGCTTACGGTGTAGGCTGGGCCAACGGTCTTGGTCAAATTGCCGGAATTTGTGGTACTGCCTATGGTCTGGCGTCCATGATCATGAGCTGGGCCTACGTCATCTCCAACGGTAGCTATGTGGCCACCACTGGAGAAATCGTCGGAGTCTTCTGCGCCATCATGGTCATTGCAGGAATCCTCAACTCCTTCCCTACATCATGGCTCGCAAGGTTCACGGCCTCGTACGTCTTTGTCAACATCATCACCACCATCGTTGTTGCAATCCTCGTGCTGGCCCGCACGCCCCGTGACGAGTTCCTGAGCGGCGAAGCGGCCTTTGGTACTATCGTCAATAACTCTGGCTGGTCCGATTCTCTAGCTTTCTTGATCGGTCTTCAGATGGTTCAATTCGTCATGACCGACTACGATGCTACTGCTCACATTTCCGAGGAGGTCCACAAGGCTGCCATTGCCGCCCCCGTTGCCATTGTTCAGGCCGTCTTCGCTACAGGTCTGCTCGGTTTCTTCCTCAACATCTGCCTGGTCTTTGCCAGCGGTGACATTGGTGTCGACCTCACCGTTTGGCCTGGAGAGTTGGCCGTTGCTCAGATCCTGCTCAACCGTGGAGGCAAGGTCGCCTTCCTCGTCGTCTGGCCCTTCGCCTGCTGTGTCGCCTTCTTCGTCGTCGTCACTGCAACTCAGGCCAACGCCCGAAGCTTCTACGCTCTGGCTCGTGACCGCGCCATCCCCGTCTTCTTTGCCAAGGTCAACAAGAAGACCAGGATCACCCTCAACGCCGTCTGGCTCGTCGTCATCCTCAACATCGTCCTAGTCATGCTCGCATTCGCCTCTTACTACGCCGTCGCGGCCGTCTTTGCCCTGGCAGCCCTAGGAATGGACTTGAGCTACTGGGTCCCCATTCTCTGCCGTCAGATCTTCTCCGAGCACCCCGATGTGCAGTTCCACCAGAACCGTGGACCCTTCTACCTGGGCAATGGACTCTTTGGAAAGGTCATCAATTGGATTGCCATCTTCTGGACTCTCTTCGAAGTGACCATTCTGGCCATCCCTACCTTTACCCCCGTCACTGCCATCACCATGAACTGGGCTTCGGTCGTGTTCTTTGGTGTGATGATCCTCTCGTACATCTGGTACGCACTTTACGCACACAAGCACTACCGTGGACCTGGTGGATACGCCCACGAGCACAATGCACACAGTGTCGTGGTTCAGGAAGTGTTGGCCAAGGAGAGCCACTAAGCGGAAACAGGTCCTCCTCAAAGGTGCGGACCGTCCAATTGACGGTATTGCCGGCTTCGATAGTGGTCGCTCTGGTCTACTCGCGTCATCTTTACTCCCTCCCCTTCCTCCTCCCCGCCTCGACCTCTTGGGGCTTCCCTTGTCCATCTCTCTGTCTCGTCTCGCCTCGTCTTGCGTCTCGCTTTTGTTCAGTCTCGTTCATAGCAGCCCTGCCATCGGGCTTGCATTGCATTGTGCATTCGCTGTGCTGTGCAGAGTGTTATTATTATATGATCTCGTTTGTATACCTTTTTTCTTCTGTTCTTGCAAACTACTCCCGAGCGATGTAGTGATTGTGTGAGTCTGAGGAGATGAGCACCTGCGTGCTTGCTTGCTTGCGTGCGGGGCCTCCTTTCTGTGAACTCCCAATCGACATTGGAGACGAAATGCGGCTGAAGTCGCTGTACCTCAGGTGCTTTCTCAACCAGATCAGACGGGGATGAAACATGACAAGGAAAAAGTATGGGCCGTAGCATTGCACATTATAGAAAGAAAGTTACAAACAAATGATCTGGGCTAGTGCGGAGAATCAGTAGAAGGCCTGTTGACCGGTCAAGGCTTGACCGAGAATGAGGGCTGCAAGAGAGTGGCGAGAGGAGACGTAAGAATCAGCACTATATCCCTTTTTGGTGGTTAGTGATGGGTCACCTGCTACTCACCATGAATATCATGGGTGCCCTCGTACGTAGCTACCACCTCAAGGTTGTGCGAGTGCCTACCAATAGCATATTCATCACTGCAGATATTCCCGCCCAAGATGGTTCCAAGATTCCTCGCATGCTCCAATGCCTTTCCCGTAGAGTTCCTCTTGACCATGGAAACCATCTGTGGGTTCCACTCTCCCCTCTTGTCCTTTGCCCTACCCACTAGCATACAAGCCGCAAAGCCCAATGCGGCTTCAGTGTGGGCATCTACTAGCTTCTTTTGAACCAATTGGAAACCGGCAAGGGGCTTCTTGAATTGCTTGCGGTCTAGAGCATACTGCTTTGCCTCGTCGATGCAAGACTCGAGAGCACCCAAGGCTCCCCAGGCGATTCCGTACCTAGCCGAATTGAGACACTCAAAGGGTGCTCCCAATCCTGGTCGAGCTCGGACCAAGAGAGACTCATCGCGCTTCACTCGTACATCTTCGAGGAAGATGGAACCAGTGACAGAGGCGCGAAGAGAGATTTTGTTCTTGATGGCGGGACAGGTGAAGCCTTTGGTACCCTTTTCGACGAGGAAGCCGCGCACCTTGTTGTCCCACTTGCAACGAGCCCAGATCACAGCAATGTCGCTAAGAGCCAGGAGAGGTAAAGCAGGAGAACAACAGACGTCAGTGGTTTGTCGAGGACCCCCTCTATATTCTCGTGCGGTCCTTGATACTCACGCATACGGACTGCTGGAGATCCAGGTCTTGCTACCATTGAGGATAATCTCACCATCGCCTGTATCCTCAGCAGTGGTCTCCATTCCCGCCGGATCACTACCATGGTTGGGCTCAGTCAATCCAAAGCATCCTACCATCTTACCCTTTGCCATTTCCGGTAGGTACTTTTCCTTTTGCGCCTCTGTACCAAATTGATAAATTGCGCCCATGGCCAGAGAAGACTGGACACTCATGATGGAGCGATATCCAGAGTCTACACGCTCCATCTCTCGAGTGATGAGACCGTAGGCTACATTGCTCACACCTGCACATCCGTAACCCTGGATAGTAGGACCGAGTAGACCTAGCTCGCCCAAGGCTGGGAGGATAGTAGGGTCCCAGGCTTCCTTGCGCCACATCTCTAGGACTTTTGGCTGCAGCGTCTCCTGGCAGAACTCTCGGGCCGTGTCTGAGATGGCTTGCTCCTCCTCGGTCAGCGTCTTTTGCCAGCCGAGCGGGTCTTCAGCGTCATACTTGGTGAAAGCTGTGAATGAGGCAAAAAGAAGGATAGGTTGAGAGGCACAGGAGAAGAGGAGGGGTTAGGCATCGTCCCTACCAATTCGCGGCAGGTGGTCCGTTTCCTCAGACGGGCTCCGCCCCTCCCAACATCCATCGCAATACTAACGGGTCATGTTAAAGTCCTCCTTGGACAGCTCATTTGGGTTGATCGTCGAATGCTGCACCGAGTAGCACCTCGAGGAAGCCATTGCAGGCGTAGCTACGAGGTTCCGGCGCAATGCGCCACCCACGGCGTTGCGCAGGAGCGAGGGAGCGGCAGAGGCTGAGGCTGTACGGAGGAAGGACATGGTGGAATGGTGTGAAGGGAGCTGATGGGGTGGAAGGGCTACGATTTGGTAGGGAATGAGAAGAAGGAAAGGAAGTTTGCGGATGTGAGGGTGGGGGTGAGTTAAGCGGGGCATTCGGCTTCCGGCGAAAGAGCCAATTGCGGGGTCCGGAGACAGGGCGCCTCGGCTTCCGACTCAGGCCGGTCCTGCCGAGGCGCCTCTCGCCCCCGCACACACACACAAGTCGGTGACGCAGGCAGGCAGGCAGGCAAAGGTTGAGTGGGTCTCGCCTCTGAAGTTCAGGGTTCATTCGTATCATTGCACGTCCATCCACTACTTCTATTATTTCCTCCTCACTGTACAGCGAGTGCGATGCAGCACTTCGACGGCACATACACCATGATGCTGTGGGGACGTCCGTTCCAGTCTCCCGGTTCACTAAAGCACTCCGTCTTCGCATGATCCAATCTGGCATGTCCTCCATTTTCCTTTGTATCACTGTCCAACACCAGCGTGTACTTGCCCGGCTCAGGCACACCAATTTTAAAGTCAGTGTAGGACTGATCGGAAAAGTTGAAGATGAAGACGACGCCTGCTCGGTCGAAGGCTACGAGACGGTCGCCTTGGTGCTTTAGCGAGACGTAGGCCTGGGGAGCGGCGAGCCACTTGAAGCGGGACTCGGTGTTGTTCATCTCGCGGTCGAAATTGTAGAGATACTTGTACCTCAGTAGATGGGCATCGGGGCCGTCAATGAGGTTGAATTGTCTCCTTGCGTGCTGGAAGGACGAGTTGTTGCCTGCTCGCGGGAAGTCGAGCCACTCAGGGTGGCCGAACTCGTTGCCGATGAAGTTCAGGTATCCCTCACCTCCAAGCCCATGTGTGATTAGTCGGATCATCTTGTGCAGAGCGAGACCCCGGTCGATGATCGGCGTGCGCTCCGTCAAGTCAGACATGTTCGTGTACATCTCCTTGTCCATCAGCCAAAACGCCAGCGTCTTGTCGCCCACAAGAGCCTGGTCATGCGACTCTGCATAGGCAATGGACTTTTCCATGTGACGGCGGTTGGTAAGGGTGTGACAGATGTTGCCAAAGTCCCAGTCCTCGTCCCGCGTCTCCTTCAGTAGCTTGATCCACATGTCTGGCACAGCCATCATCAGCCTGTAGTCGAAGCCCATACCTCCTTCCGCTACCGGCCGACACAGAGCCGGCATACCCGACACGTCCTCTGCGACGCTGATGGTGTCCGGGCTGTACTGTCTGCAAAGCTCGTTGGCCAGCATCAGATACACCACTCCCTCAGTATCGACTCCTGGGCCAAAGTACTCGTGGTACCCACCCGAGAATCCTGTGCCAATACCATGATGAGTGTAGATCATGCTAGTCACACCGTCGAATCTGAAACCGTCGAAGCCGAATTCCTCGAGCCAGTATCGACAGTTGCTCAGCAGGAAACGGAGGACTTCGTGACTACCATAGTTGAAGAGGCGAGAATCCCACAACTCGTGGCGACCCTTGGCTCCTTCATGGAAGTAGAGATGATCAGTGCCATCGAACATGTTCAGACCGTCCAGGACATTCTTGCAAGCGTGGGAGTGGACGATGTCCAGCAGGACGGTGATACCCAGACCGTGAGCGACATCGATGAGCTCCTTGAGCTCCTCGGGCGTACCGTACCTTGAAGAAGGCGCAAAGAAGCTTGTAATCTGGTATCCAAAAGAAGCATAGTAGGCGTGCTCCTGAATTGCCATTAGCTGAATGGCATTGTATCCCAGGTCTCCTATCTTGGGCAGGACATTCTTTGTAAACTCCTTGTAAGTACCCACACGAGGCTCCGGGGTGGCAATGCCCACATGTGCTTCGTAGATCTTGAGGTCAGCCGGTTGCTTGGGCTTGGGATTCTTAGGGATGTAGCGTTGAGCTTTTGACGGGTTCCAGAAGATGGCATCGTATACTGGCGAGACAGACAGGTCCTGAGTGACGCGATTGATCCAAGCAGGTAACCTCTCGATTCTTTCCCCACTGGGCATCACCATCGAAATCTTGACCTTGCTATCATGAGGGATGGCGCACTGACCCGATGGGTTTCCCTTCAACACCAAACTCCACACACCATACTGATCCTTTGTCATGCGATGGCTCTCCCTGTTCCACCCATTGAAGTCTCCCATCAGGCAGGCGTCCACCACTCCCGGCGCCCACTCCCTGTACACTACATCTTGCGAAGCTTCGTCGACTTGGAAGCCCATGTTCTTGTATCCTTGGGAGAACTTCAGCAGGCCGCCCTCTGTGGAATTGATATTGTCCAGCCACTTCTTGTACACTGCATAGCGTTCCCGGAGAGCGGGTGCAAACGGCTCAAGCCAAGGGTCAATGGAGATGACGCGAGTGCCGTCGGTGGCCTTGGAATAGTCGGTGGTGGTCATTGCGCTGTGTAGCAAAAGACGTAGGTAGCGAGTGAATTATAGAGTTGAAGAGGCCAGGGTGATAGGCTCGTGCGAGCACGAACTTCTGGGGAAATGAGCCGACGTGTTGGAGTAGCGGCTTTCAAGGTTGAGCAGACGTCAGTCTGAAGTGGTTTGGTTGTCTGCTGTGTATGAGTCAATAGACTTGGTAGATGAGAAAGATTTAATGGAAAGATAGACTTGCTTGGCGTGGAAGGGAGGAAGGAATAAGACGTGGGGAAGTCGAGGGTGGGGCGGCGGGAGGGGCAGCAGAGGCAGCAACGCAGGGAAGCTCCGATTGTGTGGAGACGCCCATGACGTTGCATCGCGGCGCTCCGTGCGGGGCGGCAGCACACCCAAGACTCGCCGGACGGAACGGAAGAGATCCAAAGAAAGAATTGCAGCCTTGGTCTGATGTTTTCCCACGGCCACCTTCTTGTGGCGAGGCAGAGCAGCACACAGGCAGGACAGGGCAACGTCGCAGATCTCAGCTGTTCATTCAAAAGCTCTAGCAATGTCACATTAAAGTACAAGGACGATGGCACGTAGGCATGGCCGGACAAATTTGCGAGACTGGTATCTCCATAGAGACGGGAATGATGGCCCATGGGAACGGTGGAGTACAGTACAATTGTGCGTGTGTATGTGTCGGTCATGTGTGGATATCGAGCAACGTCACACCGTCTTGGATGCGTGGAGATAGGGAGACATCCCTCACCTTCTCCAACGCCCCTTTGCCCCTTATCTGTCTAGCTAAGTGTCTTCTGGAGCTCGCCGTCCTGGCCCCGCCTCACCTCAACGCTTCCAGCTCTTCCCTCTGTCTGACAGCCTCTCCCTCTGTCAACAAGCCATTGAGAGCCTTCAAGCCCTTGGCAACTCCGTAGCTCGCGCTGGCCATAGCACTCTTCGTGCTCTTGTCAAAGCTGGGGCGTGTCTGCATCTCGCTCAGCTTCTCACAATTGTCCGTCAATTCGCCCAGAATCTCCTCCCCTTCCTCCTTGGATGAAGGCGGCAGATTGTCCCTCGAAATGGCAATGATCGAAGAGGCAATGGTCGTGATCTGCACCAAATTCTCGTTGAGCTGTACACCTTGAGCACCCTCTCTGATGGCCGAAAGGAGGGACTGGATGGAATGCACAATGGCTTCCGTCTGCACCTCGATGTAGTTTCGCAGCTCGGCCCAGTTCTCTTCGCTCGTGTCTCCGTCCTCTGCATCGTGGTCGCCATTGTCGTGCGCGCCCGCTCCGTTCAGCTGACGAGGAGGAGTGCTGGCCGAAGCCACTGAGCGACGACCTTTGCCTGCAAGGGACCTAGAAGAGCGGTCCGCGCTGTTGTTGCTGAGGTCGTCGTACACAATGCTGCTTTGGCCTGTGCCTCCACTCGTGTCAGCCTCGTAAGAGCCGGTGCCGGTTCTTCGATGAGACACGGAACCGCTGGAGGGTCGCCTGCCGTTGGTCCAGGACTTCTTGATGCTGTCCAGATTGGTCCTGGGCAAAGAGGTGACCTGTGAGAGGCCTCCGTTCTGATAGTGACCAAGGGGGTTGCTGCCATTTCCAATAGGACTCGAAGGCTCCCGCTGCTGCGAGAACGACGTGTTTCTTGAGGCAGACTCATTCCCTACAGAGGTATCGATCTTGCCATAGCTTGGTCGGTAGCCTACAGGAGAGTAGCGTCCGGACGGTGCGCTCTTCCCACGAGGTGATAAACGCATACCGCCACCCGAAGGAGCATCGATTGGAGACTTTCGCTCACCAGAGGCTCTCAGCTTCGTGGCACCAGAGTCTAGGGAAGGCGAAATTGGCTGGGTTCTCGAGACTGCAGAGGAGCCGATGTGCAGAGGCTTCAGTCCTCCGGGAGGAAGGGCATTGCCTGAGAAGTGCGCTTCGAATTGGTCCTTCTCCGACTGAGTGGCAGATCGCAGCTTCAGCACTCTCACGAGGTCGACTACGGTCATCGAGACATGGCTGGCAGCAGCATCGAGTAGACTGACAGGAGACAGACCTTGCGAAGAGGCATGGTTGCGGCAAGCGTTCATAAGGTTATTGAGGGTAGTCGAAATCTTGGGCTTGAGGAGCATGAGTTGATCAGCGTCGTCTGCCGAGAGCTCGAAGGTCGCACTCTCCTCGAACTTCGCAACGTCGTCAGTGATCAAGGTGGCAGCGAGTACGACTGCCTTCATCGAGACCAATACGTTCGAAGGAGATGTAGACCGGGCGGTAGCCAACAATTCGTCGATGGAGCTCTGGAAAGCGGTCACATTTACATCGGCGATGATACCTCGATCAGATGTTGGCATGAACTCGTCGGTCTTAGGCGGTTGAACGTAGAGTTGTGAAGTGGCTTTGTACTGACGCAGCTCTGTCTTGGCCTGCTCATATTTCCTCTTGTAAGAGATCAGCTGCTGGTTAAGGTCTCGCGCAACAACCAAGTCCTGATCTTTCTCAGCAACGAGTTCCTCGTTTCTAGATGAAAGCTGCTGGATCTCTTGGATGAGAGATTCGATTTCCGAGCGGAGATCCTGGATCAGCCGATCTTGCTCAGCCAGATCACTTTGAAGCCTTTCCATGTCTTCGGCGCTGACATTATTTGTCGACGATCGAGTATCCATATCTTTCTGGAGAAGACTCATCCGCTCCATGGCTGACTCCAATTCACGAGCCTTCTCATCGTGCTTTTGCTTGTGGGCATCCAACTCTCCCTTCATCTGATCAAGCTCGTCGACATGCTCGGCATGCAGTCGATCTCGCTCGCTCTCAGCAAGTCGCAATTGCTCTTCGTACTTCTCTCCCCGCGAAGAATGTTCTCTCAGCTCGCCGTTCTGAGCCTCCAGAGTTGCGACCCTTTGTTGCAGCGTCGCAATCTTGAATTCGTAGTCCGATCGTAGCTTTTCAATGCCAAAGGTGTTAGGACCATCCGCAGTCGTGCTGTTGCGCCCGTAGCCGAAGTCTCCAGTTCCACGACTGCCGGCGTAACCAGCCACGAAGCCAGTCCCCATGGAGCTGGCCTGGCTGTACATCGTACTCCTGTTGTCAAGCATGTCTGTAGAGACCCTCTGATTGTGGGACATCTCTTCATCTGATCCTTGCTCTCCTCCGACCCTGTAAACAACAGAGACGTCCTCCTCTTCGACAATCCTCGATTTTGTAGGTACAATCATGTCGCTCGTGCTTTCTTTCGGGGCTGCCTTGTTCAGGCGCCGGGTCTCCGCCTCGTGGTCGCGTTGAGCAGCAGCCTCCCTTTCCCTCTCTTGAGCTTCCCGGCGGGCAACGTCCTCCCTTAGCCGTCGCTCCTGTTCCTCTCGTTCCAGAGCCTTCTCGCGTGCAATCGCCTCTGGCCTGTACTCCTCTTTCAGCTCTGGAAAGCGGCGCTCCAGTTCGAAGAACACATCTGAGGACAAATCCTTGAAACGCGTCTTTGGTAGTGTGGCGAGCTTTTGACGGGCCTGATTACGTTTAGGGTGGAACTCTTCTCTCACAGCCAGATGTGGAACAGCTTGATTGGTCCGATGCACAGAGAGAGTTGAGGGTCAGTACGTGCATACATAGGAGCCAATCAGCCTCCCGAACTCACCAATCTGTTGCTTGGTGTTGTTTATCCTCCGCATCAACTCGTCGTACACATCAGTGGACAATTCTGTAAATTGCTGCTTGCTCAGCCGAGTGAGCTTCTCTCGAGCATTGGACCGAGGGCCCGTCTGCTCCTTTGCAAGATGAGTCCTCAAAAATGCCAGTAGCTCCTGATAGTGGACTTTGCCCACCTTGCGGATCTCTTCAGTGTCCGGCCGTTGCCTCCTGACCTTTGATGTTCCCGATTGTCCCTGGTGCATCGAAGACCCTGAGTCGTCATAGGAAGAAGAGGAGATCTGGCGCTGGGGCATGACTGGGGGCGAGCTGTAGAAAGTTGGCGAGAGGATGCCTGCTGTTGGCGGCGGAGATGGTTGATAGCCCTTGGAGGAGGTGGGCGAGGCGTTGCGGGCTCCATTTTCCAGCTGGAAGTTCGGCAGCATACGAGCGATGGTCGGAGGCGGCATGACGGAAGCCAGCATAAGTGGAAGGCTTTGATAGGGGAAAGGGTGTGACGCGAGGTTGAGGGCAGGAGCAAAGGAAAGGGCAGAAGCTCGTTCGATTTGCCTGCGCGACTCAAGAGGCTCTGTATACACAAGAGCGCGTCGAGAATGTAAGTATACGCTCAGCAGTCCTACAAGGAGCGAGCGAGGGGGCAGAAACCGGTGGAGAGACGTTGCGGCTAGACGATGAAGGTGCCCCTTGTTGCGCCGACGGTGTTGTGTGTCAGGGCACGGACGAAGAGTGGTTTGAGCCGAAGCAAAGAGGCGAAGTCCGGTATGCTTGCCAGTAAAAGCGAATGAAACGAAGCGAGAGGCGAGCAAGCTCTGCCTTTGAGACCTTTGCTCAGTCGCCAAGGGTGTATAGGAGGATCTTTGTTGTGTCGAGTAGGTTGGTGGTGACGGGAGAAGGAACACCTCGATCGTGGTTCCGAGGCGGCGAGGAACACAAGGCACCCAGCCACCGCCCGCCCGCGGGACGCGCCGCGAGGGTGACCTCTGGCCAAGTGCCCGCGCTGCCAAAGCATTTTGCACATCAACACTGGCGCCCCCCCTTGAGCGTCGGCCTGGCTTTGCCCTCGGAAAGGGGACAGAGGCACACAGTCCCCCGCCGCCGCCGCCACCAGCGCCGCTTGGGCTTACATGCCACGGCCCCAAAGCAAAGCCCACAGGCCCGCGCTTCTTCTCGCTGGAGACAAGGGGACCCAGACAAACTTCAGACGGACAGACGGGCCCATAACGCTCCTACACCCACGCAAGCGAATGCAGCCATGCAATGCAGACCATGCAAAACAGACGCTTGCTGATCTCTCAATCTTCAGCCTCGGCAGCCTGCCGATCTGTCCGCCGATCTCGTCTGCATGTGACCTCCTCGCGCTCCGCCCTCTCGTGTGTCAATCGTCAGCCGGCGGAAAGCAATTGGGAAGCTTTCCTTTCCGTCGTGCGCCTTGGTCACTCGGCCATCTGATTAATTCTCCACTACGCTTTCCACACTTCCCTCTGCAATCGTGGCGACTGCAGTGCCGAGTATCGCGAGAGCATCGTGGTCAGCGGTAGCAGCAAAGGTAGCAGCAGCAGGTCGCAGTTCTCCAGCTCTGCTTTGCTTGGTGTCCGACCAGCGCCGTCTTCTGTCCTCTACTGCAGCATACTCCTGGAAGAGCAAGCGTAGGGGCATAGCCAAGGGCCGTCTACCGTTGGACTTATACCGAAATAGATTTCTGAATCCTCCGTTTGCATCACTAGCCTGGTGGAAGCTCATTTGGAAGGGCACGCTTGCCACAATGGCAGAGCAGTACTCTCCACTACCGCCGCCGCCGGCGACCAGGACGCTGCAGGCGGCAGATGGACCATTGGTGTGGATCGATTGCGAGTGAGTAATCTGTGCAGCCCAAATGACACAGCACCTTGCCTCGGACTGACAGTAGGACCTTTGCTTATCCCAGGATGACCGGCCTGCTGGAGACGGACCGCATCATTGAGATCGCCTGCATCGTCACCGATGGGCAGCTCAACCCGCTCGACGACGGCGTGGCCTATGCTATCCGCACGCCCAAGGAGGTACTAGATCAGATGAGCGAGTGGTGCGTCAAGGTCCACGGCAAGTCCGGGCTGACGGCAAATTGTCTGGACGGAACTATCTCTCGAGACCATGCTGACGTTCGGGCTGGAATTCTGGCTTATGTCAGAGAGAGGATACCGGAGAAGAGGGTCGCCTGTCTTGCAGGCAGCACAGTGCACGCTGATGCTGTCTTCCTCAAGAGGGAGACACCAGAGGTGAGTCATAGCTGTAACGGGGCTACCCTTTGCGCTCTCCCACTGAATCAACCCCAATCTCCCTCCCGAAATGCAGCTCATAGATCACCTTCACTACCGCATTGTCGACGTCTCATCCATCAAAGAGCTCGTTGGTAGATGGTACGGGCCTGAGCTTAAATGGGGCTCGGGCAAGGGACTTCACAGAGCACTGGACGATATCAGGGGCAGTATTGACGAGCTCAAATTTTACAGGCAGCACGTCTTTCTGGGGCCAGAGGAATGTCTCAAACGGCGGCAAGAGGGCACAACAGATGGATGAGGGGCGAGAAAGATCACGTCACAAGGTCGATAAATGGGTCACGAGGGTGTGGTCTGCACAGCGATGTCGCTTCAATAGTGAAAGCTGGACCATCCACTCCCTCCTCGCCATTGCCCCTGCTCCGTTGTACCGATACTCTGCTCCTCATCTCTCACTCGTAAACATATTTCATACTTTAATGCACATCGCGGAGTAAGACGCCGACTGAGTCCGCGAAATGCACCCAGGAGCGAGTGCATGTTGAGGAATGAGCTAGAGCCTAGTATGTGGGCCTACCTGTCGCACCATACCAATTATGATTCGGCTGTACCCGGGCATCACGTGCTATCAGCAACACTGGCTCATGACATTGCTATCGATTTCTTTTACCAATTTTCTTACATTTTTCATTTGTTTCTGTTCTCTTTGGTTCGCCGTACATGGGTCTCAAGGATAAAAAGGGAAGGGAACATGGGAGGGTTTTGGGCGCACAACAGCGCCCGCAATATTCAGAAGGGTGGAGTGATCACTACACAAACCCTGGGGCAACGCAAGCACTTTCCGTCCTCGAAAGTTCAAGCAAGGCAAGCTTACTCTCGCCGTCGTCGTACAGATCGCTTCTGCAAGGGATGAAGTACTTCCTCACAGGAGATCTTGTCCTCTGGTCTTTTTCGACTGTTCTTCGGGCTACGGTCAACAACCGTAGGAGCTTCGCTCGCCTGCATCGCTGCGCTCGATGATCCAGGTGGGTTGGCGTCAGGGACTGGTCGAGATCCTCCACGTTTGCCTACAGGCTTGGCAGGAGAAGCACCCGTCTCTCGAGACTTTGAGCTACCAGTGATTACGGCTGGACCAAGTGGATACAAGATGCTTTCGTCCGGGAGTCTCAAGGGAGACATTTCGCCTCGGGGTCTGACGCTAGTCGACACTGGCTGAGGTACGTCGAAAGAGGCAGTGGCCTCTGAGGATGCAGTAGCAGTGGTAGTTGTGACTACACTGGGGCAGGTCTGATCGGGATGAGCTTGCTGATCGGGGACATACTGAGCCTCATGGGTGATTTCGACTGAGCTTCGCACGATGGTTGAAATCCCAGAAGAGGCCGCCAAGTGGGGCGGAACGAGTAGCACAGAGCTGACGGGCTGAGACTCGTTCACAGCCTGAACTGAGCTCATGATGGCAGAGGGGGCGTTTGTCTTCGGCTTTATGGCGACAGACAGCTGGATGCCCTTTCGGGAGCTAGACAGCGTGATGTCCCAGGCTGTGCCAGTGCCAATCAATACGAGATTGAGCTCGGTCATGTAGCGGAGATCTTGGATGGGAATTTGTATAGGGGGAGCTTCGATAGTGAGTGTGTATATGCGGCATTGAATGTGAAGAATAAACTACGGGCGGGCAGCAAATTGCGTTGCTGCTTTAGCCTAATCTGCCGTCGGACGGACAGAAAAGCCGAACCGCAGACGGATGGCTCAACCTCGACCCACTTCTTTGCTCTGACAAATCTTGCCGTGGCACGTTCGCGCTGCCGCAATGTTCGTTCTCCATGGTCGCTAAATCTCTGGGACCCTGCAGTCAATCTCAGAAGACTTGTACTGCTTGTCTCTCCTCAGCTTGATGAGTATGGTACCCCCAGAAGTGCAGACTAGCAGAATCGAGTGTGCTGGATGTCGACTGCACACCTGCTTACGTAATACTCCACTGCCTGCAGACTTGCGCCCCCGGACCACCCGACTTTCACTTTCATACCAGCTCTTCTTCTTTCCAGCCCTCACCTTTTTGCACGACTAGCTATACACCACGCTCTACTCTCTCTTGCAAGCCGATGGTGCGCCTTCTCCTACACTCGGATGCGCTGCAAAAGCTCAGAGCTCTTGAGGCTGAGCTCGACAGGGCGCCCGGCTCTTCTCGGCCTAGCGCAGTTATCGCTGAAGCCAGGCTAGCTCTGAATCGGGTACTCGGCAGAAGCATTGGGGAGGATAAGGATGAGAGCTACGAGCAGGCTCAACGTCTTCCGGAAGGAGTCATGACACATGACGAGCTTGTGAGAATACAGCAGACCTGGGCAGAGGCGCCTCGCTTGAATGACCTTGTGCGGGGTGCACAGGTGTGGTTTCCGCCCAAGAAGGCGTTCGTCAGGGTGAGGACGAGGTGGTAGTGGCATCGATTGACAACTTTTCCCGTAGTAGCTTTCTGACCGTCATCCCGCCTCTCACCAGTCTCCTGAACTGGAGGCCACCCTCGCACGCATCCGCCTAGAGCATGAGCGCTCCTCCTATGCCTCCATGGTCTCCCCGTTCTCCGCTTCTCATCCTACTCCTGCTGCCGGATCTGCGTCCGTAAGCGATGGCAGACAAGAAGAAATGGAATGGCAGGAAGTGCGTAGCCAGATCAGTGCGCTGGCCAACATCGCCCTGAGCGGTGTGGCAGTAGGCGTGGCGACTTGGTGGAGCAGTGGGCAGTACACAGCTCTGGAAGTGGTGAGTACGAGGGAAAAAGCAGATGCATCTGAGGCAGGCACAAAGAAGCTGACGCATCTGCTTGATCGAATGCGCAGAAAGTACTCCTTACGGCTGTCACGTCTATTGGTATCATCGTGATCGAAGCCTTCCTCTACGCTCGACACTTTGAACGGACAAAGCGGAGCAAGGAAGCCAGGGCTCAAGGACTCAAAGGCCGCCTGACCAAGGGCGAACAAGTCGTTGTTCTTGGTCCACCAGTCGAGGAAAAGAGAAACACGTGAATACCCATAAGGCAGCAGATACCCACCACACTCAAGGACGAGGACAGGAAAAGACGCTCGAATCTCAGACGCCTAGTAGCCGGTGTTGCAGGGTGCTTCTAGCGCAGTCGAGCCCGGAAGCAGCTCAGAAGCAGCTCAATGCTCAATGTGCTGCCTACCACGCGCCGACGAAAGCTTGCGTACTTCAATCGAAATACTTAGGGGCACACACGTGGCCCTTTCGCTTCGCCTGCAAAGAGCCGATCATATTGAACATCTGTGTGGCAAGAGTGACAGAATAGCAGGGGCAGTCGCTATATACAGAGCATGTAGAGGCAGAACGGATGGACTTGGGTATAGAATGGCGACGTTGTATGATCGTTTAGAGGTTGAAGAAGAATCCTGCGCTGATGCGCATTATAGCCTGGTGATCGCTTTTGCGTCCAAAGGCATGCCCGTCATGGGGTCGATGCCATTCCTGCGGAAGATCCTTTGCTGCCGAATCAGGCGAGCCTCATCGAAGGTCTGCATGGAGGCGCAGGCAGTACGTCAGACTCCAGTCTTCGGATAATAGCAGTCACCACATTCGCCTGCACTTGCTACTAAGTCCACTCACCTTACGTTCTCTCCGCATAATCGTCCTCACCTCCTCCAGTCCACGCTGATCCAGCCCTTGCCGGGAGTCCCCTCCTGCCACGTTATCAGCTTCTACGTCAAACAAGTTTGAGGAAAATCCAGAGCGCACTTGCTCTGCGAAGGAGGTGGGCAGAGGCAGGTAAGAAGAATTGTTGCCGGAATAGGAGGAAAAGTGGGTAGGCAGACGCAGCTTGCTCAGCAGCGAGGCGGGCGCGTATCGGGTGAGGCCGAAGTAGACTACGAGCAGAGAAGAGAGCGGTGACGAGGAGAATGAGAAACGATGAGCATGGATGCCTATCATCACTGTGGCGCATGGCTCAAACATTCTACTCACGGGACCAAAGTGCAAGGGCGGCTGAGCAAGCCCAGAGAGAGTAGTAAAGGAGCATCCTGAGTGGGCAGCAAGTGTCCAACTGAGCGCGGAAGCGGATGAGGAGGGTTTGTTGACAAGTTGGTTCCCGTCGAGGATGAGGGAGATGTCAATGTGGCGAGGATGACAAGAAAGTCAATAACGTGAGACTTGTCTTGAACCTCAGAGGATGCCGAGGGTGGATGCCATGAGCGTAGGTAGGCGGGCATGAGCGCCGGCAGCCGAGGTGCACAGGACACGGCTGAGACACAACTGAGATCCTCGGAACGGGACCTCGCTTGGTGCGTCGGAGGAGCGGAGTGCGGGTGCACCCGCAAGCCACCTTGCTCCGCTCCGACTCCCCCAGTCCCGCTCGCACGCCCAGCCTGTGGGAATTAGGTCCACCTAAGTCTATAAGTGGCCGTACCACGATTAGCACCCTACGCCTTTGTTCTCTGTCGCTCGCATCGCCTCTTCATCACTTCTCTGGGCTACCAGTCGTCACACCTTGCCTCCGATCTATGACATCTTACATACTGTGTACACATCCATAATCTGGCACAGTGCAAGCATCCTCACAATACACTACGCCGCACCTCCTGGTCCGTTGCTGCCATGGCCCTGCAGGCCTCCTTGGCTGTCCAACCCCCTGACCAGCAGTCCGAGGAGACGGACGCCTGGAGGACAGCTACGCGCCTACGCACACAAAGGCAAGAGCAAACAGGCCATGCTCCAACGCAAGCACCACCACAGCAGGATGTAGTAACATCTCCACCCTCAAAGTCTCAAACTTTATCGAATCACATACGACAAGCTGCGCTCCTGTCCTCGCAGTGTCACGATGTGTCCGTCGCAGCCTTCGACCGGGTGTATCGCCTGCACCGCATCTTCCTCGTGCAGTCCTCATTCTTCTCATCTATGCTACGAGGCGGCTTCTCGGAAGGCCTGAACTACAGACCGCCAGGCATGAACTACAGCAGCAGCAGCAGCTCCTCCGACTCAGGGTCCACATTGAGGCTTACCTTTGATGATCCTAACATCACCAGACCAGCGTTCGAGTACTGTATCGCACACCTCTATGCCGCCGCGCCTGAGCTGATCCTCCCACAATGGGCCATTGCGAGCACCGCCCAGCCCTTGTCTTCCTACTGGCCGCCCACCTCGGGACCGCGAAGCCGGCCTCTGCCCATCGCAGCCGCCTCTGCGACGGGAGATTATCAGCCGGCTACCCCGCGTTTCCTCGTGTCCCTATTGTGCACATCACTATGGCTCGGTGTCCCAAGCCTCACAGCCTCAGCTTTCACCCTCATCTTGGCTTCCTTCACGCCATATACCGTCTCAACCTATCTGAGATTTGCGCTGGGGCGACCGCTGATCGGAGCTCAGGAAGCAAGAGAGAGGGGCGAGAGCAGCGAAGCTATTTGGGACTGGGAGCTTGAGGGACCCTGCTGGGGTATGGAATCTATTGGGACGCTCGAGCAAGGGCGGGGAGCAAGCTACGAGACCTCAAGTACTGCAGCTCCCATGCAGCGGACGGACACTAGCAGGACAGCCGTCTCGAGCTATCATTCTGATTACGAGGATGCACCCTCTGACGAGGGAGACCAAGATCACAAACCGACTCGTTCGTCCTCCATTCGCCTCAGCGAGACGAGGCGTGGAGCGCGGAATCGTAGTCGCTCATCACTTCGGCAGGACCTCCAAGACGGCGAAGACGATCAGAGGAGCGCCAGCGGTAGTCGGGTGTTCAATCACAAGCATCAGCCGTCAGCTAATGCCGCACCCAATGTAGCGGGAAGCATCCCAGGATCATATGACCCGTCATCCTACGATACGTTTGGCAGAGCGGCACCTCCTCCAGAGATAAGCCTCGACTATGGGCCTTACGGGCGAAGAGTCGCGGAGAGCTGCTTCTGCTACTTTGCAAGGTGGGGCCGGGAGATAGCAGCTGCCGAAGAAGTCAAATGGGGCCGGGACGAAGCTGCTTTACATGCTCTTCTAGACTCCATGGAGCGGGGCCAGGACGCAGCTCATGGCCAGGCTCTGGTTTGCGAAGCCGTTGCTCCGTATCTATTGCCCCGAGGATGTCTTCCAGCGAGACTGCCCGACGAGCCTTCAGCAGCTGGAGCATGGCGACCGGGAGACAAGAAAGTTCAGATCGAGGCTGCTGTCCAGTGGGATCTACCGTGTCCGGCGCTCAACGTCTTCTCTCATCCGGCTCTCTCTCACACTCTCTTTGAGATCCGCTCACTTGGCCTCCCATTCACTCCAGGGCTCACAGAGGAGCTTATGTACTTCGTCGATCCGATGTCCGGCTCCTCGCTGGGTCTAGCATCGTCTCATCTGGTGGATTTCCTGAGCTCGGATGCTTTCTTCGTGCGGAATGAGCTGCAGCGGTACGATGTGGCCAAGAACATCGTCACCTTCAGAAGAGACCAGAAGGCCCTCGTCGAGGAGTTGCAAGATGCACTTGGACTGCTAGATGAAGGATTCGGGTATGCCTACACGGACGACAGTCAACTGGGCGCACCTACAGACACATCAGCCTTTGTCAAGGCCGAACCCACAGACAGCCAGGATTTTGGGTCCAGCCCTTCGAGGCATGACGATTCAGTAGCCGGAAGAGTGAGAGCTAGGAGTCGGGCCGGCTCATCTGCTTCGGCCAGGCCATGGACGACACCGCCTCGTCTTCTCTCGTCTGCAGTGCTACCGACAGGAGCGCCTACACCTTCCTCTCGCAACCTCCCCTCATCCCGTCTCAACACTCAGCACCACGCTGATGATGCTTCAATGGATCTCGACGACTCATTTCAGGGCAGTCGGGCGCCCAAAAGCTGGCTTGCACCAAACAGAGAGGGCGACGAATTTCAAATGCTCGAGGAAGACGATGTTCACTATGCTCGGCTGTTTGAGCAGGGCATCTACTACTCGCACCTCGACTTTGACGACCTCAAGAGGCTTAGCGAGGAAGCTGCTATGCTAGCTGATGCAGGGCGAGAGACGGAGGATGGATACAGCGACAGCGATGGCGAGAGCCGGAGAGCTGGGGAAAGAGGGTCTGTTCTGTCTTCTCGTCGACAAGCTGCTACCCAGATGTTTGCTCCCGTTGAAGTACTTCAGGCTGCCCTATGGGCCGGTCACGACCTTCGAGCTCGCGTCATGGGTGCTGGACAGTCAAGTCAAGAGGAGGGTGGGGTGGAGAGCATAAGACGTGGACTAGCCTTCATGGGCGACAGCAATGCAGAGGGACTCCCTGCTTCTACAAGTGGAGTGCTTGAAACAGGCGCCGGAGTGCGTTCACAAGAGGGGCTGATAACCGCTCCTGAACGTGACGAGTCGCTATTAGGCATTTCTAGTTCCCTGAAGCAATTCGCCCAAGCCTTTCAGCAGACGATTGCCGGTCATTCCCGACGCGGTCCTGCTCCGCGCTTTGGCAGAGGCGCAAGGGGCGAGACACCCAGCACTCCCCTTGGGTCACCCCTGAGAGCCGCGGCATCCCGCAGCACACCCGAAGGCACATCTTTGACTCTGGGCGGTCTATCGTATTCCCCGCTCACCCCAGGTGGCGTGAGAGCGGGCGGTGCGCACCCTGCGGCAAAGAACCTGTTGAACAAGCGCTACTTCTCTGTTCCCGTCGATGACACAGTGCGATACGGAGAGTACTTTACTGGTCTTTTAGGTGCGAGCTCTTCGAACGGACAAGCATCGGGCGCATCAGCTTCCATTGCGACCGATCCAAGCTACGCCTCTGATGCAACAGGTCTGGCAGCTATGAGAGATCCATTATCTTTACCTGCCACTGTCCCTCCTCACGCACGTACAGCAGTGAAGAAGATTCTGCCCGTCATAGCCGACTCTCTTCTGCTCTCCAATGTAGACCGCTATCTCACTGGTGGCCCGCTCTCGGACATGAAGCGCATTACTGGCAACCTCTTCGGCCTGAAGAACAAAGCTAGTACGGGCAAGGCTCTTGGCAAGGTCGGTGTCGAAGTCAGCCGCAAGAAGGCCGTGCTGGATGGCGAATTGCAGGGCGATGTTCCTGCTTCGCCATCGTCATTCTTCTCTCCTGGCAAGTCTCGTACGGCGCAGTCCGTCGGAAGTCGCTCGAACCCCATTGACCTCAGCAACAGCGGCGGTACTCCAGAGGGCAGCGCGCAAGAGCCTCCAGCAAATACAGCTCGTGACGAGGAGGAGAGAGGCAGTGGATTCGGACAGCGCAACAATATCACTCCTGCTGCGCATTCCGAAGACGACCGTGACTTTGACAGCGGCCTACAGCTTGCACGACTCGAGACTCGCTCCTGGACCGGCTTCGAGCCCATGCGCATTGGCGTCGAGTACTATGGTTTGGATCTGCTGGAAGAGAAGCATCGTCTCTACTCGCCCAGCTTCTTCTACGCTGGCAGCGTCTGGAACCTGTATGTGCAGACGATCAGAAAGCCAAAGGGCACTCAGCTCGGGGTGTACCTCCACCGCCAAAGCCCAATGGAGCCCCTTCCGCCTGCAACAGCTAGCCCAGAGAGTGTAGCGAACTTCTATCATGGCACGCATGGAGGAGGTGGAGCAATCACGACGACTCCTGGAGCTCCAAGAGAGGCTGGAGCGACCCTGATAGACGAGCAACTTCAGCAAGGCGTTGCAAGCGGGAGCAATGGCGGTGCGAGAGGACGTCTGCCAGGTCAGCAAGGGCAGGGTCAGGGTCAGGGTCAGGGTCCGGGACAGGTACCACACCTGCCGGCGCGTCTTGACTCTCTGCCTATCAACAGCAACCTCAGCCTTCCGCTCAATGCTGCCGCCAACGCGGGTGCAAATCATAATGTCAACGCCAATAGAGATGCGGGAGGTACACCACCTCCTCCCAGGTACGGCGCCGCCTTCACCCAGCCGGAGCTGCCCTTCACTGCCGTTTCCCCTTCCGTACCTAGCAATGGCCCTCCCGTCTTGCCGGGGATCTCTCCCGCTGTGCCCTATCGCGACCCACGACGATTGGTCCGCGCCTTCTTCTCCATCCACTGCCACGCCCCGCTCGGCTCGGCCCTCACGCGCTTCGATTCTGGTCCGGATCGCTTCTTGGAGAGTCAAAGTTGGGGGTGGAAGAGTAGCTCGCTTATGGGTGTTTGGGAGCTGCAGAAAGGAGCGTTGAGCGGCGGAAGGGCGGAGACGGCTGATGGGTTCCGATGTGTGGTGACGATGGGTGTGATCTAGAGCAGTGAGGTGTGAAGTAGCATAGAGGTCGCTCGGGCGTTACTGTTCGCCCTGATGCTCTGCTGCTTCGTGCGTCTCCCATATTTTCAGATGAAAATACCTCAGCGTTGCAACATCTGGTATCAGCTGCCAGACTCTGTGTACGAGTGATTGCATAGATCTACACCTCTCTGATGTTCGAAGAAATCTCACGAGCTGGAATCCTGGCTCGCTCTCCACGCGGCGAGGCGTAAAGCTGCACGCGCTCCCCGCAAGGCCGGCGAGAGCCCTGCTCCCGGTCCTACCGCCCAGTCCCTCCTTCACACCACACCACATCTGTCCCTTCCTAGTCGCATTTCCTCAACAGTCCCCTTCATCCTTCGTTGATGGCGAGCGAGGAGATAACGGCCTCTGCCCCTGCTGGCGGCAGTAGTGCCCCGCCTCCACCGCAAGCAGGGGGAGCATTGGACAATCGAAGGTCCACTGCCATCTCAGCCCAAGACGAGGAGCAGGCCTCACCCGCCCCCAACCAGGCTGCCGATAGCAGCATAATGGGCGATGAAGAAGACGAAGAGATCGACCAGCTCGAAGACGATGACGAAGCTGGCCCCTCGGCCTCTGCCAATGCTTCAGCAGCTAAAGGAAAACCAATAGCACGCAGGGCAGATGGATCAATACCTTCTGTCTTGCGCCCGGCTGGTGCCAACACGGCTTCCAGCTCTGCGATCCGAGCTCAGCCTAGCACCATTGATAGAGATGACTACATCGAGCAGATCAACTACACAGAAGAGGAGATGGCGGCTTTCAAGGTTGATGAGACGATCCCTGACAATGTGAACCCTGGATCAGCCAATCTGTACACGAATGCGTCTGGGGAGAAGCTGTAAGTAGCAAAGGCAGATCGAGGACGCTCCCATGTGTGAGAAGCTGAATCGACCTCTCATCTCTTTCGCTGTTCCCAGCTTCCGGAATACACCCATCAAGAAGAATGATGGAGGGACCATCCTACGATCCGATCTTCAACATGCTCTGCTCCTCGAGATCTTCGACGATACCACTCGCTGCTTCCGCAACCCTCGTCCTGCTCCCGAAGGCGCATGGACCTACCCGCCTAAGCCAGGAGAGGCTGCTGCTACAGGAGTGTACGAGTACTCGCCAATGTATCCCTATGGACAATCGAAGGGAGCTGCTCGACGGAGCAATGAGACTCCAGAGGAGTACGCTGCCTGGGAGAAGCGGTATCAGGAGTTCTGGAAGAACCCTTACCCTACGCCAGAGGAAGATCCCGAGAGGAAGGTACCACGCCCCGGACATCGAATGCTTACGTTCAAGGAGCTCTACATGGAGGCGCTGATGAATTCGCCAAGGTGTACCAAGGCTGTGAGGGACAAGATTTGGCAGGATGAGGAGTATGCCCAAGACTTTCTGTGTGTGAACTTGCTCATCAATATCGGTAGGATGAACACGACTTTGGCTTGTGAGTAGACGAGAGCGTCAGAGCGCATATAGCAAGCATGCGTGCTGACTTTCACTTTTTCCCTTCCTTCAGTCTTCGCACAGATGCAGACCATTCTGCGATGCTATCATCCTCTGCCATCCTTGCAAAGGTGTGAGAATTCTCGCAAGCACATGCAAGATGCTCCTCGAATGAAGTCCCTCCTCAAGTCGGTCCTTCTTCCCTTCGAGAAGGCTTCTACTGGACCTGGATCCGCTCCAGCCTCCAAGGCTGCGCAAGCAGCAAACATCGATGTGGCCATCCCTGAATCGGAGCAAATTGAGCTAGCAGGTACTATGGAAGAGGTTGTACAGCGTTTCAGAGATGGTCGCGTCCCCTCTACAAGCGTAGTCAACCTGATCTTCTTGTTTCAACAAGAGGCTCCGCATCTGTCTACGCTACATTTCAGCCAGCCACACGACATGTTCTCCATATTCTTCCCTCACAAAGACTACCCGATCCCAGCAAGACAGAGAGCCAGGGCTTTCCTGTGGATCGTCTGGCATTACCTCGAAGGCGGAGCAGTCCTACCCCCTGGCAATGAAAAGGCAGTTCAGAATCCTTTCGCAGACGAACAAGCTGCTGCGTCTATGCAGCGAGCCCGCAGTAAGTGGGACTCGCTCGATGAGGCCCAAAGGAAGAAGTGTACACTCGGCGGCCGAGGCACCATCTGGCAAGGCGTAAGAAACAAGGACGTTGCCGAGAAGACGGCTACCATCAGCAGTGCTACGGATCTCTTCTCGAAAGAAGGAGCGGGCGGCGATGTTGCCGCCTCTCAGCCAGCCACGTCCAAGGCAGCCTCGCCTTCGCCCGGTCCCGGTGCCGGTCCTGCCGACGTCCTCGACACCGAGAAGAACGAGCCCTACACACATCGTATCCTGGCTCCCGCCTTCTCGGGCACGACGCTCGAGGAGATTCGAAAGGAGAATGTGGACCTACCAAACGAAATCGAGTGGGGACGTACACAGGCTCACGAAAGGCGAGTCTTTATGGTGCGCGCTGCCCTCGAAGAAAAGGAGAAAGCCGAAGCCGAGGCTCGTGGCGAGCCTATACCCGCCCACCTTGGCGGTAAAGGCAAGGGCAAAGGAAAGAGGAGGAGCAGAGGTGGAGCAGCGGCTGCAGCGGCTGCTTCTGCTGCTGCCGAGGATGCGCGAGCCAGAATCAAGATGAGGGCTGCTGCGAAGCGTAGGCTGGAGGAGGAAGAGTCTGCCGCCAGCGGTGGTGGGAAGAACAGGAGAATCTCGATGTCGCCCTCGGGCGTGGATGACGAGCTGATGCAAACCATCGGAGACTACGACGATGATGACGATGACGGTCCAACGGCAGCAGGAGGCATGGGCGCAGGCGCAGGCGCGAGGGGAAGCAGCGCCGGCAGCCCCTTTACGATGCTTGGCGATCGTGGCATGGGAATTCCTTCCGTCTTCTCTGGCGCAACCATCAACAGCGTGATGCCCAACTTCCGCCGTGCCCTCAACGAATCCGACCTCACCCTCTTCAATCCCTCCAACGCCGCCGCAATGGGAGCCAACGGAGAGCAGAACCATCTCTCTCGCCTAGCCTGGAATCGTATCCTACAACGCGCCGTAAGAGGTCAAGGAGACGCATGCTATGATTCAGATGAAGAAGAGGCGGCCATGGACGAGAGGGAGAGATGTGGTGAAATGTTTGGAGGTGAGCTGGGTAGGATTTTGGGCTGTGTTTGGAAAGAAGGAAGGAGGATTGGTACCAGGCCTGCTTTGCCAGAAGGAGGAGGGGCAGCAGGAGGTGGTGGAGGCGAGGCTAAGCCGAGGGCGGTACCTGATCCGTACGCGAGAAGTGCAGAGGTCGTCTCTCAGCAGTGATGGTGGCTACACTGTCTCATGTAGAAAGATTTCGACAATGTCATACAGTCGCTGGAGGAGCCAGAGCCAATCGAAGAGACAAAAGATAGATGAAGGTGACGCTGACTGGAGTGGTTCTACTATGTACATGCTCGACGATCATCAACGACCTTTGCTTCATTTGAGAACTCCGGCTCTTCCTGGACTCGATCGTGGTAAGGTAGTATCGTGTTTGATTCGTGCGTTTCGGCTCGGTCCGACTCGACTTGGTAGGGTATAGTATCACTTTGCTTTCCCCTTGTCCTTCTTCGTGCTCTTTCCCTCCTCACCTTCCTCAGGATCATCATCGTCATCTTCCTGACCACCGCCGGCATCACCACCACTACCACTTCTCTTCGACTTCTTCTGATCCTTAATGGTCTGCTTCAACAACCCTTCAAGCCTCTCAACGGCCTGCGCCTGATCGTCCAGCCTCTCTAGAAGACGCATGAGGATGTCCGCCGTCCCGCCCGGCCGGTCGCTCTCGCCCGCACCCTCGGCCCCTCCGCCGCCAGCAGCGACGGAGCCCGAGGCGGAGCCACGTCGATCGAGGAGTTCTCCGAGGGACCCGGACTGATCGGCCAGAGGAGGGGGAGGAGAGGCAGCAGCAGCAGCACCGCCGCCGCCGCCGCCGCCTTCTTGCGCATCGGCTTCAGCTTCGTCTACCATACTCTGTGGATTGTTGTCTCCTGCTCTTGGTTCAGCGCCCTCTTCTCCATTAGGATCATCCTCTTCGCCTTCGTGCAGGATCGAGTCGATGGACGCGCCGCCCTGCTCGCGACTCTTTTGCTCACTAGCGCCCTTGCGGTGCCTACCTAGGAGCATGTACCTTCTCCTGGGACTGGTGCTGGGACTGACATCGGGAGAGGTAGAGCCTGAGCGCTTGTTGCTGGCACTGGTGCTGTGGCTACCGCTGAGGATCTTGGAGAATGAGGACCCTCTGGCGTGCCCGCCTTCGGGCTGCTTCTTTTTCTTCGTCGGCGACGAAGCGGATGGCGAGTGGTCATGACCAGGCTGTGGTCCATCGGCCTCTGGCAGCGTTTCTCTATGCTCGTTATCCTTGCTCTTCGATGCAAGATCTTTCCAAGTCGAACTTCTGTTCGCGCCCCATGCGACACTTCCGTCGCGCCCCTTTCTGGGGACGGCAACGCGTCCACGTGGCAGAGGCGTCTCTCCCCTTGGCATCTCAAAGGTATCATCGGCAGAGTGGTGGTACATCTGGTGAGGATGGCTGTGCTGAGTGTCCGTCGAGTGGAGCCAAGGGTGTGAATAAGTCTTGGAGATGGGCTTTGAAGTCGGAAAGAGATTCGAAAGCTCCTCGGGTATGGCCGACTGGTCGTAAAGGTCGTGGAAGACAGACTCAATCACATCGGGTTGGCCTCTCTGCGTCTTCCAACCCCAATTGTCGAGGATCCGACCGCTCTTCTCAGTAGCCAGTTCGATCCCCTTCTTCCACTGGTACTGCTGCAGCACGCGTATGGCCAACAGCACTGGCAAATGCGTAGCTCTGATGAGCCAGACATTGACCTTGTGTAGCCATCGCGGCGTCAAGAAGAAAGAAGCCGGATATACGATGAGGAGGCAGATGACATTTGTGGGTGGCACATAGCTGAAGACTGCGTCCGAAGAGGAAGCAGAGAGGGCGACGCATGCGTGCTGGTATAGACTGACCTCCTGTGCATGAGAGGCGACATTGGCGAATGTTGAAGATAGGAGGGAGATCAGAATCGTCAAGAGCAGCGTCTGCGCTAAGATCGTAAACGAGACAACTAGAAGCGGCCCAAAAGTTTCGGTGAAAGCTTGAGCCTCTGGCAAAGAGATAGTCGTTCCGTATGTGAACCTCAAAAGGAGCCAGCTGATTGTCCCGATGCTCCATTCGTCGCCTTCTGCAAGAAGATAGAACGTCGCCGTGAAGCCCAAGAAGAAGACCAGGGCGAGGGCCAGGAAGTAGAAGAATTCCTTTATCATTGCGCGAAGGGAGAGCAACAGTACGTTGTCGGCGACGAGCAGAGAGGCTAGTCTGGGACATAGGACAATGGCTCCAAGGGACAGTATATCGAATGCTGTCTTGCTGGCCACTGTATCACCTGTCACCAGGCTATAAATCCTGATGCCGAGCCACGTAAAGCCGACGGTACACTTGAGGTGGTGAGGAGAATGGCGTCAATCAGTGGAGAGTATGTGAGAACTACTGCCTGGGCAAGACTCACGAAGAGAGCATCGAGGACGTTGAAGAAGCTACCGCCGAGATAGACCGAGAAGCCATGTTCCTGTAGCGAAGCCAGCTCATCGATCGCCAAGCCCACCAGCCAAATTGTAAAGAGGGCTTCAGAGATGGCAAAAGTCATTGTATCCTTAGATCCTAAGCACCAAGCGTACAATACCAGGATGCAGATGAAGTTCATCGCCTCTAGGAAGGCTCTGATGCGGGGGACACGTAGCCTTCTGTGATCCAGGAGGGGTGACGTGAGTGGATCGTAGAGGGTCACGGGTCTTTTCTTCCAAGAGTCGTCTACCAGGGCATGTTTGCTGCCAGCGTTTCCCAACACAACATTGCCGTTCCAGATTCCGTCGACGACCTTCTGTACGAGTGGTGTTGCCACGAATTTCTTAGCAGATGACTGAATGGCGTATTCCAGTGTGGAGGTGGCTTCCGAGTTGGCATCGTCGCCGCCAAGGCCTCTGGCTTTGGCTGCTGCCAGTGTTGCTTCGTCTGCGCCTTGCCAAGGCCAGAAGGGTGCGGCGAGGGCAGTGACAAGCTCCATGCCATCCGTGGCGAAGGTTCGAAGCAGCTTGGTGGCCAGGAGCTCACACAGTGCTGCTCGGGTCTCGTTTACTGTTCGGTAGGCTAGGTCACGCTCGCTTTCTCGCAGAAAGTGAATGCGTGTGAATAGAAGAGCGTACAAGATTGCGGGTGAGCGTAGCTTAGAATACTTGAGGGCGAGGGGTCGTACGAGTGCAAAGTTGAGCTCATGGCCAGTGAGATCTTCCCAGGAGAGGCTGGTGTCGATGAGTGACTTGATGTCCTGGCGAAGGAGCTGCAGGACTGGGTACACGGGCGTCTGGCTAGCAGTCTGTACTGCCAGCTCAGGATTCTCGTCTTCGAGGTCTTGTAAGAATCTGTCCTGTTCGATGGCACGAGGGTCGTTGGGGGAGGGCAGTATGGAGTTGGAGGCCATCCCCCCACCTCCTGCCGAGGAGATTGCGCTGGCGCTAGCGGTGGCTGCCCCAGCTCGGCGTGAAGCCATGGTTGGTGAATGTGTGGGGCTTTGCCAGTGTGCTACACGGTATGGCTGGTGCTCAAGCCTGGTCCGCAGTCATGGCAGGAGCAGAGCGTCGTGGGAGAAGCGAGGTGATGTGTTGCAGTGGGAATCTTGGCCGAGTGTGATCCCCTGCGCTTCTCCTTTCCGGCTGTGGAGCGTCGCACGTCCCCTCTGCTGCCCCCGGCCCTCTCCGCACTGAGCCACGGCATGAACGACTGACCCTTCCTTACCATAACCACGGCACATCACAGCCATCCCACTCCCTCGCTCGCTCCCTCACCTCCTCGACACTCGGTTCTGCTGCGGACTTACAAGGCGCATTCATCTCCCACCTCGTCGTCGCCATCATGCGGCAGAATGCGTCGCTGATCGGCCTCGTGGCCATCCACGCCACCCTCGCCCTCGTCGCCGTTGCCGCTCGCTCTCCACCCCTGGACAGAACCAACAACAATACCCTCATCTTCTCGTCGCCCTTCGCTGCAGACAGGCCCAGCGACTGTCCCCCATGCTTCAATTGCATGCTGCCAGCCTTCACTTGCGCCAACTCTGGAGAATGTAGACAGCGAGATGGCCAGTGCGACTGTCCCACGGGCTTCGGTGGACAAGACTGCCTCTCGCCCTTGTGCGACAGCCCACTCAAGGGCGAAGAGCGGTCTCCTCGCGAGGGAGACCAGTGCACTTGCGACCAAGGATGGGATGGACTCAATTGCAACGTCTGCCAGACAGACGAGGCATGCTCCGAATTCATCCTTGGCGGCGAGAAGCTCTTGGGCAATGGAACCTGCTACACCGGAGGTAGCACAATCAGACAGAGCTTCCAGCAATGTGATGTCACCAACAAAAAGATTACCGGTATGCTGCCAGGAAGATCTCCCAAGGTCACCTTTAGCTGTGAGAAGGATGACGCAGCCTGCAACTTCCAGGTGAGTATAGAAGAGGATCGTAGAATCTGCCCGAGCCTAATGCGGGCATCCGGCTAATCTGACCTCTGCCTCGCCTCGCCTCAGTTCTGGATCGGGCAACGTGAAAGCTTCTACTGTGACCTGACAGGATGCAACGAAGTGCTGGAAAGGACGGCCGAGAGCAACAACACTCGCTATGTATGCGAAAAGACGTCCTGCTCCTGCATTCCAGGCAGGATGCTGTGCGGAGAAGCGGGCAGCATCGACATCGGCGACTTTCTCAGCGAAGAGATCAAGGGCCCGGCTAGCATGACCTGCAAAACCGGGGCCAAAGGATCCCGAGACTGTAAATTCGAAGAGCCTGCCATGAACGACCTCATCAGCAGCATCTTCGGCGACAGCTCCATCACCCTCAACTGCGCCTCTGGTGAATGTGTCCACTATCAGCAGGTCCCTGGATACCAGAGCCCTGTGTCGCCACCTCACTCCATATTCTGGGTCGTCATCAGTGCCATTGGAGCAGTCGTCTTCGTGTTGCTCATCGCAGCTATGCTTTGGATATTGGGCAGACATGCAAAGCACGAGGAGTACGGAAGCGTCAGGTTGCCAGAGGACGAGACCGCACGCCTGATGGCTGATCATGTCCCGGCAGCTCTCAGCTTCAAGGACCTCACCTATCACATCAATTCGAAGCCGGTCTTGTCTGGCATCACCGGAACTGTCAACCCGGGAGAGATCATGGCCATCGTTGGATCCTCGGGAGCGGGCAAAACCACATGTGAGTATCGACAGAAGCGAACCCACGATCAGTCACCCGAGCTGACACACATTCTGCCGGCGATCACTCAGTCCTGGACCTTCTGGCTCGCCGTGAGAAGAGAGGTACAGTATCGGGTACCATCCTCGTCAACGGCCGACCTGTCACAGATGCTGCTTTCCAAAGGATCACGGGTTTCGTTGATCAGGAGGATTGTCTCATGTCAACATTGACAGTTTACGAGACTGTCCTCTATTCCGCTTTGCTCAGATTGCCCCGAGAGATGTCCATCGAGGCAAAACGATTCAGGACCCTGGAGACGTTGCAAGAGCTTGGCATTCTTGGCATCAAGGACTCCCGAATCGGCGACAGCGGAGCTCGCAGCATCAGCGGTGGAGAGAAGAGGCGAGTGTCTATTGCCTGTGAGCTAGTGACATCTCCCTCTGTCCTCTTCCTCGACGAGGCTACTTCTGGTCTGGACTCTGCGAATGCTCTCAACGTAGTTGAGTGTCTCGTCAACCTGGCACGCACGTACCGCCGGACCGTGGTCTTGTCACTGCACCAGCCGTCGAGCAAGATCGTGTCTCTTCTAGACAAGCTCATCCTGCTTGCTTCTGGAAGGCTCGTCTACTCCGGACCTTTCTCGGCTTGTGACGAGTACTTCTCTTCTATCGGCCACGCTTGTCCCTCTGGCCACAACATTCTCGAGTATCTGATTGACTTGACGGCTGCAGCCAGTAAAGGCGGCTCAACCTCGAGCATTGCGACTCCTGCACGGACAGAGGAGGATACCATCGAGCAGGAGCCCACTGAAGATCCCTCGGCCTTAGAACTCAGCACGCGCACTACTGCCTCGGGCGCTGCGACTCCCTCAGGTTCAATTGGTCGCACTGCCGGCAAGCTGGCAGCTGGTGTCCGAAGTGCCTTTGGCAGCAGGAACGGGTTGCAAGGCCATGGCGCTATCCCTCGTGCTCTGGCGACGCTTGTGAAAGACTACCAGCAAAGTGAAGTTGCTTCCAAAGTCCAGGCTGAAGTTGGCGGACAGACTGCCAATGGAGAGCGCAATGGAGGCAGTGGCGAGACCTTGACCGATGTCGAGGAGGCAGACGAGGTCCTACGGGGTTACCGCAAGGCCACGCTTTGGACGCAGCTTCGCATCCTGTCTGGGCGCTCGTTCAAGAACCTCTACCGCAACCCTCAACTGATGCTGGCGCACTACCTCCTCTCCTTTGTCCTGGGTGGTTTCGTTGGTCTACTCTTCTACGGCGTTACCAACGATATTGCCGGCTTCCAGAACCGCCTCGGGCTCTGCTTCTTCACACTGGCCCTCTTTGGGTTCTCAACCTTGACCAGTCTAGGGATCTTTGCAAATGAGAGGCAACTCTTTGTCCGCGAGAGGGCAAACGGTTACTACAGTCCCGTGACTTACTTTTTCGCAAAGCTCATCTTCGATTCTCTCCCCTTGCGGGTCATTCCACCACTCCTCTTTGGTCCCACAATCTACTTTACGGTGGGACTAGTACCACAAGTGGCCAACTTTTGGTGCTTCATTCTCACCTTGGTCCTCTTCTCTCTAGCTGCCTCCTCCATCGTCTTTTTCATCTCTGTATCCATCAGGGATACAGGTGTGGCCAATTTGGTAGGAACACTCACGATGCTCATCTCCCTCCTCTTTGCCGGCCTATTGATCAACAGGGACAAGATTCCCATGAGCTTGCGATGGCTACTATACATCTCCCCCTTTCACGCATCCTACGAAGCACTCCTGGTCAATGAGCTCAGGTCCCTCTCTCTCGTGGAGCGCAAGTTTGGAGTGGACTTGGATGTACCGGCAGCTACGCTACTATCGTCTTTTGGATTCGATAGTCAGGCTTATTGGCAAGATCAGATTATACTCACAGCCATCTTCCTCATCTCCACGGCAATGTCCCTCTTCTGGCTCGTGTGCTACGTAAAGGAGAGGCGGTGAAGTGGGTGCGGCTGCTCATCGCGGAATACATCGATAGAACAGAAAATCGACAACACTTTGAAACTTTCTTGTACATTCTGATTACGACTTCGAAAAATTTAATATGGACATTCTCACTCCCTTTTCCCATCTGACAATGTGGTATACCGATGCAATGCCTGAGCTGTGAGCCGTAGTATCGCCTCAAGCAGCCGTGGCTGTGGGAGTCTTGGAGCCGGCGTCTTGGCTGCTAGACTTGGCCGCGGCGGCCGCGGCAGCTGCCTTCTTCTTCTTCTTTGCCATAGCTAGAGGAACGGGAGGTGAGGCAGGGAATAGTCAGTCCAAATACCCTCAAGCTGACGCAGTATCTGTCAAATCACGCCTTCATAGGACGCTTAGACTCACCAATAGCAACTGCACTCTTGGCCTTGTCGACTGCCTCGCGAGACTCCTCGATGTACTTTGTATCCACCTCAAATCTCTCCCTTTTCGCTCCACTACCGCCCGCGACTCCACTGCCCTGCGCCTCTCTACCTCGTACGGGAACCACATTGCTAGGTCCAGCACCTCCGTCCTCTTCGCCCTCGCCAAGATCACCACCGGCATCATCGAGCTTGTTGGCGGCTTCCTCGAAGTCTTTTGCGCTACGCGGTTTGCGGCCCAGCATCTTCTCTAGCTTGGCGTACTTCTCGGCTTGTGCTTTGGAGAGGGCTGCTTCACGGGCGGGAGCTTCGGCAAGGTAGGCCGCGAGTCTGTGAACAAAGAGGATTAAGACTGTGAGTCAGCTTCGATCTTCCACTACGCTGTTGAGAGATGACTCCACTACTCACGCTTTCGCCTCCTTGACGGTGCTCAGCCTTCTTCCGTTGAGGTCACGGCAAGAGTCGTTATTCTCCTCTCCCTTGCGAGCGCTCATCTTGCCACCCTGAGCACGCAGCATCGACCCAAATCCTCCCTTGCCGCCCAGGACGGCCAGCCTGATCTCCAACTCAAGAAATGAGCGAGTACCTTCTGCTTGTGCCAAATCGGCGAGAGTTGAGTCCCCAGAGAAGGGGTGGCCACCCGGGGTGGTGAGGCGTAGCAGGGAGGCGCCTTCCCCGTGAAGGTTGAGGTGAGCGACAACCGACGCGAGTATCTCATCAGCTGTGAGAATGACTGGGAGGTGGAGGGACAGAGTCTTGCGCAGGGGAGCCATCGTCTTCAGCAACACGGACACACTGGGTAGTGAAAGGAGTGTATTCGGAAGTCAGTACAACACACACACATGATCGGAATCAGAGTCAGGCTGTAACTCACCGTTGGCCATCGCGAGCTGACTCAGTGGCCGGGGCAGGCTTGGGGCCCTGAGAGCCGCTGCAGACAGCAACAGGGCGCTGAAGTATGGCGGCCATCTTGAATAGCGCTTGAGTGTTGTTACAGAAGGAGTAGCTTACGGCAAGGATTGATTGCGATGGTTGTGAACGATGAATGGCTCGTCACCTTGGATGGATTCTGTCCGATTCCGTTCCGCTGCAGCCGCCTCTTCCTCTTTCCGCCGTGCCTGCAATATTTTACTATGCACACCTCTCGATGCCACCAACTTCAACGAGGCATTCATCAACGAGGACAAGCAGGCGATATGTCACTGACGAGGCTGGGAGCGCTCAGCTTCGCATCGGCATCGCGGTCTGTCTTCGTACGCTTACCGCGGACCTACCCGCGGACGATCCTGCATACGCTTGCAGTGATATCACATGTAGCGAGAGAGGCAGCTGAGATGCAGCGACCCTCGAGTCACTCCGTAGAGGTTGCCCCTCCTCCTCTCAGGATAGAGCAGGCCGACTTTGCCAGGGTGAGTACAGCGGAGCAGCACTATTCACCGGGATGCTCTCTGCTGACCACAACAGCATCGATTGCTTTACTCACTCACTCCTCATCCATCGCAGGACCCCTGGCAACGCGCTCTCCTCAATTACGGCTTCATCCAATTCGCCTCACCCACACAGGCACAAGCAGCCCTCAATCTGCCCTACAAAAAGCACGAAGTACCTCTTCCTCCCATCTCTCCCACGTCTTCCTCCTTTATAGCGTCCGCCTTTGCCACGGCAAAGAGGCCAGAAGGACCGCTGGAAAAAGTTTTGCGCAAATCTGCGCCGGATGACAGTCTGAGGCAGGAGGAGGAGAGGGAGATCGAGTACGCAGGGCTGAGGGATGTGGCACCTTACCTGGGCTTGGAGCTACCGCCTTTCATGTTAGAGAACGTCTCAGAGGGGACACCAGCGGATGTGCTCCCCAGCCAATTCGCTCAGATTGAAATCAAGAGGAGGGAGAGAGGTAACGGTGAGTTGTGGCACGGGACAAGGCGAATGAAGAAGACTCCGTTCACATCTGACCTCGATTCATACCAAAACGCAATCTCCTCACTTCGTCAGCTTCGAGCAAAGAGGGCTGGCGGGACAGGTCCGGCGCCAGTCGCCGCCACAAGGAAGCCTTCAAGAGTTGGCAGGGCTTCTCACAGATTAGGCGTGGGGCAAAGGATCAGTCGGACAAGGGCGAGAGTGACAGAGTTGAATAGTCCACAGCTACCGGCAGCAGTAAAATGTATTATATACGAACAATGTAATGTATACCACGTCCATCCCACCTTCTCACGGATCGTCCTTCCACCAACCTGGAGCAGCCTCCTGCCTCTTCTTGTTTGCTGGTCGTCCTGTTGTTGCGACTGCTGTCGAGGACGATGAGCTTGCCCCGCGAGCCCTCTTCTTCATTGTCCGCTCAATCCTCTCTCCTTCCTTGGCAGCACTGGCAGAGACACCAGGCTGAGTCCCTTGACCAGCCCCTACTCGATCATCCCACCCTGCGCTCACTTCTGCCTTGCTCTTCTTCTGCTTGACCTTGCCTCCCTCCTTCAGACTCCTCTCCCAACCATCCTTCTGCGTCCGGAAAATGGCCATGGTGGTTCTAGCGTCCTCGACCGAGGAGTGCTCTTCGCCCGCCTTTTGAATCTCGATGCCCAGGACGAGCTTGGCAAGCTTCCTGAGACCAGGGAATTTTGTCTGCGCAAGGGTCCTGAGAGGTTGGTACGTAGACGTGTCCCTGATCAGAGGCCGAGGATGTGAGAGCAGCAAAGCTTTCAAGTCGTTCTGGATAGCATGACCGACCAAGACTCTGCCTTTGACAAGAGCGGCTACCTCTGCCTGGACTTCTTTGAAGGAGGGGGCTCCTTGTAGATCCTTGGCTCGCACTCCTGATACCCAGGTCCGATAGTCCGTTACCTTTTCCATCGGCTTGACGAAGCGATCCATCAGCACATGCCCGTGCCAATTCACGATGGACACTCGGGCCAAGACTGACTCGGAGCCCTTCTCGCCCACACCCACCATTTCGCAATCGATTGCGATAAATTGACCAGGCCTGACCGAGTGAGAGGAGAGGTATCGTCAGCGTCACACTTGCATGGTAGAAAGCCATTCTGACTCACTCTTTCTTTGCCTGTGAATCACCTCCCCAGTGACCTCCCAATATAATCTGCTTCTTTCTCCGTTCTTCCTCCACCGTCCCGGGCGAATTGATCCAGGTGGTGCGTCCGGCTTCCTGTCCGGGACTCGTGCTGAAACCCTTCACTAATGCTAGGTCCTCGGGTGACAAGTCCTCCGCAAACCAAGGCAGAGGCGAAGCCGAGCCAGAGGCTGGGTCTGCGGCTCCGTCGAGCGCACGAGCCTTGCCCTTGATACTGATGCTATGGGTGCCTGAGCCGTTCACTAGGCCTCCGACGCCCTGGTAGCCATTGGGAGCGCTTGACCTTCCTTCGTGAGGTCCTCTCTTGTCGAGACTTTTCCTCCGCTTCGGTGGCGATGTGTTGGAAGCTGAAGTATCGAGAGTCTGTCGGCGAGAAAGGGAACAGTGGGAGCGAGGTGTTAGAGTTCCCCGCGAGAGTGTCGGTAGATTCACTCGCTTATTACTGACCTTCTTTAGCGCCTTCCAATTGCCTCCTGGCTTGACTGAGCGGGACGAACCCTGTCTACTGCTCCCGACCGCTACTGAGGGAGACTGTGCGTCCATATTGTGAAGCTATTGCTTGAGATGGTATTGGGCAAAAGGTGTTAGGAAGGTCTACCCACGTCGGCAACTCTACGAGGCTGCTTGGTTGCTGTTTCCGAGCCAAATTTTTCGCGCAGAGGGGCTCCGCCTCGCGTCTCAGCTTCCTCCTTCCGTCGGTAAGGTGAGGATCAATCAGCACCTTGTCACTTCTTCCTGACGATCCTCATCAGAGCTACTCGTCTCATCACTCACCTTTGCGGCAGATACACTCATGGCGAGCCTCGCCTCTTCCTCGTCGAAGTGGCTGGTATGCGCCCCACCCAAGCTCGTCGCTCCTGTGCACCGGCCTCTCGCTGCTACCGGTCGTGTGCAAGTCAGACTCGCAAGCTCGACACCTGCCAGAACACCACCACCCGCTCGTCCCTCCCCTGTGGCAGGTCCAAAGGGCAATACTCCCCGGCCTGCTCCAGCCACCCCACGCTCCCCTTCCTCCCCCTCTAGTGCTCCACCGCCGCCTAATGGCTCACAGCCGCTGGTATTATACGAAGGCCCACCTCAGCAGCGACCCGCCGTATCCTGGTTCCTCTTCGGCTCCTTCTCCACAATCGGCCTCATCACAGGGTACAACGTCTCCCAGCACCTCGCCTGGCCCCTCTGGTCTCGCACAGAAGCCGAGCTAGTAGAGCCTCGTAAGCGATACGTTGCTGGTCTCCTCGTAGCTAGCATGTCCATTGCTACTGCCTCGCTTTTCAAGTACGTGGCGAGCAAGAGCATCACACGCATTACCCTCTTTGAGCCTCCTGGCCGTGCGCCCATGTTAAAGATCGTTACAGCTACGCGGCCCATCTTCCCTCGTGGCTTCTTTCGCAGAGCTGTTAGACCTTACATCTCCGAAGGGCATAGCCAGAAGGAGTTCACTGCTCCGCTGGAGAATGTCCTCAGGAGGCATGGGAGCGCAGTGGCCCAGGGCTGGGTCAATGAGCGGACCGGTGGAGTGGAAAGGAGATCGATCACCATCGACATTGGAGGGGACGCATATCTTCTTGAAGGGTCTGGAGCAAATCAGCCCGTGAGGGAAGGAATGTCTCGGGTGGGATATGCCATCACGCACTTCACCTGGAGGTTCATCCGAGGCAGCCCTTCTGCTCCTTACTTCTGGTCAAGACAGGCCTTCGATGAACTCATACCTCAGGTTTCGGTCGAGGCTAGGAAGAAGAAAGCAAAGTGACGCAGGAATCGAGGAATATAAGACAGGATAAGCTACGATGATCTGGGATCGGGTATCGGCTTCTTGGCCGCCAGCGCTTTGGCCAGGGTAGCATCGGCTTGCTGAGGGTGGGCGGTAGGTTGGGGAGAAGGGTGCCATCAAGAATGTAACATTAGTCATCGGTATTCAGGAACAACATCAGCAGCTGTTCGGATCTCACCTTAAGCATCTAAGCGGGTAGGTTGGAAAGAAACGTCTCCGATTGTCAGTCGAGGCTCAAAACGGGGAAATACAATACCACTGCTGCTCACTGGGGCATCGATCATCAACGTCTGCTCGCCTACAGTCACTCCAACTGCGCCTCGGTGACCCTTTACCGCTTCTTCATAGGCAGCCTTAATCTTGACGGCTCGCAAGATGGCTTCGTGTAGGGAGAGAGTAGGCTATGTCAGCTGCTGCAAGGCGGCGACGTTCTCAAGCGCATTCGATTGCAGCATACCTTCGTCAGAGGGTGAGAAGACATCGTGAATAGCGGCCAATTGAGCTGGGTGAATCTTCGGGACGCGCGATATTGACATGTTGGGAGTAGCTTCAGCAAGGGCGGGACCGGCTCAGCTGTCCCTGCTGCAGCCCTGTCACTCACTGCTTGCTTTCCATCGTACCCGATCTCATTCCCGTCCCTGCACTCTTCACGAAGGTACTCTTCGTCCTTGTAATCAATGCAAACCATATCGATTGCCCCCAAGCCTCCATAAGCCTTTGCAATCAGGGCCAACTGTTGGCGTGGGAAGAGCAGCTCCCGCCTGCTCCTAGTCCTGGTGATTCCCGCGGTGTGACAAAAGTCTTCCGAGGCGAAGAGCAGCGAGGTGACGCCCGCAGTGGAGACGCCTGCTGTCTTCTTGACAGTGTCCAGTATGGTCGGCATGCGGAAGAGACTTGCCGGGCTCTCCACGGAGAGGATCAGAGAGAGTGGAGGAGCCTCCTTAGGCCGAAGCTGCTGCGCTCGACTGATGACGAAGAGAACGTCCTCCTCGCTCTCGACTTTGGGCAGAAGAATACACTCCAGCTGCTCCAGCGGCAGGAGGAGTTCCAGATCGTCACCGGCTAAGGGACCGCTACCCGACGGCGGGTTGATTCGCACAGCCATCTCCGATCGTCCGCTGGAGTTGCCTTCTACGGGATGGGCCAGAGCGTTGAGCTTGTGGTAGACTGCCTCCCTCGCCCTGCCCTTCTGATGATCGGCGACTGAGTCCTCCAAGTCCAGAACGATTGTGTCTGCCCCTGCGGAGTCTGCTTTCCTCAGCATCTTCTCGCTCGAGCCGGGCACGTAAAGGAGACTTCGACGTGGTTTGGAGAAGGTTGGGGTAGGAGCAGCGGTGGAGCATTTCGACGCCGAGCTGGAGAAGCTGCGCAGCACCTGTGAAGCTGAGGTAGGCTTAGCAAAGCGAGACATGCTCACAGCCGGAGCATGCCTGGCAACGAGTGCCATGGGCGTTGCTGCCGATATCATCGTGATCTTTGGAGGAAGCAGGATGAGGATCGTCTGGGCCGGCAGTGAAGCGGAAAGGCGTCGGCAGTGGAGGTTCGATCGCGTCTGTGCTCAGAGCAACGACCCCCACATTTCGAGTCCCGACCCGACAAGCATGGTCGAACTGGGCGTAGCACAACTGTGATCATCTTGTCGTGCTGCTGCGAATACAGTCTACTTTACAGCTACTCATGGTCGTGGTGTAGCCTGCGTCAGCTCACCAATGCCCCTTCATCGCCAGGAGGAGGCTTCATCTTCCCCCTCCTATCCTTCTCTATCCGACTTACGGCAGCCCACCAGCAATAGGAGGGTGCGGCACCTTGCTTCGCTACATCTTCGTAACTTCCGACCTGGCAGCGTTTCCAGCAGCGATGATGCTCAGGACCTCTTTGACATCTCCCTTGGTATTGATACGGTGGAAGGAAGAATCCCTCAATACCTCACTGAGCCTTCGCAGCCCTGCGTCAATGCCGATTGGAACGTCGATCCGCGTTACTTCGATACCGGTGAATCCTCCTCTTCATCTGGCTGGCCAGAGACATCCTCACTGGGCGTTTTAGGCCGGCAATTCTTCAATATTAGTGCTTGGGCTCGCAACGCCACACAGGCAGAAGACGGGGAAGCTGCCGGATGGTCGTTTTGTTGGCAGAGGGCGATTGATTTGCGTACCTTGGAGAGAATACCTACAGGGGTGAGTACGCCCGGAAAGGCGAGGGCTTCGAGCTTGGGCCAATGACTGACTTTAACACTTCCTACAGCTCTCTTCTCCCGTCATGCGGAGACTTCCTGCCAACTCCCTCATCCTGGGTCTACGGCCCTCGATCTGGGGCTCTGCACGCATTCCTTCCGAGGACAGGACTTTGAAGGCGGTCGCCGGGAATCTGTTGCAGGACAATGCGAGCGGGTCAGGCAGCGGCCCCCTTCCAGGCAAAAGCAACGGAAAGATCACTGGTCGATCAGTGGATCCCGTTGAGCTACATGTCTCCGCACCCGAGCTAGATTCGTTGACATACTATCTCGTACCACAGGCAGTAGTGCGCAAGGCGTCAGGAAAGGCTAGACGAGAGTCACTTACAAGTGGCATCAAGGAGAGAGACGAATCTCACGATGAAGATGAAGGCGGAGGTTCAGACCCAGAAGTAGGCGGGCTCGGCCGACAGTCGCCAGATGAGCTGGACATTGATGGGGGCTATGATTCGGAGACTGCCTTTGAGCTATCCTCCTCCGCCTCTCCCCGCAAGCCAGGACGACCGAGACTTGAGCATCGCACTTCGAGCAGTCGAACCGTCAGAGCCCTGAAGAAAGGGAGGCGGAAAAGGACCTCTTCGATGACTCCTGAAGTACCTGCAATCACGGACAGTCCTGCCGGAAAAGCAGGCACTAGAGGTTCTTCTGAGCTTGAGAGGAAGGGCTCCGTGTCAAGCAAGATATCAGCAGAAGACGAACGGAAGAGGAGGATACAGTCGTGGCAACTGGAGAGGGAGAGGGAGCAAGAAGTTCTAGAACGTAGCAAGAGAGAAACGCGGATGCTCAAGAGCTACAGGCGAGACGACCTTTACAAGTGAGTGAACACGCGCAAGGGGGGAACAGGACAGGAATTGACACTCTTGCCACGCTGTCGAAGGGTTCTGCAATTGCTACTGCAAGATGCCGACGAGAGCTCATCTCTGGCCAGGGAACGGGAGGCGTATGGCCGTCTGCTAACAGCCACGTCTGGGGTGCCTGCTCTCGTAAGTCTATCGATGTTCACTGCAGCCTGTCGCCAGAGCTGAACCTCTCTCTTTCTGCTGTAGACCCGGAGAGCGTTTGCCATTCGCGGCAAACTCTCAGCAATAGAGCATACCCTCAGCACACAGAACGACAGTATCCGACAATTGCGAAGCACTATTGCAGAGAAGAGGGACGCATTCGCGCGTAGACGAGCTCGACTGGACTTTGTCAAGCGGCAGCTGCAGAGTGACACTGCAAAAGTGCAGGCTAGCCAAGAGGAGCCTGATCATCTAAGGTGAGCAAGAGGCGCTGGCGGCAGGACAGACAAGACCTTCATCTCACGTGACTCCGTTCTTCACATGTTCAGACGTAGTATAGCAAGACAAGGTGTCCTGACCCACAACCGCCGCACCCAGCTCCTCGAGACACTTTCGGAGATCTACCCAATCAGGCTCATCTCCCCTTCCGACCTCCTTTTATCGATTTGCGACATACCCCTTCCCAATTCGCCGGCCCTTGCTTTGGTCGAGTCCCGCAGCAGAGTCGATGAAGAAGGCATTGCTGCTGCCCTGGGCTTGACGGCGCAGCTGGTTCTCCTGCTGAGCTCTTACCTCGATACCAGTGTCCATTATGAGATTGCTGCTGCTGGCAGCAGGGCCATGATTCGGGACGGGATCAGCTTGATGAATGGTCCTCGAGGGTGAGTTGGAGGGTATCGAGACGAGTTCGCTGCTGCTCTGAAGTCTCACTAGGATCGTGCCTGCATCTCGTTCTCACAGCTTTCCGCTTTACTCCAAAGGAGCTGAGCCTTACCGCTTCGAGTACGCAGTGTTTCTTCTTAACAAGAACATAGAGCAGGTGAGTCAAGCAGGTATGCGGTGGAGTGAGAAGCCTTGACTGACGGTCTTTGCGCTACTGGCTCCTCTTGACAGCTGATGAATGTGCATAACCTCCCTGTGCTGGACCTGCGACATACTTTGCCCAACCTCAACAACCTGATGCTGACCTTGAGCTCTCCCATCACTCTGGGAGAAACATCAACTAGCGGCCCTGCTGCGCCCACTCATCGTTCCACGTCGACGACAATACCGACGACTGGCGCCAGGATCGTCTCGCAGCCCTTGACGTCGGTGCGGCGTGGCTACCGCACTATGGGCAAAGGGGAAATCGTCTTGCCCACTTTGCCAGCAGCTGTCACAGGGAAGGACAGCGGTCTGAATGGCGTCAGTGGCGGGACGGAGAGCAAAGTCCTCGCCTCTACCAATGGTCATAGTCATGGTCACGATGCAGCCAAAGACACACCAGCAGCCCTACATGCCGGTAGCGGCAGCGAGATGGGCAGGTCGGCAGCGGCTTCCTGGACCGCGTCGTTGCTTGGGTGGAGCGGCGGCAAGGGCGGAAGCGGAGGCGCAGGCGTAGGCGCAGATGGGTACGCACAGAGAGCAGGAGCATCAGCGCAGCATGGCAAGGGGGCGGATGAGACGACGAAGAGGAGAGTCACCAGTGATGGTACAGCTGCGAGCGCGGATGGTTGACGAAGATTGTAATATTGCATGGAGATAGCAGTACCCACGAAGGTGGTTGATGAGGCATATCGAGCAGCAGCGGGCGACTCTGGCTGTGCGTGTCACTTTGGCTGGACTGGCAGAAATGCATGGACCACATCCTTGGAAATGCGTCGCGCCCGGTGTGTGTCCCTTTGTGCTTCTCCTCTCCACCCATCCTTTCCAGTCTCGCCATACCACACTCTGCTTCTTGACTGACGATATAGCTCACACTAGTAGCTCAATCACTGCCACTCAAGAACAAGTTGGTCTGCACCACGCACTGAGTCGCTGCCGCTCGCATCCTCATCGTACCAGCACGCTACCCACAAGTGGCGCATACATATACTCCCATCCCTCATCCGGCACCTCTTCCCTCCCCTCATACCAACCCAACCTCAACTTCTCCACTCTCCTCTCTTCTCTTTCCCTTACCACTTCCCCCCACTCCATCAGCAGCAATGATCCGCCTGGTCCTAATCCAAAATCGTCAAGGCAAATCCCGGCTGAGCAAATTCTACGTACCTTACGATGAGGAGGAGCAGGTGCGCATAAAAGGCGAAGTGCACAGGTTGATTGCTCCGAGAGACCAAAAGTATCAGAGTAATTTTGTAGAGGTGAGTGAAGGGTGGGACAGAGGAAGAAGAGTAGGGAGGGGAGGAAGGTTCAAGGAAGCTTATGCCTCCCCTCGCTTTCCCCCACGATACGCTCCCATGACTCCTCCTCTTCCCCCCTCCTCCAGTACCGCAACTACAAGATCGTCTACCGTCGGTACGCCGGTCTCTTCTTTTGTGTCTGTGTAGACGCAAACGACAACGAGCTAGCCTATCTAGAAGCCATCCACTTCTTTGTAGAAGTTCTAGATTCCTTCTTTGGAAACGTTTGCGAATTGGACCTGGTCTTTAATTTCTACAAGGTATATGCAATCTTGGATGAGATTTTCTTGGCGGGAGAAATTGAAGAGACGTCGAAGAGTGTGGTATTGAAGAGGTTGGAGCAATGTGAGTGTGGACACAAGGGAAGAGGAGAGGGGGTATGATTGTATTCGCGAGTGGGAACATGCCTGACGCTTACACCTCCCTTTGCTCTCACGGCACTGATCTTACTGTTGCAGTGGAAAAGCTCGAATAGCTATAGGAGCGAGCACGACTTAATGTCACCTATACCCCTCCACCATGCTTCGCTGGTTCCTCTTTCAAAACTATCCAATACCATTCCTCTCCTGCGGGTCACCCTCGCATCTGTATTCTAGCCTCCTCTCCTCCTCACGTTCATCAATCGCACTGTCTCACAGACACGGCTTTACTTGCTCGCTTTCTTGCTTGACTTTGAGTGTTCAGCTGCAAGTCTCTTCGTCCTTGCCAGCGCCAGCGCATGACGATTGACAATCGCAGTGTTCTGACAGAGGGAGTCAGAAGTGAAATTGGCACCACAACTCTATATATTTAGTACAACACAGACGAGAGGCATCGAGAGCAATGGTCAACCCCGAAAGCAAGGCCCGCTTGCATAGGTTAGCACGGTCAGTACAGCTATACCGACGGTCTTGTGCTACAGCTCTGCAAAGAAGAAGTCCAGAGACATTGGCAGACCGGGCTGTGGGATGGCAGCTGGGATCTCCACCTGTCGGGCGAGGAAGATAAGACACTCAAGATCAGCGCTCTGCAGTAGCTCAACTTTACCCATCCTCTCTCGCTTTGACTCACCTTTTCACCCGTCAAGTCCAGCAGCTTAATCTTGACCGCAATGTCCGTCAAGGCCTGAATGTACTCTGCCGTCTCTTGGGTATTGACCGCGCTGCCCTCCCCGCGCAACATACTCAGACCGTCGACCCACTCGCTATACTGACTCGCAGACGTAGCCACCAGATCTGCAATCGAGTCGCCTGGGGCGCGCAGGAGACTGAAGGAGTAGTTGCCCGCACTGCTGCTTGACGCGCTGATTGTCGTTGTTGCCCTGTGTTGGTAATTCGTACTGCCATTCGTCGTACTTGCAGCTGACGAAACAGGCAATTCCTCGCCCATCGAGCCCAGAACGGTGATGCATGACTGCAGGGCGAGATCATTGACCTGAGCCAAGTCGATGCGGCGTGGAAGGTCGTCTAGCCCATGTCGCACTGCATGAGGCTCATCCGCTTCGCAAAAGTGCAAGAGACGCTTGTTGGGACTTAGACGGTAGAATCTCCACGGCTTTGGGTACGCCCTGGTTCCATTCGTCGCTCCTGTCTTGCGATTGGGCGTTGCTTGTCCAGGTATTGTAGCATTGGCGCCTGCTGCTCCCGACCCAAAGCGTGTGTTTCCTGCCACACGGAACCAAGCTCCCTCAAGCAGGCACTGAACCCTCTGCTGCCGCATGAACTCCCAATTCTCCCGGTGCAGCTTAGCTTTCAAAGCTTGAACGGAGGAATTGTTCTCAAGGTCGTCTTCGAGCTCCAATTCTCGCATTTGGCGATCCCTGACTGCGCTGTACTCTGATTCCACAAAGCTCTTCTCAATATCCAGCCAGCTCTTGGTGGCCTCGTCGACAAGAGTGACCTTCACTTGACTCTGCACTAGCGCTGACACCCGCTCAAAGTCTACAGTAGCAGCCCCGCTCTCTGCCCATATGCGGAAGAAGAAGCGCAGGACCAGCTGATGAACGCGAGTGAAGGAGAGCAAGAAGGGCGTGAAGTCGGAGCGCGCACTTGACTTGCTTTGTATACCCCAATGCTCGACCAGAATTTGCACTACCTCGATGGCAGCCCGACCCCATGGACATCGCTTGCTTTCAGACCGGTTGATCTGCTCCAATAGTAGGGTGGCAAAGCCTTCAGGGTCCCTTCGAACATAAGCTTCGCAGCACTCGACTCCGAGCCAGCCGGACCTTGCAAAGTCTTTGGCGACGTTCTCGTTTGTAAAGCCAATGCGACGCCATTTGTGCTTGCCGCTTGCCAGAACGGCGCTGCTCCGAGGATCCTGAGATATCTGCGGCCTCACGACACTCTCTTCGTTGATGCATGCTGCCTTCCAGATGTAGGTCAAGGCTGCGGTGTGGCGCTTGTCGCTGAGTGAGACTGACGTCAGCAGACGGTGTTTGTAGATTCTGACAACGTTCGTCTGATACTCGAGGATGGAAGCGGCAAGCTCTGCCCTGCAATTAGTGTCCATAAGACGCTGTTGAGAAAGCAGAGACAAAGGGTGGATCGAATGTCAGAAGCTTCGCTGATATTTTGTGCAATGCCTATCGCCACTCACTGCTACTGCGCTCGAGGTCTTCAGCCTCTCCAGCTCTGTCGCCAGGGAATCCAGGAGACGCTCCGTGGCATGCTCCACAAGGCTGTTTAACAGACTGAGCGAGTTGACGCAGAGGGTCGCATCAGCGCTGCTCAAGCGCTGGACGAGGGTAGGCAAGAAGGAAGGTTCCCTGCAGATTTGCTCGTAGACTGCCTCGAAGCCAAATTTAGAGCTTGGGGCAGAGGTTTTGGCGGCAGTATCTCGGGTGGGAGCCGCTTCGGATACCACCAGCCGCTTAAGGATAGCAGTGGCCGGTCTGCAGACATTGATTCTCTCCTGCGTGACGAGAATCTGGACTACTCGAGCTATGAAAGCACCATCAAGGCCTTCCATTCCCTCGTTGCTGCCCTCCAGAAGATTTTGGCAACTTGTAAGGGCGTATGCTAAGGTATTACCACCACCAAAGGTATGTACGATGAGGAGGAGCTCATTGAGACCTCCTCTCTTGAGGAATTCTGCTGTGAATACAGGTTCGCGAATGAGCTTCTGAAGTGTGTAGGTTGCCATCTTGAGCGCACGGTCTTCTCTTGAGCACAATTTGTCCACCATCTCTGCTGCTTCGATTAAGGGCGATGCGGTGAGCTTGAAATTACGACCGGCTTCGATCTTCCTTGCAAGGTTGCCATCGTCTATAAGCTCGTCGTTTTCGTCGTCCCTGAGCGCAAAGAGGGCCGGTGGCTCCTGTACTCCGAGGTGAGCGTTGGCGCACAGCTGCCGGATGACATCTGCGACTACCATCGTAGTGTCAATCTGAGCCTTGATGGTGGCATTGCGATAGCTAACGGTATTGATGCGCGGAGTGGACGACGCAGAGGGTCGATGCTGATCCGAATCGACCTCTGTTGTGTTGATCGATCGATCAAGGCTGTCAGCTACTGAAAATCTGGTATGAGGCCACTCTGGCTTGCTGTTGGCGCTCACCTTGTTGGGAAAGGCTGTCGTAGCTGCGAGGTAAGACTGCAGGTACGGGCTGGGGGCCAGGCCGATCCTGTTCCTCATACGGCGACATGTCGTCCTCTCAGATGGTAAAGAGGATGGAGGAGAGGAGGAGCTGCTTGTATCATAGGAGTTGTTACCAGGGGACGGACGAACATAGGGATCAGGGATGAATAGCGCTCATTCCAGGCAGCAAAGAGCAACAGGGGCCACAAAGTCGCACCGGAAAGGCGGCGGGAAATCAATTCAGGTCCCACTGCCACGCTCGGGCCCACGCACACACGCACAAGGAGACTTGCGCCCAGAGATTCCAGGCACAGGCTGCAGGGCAACACAGACACACACGCACACGCACGCAACGCATCCTTACTCACCACTCGTCTTCCTTGCTTCCGCGGCATCGCATGGCAGCTCACCAGCTAGACAAAGTCGCACCAGTACGCGTACAGCAGCCAACAATGGCCACCGCATCCTCGTCCTCCGCCAGCATGCAGCAGTTCACCGTCGGCAAGCTCGACGCGGGCATGGCCATCCTCCTCGGCGCCCGCGCATCCCTCATCGAGTTCCCCTCGCTGCTACTCCCACAGGATGTTCAGGCAGGATCAGTAGTGGAGATCAGCGTAAAGAGAAACGTCGACGAGGAGAAGCGCAACAGGAGAGACTTTGACGATCTGCAGCGGGAGATCCTCGACACCTTTGGAACAGTCTCTCCAGTCGCACCTGAGCTCAAGCTGAGAGCCACAACCCAGACCAGCGTCGTACTAGAGTGGTCGCAGCTCACCCTCGCCACGGCTCAACTCATCAGTCTCGACATCTACCGCAACGGCAGCAGGCTGGCGCCAATTCCCAATCCACTCAGCAATACCAGTACAAAGCTGAGTGGACTCGAGGTAGGCGTAGAGTACAATTTCCACCTCGTACTCAAGACGTCTGCGGGTACCCTCACCAGCAACTCCATTCGCACCACAACACACGCCATGACCAACACCAGCGGCATCTCCGTATGCTTTGGCGCAGTCGGAGGTGGGGGTCAAGGTAGCGGAGAGACGCTCGAAAATGGAGAGGAGATCTCTGCCCTCGAGAGCTTGACGAGGCAGCTCCTGGAGAAGATGGGAGCCAAATGCTCTACGCGCTTGCAGATCGACACGACGCATTATGTCTGCACCTCACCTCGCGCCAGAGCCGGACCACAAGGTCCGAATGGCGCAGTAAATGCTGGAGGAGAAGGACCAGTGTACAGGAAGGCGCTGGCGCTGAACATCCCCATTGTGCGGCCAGAGTGGATCGTGGCATGTTACGAGAGCAAAAAGTGAGTTTGCGATGCGCCTTTGTGTCTGCAGAAGTGCCCCGCTGATTACCTTGCCTCTTCCTCGATTCCAGGATGATGCCCATTTCTGCCTTCTACCTTGACAAGGAGCCGCCTAATGTCGCCTCCGTCAGCAGCCTCCTCCAAGCCCGCAAACAAGAGACAGCAGCCAGCTCCGCTCCCCCTCCACCACCCGCACCAAAAGATGAAGCTTCAGCAGCGCCCGGCCCTGCTTCTGCTTCTACCACTTCCGCCACCCCGGCCACAGAATCTACTGCCGCCAGTGTACCTCCTCTGCAGGACGCAACCATCTCACCTGGAGAGGAACCGGGGAGCGCGGCAGTGACCTTTGGAGAAGTCGAGGATCAGACGACTGGACCTGATGGGGAGCCGATCAAGATGGAGGATGCCGAGTCCGATGGGACTACTGGCGAGGTGAAAGGGAGTGATCAGCAGAAGGAAGCGGAGGAGAAGGAAGGCCAGCAGGCGACGGGTGGGGCAAGCGCCGCTGCTGCTCCTGAGACAGAAGGCGTGAGGAGCGCCACGACGGCTCCTTCTACTGGTAGTGAGAGTATGGAAGACGTCAGTCTGAACTCGTTTGGTGGGGATCAGTCTCCGGCGAGACGGACAGGAGCAGATGACGATGATGAAGCGGGCGAAGAGGTAGACCTCTCGTGAGGAGTCCGGAGGGCAGGCGGCAGAGAAAGTCTGTAGATGCAGGTGGAGATGCAATGAAAGAGCATTGGTATACGCTAACTTGCGAGATTCAGCATGGTCATACAGTCGCCTTGTCTGTAGGGACCCTTCCGTCTCCTCTGAGGCTCCCTCACAGCCTCATCACCTTTGCCGGCCCTACCCTCATCGGCGGCGGTCGTCCCCTCTTACTACCCCCGCTATATCCCTGCGAAGCGTCCTGCCCCGCCGGACCTCCCACCACCCTCCCTTCTGCAGTAACAATTCCCGCTCCACCTTGCTCAATCGCTCGTCTCAACTTCTCCCTCTCCTGCGATTTCCACTGAGAGCGAATTTGCGCAGCAGCAGCAATCACCTCGTCCTCCTCGACGCCATCCTCGATACTGCCAATGATCTTGCGGATGATGCTGTAGTGGTTGCCGTCCTGCTTGTCGTCGCGGATGCGGTGGATACGCCAGCCGGGAGGTCGTGGAGCGGAGGGATCTGAGGGGTTTGGAGGACCGCGGCCGGCTTGCCAGACACATTCGACGATGCGGTCGTCGAATTGGAGACCGGAGCGCTTCATGCTGGTAAGAAGAGAGGGCAAGGAAGAGGAAGAACAGGAGCCGTCAGCAGAGTGGCCTATGCGTCTGCAGCTCGTCAAACTCGACCTACTCACTCTTCCCATTCCTCGTCGTCAAGATATAGCCAGTCGAAGGGCTCATAATTTGCCTCGCGCATTTTTCCAGATCCTTGATCGCCCATGTACTCTTCCAGTACAAAGAATGGCTTCGCTCTGAGATCCGGAACGGTGCCGCCTGGGACTCTCGGGTCTGGCGGGAACCTCAAGCGCAAGACAAAGTCGATGGAGTTCTCCGACGGCGGCTTCCATTTGATGATCTTGCTGTCGGTACCAAAGGTGTAGCCTGAATGCATTCCGGTGAAGATAAGACCATCGTTGCCGTGCTCCAGGAGGGGCATCCGCTGGATGACGGCATCGATACCGTAGGCTAGATCCATGTGCTTGATCTTGACCTCAAAAGGGGCCTCAGCGACTGCCATGGGATTTTTGCTCATGTAGTCGGCAAAGGGTTTGTAGATGGTGTTGTGTAGGCGGCCGTACCTCTTCGTCAGCGGTCTCATGCTCATGTTGACGCCATCCACCACTAGTGCATCAAATAGTAGCAACCTCAGTCTTCTCCTCCCCGTCTTCTTCTCTACATCCCACACCAATTCTCCATCAAGTAGCGTATCCTTGCAACCTGGCCAACCATTGTACAGAGGTAGGCCGTCCTTCATCTGCCTCATGAACGTCGCCCGCTTCTGCTCTTCCGGAGCCGAATCCTTGACATAGTATTGAGGGTCCGAGTGAGGGAAAAAGAGGTTGCGCTGCAGCTTGTATGTGTTTTTCCGATCGATCAGGTACACTTCCTGGTGTCCGGTAGCCCCATTTGCAACGACGAATACCAGCACTCTTTGGCCGTCAGACTTCTCACACACCCAAAAGTCCTGGTGAAGGAGCATGTCCAAGCTCCTCTTGGTGAATGAGACAGGCTGAGCTCCCGGAAAGCGGCTGCCAAAGGTTCCGGTCAGGTTCGAGACGTGTCGTCTGAGGAACGTCTCCGCCTCGGGATCGGCACGTATGCCGGGAATGTCAGGGACCGAGGAAGGAGGACCTTGTTGTTGTGGCTGGGGCGCATGGCCATAGGGATTGCTCGATGGACCGGCATCGTTGCTGCCCCCATACGAAGACACGTAGCCTCCGTAGGCCATGACACGAGAGAAAGAGCCGTCTATGACAGGAGACACGGACGACTGGATGGTATGAACGGAAGTGGTGACGAAGGCGCAAGACTTGGGCCTCGCTTCGGGAATTTGCACGTGGCTCCTTCCGTTCGGACGGAAGTCCGAATCGTGCGAGCCGAGTCACACATGTTCTTGACACAATCCCTGCGTGACTCCTAGCTACGACTCACATACCATTTGAAACAATCTACCTCTCAGCTAGACATGACTGCAGGAGCTGCTGCGACTGCGCCTCCTCAGTCTGACTATCATAGATCAGAGGACGCTACAGCCTACCGCACAAATGCCAGCTTCGTATTCAGCAACAAGTACACGGCCGCCGTACTCGGCCTCCTCGACGCCCAGCCCGGCGAACACATCTTAGATCTTGGCTGCGGGTCTGGTGAGCTCACCAAGGGAATTGGGTCCATAGTCGGGGCGAAAGGCTCTGTCTTTGGTGTTGACGCATCGGCTGATATGATCCAAGCTGCGCGCAAGGAGAACAGCAGTGATGATATTGGGGGATCAGCACGGATTCAATACGACCAAGCAGATGGCTGTGCACTGTCCACGTACATTACGGAGCACGGTCTCGAGGGGCGGTTCGATAGAGTTTTCAGCAATGCTGCCATCCATTGGATGAAAGCGTCGCCGATGGGTGTGATAGAGGGGGTGCACAAGGCACTAAAGCCGGGAGGTGTACTCGCAGCAGAGTTTGGAGGCTTCACCAACGTCGTTGGCGTTCGTGGCGGCCTGCATCAGGTACTCAGGAAGAGAGGACTTGACCCAGACGAGTTTGATCCTTGGTGAGTCAACTGTACGACTTACGTTGGGGTAGATCCTTCGACTCAAGCCTAGTCTCCCTCTCATATCCCGCAGGTACTTTCCCACAGACGAAGGCTATGCTGCACTGCTGACCTCGTCGAATCTGGACCCGCCATTCCAGATTCTCTCTGTAGAGCTAGTGCCGCGCCTGACTCCGCTCACAACAGGTCTACGGGGCTGGCTGACCGCCTTCGGAGGACCTCTCCTGAATGCACTACCGTCTGAAGAGCGCGAGGAGGCTGTACAAGAGCTAGAGGATCTCTTGAGGCCGGACATGTACGACCCTATCAAGAAACAGTGGAGCGTCATGTACGTCCGATTGAGAGTCAAAGCCATCAAGCCTCCTGCGAAGGGACTTTCGCCGGTGACATCGCTTGCATCAGTGCCCACTACCCCTGGTCCCATCGCGATTGATCCAGCCCTTGTGGAGAAATTCGCTACCGTCTCCTCCGATTCACCTCGAGCCAAAGAAGCCGCCGATCGGATACAATCAGACTTTATCAATCAGACCGTCCGCGTTACCATTCCGGACGGGAGGATCTTTGAGGGGACCTTTCTGTGCGTCGACGACGGGATGAACATCATCCTCTCGCAGACGAATGAGTTGAGGGTGGAGGACGGAGGGTCGGAGAGCTCGAGGTTTGTGGGCATGGTCATGATCAAGGGAGATGATGTGGTTAAGGTGGCGGTCAAAGTAGGCAACTCACAGGCGGCGGAAAGGGAAGAAAGAGGTGGCAATCGTCCCCAGCGGGGGTATGTTGCGGGCTGGCCTACCGATCCAGCGGCATATGCGTAGACCCGTCGAAGTACACGAACAGCGCACACGGACCTGCTACCATCAATCACCCACGATACTCTGCCTACGTCTTTGGTTATTTCGAAGAGCGATAAGCGTGTTTGAGAGTCTCTATCTGAGGAGGCCTTTGAATTACGATACTATACAGTGGCCACACTTGGCCCCCTTACCCTCCAGAATGACCCATTCTTTTCTCCATTGCTTCCATTACCTCACAAGGAGGTAGACGTTGCTTCCCACGGTGACGTTGCTGAAATGCCTGTAGCTGCCAGTGAGAGCCATGAGAAGTCCGCCAAACGAGCCGTACACTGTCACGGAGTCTGACGAGGCGCCCTCATCGTACTTGTAGATCTGCCAACGGCGAGGGGAGGTCGATTACTGTGTCAGACTCACGAACAGCTACAGAGGACTCAGAGGGCTAGACACAGCAGGGCATCCTGATACGCTCCGTCGTCGTGGGTACTCAGAAGTTCCCCTTTCTGAGCATTCGTGACTCACCTTTCCGTACATAACATAGTCCCAATCTTCTGCAATACCTCCAGCCCCTTGCCGCCAGACCTCTTTGCTAGCTGCACCGGCTCCATCTGTACCATTCGCATTGCCCGACCCAGCGGGGTGGAGTGTAGATACGAGCTGGAAGGAAAAGGATTGCGAGGGGGAGATGGGATAGATGTCCGTTGCTACGTCCAACGAGAGGTCCATCTCCAGCGTTGTGGAGGAGGCTACAATTCGTGAGACTTGAGATTTTCAGGCGAGCGTTGGGAAGCGTGGTAGTATTGAAGAGTCAGCAGACTTAGCTTGAAACGACAGCAACTGCTGCAGTCGATCAACTCCTTGTATGTCTTCTTCCTTGGCTACTCTACTCACCTCGGTCGAACTTCTTTCCATCAGGGTCAATCGCCTTGACCTGGAACTGAGCATCGAAGAGGACAGTCTCCGACATGACTGCAACTAGAGAAGTACAGTGAACGGGGAAAGAGGGTACGAGGGAAGTATGGCAGAATGCAGACCACAGAGGCAGAACGAAAGGGTGAGTAGAAGGAACGCGGAAGGAAGCAGTGGATTTTTGGCCCGAATGGAGCAGTGCTTTCTTCCGTTCCGAGAAGGGCGAGGGCGGAAAGGGAGCAAGCCGGATCAAGGGTCCGTCCGCATTGCTCACTCGCTCGGGCATTTGACATCCTCCACGTCCTCTACCGCGTACCAGCATTCCCCACAAGCCTGATAGTCTTGGGAAGTTCGAAGTCAGTGCAGACAATGATGGCATCTCAGCAGGATGCCTCGCCGGTAGCGTCATCTTCGAAGGGTCTGGATGATACCTCCTCCTCCTCATCAGCGCCATGGTACAGGACAATCCGGACGCACCTCTCCTCCCACCCTCCCGGATCAATGTGGTCCACCTCGAGTGAGCGCTCCCTTCTTGAGCCCTACGCCTATCTTGCTTCCCGCCCTGGAAAAGAGATTCGCTCAAAACTCATCGACGCCTTCAACTTCTGGTTGCAGGTCCCCGAGCGCCGGCTGAGGCGCGTGCGCAAGGTGGTGGATATGCTGCACACTGCGAGCTTGCTGATGGATGATGTCGAGGACAATTCAGATCTACGGAGAGGATTGCCCGTAGCCCACAAGGTGTATGGTACGCCTCAAGTGCTGAATACGGCCAATTACGTATACTTCCTTGTGTTCAAGGAGGTAGAGGCCATGGGCAGCGAGCCCGGAAGCGGTAGCAGCACGCCTGCGGAAAGCTCACTCGGAGCGGCATCTTCATCCTCATCGTCCACGAGCAAGGCGACTCAATCCGAGCGGCTCCTCGTCGAAGAGATGATCAATCTGCACCGCGGGCAAGGCTTGGATTTACTATGGCGGGACACCCTCACATGTCCTACCGAAGAGGAGTACGTGGAGATGGTGCGCAACAAGACGGGCGGACTACTGCGCATCGCCGGAGGCCTGATGATGATCTGGTCTCCGCTGTATCCAGACGCTGCTCCGTCCCCCATGTCCCTCTCGGCCAACGAGGGAAAGACCGACGAAGAAGGCCGGGCTGGATCTCCAGACCTGCTTCCTCTCCTGGACCTCATCGGCCTACTCTTCCAGATCCGTGATGACTATATGAACCTCTCGGCGGAGAGCTATGCGCAGAACAAGGGGTTTGCAGAAGACCTGACAGAAGGAAAATTCAGCTTTCCCATGATCCACGGGATCCGCTGGAGTGGTGGTGGCAGTGGCGGCGGCAGCGGGGCGGCCGGCAGTGGAGAGACTGGGCCTGCGAGGACACACGAACGATCTTCGAGGCAAACGTCGAGGCAGACACAGACAGGTGGGGCAGCACCTCGTACAGCCCTCGACTCTCCCCATCTTTTTAACGTCTCTCTCCCACCTCCACCCCTCTTACCTCAAGCAACCTTCAACACCTCCAACACACCCTCTAGGCCGCACTCCAGGAGCTCCCGCCCCGCCCCTACTCCCGCCCCCGCCTCTGCCTCTTTCTCCGCCTCCCTCTCCGGTGGAGTCGGTCCCGGCCCTGCTCCCAATCGTCAACTCCTCTCGATCCTCTCCTCCCGCCCAACAGACGAGCACCTAAAGCGATACGCCGTCTCCTACCTGCGACACGTGACGGGGTCCTTTGCCTACTGCAGAGAGGTGATGCGCGAATTGTACAGGGTGATTGAAATCGAGGTGGATCGGGTGGAGATGCTGTTCGCGGTTGCGAGTCGGCAAGGTGGGGAGAGTGGGAGGAGCAGAGGAGGGCCTGATGTTGAAGGGGTGGGGGAGGAGATGGGAGGGGCGGGAGTTGGAAGGAATGAGCAGCTCAGGAGGATACTGGAGGCGTTGAAGGCTGGATGGTGGGAAGACGAGGATGGGGAGGAGCAAGAGGGGAATAGAGCCTATGACGGTAGCGGACAGCTGTAGACAAGTGTAGTGCAATATACTGCCTATCCCTAGCCAATGTCTGGCGACTGTGAAGCTGGTGTTGAGCATAGAGAGTCTTCGATTGAAGTCTAGCTAAAATGAAGTCTACAGCGCAACGCGAATACAGCCTCCACCTCCCCTCCTCCTCTTCTTGTGGTATACTTCATCCATCTCCTCTCCCACTACCTATCCCGATCTCACTTTGCAAGCAGTACTCCCTCCTCAAAGAGCACCTTGAACAAATCACCATTCCTTAGACTCTCAAGAATCACACTCACGCCCTCTCCAATGGTAGGTCGCTTCCCAAAAGCCTCTACATCTGCAAATTCATGGTAGTTGTCAATGCCGTGCATGCCCACTCCGAGGGTACGACGGATAAACTCGTACACAGGACGTGTCGAGCCAAGCAAAGAGGAGGCGTGGCAGGCTTGAGGAGACTCGAGGAACTGAGAAAGGCGCAGAAGCGATGGAAGCAAAAAGTCAGTGTATGTTGCGCCAGCGCCAACATGTGTAACAGGCGAGCTCAGCTCAACCTCACCTCCAGGGTAGTCTTCCTGTAGAGTTCCTTGGTCTCCTGCACACTCTCATCCCTCCACGACAGGATGTTTCGCAGCGGGTCTGATCCACCTCCCGAGGGTAGGCCAGCAAAGAACTTGTGGATCTCAAAGCCGGCCATCTGATAGCTCTCCAGGAGACGAGCTTCCAAGTCTCTAGCGCTCGTCTCGTCCATCCTCTTCTGCAGTCTCGAAAAGACCTTTGCAGAAAGATCGGTCTGGTCGGGCTGTTCAATCCAGGTGGAAAAATGCTTCGAGATGGAATTGGAAATCTGTGTCGATAGTTGAGAGGCGAGAGTGCGCTGCAGAGCTCGGAGATCGAGGGCCTGGCAGAGGAGATAGAGTGTCCAGGCGAGAAGCTGCTGGAGCGCATTGATGGAGTGGACCGTGTAACGTGCAGAGATCAAGGCAAGTGAGTTGACGGCCTGATTGGACATTTCGGCTGGCTGGATGTACGTCGATACGGGGCTACCAAGGAATTGCAGCTCCGAAGTGACAGCTGCAAGCGCGATATCGACACCTGTGATTGCGACCGAAACTCAAGTGTCAGAATCAACTCCTTCCATTGAAGTCTGCGCCACTGCCGTACGTGCAACAATGACTCACCTTTGCAGTGGAAGTTCAGAGAGGGGTCAGTAGCGCTCAAGTTGGCGTTCAGACCTCTATTCATAGCGGGATTGATCAGCTCCGTAGCCTGCGCAAAGGTGAGCTTTCCAAAGAGAGCCAGGGCAAGCCTAGTCTTCTCGACGGCAGTAGTGACTGAGCTCGCCTGGAAGTTACCGCCGTGGTGGATGGTGTTCTCCCGGACGGAGATGAGGGGATTATCAGTTGTCGAATTGAGCTCGATGTTGAGCGACTTCCAAGAGGCAAGAATGTCTTCGAGGAGAGGGCCCATGAATTGAGAAGCAGTGCGCAGGGGGTATCGATCCTGGCGGAGTGATCCTTCGTCTTCGTCCCTGAGCAAGTGAATGCCTTCGTCGGTCAAATGGGTTGCGAGCTTACTACCCTTGAGCAGACCGAAGATGGTAGATGCCGATTCGATCTGACCGGGGTGAGGGCGGCACTCCTCACCAATAAAGGCAGCAAAGGAAGCATCGGTGGCAGTGCTTGCTTCAACAGCCATGGCGGTAGTGATGTGCGTGAGCATCGCCAAATTGGCGGCGTCATGAAGTACAAGTGCTCCTACACCGGCAGAGACAGCAGTACCGTTGAGGATGCCAAGAGCCTCCTTGGGATGGAAGCGCACGGGCTCAAGCTTGTACTGGGCCAGACCCTTGGAGCTGGGTACTTTGATTCTCGCGCCGTCAGGTCCATCGATCCAAACCTGGATCCCGTCCTCGCCTGCAAGACAGCCAGCGATGTAGCTCAATGGCGACAGGTCCCCACTGGCGGAGATGGAGCCTCGCAGTGGAACGACGGGGGTGATATTATGCTCCAGCAACGCGGCCATGGTTCGCAGTACCTCTACGCGCACGCCCGAGTGACCTCGGACAAGGGAGTTGAGGCGTACGGCAATGGCAGCGCGGACCCAGGCCTCAGGCATGGAGAGTTTCTCCTCTGACAGACTGAGAGACGCAGCGGCTCCGGACGGGGTAGAGTAAGAAGAGGTCTGGGGCAGCTCAAGCAGACCACATTGCTGATGCTGAAGCAGTGCGAGCTGCAAGGCCTTGGGATTGTTCGTGCGAGAATCTGGAGAAGGAACAGTCGTCAGCAGACAGCCCCGAAAAGTGCTTTTCTATTTGCTCTCGCTCACCTGCACTACCTCCGAATCCGGTATTGATGCCGTACAAGGATTCTCCCGCGTCGAGCTTGTCGTTGAGACACTTGACTGCGGCGTCGATTTTGGCTCGTGCCTCGGCGTTGGTCTCGAATCCCAAAGAGACCTTGGCCCCGTATCTATAGCAGGGAGAGGAATCTATCAGCATAGATGCGCATGCAGTGCAAGTAGTCTGCATCATCGGAAACATGTGCAGCTAGACAGCTTACCTTGCGGCGGCCACAATCTGCGAGATGGTGAGACCCTGTCCGTCAAGATTGACCGAGGCGGCGGTGGTCTGGGTGGTGAGGAGTCTGAGCTCCGACCACCCCTGAGAGGTGGTGTTGAGAAAGCCGAGCTGAGGTGCGGAGGGCATGGTGGGCGGGCAGGTGGTGATGGTGAGAGCAGGGGCGTAGGAGAGAGTGAAGGACGTGGATAGGAGGGGCTAGTCAGCAGGAGCGAGGTTGAGGAGTGAATGATGGCTAGTGAGGCAAGCAATCGAGGGGAGCTGAAGTGTACGTCTAATAAGCTGTGCAGCCAGAGGGGCTTGACCTCACACACAGACCACCCTTATATATCCAAGTTGCCCCACTTTGCTCCCTCGCCTCGGCAAGTGAGCGTATCGCGCTATGATAGTGAGACATCAGGCACGATAGGAGCAAGGAGGAGATGGAAGCTTTCAAGAATACTTCACGGTACACCGTGACACGGAGTATGGTGAGTTTAGTCATTCACCATGACCTTGATGGATGGAGGGGAGGAGCGCGTGCGAGTCAACCTTTGTGACTAAAGGCAGTGAGTGGTGCATGGATCAGCTGACCCCCCCTGGCGCTCCCCTCGGCCGAGTGCGGGGCCGAGGAATCCGAGGCGGGGGTGGCTTGGCTCGGAGTCGGGTGCAGTGGCAGCTCCAGATGCAGGCACCCGGCAGGCAGGCCTAGGCTGGTCCGTGTGCCGTCTGAGCCCCATTTAGATCCGGACAGCGGTGCAGAAGCGGAGACATTCCCGGCCCCATGCAGTCCATGATGACGCCCTGCTCTACCACCCAACCACCCACATCGTCTTGATCTCCTCTTCTCCTTCATAACACATCTACCTTTGACATCTACCAGACTACTCACATCTACTCGCCTCTACTATACAAAGGTGAGCTTAGAGAAACGGGAGCCTGTGGTGCGCTCTCAGCAGTCGTGCTTTCACTTGCGGAAGGCAGATCCCCTTCCCTGCTTGCCTTGCTCACCTGGTATCTTCCCGGCCCAATTGAACTCATCTAGAACGACGCACAATCTCCACACATCCCACCATGTCCTCCCCCATCACCTGCCACGTCCTAGACAGCACCACTGGTCTTCCCGCCACGGGCGTCGAGATCCGTCTCTACCAATTCAAGACGGCCGAAGAAGTCCTCGAGATCTTCCCCGATGCCGATGAGGAGAACCTCGACGGCACCTTCGAGCTCGGGAGTAGTCACACCAATGATGATGGTCGATGTGTAGACCTGGTTGATGCTTCGGATCTGGAGGACCTGGGCGTGCCCGGAGATTACAAGGTCGTTTTTGAGACAAAGGCCTACTTTGCCAAGCAGGGAAAGGAGACTTTCTACCCAAAGGTAGAGGTGTCGTTTACCATCGGTAGGGATGAGGAGAAGAAGCACTTCCATATCCCACTGCTCATCAGCCCTTTCAGCTACACTACCTACCGGGGATCCTAGATATTTCTCGCTGAGTGGTGGGGCAACGCTCGGGCCGCTCGGGTTCCGATACGACTGGAGCCTAGCAATGTCAAAGCAGAGATGATGTCAGATGAAGCAAGAGAAATGGCGAGCAACGTCTGTTCAGACATGAAAGCTGTAGCATTTCCTTCCGCACGCACAATGTGAATAGATGACAATCTTGAGTAATTTGCAAAGGGAGCCTCTCTGGTCCTTCTGCGCCTGCATCACTGCCACAAGCAAGCTAGCGCTGGAGCAGACAGGTCATGTCGCCACTTCCTTCCTTTACATCGCCCTACCGCACTGACCTCAATTCTCACTCCTCGTCGCTTTCCTCTACGAAGACCCTCTTCTTCTGCATTCCTGCCCCATGGGTCATTTCAGTCGAAGCCATTCGCTTCACCCCAAAGGGGCCTCTAGGCTGCGAGTCTGCCGTCGCGTCGATGACGGCATCTGCACGACCTACTGAGATCGTCTTGGCAAAGGGGTTGCGACCACTCGGCACCCTCAGAGCCGGCGGGTGACGCACAGGGGCAATCGCTATTGGCGGCTGTGAGGCTTCGGAATAGGGTGTATTCTCTTGCAACAGAGTGCCTGAAGCCGAGACTGCATCTTGACTTTGACTTGCACCTAGCACTGCTGCGCTACCTCCTGTACGGGAGGCGTCCGTCAGGGGTGCAGTGCCAAGGACTGGCGATGTTCCAGCTGTAGCCCAGCCTCGTAGAGCGGATAAGGCGCTAGCCGTGCGGGACATGCCTCGTGGGACTCCCAGCAGCGGGCGAGCAGCACCAGAGTCGCCTTCCGGCCTGCTCACAGTGGGCACAGGGGGCGCATGACGGCGATTGAAGACGAGCATCTCTTCCTCTTCTTCCTCTTCCTCTTCGTCCTCTCCTCCTTCGTCAGCAGCCTCAATGTCGCTTCTGTCGTCCTCGGAGACGTCGTCGAATGACTCAGTCGACAGTGCCAGACTCAGGTCAGCTGGCTGGCTCTGAGAAGTCACGAGCGGTGTTCGCGAACGTGTCATTGGCTGGTTTGACTGACTCTCCCCGTTTGTCTGGCTCTCGGGCTTGCCTCCTGGTCTCATGTCGCGGTAGGTGGCATCACTGAGGGAAGAGAGGTCTCGCGATGTTACGGGCTGAGACTCTGTCCTCTGCCAAGCAGCCGATCCTCTGCCTCCTGAGCTCAGCGGTGCCTTTGGTGCCGCCATTGAAGTAGCAGCCGGAGCTCTCTTGAGGATACCGTCCGGCTGGTCGAGGTAACGCTGAGATTGTTGTATCTGCGACTGGCCAAAGCTCTGACTGGAAGATCTTGCAAAGGACGACGATCTATTGAAGGCGGAGGACATGGTGGAGCGAGCTTGCTGTGGCAGCTGTGCAGGCAGCAGCTGTGAAGATTGCATGGCACTGGCGAACAAGCCTGGCTTGCCTATCAGCACAGACGCAGAGGCTCCGTGGGAGATTGTGTTGCGCACGTCCCTGAAAGGATTGTCGTCGTCTTGCTCGGTACCACGGTGTGAGGCAGCGTTGGACGATGCAGGGTCACTGACAGTTCTCAGAGAGGATGGCTGCGCCGCTGCATTCGCCAGGCCTCCAAAGCGCTGGGGCTCCGCAATCTTTCTCTTGTGCGGTCGATTGGAGGTGTTCGAAGAAGCAGCAACATTGTCGTTGCGCTGCTGAAGTGGCGGCTTCTGACTGCTTTGCTGGTCCGTCTCGCTTTGCAGAGATGCAGTCAAAGCATTTCCACTGAGAGAGGAGCTTCTTGCAAAGCCTACCCGCCTCTTGACGCTGACCTCCCTCTTGAACCTTTCAGCATCAGCAGCGGTCGAAGAAGCCCTTGACCCCCTTCGCTCCTTCTGTTCGAGCACGAGAGCGTCTTTCAGCCCTGGTCTCTGGCTGGCCTTTCGTGCCTCCCGTTCCTTGGCTTTCCCCGCAGCGATCTTCCTCTTGCTTATGAGGTCAAGCTCTGTGCGGGTTTGCTTGAGCAGCTGCTCCTCCTTCTTTCGTCGGAGCTGCTCGACACTGTTGTCAGCATTGCTCACTGCTCCAGAGAGCGACATACCCTCTGAGGACACCAGAGTTCTACTCCTTACCGGTCGGGCGGGTGTAGCTGAGGTTCCGCCGGTCGCGCGAGATTGTAAGATGGAGCACTGTCGTGGTAGTAGTCTTGAGAAGCGCGGCTCTACAATGTCAGAGCACAGGTGGTGTAGCTCGTCCCTTTCGTCGCGATCGTCTCTCCGTCGCGCCGACGTCCCGAAAAAGATCGGAGGAGCCTTTGTGCTGGCTTTGGCATCGACACTCTGGTCTGCCTCAGCAGTCGTCGTTGCTTGCTTTTCTGGCGAACCAATCGCAGCAAAATCCTTCGCCAGCTCTGCAGTCACGATCCGGAGTGAGAGGCGATCCACGAGACCTTCGAAACGTCGGTGTAGTTTCTCGGCGTCACAGATCAAGCTCAGACCGTCCAAAGCGTCTTCGCCTTGCTCTTCCCCTGCAGCCTCATCGTCTGGAGTAGCAGCGTTTGGAGTCTCGCCCGGGCGGTTTGGTCTTTTGAGCCAAGGGAACCCTTCTCCGTCGAAAGAGGAAGAGGAGGGCAGGCTATCGAACCCGAAGGCGGTTGGCATGCCAGTCCATCGCCGAGCTGGCGCACTTTTGCGCTTTCGCTTCTTCTTGGGGGCACACGGATCTTGCGATTCGACTTGAGTGTCCTGACTTTGCGTTTCCTCCTCTCTCAGATTACGCTGGCTATCTTCGTAGGTCGATGTAGACGCTGTGCCTGTGAGATCTGTTTCCGGATCATTGGGGCTATCGTCTGCCAGCTGAAAGGAGTCGGCTGGAGCAGCCTTCTGCAAGGGAGCTATGGAGGGTCGGTGAGGCGTCTTGTTTGACCCACGCACTGCAACTTTGGCCAAGATGCCTGGATGTTCGACGCTCAGACGCAGCGTTTCAAGTATGAGAAGCACTTGCAGCGAGAGTCTGGCGTCGTCAGAAGCACAGATTGTTAGCGCCAGCCGTGCGATGTGATGTGCCTCCTCGACTACTCACTCTCGCCTTTCGATTGCTGCAAGCCACTGATCCCGCAGCTTGTACCCACTCGATGAGCTGCTATTGATATTTGCAGCCAATGCTGACTCATCTAAGGATCCTCCGGGCGGATCCGTAGGCTTGCTCAGTTGACTTTCTCGTTCAGCTGTTCGCAACAAGCGGAGCTCCCAAGCTCTACGGACTTCTGCCGCAACTAGACTACCCTGACCTGAGATCAGGGCAGTCTTGACGCTGACATCTTCCTCTTCGCCTCCAATGAGTGAAGATCTGTTCTCTTGAGATACTGCAGAGCTCGCCCAAGTTCCTGGCCCCAGTAGGGCTTCCAGCCTACCCTCTGCGGTATAGCCGTGTCGAAACTTTTGCTGTATCGCAGACTTGGAGGGCAGCAAGCTCGCAATCGCCTCAAGTGCAGATATAGCCCCCTTCTCTGCGACGTTCGCTGTATTCAGGGTATTGTCGTGCGTTTCCAATGCGTCTGCACTGCCTTGGTGTTTGCGACTGCGCTTGAGAAGCTGATTGAGGACCAAGGGAAAGTCGGCCAGGGGAAAATGATGCTCGCCTAGCCAGAGACATTCGAAATACCGAGCGCGGAGCCATCGATCAAGTGGCAGCTCCTCGTCTATAGTCTTCCAATCATCGCAGCTTGCTGCGACTTCCGACTGCGCCGTCAAGATTCTCCTCCTTACTGGCTTTGGACCTTGGGGAGAACCAGCAGAACTTGGGCCTGCATCGTCGGAAGGAACAGAGCCAGGCCAATCGAACGGACACCTGGCAAGTGCGGCGAGCCGCACTGTCATCACCTCTGAGGCTTATTTGAGGCTAGTACTTCATTCCAGGCAAGTCCGTGGGGCTGCGATGGTTGGCTAGGATGTACGAGGCGAGATTGGTGCTACGGAGGAAGGAGTGTTGGGTACGCAACTGTTCCTCGGAGCGGACTGGGCGGCGTGAAATTGCTCCGAGTCGCGAGCGCGAGCGCGTCGAGGCGAGGCGCCTGAGCGAGGCAAGCCACTTTGGCCAGATTCCACCCGATCCTAGACTTTCTACAATATCACCCCCGCCTCGCACCTGAGCTCACTTTACAAGTCTTCATCAGCAGAAGAGGTACCTCGGAACATATGAGCTGATGTGCAAGCTGTAGCACGAGCCTGAACTCAGCTCCTCGCGGCGTGCATCACACTTCAAGGCTCGCCTTCGATTTCGAACTCGAGCGAAGGCATGTAAGATGACATTTCCGCAACTACCAAGCCCTGTAGGAGGGCCATCCTCATACATCACCCGCTCTGATCTGCCGCCAGTCCCATCACAGTCGAGAGAGCGCTTCTTCCCGCCTCCGTTTCGCATCGATCGGACAGACGAAGATCTAGAGACCTCGGATGCGGAGTCACTGGCAGGGCCTTCCTCCCGGGTCGCCCTGCCCATCAAGGCAGGCTCCCCTACGATTCATCGTTCTGCGCCCTACTTGAACGAATCAGGACCGAGTCACATCCTTCCTCACCAGCCACAGCGCTCTTCGCCCCTCCGTCCGCCACCAAAGAAGAGGCGGAAGCTCCTCTTCACCTCGCAGCTCCCTCCATCCCAAGCGGAGAATGAGGATGGCACGCCCTCGGTTGAACATATGCGCTATCGGTCTACCATGAGGCTAAAGCTCAAGTGGGACGAGATTTACGAACGCTTCAAAGACGCTCATCTGCAAACTCAGGATGAAATATACCTAGGGCGTGGGAAACAGAAGATGAGGCTGATAAAGGACAATGGAGTCATACGAGCTTTCAAAGAGGAGCTCGCTTTTGGCAGCTTCCACATCAAGGACGAAGATCTGGACGACGTCGCCAGAGAGCTCAAAATAGCGGCTGGCGAGGACGTTGATGCCGAAGTCTACACTGAAGACGAGACAAAAAGAAAAAAGGGCGCAGAATTAGCATTGGACAGCGATGAGGATGAGCTCGGGGTGTGGGACGAAGCCTTTGTCCGGAGTCAGTATCGCGAATTTACCGCTGCGCCAGAAGGGCCAGAGGATAGAGGGGAGTCGTCGGAAGAGGAAGAGGAGCTCGATCCAGCTACCATGGATCCTGATCTGCGAGCTTTCCTGCAAGAGGAAGCACATAGGAAGGAGCTCATGGGCGATGAGGAAGGAAGCGACGACGAGGAGTCGGTGATAGACTTTAGGGAAGCAAGGTGGGACAGGATGAGGGGTACTACGCCTACTTCCTCGGAGGATAGCACGGATGAGGATGAGGACGGAGAGGAGGACGCAGATGACCCTCCAGGCTCTATCGCACATCGGGAGCGAGCTACTCTCTATCTTTCGCAACCTGGACAATACGACACCTCGGACGACGATCTGGATGTTCTCGATCAAGACGAGGGCGTATTGATTCCTCACGACGAGGCATCGGCTGCTAGACAGAGACGAGGACCTCTCTTCCCACACGGAGATTGGGATACTCAAGGTGGACAAGGAGGCATCTTGACGCCCGATGAGGATGCATTGAGCCAAGCTATCATTCGAGGAAGAAGGAACGTCGAAGCCCTTCTGTCAGACACCACGAGCGCGTCCGTCTCTATGCCTCACGATGAAGTGCCTGATCTGGTGGAGATCTTCGGCATGACGGCTCTGTCACCCAGCTTCGCCAAGACAGAGAGGATGTCTTCCCCAGCTGGAGAGCCTTCACAACCTCAAGGCGATGGTGATCGAGCGAAAGCGAGAACTCCCGAAACCACAAGGATCGTTGCCACCTCACCTTGCGCTCGTCAAACATCTTCAGAAGGAGACATTGGCAGTCTTGATGGTCAAGCACAGACGGCTCTGGTGCATGGTGATCTTATATGTCCCATCGAGACGGGCTCAGATGCCGAACGGGCCGCAGACCAATCGCTGTCAGATGGCTTGCACACCCCACCAGGATCGCCTCCACTGCGTACATCAGCAGCAAACATCCAAGCGGATCATCTGTTCATGCAGCCTTCTCACAGTTCAGCATCGCCATCCAAAGAAGCAAAGGTGACCTCCCGGAGCTACTCTCCGCCTTCCAGCCGCCATTATGGCCATTCTCACGGGCAATTTCCACATCGTCTCGAGCAGCAGCAACGAGTAGCCTACTCGTCCCCAATCACAGCTCGCCGTCCACAGACGGCCTTCAGCCTGGCCGATGGATCTCCCTCGGCTGCTACCGCGGCGGGCTTCTCGGCCGAGCTGGCTGGTGGGTCACCTCGAGCGAGAGAAGCGGGCACTACTTTGGCTTTTTGAAACCTGCACGAATCCACGATTGAGTATCTCATCACCATTTCCCCTATTCCCTCCCTCGCCCCTTCTCACGAACATCTTGACGCTTCTGCGTCCCATCCTTCATGTTTCTGTATGTACACGACTCTCTCCATTGCCATCTCTTCTGCCTCTTCTAGCAGATACAATACTACTGCACATTCCCTACAAAGCTACTTTGATCCGCCGCGTGGGCCCAATCAGGCAAGCATCGCCTGTCTCTCCGGCTCCCTCTCCCTCTCCCTCTGCTTTGTCCGTTCTGCCACTGGCGGCTCTGGTGAAGCAGCCACCGGGTCGGCCGTAGGGGCGTCGGGTAGTTGCGGTGCCTGTACCTTTTGCCGGTCTGTCTCTGCCACCGTCGAGGGTGGTACGATGGACACGCCGGCGGCCTCCCGCTCTAGAGCGTCAAGCTCAGCCTGCACCTCGGCTTCCTCGTCGGCAGTCATCCTTGTTGCGAGTAGCTCATCAACCTCCTGGTGTTGTGAAGGTGCCATGGAGAGGCAGTGGCTGTCAGTACATCTTTCCCCCACAATGGCAACTGCATATCTTCTCCATTTCCTCTTATATTCTTCTGCAGTGAGATCACGTACCCTCTGATGAGCCTGCGCCTCGGCCGTCTCCTCGAGCAACTTCTCCACACTCTCTGTATTCAACTCCTTGTGAATCTCTTTCAACACCTGATTTCCCTGCGCCAAACCATGGTACACCGATGCTTGAATTTGGGAAAATTCAATGTTAGATACCTGAAGCGAAGCGAAGAAGGTGCGCCGATCCGATCAGGTCAGTATCTCGTCCCACCTCTCCACATCCCGCAACTCTCCTCATCTTCATCCTCTTCGCGCCTGGTCTCGTCTCGTCTTCACAAACTTACCAGCTCCTCCAATGTCTTGAGCTGCCCATCCGTCTTCTCCAGCATGCTCCTCTGGTACTTTCCCCTCCGTAAAGCACTCAATGCTCGTGCCTTATCGCCCCTAGCGAGCAGGAGACGAGCCGCTTCCTTCTCCCTGCCTTCAATCGTCAGAAGCTGCGTGGGAGGGAGGGAGGGAAGGGTACAAAGGCAAGAATAGATGAGCCCCAAGTCGAGAGATCGTTTGGAGAAGTACAGCCTACGTCTGATGGTCGACGTACCTTCTTCTGGTATTGCCTTATTCGATCGCGCTGCAGCTTCAAGTCCAGTATAGCCCGATCGTGAGACGTGATCTTGGGTGTGGAGGAAGAGGCGCCCATTTCTGTCAGTCAGTCGGGTCGGACGGGAAGGACACCAGAGCAGATGGTACGAGAACAAAGCAAGGTGCGAGGTCGGTGCAGGGATCGGAGGCGAGGAGCGGTGAATGATGGTGATGATGATGGTGGTGGATGATGGTGGTGGTGGTTGATGATGAGGGTCGGCTAGATTAGACGGCAGCAAGGCGGGACTGCGAGACGATGCGGGGTGGGACTCGACGCGTGGGGCCGTGCATCGGACGGGAGCCAGTGCCAAGGAAATGCATTTTGCCTAGGCAGGGCAATCGATACAGAGCAGAATGAACAGTACACTATTCCATCTTCTTTCCTGAAAGCACATATCTTCAGAGGTCTATTGCGCCACTGCGGTATTCACCAGCTCCAATGGCCTATAGCGTGGTTTCCACATTTGCGCCTCGATGAACCTCTCTAGCTCCTCGCGCTCCTCGGGCCACTGACCAACATTGTTGCTCTGCCCCTCCTCCTTTGCACTCAACATCACCGCCGCGGCAATCTTGATAGACACTGCCCTCACTTCACCCAGATCGGGCAAGAGGGGAGCTTTTGAATCGGACAGGGTGGGGGAGAGGGAGGCGAGGGCTTCTACGCCTGCCACGATCATGCCGTCTGTGAGGCGTGAGGACTTGGACAGGATCGTGCCCAGCCCCAGGGCAGGAAAGACGAGGGCGTTGTTGAGCTGCACGACAGCGAGTTGAGGAGCTGGGTCAGCCGCGCAACTTTCTTACACACTCCTTGTTCGTACTCCCACTCACCTCTGCGATCTTGATCTTCTCGCCCGTCTTTGGGTGCGTCACAGGAGGGAACGGCGATCCTGTAGCGATCAGAGCACGACCATCCGACCAGTCTAGCGCATCTTGCGGATCTACCTCGCACAGGCTCGTCGGATTAGAGATGGGCAGGATGATGGGCTGGTCGACGTGCTTCGACATCTCTTCGATGATGTCCTTGGTGAAGGATCGAGAGATCGTCGAGGTACCGATGAGCACCGTCGGCTTTACAGCCTTGACTGTATCATAGATGTTGAACTGCCCCTTCTCGTTCGTAGAGGTCATATTCGCAACCTCGTCCTTACTTCTGGCGAATTCTTGCTGAGTCTCGCGAATGCCTTCTTGCCCTTCGTGGATCAGGCCATATCGGTCAACCAACCAGAATCTCGCATTTGCTTCCTCTTTCGACAGACCTTCCGCCTTCATCATGGCATTCCGGATGCCTATAGTAATGCCCAGACCGGCTGTACCTGCGCCGACTAGCACAATCTTGCTATCCTTAAGGGTTGAACCAGTGACTTTCAGCGCCGAAGTGAGAGTGGCTAGAGCTGCTGCACTTGTGCCTTGGATATCGTCATTGAAGATCGAGTACTTTGGTCGGAACTTCTCCAACAAGCGGTATGCATTGGCATTGCCAAAGTCCTCGGCATGGAGCATAGCGTACTGAGGACGAGAGCAGTGTCAGCCAACTGACTGCGACGCGTCGTGTCATATCCAGACTCACTGGGAAAGCTTCGGCTGCCTCGGCCATGAATGTGTCCACGAACTTGTCGTAGTCCTCTCCTCTGACCCTGGTGTGCCGCCATCCCAGGTAGAGGTCATCATTGAGGAGATGCTGGTTGTCCGTTCCTGGGTCCAGCACGACATTGAGGCAGCGATTGGGATCTATGCCTGCCCCGAGAGTGTACAATGTCTGTTTGCCAATGACGATGCCAATACCTCCTACTCCCATGTCCCCGATGCCCAGGATGCCCTCGCTATCGGTGAAGACGACCAGGTCAATGTCGTCCTTTGTCAGTGCTCCATGATCTGTCAGGGCATCTCTGAGGTAGCGAGCACCACCTTCCTTGAAGTGAGGATAGGAGAGGAATACACCGTCTGGACGACGAAAGAGGTGCGAGAATTCCTTGATTGCGTCTCCGACCGTTGGCTGTGACAAGATAAGGGAGAAAGCCGGATCAGCTAGGTGCTAAGACTGGGTGCTTTGCATATGGTGCGACTGACGGTGTAGATGATGGGCAAGCACTCTTTGAGGTTCTTTTGAATCAGTGCGTAGAACAAGACTTGATTCTGGTCCTTCATGCTCCTCAAGAAGCTATACTTTGCCAGCGGGTCTTGCCTCGACCTCAATTGCGCCTCTGCTCTGCTTAGCTGGGTTTCCAGTCGGTGATACTCATGAGGTAAGAAGTGCTTTAGCTTGAAGCGTTCGCGTTCCTCGGGTGTGAATGCTGCTCCTTTGTTTAGCATTGGCTCTTCGAGGAGATGCCTTCCGGTGAGGGGTGTGTAGAGGGGCGAGAGCTTGGGGTCATCGGAGGGGTTGGAGGGGTGGCCGGTAGAATCGTCTTTGTTGGTGCTGGGCGTAGCTTTCTGGTATGCATAGCGGCGGGTCGTCTGCAGCGATGCAGCCGCAGAGGGCGATCGCAGCTTGGGTAGAGGCACTCTTCGCAGCATGGTCGTTGCGTCAAGGGATGGTCAAGAAGTCAGAGCATGGTCGTACGATGGTGGTGCTTGTCCTTGCTGCCTTCCCGTCCTGTGGAGCGAGCGGCTTCTTTTGCGACGCCGGCAATTTCGGCAGGGCAGCAGGCCCAGATTCGCGACGATGTGGAGTCGCGGTTGCTGCAGGGCAGCGTCTTGAGGCACCGCGTCCCCTCAGCCACAATCCACGGAGCAAATTCGGCCAACTTTTTCCCCCCGTTCCGCTTCTCGGCGGCTTTGACTTTTTCCCCGTTCCTCGAATACTTGTCCCTTCACCCCCACTCCAGCCATTGCAACCATCCAGTGAAGCTGCCCGACTTGACCCTTGGAGCCAGCATGGACTTGTTCCCAGACTCAGACTCCGAGAGAGACTCTTCTTCCGGCTCTACCTCCTCTACCGGCCCCAAGCTCACCGTCAACGAGTCTTACGCCAATCGTTTTGAGCACAATAAGCAGCGAGCCGAGCTTCACCAGCTCGAGGAGAAGTACGGCAAGCGGGCAGCCGAGATCCTCCTCGGCAAAAGAAGTGACGACGCAGAAGGTAGTGAGGGTAGTGACGACGACAGCGATGAGTCAAGCGAAGATGAGACAGAGGACGAGGAGGGAGAGCAAGTCACTGCCGAAGTGGATGCCGCCATCCTTCGCACCTTGGCAAAGATTCGCAGCGGCGATGCTTCCATATACAATGCCGAAGCTCGTGTCTTTGACGAGGAAAAGGCCCTCGCAGCTTCATCGGCGCTATTGCCAAAGGCGACCAGAGCCAAGCTCAACAAGAAGGTCACCCTCGCAGACTACCAGCGCAATCGTCTAAGGGATCTCATGGCCGATTCCGCCGATCCCGCTCTGGCGCTTGCAGAAGCTACCACTTCTAGAACCCGAGAAGATGACATGGCTGACGGAGACTACGAAGGACAATATCAGCAACCTCTTTCTCATGTCCAGGAGCAGGCTCAGCTCAGGCGCCAAGTCACGCAAGCATTTCACGATACCGACGGAGCAGGAGCAGAAGAGGAGGGTGACTTCTTCACCAAGTCTAAAGCAGGAGGTGCAGATGGCGACGAAGGTGACGATGCAAATTCATATCGCAGGTATCTCCTCCAAACGCTGGGAGACGAGAAGGCGCAGAAGGCTGTCAGGGAAGCCCTGCGCTCCCCAGCCGAGATGGCTGCCGTAGAGAGTACGGGCGTCGAGGCTGCTGGTCCCTCGTCTGAGCCCGACTCTGCCCCAGTCAAGCGCAAAAGCAAAAAGATTCAGAGTGAAGCTCAGCAGAATGAAGACTTCCTGATGAATTACGTCCTGAATCGAGGCTGGCTGGAGAATCCTCAAGCGGCACCCAAGCTTGGACGGAGATCACGTGAGGAAGCCGAGGACGAGAGCGATGACGATGAGGAGGAGTCGAGCGCTAAGCCCAAGCGAGCCACTGGCTCCAATGCCGATACTTATGGCAGAGATTGGGACGCCGAAGCAGCCGACCTGGATTCGGAAGCCTCCTTTGACTCTCGCGCCGAGGCATTCGAGCAGGCCTTCAACTTCCGCTTTGAAGCCTTCGAGTCTGGGGATGCTCCCGCACAAGTCCAGTCTTACTCTCGCAACCCTCAGAATTCAGTGAGGCGAGTGGAGGACAAGAGGAAGACGGAGCGAGAGGAGAGGAAGAAGCGGAAAGAGGCCGAGAAGAAGGCGCGTATGGAGGAGCTGGACCGGATGAGGGATATCAAGAAGGGCCAACTCAGGGACAAGCTCAAGCAGCTACAGGAGGCAGCGGGTAGCAGTCGGATTGACTTTGATCCCATGGCCCTCGAAGGGGACTACGATCCGGAAAAGCACGACGCTATGATGGCTGCTTTCGGAGACGAGTACTACGATGAGGAGGACACGAGCGCAGATGGCCTTATGAAGCCCACGTGGGATGACGACGATGATCTGGACATTGCCGATATCCTAGCTGAAGAGGAGGAAGAAGAGGAGGCGCAGAACACTCAGAAGGGCAAGAAGGAGAAGAAGCAGAAGAAGAAGGCCAAGCAGGGCGGAGACGATGAAGATGGCCCGATCGATATGGACGCCGCCTTCATCGATGGCGAAGATGGAAAAGGCGTCGACGAGAGTAAGCTTTCGAAGAAGGAGCAAAAGAAGCTCAAAAAGAAGCAAAAGGCTCTGGCTCGAGAAGGCCTCTCCGAAGGCGCACTCGACGATCCTTCGTCCTCTCGTCCTCTTCCACAGACAGACGAAGAGCGTAAAGCAGAAGCAAAGCGCCTCGCAGACGAATATCGCAACCTCGACTATGAAGACGTCGTGGGGGACCTCGCAACACGCTTTCGCTATACCCAAGTGCCCAAGGCCGACTATGGAATGACGGCCGTAGAGATTCTCCTTGCAAACGACAAGGATCTCAACGACGTCGTTGGGCTCAAGCATCTCCTTCCCTACCGCAAGGGTGCTGGAAAGCGGCCCAAGGACTTGAATAGGAAACTTGGGGAGTTTAGGAGGAAATTGGATGCAAAGGCTGGAGAGAGTGGGAGGAGACAGGAGGGTGAGGGTGCTGAGGGACAGGTGAAGAAGAGGATGGGTAAGAAGGAGAGGCAGAAGGCAAAGGCAGCGGCTGAAGCGGAGGCGGCGGCTGCTGGTGCCGGTGCAGAGAGCGAAGCTGGCGCGATTGTCAACAAAGGCAAGGAGGTCGTGCAGGAAAGAGTGACAAATTCGGCTGAGCCATCGGGTGATGGTCCCGGCGACGAAGAGGAGAGGGTGAGAAGGAGAAAGGAGAAAAAGGAGAGGAAGAGAGCCGAAAAGGCTGCTGCTGCTGCTGAGGGAGATGACGGAGCAGGGGAGCCCAAGAAGAAGAGGGTCAAGGTATCTTCGTGAGCTGAGCTGTACGCCGTGTAGCAATATCACTCATATCCTCATTGCCATTCAGGTCGTGCATTGTGAAATAGTCTATTGTGGTGTTGTTCTAGTTGGAACCTCGATCGCTGGCTAGGAGTGGAGGATAGCCCTCTTCCATCCTCTACGCTTCATCACACTTCCATCCTTCTTTGCTCCGTCTTCGTCCTCTTCTTCCTCCTCCTCCTCATCAGCCTCTTCATCGTCCACATCGCTCTCCACCAGTCCAGCCTCGCGCTCAATCTCCCATCTCAACCTCCCTCCAGCCCAAGCCCAATCCAGCCAAGCTGCGATGCCGCCCAAAGACCAGACGAGGCCGGCTGCATAGAGGAAGTTCGCGTTGGCGGAGCCGAGGGTGAGGAAGAGGTGGGCAAAGGAGGGGACTAGAAGGGAGGCGTAGAGGTAGAGAAGCGTCGAGACGAGGGAATTGCGGAGGTCTGTGCATGTGAGAGGATTTGGGCGACACTGTTGAAGTCAGCAATTGCAGTTCCCTAATGCTGTAGCGATATGTGAAACACTCACAGCTTGCATAGTCGGAGAAGACGAAGAAAAGCGTCGTCCAGAGACCAACATCTCCAGCGGTAGGGTAAGGTTTGAAGATGGCCTGAACTCCCAACAGAAGAAAGACTGCAAAGAGAGGGTCGTGTCTGGTAGCGTTGGAGCAACATTGGCATAAGCATGTGCGCTCCAGTCTGACCTCGGCTAGTCGCGGCCCTTTGACTCACCTGAAGCGCAGACAGATGGGTACAGTCCAAGCCGCCAGGTGGACATTAAAGACCAGGAGGAAGAATTCTCTGAAATGCTCAAAAATCTCAATGAAAAAGTACCACCAAAGAGACAGCGACGGGCTGAGCGAAGGTAGGAGGAGGCTGGTGGGGAAGAGGAAGCAAGGGGGAGGCACGATTCAGTCTGATGGAACAAAGACGGGTCGCTGCGCTGTGCGAGACTCACAAGCCTCTGTACACCAAGGCAAGGCCGGTCCAGTCTCTGCCTGTTGTAGAGCCATTGCATCTCGAGACAAACGCCGCACTGATGCCTGCTAGCACTGCAGTGATCAATGCAAAGTCAAACAGCGGCATGAGCCAGTCACTGGCCAGGTCGGCCTTCCTCTTGCCGATCCTCCTCCCCTTGTAGTGCCGCCAGTAGCGCGTCTGACGGCTGCAGAGCAGAACGACGGCTGGCAGCAGGAGCAGCGGGTGCACAGCTAGCATGCTCGCGATTGACAGACCAGCGGCGGATAAGAAGGCCGAGCCTTCCATAGCGCCCCAAAGACTAAATAGGAGGGCTGCGAGGACCAAACTTGTTCCGCTTCTCGCAAGACACGTCAAGAGGATGAAGGGATGAAATGCGAAGATAGATGCGACTAGTGCCGGATCTGGAGAAAGTCGTAGGCCATGGGTAGTGAGGGACTGCAGCAGGCGTCGGGCAGATAGCCGAGGTGGAATTTTGCGACTTGTAGAGCTCTCGGCAGACATCGGTGATTGGAGGCGAAGTGAAGCCATCCGGTAGAGGAGGACAGTTGAAAGAGCGTCGAGAAGTATGTACAGTAATGTCGAGGGATGTAAGGTGTCTGAGAGACCGGTGGCTACAAGCCACTGGACGATTCGACCGCCGGGGAGGAAAGGAGATAGCACGAGTATCAATAAAGGGGGCGGTATTGCTCGAGTGGTTCCAGCCGGTCCTGTGCCGCCTTCCAGGGCGGTAGGCGAAACGAAGGGAGACGAGCTGGACGGATATGGCGAGGCTGTCGTGATGTGAGGTGGGGGATCCAGTGCCCAGACTGTGTTGAGGACCGAAGGCCATGACGAAAAAGGATCGCCCAACTCTAGTCTCTCGCCTAGGATGTCTGTCAAGCCGGGCATTGAGAAGAGGAAAAGTCGGAGCAGGATCGACATCGTTACTACGAAGATCAGGAGAGGCAAGCGAAACTTCGGCGTACGCACTGCTGATGAAGAGCCACCAGCTGTAGAGGCTGTAGAGGCCTCTGATTCTTCGAGGTGGAAGCGTTCCTTCACCAGCCGAATCTCCTCTTTGTCGCCGGTGTTCTTCGTCAATTCATCGCTGATCTTGACCGCAGGTACACCCTTGACTCTTGAGATCTTGATGACGATGTTGAGTGGCTTCGATACTCCGCCAGACCGTGGCGTGGCATCTGGATCAGCTCGGGGGGAGGGGTCATCTGCGACCCGGAAGTCGTTCGTGAAGTTGGTGCCAACACCTGAGCGAGAGAAGCGAGAATAGCGTGATCAGTCTCAGCGCTGAGCTTCGCAACATGGCCTGCCTTGGCTGGCTCTACTCACCGAAACCTGCCCCTATGCCAACCTCTTTCGAGTATTCTGCCAATTCAATGCACTTCTCGACATGCAGTCCATCAGAGTAGATTACAACCTTCTTCTTCGGATCGATCCCAAGACTTTTGTAGACCTCGACTGCTTTCCTCGCAAAGACTTTGCTATCACCACTGTCTTGTCTGAGCCCTCGCCACCTCTTGCCTATCTCCCGTCCTTCAGGCGTTTCCAGCAGATCCTTGAAGAAGACTTTCGACGAGAATGTATCGGTGAGCGCGATGGTTAGGTCGTCAGCCGGTGACTGGGGCTGAAATGCCGGAGGGCAGTAGACTGACTCCCAGTATTGAAGGGCTCGGAGATTGGCATAATCGTAGCCTTCCAGAGCAGCGATCGCCATGGTCCATTCGTGGGCAACGGTACCGATCGGTGTAAGATCGAACATCTGAGCAAAGTGGACGTTGGATGTACCGAGCAGCTTGCCGGGGCCAACAGACCCGCCATGAGACGCCAGAGCCTCCTTCTCGCCTGCTAGAAGACCCTCGATGCAGAGGCGATGAGACTCGTAGGAGCGCCGTCTGCGCGAGCCAAACTCCGAGTAGAGGATTCCTGCCTGCGTAAGACGCCGAGCTTTATCCTTGGCCAGAGCTGTTTGAGCAGTCGAATAACGGCTATGTCAGCAAAAGAAGCCCGGGGATTGTCACGAGGCTATGGCCAACTCACCCCGCTGTCCTTGCATATCCCACTTTGTGTCGATCGTGCGGAAGTAAGTCTCCGATACGATGCTCATGAGCGGCACCTCGTAAAGAATCACCTCTGACCAGATACCCTTGACTTCAATCTCCAGCTCTCCGATCTCGTCGCTTCCCGATCCTTCCTTCAGAGAGTTGAATCGCAGTAGAACTTGTTCCTCGGGCCTGAAGCGAAAGGCAGAGAGCCAGTCGAGGTACTCCTTTCTAAAGTAGGGGCACTTCTTCTCTAGCCACATTCTCTCTTCAGCAGAAAGTGAAAGGGACGCAAGGCCTTTGACTTCAAGATGTATCTGCTCATAAGCTTTTCGGGTGAAAGTCATGTTCTTGGACCGGTTTGTGAACTGATAGGAGACTGAGGGGTCCTCGACAGGAGAGTACAAGATGGCCTGCTGCATCGTGAACTTGTACAGGTCACTATCCAATATCGATCGGACAGGACGAATGTCCTCGCCCGATGCCCCCTTTGCAACGGGCATGGTGGGCTTCGCGAGAGGGGGAGGGGGGGTGTTTGGTGAGAGGACAGGACGATAACAGTGTATGGGAGATATGATGGTGGAGCATGGCCTGCCTGATCTTCGACGCGTTGACCCGGCCCCTGCGAGTCAAGCCAATTGGGCCGAGGCAGCGAATTTTGGCTGCTTCCGATCCTTCCGTAGTTCCGTCTGTACGAGCAAAGGTTGCTCCACCATACCACACACACAGAGACACATCGATAGCAGCTCACAATGCCGCCAAGGGGTCGACATCGCAAGCCTCCTCCGGGAGCTCCGGTTCCTGCGAATTCGCAAGTCACAGGCAAGCGCAATACGCAGGCCAAGAACGAGCGATATGCTCGTCCTCTTCCGCTTTCCGTGTCTGCTGCAACGGCATATGCCCCTAAGCCACCCCAGCTATCGTGGTCCCAATGGCTGGCGAGCTGGGCCGGGCTGATCCGTAGCAGCAATTTGAGAGAAGTCGATGAGACGCTGGTTGGATATTTCGACGAGACCACTACGGCTGTATGGGTGCAAGTGACACCGCCAGGAACCTCTAGCACAGGAGTCGGGCCCAGCACACAGACAAAGACGGCCAGGGTGCTGTGGGACGCAGGGTTCTTTGGCAAGGGTAGTCTGAGTCGCAGTGAGCCAACATGGCGGACCAGAAAGATCAACGAGGAGAAGATCAAGAAACAGAGGGAACGGGGCATGAAAGGTGGGTAGGCGACGTTTGCTGGCGCCAGGCAGGCTGCAGGGCTGACGCTGAATGTGCTTGTCCCCCCTGCTCAGTCTTTACGCCAGAGGAATTGACGGCTGAGAGGAGACGCGAGAGGATGCACGCAAAGATTGAGAGAGCTCGATTGGCCGTCAAAGCTGGGCAACAGCTACCTGACGGCATCGTGGCTCTCGGCGGTACTCTGACGGAAGAGGAGGAGAAGCTCCTTGCTCGGAGAGCGGAGAAGGAGATCGAACAAGAAGATGACGAAGGAGGGGGACAAGTCGAAGAAGAGTATGGGAAGCACATCCCAGGTCTGATCTACCTGGGCCCCAAAAAGGACGAGGGTATAGAGAAGCCATTGACAACGGAGGAAATCGAGAGGATCAAAGAGGAGGAAGCTAATATAGAGGTCGACGATATGGAGTGGCTACACATCAGCGGAGCAGAGGTCTTCTTTTTGAGCGGGATGCTGGGCGTACTAGAAGTGAGAGATCCAGAAGTGAGTGTCTGGAGGAAATGGATCGAAGAGGAGGAGGTTTCGAGGTCTGACATTGTCCATTCCCCCTTTTTACAGGACAAGCCCATGTCGCTGCAGACTCTCTACGACATCTTCCTGTCGTCGCACTTGGCCCCACCGTTGCGATCCCTGCCAGCGCCGGCTGAGATCTTCAGGCCCGACAATCCCTTTCTGTTGTCCTACATTGCCTTTCATCACTATCGCTCGCTTGGTTGGGCGGTCAAGAGCGGTCTCAAGTTCTGCTGTGACTGGCTACTATACAAGAGGGGACCTGTCTTTGGGCATGCCGAGTGAGTGTTGCATAATCAAGTCCATACATGGACAATGCTGCTGACGCGCCATCTCTTGTGCGCACGCCATTCTTCACCTTTCAGATTCGCAATCGTGGTAGTGCCTGTATACGAAGATCCGGCAGATGAAGCGTCTAGCCCCTTTGCAAAGCATCCTGCTCAGGGAGATCGTGACTGGGTATGGTTTAGTACCATGAATCGAGTTCAGACACAGGTGCTCAAGGTGAGTGCATGGCGAGGTCGCGGGTAGCTGCACACACGCTCTGCTGACCACGCGAAGTCATATCATTGCAGACCCTGGTGCTAGCACACATTACCATTCCAGCCTTGTCACGGACGCCAACGGAAGCGTTGAGAAGTCCCGAGGCTCTGGTAGAGGGCCTCAGGGGAGGGCATCTGCACACTCTCAAGGAGGTCAGCTTGAGGAGGTGGGTTCCCGCGAGGATGAGGGGTTGAGGCGTGCCAGCAAAGAATGAGGTTGGGGTGACATTGATCCTAAGCCTCAAAGCTGCCACGAACCGTCGTCATTGCAATGCCAGGCTACGGCAATGTCGTTGTTACCTTATGAGTGCTTCTTGCTTGACGCAGTGGCGCTTCCCGGCTGGCTTCCATCTGCAGTCGCGGCGGCGGGACTGCGAGCACCTCGCGTCGGCTCGGCTGTGCGGCTTCCCCGCCTTGGCACTTTGCCAGTGCCGTGCCGCTCCACCCACTCCACTCACACGCCTGGCCAGCCATCCCGTGGGTTGCCTCCTCACAGTCATCATCTCGCTTCCGCCCTTGTGACCCCCATCTCTCCTCTTTACCCTTTCATCACTCGTCATCATCAGCTATCTCCCTCTCTCTCTGGCTGTTCCCTTTGTCGCCCATACAGGCTGCCGAGACCGTCTGACAGTAGGTAGACAGACTGAATCTCCATGAACTTCAAGAAGAAGCTCCTCCTCGCCGGACTAGCAATCGGTATCTCGACGTACATGTTGTACAAGGCAAGCAAGAAGCGTGAAAAGGAGCGACAACAGCAGAGGATTCAACAGGGTAGTAGTGGAAGTGGCGGTCACAATTATGCTGCGATGGGAGCGGGTGCAGCTGCTGTGGGAGCTGCGGGGTATGCAGCTCATCAGTATCATCAGAGTCATCAGGCTGTAGCCCCGCCTCCCGAGGACACTGGAAGTACCACTTGGTCCGATCTGAGGGTGAGTAGTAGGGCGAAGGGAGTTGGTAAAAGTGGCTGTGCTGACTGATCAAGCTGTACATGCCTTCACTCGCTCGCTCGCTCCATTACAGGACTGGAAAGTCATCGCGCGTCTGCTTGCAGCCTGTGTAGCAGACCAATACCTCTATGCGTGGTATGACTGGAACAAGATCCAGCACATTGCCCAAGTCATTGCTGGCAATGGTGCTCTCGCTGAAATTGCCGAAGCTTGGGAGATGCCACCTTTTCTGGCGCAAGATCTCGTCAAGCTAGCCCTCTTCGATGTCATGTTCTTGCTGGATGACTCGGCTTCGATGCGCAGCGAAGGGACATACAGGCGAGACTCTCTGAAGCAGATTGTCAAGAGAGCCGCTGATGCCAGCTGCAGACTTGACCCTGACGGCCTCGAGGTAGCTTGGATGAACACGGACCTGCCACCGCAAATGTCTACTTTGCGTTCCGCCCAAGATGCAGTACGCCTGGTTGAGAATTGCCGTTTCGACGGACGTGCGACTCCTCTTGGCGACTCCTTTGAGCGGAAGCTGCTCCGCCCGAACTTGTATGACCCCATCAGTCGGGGGTACCTCAAGAAGCCTATTCTCGCATTGATCATCGGCGACGGCCGTCCCACCGGATCCACCGAAAAGGGAGAACGAATCGTGCAGGTCATTCTGCAAGCGCGAGATCGATTGAGGAATTCGCAGTGGGGCGAAGATGCCCTGAGTGTGACCATTGCAGCAGTGGGCAATGATCGCGAAGCTCAAGAGTGGTTAGACTCGATTGACTCTCACCCAGTCATCGGTGACCTCGTCGATGTAGTCTCTGACATCCGCATCGAGGCTGCTCAGGTCAAGCGGTCTACTGGTCTCGAGCTTACTCCGGACTTGCACTGCCTCAAGATGCTGCTCGGCTCGATCGACAGCACGTATGACGCTAGTGACGAAGGATCCATGCAGAGCTCAAAGTACTCTAGGAAGCGAAGGGAGAAGGAGGAGAAGGACAGACGGTTTGCTGGTTTGAAGGCTCGTCTGGTGGCAGATCGAGATGCTGCTCTGAATGGCCCTCAGGGATATGGGCAGCAGCAGGGTGGTGCTCCATACGGTAATGCGCCATACCCGCCACAGCAGCAGCAGCAGAACCCATACCAGGCCTACGGTGTACCACCATCGGGCCCTTATGGAGCTCCACCTGCCTACGGAGGCAATCGTGATGCAAGCGGCGGAGGTGGCGGCGGGTATCCCCAACCAGGCCCAGGCGGCTATGGCGGATCTGCAGGTTCGCACAACCGTAACACCAGTACTGGAAGTAATTCTGCTTATGATCCAGGCGTGGGAGGATTCTCCTTGCCACCCGGCGGCGGAGGTGGTGGTGCGCCAGGATACGGCCCTTCTGGTTACGGCCCATCAGGCTACGGCCAGTCTGGTTATCCTGGCGGGGGACAGGGCGAGAAAGGTCAGGGAGGCTTCCCAATGCCATTCCCTGGTGGTCGCTGAGTGCTTTTTACTCCTACTTGGATGCGTAAGCTCGCCGCAAATAATGGCTTTCCCCCTTTTGGACGACTGTATGTAGCCTCTCTCTCGGGCTGATGACCCTAGTACCCGTGTGCTCATGTACCTTACGAATGTACCTCGTCTGACGAATTCTGTATGCATGTCGATTTTACAAAAGCAGTGATGGTCGTGCTGCACAGGAGCGCTGAACGTGAAACAAAGTCGTGTTGCAGTCTCGTCATCACGTCTTCTTCGTCTTCTTGCTTGCACCCTCGCCATTGCTGCCCTGACCCTTTGCTGCTTTCTCCTCCTTACTCCTCTTTCTAGCATCCACCTTTGCCCTCGCCTTGAGGAATGCTTCTTCATCCGGCTCGTCTGCCTCCCTCCGAGGCTCATCAAACATGGGCATTCCACCTCCCTTTTTCTTCTTTCCACCACCTTTAGCAGAGGCTTCTGCTTGAGCTTGGGCTTCCATGCGGGCAATCATGCTGTTGAAACCTCGGTTGCGCTCCTCGCCTCGTTTGGCCATCAGCGCACGGAGACCATCCATATCGCCATCTTCTTCCTCGGTCGCTTCGCCTCCTTTAGCCTTCTTTGATGAGGGCTTCTTGGGCTTTGATGCTGAGCTGCTCGACCCTGCCTTGGACTTGGAGCTCGCCCCAGCTTTTGCTTTAGATGCGGCCTTCGGCTTCTTGTTCGAAGACGAAGCAGCAGTGGGCTGCTTGTTTCGCTTCTTGGCCTGAATGGGCTCGTCCTCTTCTTCCTCGTCCTCTTCGTCGCCTCCCTCTTCCTCGTCACTCGAGACGTCCCCAACGACTTCCACCTCTTCGTCCTTGCCCACTGCCTTCTTCGGCTTCTTGGCTTCCCCCTTGTCGCCACTAGCCCCACCTTTACGTCCCTTGCCATACAGATCATCCCATACGCCCAGCTCCTTGGCGTACTCCTCGGCCTCATTCGCCTCTTTACGAGCTCCTGCCCTCATCTTCTTTCTGCCCTTCTCATCGCCCGTCGTCTTCTTCCACTTTGGCAGCGCTTCGAGCTCGCCAGACTTGATGGCGGCATTGATGAGGGAGATGAAGCGTTCTTCGTCTTCGAGGATCTCTGAGCAGGGCACGAGGGTGAAGATTGTGGCTAGGTCGCCTTCGGCTGTCTCGTACGCTTCCAAAAGGTCGTCCCTCTCCTCTTCCGAGTCTGTGCAAGACGAAATTGTCACATTTGATTAGCATGCTAAATGATTGGCGCTCCTTGGCCCAGAAGGTCGTTGCCCTTCACTCACGCTGGTACTTCTTCTTGAACTCGTCCAGCTTTTCTCCACTGACACTACCCTGCCACATCTCCTTGAAGTAGTCATCCCAGCTGAAGCCGTCCTGCTCAAACATAGACTCGTTGGTCCTGCCTGTAGCGTCATACCGCTTGCGTCGAGCTTCATCGGAGAGGACGCTGTAGGCAAATCCGATCTGCTGGAACTTCTGGTGTGGATCGATGGAGGATGTGGAGCTGCTGGAGAGGACCTTGTCGGGATGATAGCGAAGCGCCATCCTGGAGGAAGATCGAACAGGAGAAGCATTTGAGTGGAGCGTCAGGGCCGATCTTCTTCTTGAATATAATCGGCTGCCATCTCTACGTCCGCACTACTCACTTCCGATACGCCTTCTTAATCTCGTCCTGTCCCGCTTCTTTGTCCACCTGCAAAGCTCCATACAGGTCTACCTCTCCTTCGGGGAAGAACTGTAGTGCAGGATCGGCTTTGTCGTCCATCTTTGCCTGTGCGGTACAAAACTCGAATCTGGACGTGACGGTATTTGCGATTGACTGTCTCAGAGCAACACTTTTGTGTCACGTCTCGCCTCACGGCTGGAATGAGCGTGTCGCGCGTCTCCGTTCCGATTGAATTTCGGGCAGGAAGGAAGGGGGTGAGAGGATGCAGCCGAGCTTCCCCACCTCGACACTTCCTCAAAGCACACTCGCTTCATCTTCCTCACCACCTCCTCGTCCCAGTCTGCCGTCAAAAACATGGGCAAATCATCCAAGGACCATAGAGACGTCTACTACCGTCTCTCCAAGATCGACGGCTATCGCGCTCGCTCCGCCTACAAGCTGCTGCACCTGGACGAGCAGTTCGGGTTCTTCCAGGAGGAAGAGCGGTACACGCTGCGCAGGAAAGTCGAGGGTGAGCTGGCCGAGCTCAAGAGACTTCTGGCATCGGGCAATTCCATCGATGAGGAGGACGCAGAAGAGCTGCAGGAGGCTGTTGAGGAGCTGGAGACTGTGTTGCGGTGGAGTGAGCAAAGAAGGGTAGAGGAAGGAGGGGCGGCGTCATCATCATCCTCGGCATCATCTTCTTCTCGAACACCTCGCCCTACGAGGGCAGTAGATCTTTGCGCTGCTCCAGGCTCCTGGTCGCAAGTTCTTGTACAAAGGCTGCCCTCTCGATCTCGTATCGTCGCTGTCGATCTGCAGCCCATGGCTCCCATCCCGGGTGTGAAGCAGGTGCTAGGCGATATCACTACACAGGAGACAGCAGATGCCGTGGCATCTGCCCTGGCTGGAGGTGCGGAAGACGATACGAGTAGGAAGGAGAAGGCACAATTGATCGTCTGCGATGGAGCGCCTGATGTGACGGGCATTCACGACGTGGACGAGTACTTGCAGGCTCAGCTGCTCCTCTCGGCATTGCAGATCACTCTCAGGCTGCTGGAGGAAGGGGGGACCTTCATTGCCAAAATCTTCTGCGAGAAGCCGCCATCTTCGGGTACGTCAAAGGTCAAGAGAGACACTTCTGCTCTGCTGGTGGAGCAGATGAAGACAATGTTTGAGTTTGTGGACGTAGCCAAGCCTAGGAGCAGTCGGATAGCTAGTCACGAACACTTCATTGGTGAGTAGTGGAGAGTAGTGGAGAGGGGTAGTTCACCTCCTAGCCCTTTTTGAGCACCGGTATCCTGACATTGCCCTTGTCATACCTCCCGCTCAGTCTGTCGCAACTTTCAGCCTCCGGCTTTCCTTGTCACCCCGGACGCACTCTCAACGCCGCTTCATGACCTCTCCGCTTCTCTCCTCCCGCAGTTGCGGTCGACAAAGGTGCCGAGCAGCAGCAGCAAGCTTGAGATCAAGGAAAGGGCAAAGGTCGCCGGGCTTATTGCAGGGGGCGACCTCAGTGCTTGGGACCGGTAGAGTCTTGTAAGAAATTATGGCTGTGCGGTGGAACGAAATGCATATCCCAGTCTCGTCTCTCACGCAATCTTGTACACTCAGCAGTCATCTGGATAACCAATGTACGCGAGGCACTCGCCTAACATAATTGGAGTGGACATTTGCGGAACCGCGAAAGAGCAGCTTGTCATGGGGGCCATGGGAGGTGTGTCGCTAGCCCCTCCATCCTTTGTGACATGATCGATGGCAAGCGTCTCTGCAGGAGAGGACCTAGCCGAATGAACGACGTCCGCACAGCAGCCGTCGTTTGCGCTTGCTCCAGCGGGGTGCGTCAGGAACACTATACTTCCGATGGTCACACCCAAGGCGGAGTGACGAAGCGCGGTACACTGCCTCACCATCTGCGCGCAGAGCGTCCGCTGTCATCCTCCATCGATCGTCCGAGTCGTCGAGGCTTTCACCCTTCTCCCACCTTCATCCATTCGACCTTTGTCTACTTGATATACTATACTCACCCTCATATTCGAGAACCATCTTATCATCCTCATCTACTCCACATAACCTACCCATAGTTGACTACCCAACTTGCATATCCGCCTAAAGCACTCAATCTGCATATACTCTACGAGCTTGACACCAGACACAATTCAAGCATACCCCAACAAAGGCTCAAATTGACGCTCTGGATTTTCTGCTCTTTCTTTACTGGTGCTCGACCTGGCGATCGTGTCGTCATCGCCGCCGGCACCGAGCATGATGACGCTACGCTAAGATTACAGTGGAAGGACTTTGACTTCTCCGGAAAGCATCAGGGCAAGAGCGATCCTATTGTTCGAGTGACTTTCACAATCTGAAGCGTCACAAGCAAGACCGGAACAAATCTCGCCGTGTCGTCTGTTTGGCGAGAGACATTTGGCCATCGGCGGCTGGTCCTGTGGTCCTGTTGTGAGCGCTTGGGCTCATAAAGACGCTGTGTAAGACGGAGAGCGACCCGAAGTCCTTCAGCGTCAACGACTCCCCCCCGGCAGCGAGTCAGACGAACGACAGACTGCGCCTGCGGCTCATCCCTCGGAGCGCATCCAGGCCATACTGGCACAGCCCATCCACAATTCCGCGAAGAGTAGACGAATTAAAGGGGCTCGAGCGCGAGGCTCGTAAGAGTTTTGGTCTGTCTGTACCTAATGCAGCGCCACTGCTGAAGACAGGCTCGGACAAACCGAGTCTGACTGCCGCATATGAGCTTCTACAGCAGGTAGTCGGCACGCAGAGAGCGCATCAGCTCGAGAACGCGTGTCCGCAATGTAGCTGCACCTTCAAGAGCAAGCAGTCGCTCGCCGACCGAAAGCGCCACTACCAGGCGTGCCAGGCGAAGGCGATGCTGATCTGCATGGAGGAAAAGACATTCCTCTCGATGCAAAAGCGCGGCTGCCCGTGGTCAGGGTGCTAGACAAAGTGGACGGCCAAGCACAGCAAGCAAACCATTGAAAAGCACAAGTACCAGTAACACCCTACTCAACGTGCTGTGTGCGGATTTGAGACTGACGACGGCAGCGTCTGTCAGTTCTCGGGCGGCAACGAGGATATCGATTCCATGGACACTGCGCTTCTGACGATCCACAGGGAAGTGGCACACGGCTGGCCTGGGCCACCCAATCGCTCAGTCTACTTCGACACGGCCGAGAATCGGTTCATTCTCGGCTACACGGAAGTCCAGCTGCACTGTGCAGCCAAGTGCCCCGCCGAAGAGGAATCCTTGACGTCGACAGCAGCAAAGCAGTCAAATAAAGTCTGCCCGGTCTGCTTTTGCGACCGCCATTTGGCACCGCTCTGTAGACTTGAGCCGATCAAGGGTACGATGATTCACCTCTGGGTGCATCAACTCCTCAAGCCAGCCCAAGACTACGGGGCAAGCGACGAGGTCGTGCTTTGCTGTTGTTGCGAGGAGGGCGTCTTCGTTTGGGAACTCTTTCTACATCTACAGCGCGCCGGATTTAACACGTTGAGGCGGGAGTCAAAGAGCCGAGGCGACTCTACCGGCGCCCTCGATGGTCTCCGTGACGCCGGTCCGCATGATGCGGCCGAGCTCAAGGTGTGGATGGACTGGGCGAAGGGGGCAAGGAAGGGAAAAGAGCAGACCTCTGCTTCAACAGCAGCGGCGTCGCCCCAAGGGCCGCCCCTCACGTTGTCGAAGATTGAGAATCTTCGTAACACGCTGAAGCGAGGCCAAAAGCGCTCTGTCCTTGTCGACACCGCGAAAACCACCGGCGCCAACAGCGAGTCTGCCAGCAAGAAAGTAAAGACGAATTCAGCTCCGACCCAGCTTGACAATGGTGCCAATGATACGGAAGGGTCAATAGGCTGCAGCAACAGATGTCGATGAGATGGGCATTAAGCTTGAAGAGAACAATGCATTCGACTTTGTAGACTGGAGGCTATTCGCTCCGGACGAAAGATAGGACACTCGACAGAATCCTTTCACGCTTGTACTGCTCGTCTGTCAATTCTATGTCTTGTTTCCCGCTAGCGGTCTGAGAGGGCTGACAAGGGGTCCGAAAAAGTGAGGCAAAGACAGAATTGGTCGTCCAGAATGAGAATACGGATGTAGCATTGGTAAGGTCAGCAGACCATACGAAGAAGTGATATGTGTGAGCCCGCATTCACTGCCTCTTGTACCTGGGTTACCTGGATTGCGTCGAATGAATCGTGGAGCGTGGAGCGTGGAGCGTGGAATCTCCGTTCCGGGGCACCACTTGCGCCCCGTTTTCATGAGTGGGCCACAGCGACATCTTCTCGTGCTCAGTGCCACTGGTCAATCAAGCTGATAGAAGACGATAGCACACAAGAAGGTTGGTGTCAAAGAGATGGATAGTGAACAAAGAGAGCGTAAAGACAAGACTCATCAAAAGAAACATAGCTCAGACGCGCGTGGCATCGCATCGCGTCTAGTATGTCCTCTTGAAGGGTGGTACCGCCTTGACCTCATTCTCGTCCAGAGTGTGGTTGATAACACCACGGTAGCCCAACTTTACAGGATCATTCTGTCCTTGCTGCCACGACAGGGTGTGCTTCATCCACTCATCATCCAATCGATCCGGGAAGTCCTCACGAGCATGAGCACCCCTAGACTCCTTCCTAGCAGCTGCGGAGGCCACAGTCTGCGTAGCGCAGGTGAGCATGTTCCTAAGCTCCAGTCCCTCGGTGAGGTCAGAGTTCCAGATCATAGATCGGTCCTTGACACTGACGTCGGTCCAGGTTCCATGAACCTTGTTGATCTTCTCCACTCCCTCGTCCAGCGACTTCTGCGTTCGGAACACGGCAGCATCACTCTGCATCACCCTCTGCATGTCGTTTCGAATCTGAGCAACAGACTTGGCTCCGTTGGAGTTTCGCAGCCAGTCCAAATCATTGATCGACTGAGCTCCCTGGTCACCCTTGAGCTCACGGTGAGGCTTGCCGGGAGAGAGGTTCTCCTTGATGTGGTTGGCGCAGGCACGACCAAAGACGACAATGTCCAGAAGCGAGTTGGCGCCCAGACGGTTGGCACCGTGCACGGACACACAGGCTGCCTCTCCAGCGGCGTAGAGACCGGGCACGATCTGATCCTTGCCGTTGGCGTCGGTTCGAATCACCTCACCGGTGTACTTGGTGGGGATACCACCCATGTTGTAGTGGACAGTGGGCAGCACGGGGATGGGCTCCTTTGTGACATCGACACCGGCAAAGATGGCAGCAGTCTCAGAAATACCGGGCAGTCGCTCGTGGAGAACCTCGGCTGGCAAGTGAGAGAGCTGGAGGTAGATGTGGTCCTTCTCCGGACCAACGCCACGGCCTTCACGGATCTCAATGGTCATGGATCGAGAGACGACGTCTCGAGAAGCCAGGTCCTTTGCGGTAGGAGCGTATCGCTCCATGAATCGCTCACCCTCAGAGTTGAGCAGGTATCCTCCCTCACCTCGAGAACCCTCAGTGATGAGGCATCCGGCACCATAGATACCAGTAGGGTGGAATTGGACGAACTCGAGGTCCTGCAGAGGCAGACCGGCACGAGAGACCATGGCCATTCCGTCTCCGGTACAGGTGTGGGCAGAAGTGGCAGAGAAGTAGGCCTTTCCGTAACCACCAGTGGCGAGGACGGTCTTGTGCGAACGGAAGCGGTGGAGAGTACCGTCCTCCATGTTGAGGGCAATGACACCCACACACTCGCCATCCTCCATGATCAGGTCCAGGGCAAAGTACTCGATGAAGAAGTTGGTGTTGTGGCGCAGGGACTGACCGTAGAGGGTGTGCAGCATGGCGTGTCCGGTTCGGTCGGCAGCGGCGGCACATCGGTATGCCTGACCACCCTTACCGTAGTTGAGAGACTGACCACCGAAGGCACGCTGGTAGATCTTTCCCTCCTTTGTCCTCGAGAAGGGGAGACCAAAGTGCTCAAGCTCAATGACGGTCCGGGGTGCCTCTCGACACATGTAGTGGATAGCGTCTTGATCACCGAGCCAGTCGGAACCCTTGACGGTGTCGTACATGTGCCATCGCCAGTCATCCTCAGTCACTGAGAAGCGGGAAAGAGAGGTGGGAGGGGAGGCGCATGTCAGCATATAAGGAACGCAGGAAATCATCTCGAGGGAAGGCTGCTCCGTCGTCTGCGTCTGCGCCACTCACTGTTACCGAGGGCGGCATTGATACCACCCTGAGCAGCGACTGTATGCGAACGTGTGGGGAAGAGCTTTGTGATGCAGGCGGTGTTGAGTCCGGCCTCTGCGAGACCGAACGCAGCTCGCAGACCAGATCCACCGGCTCCGACTACGACGGCATCGTACTCGTGATCGATGACGGGGTAACCCTTGGCTGCGTCGAGAGGAGTAGGTGCCTCCTTGGCGCGAAGAGGCTGAGATGCGATGATCCTGGCCACCGACGACGAGGTGTGAAAGGAGGACGAGGCGGAGCGAGGTGCAGTGGCCAGACGCGATGGTCCGGCAACGGCCCTTGAGATGCCGCGGAAGAGCATCGTGATGGGTGACGACAGGAGGAGTAGGGAAGCTGTTGGCGGGCGAGTGGCGAGGTGGTGATCCTTGACGTCCTACTGTCTGTTAATTGTCAGGATGGACGGCGAGGAAGGAAACGGGTGAGAGAGGGAGCGAGTGTGAGTGTGAGTTGGCTGCTTCGCTTACCAATGAGCCGCCTGCCTCGCGCCTTTTCCCCGCCTGGAGCGCTCTTCGCCGCCCTTAGCTCACACGCGGCCACGGCAATGGCCGGCTCGCCCCGGCCGGAACTCGAGGCAGGGGAAGCTCCGACTGGCCCCGCCGCGCGCAAAAGTCACAAGGCGCACGCTTGGCCCACTCGCCAGCCCTGACTTAGCCTAAGCCTCGTGGCCGCCCGCGCCCGTGACAAATGGGGAGAACAGGCAGGCAGACACAGACAGACGGGCAGGCAGGCAGCCAAGGATCGCATTTCCATCGCACATCCTCGACACCACCAAGCACTCGACACCACCCATCCTCACCCTACCTCACCATCATCATCATGTTCTCCCGTTTGGGCGCTAGCGCCTTCAAGGCGACCATGCCAAAGGCTGTGGGTATTCAGAGCTTGCCATAGACGACGCAGGTGGGCTGGCGGCTGGTAGAAGAAGAAGAAGAAGAAGAAGAGCAAAGGTCGAGCCCGAAGAACGGGAACATCGCCCGCCCCGTGTGGTCCACCCTTGGGCTGCATCCCCTTCGGTTTCATTGCACGCCAATCTGCGTTGGTCGATTTTTATATCAAGAGGCATCAAGGATAGCACTTAGAGAGCTCGCAATGAATTGCGCTCCTCGTGATGCAATTGCGTTGCTTGTTGCATTGGGGGAAGGAGCCATCTGCGGGAAGGTGCAGAGGGGCACGATAGGCAATACGTGCTGCCTGGTAGAGACGCATGGCCTATGAGAAGCCGGCGGGAGCGGTACAGATAGGAAGGGACTCTCTCGTACGTATGACAAGGATACTGACATGACCTTCTCTATGTGCACCGTCTTTCGCAGACTCGTGCTGCCTCGACACAGGCTTCTGCTAGCTCGGCCGCCACGCCCTTCCTTGCATCTCGTGGAGCTCTGGTAGGCGCTTCGGCATTCGCAGCCACATCACTCAGCCTCTACGGCTACCAGTACGGTTCTCTGCCCTTCGTCGACCAACTTCAGGCCAACATGGTTGATGAAGGTCTGCACCCTCCCAAGTACCCGTGGAGCCACAGCGGTATCTTCGATACCTTCGACCACTCTTCGTGAGTTCCTCTGCAGGTGTTGCTAGTGCAGTCTACTAGCACCGGAGAGGGTCTGCCGCTAACGCTCGCATCTTCATGACGCAATGTCCCTCCTCACAGCATCCGACGTGGATACCAGGTGTACAAGGAGGTCTGCTCCGCCTGCCACTCCCTTGACCGAATCGCATGGCGAAACCTGGTCGGTGTCTCCCACACCGTTGACGAAGCAAAGGCATTTGCAGAGGAGGTCGAGTACGAGGGTGAGTAGGCAAAAGGGTGGACACAGTGTAGTATCCCAATCTTGGCGCTTGGCCCTGACCGCGGCTTTCCCCCACATCTATCAGATGGACCAAACGACGAGGGTGAGATGTTCCAGCGCCCTGGAAAGCTCGCCGACCACCTACCTGCTCCTTACGCCAACGATGAAGCCGCCCGGGCTGGAAACAACGGAGGTCTGCCCCCCGATCTCTCGCTGATCACCAAGGCCCGTCACGGAGGAGCCGACTACATCTTCGCCCTCCTGACCGGCTACACCGACCCTCCCGCTGGTGTTGAGTTGCCCGAGGGCATGAACTTCAACCCTTACTTCCCTGGTACCAAGATCGCCATGGCTAGGGTCCTGTACGACGATCTGGTGGAGTACGAGGATGGAACCAAGGCTACCACCAGTCAAATGGCCAAGGACGTCGTCACTTTCCTGAACTGGGCTAGTGAGCCGGAGCACGACGAAAGGAAGAAGATGGGTGCTCAGGCAGTGTGCCTGCTGAGTGTGTTGACCCTGCTCTCCATCTACGTCAAGAGGATGAAGTGGTCGCCCGTGAAGTCGAGGAAGATCATGTACAACCCACCGAAGTCGATGCACTGAGCGTCGCAAACATTAGCACGTTCAGCAAGTGCGCCCGGTATGGGTCGAGGGTCTAGATCTGGTGGGTTGAGCAGGATGTCTCGGTCTTATCATGCCTTTCTCGGTCCTGTACTTGGCGCGAAACTCCTTCGCAGACTCATGGTGTATCAATGAATGAGCCTGTTTTGCATACCAGCCACTCTTGTCGTCCTCCATGCTGTGCTACGTCCATGTGTGTGTGTGTGTGCTATGCGGATCTGCCTGATCACGGCTAGATGAGACAAGGCGAGGCGAGCGAAGGTCGGAAGGAGAGTGGTCTTGCTTAGTCAGCATCTGGCCGAAACGGCTGACTCGGCATGGGATTTGGAATTCTTCGCGGTTGCGCCGTCAATGATTATACCCGACCACCTCATAGCTCCGGCTTCACGACAATGGTAGCTCACATGATCAAGCCTGCTAGCAGTATGACTCGGGTCCGGACACTCGGAAGTTTGCGAGGCGCCAAGGAAGTCTCGATCTTGCCAATGCCAAAGGCAGCTTCTACCATCGCGGCGCCATGCGCCTCTTCCTCGTACTCCACAGCTACTGGCCCCTCGACCTCCTCTCTCCGTCTCTCCTCCAGCAACACTTCTCTTCACTTCCCTCTGCATCGGCTCACCCCAGCCTTCTCTCTCCCTCTGCGTCCGCATTCCACACGCGCCTTCTCCTCCTCCGCAAGCAGGTCACACGGCGGAATCCACCGGCCCAAGGCAGGGGAAGGGATCAAGGTTACTTTTCGGGACTCAAAGGGTCAGGATATCAAGACGGTCGAGGCGAATGAGGGAGATGATTTGTTGAGCGTGGCGCATGAATATGATATTGATTTGGAGGGTGAGTAGATGCCTTCTTGCTTGGCGTGGAAAGCGAGGCGATCAGAACCGGCAGGCAAGGGGTGCGGTGGCTCTCCCCGTTGGTACTTCCTGCTCCGGGCAGAAGCAGAGGGCGAGGACTTTCACGTGCTGTCTGAGAGGATGGGTACTAGCATGTTGAGGCGCTGGTCTGATAGACAGACGCCCGTGTAGCCTTCAGCCGCCTTTCGGTCTGTCCGCCCGGTCACGCCAATCGCTTGACCCTAGGGGTCTGGCGGTAAGTTCAGCGCAGTGTGGTCCAGTCGTATGCGGCATCTAGCACAATGGAAAGGGATCAGGACCCCCGCCTGGCGTCCCAAGCATGCCGTCTATTAGGCGACGCTATTAGGGTTCCGGCTGCTGAGCTCGCACCAAGCCCCGACACCCGCCCGCCACTTGTAGCTCAGCACGTAAAGGTGACTGAGCCAGCAAAGTCAGTCACTTTGGTGGCACTGTCAAGATGAGGGATCGAACAACTTGGCATCGCGTGCACTCATCGGCACAGCTGGTCCGTGATTCAGTTCCGAACTCTCCTCCCCTCTTTCGGGGTTTGCTGCACTTCGTCCGACGTGAGCTCTGCCAACCAGCTCCATGCCACGCATGACATGATAGAGTTCGCAATTGAAAGGCGTCAGGGACCTATTTTTATGGTCGACGGAGAATCTTGTGGCTCCCTTGGCATGTACGAGCGGCTGGTCTCACGCTAGTGCGAGAACAGGTACCAGCACACCCCTGCAGGTGTGCCGTCAAGGGCCCAGAGGCTCTTCAATCGCCCACCCATTAGGGTTGATAAGGAATCCCGGGCAAACCGACGATTTTGGTCCGCACGCGAAGTGCTGTACAGCTACATGCCTCGTCTACCGGCTCTTTGCCAGCAACCTTGCCCAGTTCTACAACGCTGATCCTCCGTTCCCCCTTTGCGTCCAGGTGCGTGCGAAGGCTCCATCGCCTGCTCGACATGTCATGTCATTCTCGAGCCAGACGTATACGACCAGCTGGAAGAACCTGGCGACGATGAGAATGACATGCTCGATCTGGCTTTTGGCCTGACAGACACGTGAGTTGCGCAGGGTAGTCGATGGGACTACTTACCATCAACAATGCGACGTCGTGCGAGCGAAAGGCGACGCGGGATTCTGGCGGAGCGAAAGTCGGGAATCTGACAACCGGAACTGCCTCTTTCCTTGACTTGCTCACAGATCACGGCTGGGATGTCAGGTGAAGCTAACGAAAGCAACCGATGGCATGGTGGCACAGTTGCCGAGTGCGACCAGAAATATGCGCGTCGATGGCGCAAAAGCGGGGCATCATTAATCGGGGTGTGTGTGGGAAAAACGGCGTCAATCTCCGACGTGCGAGCTGGACTTCAAAAGGCATTGCGTTGATAGTCTGTGCCCAGCACCCCAATCGCGACGGGCAAAATAGAAACGATGGCGGCCCATTTCAGGGTTGAAGGGGGCGGCAGCTGCAGCTGCAGTCAGCGTAGGACCGACGCAATGTAATCGTGAAACATTCTTGCAGCTGATGCTTCGCTCCTGTGTGCAACTGAAGCAGTCGGAATGCAGAGGAAAGGAGATTTGGACTGCCGACTGCAGCCCGCGTAGAGCAGTCCCACTAGTACGAAGAGCGCGTTTCACGCTGCAGGAGCTATGGCAAAGGTGTGCAGCCGGCGGTGACAACATGTCGTGTGTCGAAAAAGAGGTGCGGCCGAGTGCAATAGTCCCCCGGCATAGGACCCGCATCGGGCCATTGACTCCACAAGGACGTAGACTATCGTTGAGATGGGTAGGCTGAACGCTGCCAAGCTTCTTCAGCTCCGCTATAGAAGGGTCCATGACGTCCTGCTCTTTAGTCAGAGTACAACCATCGCCTTACCTCCTCCGACTCCGCTACGCTATGAAACGTCGGATCGGATAATCTGCAGACATGCTATTCGGAGCACCAACACGGCGGACCACCCCGTGGAGACTGTTCTCTACACACACACACACGAAAGCATGGCATGTCTGCCAGTCTTTGTGGTCCGACACGCTAGCGTGTCTCTCGCATGTTGGGATTGTCTGACGCTGTGCTATCCACAATCAGAGACATTGTGCAACGCCAGCCCAATGCAGCACCACCACATACCTGGTAGGGACAAGGGTTCAAGTTGCTGGTGACTCTCCCCACATCGTCCACGAATATTCTAGGACGTTCTCAGGCTCCTGCCTCTCATATACCTCAATACAGAGTGATGAGCATGAGCATGGCATCTACTGCTCTCCTTCTCTACTGAGGGCATCACAATGAAGTTCTCCTTCTTCCTCGCCTTGGCCTTGCTCTCTTTTGCAGGACTTCTGGCCAATGCGGCGCCAGCCGCTCAACAGGCATCGACAGTCACGGTTGTTCGCACATGGACACTGCTTGGAACAAAGACAGTCACTAGCACCAAGACGCTCGCTGCTGTCATTCAGACTGCTGCTCCCGTCACCAGCACGTCGACAAAGACAGTGACAAAAACACAGTCGGCGACAACAACGTCAATATCAACATCAGTCAAGACTTGGAGTGAGTTGTGATATGCGGTGCAGGAGGCTGCCCATATTAGTGCTGACTAAGCATATCCTCCTTGCCTGCACTTCTGGCTCTTTCAGCTGTGACCAGTGTGCACACCGTTACCCAGCAGCACACGACGACAGTGAAATCACAGGCGGCCACTAGTACCGTGACCGTCACGGCCAGCCCTAAAATCACAACTGTCACGGCTAGCGCAAAGACCACAACTGTCACAGCCACAGTCACAGGAAGTACCAAGGCAGTCACTGTCACTGGAAGCGGGACGACTGTGACTGTAGAAGGAAGTCCTGTCACTGTTACGGTGCCCAGCAGGACGACGACTGTCACTGCTGATCCTGTTACGGTCACCGACAGTACGAAGGCGACCGTCGCCATCACGGTTCTCTTGACGCAGACCGATACCGCCACTCAGAGTATCGTAATCGAGGCAACGTCAACAAGCACACTCACCAGCACGCATACGAACGCGGAGACGGCCACAGCGACCGCCACCGCCAAGGCGTACACCACGTTGACATTGTCGGAGACGGTGTTAGAGACGGTCACCGCCGTAGCTACCGCCAAGGCAACGGCTTTGCATACAGTGTCCCTCACGTCTACTTTTACTGATGACGTGACGTTGACCGAGGTCGCGCCCGCGACTGCGACCAATTACGCTACTGTGACAGCTCCATTCACACGCACATCGACAGTCTATGCGACAGACATTGAGACGGATGTAGCCACTGTTGTAATCACCGAGCTCGCAAAAATCACGACTACCCTCACAAGCACGAGCACGAGCACGGGAACGGAGACAGCTGTACAGACGGAGATGGAAACGAAGACGGAGATGATCACAGAACTCCAGACTGCCACGAGCACTCTTACTGCTTTGGAGACAGTGACGGAGTCTCTCACTGAGATTGCTACAACCAATGAGAGAATCACGGCAATAGAGATGGCCACTACCACTCTCACTGCTTTGGGGACAGTAACGGAGTCTCTCACCGCTACTGCTACCGCCACTGCCAGAAGCACGACAACGGATCTAGTGACCAGCACAGTCACCACACTGGAGACGCTCACTGAATTTGCCACTGCCACTACTACTTTTGCGGCTACTGCTATTGTCACTGAGAAGATCATAGCAACAGAGCTAGCTACGAGCACACTTACCACTTCCGCGACGCTTACAGAATCAGAATATGCTACCATTAACCTTACGGCAAGAAGCACAGCAACACAGATAGCAACCAGTACGCTTACCACTACCGAGGTGATGACGGAACTACAGACTGCCACTAGCACATTTACGGCCCAAAGTACCCAGACAGCAACGACTACGAATATTCTCACTTTTTCGAAGACGATCACGGAGTCTCAAACCGCCACCAGCACGCTCACTGCAACGAGCACAGAGACACAACTCGGCGTCAGCATTGTCACTGCATGGCAGACTGCTTCAGAGTCGGAAATTGCCACTAGCACTCTCGCTGCGACTACCACAGCGACAGCGCTGGCGACCAGCATACTTACGACCTTGGAGACCCAGATAGAGGCTATCACTGCTATTGTCACTTTGACAGAGAAGATAACAGCGACAGCGCTGGCGACGAGCACGCTGACGACCTTGGAGACGTTGACAGAGTCTCAGACAGCTACCAGCACAATCACAGCTCTCAGCACCCAGACGGAACTGTCCACAAGCATACTCACCGAGCTAGAGACCCTGACAGAGTTTCAGACCGCCATTAGCACTCTCACTGCGACAAGTACTGAGACACGGCTAGGCACCAGCACTGTCATTGACTGGGAGACGGATACAGAACTTTCTACGCTCTTTGAAACAAGTACTCGAACCTCGATGATGTCGGCTCTCACTACGCAGACGCTGACAGCCACCGTGTTGGCCACGCAAACAGCCACAACCACCGAAACCTTGACAGAGGCTGTAACGGAGAGCAGTATTGAGACTGCCTACGCGACTCTCACGTCGACTGCCCACGAGACTCTCACCTCGACACGTACGGACATCGAGTATGTCACACAGAGCTCTTTGGAGACAGACCATGCCACTGTGACTTTAACCACTTTTGAGACTGCAACACAAACAGCAATGGACGTCGCGTACATAACGCAACGTGCTACGGAAACACTTCGCAGCACTTTAACGACAACGATCCTTGAAACAGCGACTGAGACAGATATCGCCGTGCAAAATATCACTCTGAGCGCATTTGTAACGTCTCGTGTCACCCTGACGTCGACAGCACAAGAGACGGCCACTTCTACCGCCACCGATGTCACCTACATTACACAGAGCGATGTGCAGACTGCTTACGTCACTCTTACGTCGATAGCACTGGAGACGACTACATCCACCCAGACTGATGTAGCAACTGTCACACTGAGCACCATACAGACGGCCAGCACCACGGAGACCTCGACGGTCGTGCAGACAGCAACGTCCACCGCCACTGCCATTGCATTCACCACGCTCAACACTGTGGAGACTGCTCTGGAGACGGCTACAACCACCGCCACTGACATAGCGTACGTCACGTTGAGCGTCGTCGAGACAGCTCGCACAACACAGACATCAACGGCACGAGAGACGGCGACCTCGACCGCTACCGATGTTGCCTTTATCACGGAGAGCGATGTGGAGACAGCGCGTGTCACTCTGACATCGACCAAATTGCAAACGGCTACTTACACTGCTACCGATGTGGCCTATGTCACGCTGAACACAGTCGAGACGGCCCTCACGACACAGACGGCCACGCAGACCTCGACGGCTCAGGTGACGGCCACGGTCACTGCCACTGATGTTGCATACATCACGCTGGACATTCTCGAGACGGCTCACACAACACAGACGTCGACGGCTGTCCAGACGGCCACTTCCACTGCCACGGATATTGCCTACATCATGCAGAGCGCAACAGAGACTGCGCATACCACGCTTACGGCGACGGCTCAAGTAACGGCTACTGTTGTAGCCACTGATGTAGCGACGATCACTCTGAGCACCATTGAGACTGATCACACTACGCAGACTTCGACGGATGTCCAGAAGGCCACGTCTACCGCAACGGACGTGGAATACGTCACTTTGAACCTTGTTGAGACGGCTCATGTCACGCAGACCTCGACGCTGCAAGCCACAGCCACTGTCTCTGCTACTGACACCCAATGGACTACCCAGAGTAGTACCCAGACGGCATACGTGACAGTCACTTCAACGCTCTACCAAGCTCTGACCGTCACTGCAACGGCGACGCAGACTGTCACCGCTACGACGACCGCTACGACGACGACTGCACCTCTGATCGGAGTCACTGTTGGCCTTCTCTGATCTGCATGCAGCCCGTTCATGTCATTCTATACGTCCGAACGATAGACTGTACCACTTCCAGTCACCCAGCCTGTTGTCTTCTTTTCGCATCATGATAGAGCTGTGTATCGAACTCTTGCTCCTAGTTTCACCACATCTGGCCCCTCTTTTGGCACTCTCATTTCGTGTTCTTCCATTCGACGCACTTGTACATCTATATCATTTCTTCGACTTCTACATCTATATCATGTCTTCGACTTGATACGTATCAGCGATGGTCTAAATGTAAAGACATGACATGACACAACTTCTAGTATGAGTGAGCCGGAAATAGAAAACAGACACCCGGTGTACTCTAGAAAATTCGTGGAGTCAAGGCTTCTATATGCCCTGACGAGCTCTACTCTCCAGCTCCTCCCAAGTAGGAAGGAAGCTTTCGTACGCCGCGTTCCTCTCTTGATTGGGATGCGCGAGAACCTTGATCCCGTGTGCCTTTTGTTCAGCCTGATTAGTCTGACTCCTGGCGTCTCGGACGAACTCCTCAAAGGAGGGCTGGGCACCACTGCCGTCACTCTTGCCATTGCCATTGCTGCTGCCGTTTGCACCACCACTGACGCCTGCGCCGAGCTCTACCCGCCGCCAAGCCCAGGCAGCCTTGAGCGCTGCGCCAACACTGCAGGCATTCGTCCCCTTGTCCTCCTCTGGCTTGCAAATCTCACATCCCAGCACGTCCGAAAGCGTCTGCAGGAGCGTGGCATTGGAGGAAGCGCCTCCCGAGGCGTACATGCGCTGTAGTTGGCCTTGGAGACCGGTTCGCTTGTGCACCCCATTGCCGTTGCTGTGGCCATTCGAGGATCCATTGGTGTCTGGGTGAAGAGACTGTTCGGAGGGGGAGGGTAGACCGAGGATGGCTCCGATGCGGGACCGGTAGGAGAGGAATTGCGAAGAGACAATGGCCGAGGCATGGTGGATTGGCTCAGGGAATGCCTCTACACGGTCGAAGCAAGAGCTGCGCTGTGCGCCACTAGAGTCACCGTTGCTTGAATAGAGGTGGATCCCTTGTGCCTTGGGCGGAATAATCTCGGCCTTGAGCCAGTAGAAGCCCATCCTTGATAGGTTTGCTGGCGAGGACGGAGATGTGGCTGGCCAGCCGGCTTGTACTGCTGCGTCGAACTTCTCCCAAGAAGCACCACTGTAATCGTCCCGGATTGCCTGACGCGCCAAGGAACCGTTCTTGTAGACGAGCATATTGAAGAAGGCATTATCTGTAGGGATCACGTCTCCAGAAGACGAGCCGCCCCCACTCTTCTCGGTGGCATTGGGTTGTGCAACGCGTGCGGGATGGTAGAAGACGTGGTAGGCGTCCGAGGTGCTGAAGAAGGGCGTAGGGATCAAGAGGGTGTCTGATGTGCCCATGGAGATGAGCGCTTCCTTGGGGGAGAGAGCAAAAGACATCAAGGTCGCCGGATTGTCTCCTGTGGCTGGGCAGACAATGCAGTCTGGGTGGAAGCCCAGCCTTTCCTGCCACCACTTGCCGATCCTGCCTACGGGACGTCCACCATCGCTTTCAACCCGGCCGAGCTTACGGTAGAGCTCTTCAGCGCCTCCGAAGCTCTCGCACCCCTTCTGAGCCTCTCCAGAGACTAGCTCCAGCAGAGGCGAGCTCCATCCTCGGGTCGGAGTAGAGAGGTCCCAGAGGTTCATGCCACATGCATCACTCTCATCGATGCCCTTGATCTCTCCATCTGCGCAGAGCATGGTGGTGACAAAGCTGCTGACCAGACTGATTCGATCTGTGTCGAGGTAAGCTTGAGGCTCCTCTTTTCTAAAGCGCATGATTTGTGGGCCTGTAAACCTCTCGTATGCTCTCGAACCGGTGATCTCTGCGAGCTTAGAAGCTCCGCCGATATGCCTCTCGAATTCCTGACACTCGGTAGTGGTGGACGAGTCCTGCCAATTGGGGACAATCTGCCGTGAGAAGGCTCCTTCTAGCTGCTGTGCGAGCTTCGCGCTACCTTTCTGGCCATTGAGGCCCGCGAGGAGCTTGGAAGCATTCTTTGACCAGTATACCGAGGCGTGCTGCTGACCTGCTGCACTGACTGCTCTGATGCGCTCGACAGGCCAGGACTCTGCCTCGATCTTCTCTGCGAGCCGGTCAAAGGATGCCACTGCTAGCATCACAGGACTGAAGACTTGACCGGAACCTTCGGGCCCTAGCAGCACACCGCCCTTGGTACCGTACTCGGGCAGCTCGGCATCAAAGTTGACAGCGACCTCTGCGAGAACGTGAAGAGAGCCATCGAGTAGACTGGCCTTGAGAGCCTGGGTCGACAAGTCCAATCCGAGAAACAAGGGTGATGAAGAGGCCATGATGTACTGTATGATTGGCTGGTTGGCAAAGAAGGCGGGTATGACATTGGAAATCGGTCACCGGCGCTGTTACGGAAATCTCCTCTTGACTTGACTTCTCCGAGCTCATTCCGCCTTCCGGTCGAAACCCTCTTTTCTCCGGCTCGCACTGGCCACGAGGGTCCAAACTCGAATTGTCACGTGACGCCACTCTTTCGCCTCGTACCGTTAATTGCAGCCGCGACGCGTGGGATGTCCTTGCGGGGAAGGTCCACGTCAAGGCCCTGTGGGCGCGGGCCTTGGCGATCTCATCCCCACTTTCTTATCAATGCAGGACAATCTTCGACCATTGCATTAGTGTGCGTCCCGTCTCCTCGGAATCGCCACGCCGCGGCTTCCCGTTCCGCCTACTATCTCACCCTCACTCCTCTCTGGGGAAGGTATGGCAGTGAAGGCGTGGGAAGGGCGATCGAAGAGATTACAAGCAGGTTGGTCTAGGCACAGGACGCCGATCTGCCCGACTGGGTTGCTCTCCTATACTCTAATTCCAACCTCCGGTTTTGTTCTTGGCAACGACAATCGAGGTCCCAGTGTGGGTTTTCCACTCTGCAAGACCAGATGAAAGATTACCGGACTCTGATCTTCGCGGACCTCCCCGACAGAGTGTGTGACTGCGTGGGGAGGAAACTAGAATAGCCCACCCGCACGCGCGCGCGCACTCACACAAGGGGGCAAGGAGGCAAAGCGCTGCAGAGCCCTTTTCCGCCTCTGATGGCACTGGGCCAGTCAGGCGAGCTGCGCGGGAAGCCTTGCCTCGCTTTGCCGAGGCACGACTTAGCTTGGGAGCCCAGGGCGGGGAGGAGCAAAGAAGAGATAACGAATCCAAAGTCCGGGCGCTTTTCGCCATTGTTTGACTGTCGCCCGCTGCCAGAGTGTGGGATCCTGGAAGCTGCGTGGCGCAAGGCAAGGCGACGCGATCCAGCTCTTGGCGCATGGCCACCAATGCAGCAGCACCACCACCGCGAAACCCAGGCAGCGGGAGGCAGAACCTGAACCCACGGGCTACACGCCGGTGTACAAGAAAAGACATCTTGCACCTCGAGACGAGATTACAGATACCATTGCTCACTCAACCCCCCCTTTGGCACATATATAGACGCGGAACGTTCCTGGTTCTCGGTCTCCGGATACACTTGCCTCCGAAGCAGTCCATCGCTGCCGTCTCCGCCGCTCCTCGACCTTTCTCCCTTGCAGGTCTTGCGTGTTTATTTCCATCCTACTCGTCACCCTCGACCAACCCGACCTTTCACATCTGACCCCTCCGGTCTTTCTGACCACCTACCCACCTACCTACTCGCCCATTGTGTGCACATCCTTCTCCTCCCACCCACTTCTCATCCCCTTTGCACGCGTAAAAGATGCCCGCGAACCTGCAAAGCGTAGTTGCGAGCGGCCCTCGTAGCAAGTTCGGCCTCATGGCAGAGAACCTCAACGACAAGGTCGCTGCCAGTGCCGTTGGAAGATGGTTCAGACTAGACGGCTGCGGCCACCCACTCGAGCGAAAAGGCAGTCGTTTCGTGAGTATCTCATGCCAGCAAAGCGGCCAAAGCGTACTCAAAGGCAAGGGTGCGTGTACTTACGCCTCCCTCGTCACCCCTCCGTGCAGACCACTGAGCTGCGAGCTGGTCTAGTCACCTTTACCGCCATGGCCTACATTCTGTCCGTGAATGCTTCCATCCTCAGCGACACTGGTGGAACATGCCCCTGCACAATCGACGACTGTGACTCAGACCCTGCTTTTGCCGTTTGCAAGAACGAACTCAGGCAAGACTACGTCGTGGCTACCGCTGCCATGTCTTTCGTGTCCACCTTCCTCATGTCCGTCTTGGCCAATCTGCCCCTGGGTCTCGCACCCGGACTTGGTGTCAATGCCTACCTGGCTTACTCCGTCGTCGGCTACAATGGTTTCGGGGGTCTGACCACCTTTGGCGGTGCCTTTGCTGCCGTTTTCCTCGAAGGCTGGCTCTTCTTCTTCCTCTCCGTCTTTGGTCTCCGACAGATGATCGGTCGTCTGTTGCCTCGCTCTCTCGCTCTGGCCACCGGAGCAGGTATCGGAGCCTTCCTCGCCTTCATCGGTCTGGGCCCTAACGGTCTCGCAGTCATTGGTGGAGACACCACAAACTTGATCGGTCTCGGAGGATGCCTTGCCGAGTACCAGGACCCAGACCTGCCCAACTACTGTCTCTCCCACGTCCTCCAGGACCCCCGCATCTGGGCTGGTATCTTCGGCGGCGGTGTCTTCACCGCTCTTCTGCTGATGTACCGAGTCCGAGGAGCTCTCTTGTGGCCCATTCTCCTCGTCTCGATTGCAGCCTGGCCTCGTACTTCTGGCATCACTCTCTTCCCTCACACCGAGGCCGGTGACCAAGCCTTTGACTTCTTCAAGAACGTCGCTACTTGGCACAGCTTCACTCATCTGGGTCCTTCGAACATCGAATGGAGCTCTTACGGCTCTGGCAGGGTCTGGCTTGCTCTGATCACTTTCCTCTACACGGATGCCCTCGACACCACCGCTACCCTCTTCTCCATGTCTCGCCATGCTGGTCTCTTCGATGACACCACGGCCGACTTTGAGGGCTCTTCTGTGGCTTTCCTTGTCGACGCCTTCTGCATCGCCATTGGTGCTCTCATGAACCTGTCGCCTTGCACAGCTTTCATCGAGTCAGCCTCTGGTATCACCGAGGGTGGACGAACCGGTATCACCGGTGTAACCATTTCGTTCTTCTTCTTCCTCTCCCTCTTCTTTGCGCCCATCTTCGCCTCTTTCCCCGACTATGCTACTGGAGCAACCCTATTCATCGTCGGCTCCATGATGATCCGCAACACCTCGATGATCAACTGGGGCTTTGTTGGTGACGCCATCCCCGCCTTCCTTACCATCATCCTGATGCCCCTCACCAACAGCATCGCCTACGGTGTCATTGCTGGAATCATCTCCTGGATGATCCTGCACATTGTTCCTCAGCTCGTTACTCTCATCACCTTTGGCAAGGTCCCCCTGCCCGAGGGCTGGGACACCGACAAGGAGCTCTACGATGTCTGGCTGGGCGTCGATGAGCGTGGAGTCAAGGGTGCCTTCAAGCTGGTACTGCCTCCTTGGATGCAGAGGCTCATCCGCGGCAAGAAGCGCTTCTGGGAGATGGACTACGACGAGATGATGGCCTACAAGGCCGGAAGGGAGCTCACCATTGCCAAGGCTCAAGCTATTGAGGAGCAGAGGAGGCAGGAGAGGCAGGACTTGGCCTCGAGGAGGAAGGGAGCTTCTGCTGCTCGATACAACTCGGATGACTCGGACTCGTATGCTGCTGGAGAGACCAAGATGCCCCTCAATGACGATGTGGGACGCGTGCCCCACTTTGGTCAACAGGACCCTTCTTCCTCTGTCGGCAAGGGCCGTGCCAGCCTCGATGATCTTGAGGGCAGGAATTAGAGTCGTATACAGCTAGCGAGCCTCCGTCTTGTTCATCTCTAGACTCGTCACGTTCACCTAAAGGGTTCGGACCTCATCGATTCGATCCAACCCCCCCGTCACATTTAGGGCTCTTACTTCTTTGGGCTCACCCTTCTCTCATGTCGTGTGCTGCGCTCTGGTTCCCTGTCCTCTCCACGTCTCCCCGTCGGTCCTCTCCGCGTTACGTTGTACTACTGTTTTCCTTCTACTCAAAATTCTTAATGTCAGTCCAGGTTTCCTTTGACGATCGTGTGAATGACAAATTGACTGACGCCCTGGACTGGACCAGAAGGACGTCTCTGGCCATCTTCACAGGTGCGAGCGTGGCTGACGTCCTGTGGGCTTGCAGGTAAAATCGAGATTCGGGGGTAGTAGAAGTCTGACACAAAAGTAAAAGTACAAAAGATGTGCTGGGGCAGCTCATCTGGAAGGCTCGGCTCTATGGACAAGGAAGTGGATGAGAGGGTGGAGAAAAAGCGGACCAGAGCTCTCACTCCAGCTCGGCAGGCTCTGACATCTTGACGGCTTCCACGACTGTATCGCGATTTGCAAAGGAAGGAACAGTATTCATATGAATTAGGGGTTAGAGGTGGGAACAGAGTCAGCTTGGGAATTTTCGACTCCGGAAGGAGATGCTGCTGCATGGCTGGAGCTGGTACGTACAGGCTCTATAGTCGAAGTTCTTACCGCCGCGATCCGTGAATGGACCTGAGAGAAGGCGATCGATCTGCGAAGGGGACGAGTAGGATCGTTTAGGAGGAGAGAGCGAGGAACAAGAGGGATCGTGAGCATGTCGGACGTTCTCTCACGCTAGAAGCATGGTCCAGAGATGGTAGAGATACGCACCTCATCATCTGTCATGCGATCACCCACACTAGAGAGCCAATGCCTAAGCTCGGCTGCATCAATGACACCGTCGTCCTTCTCGTCGAAGCATTCGAATGCCTCTCGCAACGTAGGTGCTTCATCCATCTGTAAATAGAGAAGTCACAGCAATCAGGCCTACTCTGTGAGTCTTCCTTTCGCAATGAGTACGATGATCCCTCTCCGCAATACTCACTTCGTTGAGATGCTCCCCGAACATTGTCAAGAATTGTGTGAAATTGATCCCTGCAGCATTTTGTCCACCAACAGCGCTATCAAAGTACCTCTTCACCACCGCCTCACTATCCTCTCCACCCAAATTTCTGAGCGTCGCCTTGAGATCTTCCCTCGACACCATGCCGTTAGAATCCTCATCGAGCATGTTGAATGCCTCTTTGAACCCCTGGATCTGCTTGGTGGAAAAGGTCGAGTACACACCCGAGGACTGACGCGGATGTTGGCTACTGCTGCTGCTCTTGCTGGGCGGTTTGAGGGGAGAGGGAGGCTTGATGGGCGATGTCGGCCGCGAGCGGTTGAAGGATGAGAGTACGGAGGACATTCTGGCGACGGTAGTACCAATGGCCAATGTGAAGACGAAATAGTAGACTACGAGCTGCGTACCAGCTGCGATCGAGGGTGTTGGTCAAGATCAACACTCTCAGGGGCGGCCCGCACCCGCCCTTCCGGCTGGGCGTCTCTCGGGCCTTGGTTCCGATCCGATCCGCGTCGTGATTGCCGATCGTTGAGCAACGCGGAGCTTTCTCGGCCTCCTGTGCGGCCCCCAGAGCTTCAAGCCCACGGCCGCTTCCCCGCATTCAAGAAGACCGAGTGCTGAAGGCCGATTTCGCATCAACCCTTTGCGACCTTTCCCCACCTTGAAGCATATATCCTCGTTGACGACAATTAGCAAGTGGTACCATGCCGCCATCTTACGCTATGGGTCTACTCCGGGCCAGGACAGGAACCATGGCCGTTGCAGCATGCGAGAGGTCGTGCGGTGCTTCGCTCCTTCCATCGAAGCGCTTCATTACAAATATCCGATCAGCACCTCTGGCAAGACCTCGGCCTGCCTCCTGTCAGCCTCGCAGCACGAACATCGGAAACATATCCGGTCTCCGTCAAATCAGCCACAACAGCAAGAGCAGTAGCAGCAGCGGCACTGGCAGCGCCACCGCCTCTCCCAGCCTTCGGAAGCTCTCCCTCCCCCTCGCTCTCCTGCTCCTCGGCAGCTTTGCCTGTTTCTCTCCCACACTACACAGCGAAGCTGGTCAGAGAGCTGAGCCGCCAAACAAGGTAACTCCTGTGGCCTCTGGAGATCCGGACGGGAAGCTGATCAGTATGGAGGAGGTGGAAAAGCACAATAGTGTTGAGAATGGGCTGTGGGTCGTCATCCAGGGAGAGGTATATGAGTGAGTAGATGTATCTCGGTATCAGACTCAGATCAGACTTTGACCCAGCTGCTTTGCTCTCTCGCGACAGTCTGACAGACTTTGTGGACAGCCACCCTGGAGGGAACAACATCTTGCTCAAGAATGCCGGCAAGGATGTGACGTGAGTTGGTGGGATGCGAAAGAACGTCCGGTCTCTATCGACCTTTGCTGACAATCATACCTTCTTTCTTCGCAATCACCAGAGATATCTACATGCCCATACACCCGTCCAATGCCATCGAGGACAATCTTGAGCCAGAGCAGCACCTCGGCATGGTGGATCCCAAGACGGTCACCATCACCCAAAAGGAAGAGTCAGAGGCAGACAAGAGGAGGCGGATAGCACTGGAGAACCTGCCGCCTGTGGGAGCCATGCTGAACTTGGACGACTTTGAGAGATGCTCAAAGGAAATTTTGACTGATCAAGCTTGGGCTTATTACTCCTCTGCTGGAGACGATGAAATAAGTAAGTAGTCTCCCAGCTTGATTTGACTATCACAGGCCGGCTGCTAAGACTTTCGCCCTTGCTACTGCGGACAGCCGTCAATGAGAATCGCAACGCCTACGGTCGAGTCTGGTTCAAGCCACGGATCCTTCGTAAGGTCGGTGTCGTAGACACCGCGTCCAAGCTCGTGGGAGGTGTCGTTGATTCTGCCCTCCCGATCTACATCTCGCCAGCAGCCATGGCCAAGCTTGGCCATCCAGAAGGGGAACTCAACTTGACTCGGGCCGCCGGGGCGCACAAGATCATTCAGGGCGTGTCCGCCAACGCTTCTGTCTCTCTCGACGAGATCCTTGCTGCAAGAGAAGAAGGTCAGCCTATCATTTACCAGCTATATGTCAACAAGGACCGCTCCGCCTCTGAGAGGATCTTGCAGAAGATCCAGGAGAAGGGATGTCAAGCCGTGATGCTCACTGTGGATGCTCCTGTGATGGGCAAGCGAGAGCGAGATATGCGCGCAAAGGGCGAAGTGGTCTCGACCGGCGGCGGCTCGGGAGGTGATACCCATGGCGGTGGTGTTGCCCAGGCCATCAGTGGGTACATCGACCCTAACCTGGCATGGGAAGACGTCAAGTGGTTCAAGAAGCACTGCAAACTGCCACTCTTCCTCAAGGGTATTCAGACTGTAGACGATGTGGTGCTTGCGGCTCAACATGGCGTGCAAGGGGTCATCTTGAGCAATCACGGAGGAAGAAGTCGTGAGTGTTCACAGGCGAAAAATCGCTTAATGCGAGGGAAGTGGCTGACGAGGTCTCATCCGCACTCTTCTCCCTCTGGACAGTCGACTACTCACGCCCACCTTTGGACGTGCTCATCGATCTGAGGCAGCAACGTCCCGACCTTTTTGAGCACCTCGAAGTCTGGGTTGACGGTGGAGTCCGCCGAGGCACAGACGTAGTCAAAGCCCTCGCCCTAGGCGCCAGTGCCGTCGGTCTGGGTCGCCCTTTCCTGTATGCGCAATCTGGCTTTGGTCAACCGGGTGCAGAGAGAGCCATTGAGATTATGCGCGACGAGGTGGAGAGATGTATGCGCTTGCTGGGCGTGACTTCACTCAAGGAACTCACGCCGGAGATGGTAGAGGTGCTACCGAGAGTGTTTGCTAGCACATTGCCGCCGCTGACTGCGAGGGACAGCGTGCCTGACGTGAGATGAAAGCTGTGCAAGGTCGCAAAGAAGACACATGCTTTACGCCACCGCCATCTTTTTCAGTTTACAGTCGTCGCATTCGCAACGTATATGCAAGATGATAAAATTGAAGCAGTTACGGCGACTCAAACTCTGCTCTGCCGGGACGAACGTTGCGGTCTTTTCTAATGTACATGCAGATGGTCACTGAAACTGTGCGCAACCTCACGCTGTCACTCCTGCACCTTCTACCGCTGGCGCAGCCTCAGCTGGTGTTCCCTCAGCCGGAGCGCTTGACTCTGGTGCAGTCGTCGCTTCTTCAGCTGCTCCCGTCTGTGCTCCACCATTTCCATTCGTTGTAGCAGCTTGTGGCTGAGCATCTCCGTTTGCGTGCGATCCGGTTCCGTTGGTAGCAGTGCTACCCTCAGCAGCAGGAGCAGAGGTAGACGCTTCTGTCGCTCCTCGGTTGGCGGGCCGGAAGCGCAGCCGGGTCTCGTAGAATGCAATGAGCTTTTGAGGGCAGCGATGGTGGATCACAGCCGTGTCGAAGGCAAGGAGGCTAGCGTCCTCGCTAAGCAAGGATGAATAAATACGGAGTAGAAGATCAGAGCCTGCCTTTCAGTCTGCTTCCGCTTCTGCTGTACTCACAATTTGACAAATGCGATCAGCCTGCCATCTTCGTGCCTTTCGATGTTGGTGATCTGCTTGACCACGTTTTCCCAGTCTGGCAGCCTCTCGTACTTCCGGCGTACCCTCTTCTTCAAGATCGCTTCCCTCTCGGCCGGACTGAGCGTGCTGAGGTCCACATCTTCATCTTCGTCGTCTGAATCGTCATCGGCCAGTCGAGCACGAGCGCGTCCCTCCTTCTGCTTCTTCGAGGCCGGCAGCAAACTCCCGGTATCTCGATCCCGCTTTCCTACCCCACCTCGCTCCTTGCCTGCTGCAGCTCCACTCTTGCCTTGAGCATCTTGCTGCTCTTTCCATACCCGTTCTGCCGTCTTGCTGATAGTGCGTATCCTAGGCGTCGTCTTTTGCTTGCGCCAGTAGTCGGCGAGCATCTCTTCGGCATTCTCTGCGTCTGCTTCGCGCACCCAGGAGTTCTCGTCTGAGTCGTAGCCTACCCAGGAGACATAGTAAGCCATCTCACCCTACATTCGGAGGAAAGGACGTTTGCGTCAGACATGTGCGGCCGGATGGATACGGTACGAGCAATCTCGGTAAGCTCTAGTGACATCTCTCGATACTCACGTGGACATAGATGTCAGGTCTGTGCTCTACAATCTTCTCGATTTCGTACTCCTCTCCTTCACCCTCGCTGCCCTCAGCTCCTTCCTCTCCTTCTTGACCCTCAGCATCTCCCTCTGCGGTCTGCGTGGCTGTTACATCTGCTCCTTCTGCAGCGCCTCCGTTCCTGGTAGCTCCCTCTGCAGAAGTCTCAGCGTGAGCAGAGGTGGATGCAGAGGCGGATGCAGAGGCGGATGCGGGAGCATCGAGGTCCATAGGTGCAGAGCTTCCACTCGCGACAGGCTCTTGTGTTGCAGGAGCGGCTTCTGATACTTCTCTTGAGGCTGACATTGTGTGTGTAGCAAGAGAGAGCGAGAGCAAGAGGAAGCAATGGTATGGTACCGTGACTGGAGGTAAGAAGTTGCACGCACGCTCCGTGCTCCACGCTTCTCCCACACGGAACGCCAATCAGTCTGAGCGTGTACAGCCGCGCGAGAGGCAAAGTCGGAACGGAGGCAGATCAATTCACTGTCTCGCGGAGAGGCGCCCGATCTTCGAATTGGACCCATACTGCCACAGCCACTCAGACGACCACCGCCACTGCCACTGCCTCCTCATCCCAGCCGCCCATCATGGTTCGAGTGCAGATCAAAGGAGGAGTGTGGAAGAATACCGAGGATGAGATTCTCAAGGCAGCCATCTCCAAGTATGGGATGAACGTGAGTGCTCACAGCAAATGCCCTAGAACCGATCCATCAGATGCTGAACGTTCTCCTACCCCTCTCGCCGACAGCAATGGGCTCGTATCTCTTCCCTGTTAGTGCGCAAAACACCCAAACAATGCAAGGCTAGATGGTACGAGTGGCTCGATCCTGCGATCAAGAAGACGGAATGGTCCAAGGAGGAGGATGAGAAGCTACTACACCTGGCCAAGCTCATGCCCACACAATGGCGTACCATTGCGCCAATCGTAGGGCGGACAGCGACCCAATGTCTGGAGAGGTATCAGCGCCTTCTTGACGAAGCTGAGGAGCAGGACAGGGAGGCAGGTGGCGAAGCCGGACCTTCGAAGCTGGGCCTCACCGGTGTCGCTGGTCCCGAAGCCGCACCATCGGCCGAGGACGTGAGAAGATTGCGGCCTGGAGAGATCGACCCTGATCCGGAGTCCAAGCCGGCTAGACCCGATCCCATCGACATGGACGAGGATGAAAAGGAGATGCTGAGCGAAGCTCGAGCTCGTTTAGCCAACACTCAAGGAAAGAAGGCGAAGAGGAAGGCGAGGGAGAGGGCATTGGAAGAGGCGAGGAGGCTGGCCATTCTCCAGAAGAGGAGAGAGCTGAAGGCGGCCGGGGTGGTGATGAGGGGACCCAAGGCAAAGAAAGGAGAGGTGGACTACAATGCCGATATTCCCTTCGAGAAGCAGCCAGTCAAAGGGTTCTACGACACATCGGATGAGACGTCCAAGTCCTACCAAGCTCCTATCGGACAGAAGATGGGCCATATGGAGCGCAAGCGCAAGCCTGGGGAGGAAGACGAGGCGAAAAAGAAGAAGAACAAAGACGAGAAGAGTAAGGTAGACCCCTTCAGCGAGAACTCCGAACAGGTACGCAAGCTCAAGGAAGCTGAGCAAATCAGCAAGCGCCGGAAGCTGATGCTACCTGAGGCTCAGGTGGGAGAGCGAGAACTTGAGGAGATCGTCAAACTTGGCCAGGCAGGAGAGTCGGCTCGTGAGCTAGTGGCTGGAGGAGAGTCGACAGAGGGCTTGCTAGGCAACTATGATGCTCTCGAGAGAGCCAAGATGGCCAGGACACCGAGGACAGCCCCCGAAGGTGAGTCATCTACCCACCAGAGAGCGACGTCAAGAGCATTAAGCTGATCTCGTTAATCTCTTTCCGATACTCAGACGATGCTGTGATGCGCGAGGCTCGCAACCTTCGAAATATGACGGCCTCTCAGACTCCACTTCTCGGTGATGCCAATATTCCCATGGAGGAAGGACTGCGCAGTGCAGGCGCTGCGCCTCGATCCTCGGTGGCACAGACTCCCAATCCACTTCTGACGCCCGCTCACCATGGCGGGCGCGCCGGCGCAGGCCCGAGTGAGACTCCCATGAGCTCCAGAGGGAGCATGGTCTCGGCGACTCCCAGAGGAGTAGGCGGCCCCAATGGGCTACCCATGAGGACCCCCGTACGAGACAACCTTGGGTTGTATGACGACGATGCATCCTCAATGCTTGACGCTACGCCCTTCGACGAGAAGCGAGCTCGCATGTCGGCCAAGTCGGAGCTTCTCGCTAGTCTGCGAAGTCTGCCTCAGCCCTCGAACAACTTCGAGTTCGTACTCGACGAAGAAGAAGACGAAGAAGAGGACGATGACGGCAACTATGAAGCAATGATCTCAATTAGTGAAGACACGGCAGATCGAGATGCGCGGATGGCTCAAGAACGGGAAGAGGCTCAACGAAAAGCCCTCGCAAGGCGGAGTAGGGTCGTCAAGATGGATCTACCACGCCCACCTAATGTCGATGCTCAAGCCCTTCTGGCCTCTCTGAAGATCTCTGATGCTTCTCCGGCGGAAAAGCTGGTACTGCGAGAGATGGTGCAGCTCATGAAGCACGACTCGATCGTGCATCCTATCGCGGGCAGCAAAGCCGTCGGCGGTCTCCGCAGCGATCTGCCCTTGCTTTCCGACGACGCAATGGATGCTGCTCGAGAGGAAGTCAGGGCAGAGCTGGCACGGACCGTTGGGTTCCCTGGCGCAAAGGACGAGGTGCTGAAGCGGATGATCGGAGCTCGCCTGCAGCCGGACGAGGACGGCGAAGGTGGAGAGGAAGGAACGCAGCTCGACGAAGCGCTTAAAGCAGGCCGAAAGCAGGTGGCCTGGTCTGCCGACAAAGCCGCTTGGGTGGCTCGGTCTGATCTGTCTCCTACTCAGTACAAGCGCGGGCAAAGCGCCCTACTGGATCTGGCCAAGGAGCAGATGACCGAAGCGGCCATGGCAGCGAGCAAAGAGGAGAAGCGTCTCGCCAAGCTCCTCGGAGGCTACCAGGCTCGCTCTAGCACCCTCGCCGCTTCCATCCGCGATCGCGCCGAGCAACTTTCCGCTGCCGGCGTGGAAGTAGCAGCCTTTGAGCGTCTCTCTGGAGGGGAGAGTCTTGCAGGTCAGGAGCGTGCGGCCAAGCTTGAAGAGGAAGTGCGTACGCTTCAGAGAAGGGAGGAGATTGGACAGAACAGGTACAAGGAGCTGGATGACCTTAGGAGGGGATTGAAGGAGAGGGTTGAAGCTCTGAAAGAGGAGAGGGATATGCGCGAGGCGGAGAAGCTCAACGAGGAGGCGTTGGGTCAGATGGACGATGAGGACGAGGAGGAAGAGGTGGGACCGGCTGCCCCCAACGGCGTTGCAGCATGAAACGAGTCTTGACATGCCGCTGTTCACTCTACCATTCAATACGGATCTGAAGAGTTTGCATTTGCTACATCGTGAGCGTGAATTGAGACCTGGCGGGGGTATCATCTAGTAGCATGTGCGCCATTCGCCTCGCAGTCTAAGCTCAGTAGTCCATCGTCTTCCTCTGCTTCCACTTCTTCGACGCCCTCGTGACCATCGTGCTGCTCATCTGATTACCCTGCAGTGGGATCTCTAGCACACACCCGGCGGTACCCCCTCTGAGCTCAGGCGCTTGAGGTGTGAAAGGGAGGGGAGGTAGAGGAACCCGAAGACTGAACGTCACATTGTGCTTCGGCACCACCTTGAAGAAACGCCTTCGGGAGCGACGTACCCCCTGTTTCCCCTCTTCTTCTCCTTCAGCCTGCCGCGCGGTGGTGGTGGGCATGCTCGGCGGGTCTAGCGCAAGGAGGAAACAGCCCTCCGTCTCTCTTGCGACCAGCCCGTGCGTACCCACGAGGGAAGGGTTCCCCGCCCGGACGACTTCGAGGTGTGCACCGAGGAGATCGGCTTTGCAGACTTGGGATTGCACGTTACTCAGGGCGGATTCGCTCGCCAGACGCCAGGAGGAGCTTACTGGAATGCCTCTGGAGGAAGAGGCAGAGGCAGGGGAAGGTCTGATGACTTGCAGGTTGGGGACGAGCTGGGGTGGAAGATCTGAGGAGGACGGATTGGGGTCATTTGGGCCTGCTCGAGGGGTCTGTAGTCTGACTAGACCAAGGAATTGTTGTATGTAAGAATTCCAGAGATCCGCGAGTGGGAGCAGAGCCTCGTAGCTGAAGGGAGTTGGCAGGCTGGTATCAGACAGACATCTTGACCCGCGCTAGGAAGCATGCATGTAGGAGTTACTCACCTCATCTCCTCATCCATCCCTTCTATACCGCGATGCTTCCTCTTGCGCTTAGAAAGGAGCCTGTCACTTTCCCTGACGACTGGATTCTCTGTCATCCTAGCCTTGCCCTTGCCGCTCCCATCGGCAGCGATCTTTTCCCGAGGGGGTCCCATACTGCCAAGCTGCTTCCTGGCCTTCTTCTCCCTCCTACCCAGCTTGATCTGCGCATTGCTCCCGCTCTCCGGCTTGGGCCTGGATCGATCTGGATTGGAGAGCTGCAGACGCTTGTCCTTTAGACGGGAGTCGAAGTGTTCGCGAACCTCGGCGGGAGAGGAAGAGGAGGTAAGTGGGCTTGGGACAAGGAGAGAGCTGAAGACTTGCTGTGCTGCTGATGTTGTGCTACTCGAGGACGCTCGTGGCGAGTGGCTGCCGTGGATGCTGTCCATCTTGGGTGTACGATGTCATCGAGGGTATTACAGTCAAGGTGCGACCCGATCTCGGGAAATTCGGATGGTAGGAACAACTTAATTCAAAGTCCGATGCGGAAGTGTGAGTGACTCTCCACCTCAGATCTTCTCGAGGTCCTACCTTCTAGCTTATACATTTAGACGTCAGTAACATGATTCGTACGGCTCAGACTCGGACTATGCGGAGGTATCCGCCGATAGAGGTCAATGGCGGACTGTGTAGAGTGGTAGCGCCTGTCTTTGGTGCACCGCAAGCGAGATGGAAAAGAGCTTTTCCGACTGCTGCCGAAGCACGGATACCACTCCAACGCTTCGCCTTCTCCACTTCCTCCCGGTCCTACTCGGCCGTATCGTCGCAGCGACCGGCCCTCTTCAAGCTCAAGAATGCTATCATACCCGGCCTCAAGGGACAGAGCAACGGCATTGGACGATCTGATACCCTCGATCTTAGCATCGAAGACAGAGCAGGGGAGGAAGCGTGGGCCGTCACCGGACCTGCAGCCGATCGGGGTGGGGCGGTCAAGGCAGAGGTGGTCAAGGTGAGTCGGCGCGCCCAGGCGACAATCTACTGACAACTCATGCTGATTTTGAGAGCTGCTTGTACTATGTCCATAGACATTGCTAGGCCTCAGCAGGCCAAAACAGCCTGGCCAGTCGCCGGGGTCTACCACCCGTCATCCGTCCCCGCATCCTTTCCTGCAAGGCGATACCTACATGCCTGCCTCACAAGCGCTCCGCCTCGTTTCCTTCTCATCGCGTTTATCCTCAGCTTATGCCTCCTCGAGTGCGTCGAACTCCTTCGTCGACTTCTCCACGCGCTACGGAGCGATTAGAGAGGAGGACCGGGTGACCCTCTACGAGTCGCTCATGGCAGAGATGGGTACACAGACGGGCTTGATGGCCCGCATGGCGCTCATGCCGGACCCTCTGGCGAATCCTGAAGAAGAGGCTCAGAGAGATTACGCAGAGGGCGTCACCAGACTGAAGTGGTCTGGCCCCGAGGAAGAGCAGCAGGCGCGGGAGCTGGCGAGACAAAACCATGCCAAAATCACTGAAATGGCCCCGCTGCTGCAGCTGAGCCAGGGCGACCCGCCTTTGCTGATCCGGCCAGTAGTAGCACTGTCCAATGGGCAGACGCGTAGGGCAAGGATACTAGCCGCACTGTGCGTCGGTTGTCAAGTCCTGGTACTCGAAGAGCCCTTCACAGGTCTTGATCCCCCCACTCGGGCATCTCTCACAGAGCTGCTAAGCGGACTGCACTCGCGGCGAAGCCCTCGCGTCATCTGCGTCCTGCGTGAGCAAGATGAGCTGCCAGACTTTGTCACAGACGTTCTTAGTATTGGTGAAGAGGGGCAGGTCGTCTTCAAGGGCTCTTTGCCCACAGATCCTCGCCCGAGGACGGCAGCTGAACTCTCCCAGCAAGCCAGCGGAAAGCAGGCAGAGCAGAAGGGAGGCTACGAGCTCTGTCTCTCCCAGTCTTCTCAAGGCGTAGGACGAGGTGACGAATCGCAAGTGCCTATAGTGGAGATGAAAGAAGTCTGCATCGCCTACAAGGGCAAGCCGATCCTAGATCGAGTCTCACTGCGTCTCCCACCGGGCTCACGAACGATCCTCGTAGGTGATAATGGATCAGGAAAGACTACGCTCCTCTCTCTTCTCTTGGGAATGCACCCGCAGTCCTACTCCCTCGGTGCTGATCAGCTTACCCTCTTCGGTCAAGCGCGAGCAGAGCCAGTGAATGCTACCCCACTACTGAGGAAGCGATGTGGACAATTGAGCCCAGAGTTGGTCAATGCTTTCCCCAGACGCGGGCTGGAGTATGGAGGACTTTCCGTGCAAGACAGTATAGGCAGCGGCTTCGAAGGAATCTTTTCCCGTAGAGAGCTCACCCCTGAGCAGGTGAGCCGGGTGAGAAGCCTCGTACGACGCTTCCAGCACGTCCTCGTTCTTCCTCCCAACTCTGCCTCCTTCTCAAGCAGAAGCAATGCAGAGCAAGACGCCCTCTCCACTCTCCTGGCCCTGCCCCTGCACGCCCTCACCCCCGGCTCGCAAGTTCTGGTCCTCTTCCTGCGCGCAATTGTGCATCGACCTGATTTACTGGTGCTGGACGAGCCCTTTCAAGGAATGTCCTCCAAGCAGGTTACCGCCGTCAGGGATTTCCTAGATGGAGACGTCGACCTCGACCGCGGCCGGGAGGACGGGGCGGATCAGTCGAGAGGGGAGCAGGAGGAAAGAGAGCAAGACCGAGCTTGGCTGGAGAAGATGGCTCTGGTTCTTGTGAGCCATTTCGAGGAAGAGTGGCCACGTACTGCTGGACGGCTGATCCGGTTGCGCGAGGGGAGCGTGGTAGAATCCTTTTAGAGCATCGTCTTGCTAATGTCATGATTCTGACTACCTGAACATGTAAGTCCAAATCTGCTCATGTGTCAATACTAGTCGTTTCTAGGTTCAAAGTGGGTGTACAAATACATGGGACTAAGAGAAAGTCACCAACGTGGCTTGCCCACTCGCCCTCTCTCATTGCCCCAGGCCTGGTTCCTATCGTCCAGCGAAGGCTCCTCGGCACGCCCGACACTCCTCGACGCTCCGACCCATCATCCACTTGGTATCCTCCGCTTCGCCGCCTATCTCGCTTCTCTGTAGTAGACCGGCAGTAGAAGCGAAGACGCCCGCTGTGGCGGGCAGAGAGGGGCCGAGGAGGATCGTCTTGCTTGAGGTTGGGTCGGGACCACATCCGCAGTCGTAGCTTAAGGGAGGACCAAGGGAGGACGAGATCGCTCTGTCAGTCTACGAATCCTATTGCTCCTAGTTCAGGAAACTGCGAGCAGACTCACCTCTCGTCCAACTTATCACAAGGGAATTCCGGCTTCCCCAATCGTTCATTGACCCTGTTATGCGCCGCACAGAGCCATAATGCCGCGTTCATTCGACTGGACGTCTGCACAGGCATCTCCTTTAGTAGCTGCTGAAAGTGATTTGCGCATTCACCGCAGGGGTATAGGAGGGAAAATGTGTGGAAAAAGGTGGAGAGGGTTGTGCGTTGTTCCGGTGTGGGCTTATCGGGGAAGCGGAGGGTGAGGAGATGGAGAAAGTGCCAAGTGTGACGGCCGAGCTCTGCTCTGGTGGACCGAGAGAGGACAGAAGGGGTGAGGAAGGTTCAGTATAGTGCAGCCGGAGCAGGGGCTGCTTCAAGTACATCTGGCGAACTCACTTTGCCGTCGCATTAGCCATCTTTGTAGCAAACGCCTCTCCACCATTAGCAGCAGGGATTACTCCCGCTGCCGTCCCCACCTGCCCAGCAGCCGGAGCAACTACCACCTCCCCAGGAGAAGAAGGTGCAACACTTCCTCCTCCACTGTCTTTTGCAGCACTCCCTCCGACAGCGCCAACAGCAGCCCAAGGTGTCTTCCATCCAGATTTCCAAAAGTCGCCCGATTTCATACGTGCTGGATCCACCCATTTGCTCCAGCTCGATCCTGAAGCTGATCCTGATCCTGCTCCAGTAGAATCCTCATCAATCGCTACTGGTCCCCAGCCTTGTGAACCCATCTTGACCTCTCCTCCAACAAGTCCTTTTGGAGCCTGTGTCCCCTCTACTGCTGAGAGGTGGTAGGAGGAAGGTCGCAGGTAGAGATAAGTGGGTACAAAGAGTACCACGCAGGAGAAGATGAGGAGTTGAGTGAAGCGGGAGATGTGCATTTTGCGAGAGCGAGGACGGAGAGGTGGAGAGAGGAGGGGTGCGGCCATTAGCGATGCTGGTGGACTTGAGTGAGAGGGAACACTTGGGCGTTGATTCAGAGGTTGAAGTGGTGGCTAAGTGAGAGCTATGGACTGAGTGGCTGGCTGGCTGGCTCGTTGATACGCGCTCGTTCGGTAGGGAGCTGGAGCAGAAGGAACAATGTTCAAGAGGAGAAGATATGACGAAGTCCTCCTCGACGCGAGCAATGGAGAGACGAAGTGAGAAGAGCAAGGGAGCAAGAGGGCAAGGCAGAAGAGGCACCACACGCAGCCTCAGAGCAACACACCATCACCGCCGCCAATCCGGTTGCAGGGTTTTCGAGCCCCGCTTCGGGCTTCGGGCCTTGGCGGTCAGTCCATTGCTGAACCCCTTCCCCCCTTAGCATTCACTGCTACAAACAAACAAGTCAATTGTCTACACGACTTCGAACAAAGGGAGAGGTGCACGCAACGCTCAAAGAACAACCGCGAGATTGTGCATGGTGTATAAATTGCACTGGGATATACAGCAGAGCTTTGCCTTGTCTTGTCTTGCAGGTGACACGGGAAGATTAGATAGCCATGGTCATGGCCGGACATCGTCTTGCTTCCCTCTCTTCCGAAGCGATGTGAAGGAAATATGGCGAGCTTATCACTCATCAGAGGATTCGATGCCCGCCTTGTCCCCTCTTGCTCTTGCGTGAGCCTTCGGAGTCAATACTACCGATTCCTGGAGAGAGGATGCACCGGCACCGTACTCTCCAAGGACCTCCGCAGCTCCGCCAGCCGCTTTTCTTGCTCCTCCTCGTCCAAAGAGGAGACTGCGCTTGCATCCGACTCGCCCGCTGCTACTGCTGGGGAGCCATTCAATCCACTCTTGTTCTCCGAGAGGGGCAGCAAACCTCCTGTTAGACCGGCCCGAAGCGTGTCACCCGAGCTCATCGACCCGTCTGCCCGGACGGACGAAGGAGGCAGAGGAGCCGTTGAGTCCGCGTCGGTGGCCACGGCCATCTTGGAGGTTTCCAGACGCTCGCCGTCCATTGCAGGAGGCGTAATGACTGGTGCAGATGGAATGGTACTGTGACCATTGACTGCTCCATTTACTATCGATTTGTCTGGTACCCCATCCACCTTGCCGCCATTGTCGATATAGGAGAGGTTCTCCTCAGTCAGCGGCGCGGGACCTTGCGTACTGTCGGCAAGAGCGGGCATGGCTTCTACGCTTTTGCTGGCAGCCGAATTGACCCTATCCGTGGGCGGTAAACCTGGATACGAAAGCGCGGGGGCAGCGGCGCCGACCGCGGAGTGATTGCCGCTGGGTTGCTGCCCCGACTTCTTCTGGCTCTTGCGCACCTCCGACGGGTTCGGATCCTGAACAGCGGTTGTATCATCCATCGACTGGCGAATGGCATCCAGATTCCGTGCAAGGGCAGGCAGACTGGTCTCCTCGCCAAATCTCTGCTCCTCTACGGTACCGTCCAACTTTGGGTATGTCCAGACGATGGTCCCATCGGGCTGCATGACGTTCCACCGAGCCTGAACCACCACACCGGTCATGTATGGCCTGAGCTGCAGCCAGATTACGCGCAATTTGGTCGCTAGCACATCCCGCTTTGCCTTGAGAGAGGCCAGCTCCGCCGGCTCATCCCATTCTACGCCCCCTACAATCGAAGACGAGTCATCCGATTCCTGGTGCGGTGGGGGGTGATGGCGGTCGTAGCGGCCTCTTCCAGTCGCCGATGAAGCAGAGGCAGAGCCTGCTTGTGCTTCTTCGCGTTCTGCATAGAATTTATCTAGACAGCGCGATACTGCTCGTGTAGCCCTCTCGAGCTGAAAGCAAATCGTAAAGTACTCTTCTTGTAATGCGTCTCTTGTTGCAGTGTCCAGCTGCACGTCGTTCTCGCCTTCCACTGGCGGGTCCCATTCGAATACCCAATCCATCTCGCCTTTCATGCTTTCTTTTGGTAGACGATCTAGTGGGATGTACTCTTCCAGCTCTTTAATGTCCGATGTCAAGCGGATCTTTTCGCGAACCACTGGGTCTAGTAAGGGCTTGAGAATGGCCCATACGGGCTTGAAGATCCAAGGTGCTGCGTGCACGTAGACTCGAGCGAGAGTCTCGGGATATTTTTGCATACTCTTGACCAGATAGAAGACGCACCCTAGTGGACCAGAAGTTGGTGCAGCAGTGAGGAAGGTGAGCCCACATATGCACTCGCACGTCAGGGTTCTTATGTAACTCACAATAGTCCATATTCCGTAGTGAGAAGTTTTGCATATTGAAGATGACCACTTTCCGTTCCACTGGGGGCGGCATCAATGACGCCAGCGTCTCCAGATCGAGGATGATCTTTTGCTTGAGCTCTTCTTGGGTCTGTGAAGATGAGTAGTGTCTACCCACCTCGATGATGTAGATGGGCTCCCCATTGATCGCTGCGCCATGGGCATAGGAGATTCCTTTCTGGTGGACATTGATCCCTCCCCTCGTCTGTGCCAGCCGAGCTTCTCCCCCTTGAGCAATCTCTTCCACCCTCTCCTCTACCCTCCAGGCAGCGATAGCTCCCAGGATGGCCAAAGCACGATCGATGTCCCACTTTCGGGCTCGGAGACAGCGCAGCATGATGGCGTCTGGATGCTCCCCTTTGACCATCTGCCAGAAGACCTTTCTCAGCCGCTGCCCTCCATACTTGTGCAGGAAGTTGCGCATCTCCTTGAGCTCCTGTTGGCCCTGTACCTGCGCCTTGACTGCATCATCTTTGGGTGGCGTGTCGGCAGAACCCCCAGCTGCCTGTTGAGAGGAAGTGGATGGCGAATTGCGCAGCTCGGGGAAGGAGCTTTCGCCTGTCGGACTCAGAGCCGAGTCGACGGAGAGGTGCTTGCCCTTTCTAGACGAGGTGGAGCCTGCATCGCTGGGCAGTGAGGCCTTCCATGGCGAATTGTTTGGCTTGAGATCCTCTGCCGAGTCTTGTGTGCCTTGTTGGACCCGACACAGCCGAAAGAAGCGAGTCCAGAGGTCGAAGAGGGCCTGCTGCTGCCATGGATCTAGGTTGTCTGTTGGAGGAGGAGAGTGGGTGTGGTCGTTGCAGAGGCGGACGAGTGTGAGAGTGTGAGCGCCACGGTCAAATACTATGGTGGAAGCGACCACCTATGCGGTATGCGCCCCGCTACTCACCTCTATATCCTGGTTGAGTCCTCTCGTAATTCCCCGCCATGGTGAAGTGGGTTTGCTTGGACGATGGCGTGGCTGAGTGTGGAGTGGCGGGGTGGATGGGTATAGGCAGGACGTCGAGGGATGTGCGTGTATGCACTCGGGTGGATTGTGATGGGATGAGAGGAGTATCCAGTGGCTGTCGAGCGAGAATGGCAGGGATGCTGCAAAAGGACGCACGTCGGCGTCGACGTCCATGCGTGCGTCTGTCCGTCGTCTGCCGGTGGGCCGGGTGGTGGTGCGGGGAAAGAAGGGCGGGGGCAATGGGCCAAAAGCGCCCGACGTATGCGGGACCTGGGACGGGAGCGCAGGGCGACAGTCGCCAGTTCCCACAGGCGCAAGAAGCTTCTACTCGTCAAAGGGCCCAGATTCCGATCCGCTCAAGTGGAGAGGCAACCATCAAGGCAGACACAGACCACGTCTTGCCTCTGCCCACCATCACACCCTCTCTCTCCCCACCACCACCACCACCCACGATGCTCGACAACTTCACCGTACTCCACACGTCGGGCATCGTCCTCTGGTCCAAGTCCTTCACTCCCACCTTTGCCTCCAACTCGCCCATCGGACCTCTCGTCCGCACAGCCTTTATCGAATCGCGCTCCACTGGATCCGCAGACGATGAGCGGTACGATGTAGGTGGCTACTCCTGCCGCTGGTCATTGGCCAACGACTATGGCCTGGCATTCGTGGCGGTGCATCAGCGTATCCTACATTTGGCCTACGTACCTGCCCTCCTGGCACAGGTCAGGGCCCTCTTCTTGGACCTCTTCAAGCCCTTTCTCGGGGCTATCCTTGCCAATACCAAGCCCATTGGTGGAGGTGGCGATGGCTCAGCTTCACTAGCGTCGAAACTCACAGGCGAGGCGAGGGCAAGATTCGCAGCTGCCCTCAAGGACTGGGACGCCATCTTCACCTCGACCCTCAGGAAGCTCGAAAGAGAAGCCAACCTGCAAGCTCGCAGCGCAGCAAAGTCCTCTGGTGGAGCCATTGCTGCCGCTGGAGCTGCCAATGCAGAGACTCCTGCTTCTCCAAAGACTTCGGCTGACAAGGTAGGCAAGAAGGGTGCAACTCCATCTGCAGGCAACGATGATCAAGCGATAGCCAAGAACATTGAAGCACTCAAGGCTCGGCTAAAGGGAGTGGAGATTGGGCCAGGTGGGAGCAGGGGTCCGGCAGGAACAGCAGCGAGGAGAAAGATGGGTAGTAGAGTCTCTAGTGGCGTGGGCACGCCTGGAGGCGGGGCTGAGTCACCCACTGCATCACCCGGTGGGAAAAAGAAGGGCGGCGCTGGAAAGGAGATGAGAAAATGGGATGCGAATGGGAATGCCATTGTGGTGGGTGATGTAGGCCAACTGGACTTCAGCAACGACGGAGGACCATCCACGCCTGCAGATGAAAGGGAACAGGGAACTCTCGAAGGATGGGTAGACGAGAAGAGTCTCGGCAAGGTTGGACAGGACGGACTGTATGAGGTAGCCGATGCACTCGATAACGGAGACGAGGAGGCGTCTGATGAAGAGGAAGACGAGGAAGATGAGGAAGATCAGGCTGTCACAAATGGCAAAGCCACCTCGGGCGGAGGCTTCCTCTCAGGTCTCACCTCAAAGTCTAGTGGAGCTACCTCGCTCTTCTCCCGTCTGACTGGTTCCGGCCATTCGCTCACACAAGCCGACTTGCAGCCCACACTGGCAGCGATGCAATCCCACCTGCAGTCCAAGAATGTAGCCGCCGATGTAGCCCAGCGTCTGTGCGCATCCGTCGGCCGCTCCCTAGAGGGCAAGACGCTCTCTACGTTTGGCTCGGTGAAGAAGGAAGTCAGGCTAGCCCTTGAAGACGCTATAACCCGTGTTCTCACACCGCGCAACTCAACCGACCTCCTGCTGGAAATCAACGACAAGCTCGGACGCCAAGCAAGCAAGGGCGACCCAGCTTCCACTACCCGCCAGCCCTACGCTCTCGCCTTCGTAGGAGTGAACGGAGTAGGTAAATCTACCAATCTGGCCAAGGTGTGCTTCTGGCTGTTGCAAAATCAGAAGCGAGTCCTCATTGCCGCCTGCGACACCTTCCGTTCTGGTGCCGTGGAGCAATTGCGCGTGCACGTCCGCAATCTGGGTGAACTCAATGTTGGCGGTTCTCAAGTGAAGGAGCCGCTCCCTTCTGGCGGGCAGAAGCTAGAGCTCTACGAGCGTGGCTACGGGAAAGATGCAGCAGGTATTGCCGCCTCTGCACTTTCGTATGCGCGTGCTCAGGGTTTCGATGTAGTCCTCATCGATACCGCTGGACGCATGCAGGACAACGAGCCTCTAATGCGCTCCCTTGCGAAGCTCGTCGCAACCAATGAGCCAGACCGTGTCATCTTCGTCGGTGAAGCCCTAGTGGGCAATGAAGCCGTCGATCAGCTCACCCGCTTTGATAAATCTCTAAGGGATTTCAGTGGCAAGAGTGCTCAAGACGCAAGAGGATTGGATGGAATGCTCCTTACCAAGTTTGATACCATTGATGATAAAGTGGGGACGGCATTGACGGCCACTTCTGTCACGGGACTGCCGATTTACTTTGTGGGCGTGGGACAGACGTACACGGATTTGAAGCAACTCAAGGTCAAGCATATTGTCAATGCCTTGATGAGGGATTGAAGGGGAAGAAGATGAAGAGAGAAGGAAAGCAAGAGAGAGAATGGCGTGGTTCGGATTGCAAACCAGAGTGTCAGAGCTGCGACTCTGTGATCATTTCATTATCGCTGCAATACACTTGAGCATTGACCTGTATTTATGATTTGGGTATCTACAAAATTCTGACCTTGGCCGCGCTGAACTCCATCTACGTCTTCAAAAGCCTAGCACAGTCCTTCAATAGCGTCCTAATTTCCTCCTCTTTTACAGCGCCCTTGAGCAATTCCATCTCTTCTTTGCCCTCGAGTATCGTCGCAAGGTCCAGAACCTCGAGCAACTCTTTGTGCTCCTCGTAATGCTCTGAGAGGTACTGCAGCTGAAATACGCACGCAAGAAGTCGATGGAGCGTCTCCACTGACTCGTGTTCATTCTCAATCGCATGCACCAGGGCAGAGAGGGCTTGAGTGTCAAAGTCTTCACCCAACAACACCCCACTGTCAGAAGAGTCGCCGTTGCGCGCAGCTACATCTCGCTCGATGAAGTCTACGCGGCCTTTGGTCTTGAAGAGACAGACGTTAAAAGCAGCAGAGGAGGAGGCGTTCCTGATGGCCTTGTCCTCCTGCAGCATCCCCGAGAAGATGAGGGAGACAATCGGCTCGAAGTCTTCGGATGTGCCGAGGGAAAAGGGGTTGCTCATGACGTTGCCTGCTAGACGGAGCGTTGTTAGCCACAGAGGTCGATTGGAAGTCCCATCCGTTGCGCCTTCGAGAATTTTGCTCGCCTGGTGGATCGTCGTCTTGGGAACGTCGCCGAGTGCCAGGAGCGCAGTATCGTCGAGAGTTGCAACGCGAAGCATGTCAATCAGTGGGAAGACGGCCGTCATAGGCAGCTTCTCCATCAGTATCCGCGATGCCACTTTCCAGGCCGTCGCAATTTCCTGCGTCAGGACCTTCTTGGGGTCGCCATTCGCTCCGAATCTGGCCTCTAGCCAGGGTACGACGCGCTTAGCAATGACCTTGCGACAGTCTTGCACATCTGCCTTGGCCTTGAAGTCGCTAGTCTTGAGAGCAGACACGGCTTCGTCCAGCACTCTGACCGCCGACGCAAAATTGGGTATAGAAGATGAGATAATGTACTCTTTCGGAATGCTCTTCTTCGACGTCAGAGGAGGCTTCAGCTGCGTGTGAGGGTGGGCCACCCAGATCTCAAAGAGGGTCAAGTCGACTTGGGAGCGCAGCTCTGCCACGTCTGCTCCGCTGAAGCTGTGCCTTTCCCTGCCCTTCACGAAGAATTTGAGCGTAGGTGTCCCCCTGATCCCATTGCTGGCCATGAGTGTCTGCGTGGCCGGTGATGAGTCCACGACAACAAATGCGATGTTCTTATGCTTCTTCAAGGATGCTTGTACAGGGGCTGAATATTCCCTCGCCATCTCTACGAACTTCGGGTGAAGCATCTTGCACGGAGGGCAGGTCTTTGTGTTGGTGAACAGCACAACAGCGCAATTCCACCTTTGTAGTGTTTCATTGAGGTGCTGTGCCGAGGTGATGTCGATGAGATTCGCAGGAGGTGGTGAACCAGAAGTTGAGCCCAAGGCTAAGGCGGCAGCAGGAGCACTCTGCTGACCATAGGAACCACCCTGTGCCCTTTGATTGAATTGGTCCATCAGTCCAAGGAGGGGCGAGGGTCCAGCTGGACCAGCCATTGGCCCATTGCCACGCCTGGCCGCCGTTGCTCCCATAGCATTCTGGAAGTCGGACGGAAGAGATGTGATATGCGCCGGAATAGATCTTCCCACCAGGATATTGGCCACCTCGTCGGAGAAATTATTGCAATTGTTGGTCATGAGATTGTAGGCTGCTGGGGTATACCGCCCTCTCAGATCTTGCAGGATCTCATTCCACGTCTCCTCGTCTATGCTGGTACTGCCGAGCGGGACGATTTCCATGGGCCTTCCATGGTGGCTGCCACCAGGAGAAGTCACACTGATGCCCTGTCCGAAGAAGAATTCCCGGGGAGTGCTGTACTTGATGACGATGCTCGTGTGGTATACGGCATCGATTTGTCGTCCGAGCAGGCTGGCGGATAGCTGACGTGCGAGACCGCCGGACAGGTCGTAGACGTACAGCTCCACCGGGTATGAGATTTCCTCTGCCATGTTCGAGATGCCCTAAAGGGGTCTATAGTCTGAAAAGGGTTATTAGACAAGAACGAGGGGAGAAGTGAGGCAAAATGTGCTGACGCGGCCTGCTCAGTGAGGAGGAAGAGCCGACCAGGCTGTGCGGAAAGGGGGAATGAGTGGCGGCACGTCAAGTGGAGAAACGCCAAGAGAAGCAGGCGGAACGGGGAGATCCCAGATAGCTTCACAGTCGGTCTCAAGGCGAGGCAATGTCATCATTATGTACTACACAGAGCATGAGGGCTATCAACTACTGGCCACTGCCACTACCACCGGGTCCGTACGCTGCATGATATGCCTCGGCCTCCCTCCTGGCCTGCTCAAACAAACGCTTCTTCTCGTCCTCTTGGACGATCACTGGTACTGGAGGACCGGAATAGCCAGCACCGCCATTGGGAGGAGGCTGCTGCTGGGAAGAGGATGACGACGAAGGAGCTCCTCCCATGTGCTGAGGAGGACCTTGACTGCTGATTCCATACGCCGACTGTTGTGATCGGGGATCTGCGTGCCCATAGCCCTGGCTCGACTGAGATGGCTGCTGAGTCTGCTGTAGGTGAGTCTGCTGGTAGGGATCGCTACCCTGTTGCGGTTGTGAGGAACGACCCTGCTGAGGCTGTGATGTCTGCCTCTGAGGCGGCTGTGAGGCGTATCCATGCTGGTCCTGGGGTTGACCTTGCTGAGCTTGGGAAGGGTAGCCATGCGAAGGCTGTTGAGGAGGGTGAGACTGCTGCTGGGCGTGCCACTGGGCATAGCCCTGCTGGTCGTGTTGCGAAGGCGGAGCGTATCCGGCCTGTTGATAAGGCGGACCTGCGGAAGCAGATGACACCTGAGGAGAGCTCTGATAGCCCTGCTGCTGTGCATACTGATGATGTTGCTGCTGTTGCTGAGCCTCCCACCCCGCTTGCTGAGGCGGCGCACCACCCTGCTGAGAATGAGCATAGCCCGGTCTCGCCCCCGCGTAAGCAGCAGGCCCTGGACCTGCACTGCCAGGAGGCCCTCGGTACTGATGCTGAGCCAGGCTTCTCTCCATCATGCCATCAAAGACGCTCCTCGCCTCTACAAATTTCTCGTTCATCGATCGCAGCTCCTCAACTTTGCTCGAATACCTGTCAATGAGCCTCACGATCTTTGGTCTCATCGCTAGAGAGGCCTGATAGAGATCCTGCAGCTCTTCATCGTCTGCGAGGCTTTCTCTGGCAGGATCAAGACTTCTGAGTCGGCCGAGTAGGCGATCGATATCATGAGCCTGTGCGAAGATCCTAGCCTCCTGTTCTGCTTCCCGCTGGATCTCAGAAGGACTGGGCGTGGGCAAGATCTCGACGTAGTTGACAGGGAAGATTCCCGCCTCACCTCGTAGCTCGCCTCGCCACCAGTGCTCATAGACAGAATCGAGTACCCGAATGATATCCCCCTTGTTGAAGGCCAGCTCCCCCACCTCCGAAGGAGCAAAGTCGTACAGAGCTCGCACTCGAGTAGGAGCTGCTGATACAGCAGATGCTTGGGAGGCTGAAGTATTATGCTCAACGTTTGGCTGTGCGCGATTGGTTTGCTGAGTCTGGCTAGTAGCTGCATCTGGATTGGGCGAGGACTTGTCCAGTAGCGCAGCTGCAGCGCTACCGGATTGACCGCGGCTATCGCCATTGGCCCACCCAGCAGAGCTCGAAGAGCCAGCAGCATTCGATGAACCTCCGACAGCGTTATCACTGTAGTTGCCTCGTCCCCCGACGTCCTTCATGGACAGTTCCAAGACTCTCCTCAGCTCCTCGTCCTCCTTTCTGAGAAGATCCGAACTGGGCTCAGTAGGCGGAGCATCTTGCTGAACAGGATCGTCGAACTTGTATCCTTGGGCCTTGAGGGCAGCCATTGTCTCGCCAACCATCCCCAGAGTGTCGTCGCTGCTGAAGTCTTTGGCCCATTCCTTGATCATTTCCAGGGTCTTCTTGCGGACCGTCTCGTGGGTGTTGCGGTCTACCACTACCCTTTGTAGCGTTTGCGTGAAGGTACGAGATGCCAACTCTCTATGGGCTTCGACGCCACAGTTCTTCGCTAGGGCATCGCATAGTGTGAGTGAGTAGAGCTGGACGTTTGCATTGCGGTGGATAATGCGCTTCTGGATGGCTGCCAGACAATTGCGGGCGCTAAGAGAGGCACGTCACCGGCCAATAATCATGGATGTCAGTACAGTGCTCTATGTGCGCGTCAAATTGCATCTGTTGCTCACCCAGTCTCTCCCTCGCTTGAGACCTTGTCGCATACATTGAGGTTGAGCTCCCAATTCTCGCTGGTCAGCGTCTCTGCGGTGGCCTTGTTGACGATCTCATCGTACGGGTTTGCAGCCTTGAACATCGGTGGTGATTCAGTGATGGTGCTCTACGAGAGCTAGTCGTGAGTAGTGAGGAGAGAAGAGATGCTGGGATCAGGGGGTTGTGATCGGAAGCAGACAAGGAAGTTGTCTGTCTCTGGTGATCTGGTCCTGGCCTGGCTGCTCCACCTGACTTGGCTGGCCTTGGCTCCGCTCAGCCACACCGCCACACCCTCACCCTCCCTTTCCGTCACCGGCTCTCGGCGGCGGCAACAGCAATGCGGGGATCACCGGTGGCCTGTCGTTTGAGGCAGCTGTCAGCACAACGAAGGATCTCCTGTCTGGATGTAAGATTCTCAGAAGGAACGGATGCTACGAGTTTGGCGCAGTCCACTACGGACATATCACGGTGGAATTACTCCTGCGGTGTACAAGCAGCGAGAGCTGGGGTAGGTAAGTCGCACAGGGGCGCAGCGGCTGTCCTACAGGAGCCGTTACCATTTCGTACAAGCCTCCCTCGTATTCCACGCCATGCACTTCTGGGTGTCCATCCATGCCCTCCCTTTGCGATACTTGGAGAGATTTTCCCCTTCGGTATGGAACCAGCGCGATTTCTGGGTGCCGTCGGCATTGAGCTTCGGCCCTGCCTTGCTCTTCTTCTTGAAGAAATTTCCGAAGCGAGGCTGGCAGAATTTAGTTCCATGCTCTGGATTGTCAGCGAGTGGCCACCTTTCGAGCAGGGACTACGTCTCGTCTCTTCAACTCACCAAGAGGTCGTCGTCGATCTTCTTCTCCCTCCTGAGCGTTGACAAATCTGACTTATCCACTAGACCGGTGTAAGGCTCTGCTGTGCCTCGAATGTACAAGCGGACGGCAGATGCAGGCAAAGGTGTCGCTCCCGCTGTCCAGGCTGTGGCGACGACGAGAAGGGCGAGTGGTGCAAGACTGAATTTCATTTGGAGGGCAATTTGAGGAGTAGTAGGGAAAGGAGGCGAGGAGGCTGCTAGGTGCGCTTGTTGCGTCAGCAGAGGATGTACAGAGGTGTCGAAGTCCAGCTTCAGATAGTCTTGGATGGGCTCCTTTCCCAGTGAATGGGTAAGACCTCTTATTGTCTTCCTAAAACCCTCAGCTCTAGGCTTTGCTTTTGCTTCGACTCCACACAGCGAGGCAACCTGGGTCCTGGATCACCGTGCCCACAGTCGAAATCTCCGGTCTGATTGCTCCGGCCCGACCAAATGTTGCTATACCGCAAAGAGGTCGCGAGAGATGCAACGGCACTCGTATCTGATTTAGCACATGGTGCGAAGCGGCGCTTCTGCGCCTGTTTGCTTCGACACATGCTACAAACGAACCGCACCTCGGAAGTCCCTTGGCGAAGCCGAGCATGGCGTGAGTGGTCATCCAGAGGCAATGACTGGCAGATTGGACGCATTGCGCTTTGACAGTCGGTCCGCCGTCCTGTCACACTTGTCCAAATTGCATCCCGAGCATCGGTGAGCTTTGTCTCCGTATGGCAGCTTTCCGAGCGAAGTATGCGGTCGACGCTCGCAAGGGACGTCGGACCAGTGTCGTCCTTCGCTTGTGATGGCCATTGCGATGTGATGACGCTGGAGTCGAGTGTTGATGCGCTATCATCCAAAGTGTCTGTCAGCCCAATCAGCTGCTTCTTGCGCGATTCCAACGCTGCTCTGATATCCAGCCTTTCCGGCACCATACGCGTGCAAAACAGGTCGTAATCTACCACTGCTGTCCTTGACGGCGTCGAGCTCTACCCTCGTCTCTCCCTTTCTCGCTGGCCGGATTCCTACGTTGACTTTGACTACTTCGAGCCTCCTCCAGGCCTCTGGATCTTCTTGTATGACCTTCTCATAGTCTGGCAGGTGCGCCAGAAGCTGAGGGCAAATAGAAAGGCAATCCTTGAGAATCCTCTCGGTAGCATCTTGTCTGATGCCCCGGTGCGAATCGTCATGTTCGAACGTTCCTCCCAAAATCACCAGACCGCTGGCTCCGCGAGGGATGACATATGTTGGCTCATCGTACTGCAGTGACATGACGCAGACAGGAGCAGCCTTGAAGGATGGAGCCGAGACCAGAACTGTCTGGCCACGAATAGGGTACACTGAGGTGTCGGCCACATCAGATAGATATAGCGACCCCATCCCTGTAGCGTTGACGAGCAGGACATCCTCTTCCTTCTCGGATGAGAGCAGGGGATGGGAGAAGACCTCCGCCAGTGAGGAGAAAGCTGAGCTCTGATGAAACTCCACGGGCACAAGAGAAGGATTCTTGGGATGAAGAAGCTCGGACACTAGATATGCGAGATAGGCGGGAGCAGAGGCTACGAACGACTTGTACGTCACAGTTGTGAATCCTGCAGAGGCAGAGGTGTCTTGAATGTACTTGAACTGGCATGAGAGGGGCAATTCAGCTGCTTAGTTCACTTTACCATCGATCTGCGACGAATGCTGTACTCACATCGGGCACCAGATCTTCGAACCAGAAATCCCTCTCGCCCTTCGTGATGCTTGTGAAAGGCACGAGCTCCATGGTCTCTCTTGGCACCTCTCTCCGGTCTACCATCTCCAACCATCTCACAAATGTAGCTCTATCTCTTCTCTGAGTCTCCTTGTCCTCCAAAGGAGCGAAAGAGCACCAGTTGAAGCCGGCCCACGGCGAAGCCCAGTCCTGTGAGTCAAGCGGGGATGCCGTACCCGAGGCCTCGGTCTCTGAGATTGCACTGGGAGGGACATCACGAGCTATGATGCTTACACGATAGCCGCGAATTTGAAGCTCGAGTGCGACACTGAGGCCAATGACTGTGATGAGAGTATCGAGGGAAATGTTGAAATGAGAGATAGGCGAGAAGGAGGATGATTAGCCTGTGCTGAGCTTTAGCTGATTTCGCAAGAGGTTCGGACAGAATGTAAGGAAGGGCCGGAGCCTTCTGCCAGAGTCTCATACTAACCTCCCGAGCCGAGGACGAAGACTCTCTTCTCTGGCATGGTACCCGAGAGAGGCGCTGAAGAAGTGGTAGACGATGGCGAGATGAAGAGGGAGGGTAGGGGAAAAAGGAAGCCGAGCTTCGTCCGAGTCACAAGGCGCAGGCACGGGCCCACGTTGGGCGTCCGTAGTAAAGAGAAGCAGAGGGAGGGAAAAGGGCATGAAACTATTATAGAAGCGATGGAAGTAAGCAGGTACAGCAGCATGAGGAGATGAGACGCAAACAAAGGAATGAACAGAGCCTCTGCAGAGAGGGTTGCAGCTTGTTCAGCGCAATCTACCTCTACTGTGAGCTGAAGCAGAGAGGCCCCCCGATTTGTGGGCGCCCTCAGTCGCGCCTTTCGCTGGCAGGAAGCGTCAAAGCTGCACCCTGTCTGGCGAACCAGCGGGTGATGTCGGTCGTGTAGGGAGCCACGAAGTCGCCCGTCAGGACCACTTGGATGACGTCTGTGTCAATGCTTGTGAGAGCCTCTGAAGGCTCATTGATGGGTGGTATCATTGGTGAGGGTATCGAGGGAGTCCTGTTGGGTTGAAGAGGGATGCACAGATTGTCAATTGACCCGTTCTACACTCAAGGGATCCTGATACAACTCACTTTGGAAGTCTGACGAGAGAGGCGCGGACCCTATACCTTCCTCTGGATCTGATGCATAGTTCTGGGAAGATAAAATATGTTGCGTAGGAGGTGCCCTCTTCCACAGGCCGTCGAAAACGCTGCGGGCTCGCGACGAGACTACCATAGAGCATTCGCACTCCCGTAGTTGGCGCGACTGTAGTCGAGGCAGTCGAAGAAAGTGAAGGACTCGCAGAGCGGCTCAGGCTGGACGATGGTGTCGCTCGCTGTTCGGAGGGGTGAGTCTGCATCCGAGCTTCTCTCGACATCCCCAGAGAGGAGTTCGGTGCCCTTACAGGCGCGATCAGGTCTGCAGGCTCGCCTTGCTCGGTCACCAAGCTAGCCTGGCAGACGAGGAAGGGCTCTTCATCATAACTATGGAAACAGGAAGGGAGGACGTCAGCGCTTTGCACCACGGATGCCCTCTGTAGGCGTCCCTATCCCGCTCTCACTCACCTGGAAATTTCCCTGCCTTCACTGTCGCTGACCTTCAGCCGGAGAATCAGAGGGGGAGAGCACGGGACCCGAGAGAGTAGATTACTGCCGAACGCGCATCCACATGTCACTTGTTGGACTACGATGAGGTGATAATGACTGTCACAGCAAAGGGCGAGTATAGAGAGTCAGTTCACCCATAAACAGAAGCCCATGCAATGGGCAGTGTACTCACCGCTCGTGCAAGTCAATAGGAGGCAGCCTATCACGACTGCTGTCTGCCCGAGCACTGCCCGTCAAACTACTCTGCCGGCTTCCCATACCGCTACTTCCACTGAAAGATATTCTCGTCGAGGGTCCTGCGCGCTGACTAGGCGGTGTGCTCTGAGAAGAGTCTCCCATGCCATCGTCTTCCCTCCTCCGTTTCCCTCTGCTGCTGGTCGACACACCGGAAGTGGAAGCCCGCCTTGAAGAGTCTAGAGCGCTGACAGTGGGTCGCATGTCAGGCCTGTTCCAGTCTACGTCTGGACTCCGATTGGGCAACGAAGACCGTCGTCGAGGATGCCTTATTGAGCGTTCACCAGGTATAGGCGGTGTAGAGATGGGGACAAATGAGGAACTTGTGGGTGACACCGCGAGGTCATGACTGGAGCTGAGATGCTGCGACGATGTGTGTGGCTGCGCCATACTCTGAAGAGGGGCATTGCCGTAATAGCGGCTCTCAGCTGATCTTTCGGATCTTCGTTGCCGAGCCGAGGGAAGCGCTATTGTACTGAGTGTGCTTGTCTCTTCTTCGTGCCTTGGCGGGAAGCTATGATGGAAGCTCGACCGTCTCAAGGATGATGGTGATGAGGCAAGAGAAGAGTGCGGAGTCGAAGAAACAAGGGGCTCTTGACGTGGCCGCGATTGTACCTCGTTGCTGGCACTTTCGAGCCGTAAATTTGACTCTGCATCCGCGATCGAGCGATGAGGAGGAACATCTGATAATGGTCCCAGGGAGTCCGCGGTGGATGCAGACTGGATTGAATGTGCGGTTCCTGGTTGCTCTGCCTGCGTCGAGGGACTCAGCACTTGGTCCTGACCTGCCCTGTTCGGCTCACTTTCTGTTCCAGAAGGTGAAGCTGCAAGGTCGTCTCGCCTGCTGCCTTCTGGGACAGGACTGGCTCCTCTAGAAGAGGGTGCCATTGCCATGAGCCAAGGCCAGAGGCAAGGCGCGTGAATGAGGTACGAGCAATGCCCTCGAAGACTGTGGCGAGGTAGAGGCACCTCTGCCTCTGGCGCGTCTTTCCTCGAACTTCCAATTCACACTTGCAGCTTTCGAGTCACAGGTGCGAGGCGCAGCAACTCCATCCGAGAGATGTGGAGCAGTTGACGTGAGACGAGCCAGTCACTCGAGGGAAGTGATGATAAGGTCGCGATGATATGATTGTGGATGACAGGCGCGTAATGGAAAACAGAACGGCAACGAGGTATTGACGTTAACACGGAAGGAAGGGTCTGATCATCCAAAAGGGGGAGAGATGGAGAGGGCAACGCCCTACATGGAAGCAAATGCCTCCATCGGGCCCAGACAGTGCTCCTGCCTACTCCGTCTGGCTCGGCGCATCTTCCTGTCAGGCCGAGGCAGAGACATCAAGCTCCTTTCTTCCGTGAGACATCGCGCCGGGAGTGTCTCAGATGGTCCTTGGCCAGTCGCAACGGCAATCGCTCCGCACCAGATTGCACCTACATCGGGGCAAGAGGAGAGCAAGGCGCAGCTGGAAACGGGCAAGCGAGTGAGATTGACAGTCCGTCCCAGACTCTTGGGTCTCCTCTGCCCGCGTATTGAAAATCCGACGGGGCCTCGACATCATCTCGCTTGGGAAGCGACGTTGTGCCCGATTCTATTTCAAGCGGAGGTAGGAAATTCTAGCGGAGATATCCGTCGCCAAACTTTCGAAACTTTGTGGGCGGCTTTCGGAGACGCCTGACCCGACCTGAATGGCCGTGAGCACAGCTGCCTCCGCTCCCATCAGTCTCTGCAAGCCCCCCACAATGCAAGGAGACGGGTAGCAGCGGCATCATGGTAGGTGCAGAAGGGCAAGCAGCGGCAACCTGGGTGAGCCAAGTCATCGGCATTTGGCTTTGGAGCTGCTCAGGACACTGTATCTCTTTGGCGTGCTTCTGCAGGCCTGCCTCAGACGTAAAGAGGATCAGCCGAGAGCCGGATTCCCCGTATGACCACAGATCTGCGGAAAGTGAGGCAATGGTAGAGTGAGACCGGCGTGGGCAAGGGTAGAGCACTGGCAAATTCCGCGCTGGTGGTGTCTGATCTCGACTCCCAAGATAACGGTAGGTATTTTCATCCTCCATGATCGGGGAACTGCCACTTGCTGCTGCCGAGGTCAAGGGTCCTCTGCTATGGGAAGCGAACCAAGTGCATCGTATGCCGAGCCTCGGCCGAGAGAGCGGGGCGCAGGGGAGCCGGGGGGCGGGGGGGGGGGGGGGGGGGGGGGTCCCTTGCGCGGCACCAGACGGAAAGACCCACGTGACAGTCGCGACGAGTGTTGGTTGAGCCAAGATCTACACTTCGCTCCTCCGTCACTCAACAGCAGCCGCCGCACGTCACACTCCGTCCCGGATCTTTCTGTCTATTGTACTCATCTCCGCTTTGGTTCTCATCCTCAACTTTCAAGACCTCGTTATCCCACTTTGTTGCAAGAGCCAGCAAGCGCTCGACCTCTACATCTTTCACTGGACACACGCATCAGCAGAGTCACCCCCTCAAGACGTGGCTCAGATGTCCTCCTCACCTATCGCCACCAAATCTGATGTCCTTGTCGCCTCGAGCAGTGGTTGGTCATCTCAGCGTCCCAACCGACCAGAGATTCTCAGTCCGTCAAGCGAAAGCAGTGGCCATGGTCGAGCCCTGAGTACATCAGAGAGCGGCAGTCCCTCGAGGCCTAGCCGTCCCTTCGACCCAAATGCCCTACGTAGTCGTGCGTATGTTTCGAACAGCCCCTTTAAGAAGCCAACGGAAAGTCAAGCTACCCTCCTCAATCTTCAAGATACTCCCACGTCGCCCACTGTTACAAGGATGGGCGTAGGTCTGGGCATTGGTGTTGCAGCGGAAACGAGAGGTACAAGCAGCTCAGATGCCTTGCCACGCTCTCCTGAGCTCAACGAATACACTTCTGCCCCGAGCAGCCCTGGCAAAAGTCTACACCCCAGTGCTCAAGCCCCGCGACAGAGTAGAGGATTCGAGGTCCTGACGAAGAGCTCATATGTATCCAGTAGTCCATTCAAGCAGCCAAATGCCCCCCAGTCACCAGATGCAACGGAGAACATTCCCCGGACGCGACCCCTATCGATCTCTCTTTCCCCAAAGAGAATGCAGCGATCTCACTTGAGCTCACCGCCATCGACACCTAGCCGACAGCATCCTACGCAAGATGCACAATCCGAGCTGACGCCTCGCGGCGCTTCATCATCCACCCGGACTCACACAGCTACAACCCCCCGAAGCTTGGCTCAAGCCAACCGCTCAAATGACCCTCGCGAACCCGGTAGAGACCGCGAAGATGGTGACTGCGAAGAGCCTGGTGCAGGCAGACGCAAGACTGTTACATTCCACGACGAGCTGGACGTCCAAGAATTCGATGGCGAGAGCAGCTTTGCCGGCAGCAGTCTGAGATTCAACGGTGACGATCCCTCAGAGACGGCCTCAGAAATGCAGCAGCAGCGAGGCAACTCAGTGGACTCAGTATCGGACTCCGAGTTCTGGTTGACCAATGGAGGGACGGTCAAGCAACAGCGAGTCATGATGGTCAACAACACTGCTAGCGCCTCGTCGAGCCCGGAGATGTCGGATCTGCCTACCGACGATGAAGACAATTGCTCCTTGACTTCGACGGAGTCCCGAGCAGTTTCTGCCTCGGAGGCCTCCGAAGCTGCAGAGCCTTCTAGCCCAGCCTTTATGATTCCTGCCTCTTCGCCAATGGAGGAGTTCTCCTTGACATTCGGAAAAAGCTTCCAATCAAGCTCACCTCCTGGTGACACCAGCATCGCTACCCTTGGAGGCATCAATCGCATTGACAGCCTCGTCGACGAGCTCTTGCAAACCGATCTGCTCGCCAAGCCAGCCCATGTATCTCCTGCTACCCCAATACAGACCTGCCAACCGAGCATGCTCGCTAGCCCTAGCAGCCCTGCAAGTAGACCGGCAACCGCGACTGCTCGCTCCCTTGCCGCTCGCCTATCTGCTGCTTGCACCGTAAAGTCTCCAGCATCTCCGTCGCAAGCGTCAATGTCTGAGTCAGAACATACCGCCCCCGCTCCAGCACAAGCATCAGTCTCTCATACGAGCAGCGCTGACGAGACTTGTTTGGAGCAGCCCAACAGGTCTTCAACCGCAGATCCGGCCGTTGAAGCTTTGGCTCGAGCCCTGCCGCCACCCCCTTCCGAAATTGATGAGTGGGAGTCGCAGGGCAGAAACACGCACTCGAGTACGCTTGGCATTACACTGCCGACCCTTCCAAGCTGGAGCCCACTTCTGCTCGACAGTCAAAGGATGCCAGAGGTTGAACAAGCTCCATTGTCTCCAGTGGCACCTTCTCAGCCGGTCGCAACGACTTCGCGCAGCAGAGCCGGGGGACGCCCGCACATTTCGAGAGACGCGGTGCTGGAACGAGTTGCAAGCCAAAAGCGAGCTCAAGCCGAGGCCGCCGAAAGGGAAGCAGCCGCAATGGCCGACCTGGCAGATACGTCCTTGCCCTCTTCCTCCAGTCTCAGCGAGGCGCCTCTCAAGGGCCGTCCATCGGCGCCCGCGGGCAGTATTCGACCCGCTCAGAGCATGACTTTGTCGACTGTCCCTCAGAGACCGACCGCGGGTCCTCGTCCCCACGTCGAGGCAACCAGCTTCGAGGTGAGGCAAGAGCCGCGGCCCATTGCCCTCGAGGAAGCTACCATCGGGGCTGATGCCAGCCCTCTGGAGAAGCTGAGCGAGAGTCTTGCCCAACAGGCAGAGGGGTCGAAGCCCTCTGATTATCAGAATGACGTATCAACTACACCGACACAAGCCGCTGCGTCATTAGCCTCTAGCGAAGCCCCTCTGACGCAAACTTCCACGGCAACATCGAGCTCCACAGTGACGCCAACGTCTGAGGCATCGACAAGTGGGCTCACGCCCAGTGTCTCTGGCTCGGCAACCTCAGAGCTCATCCTGCGCCAGAGGAGGAGCAAGTTGGCGTTGAGGAAGCGCAGCGTCAGCACCGGTGATGCAGTTTCCCCTTTTGCTCGACCAGCAGAACAGGCAGCTGTAAAGGGCGAAGACGATGTCTCAGCTCCGGACTTCACCACTACGCGCACCCGCGCCAGCATTGACCAGGGACTGAAATTGGACAAGCTAGATCTAGACACTAGCGTACAGAAAGCTCTAGACGTCGGCTTTGGCAATGGTCTCTGTCGAGACATTAGTCGAATCTTCCGCGAGGGTGACAACCCATATAACGTGAAGGACCAAGGGACCTACTCTGCAGCCGTGGACGACAAGGTCTCTCACTCCCGTCAGGCAGGCGATGTCGACTCTGGCAAAGCTTGGAGGAAGCTGCGACGACCCAGCGACATCAACGAGTATGCAGAGGAGATGCGAGCATACCGTGCGAGCGAGAATCCAAAGAAGGCGGCGGGCAAAGTCTTTGTTTCTGTCGAGTCATTCCAGCCCGCTAACCTCGGCGTCCCCTTCGTGGCCACCACGCGCTTCTTCTCCATCCTGGACAATGGTCTTCACGTCGTCAAGACGGGCATGTCAACGCTGAGACCAGGCCAAGGGTCAGTCAGTTCCATCAAGCAGGAATTTGAGCTGATTCAACACAAGAATCTCGAATTCAGTTTGACCCTCTATGTTCAGAGGGATGCTCACCTGATTCAGGCTGCCAAATCGCGACAGGTCTCGGCAGCAGTAGCCACACCACCAGCAAGCCCAACGAAGAAGTCTTTCATGAGCCGACTTCTCCGGAGTCCCAAGAAGCAGGCAAGTCGCGCCGATGCGGCAGAAAAGCCTGCTGAGCCATCTCTGATGTCGTTCCTGAATCAAGAGGGAGCTCTTGGCAAGGTCAACATCGTCTTTGAGAAGGTGGCCTCGAAGTGCCTGGGCAAAGCACTCACCCTAGAATTGCCAGTGTATGGCGTCGCCGACCCTCCGTCTGCCCTCTCACGGAACAGTGTGGACTCTCGCTCTGGCTCCAACCTCTCACGCAACGTCAACTCAAGTCGAGGAACGCTCAAGATCACCTTGTTCTACCTGCCTCCTATGCCTAGTGTACCAAAGCAGATGCTGCCGCAGAACATGCAAGAGTGTATCAAAGGTATGCAGTACGCCAAGTGGCACCACGGTGGAGAGAGGCTATCAGGGACTCTGACTCAACAGGGCGGTGACTGCAGCACGTGGCGAAGACGACCTGTCAAGGCGCAAAGCTCGTACCTGGTGTGCTACAACGAAATCACCAAGAGACCCACGGTGAAGATCGATCTCTCCAAGGCTGAGAAGATCGAAGAAGCCTGGGATCCTTATAGCTCTGACCCAGTCAGGAAGAACGGAGCCTCCACCAAGACTCGCAGTGGTGCTGTGATCCACAAGTATAATGTCACCGAGGAGTCCGACGAGTCGTGCAACGTGCCGAGGTCATTCCGAATCACCTTTGCAGACGGTGAGAGGATTTCCTTCTTTGCTGATACGGATGAGGAGAAGGTGCAATGGATCGAGGCTATGGCGGAGATGATCCACACACCTCGACCTCCCAATCCAATGTGGGCTCAGGTGGCCTTTGAAACCATTCGAGATGCTGCTCAGAGCAGTACCCAGCCTGGCGCCACTTCCTCGTCCTCTGCAAACGGTCAGCAGACGTCCGGAAGTGCAGTCGCCGCCAAGCGTGCTGTTGCAACCCCTGCCACAGTCCGAGAAGAGTCGATCAGCGCAGCCAACACTCCACAGAGAGCTGTCCCTTCCAAGGCCGCTGCGAACCCTGCCCTTGCCAAGGTTGCTACCGGCAGCCGGCCCTTCAGCACTCCCACTTCAAGCAGAACGCCTGCACCTCGTCCACTGAGCCAGAGCCTGAGTCAGCAGACCCACTCCAGGCCCACCTCGCCTATCAAGCCTTCTACGCTTCCCTTAGCCACCAAGCGAATGCCACCCGTCTCGAGCTCGGGCAATGCAGCTGCAGCCCTCCTCAGCAACAGCAACAGCAGTGGTACAGGTACCGGTAGCGCTAGAGGTACTCCCTCTTCGACGCGCAAGACGAGCAGTAGAGCCGCTCCTCCTGCACCTACGGTGCCTCCCAGGAGGGCAAGTGTGAGCTTTACCCCTACGAGGAAAGCTCCTAGTGCGCCTTCCAAGAGTTGAGCAGCAAGACTACTCTACTTCCTGCTACTAGTCGTCCCACTTTGACCTTTCTTTCACTTTCCCCCATTCTCGTCGTCCCATCTTTCGCTTCATCTCCTGCTGCATCTCTGCAAGCACCTTTTTGTTCCCTTTGACGCCTTGCCTGTGTCTTTCGCCGTACCCGGCCATGGACATTTCCCTCTGCACCCCATCTCGCCCCAGTACCCGTTGCTTCCTTTTCCATCCTTGATCTTCTGCATTCTTGACTGCTGCCACAATGCCCCATTCCCTTCTTTGTCTTTTCCTCTCAGACTGCGCGAATGTGATCCAGTCAAATGCAGAGACGTCTGAAGTAAGAGGGTATGAAAGATGTATGTATTCCAAACGACGAGCAAAAAAGGGAAAATTGAAATGTCCCACCATCCAGCTCCTCACACATCCCATCTCCCCGCTCCCACCTTCCCCACAACCTTTTCACAGTTGCGAGGCATGATAGTTGCAGGATACACAGAATGCGCGAGTATCCCAAAGGATATCCCTCCCCCCACTTTATAAGGGTTTCCTTTCTAGGCCTAGTAGAGCATAGAAAGGAGGAGGGGAGGACTGGAGTGTGATGGGTGTTCTGCTCCTCGAAAGAGGAGAGAAAGATGCATCTGTGGACCTACCAGGAACCGCTTTTCTCGGTTAGAGTTTCTCCCCAAGAGGGGAGGACCGGGCGGGCAGAAGGGTCCTGAGATTGTGTGTGTGAGTGTGGAGGGTGAAGGAAGGAAGAAAGGAAGGTGGTCGAGGACAGGGGGAAAAGGGGAGCAAGGGGACAAGAGGCCAGCTAGCGTACAGGCAGATCGAGCATCAGAGTGTATGGGCATACGACGTCTTGCATGATGTACCAAGTGGCATTACAGCCATACCGACGCACGACGTTGTTGGATGTGATGGATCAGAAGACAGGGATGGAACGAGCCAAGGCCGCGACTTGAGATCTTCTTCCTTTGATCGTCGTCGCCTTTGTCTCCTCGCAGCCTCGCGTTGCGCGCGCGCTCCTCGTCGAGTGTTGATGTGAGTCGGAGGGCCCCCCACGCTTCCCTTTCCGCTGCAGCCAAGGGACCACGACGATCATCACCGTCAAGACGACGACGACGAGGAGAAGCTGCGTCTACTTCACAACCTCATCGCGACACCCAACACCATCACCTATTCGTACCTCACATAGCCATCATGGTACCCAACGGTGTACACCATGCAGACCTCTCTTCCAGCTCTGGCGCTACAGCTCCTCCCGCTCAGCAGCAACAGCAGCAAGCAGCCAGGGCCGTCATCAAGAATGTAGACATGTCTGACGAAATGCAACAGCTTGCAGTCGATACTGCTCAAGATGCACTGAACAAGTTCACAGTCGAGAAGGATATTGCGGCTCATATCAAGAGGGAGATGGACAGACAGTGTGGACCTACTTGGCATACCGTAGTGGGAGCAAATTGTGAGTATTTGGCGCAGCAGGTAGGCTGACAAGCTTAAGGGGTAGAGAGCTGACCGATGAGGCCTCCCTCACCTACAAATACTCTCTGTTGCAATCTCCTAGTCGGATCGTATGTCACACATGGTGAGCGATGACTGCATTGAGCTTCGCGCTCCTCACTCTACTGACCTCATCCCTTGTCGCTCCCTCAATACAACTTCCTTTCCCTCCCCACCTCTCTTCCCATCACAGAAACAAACCACTTCATTTGTCAGTATCCCAGCTCACAGCAGTGTCCACAACAAGTCGATTTTCTCCGAGGTACAGCTCCATCGTACTGGACACTGACCCATCTTTGTTCGTCTGGCTCCCCCTCCCCTCCACATGCTTCATCTACCATTGCACACACCAGCAGACTTTTACCTTGGCAAGATTGCATTCCTCATCTGGAGGGCTTGAGAGGGCGGGAGATTGCCGTCACTGCTACAAGGAGCAAGCGACCTTGAGTCTCAGTCTCAAGAAGGAAGGGAGGGAGGGCAGCAGGAAGGGGGAGAAGGAAGGAGGAGGGAGCCGCGGGTGTGGTCAAAGGAGGGAGGGGATAGAGGGAGGAACTTCGAGGGAGCTTGTATACATATCACACTCATATACACACACACACACACGACCCAAAATACTTGCGATCTACCCAATCGACACATTTCAAAAGATCACGCTTAAGTGCCACCCCCTGCTGTGAGCTGCTGGATAAAGACCTCTTGAAAATTTCCCTATTAGAGGGGCCGAAAGATGTACAGAGCGGCAACGGTCTTTCTAATTTTAGCTCCCGGCAAAGGAAATAAAAGCCTCAGATCTTCTATGGCTGACCGTTCAAGTGCGGCTACTGGTCTGAAAGATCTTTCTCCTTGGTGGTCCTCGTCGTCATCGACGGCATTCTACGAGCTCCAATCCTTCTTCCCAAGGGCATGAACCTCCCCGTCGTCCTGCTCATCGCCAAATCCGCCTACTATCTCGCCTCGGCCAACACTGGGCGGAGCCACCTCTCCATCATCGCTGGAGACTGCTCCTCTTTCCTCATCGCTGGAAACATCGCCCTCCGCCTCGTCCGAAGCGATACTCTCGTCGCCCGCTGCACCGCTATCAGGGGCTGAAGAAGTCACTCCCGCAACCTCGTCATAGTCATCATCGCCTCCATCCCCAATTCCAGCCCCACCCCGAGCTCGAGGGGTATATCGTGGTGGTTCTTGTTGGTGTGGCAGATGATGAGCAGCTGCCGGACCTAGCAGAGCAGTACTTCCACTACTGCTACTGCTGTCTTGCTGTCTTCCCACACCGCGATACACCGCCTCGGGCTCCTCAACATCGTCGTCGCTGTCGATCCACTGAGTCCTCCTTGCGCGTAAGCCTGAACGGATGGAAGATTCATGATAGCCACTAGGAGCACCGCCGAAGCTCTCAGGCGGGGTATCATCCTTTTCATATGGGTCGAAAGAGTTCGAGTCGTCTGGGGAGGGAGAGCTTCCAGGCGAGACGTATGGGTGGAAGCTTCCGGGCATCTGGTGCGAGTCGCGACCCCACGAGAGGGCGATAGGTGGCGCGTCCTCTGCATCGTCCGAATCGAGGGTGCGGGAAGAGGCATTTCTGCCCGTGTTTCTGTAGATACTCGAGGCCGCCTGGATGCCTGCCAGGGAAGAGGGACCGGCATAGGACGAAGACGGGTAGTCTTCGACGGTAACCTTCATCGTCTCGTCGCCTTCGTAGGGTGCGTCGAAAGCGGGAGGTCGCTGGGCAGCAGCAGCTTCCTCCCTGGCCCTGGCAGTCTTGACAATCTCCCTCGTCTTGCCACCGATAGCTCTAGTAGTCCTTCGACGGTAGAAGAGCAGATATGCCGCAGAGCTCTTGACCTCCTCTGGGTCGCGAATCTCTCGGACGTGAGAGTCGTCAAAGTAGTGCCACTTGCCGTCCAGGTCGTTCCTGGCACTGGCGGTATAGTGCCCGCCACCGAGTCCTCCGAAGTGATTGTCAACGGCAAAGAGATCGTAGATGGGCTTGTCAGATGTGACAGCATCGTCATTTGCTTCCGAAATGGCCGAGAGGATGCTGGCGCTCAGGTCCTCAGGGGCGGCCAATCCATCAGCAGCGGTAGGAGAAGCGCTGCCGCTGCTTTCTGCACTAGACGAATCATCTGTCATGCCGGCTGCCTTCTCTTCGTCTAATTGCTTCACCGCTTTAGCAGCCTCTACCCTAGCTGTCAGGTCCAGACCCTCGATGGGGAAGTCAACGACCGTCTCAATCTTGTCGCGCAGTCCCCTTCCAGCGCTGAACCTCTTCAAGTGAACGACGAGAATGTCGGGGACCTTCCACAGGTCGAACTTCTTGGTGGCTTGTCGGAAGTCCTTGCATTGAGGGCAGTACCATGGGTCTTCCTCACCCAATTTTTCCTCCTTGGTGAACTCATCGAGACAGTCATCGATGTGGAGCGTGTCTTTGCCTTTCCTCTTCTGCGTAGCTGCGATCTTGTCTTGAGTAGTCTGAGGGTCGTCCACCTCTTCTCGCAAGTCTCCCCACTCATTCTCAAGTGAGCTTGCTGACAAGAGCTCATTGGCGGCGCCACGGTTCCATACACAGACGAGAGCTCCTCCTGTGTAGACTAGTGGTACCGAAGGGCGTGAGGGAGGCGCAATCTCTTCTTCTGCGTTGGGTCCTTGGACACCAAGTCTTTCAGCTCGTTGGAGAAGGCCTTCACTCGCATCTTCCCAAGCTGTGCCATCGGTCAACAAAGGCTTACTCGAGCCGGGCGGAACGAGCATATACAGGATCTCGTAGGCCGGCAGTAAAGCCTGTGGTAGTTCTTCGATGATGCTCGGTCCTACAGCTGCAGCCGCTTCTTGGGACGAAGATCGACTTGCTGAAGTCTCGATGACATCACCGTTTGGCGTGATCTCGGCAAATGTGTCGCCCGAAATTTCATCAAGAGGCTTCTGCTGAGCGTTGATCATCTCCCAGCTGCCGTTGCCCGTGGCATCGTGCCCAAGAGGGGCAGCAGAGGTAGGATCTCCGGCGTTCAGAGGTCCTCGGGGAGGCTCAAACGTGGCCGCAAGCTCTGCAGCGTTTGGAGAGTATCGGCTGTACTGTTCCAAGACTGCTTGGTGGATTGCTTTTAAGTCATTGGCCTTGTCTTTAGGAATAGAGACAAAGAATGGCAGACCTCGGGGAGCAGCTTCATCGGGCACCTGGGTGAAAACAGGCAGCACTACATGCTCCTCCTTTTCGTGCTCCGACACAAGAGATGCATAGGCTCGGTTCTCGAATGCCTGAGGCTCGACGGGCCTTGGCTCGGAGTAGCTCCTTTGCTGCCCTTTGACCCTGGGTGGGCTCAGGGAGAAGTCTGCTGGGAGTTCCCAGAAAAAGACGTGGTCTGCTTTCTCGATGACATGGACCGGCTCGTAGTCGTAGTAGAAGCGCCAGAACTTGCGGTTGTAAGGTTCCCCGCCAATGAGCTGCAGTGGGGCGAGAAGCGAGCGATGGTGGTCGGTCAACCTCTTGGTCCTTCTCGTCTACTAAGACCGCCTTTGGACTCACCCTTTTGGGATTGGCACCGGTGACTTCACCGATGACCTGCTTTAGCTTTGACATGCTCGATTCATAGGACAAAGTCATGTTGATCTGTGGCGAGACCAAGGCACATGTGTTTGTTTGTCAGCCATGAGTAAACTTGCCTCTCGTATGACATTATACTCACCGTCTTTATAGGGCTCTGTGGGTCGTACGGAACGAAGGTGACCTGGTGCCTCCATTTTGCCTTGCTTGGAAGCGGTAATGTTAGGTACATGAAGGGATCAAACTTGATGGAAACCTTTGAGCATTCGGGGCACACCAGCGTAGAGCGATATTGTCCTTGGAACAAGTCGACAATGACCGAGTCGTTCCTTGCTTTGTAGATCTCCCACTGCTTCTTGGCGAACTTGACCATCTCCTTGAGCCCCCCACCCTGCCAGTCGGGCGACTCGATATATGGCTTCTTCTTGATTCGGTTGAGATCTTCGTGGAGTCCGTCCAGGAGGAAAGCCAGCAACTCCTGGGTGTCTTGTTGAGCATAGCCGGAGAATTGAGGAGCGAAGCGAGCGAGTGACCATTTGAAGTCTCGGGGCTGAAACGATGTTCCAAAGCCAGACCAAAGCTGCTGAATGAGATGACCAAATGCCTCAGCAAGAGCTCCTTTGTTACCAAGTGGGTTGTCCACATTGATCTCATCCTCGAATACTTTGGAGACGAAATAGTCCCTTAGCTCGGGAGTGTTCGATAAGCACTGCAAGGCCGAATTCATGAAACATGTATTGCCCATGTTCGACAAGCCTTTCAGACCCAAGATAACGCCACTTGAACGCTCACTGGCGGTCTTGGAGCGTGTACTCATCGCTCTTGGCGCATGAGTCGCACCCTGAGGCTCAGGGATAGCAACTGGTCCCGGGGACGCTTGTTGGAGCTTGGAGAAAGAGTCACCTCCCGTTTGCGCGAAGATGTTCCGCACGCTGGCCTTGGCAGGCGATTGCACCTCTGCACGATCAGAAGGCCAAACGCCGTCTGATCCTTTGACTTCGACACCGAACGGCTGAACCTGTCCGGGAGGTCGAGTGAGAAGAGCAGCCAATTGCTCGGACAGCATTGCTTCTTCAACGGTCTCATAGCCTTCTGCAGCCTGGGCCTCCCGGGCGTTGAGCTCAACCACAGAAGAGACGTTATCTGGCAGTGTCCAGAGCCGCACGTCTGCCTCGCTGTCCACCTTGATCTGCAGTTCCACCATTGCACGCTGACGTACCTCTAGCAGCGGTGTGGCTCGCGAGATGACTGCTATAGGTATCTCTGTCGTATTCTGCCCAGTGATCGGGGACACAAGCCGAGTGAAGCTGATCATGGGTACGTAAAGCTCGAGTGTGACGGTGTTTCCATCAGGTCCTAGAACGCAATGCCTCGGGAAGACTGGTCCACTGACTCCGTACCAGCTTGCAAGGAGATTCCAAGCTTCAGCAGGCACCAGCTCGAAATTGACTTGCTCCCGAAGATCCGGCGCAAGAGATGCTTGACCAAGAGAGTTGTCGGCATCAACGGCGAGCAGGTCTGAGTTGTCGATGGCTCCGACGTTGTGTTGGACTTCGCTACCAGGAACCTCCTTTGCGGCGTCACAGAATGCTGCCCACTTCTTGAACCACGTCGTTGAGGCAAGATACCAGGTATCGCCTGATTTGAGAGGTAGGGTCATAAGCTCTCTGATGCTGCCAGCTTGTTCGGTCGCAGAGGGCGCATTCTGTGTGGGAGCTGTTCCTGCTGTTGTGCGAAGCAAGGGGGAAGCCATGGCGGAATCAGGAGGTGGGGTGGGCTCATCTAGCCGGAGAGCCTTGGCGTCAATGATGCCCCCAAGAGATGATCCTGCGTCACTCATCGGATGTGATTGCAGATAAGCGGTCTCTTGGTGAGGGCGATGCAAGTGTTGACCGGAGTGATGATTGGAAGATTGCACACTCGGGCTCTCGACGTCACCAAAGTCCGAATTGGCAGCCGAGTAGGTAGCACCAGCTTCAGACCCAGGCGAAGATGTTCTAGCCCGCTTGAAAGCGTTGACCTGGGAAGCAGCGCTGCCGGTCGAGATGGGGAATTTGCGCCGCGGCGAATCTGATCTAGGGTATGGATCCTGAGAGTGCGTCGCCGGGCCAAGGGACGACGAGACCGGTGGTATCGGGTAGAAGGGCGCTGAAGCTGAGGTCGTAGCCTGAGGAGAGTGCTCCTGCTGCTCCCTGGGCGAATACCGAGGTGGCAGTGTAGCCGCTGCCTGATGCTCGTCGTCGACTGGTGCCTGTCCCTGCTCGGCTTGCGAGGCAGAGGGCTGAGGAGGAGTAGCCCTTGCAGAGGTTGGTGATAGATGAAGTGGATGGGCCTGGTCAGAGCTTTGTTGGTGGTTGAGCCGTTCAGACATACCAAGAGTCTTGCGGTCTAATGGTGGAAAGAGGGAGTGCCTGCTACCCTACAGCGGGAAGGACGCTCGGAGGAGTGTATTTTCGACTGGACAAGGGGCGGGATGCGCCCTTACCGATTTGAGATCCAGAAGAGAGAGAGGGTGCAGAGCATGGGGCCACACTATGGGCAGACGACGGCGAAGACGAGCACGCGGGAGCTGGTAGGTGGCAGATGCCAATGTGGAGAGTTGCCGTCGTCTACGAGTGTCGGTAGGATGAGGAGGGGGAAGGGAATGGTGCTCTGAGCGGGCAGCCGTCGTCGTCGTCGTCGTCGTCCGTTTCTCCACTCGGCGATTTCTTTCCGCGCGAGAATATTTGAGTGCACCTCGGACTGACTCCAGGCCTCCTCCCTCACCCTGACTCCCTCCTTCTACCACCCGCCACTGCAATGTCTGCACAACATACCATGACCAGGCTTCTCAGGACAAGTAGCCTTCAAGCTGTTGCTGGACCATCAACACTCAGGCTTCAAGCCGGAGTCGGGGCAGCGGTCCTGGCGCCAAGTCAGCCCTGTGCAAAGAGGTCTTACGGCAGCCTTTCTCGTCCACCTCGCATTGCTCCGCGGGTTCAGCCCTCGCCTTTCCCCCAGATTCCTCGCCGATTCGCTTCCTCTCTCCCAAACGAGCCATCTGAGTCAGAGCAGAGGGAGAAGGCAAAGGACAGGGCCGCAGTCGGCGTAAGTGGGCTTGGCGATTCTGAAGTTGCGTGCGAAGACCTGTGGCTAATGCTGCCGGACTATACCCGCCTTGCGCTCATCTTACTTCACAGCCTTTCAATGCTCGAGCAGCTGCACTTTTCATCGTCACGGGTGTAGGTCTCTTCATCTACTTTCAGCATGAGCGGTCCCAGGTGGCAGCCAGGAAAGCAGCCGACACCGCCTCTGCCAAGGTGGGCCGGCCACGCATCGGAGGCCCCTTTGAGCTGACCATGGCCAGCGAAGAGGGCGGTTATCGTGTGACGCATGAGGACATCGAGGGAGCCTTCAGCTTGATCTACTTTGGGTTCACCAATTGCCCGGATATTTGCCCCGAGGAGCTGGACAAGATGGGAGAGGTCATCAAATCGGTCGGTGAGTATACCGAGCAAGCGGGATGGCTGGACTTGAAGCCAGAGCTGACATACCAGTCCTGCTTTTCCACGTACACGTTCAGACAAGGACCACGGCCCCATCATCAATCCCATTTTCATCTCTTGCGACCCCGCACGAGACAATCTTCAGCTGGTCTCTACGTACATCGCCGACTTCCACCCAAGGCTGGTGGGCCTGACGGGGCCCTACGAGGCAGTGAAAGCAGCCTGCAAGTCGTATCGAGTCTACTTCTCCACCCCGCCCAACGCGGACCCGTCGGGAGACTACCTCGTCGATCACAGTATCTTCTTCTATCTGATGGATCCAGAGGGGAGATTCGTCGATGCATTTGGAAGGAGCGCTGGCAAGGAAGAGGTAGAGACGAAAGTCAGGGATTATATCAAAAAGTGGAAGGACCAGGGTCTGCCGATCAGCAAGGCCGACTTGAAGGAGAGGGTCAAAGCCGATCCGAGCAGGAAAGTTGCGGCATGACCAGTGTACAATGGGCGAATACCATCATTACCATCACTCATCTTGACTTGTACAGGCCCAGAGCCGAATGCTGTGAATGTATGACATAAAAATACAATGGAAGGGAGCAGTTGACCACAGCAGATTCGAACCTGGTCATCCTCCTTGCAAGCTTCTGAACCAGGCCTGATATGCTCCTTCTACATCAAATAGCATCTGTCTCGCCTGATCCTGATCAATCTCATCACTCGCCTTGAGCTGATTAAGGGTAATCAGCCATCCGACCAACTTGCCCCTCTGACCCCCCTGCCCTTCCTCCCCTCCACCTCCCCCACTACGATTCCAACAGCTCACTGCTTCTCCTAGTAGAGGGTGAAGCTGATCCTTGGCTTTGAGATTGAGCTTGAGCGCGTCCATGAGTGTGATGAACGCCTGCGTTGTTTCGGCGACGTTCTTTGATCGGTCGGAGGCGGGGATGCCAGAGGGGGAGGAGGAACCGCCGCCGGGATGTTCGAGAGTAGCTGGAATACCAAGGGAGAGACGATGTGATGTTAGAGGGAGATCGAGCTGAGGAACCGAAAGGGGCGGACAAAGGAGACATGAGCGTCTATGTGAGTATATGCAATCTTGTAGGTGTCTGGCCGCCCATACGAGCCCCTACTACTCACGTCCCACAGCTTCATGAACTCGTCCAAGTCCCTGACACTCGGTGGGTCGTCCGGATGTGCCACTCCCGCTCCCGTGACGAGCTTGATGGACGTCTTTGCCTGTGCGAGTAATCTGGTGCAAGTAGGCGCATACTGGGCATCGGACACCGCCTGAGAGACATAGGCGCGCTCCAGGGCATCTATGGAGAGGATGAGAGAGTAGAGATTGGCGCTATTGTCCCATTTGTCGCGCGAGGAGGACGAGGTGTAGAGGACTGCCTCGCTGTAGGGGTTGATGGCGAGCGAGGCCATATCCGAGACGACTACAGCACAGGAGGTGGTATCAAGGTCCTGGCGTGTGTACCGGGTCCTAGACGACGTTGGCGCTTTGCCTTGGCGGCTGCTCCACTGCTCTTTCCGCGGAGGCGCCGTCCGTGCCCGACCCCACTCTGCCTTCTTCCGATATCGGTTCCTCACATTCACCCAGACCATCAGCATCACCACTACTAACAGGCTGCCATACGCTCTGAGTACTCCATGAGCGGTGGCTGAGGAGGTGCCACTACGCAACATGACCATTCCAGCGTCGCTTCAGGATGGCAGCTCGGCTCAGCCGGCGCCATTGCCGGCCGTCTCTAATCTAGCTACCAGTCTCCAGGCCAACATCGAGCGGTCCAGAGACAGTCGAGCGCCTGCTAACGGAGGAGATGCTACCGATGGGGTTCGCAACCGGAGAGATACTACCGATGGGGTTCGCAACCGGAGAGATACTACCTTCTACAAATCGGCTAGCATTTTCATAAATGAGCCTGTGGGAAGCATGAGTCTCAGTCCAGGTGAGTATGAAGAGCACAAGGGCACAATCCGATCTTTGCAGACCACAAAGGCTGCGATGCGATGGGGATCTCACGCTGCGATCCACGCTCACTTCTCTTCACAGCCAACCGAGACGTCGTTCTGGCCGCAAGGAAAGGCTTATACATTGTCGATCTCGAGTCACCCTTCGCTCCGCCCCGCTTCCTGGCTCAACTATCTACCTGGGAGGCAGCCGATGTCCAGTGGTCTCCTCACCCTTCCCGCGCTCACTGGGTCGCGAGTACCAGTAACGATCGCCTCTTGATCTGGAATCTCGATAGACCCGAAGGAGCTCCGCGAGGACCTCTTCCCCTGGCAAACCGCGACTCGGGCGTACATAGCGCCTCAGCTTCGACAAAGATCGCCGGCGGGACTTACACTACTGCTTCTACCTCTCCAACAGAGGGCACCTCGCCAAAATCTCAGTCTGTCAACCCGCTTCATCAGAGCCTCTCAGCTCCTGCCTCCACTTCTTCTCCTCGATCATCAGCAATCGAGTACGTACTGTCTGCTCATACAAGAGCTATCACAGATATCAATTTCTCTGCCCATCACCCCGATGTCCTCGCCTCCTGCGGAATCGACGCCTGGAGCTGGGTGTGGGATCTCAGGACGCCGTCGAAGCCCGTAGCGGGCTACTCTGCTTGGAATGCGCCGGCGACGCAGATCAAGTGGAACCGTTCTAGCCCGCATAGACTTGCCACAGCAGTAGACAATAAGGTGCTGATATGGGACGAGCGCAAGGGAGCGCTGCCCCTGGCTACCATTGAAGCTCACGTCAATCAGATCTATGGTCTGGATTGGAGTCGTGCTACATCAAGTAGAGGACTCGACTGCCTCGTCACCTGCTCCCTCGATGGAGCTGTCAAATTCTGGGATCTCGGCACCCCTGCTTCCCAAGCTGCCATTGCTACACGCTCTCTCGTCACCCAGCCAGAGCAAGTCATTCAGACGTCGACGCCAATTTGGAGAGCTCGTCACCTACCTTTCGGTAAAGGAGTGATGACTTTGCCTCAGCGTGGTGATACGACTCTGAGCATGTGGTCCAAAGAACATCCTGAGAACGGACCTGCGGAGCAGTTTGTCGGGCACAAGGACATCGTCAAGGAGTATCTCTTCCGATCCCGCGGAGGCGCCGATCCAGACAATGACGACCGAAGGTTCCAATTGATCACATGGAGCAAAGATCAGACTCTGAGGCTCTGGCCGGTGTCTGAAGACGCTATGAAAAAGGTTGGACATCGACCTGGAGCAAAGATCAAGGTGCTGCAAACCCGGAAGAACGCAAAAGACATCTCCTATCGGGATCCGCCGTACTTGATTGCGCAACGGCAACAGGGTAGGAGCCCTGCTGGCGGCAACGAGACGCGGCTTCCGAATATACACCACCAGCAACCTTCTGCTGGAACCTCTGCTGCCACTTCACCAGGTGGGGCCGCCGCACGTGTAGGGTCTACAGACCAGGGAGATTTCACGTCATCTCCTGTCCCTCTTCCGAGCAAGGGCCTTCTGAGCAGCTCATTGACAGATCGGACAGGAGGAGCGGGCCCTTTCTCACATTCTGCGGCCAGTCCATCCTCCCATCTGCTGTTGTCCAGATCATTTCCAAAGAGTGTCAGCAGGAGTCAGCCAGGGGCCAGTATCGGTGAGAAGGGCCAGTCGTATGGCTCCGTCTTGACGGTTGGTGGAGCCGCTTCGACGAGATCGCACGAGACTCGCCGCTCAGGCGGGGTAGCAAGTACCGGGACCTCGTCCTTCGTCGCCCCGGCAAATGCTTTAGCGGGCGGTCGGTACGCTTCCCTTCTCACTGCAAGAGCCGACCCGGGAGCGAGTGCTGGGGCGCAGAGCGGAGGCGAAAGTGCTGCGGTTCGTCGGTCGAAGCGAAGAAGCAAGCGCTTAGCACAGGGAGCCGCTTCAACGTACATGACTCGAGGGACTGGTGCCGCTCTAGGTGCAGACCTCCTGAGGATGAAGGTAGGCACGCTTTACAGCTCGCAGAGTCGACGTAGCCGGAACGAAGCGGTATCGTGGATCTCAGGCGTCAAGGTGGACAAGTACGACCACAGATCTCGAAGATCGAAGAGTGAAGAGATGAAACATAGTTCAAGTGCTGGAGACTTGGTATTGAAGAGACCGAGTGTCATGTCAAGAGGGGTCTCGGATGGCCTTGTAAGAAGCCCGATGGTCAGACACGATAGTGACGTGGACAAGAGCGGCGAAATTGATCTGCAAGAGGAAATCATTGATGTCAGCAAAGAGATTCCGCAGGTGTCATACGAGAAGGTGAGCCCATTGGCGTACTCGTCTCGACGATGAGACCAAGCTGACCCCGTTTCTGTTTTCTCGCAGGTTGACATCGCAAAGCGAGCCTGCATACTGTGCCTGTACGGCCCATGGGCCAAGGGCGGTCCGGTCTATATGCGACTTTCCCTCCGCTTCCCAGCCTCCTATCCTTCCGAAGCGCCCAAGTTTGATCTCGATCACAATGCCTTTGTCTCTCTTAAGACTAGGGCCTTTCTCCTCAGAGCACTGCGAGCTATCATTGCCGAGTGTGTTGCGCAACTCGAAGGCTGCATGAAGCCCTGTGCTCGTTTCCTGGCCGGCAGTCGCACCATAGAAGTGGGCGACGATGTTGTCCTCGCACCACAGAGTGCTCCCTTTGGCGAAGACTCGGACGAGGAAGAAGCTGCAACAGAGAAGGGAGGAGGCAAGATCCGAGGGCAGATGATTCGTCTTCTGCCTGGAGCAAGATGCGGAGCTAGCTTCAGTCCGAGTGGAGACTTGGTGATCTTCAACGTTGTCAAGACGCCGAGCCACTCTCGTGCCCAGTCTCGGCTACGTAACGTCATTGCCTCTATGCCTGAGCCTCCAACCATGGCTGGCGGTGGTGGTGGGGCAGGATCGAATGCAGGTACCTTTCAGCCAGACTCCACGGCCGCCTCAGTCAGTGCGACGGGCGCAGGAGCTCGTCCAGCCGGTGGGCGGTTTCTCACCTCGTACGCCTCGATCACCTCCGCCATGGACTCCTTGACGAAGATGGCCACCGAGGGAGGCGTTGAAGATGACTCTGGCAGGGGCCGCGCTTCGCACCTCGAGAAGTCTGCAGTGGACAAGGGAATGCCCGGTCCTGAGCTGATGCACTTGATGGATGCTCGCTTCCTCGCTCGTAGGCTGCAGGCTCGATCTGACTCAAAGAAGAATGGCGAGCAGAATGGAGCTGGTAGCAATGCCGACAGTGACGCTCCTCTTCCGCACGAGGCCACACCCAGCAGTCCGCAACGAGGTCGCGGCAGGCAGGGACCCGCTACCGCTCCTCTCGCCCCCCTATCCTCTCTAGACCACTCCGAAGTACACTCGCAAGTCTCCTCTCGCAACCCGTCGCGGGACATGAGTCCCTTGACCAAGCGCACTCCTCGCTCCCGATCTGTTGCGATCGGAAGGGATAGACACAATGCCTCTCCTTTGGTCGCTTCTGGTCGCTTGGTACATGCCCACTCGGAAGTTAAGATTTATAGAGTAGACGTTAGCGCGCTTACGCTGCGGATCTCTAGGCGCGAAGAGGAGCAGGAGGAGCAGGAGGCGATGGAGCGCGAGCAAAGGGCAATGAGAAGTGATGAGGTCAAAGTTGTGGACATGGCCAATTCTAGCAGGAGTAGGAGCCAAGAACACAAGAGGGGCAAAGGCCAGAGGTCTGGAGAGGAGGGCAACGAGGACGAAGGAGGTGATCCCGGTGGAGGGCGATCCAGGACTGAAGCGCTTGCCCGCCCGGCAATGGGGAGGAAACGATCTGCCAGCTCGCCAAGCACGCCGGTGCGCGCTCTGCAGTGATACTGTAGCACAGTGTGTTGAAGACAAAGGCAATGAAGGGGCCCAGGGGAGGAACATATTACCAATGTACTTTTAGACAATTGCGATGCTTCTTGCACCTCTCTCTTTGTGCTCACGCCCGCCATCACTCGCGGGATTCTTTCTCTAGAATTCTCTATTCCTGCTGTTGCTACGAATTATTTTGCGGGTACATGTAGTGTACGGAAAGCCAGCGACCTCTACAATCTCTTACCCGAGGTGGGCTGTCGCCCTTTTCCTACTCCCCGCGGCTCTCGCCCTCTTCAATCCAAGCCTGATGCCGCTTCAAGAGCTCAGCAACAATGTCCTCCTCAATCTCCTTGACTCCTCCCGCCTCATTCTTCTCCCCCTTGGCCAGGCGCAGCCATTTCGCCTCATACGTCCCATTCCCGTCCACCTTTCCATGTCCAATCTTGCGACTAACAAAACAGACTTCCTCTTTCCTCCTCGCCAAATCATTCGCCACGACGACTTGATGCCCATACCTCTCCAATGCTCCCTCTGCTTTTGGAATTAGAATGTCAGCATCCGTCTCGAGTTTAAAAGAGACGATGAAGGCTGCAGGAGCCCAGGATTGGACCATTGGACGGAGGACCTTGGGAACTTGGTCCATCTCGATTACGAGGGAGCCTTTGGAGGATTGGATCTTGTGTTGTGGCTGAGAGACGGGGGAAGGGAGGGAAGGGGAGAAACGGGGAAAGGTGTTCAGCCCTTGTCGTTCGGCAGTCAAGGTAGTTTCTGCAAGGCAAGACACAACTCACCGTCCTCTGGTTCGGCACGAAAAAGTCGCTCACGGCTGCCGCGAGGTAGTACATTCCCCTCCTCTTGAGCGGGCCCATTGCCGCGCTCATCTCCCTCAGCAAGAAGAGGTACTCATTCACCGTCACAAAGGGAAGACGGAGCAGGGTGCCTTGACCCCCTTGCTCTGGAGAGCGAGCGTGAGAGAGGTAGGACTGCAGGACAGGACGTAGCCCTTCGACGGCTGCTTCGTTTACACGGATGGAGGATGAGGACGAGGATGCGGTCTGGGACGTCTGCTCTGAGTCGAGAGATATGCTTGGGTCTTCCAGTAGGTCCAGAAAGGGATTGGTTGTGTGCGAGTAATGCCGTGTGTAGGGAGAGAGGGAGTGTTGCCGGTGCATGAATATGACTGCGTAGCCTTGCGAGAGAAAGTACTCTGCTGAAGTGGCTCCGCGAGTGCCAGCTGAGAAGTTGTCTAGGAATCGTACGCTGTACAATAAGAAGGCAACGCGAGCGATGTCAGTCAATGTCTTCGGGTGCAGTCAACATAGGTCAGCTACACACGAGACCACTCACACATTCTGCTCCAGAGGTACCGTCGTTCCTCCGCTCTATCGTTGAGAAGGTATTTCGATTCGAGAAGGAGGATATACGAAGCGGGCCAATCGTGGCAAACGAGGGACATGCGGGAAAGGGTGACAGGGAGAAGGAAGAAGACGCATCGCTGTTCAGAAAGACGAGCTCACTGACGCCGAGGAAATCGCCCTGCTCACTGTGCCGGCTCTCCTCCCTCTCTATTGGAAGACGAGCTCGTCCACCACCCTCGAATCGCTGCTATTCACCGTGACGAGGACGACCTTCCTTCCTGCAGCCCCATGCCTGTTCACAAACTCTCTAGCCTTTTCTCCAAATTCCTCCAGATTACTTGGTGGTGTCTGCGTCTCGAAGAAGCGGTCAGCAGAGAACGAAGAAGAGTCATCTCCTGCTTCCCGAGCCCGATCAGCATTGGTCTTCAGCTTCTCGTTCTCGATCTCCAGCTCCCGCAGCCGAGCGTCCCTTGCTGCCGAGTCCACCAGAAGGCGCTGAAGGTCGGATGCAAGATCACCCATACCCGAGGTCACGCCACGTCCGGCAGTCGAAGTGGAAGGAGAAGAGGATGAGGGTGTGTAGGTCTTGGAGGCCGCTGGCGATGCTGAGTAGGAAGCCGAAGAACCGTTCTCCCGCCTGGAAGGGGCGGGTAGAGTGGTAGACGTCTGTGCAGGCTCTGCTTTGGTGGCAGTAGCAGCCGGAGCAGGTGATGGCGCAGGAACAGAAGCAGCTGGAGTTGGCGCAGGAGCAGGGGCAGCAGCAGCGGTCCGCCGTGTCGGCTCGGGCAGGGGCTCGGAGCGAGTGGGTGCGGGAGCCTGTGTTGGCTCTGCGACCTTTGGAGGAGTGGGTGCTTGCGCAGGGGCAGGAGCGGGAGCGGAGCTTACGCTCGAAGAGGTCGGCGCCAGACCCTGCTCGGCGCTTACGCCCTTACCATCTTGCAGATTCAGCAGGTTCGGCAGCGCTGACTTGCCCCCGAAAAATTCATCGCTGTTCATTGCCGGAACAGCCGAGGGGGCTGGTGGGAAGATGTCTGTTTGGAACGAGTCCGCTCTCCTTGGGCAGATGAAGGAGATCGGCTGGACCATGTTGTTTGTCACTTTGTAGGCTCGAGCAATCTCATTCTCGTCGGCATTGAGATCCCGTCGCGGCAGGAACGTGAGCCCACGCTGAGGGTCGGTAGACTTGTACTCCGAGAGGTAATGCAGTTCGTCATTCTCCAGTTCGTAGTATCTCACATTGCCGTCTCCCTTTCCGGCAAGGAAAATGATTGAGTTGTCTGACCAGAAGGGCATAATGACACCACTCGATGTGTCTACGCTGACCGTCTTGAGCGGCTTGGTGAGGTTCTTGGAGTCCCACAAGAACATCTGGCGGTCGCTCGTCTTGCTGAATCCGGTGGTGATGACGCGGTCAGTGGATCCACACCAAATCACTCTTGATCCCTTGATACCCGGGTGACCGTCCGTCGTCTGTACAGCCGCACCTCCCTTACGAGCATCGAATGTCCGTAGCTTTCGATCACGGCAGGTGGCTATGAGGGTGTTTCCGGTCCAATCAAAGTCTATGGCTTGGATTGCGTCGCTGAAGCCGGTCAAGGTGGAGCGATCCTGTTGGGACTGGATATCCCACAGCTTGATGGTGTGGTCTCCTCCGGCGGCCGCGACGACGTTGGACGCGGTGGGATGAAAGAGGACCTGACCGATCTTTCTGCTGCTAGCAGCAATCTTGGCAGCCGGCGTCAAGTCCTTGACGCCTCCACTCCTTTCCAGCTCCTTTGCGCTCATATCCAGAACATCAAATGAGCTAGGGTCGATCTTCCACACCCCCAGATACCCATCATCGGCTCCCGACACGACGAGGCTATCGTCAAAGGGGCTGAAGGCGGTGTCGAGAACAGCAGCAGTGTGACCTCTGCATAGAGGATATACGTCTGGAAGCTTACCCGTCTTGGCAGTGGGGATGACGGCGAATGCTCCTCCACCGCCAGCCTGCCAATTGAGAGCTACATAGGACTTGTTGGCTGCGATGAGGTTGGTGTCCCAAGCATTGTTGGTCACCTTTACGTTCTGGTAGCACACCTCATTTTTGGCTGGGGAGCCATAGACGTGACGGTACTTGGAAGGACGCACGAAGCGACTCATGAGGGGCAGAGGAAGAGGAGGAGCGGACACCAGTAAGGAAGAGAGGGAGGGGGGAAGGAGGAGAAGAAGGCACGTCGGGAACAGGAAAGGGAAGGGCCACCAACGCAGGCAGGCCAGCACAGAGCGCGTCTCGCCCGTGCCACCCATGGCTTCTTCCGATCCGACATCCGGGCCAAGGTGGAGTCGACTCAGGGCTCAACGTCTAGCCGAGGTCCCCAATCACACCCGTACCGCCAACGCCATTGCTATTGCCCTCCAGGTTTCACTCAGCAGCGCCCCATATCAATCCCCATCTGAAGCTCCATCTGTCTGCATAGACTTCAGCAAGCGCTCTTCCCCAGACTCTCTCGCCTGTCAGAGCAGTCAAAGAACTCTGCGCCTCCCTCTACGCATCTGGTCTTGCCTGAACGCTTGTGAGGATGCAGTCCGTCAATCGGCTCCTCTTTGGGCCCACAAAGGAGGGTGAGTCCCCAACGAGCAGGAGCAGTGATGTTCACAATTTTCACAGTCTTACAACGATGCCCTTCGCTTCAATTGCCCCTCCCTGCTCCCTTTGTCCCGATTCGCAGAGCGGGTGAAGCAAGTGCAATCCCAGCTACGCTCCGAGCAACGTCAGCTTGACCGTGAGATGCGCAACATCGATGCATCCGTCATCAAGGCCAAGGCCGAAGTGAAGCGTCTAGCAAAGAAGAATGATCTGAAATCCGCCAAGATCCTTGCTCGTGAAGTGGTCCGCTCAAATGCCCAGCGCAATCGTCTAGCTACCTCTAAGGCTCGTCTAAACTCCATTGGCCTACAGTTGAATCATCAAATGGCAATGTACAAGGTGACGGGTGCAATGGGTAAATCGGCAGAGATTATGAAAATGTCTAATCAGCTTGTCAAATTGCCAGAGATGAGCGCGGCAATGAGACAGATGAGTGCAGAGATGGTCAAGGCGGGGATCATGGAGGAGATGATGGAGGACACACTCGATAGTGGAGTTCTTGGGGAGGATGAGGAAGAGCTGGAAGAGGAAGCGCAGGGACAGGTGGATAAGATTCTCTTTGAGTTGACAGATGGTGAGTGGTCGACCCGAATTCTAACGTGGTGGGTCCTCTTACCTCAGGTGAGCTCGCTTCGCTGACACATGCTGGTATACTCTTCTCCCCCACCCCTGTCGCCCCTTTCAGGCAAGCTGGGACAAGCCTCAACCGATCCTCTCCCCGAGTTGCAAGCTCCCGAAGTGGCACAAGAAGCAACTCCCTCGCGGCGAGAGGAAGAAGCAGACATGGAACGCATGCAAGCTGCTCTGGATGGTCTTCTCAAGGGCTGAAGTCCTAGTGCTAACCCCCCTTGCTGCTAGTCCAATTCCTCTTCCATCTCCTCCGCATCCTCTCCGATACTCACTTCTGCCATTGTCACTCTTCTTTTTCCTGCATCTAGCTTCTGTACTGTACTTATAGGCGCTCTCTAGAATGATACTTGCCAATACCTTTAACATTACATGACTCGTGGGCAAACAAAATGTGCAGAATTGAGCAAAGTGTTGTTACAATCAAGATGGAAGTCATGTACAAGTAAAGTATCTCGCTCTGGCCTCCCCACCCTCCCCTCGTCTCTCGCTCTCAGAACGTCTCTCCCAAACTCTCATCAGGTCCATAACTGATCATGCTAACGCTGCCCATATCTTCCTCTTCATCCATTTGCGCAAAAGAGCTGTTCAGCCAGACCTTTAGATCCAAAAATCCTTTACTGGGTACCTTGACCAGTACTTTTCTCTGTACTCCCTTTTCATCAATTCCCTCTTCCTCCATCTGACGAGTCACAAGGGCAGAGGCCCTAGCGGGCTTGTGCAACTCCAGGAGTTTGCACGTCATGACGCTCCTCTGATCCCCGAACCTATAGCGTGCTCGCACCTCTTTGCCAGGTCCAGAGTCAGTCTTTTGCCCACGAGGCAGAGGAGGATCCTCACGGGTTAGGTAGACGCCCTCCCTGTTGGTGATCTTGGAGATGGCTACGTCCAAGGCGTCGTTAGGATTGGGACGGTAGGGGAAGCGAGATGTGGGAGCGATGCTGCCGGCGCGGGAGGTCCGGCCTCCTGCTGCCCCACCAAAGCCAGTCCCCTGGGAAAAGGAAGAGTAGCCACCTTCGGATTGTGTAGGAGTAGTTGCCCCTTCCCTTCCGTTTCGCTTCGAGGCGGGTGTGGCAAGCAGACCGTTGCCGGCTATGATCGAGGCTCTTGAGGCTCGGAAATTGGCAACGCTGGATGAGGCGACGGAAGGAGGGCGGGTGATACTGGTGCTCCTCTCTCCAGCAGACAGATTTGTCCCATTCATCGACATCGGGGCAGCATGTGGGACCTTTGCCAGAGCCGAGGCAGAAAGAGGCGTCGTACGACCATTGACGCGCAAGGCTGGACTTGGTGGGATGGAGGAACGCGACACAGGAGGCCTCGATGGAGGGCCTCCCAATACTTTCCGTCGTGGCGTTGCCAACCCTCCTGGCCCATTGCTGGCACTTGATGTAGAAGGCGCTCCGCTTGAGGGCTTGCTGTACACACTCAAGTTCTTCACTCGCGCTGCGATCACAGGCTCCGGAGTTTGCATGCCGGCACGACTGGCACCACCACCGTAGGAAAGTCGATTAGCGCTGGGAGTCATCGGTGCTGAGCTGCCTACGGTCGAACGCGCTTTCGACATTGCTGACCCAGGTCTGGGAGTGGGGCCAGGAATTTGACTAAGTCGTCTAGCGGCTGCTTTGCCCGCAGCTGGCGTAGTGGGAGGAGCAGCAGAGGCTCTTGAGCTCGGCCGATCGGCTAGCATCTCCATTGCATCATTGTCCATACCTCGAGGTACTGCCTCGGATCTCGCCCTCTGGGACGGCGTTGCGGGCTGCGGCGTCTTGAATCCCAGAGCAGCATTGCGATCGGTGCCTGTGCCCAGATCACTGGAAGCAAAGCGGTAGCTGCTGGGAGCTTGACTGGCCGTAGAGCCAACTGGACCCAGTCCCACAATTCTCCGCTTCGGGCTGGCAGTGCTACCCCTCAGCATTTCCGGGGAAGCGGACATTCGCTTCGCTGCTGTACGCGGAGTCCCTTCGAGGCCGCTCGTCCTGGGGAGGGGCTCTTCGGCAGACCCTCTTTGTCCGTCCGCTGACCCGCTCACCGGAAACACGTGAGTGTAATTTGTAGATGTCGATGGCAAGCGAGACGCTGTCGAGGGCACGAGCAACAAGGAAGAAGGACCTGCTGGACTTCTTGTCAGGCCGCCACTCGCCGGAGGTGGTCCAGGAAAGCGTTCGCCTGCTCCTGAGCTCAAGACTCGGCTTGGGTCCCTCATTGGCTTGAGTGGAGTGGATGGCAGAGAACTGTCTGCAGGTAGAGGAGATGCTGGCAGAGCTGCAGATGTCGGAACCTCGAGAGTGGCAGGCTGCGTGCTCGTACTTGGTTGGTTCTTTTGTTCAGCATCTGTGAACGCTCTGTCTAGTCTCTTCAGCTCGCGATCCACCTTGTTCGACTTCTCCTTCAGGGCTCTCCACCGTGTGTTCAATTCACCGAGCTGCCTCGTGATCGCTCCATGCGAAGTCCCTCGGTCCTTGAGACTGCGCTCGAAGGAGGTGAACGTCTGCTCGCATGGCGGGAGGTAGTAAGAGAGCTTCGTCCTGAAACTCTTCTTTGCAGCTTCGAACCGCCGCATTTGCTTATGCTTTCGCATCTCTTCGTCTTCCTCGTCGTCTGAGCCTTTCGCGGCCAGGCCTTCCTTCTTGAACGTCGTGACAAAGGTGGAACACTCTGTGAGCGCTCTCTCCAGACTGTCCATGATGTCGGTCACCTGCTTGCTGAACGTCTGGAAGTGCTCGACGTATTTTGTGTCTCCCAATTCCTTCTTGAGGGTGTCCACCTCGGACTGGATAGCCATCCAATCGCTGGCAAGATCCTCGAAGGCGGACTGGAGGTCGCCCGAGCTACTACTCGCTGGATTAGCGAATCCGAAATCGAAGACGCTTGCGCTAGCTTGCTTGCGCTCTGCGTCGCTCCCATCCACTGTTCCCTGGCGGGCAAGCGCGGACTCTATCTGCTGTACATTAGCGGAGATACTCTCCAGTCGTCCATCGATGTGGATGATGGCCACCTCCATCTCTCCATCTGCCATTTTGGCACTGGTGTGACGTTTTTCTTCGAGCTGGAAGATGGCTTCTCGGATGGCAGCGATGTCCTCGGAAGCCTGGGCAAGTGAAGCAGGGATGTCTGTTGCAGGCTCTGATGAGAGCGCCTCCACCTTGTTCTCTGTAGTCGCTGCGTCTGCCTCCCTATTGCCGGAGTCCGGAGTAGGCTCAGCGGCTGATGCGCCAACCGGGATATTAGTTGTGGTGCCTGTGATACTGAGGTTCAAGATGTGATCTGCCAAGTCTTCCGGCGTGGTGGCATTGACATCTTTGGGCACCAGGATGCTGGGCGACGCAGTCTTGTTCATACTTCTATTGAAGGCAAACGGACTGAGTGCATCAGCGGACTGCAAAAGCCCAGTCCTTCTGGTGTCAGGGGCAGTAAGACTCACTCGTATGATGTTTTACTCGGCGTCATCGCCCTCAGCGATCCCACTGGACTTCCTGCGCTGCTTCCGTCGGCCGAAACATCAGCTTCGTGCTGCCATCTTGCCAGCACAGGCGCAGGGGATCGCCTCTTGACCCTGCGAGGGGAGACGGGTGTGGGTGTGAGTATGGTGGATGAGGATGGAGAGCCTGTAGGAGCAGGTGAGAAGGCTTCTTGCGCTCTCTTGAGCTGAGGCGTCTCTGCTTGCGCCGCCATGCCTTGTAAAGGGAGGGAAGGTTGACTTTGACGGCTGGGAAGCTGAGATGGGTGCCTCGCGTGACCGGGTGATCGGGACAGTGGGCGGAGGGGAGCTTGGTCCTGGTCTTTGATTTGGGGCCGCGGGCGATGTGTGCCCCAGATTGTCTGTCGGGCAAGGAAGCGGTTCGCGGGAAAGGTGGCCGCCTGGCAGATAGATGTGCTCGTGGCAGACTGTGGACAGGCCGCTCAGAATGTGCGATGTGGTATCTCCAAGCGTGTGGTCAGATGGCTGGATGGATGGATGGCCGTTGTCCCTTGTCTGTCACTTTCCCCCCGCGACGTTGGAAATAACACGGTGTGAGTGGTGGTGCCTGCACAGGCGCGTCGTCTCGCAGGTGGAGCCGCGGAAATGCAGTCGAGGCCAGGCGCAGGAAGCCAAAGCATCACAAGAAGGAAGCAACGGAAAGGGAACAAGTGGACCCTGACCGACGACCTGACTAACCTCGTGGACCCTGAGCAGCTCTACCCCCTCATTTCCTCCATCACCTCGACCATGGACTACTCGACGGTAGTGGCAGGAGCACTGGCAGCATTGTCCGTAGACCTACTCATCTTTCCACTTGACAGCATCAAGGTAAGCAGACCCTATATTGCCGATGCCTTCCAATCTACCCCCACCCTCACCAGTCACACCTCCACCTTCTTCCCTGCCTTCTTCCACTTTAGACCCGCCTACAAGTACCAGACGTAGCTCAACGCTTCCCCACTCGAGCCGCCCTCTTCACCGGTCTCTACCACGGTGTGGGTCCAGTAGTAATTGCCACTCTTCCCGCTGCCGCCATCTTCTTCACAGCCTACGAATCCGCAAAGTCTTCCCTCGCACCACACCTTCCTGCTGGACCTGCAGTACATCTTGCCGCTAGTGGATTGGCAGAATTGGCTGCATGCGCTGTTTTGACGCCTGCGGAGATCATTAAACAGAGGGCACAAGTGAGACCGAATGATGCTCCGAAGGCTAAAGCTGGAGCAGGGTCTGGGTCTGGATCGGGCCAAGGGCCAAAGGGAGGTGCTGCTGCAGCAGTCAAGGACAGCGTCGTCAAGTCGCAAAAGGAAATGCTAAAGACGGCCCAAGAAGGAGCCAAACAAGTAGCTAGCGCCGCTTCCACTTCGACTTCATCTTCTTCCCTTGGCCGGACCTTCGTACGGGGTTATCTCGCCCTAGCAGGTCGCAATCTCCCCTTTACCGCGATGCAATTCCCCCTCTATGAACACTTTCGGCAAGACTTCTCCCGTCGGTGGGACGTTAAACTTGGTAGCGATACAGACAGCGGTGAAGTTCTGTTGGAAGACAGTAGCAGTTCCGATTCTAAAGGGCGACGCAGCAACTCTACACAGTCATCATCGACGAGTTCTGGCTCAAAGAGTGTGCGGCAGGAGATTGTCAATCCGGGACTAGTAGCCGCCTCTTCCGCCTCTCTAGCCGGGTCAATCGCCGCCCTCCTCTCTACACCAATCGATAATGCCAAGACGCGCATAATGGTAGCTGCAGATTCTCATGACTCTCGTACACCCCAGAGTGGTACGATCAAGACTATGATCAACATTTATACAAAGGAAGGATTTAGAAGTCTTTGGAAGGGAGGAGCATTGAGAAGTGCTTGGACTGCATTGGGTGCTGGAATTTACTTGGGGAGTTATGAGAGTGGAAGACTCTGGTGGAAGAGACGACAGAGGGGAATCGAGGAAGTTCAGACGTCCTGAAGGGTAGGTATCGAAGTAGATTATGTTGAAGAAGACGTCGCATTGTATCATCTATCGCTTATTTGCAATCCTCTAGAGATAGAAAGTTCCCATGAGAAAGTCTAGACTACCTACCTCACTGGCAGAGCTCCACAAATCCATCGGCCAAGATCTCAAGCTCACGTCTCAGCTTCTCCATCTTCTCATCGTATTGCTCTCCCTCTTTGAGCGTCTCGATGCGACTCTCACAGTAGATCTTCACCTTTGGCTCGGTCCCCGACGGACGAATGATGATCCTCGGAAGGGTCAGCTTGATTTCTTCCTTAGACAGAGCTTCGTCGGACTTCTGGCCAATGTAGAAGCGGATGACATCGTTTTTCGGGATGCCCCCATCAGACTTCGAGGCGTCGTAAGGAGGGTGGGTGAGAAGGTCGTCTACTAGTACGATTTGCTGTCCAGCTAGCGTCGAAGGCAGATTCGCTCGCAGCTTCTTCATAATGGCCGATCCGCTTGCCCCCGGTGCGAGTCGAATCGTACGGGGGAAAGTGACCGAGAGGCCTGTTCTGCGGTGAATCTCCTCCAGGCGGGTCCAAAGCGTCTGTCCTCCCGCTGCGTGCAGATCTGCTGCCAGGAGAGACAGGAGGAGCAGAGCCGATAGACCATCCTTGTCCCAGACGAGCGGAGAGACCATGTATCCCAATGCTTCCTCGTAGGCAAAAAGGAAATTCTGACCTTGCTCGACGATGAGCCTCCTGGCTTCGCCTCCGAGCCACTTGAAGCCAGTCAGAGTCTCGCGATGCTTGGAGCCGTCCAGCTGTGCGAGTCGAGCGAGCATGCGACTCGAAACTATAGTGCTCAGGCTCCAGTTGCTCGCCTTGTCGCACTTTGCTCTGCGCATTAGCTCGTCACCCAGAATCGTACCGATCTGATCACCAGTGAGCTGCTTGATCTTCCCGTCCCTGGTGCGGGCAGACACCGACAGCCGGTCAGCGTCTGGATCATTCGCAATGGCAATGTGGGCCTCCTTGTCATCGGCCAGGGCATGCACTAGATCCATTGCACCTTCCTCCTCGGGATTGGGGAACTTGACAGTGCTAAAGTCAGGGTCCGGGGAACGTTGCTCCGGTACCGTCCAAGTATTTGAGAATCCTGCAGACTTGAAGAGCAGCTCGGCGATGGGGGCTCCGACGCCGTGTAGCGGGGTATATGCGATTCGCAGAGCATCTCTTTGCTTCAGCTGCTCGGAGGAGGCAGAAGAGGTAGAGGCAGAGAAGTACTCGAGAACTTTGTCCGTGTAAGTCTGGAGCATGCTCGGAGTGAGATAAGAGAGGAGGCCCTTCTGTTTGGCTTCCTCTAGTGAGAGGCAGTCTGGTGCCTTGCTACTGGCGGCCACCTCGCCGATTTGTGCTGCAATCTGACCATCTACAGGGGTGTTGATCTGGGTTCCCCCAGCTTGGTAGACTTTGTAGCCATTATATTGAGGAGGGTTGTGGCTAGCTGTGACTACGATACCTGCAGCAGTCCCTAGCTCCTTGACAGCAAAGGCTCCCAGTGGGGTGGGAGCCTCGCTCTGGTAGAGGCGAACTGGAATGCCCAGCGCTGTCAAGACACCTGTAGCATCTGTAGCAAAGTCTTTGCTTCCATGGCGACCATCATAGGCTATCACGACACTCGGCTCCTTGGAGGAGGGCCGCTTGTCCAGCAGAAATCGACCCAAGCCGGCAGTTGCTTCCCTGATCAGAAGGCGCTGGAGGATGGTAGAGGGGGCACTTCAGCGCATAAGACTGAGTCATACGCCTTCTGACTCCACTCACGTTCATGTTGCCAGGTCCCACACCAAGCAGCCCTCTCAACCCAGCAGTGCCAAAGGCCAGTCTCTCGCCAAATGCCTGCTGGAGTGCCGCTTCGTCTTCATCTTTGAGGAAGCCTTGCAGCTTTTCTGCCGTAGCTTGATCGGGATCTTTGTCGATCCATTGTTGCGCCTGGGAGTACAGCTCCGGCGACAGAGGCATGTTGACCAGAGCGTTGTAATGATAATGTGAAGAGGTGAGGACACACACTTGTATGTCGTGGAAGTGTGAGCCAGTCAGGAAGAAGCTCGAGGGTGTGCCCGGGCCACCACGCCTGGGCGCAAGGAGGGACGGCGTGCAGGCAGAAAGGCAGGCAGTGGCACTGCTTCCTTCCTTCGCCTCCACAGCAGCATACATTGTCCTCCTCAGCCCACCTACGACAATGCTCCACCCCTGAGCCAACACTCCAAGTGGCCTTAGCATCGTCAGAAACAGGCCTCAGGTCGTTGCCATGTCGCACTTTGTATCCTCAAAGGGCGATCGCGATTATGAGGAGCTCACCAACCAGCTCCTCAGGAGGGAGCCGGTAGACTACGACCAGGGAGAGACTCAAGACGAGACACATGAGACATCCGAGAGTCAAGGAGAGGATGTTCCTACGGCTACCAGTGATGGCATCGCATCTGCATCTTCTTCTCGCCCAGTATCTCGTTCGGCCTCTGGCGCAGGGCCCACCTCCAGCATGGCAGCTCGCAGGCGCATGGACCTCAATTCCGAACGCTCTCGTCCCAGCTCGCCAGGCATTCCGGGATCCTCTTCGCCCCTACGGCCTGGCTTCCACAGTCCTCGCAACTCGTCATACTCCCGTACAAACAGCCCAGAGCGGAATGAACGGGCACGATCCCCGGCCTTGGGAGGGCATCGAGCTTCAAGGCCCCATAGCCTTGCCCACAGCATCAACGAGGAATATCATCGCCCGCCGGGTAGCGAAAGAAAGCTGAGCGACGCATCGGAAGTCATGAAAGACGAGAGCAGCAGCAAGCGAAATAGCAGGAAAGTGAGCCAAAACAAGCAAGGCAGCGCTCTTGCAGATGCTTCTAACGATCGGATGGGCGGAAGCCTGAAGCACCGGTCCAAGAATGTAGCTTTCTCGCAGCAAAGCCCACAGAAGCGGGCAGTCAGCTCTGCCCAAGACTTTGAGGAGGATCAGCAGTTCACTCATGCCCTCGATGGGTCGGCGGTAGACCGGAGATCGATAGCTCCTGCTCGGCATCACTCAGAACAGCAAGAGACTTTGAAGAAGCTGGGAACTTGGGACGGCGTGTTCGTACCAGTCTCGCTCAGTATATTGGGGGTTATCCTGTTCCTTCGATTTGGTTTCGTTCTCGGCCAGACTGGTCTACTTGGTGCACTAGCTCTATTGGTGGCGTCCTACACCATCGACACCCTGACGTCACTTTCCATCTCTGCCATCTGTACCAACGGCGTCGTCAGAGCTGGCGGCATCTTCTATCTAGCTTCTCGATCACTTGGTCCGGAGTTCGGAGGCGCTACGGGCCTACTCTTTTGGCTTGGTCAGCTTTTGAATGCGAGTCTGAACGCTCTGGGTTTCGTCGAAACGCTCACTGATGCATTCGGGGAAAGCAGAAGAGCCGAATACGGACAGAGCGGTCTCCCAGAAGGGCCTTGGTGGAATTTCATCTACGGATCGTTTGTACTTTTGCTCTCGACGGTCATCTGTCTTGTTGGGTCTCGGCTCTTCATCAAGGCCACAATGGTTCTGGCTGTCATTCTCGGTATCTCGATATTGTCGATTCCCATCTCGTCGGTCCTAGTCGCCCCATTTTCGGACACTGAGCGAGGCGTCTTCTACACTGGCTGGTCAATGGAGACGCTGCAGAGCAACCTCTTTCCCCACTTTACCAGCGGAGCAGCTGGATCAGCCAATGGCGCCATCAAGGAGACTTGGTCGTCTGTATTCGGCGTCCTCTTCCCTGCTGTGACGGGAGTCCTAGCAGGGGCGAGCATGAGCGGAGATCTTCGGAAGCCTAGCAAAAGCATCCCGAAGGGAACCAATTGGTCCCTTCTGTTCACATTCTTCATCTATGCTGGAGCTTTCGTCGTGTTGGCAGGTACCTGCTCCCGTGCAAGCTTCTACCAGGATATTGGTGTGATGGGAGATATCTCGGCCATGCCTTCTCTCATAACCATTGGAGCGCTAGCGAGTATGGCATTCTCTGCGCTGCTGGGAGTCCAAGCCTGCGGCAAAGTTCTGCAAGCCATCGCCCGTGATCATCTACTACCCGTCTTGGATGTCTTCGCTCAAGGGACAGAGCTGGCCGACACACCGACGTATGGTATTGTTGCGACCTACGTGTGCTGTCAGATGGTACTGTTTGTTGACTCAGTGAACCTGATCGCCCAATTGGTGACTATGACCTGTAGGTACAGATCCACACCAATGGCGATGCCAGACAGAAATGAGTCTCGAGGCTGACACGATTTTCTCTTCCATCTCAGCTCTCCTATGCTTTGCCGTTCTCAGCTTTGCCTGTCTGGCTCTCAAAGCCGGCGGAGCTCCCTCCTTCAGGCCATCATTCCCGTACTTCAATATCTACACCGCAGGCTTAGGAGCTTTGGCTAGTCTGTTTGCCATGTTCTTCACAAACAGGACAGCCGCTTCCGGCTGCATCTTTCTCGCTGTCATCCTCTTTATTGCCATTCACGTCTTCAGTCCGCCGAAGCCTTGGGGGGATGTCACCCGCAATATCCATTATTGGCTGACGAGGAAGTACCTGCTGAGGCTGGACGAGAGAAAGACAAATCTCAAGCACTGGAGACCACAAGTCTTGCTGCTCGCCAACAATCCGCGAACGGAGTGGAACTTAATCATCTTCTGCAACAGTCTGAAGAAAGGCGGTCTATACATCCTAGGCCACTGCATCAAAGGCGAATTTACCGAGTGCTTGTCGGAATTGAAGAAGCAACAGATGGCCTGGTTGAAGCTCGTCGACCTCAGTGGCATAAAGTCCTTCGTTGATGTCGTGATAGCCAATGATGAGCGCGAAGGAGCGCGGAGCCTTATTCTCTCTGCAGGTCTCGGAGGGATGCGGCCCAATATCGTCGTCTTGGGCTTTCCTCGTGAGCTACAGAGACAGGCTCGCGCTCACACTGGAGTCTCTTCACCCTTGCCTCCCTCCTCACATAAGTCGAAGCCGTTACAAACTACCAATAGCAGTAGTGGCAGCGACATCACTGTACGAGGCCCTCATCCTGTAACGCCTGCAGGTCGCGCTAGGGATGGTCGCATTGTAGAGCATCTACCCACAGACACCACGCGGAGAGAAGCACCAATCACCGCACAAGCATATATAGGTATCATCGAGGATGCGCTAGCGCTCAACAAAGCAGTTGCTATTGCCTATGGATTTGACATCATGCAACTTCCGGGTCCATCCGCAAAAGCTCACTACGAGAAAAGTTCTGAGAAGCAGTACATCGACTTGTGGCCTATTCAGATCGCGTCTCCAGAGTCTGAGCCTGAACATGCTTGGGACACCTACACGATGGTTCTGCAACTGGGTACCATCCTCTCCCTGACTGGCACGTGGAAATCACATCACCTGCGGGTCTCTGTCTTCGTCGAAGACCCTGCCGAGATCGAGGAGGAGAGGAAAAGGGTGAGAACGCTTTTGGACAATCTGCGGATCCCAGCATCGCTGCGCATCTTCTGTCTGTCAGACGGGAGCGTAGCATCGTACGAGGCAATTGTGTATGGCAAGTCGCCAGTGTCGCCTCATATTGAGGAAGCCCTCAGAGGGGACCCGTGGTGGATGACGCTCAAGGAGCTGAGAAAAGAAGACGAGCTACGGGCCAAGGCAGCAGCAGCCAAGCGTCGATCAGAATTGATAAAGGAGCAACAGCAGCAGGGTATGCCAATCGGCAGTGTAGGCTCCGCTGCCCCGTCTCCTAGTTCGGACGAGCGCAAGAGACGGCGCGACCAGAAGATGATGGGCTACAGTCTACCCCCTGAACATCTGGAGTACTTCCAGCGCAACATCCGCATTGGTCTTTCTCATCCGCGAGCCAAAGCCAGGGTAGATGATTCTGATCTGGACGATGAAGACTCCGACTCTGATTCGGTTGGATCAGGACTCAGCGACGAGTTGCTTCGCCTGGGCGAGGACGAATTCTTTGGTGCCGGTACGAGTGGGTTCGGCAGGTCCAGAACTCATTCCCCGACGTCTATATCCAGGACTAGCCAGAGCGGAAACACCCAGAGTCGTAGTCGCTCTCACTCCACAAGTGGTCGAGCTGGAGGAGGCCTGCCCGACGAGCCAGTCAGGAGGCCACTGAAAAGCGATGCCAGCGCGTCAACTTCGTATGGATCGATGAGCTCCACGCCTGTTGTAAGACCAGACGGCACCATTGCAAATTACGAGCCGACAGAGTGGACATGGGACTCTGAGTCTTCCCATCGCCGGTCGATGGACAGGACAGAAAGCCAGATGACAGTCCGCGCCCCTGCGTCCGATAGGAGTGGTCTGGCGTCTTCTTCCTCGTCGATCATCTCTGACAGCGGCAGTGAGATGCAGAGCTCCGCAGAGGATGTGCGGTCGGCTCAGCAGCCTCACCCACGCTCCTACTCGGACGACTCCACCCAGCCAGGTTCACGTCGGCCGCGTCCCTCCTCACGAAGACAGGATACGGTGCGTCCCACCCTGCCGCACCTCACCTTCAACACATTGCCCAACAAGGCGCAATTCCTAATCCTCAACGAGCTCTTCCGAGCGCACTCCTCTTCCTCTGCTACCAGCGTCATCCTCACTAGCTTGCCTGCGCCGGAACCAGGGACGGCACAGAAGGACGAGGCGGTGAAGCGGTACTTGGGTCAATTAGAGGTGCTTGTAGCGGGGGACGTGCCGTTGCTGGCTATCCATGCGAGGGAACTGACGTTGAGCATGTCTCTATGAGACCCCGGAAGGTTAGACGACTCGTAGACTTCCGGCATTGTTTGGATCTAACGCTCTTTGCAAGTAAACAGTCACTTTCTTTTGTCTTTTAGAGTGAATTGATTCTAGGATTGAATGTCTGGTATCGGCTCAAGCTTGGTATAAGAATAAAAGAGTCTAACGAATCAAAGACGAAGAAGAATTGTTGGCCCACCCTTGCCCACTAGTAAAGCCCTTCTAAAAATCCAGCAAAGCAGACTCGTCCGCGTTTTCTTCATCACTGTCCAACCCCCCACGTCCTCCCACAGCCATCTTGAAGAGGTGACTCTTCTTTCTGGTGCCCGCTCCTGCGCCGGCAGAGAGGGATGTGGCGCCTAGGCTGAGGCTGAAGTCATGGCTGGCACTCCTGCGACTACGTCCCGACGATGACGAGGTTGTGACGACTTTGGCGCCCCGCCTGGCTGTCGAGCCAGGGGCAGTAGACGCAGATGTCAGGAACGTCTTGGGCGGTGTACCGCTCAGAAGGGCGCGAGCGGAGGCCTTGTGTTTCAGAGGTGAGCTGTTGGCGAAACTTGAGGGTGAGGAAGGATTCTCGGTGGTGTTGGAGCTACGCATGCCCATGTCGCCCAGAACGGACTTGGGCCTCTCTCTTGGACTACCACTGCCTGCTTCGCCTCCCCTTTCCTTGAGCCTCCTGATAGTAGGCGTGAGACCTACACCATTGCCTGTTCCTCTACTCTTGAGCTGATCCTTGACAGGGCTCTGTGCCTCTTCCTTCAATCTCCCCACCAGCTCACTCGTCTCCTTGTGCGCCAAAGCCACCAACCTCTGGTTCACTTTTTGCAACCGCTCACACTCCCTCACACACTCCTCATTGAGCTCCCTCGACTCGCGCAACTCCTTTTCGAGCTGAGCAATCCGGGGTAGGAACTCGGCTTCGACATCTTCGCGCACCTTGGGCAGGGGCTGAAGAGCGGTTGCTTCGAGTGCAATTTCGGCTTCGAGGAGCTGAGATTGCAGCTTGGCGATCAACTCGTCCTTCTGCTGAGGGGAAGAAGAGGTGCCCTTGGCTTCGAGTGAGGTGATCCTACGAGTGGCGGCGTGGAGTTGTTGTCGAAGGGCAGCAGTGGAGATGGTGAAGTCGAGATGGGAAGGCGTGGCGGGTCTGTTCATAGGTGCCAGGCTTCCTCGCAGTCGACCAGAGCGGGCAGTCGTTTCCTCGGCCGTAGTGCCATCTGCGGCCTCATCGCCGTCGTGCTCGTCGAAGTCCTCGAGCCCTTCCCCGCGAACGACGCAGCTGCCCAGTACCTTCAAGCGCTCCTCTACCTGCTCGATGTACTCTTGTGTCGCAGCGCCTCCAGCGTCATTGACGGTGATATCTGCAGAGCCTCTAGTGCGATCGCGGTCTTGCAACTCCCTCACCAACCGCCTGAGATCGTCTGCCTCTCTTCTGTACTTGACCAAAAGCGCCTGTGCTTCCCCACTCGACTCGGGCGCGTCTACTTCGTTGAGCTGTGCAGAGAGCTGCACCTTCTTGATGCGCTTGGCAAACATGATTGTCGAGAGGGACTCTTCGATGGAGGCAGTAGTCTGATTGAGCGTGGCTACAACAGCAATCTTGGAGTTCCCACTGAGAGAGTTCTGCAGGATGCGAGTCAACTTCGAGTCTCGATAGGGTATGTGCTGTTGCTGGGCCATCCCGGAAGACGAAGAAGGTTTTTCGGAGAGTGCGAAGATGACCTTGCCCAGGGTAAGGAGACTCTTGTTGATATTGGCTCCTTCAGCACGACGCTCTTGCCCGCCTTTGGTGACGTACTTTTCTGAACCCGCTAAGTCGACCAGCACCAGCTCTGAGACACGGACCTTTTTGCCCTTCGTCGGAGACGCTGGCCTTGGCGAGCCGTCTTCGTCAACGTAGGTCGAAGAAGCTGACTCGTCCCTCGCCCAACTCTCGACTACGATCTTGAAAGCTGTGTGAGAGCGACTTGAGCGCTCGTTCCAATCTGTGGCATTCACGTGCCTATGCTTTTGACCCTGCTCCAGTAGATCAAAGATTGATGCCGGCGAGGTGACAATAATCTCTGCCAAGGGCGCGACAAAGGTTCCTTTCGATGTCGACGAGCGGATCTGAGGAATGTTGTTTGGCTCCAGCAGGTCCTTGACCGCCTCGTTGTAAACCTCGATCCAGCTACATCGCACCAGCCATTCTCTCTCCCGCTTAGAGCTTCGGATGCCCCTGAACAAATCTTTGACCGCCATCTGTGTGATGCCCTCAGCTCCGGACTTGTCATCTCCAGAAAGAGTGAACGTCTTGCCAGACGCTGTTTGCCCGTAAGCGAAAATGAGTGCATTGAAGCCCGACAAGACAGACGAGACAAGTGGTTTTGCGAGCGATTTGTAAAGACTATCGTTCGAGGAGCCCACGTGGACGGCATCGAAGTTGTGGTTGCCTAGTCCGGATGATCGTCCGTATGCCAGAGCAGGTTGCAAAGCAACGGAAGAGGTCAGTGGCGAAGCGACCCATGCTGAAGGCTCGTCCGGAGGTAGAGGTCGTAGACGCAGGTGCACTGTGACAGTATCAGCGTCTTGGCTGTTGTCGCTATCCAGGCCAGAGGAAGATGAAAAGCTTGCATCGGCTGACAAGTCGGCTCCAGCGTCGTGGGTATGGAGGGAGCGAGGGACCGCTTTGTCCATAGAGATGCCCAATCCTTGCTGAGGGTCGCGTCTGACGATGTTTGGTTTGGGCGGAGGTCCCTTGACTGGCTTCTTCCTTGGAGAGATGCCATCCGTCACCTTTGCCCTTACCTTGATTGGCGAGGCCGGTCTCGATGAGGCTGCACTTGCGACGTGAATGGCTGGCGCAGGAGGAGCAGTTGGAGTCATTGGTCTGGCAAAGGTAGGTGTACGGGGCGAAGGTGAAGGGTGACTTTGCACTGGACGCGTTGTGATCGGCGCGGCGAGCTTCGTCGGGGATGAGGGCCGAAGGTTTACTGTGGAGCGACAGAGCCTCAGCGCCTTTGCAGGGGAGTCAAGAGGAACCGAGGCTACGGGGGAGAAGTAGGAGGCTTTATCTGCCACTGGGCTCGTCGGTGCACTGGACACCACGTCCGCTTTGGCAATGACCAGTCGCGGGTGAGAGACGCCTGCATGGCTGGTGCTCGCCTGCGGGTACTGATCCAGGTAAGCAGGGCTGAGAAGGGGTTTCATACCCTCATCGCTCTTTGGCCTATGAGCCAGCGGGACCCTGGGTGTAGGTCGAAAAGGCTCCTTGTTCGTCATACGTGGGCTGTAGGGAGCCGAGGCATCAAGTGTGCCGGGATGAAGATGAGGCGAGAGCATCGTTGCAGCAGGCGTGCAGCAGGCGCTGTTGTTTGTCAGTGGCTTGGTTGGCTATTGGCTTCGACACCCAGCCGTGCCCGCTTGCCGTGCCTCGATGGTCTGTGTGAGGCTGTTGTGAATGTTGACGTCTGATGATGCTGTGTCTGCTGCGTGTGCGTGGGTGTTCCTGATGGATATGGTGTGGGGTGTGGGTATGTGACACTCTGTGTGTGTGTGTGTATGCAGCCTGGGGCGGACGTTGGAAGTGTCAATCAACACCTTCGCTTCCGTTGCTGTGTGGAGATTTTGACATTTCACCCGCGACGTCTTCCGCTCCGATCACACGCTCACGCTCGGCAAAGGCGGGCGGACAGGGACCTTTACCTTTTCATCATCCTTCTCAGCAAGCCCTTCCCTACCTGGCTGCCGTCAGAAACAGTTGTTGGTAGATGCCACTTCGGCTGCCATCGAAGTCAGATCTCCATCTATCTCCATCAGTCATAAGCACAGCGCCATCTTCGACGCAGCAGCTGCCTAAATGTGCCATATGCCATCGTAATCCCTCGCCCTACACCTGTCCCACTTGCAACATCCCCTACTGCTCTCTTGTCTGCTTCAGAAACGAGAAGAAGCACGCGGGATGTCTCGCAACATTTCAAGGCAAAGCTGAAGATCAGCTGAGAGAGGTCAGCCGGCTTGACCATGACGCAGATCTGCAAACAGGAGAGACAGAGGAGAAAGATGCTCAGCGTAAGGAGGTCCTCGATCTTCTGAGGAGGTATCAGGCAGAGCAGGATGATGGCGAAGGCGGAATGGATCTGCAGTCGCTTCTAGAGTCGGCGCAAGGGCAAGATAGCGCTGAAGATAGCGACGACGAGAGTCAGACAGGCCTCCCACACGGTAATCTTACCGAAGCCAATCTGCCCTCTTCTACTGCAGCGTTGCTCGCCATGCTGGACAAGGAGCAGCGAGAAACGTTCTTGGCCGCTGTTGGTCACGAGAAGCCGCACCAGTCAACGACTCAGGACACCTCACCTGCGAATGTGGACACCGTTGCGCCGCTGCAGAGCAAGGAGCGAGCAAAGAAGCTATGGGAGAAGATTGTGCAGGATGAGCAGCGGAGGACCGCTGATGATCAAGCAGCTGCAGGAGGCTCTTCTGCACAGCTCTGGTGGCTAAGCAAAGTCAGACCAGATCGAGAAGCAGTCGAGGAAGACATGACGCTGGGAACGGCTCCGCATGCTCCTTCATTCGATGTTGAAGTTCAGACTCTGCTCGCTGTGAGACAAAGCAAGTCGGCGCCACCGCCGGCTAGAGGACTTGCTTGGAACTGCGTCTCTCTCTTGACGGCGTATACCTACATCCTCCTGCATCTGGATGTCCCCTCATTCTCCTCTCTGCTGTCTAGGGCGACTTCTGGGGAGTATGAGCTCATTGTCCTCTCTTTCAATCTGCTCGCAAGGCTTTGTCCCTTCCTCTTCGCTCTCCCCGCGGCTCAGGCAGGCGGCCCTTCTTCCTCTACCGCTTCCTCTGCCTCGAGCGATGCGAATCTTCTGCTCTCTGGTCCCTCCTCGGTCTCTTCATACTTGCTATCAAGGTTGGGCGACAGAGATCGCTCATCGAGGCCGAGTCAGCTTCTGCTCGAGCTGTACACGAAGGCTGCCAGCTTGATGGAGGAGGACAACATCACTGTCAACGGATTGGAGCGGGCAAGCAAAGCTCACGGGACGTTTGCAGATATCTGGCTTCTAATGGATTGCGCCCTGGCCCAGCCAAGCATCTTGTCCGCACTGGTATTGCCCGTCTCCCTTGGTAAAGTCGCCAAGCCGAGCCAGGTGAAGCGCTCTGTTCAGCAAGCCAGCCGCAAGCTCATCTTCTACTCGGCAACATGTGCATCAGCCACTAATAGCGGTCACGGCACCCTACTCTCGTCCACCGAAGTCCTCGGCAAGCCTGTGCACAGCGGTTCAAAAGACGCTCTTTCCTCGCTGACATCGCTCTCGTTGGAGGGAGAAGGCAGCCTGAGACCGCATAAAAGCCAGCGGGAAGCCAAGACGCTGCACGAGGAGATGGAAATGCTGCGTGGGGAAGTCAAGGCTCTGGAGGAAGAGGAGAGGTGGTACGCTGCTCGACGGTTGGAGGTGGAGCGTCTAGGCGGTGGGAAAGAAGGGGCAAACAGCATCGTGATGTCGGCGGCCAATAAGAGCACGGATGCCCAACCCAGGATCAAGCCCATTGATCCTGAGCCAAATGTCCTTCCGGCATGCGTCACGAAGGAGCCTGCAATCACGCAAAGAGAAAGTCAGAAGGTCGAAAGTGGACCAAAAGCGAAAGGTTTCGCCGCGAAGCGTCTGGCGAGGCAGCAGAGGGAAGAGCAGTCCCGAATGCCTGTTCGACAGACTGGCAGCGAATCCTTGCAAGATAGTAGTCCAGACGAGCAAGGGGAGGAGCATGCAGAGAGGCAAGGTAAGCTCCCTTCGAAGGGAATGATCCAGATGCTGGACTAGGCGTTGCCCTTCAGGATACTTGTGCACCTCAGTGAATGATAATGATACCCACTCCGCTGGAACCTTGAAATGGAACAAAATCTCGTCAACCTCTTTCTGTGTCCTGTCCTGTCTGTCTCTCTTTCCGAACCTCCCCTCCTTGTCCGCCCTTTGAACGTCTCGCCATGCCAAGTCACTTTCACACGCTCATCTCCCCCCTCCCCTCAGCCACGCATACCTCGTGATGCAAGGAGGTGCAATGCGGTGTCCGTTATCCCTCCTTCGAACAAATTGCCAGATTGTAGATTACAGATTGGCAAGCGAGTCGCTATCTCAGCAGAGCGCGAGAAGAGTGATAGAGTGGGATGGCTGGCTGTCAGACGTGTCAAGACGGGCGAGAAAGGGAGGGAAGGAGGGAGAGGAAGAGGGAGAGGCGAGCCGAGACGAGACCAACACTTGCCCCTTCCCTGCACTGTATCTGCCAGGCGGCGCGTTCAATCAAGACGGGCGCCGACGTGTTTGTGTGTTCTCAGCACGTTTTGTGGATAGCGCAGCGTAGGGACTTCTGCAGCGCATGTGTGCAGGCAGACACGAACGCGTTTGGTATGTCAAGTCTTCCTGCCCACTCCCCGCCCCCCTCACAGTCGTGTCATCAGACGCCGACCCAGTCAGCAAGAGCCTTTCTAGTTGACATCTAGGGCGAGGCAGTCCTCCGTGGGAAGAAGAATGTGCATCTATTTCAAAACCTCTGGCGTGACTGACCCTGGCACTCCTGTCTCGTGTCCATCTCGCGTCGTGTCGTGTCTAGACTGGACCGGAAGGATGAGCGGGTGAGGGCAGGGCTGCTGCGTTGCTTGACCTTGTGTCTTCTGCTTGACCAGCCTTGCCTTGCCTCGCCCTGAGTCTGAGTTGTCTGAGATTGGCGGAGTGGGTGAGTGAGCAGGAAACGACGGACTGGCGGCTCAGGGCCTCAAGTCGGGTGCAGGCAGTGGCGGGGAGTAGTCCGTCACTCTCGTCTAGTCTAGCCGGGCCCACTCCCGCCCACGCGACCCCGCACACGCGACCCCGCATACACCCACCACGCCCATCAACCCGCCAATACCGCTCTGGCTGAGATTGCGGGTCATTAGCTACAATACCCAAAAGGGCCCTTCTTCTTCTCCACCTCACGAGCATCCTCACTCTTATTCTACTCCTCCTTCTCTCGAGGCTGAAAGAGCCAGAGACATCTCACATCTCTCCTACCACTGCCGCACACTAGTACTCTTGTTGCAGTCCGTGCGGCCTACGCAAGCGCGAGCATAAACAGCCTCTCCTCCAGGGTGTGCTGACCATCCAAGGTACACAGCATCGCTACGTCGCCATCACACGTACAGTCCTCTGTACAACCACCTTTGCGAGCCCTCACTCAAGTCACCTCAACTTCATCTGCCCGCGATGGCGTCTATGGCTGACCTCCCCACACCCGACCCGCCAGGCGGAAGCGGCGACTCGCGTCTCAGGTCGTCCTCTTCTAGCAGTACCGGTTTCGGTGCCGGTAGCAGTGGCGAGACAAGACGCTCTTCCCTGCCTCCACGTCGTCGCTCCTCTTCATCACGTCGCTCACCCTCTCGCTCTCCACAAGCAGCCTACCTCGAGGAAGAGGAAGATGACGAGGATGCCGGCATGAGAATTCCTCTTGAGCCTCCCTCTTCTGCTCCCCTTGATGAGGAGCTCGAAGAGATCATTGCCGCGAGAGTCTCGGGAGAGCATTCACTTGGAGGATGGCACTATGCGCCACTCATCGTGGGGATTGGACCAGCTCTGGGAGCAATATTGGGTGGCAAGGCAGATTTGTGGAGTGATGCTATCCTACTCCTCTTGTCGAGCTTCTGGGTGAGTACGGGAGCTGCTCGGCTTGAACAGCTTGTAGTTCAGTCCTCACATTCACCACCTGTCCTACCCATCTCACTCTCAGCTGTTCCAATGTCTCAAGATCCCAAATGACATCTACTACGCCGCCCGCACTCGTCGCATTCTACAAGATGATCAGAGTGTAGCCGACGAGGGCTTTCCTGCCGATTCGCCAGAGCGAAAGAGGCGGTGTCAAAGCGCCGTTGCCGAGCTTCAGCGGACCGAGGTGATTGCTCTAGCCGCCTGCGTCGTGAGCCCCATCGTGGGAGCCTACGTACTCAATTGGCTTCAGCTCAACCTCCACGATGGATCGAGGTATCTGAACCGCTTCAACATTCGCTTGTTCATGATGGCTGCAGGTATCAGACCATGGCTGCACCTCTTCAAATTGATCAGGAGAAGGACATTACTACTGCAAGAAGACGTGCATTACCCATCAGCAAGGGTAGAGTCGATGAAGAGGCGTATCGCTCGGCTCGAAGCGGACCTTTCAGCACTACGAAAGTCGACTGTGTCTCGGAGCGACGTCAGACTGCTCCGCGATGGCATCGACGTACCTCTATCGCAGATGTCCCGTTCTATGAGAAAGTACGAGAGGAAAGAGGAGAATCTTCGAAACCTTGCAGACGACAAGTTCGCTCTTGTCGAAGCGCGTTTGGAAGATTTGCTCAGGGAGTGTGCTATCAATGCTGAGCTCATCGAGGCCGAGAGGTTAGAAAGGGAGAGGAGCAGCAGTCTCGGCAAGAACATTCTCGAGGCATTCAAGTACGCCCTGGGCCAACAGAGGAACTCTACTGCCTCCCTCGGCCACCGAGCCTACCTCACCGACGGCCGCTCCCCTTCGTCCTTTGCAGGGATCACAGCTGCCCCAGGTCCTGACTCTCCAGGATCTTCCGGCGGTGGCAGCGGCGGGATGCTCAGTCCAGAGATGCTCAAGAGGCGCTCCACCTCTTACTCTGGCCGAGGTCCCTCTACCGAACCTATCAGTCCCCCAACCCGCCATCGAGCCGTCTCCCAGCCCACCCCTCCCAGTCCTCGCCACTCTGCGGGTACAGGCCCGGGCTCTCGCGAATGGTACGAGCAGGGCGTACTCTACTGGGCTTTCCTCCCCTTGAACGTATCCAACTCCATGCTGCGCTTTGCGGGCGAGAAGCTCGCAGGAAAAGACTCGACCCACTCTACCAGTAGTAATGGCTCCTTTTCCTCCTCCTCCTCTTCCAGCATCGCACGCCGATCCTCCCTATCAGCTCGAGCAGCAGCTGCTGCAGGAATCACATCTTCGAATTCCTCTTCACGTCTAATTGCAAATCAACCAGCAACATCGACGAGTATACGTGAAGAACCACTCTCCTCTTCCCCACCTGCAATTGGTACTGGAATCCCCTCTCCCCATAACGGTTCTGGCTCGGGCTCGGGCTCTGGCTCCGGCTCTGCGTTCGTGCCCAATCTCCGCGCTGAGAGACGTGAGCGAGAGCAGCCGCCCAGTATCCACATCGCCACCTCCCCCACGCACGAGAATGGGAATAGCTCAAAGTACTCTTCCGCTTTCCTTTCCAGCGGCAATGGCAGTGGCAGTGGCAGCGGTGGCGGCAGTGGTGGTAATGGGACACTCCCTTTTGGTCAGCTTAGCATGAACCAGAATGGCGGAGGAGGCGGGGGAGGTGGCAGTGGCGGTGGGGGAGCGGGCGGAGGAGTCTCAACTCCTGCTTCGTGGAGACGGTCGAAGGGGATGACTGGGCAGAGGGGAGTGAAGGTTTGATGTGCTGCTGGTGGTGGTGGTGGTGGTGCTCGTCTTGCGTTGCGTAGTAAGATGTTGATGAACAAAGAGGGGGAGAGGGAAGACAGCAACATAGCAAAGCCGCTCTGCCACCTCAAATACCTTCCTTCCCCTTTCCATGCCCTTTCCTCCTTTCTCTTCCCCTTCTTCTTCCTCCTTTTCTTTCTCCCTCGAGATTCCCCTGCCTCCCGGATACTGGTCCTGCATTCACCTCCTTGCCCTTCCTTTCCCTCATTCTCGTCAGGTCACTGTCATTCAAGTGCTTCTTTCTCACTCGGTTTCTTGCTAGCTTCACCTTGTATCTATCTTCCTAGTGTTCTGATGGACCCCTCATTCTTCGCTTCATTGCAAATGGCATAGTGCTTCGTCTTGTACCCGTGGGCGGGAAATTGAGGCTGAGGCTTGTCATGCTTCACTTCGCCGAAGATTTAGGTCGAGCTAGTCTGCTCTGACTCCTCGCTGATATGCGGAGTGGGCCAGAGAGGGGGCGATGAGCGAATGAGGGAGGAGGACATCTCTAGTCTTGTGTGGCAGATTGCATAGCGTCGTACGAGCGGGGCTTGGGGCGTACTGCACACCTCGTCTGCTATTCATCAAGAGCTCAAGAGCCTAGTCTATCAAAGCCGGCCTCTGTGCCGGGAATCTTCTTGTGGTCCTTGAGCTGAAAAGAGGCAAAGGGTGTTCAGCAACTCCCTTTTGTCCGCGACCAGGATGACCGATATCGCTCACCTGAGGTGTGGCCTCGTACACTAGATTGGTGGGTCCCTCTCTCCGAAAGGTTGTTGAATCACCTCGGAAACCGACGTCTGTGGCCGAGGAGGAAGACAGTAAGAGGGCATGCCTGTCAATGCCAGACTCTTCTTGCAGAGTCATCCCAAATCTCGCATACTCACAGTAGATCCTCGTCTTCTCGCCCCCCAAAGAGCTCGGCACAAAAAGTGTCACGTCCCTCACCCCAGTGAACCTAGCCACCCTGAGTGGATACTCCACCACGTCCTTAGCAACCGCCACGCTTTCGAGCTTCTGTTTAGGTCCCTCTCTACTCGTAGCAGGCAAGGCGCACCTTGCCTCCAAATCCTCCGAAAAGTCCAACGGCGGATCACAATTGGCAAACAGCACCACTGTCTCCGGTGTGAGGTCCTGCCCTGGCCCGCACTTCAACAGAAGCGACTTGAGCTTACAGCTCCCCTCAAAGGGAACGCGCAATACCAGTTGATCATCCGCGTCGCTCTCCAGGTACAAGCTCGGATCATCTTCCTCTCCCGGCGCATCACCCTTGTTACGCTCGTTCCAGGGCTTGAAGACGTTGCGCGCTGTAGTGGTAGAGGTGGTGTTGAGCGAGGTGACTTGGGAGAGGGAGATGGAAGAGTAGAGGAGATCAGAGGGACCTTCGTCTGGGTGGATGTGGGAGTCGTCATCGTGATGCGAGTGGTCATGGCCGTGGCCGTGGCCGTGGTGATCGTGAGAGCAAGACATCATCCTGAAGGGAAAGAGATTCGCTGCTTGTACACTGCTCAAGAGACGAGGTGAGTAGAGTCGCTCTATCTGTGTGAGAAGATGCGAAGGTCACACACAACAGAATTCTGGACACACGGAAGTGAGTGCACTGCCTCCACTTGCCAAGAAAAATGAGGCAAGTCAGTACTATTGGGTGGGATCGATCAATACTCGGAAGGGTGATGGTGGAAGAGTAGACGAGAAAGGGGAACAAAGTGCTATGTACGTTTTATTTCTACATTCCTCCAATGACTCGGTGCAGGGAGAGTGTGTAGAGTTCCGCCCTGGAGCCTTTACTCAAATCACCAAGTGTAGTTCTGAAGGGCGTAGCTGTTCCCGTCAGGTTTCTGCTGCTTTTTGCCCCGTCCTGCCTTGTCATGTCCCTCAGCGTGAGCGGTATGATCACCGTGATCATCTTGATGGTGGACATGCTCGTGATCTTTGCAGGCTGAATGGGAGTCTGCCTTCTTGAGAGAGCGAGCCATATTTGCCTCCCTGCGCACGTCCTGCATTATTACAGGCACTATATTCAGTCGTTGAGTCAACATCTTTTGGCGGTCCCGACACTCACAGTATTTATCTCCATTGCCTCGTGAGACCCTTTGTCCCTGGCTTCTTCATGGTGATGGTGGCGATGGAGGTGCTCCTCCTGGTTGTCCGATCCGTTCTCTCCATGCTCATGCTTCGCTTCCTTGACGTAAAGAGTGGAGTGGCCGGCTTCGTCAGTGACCTCGAGCCAAGGACTGGAGTACTGCGACCACTGGTCGTGCTCGAGTGCAGCCTTGCCGCCCTGATGATCGAGGTGCGGAAAAGCCGCCTGGCCGTCGAAATCTTTGACAGTCCTTGGCTGATGAGCTTCTTCCAGTCCTTCGTCCTGTCGCGACGCGCCTTGACTGACGGGATGGTCCTCGAAGGCGAGCGATTTGAGACGCCCAAGGTCTTCCTCTCCTTCCTTTCTCTGCGCCTCAGTACGCTTGGGGCTGCTATCGGGCCTCATGGCTCGTAGGGAGAGCTCAGCTTCTTTCGCAGAGTCGGCGTCCCTGCCGGTATATTTACAGCCGGAGGGACCGATGCGTCCCCATGTCGTCTTGCCTCCGCAGGCAGAGGCCGGGTGCTTGAGGTTGCTGGGATCTCCATGATGGTGATCAGGAGCACGGGAGGCGAGGCTCTGCAGCAAGTCAAAGTGGCCAGTGGGGTCAGAGGTAAGACACAGTTCCTGTGATTCGGCATGGACTGACGACTCACTTCGTCATATACGGTAGGTGCTGCACGAATGGCAGTCGCGATAGTAGTGGCAAGTGCAAACACGAGGTAGGAGTAGGTAAGTCTCATGATAGGTAAGGATGATTAGACACTTGTACGCTACAAGGAAATTGGGGAGAAGGGTTGCTTGATCAAGGGCACGAAACACGCCTACCTGGGCGCCTTATGTAGCTCCCATGCTCAGAATGGACGAGACAATCTCACGCCCTTGACGATCTTGCTACATCAGCCGCATCGCAATCCCGCGGCCCATCGCGCCCAGTATGAGGATAGCAATCTGTACGCCGACGTACGTATCTGTGATGCCCACCCTTTTCGCTTATCGCGAGCAGGCGCCGTCTCCGGAGTGTCGTCCGTCCGACAATCCGTAATGCCCTGCTGGAGCTTCAGCCCTCGTCCTCTAACATGTACGAAGTATACCTACCCGCGGACGGGATGATCGATCGACACACCACCTGACGGTACTAGATGAATCCGCCTAAAAGCACTTCAGATCCTCACGTAGTAGCAATCGTTCACGACTGGGAGCAACCCAATCTACAGCCGCCTCGTCAATCAGCCCTCTACGGCAAGCAGTCGTCACACGTTGCTGAGCTCACGATCATTCTGGTGCAGTGGAGATGAAAGAGAGTGGTATTGAGTGCACACCTGACGAGTTGTGCAGCGAATGGTGGTGTTCGTCGCCGAGTCCGACAAATGTCCCTCATTGCCGGTTGTCTCGGAAGACGTCTACTTTGCTCTTCCGGTATTCTCGTTGCTTGAGAGTAGTGTCCGAGCCGCCGACTGCAGGGAGTGAAGAAGACAGAATAGCTGGAGTCAGCAAGACTGTCCGATGTGATCGCGTGTTTGTGCTTCCTTGCTCATAACTCACTCTTTCCCCAGCCCTTCAGCGGCACGACCAAGACAGTCGCATTGTCCTCTACGCCCAGCTGCTCTGCAAAGTCCAGAATCTTCTTGGCCGCCTCCTGTGGGTGCGTGCATCCTCTCGCCAGATCCACGACCTCCTGATCTGACATGACGCTGCTGATCCCATCGCTGAACATCGTCACGTGCGAGTAGCGATCCGACCTGATTACCTGGCTCAACATCTCTGGCTCCGGTGTCACACCTGCAGCCTTGAACTCTCCATCGCCTAGAGCTCGAGTATTGGCGAGAGCGCCCATCCAGCGGGCTTCGCCGAAGGAGTCTGTCACTACACCTGCACCTAGTCGACGTAGACGGTCTGACTCGGACGCAACGTCCGGGTGGTGGAGCGTGGTAAGCGGGATGGCTTTGCCGTCTTCGCTGGGGCAGAGAAGCATGCGGGTGTCACTGGAATTGGGCCAAGGGCAAGGTCAGCCGATCTTTCACTTCGTCTGCATGTCCTCAAATATCTTTTCGTACTCACCCGACATGCCAAGCTCCGAGCATCAGAAATTGACTGTCGTACCAGACGACAGGCGGAGCATCTAGACTATGCAACGTCAGGACGCTCGCGGTTGAGCCACCTCCATCACCTCCCGCCTTCTCTTTCGATGCCCGCGCCTCCATATCTCTTGTTTGGATACCTCGCCCTTTGTGGGCGTCTCCGTGCGTCGCTGCGTCCGCAGAAGGCAATTGAGGATGCCTGACCAGAATATGACGATCCGCCACGAGGAAGGCAAGCGTGGCGCGCTCGGATAGACTCAAACTCTCCTTTTCCATGCCTTCAGGCACAGGTATCCGCTTTGTGAGTCCATTGTCGTCCCATTGTGCAGCTGGAGGAGCATTGGGCTTCTTAGGAGGGGTAGGGCTCGCTGTGGCGGCGTGGACCGGGCGATCTCCGGCTTGGATCCGTTCTGCTTCTGATGCACCAGCAGTATTAGGCTGGTCCTCAGCGGCAGAGCTTGAGGCTTCGCCATCGGCACCATCTTGCCCTTGTTCCTTACTAGCTTTGCCTTTGCTTTTCTCGCTGCCCGGCTTCTTGCCAGCTTTGCCTCCCCTCACCGGCTTGAGCTCGTCCTTTTGAACCCACCGGTCCAGCGCTCCACCCATGAACCTCCTGAAGTACCCTCCATGTTCGCGAGTGTACTGTACAGTATCTGTGACCATGTCTTCCGTTACATTTTCAAAGATCTGATGAAGGTTCATGGCTAGGTATCGCGAGGTATAATCGCCGCCATGGCCATCGTATATGCCCCACCAATTGACTTGCGCTGCGAGCTCCTCGTCCAACTCCTCATGCTCGTCGGGCCAATGCCATCGCCGTTCCGCTTCTGTAGCTATCCTCCCTCCCTTCCTGAGAGAGGCTCTGAGCTCATCAGCATTGACCTCAAGACAGGAGACAGAGGCGGTATCCTCCTGGTAAGGTCTTGTGCCCCGCGAGGTGGTATGGCCATAGACTGACGATGTGAGGGGTACACGGGCGGACCCCTTGCCTGAAGGAGACCGGATCCGGACGAAGGACTTGTACGATCTTGTTTGTGAGTGAAGGGCTGAAGATGCGGCGGAGGCAACCGAGCAGTATTGCGGTGGGACGAAGTCGAGGTGGAGGCGGGAGGAGGATGCCAAGGATGACAGGGAGTGGTCGGGGAGGTGACACAGAGAGCAACTCCTCGCCACCGTCTGCAAGCGAGCTGTCCGGGGCAAGAGTGCTCTGAGAGACATTGTAGGAGGCCCACAAGAGATTCTACAGTCGAATCTCCTATGCACTGGGTATCCAGGGTGAGCAGATGGTGGTATCCGGTGTGAAAGGAAGAAGCGGGGAAGCGGCTTCGCTCCACTTCCGCCTTGATCGCGGGGAAAGGAGCAGCGGCCTGGCTGGGGCGGCGGCATTCACCTCTTCCCGATCTTCGCATACAAGCAGCCTCCAGCTTCATTGCCTTGATCCATCTTCGTACCTCCGTCATCGGGGCTGCGGAACATGACAGATACGGTGGGCGCTCACCCTCTGCTGCTCCACCTCGAACCACCGCCGGGCGCTCCTTCAAGCAGCCGGCTACCTCCTTCGCCTCGTGAAGCTCCCCTCTCAGAGCGGCTCTTGCGCCTCTGGACCGAACGAGGCGACTTCTCCAAGTTCTCGATAGACCAGCTCAACGACGAACTTGATGCTCCAGCAAAAGAAGGCGAAGCAAAGGCCTCTGATAGTGTGGCGATCGGATGGGGACCAGATGGGGAAGAGTCGTATGGCAAGCTCGCGGCAGAGCAGGACCACAAGGGAAAGGCCAAGGAGGTCGATACTTCGCCAATGACAATGGAAGAGTTCGTACAGCTCAAGGAAGATATCATGGGAAGACTGCAGTGAGTACGGAGTCTACATGAAGGTTTTACGCTCTTGTCGCTTTGCTGACACTGCTCGCGGGGCCTGTTCTTCGTAGAATCGCTCAACAATCGCTGTACTCCTCCCAGGCCCTCGTATCTCTCCTGGTAGCTTCCCATAAGTCCAAAGGAGCCCAGCAAAACCTCGCTCTCGACTCGGCATCTGTAGCCGCAACTCGTCCGGGATCCATTGCCGCCTCAAGGGCCGAGTCCCCAGCTCCCTCGAATGCTTCCGCAGGTGTTGGCGGGGAGAAGCGTCACCCTGCTGGTAGCGCAGCTGCTGTAGAGGCGGAATTTGGTTTGGACCCATACTCGATCGCTTTGACTTCGATAGAGAGATCAAACATCAAGAATGAGAGCTTGCACCAGCCGAGCGAGGAGCGAACGGGCGGAGGGGACCTCAAGAGCAGGAGGAAGCTAATCACCTTGCCTGAATTCGAGCATGAAGCGGAGAGGGACGAGTACACAGAGGGACGGCGTACAGCTCTCGCCCACAAGCGGCAGAGTATGGCAAGAGCCATCGACATCCTCAGGGCTGGCGCTCAGAGGCTAGGTGGGGAGACCACCTCGGCAGAGGTGCTGCAGCCGGGGCAGATCAGCGAGATCGAATCTGCGCCGGCAAGCTCGAAGCGAAGTGCAACTGATTCAGCGCAACGATGGAGAGCACTACGTCAGGCGCAGTCCAACGGCTGGGGCATCACTCCTGGTCGACCAGGACGGTCTGCCTTTGGCGCAAGAATGCGGCTCGACGAAGGAGAGCAAGATGCCTGGATCGGGTTCGGCATCCCTGAGTCGAAGCCTCAGTACCGACGCACTGCTCTGGCTTACCTCCGTCGTGATATGCCTACAGATACAGGGTCCGCGACCGGTTCAGACAAGACAAAGCGTGATGGGGATTTGCTCGTCTTTGCCTCGAGACTGAAGAAGAGACTACGTGTAGCATTCGTCTTTCAAAGCGGTGAGCGCGGGGACGAGGAGATCAGCATCATGTCAGAGCCACTGCGAGCACACCAGGAAGACGGAGAGTCTGAGACCATCGACGACAGTCTCCGATCTGCACAAGCCGAGCTGGCCGATCGCGAGCTCTTCGACGAGGTCGTTGCCGAGGCCCGGATCCTGTCAAGTCAGGGTGCGGTGAACAGTCTCCACACGGACGAATCGGTGACCATCAACATCGGTCCGACAATGCGACTCGTGTTCCAAATGGTCGAGGCTGATGTTGGTGGGACTGAGACCGCCACTGGATCAGGAGGTGTGGATGAAAATGTCAGAAAGGATGTTGGCAAGACGAGTAGCGACACCTCCGCTCTGCTCTCCCTTGTCATTGCCTACCTCAAGCTCTCCTTAGTCAAACGATATCAGTCCAGGGCCGATGCCGTGCTCGCAAAGGAGACCAAGCCGAGTTCAGGTACACGTCCAGCAGGCACTACTGGCGCAGCAGCAGCGGCTTCGAACAAGGGTGATGCAACGGATCCCACCGGTCCAACGAAGGCCAAAGTCGCACCAGCCGTCTCGGACGCAAGCACCAAGCCTGCCGCCACCGCCCCCGTCGATCCGTGGGAACAAGCCTCCTTCCTCCTCCCTCTCTTGGCGCTACTCCACTACCTCTCTTTCACTTCACAGGTTCGCCAGATCCTCTCCAGCAACGGGACTTCCTCACAACAGCCGCAGAAGAGCGACTCGTACTCCTTCGACGCGTTCCAGTCTCTCCCTTCTCCCGCTCGCTGGCTGAACGCCTTCCTGTATGGATCGCCCAAAGAGGTCAAGGGTGCCATGCGTTCCCTCAGTGGCAGCGGAACCATCTTCAGCAGCCAGAACAGCGAGAATGCAGAGAAGACCGTGTTGCTAGAAGTGACGTGTAGGTACCCTGATGAATTGAGCATTCATCTGCCTCTGAGGAGGAGGGTGGACGGAGCGCTGGGCGTCACGTTGGGTCGGATTGGGCTGGGAGAGTTGCGAGAGATTGTCAAGGAAATCTCAGAGGAAAAGTGAAGAAAGTCGTCTTCATTGTATGCAGATACAAGTACAATTTCATTCGTTATTCTTCAATTCGTCTCCCCATCTTCAGCTTCACTCCCCGCACCGTCACCCTCTGCTTTCTTCCTCTTTCTGTCCTTTTTCTTCTTCCACCAGCCCTTTTCCTTCTCTTCAGCCTTGCGCGCCTCCTCCTGCTCTGCCTGTAGCAGCATCCGGGAGACATTCGAGGGGAGGGAAGAGGTAGAGAGGCCCTGCAGTCGGCCTGTACCCTCGGCTGGCTCGTCCTCACTTTCTTCTTCTGCCCTTGCTTGTGCACCTTCGATTGTAGTAGCACCGTGCTGAACGGAAGAGAGGAGCTGATTCAGTCCGACGGGGAGAGGAGCGCTTCCTGCTTGTTGCCCACTCGTCTTGTCCTCTTCTCCAAACCAGTTGCCCTTTGGCATGCTAGTGGAGCCCGAAGGTGCCAGCGTCTCCTTTGGGCGATCTTTCTGAGCTTCCACAACTCCCTCGTCGTCTTCAGAGTCGTCGTCTGGCAGCCCTTCCCATCTTCCGGCGTCTGCAAAGATATCGTCATCGTCATCGTCGTCGTCATCGACGTCTACGCCAGTGCCAGTGCTAGCGTCGGTGCCAGGTATTGGAGGAAGGGCCTCGTTTCGATCTTCAGGCAACGGCGGAGGAGACAGAGACATCGCTCGAGCTTTAGGGCTTGCTGTCTCTGCTCCAGCTAGTATCGGCGGTGAGGGTCTCGAAGGTGAGACCGTAGGCTGCTTGGGACTTGGTACGGCCAATGGCGAAACGGCCTGCACGGTCTCTCTCACTGTGGACTTGATTCGAGGCGATTCTGAAGCCGTTGCTGCTTTCCCTCCAGGAGACTTAGCGTCCCTGGTCGGCGTCACGCTCTTCTCGCCTTGCTCCTCGGCGGGTTTCTTCTTCTTCTTGCGCAACCGTTTGCCGTCCTTGGTAATGATGACCTCCCCCTTGTCTGCCTCTACCGGTTTGAACCCTCCACTGCTAGTGCCAGCACTGATGGGCTTGAACTTTCCAAGCTTTCTTGCTCTTTCGAACTCTGCGTCTCGAGCCTGTTGCTGCCGATCATCGGCCTCGTCAGCAGCAGCTGAGCCTGCCTGTGCCTTTGCCAGCTTACGCCGCTTGAGTGCCTCGATGACTGATTCTCTGCTTCGCTTCTCTCCAATTAGGCTAGAAGGAGAAGCACGGCTTTCTTCTTCGTCTCTCCGTAATACAGGCGAGGACGCTTTGGCAGCAGCCTCATCGTATGCCCTCTCCAGATAATCATCCACGTCCCCCTCTCCTCCTGCCTCCTTCGCCTTTTGCTGCGCCAAGAGGGAGTGATCTAGTCCCTTTACCAGTATAGAGTGTCTTGCATCACCACCTAGAAAGGCCATTTGCTCTTCGATGTCTCTCCGCTCCTCTTCGCTCTGCGCAGCATTCCACTTGACCCTCCATTCCTCTGCGAGCCGATTCACATCCGAATAGTCCTCGTCCTCCTTGCCAACTCGACGGGCCTTGGCTCGGTCCACGTACGTCTCCCCTGTCGCGCTGTTCTTAGGAGGTGGACGAGGACCTGAACGGTCCTTGTTGTTGGCAGGCGTCTTCTTGCGAGGGGCGAAGAGGTCCTTGGAAGAAGTAGAGGATGAGCTGCCTCCGGCGGAACGCTTTTGAGATGCTCCAAAGACGCGGGGCTTGGACGAGGAGGGAGCTGCTGAGCTAGAGGAAGAGGAAGAGGAGGATATGAGGCTGCGGAAGGCTTGTTGATCCATGCTGGATGGCAAGGAGAGGGATGATGAGCCTGTACAGCTCGGACTGGCGAGGAAGGAGCGGTGAGCGTCTGTCCGTACGATTGACTTTCTTCTGGCCGGCGATGCGGAAGCAGCCACTCCACCTGTTTTGCGCACCGCACCAGTCATGAAGAGCGCAACTGTACAGTGGTGCTTCTTGGCCTAGAAGCATCCTTGACTTGATAGCCATCACCATTACCATCCTCATTCAGCTGTCATTAAGCTATTTCCAACCACACAATGCCACCGAAGAGTAAGTACTACCATCACCCTCACTCCAACGCAAAGCATTGACCAGATCTAGACTGACTTGCGCCCTCCTCCTCGCATCTCTTCGCCTGCCCTTCTCTAGCCAATTCAAAGGCAGCAGCAGGCCGAGCCCGGAAGGAGGATCAGGCAAACAGTAAAAAGGCAGCAGAGAATGCAAAGGCAGAAGCAGCAGAAGCAGCAAAGTGGGATCAGGGAGCAAAGGTGAGTCTTCCTCTGCATTTCCTGCAGTGGCCCTCGAAGGACGGCTGGCGAATGTGGCGAAGAGGAAGAGCGAGGTAGGCAGACTGACTGAACCCAGCGAACCCCATGTTCTTCCCTTTTCTCTTCTCAGGGCAAGTCAAAGGCAGATGACAAGGCCGAAAAGGCGGCCGCTGCCGCTGCGAAGAAGGCCGAGCTGGAGCGTCTAAAGCGCGAAGAGGAAGAGTCGCTTCCCGACGCCAAGAGTAAAGCTCCCAAGGCTGGAGGTGGTAAGAAGGCCGGAAAGAAGGATCTGGGAGGGCCTGCTACTCCTAGCGGAATCGACGATGCATTGACAAGCTTCAGCGCGAGCAATTTGGACGATGCTATTTCGGCTATGAGCCTTGTGACGGAGAGTACTTCGAAGGACAAGGTGGGGGCAAAGGCGGGACAGATCGATCAGCATCCCGAGAGGAGATTCAAGGTAAGCCGGGAGTCGTCGAGGGTAATCGTTAAAGTTGACAGTCGCTGAATGTAAAGCGTAAAATGTCCACGTATCTACACAGGCCGCTTTCGAAGCCTACAAGGAGTCAGAAATGCCCCGGATCAGACAAGAGGTGAGTAAAGGATACTCGTCACCATGCTGTTCACAAAGTGTCCCTCCCTGACCACCGTCTCTCCCATCATCTCCTCGCCACTCTCCAGCGTCCCGGTCTCCGCAAGCAACAATACGAGAACGAGCTCTTCGACGAGTTCAAAAAGTCGCCCCTCAACCCCTTTAACCAGCTTACAGTGGACTATAATGCCACTCAGGCTGAAAAGGTAGAGGCGCTCAACAAGAGTAGACAGGCAGAGGCGAAGAGACTGGCGGATCGGGCGTGAGCGCGGGGTGGTGAGGTGATAATGTTGGCGCGGAGGAGTTGGGAGGAGGGTGCAAGACAGGCAGCACAAAAGTTGCTGTATCTCCCGAGGGGGAAAAGGCATTGTTGCCTGTGTCCAAATTTGCTGGCGCCTGCAACGAGCCTGCACACGCATCGAAATTGATAAAAGCTCGAAAGTATATTGCGATGCTGAAAGCAATGACATGTGGTCACCCACGGCTATATTCTCTTACGATTCCCATCTAGGCAATCTCCCAGCCCAGCCTCTTGCCCCACCCCTTGTTGGCAATGGCATCAGCAATCTGCTCCACATCTTTATCTCCCCTTCCACTGAGAGAGACGACAATGTCCTTGCCCTTCTCCATACCCTTGGCCAAGCCCACGGCGGCATGAAGAGCGTGCGAAGTCTCCAGAGCAGGGATGATGCCTTCTGTCTGACAGCAGAGCTTGAAAGCCCGGAGCGCATCCTCGTCGGTAGCGACGAGGTACTCTGCCCTTCCAGAGTCCTTGAGGTAGGCATGCTCTGGTCCTACACCTGGGTAGTCCAATCCGGCAGAGATGGAGTGCGTCTCGGTAATTTGACCGTCGGGACCTTGCAAGAGGTACGTCCTGACACCATGCAGCACACCCGGGGTGCCCTTGGACAACGTGGCAGAGTGACGGTCGGTGTCGACTCCTTCGCCTCCGGCTTCGACTCCAATAAGACGGACAGACTCGTCGTTGACAAAGGCGTGGAACATACCGATGGCGTTGGATCCACCACCAACGCACGCGACAACTGCGTCGGGCAGCTTGCCCCTCTTCTCCATCAGCTGGCGCTTCGACTCGTTGCCGATGACGCTCTGGAAGTCTCGCACCAGCGAAGGGAAGGGATGGGGTCCAATGGCCGAGCCAACACAGTAGTGGGTGTTCGAGAGATTCGTCACCCAGTCTCGGTTCGCCTCGTTAATGGCATCCTTCAAGGTCTTACTACCGCTCTCTACGGCAACTACCTTGGCGCCCAACATCTTCATACGGAAAGCATTGAGAGACTGGCGGCGCACGTCCTCTGCGCCCATGTACACGATGCATTCCAGACCAAACTTGGCGCATGCTGTGGCGGTTGCGACACCGTGTTGTCCAGCTCCTGTCTCGGCAATGATCCTGGTCTTGCCGAGCCGCTTAGCCAGAAGAATCTGACCGACGGCATTGTTGATCTTATGCGATCCAGTGTGATTCAAGTCCTCACGCTTGAACCAGATATTCGCTCCGCCAGCGTGCTCAGTAAGACGCTCTGCGAGGTAAAGCTCGGACGGCCTACCGATGTACTCGTAGTGCGATTCGAACTCCTTCCAGAAGGTCGGGTCGTCTAGTGCCTTGAGATAGGCCTTCTCCAGCTCAGCATGGCAGTCGTACAGGGCTTCGGGGATGTATTGGCCTCCGAACTTTCCAAAGCGAGGAGGGCGAAGGGTTCCAGTCGAGTCTCGCACCGGGTCAAGACCTGGCACAGGAGGTCGATCGCCATTGACTACACCATCGAGCTTGGGCTGAGGGGTAGAGTCTGGGGTATCGATAGCATCGCGGATGCGGATAGGCTGCTTCCGTTGGATTCCGCCAGAGGTCTTTCCGGTGATCTGCGCGCAATACTCCTGACCCGCCTTTGCCCTCTCGGCGGTGGAGCCTTGAGCGTCCTTGAGGACTGCTACCAACTTGCTGCCAATCACAACGCCATCTGCGTACTCTCCAATCTGCTCGAAGTGCTCTCGAGTTGAGACTCCAAAGCCTACTGCAAGATAGGCTTTGCTGACGGCGCGCAGGCGGTCGAGGAGCTCGGGAAGAGTTGTGCTCACATTCGAGGAGGCTCCGGTGACTCCCATCTTGGACACAACGTAGATGAAGGAGTCGGCGAGCGAAGCGAGATGCTTCATCCTTGCAGGGCTAGTCGAAGGAGCAATCAGTGGCACAAAGGACATTCTGTGGGCAGAGTCATAGGTGAACTAACGGCAGTCAGCAAGCCTTCTTGGGACTGCTTGTGGCTGTTACGGTCACATCTCACTCACCCTTCGCTTGTACAGCACCCTCTAAAGTCTTCAGCCTCCTCCGGTGGTAGGTCTACGATGATGAATCCGTTTGCTCCTGCTGCCTTGGCGTCTGTCACTGCCTTCTGCTCTCCATGGGCTAGTAGTGGGTTGTAGTAGCCCATCAAGATGACGGGAGTCTTAAGACCCCTGCTCCGCGCCTGCTGAATGTAGGACAGGCATGACTTGAATCCTACGCCTTGTTCGAGAGCGATCTAAGAAGTGGTAACGGATGCAGTCGTGTCGTCGTGGGCGCAAGAGAGTCAGTGGCGCCCATGCAATTAACGTCTGCTGCTTTGTCTCCACCATACTCACCTCATTGGCGCGCTGAATAGCTGGTCCATCTGCCTGAGGATCCGAGAAGGGCACTCCGAGCTCAATGATGTCTGCTCCTCCTGCCTCGAGTCCGAGTAGGATGTCGACTGTGTCCTCCTTTGCTGGGAAGCCGGCAGTCACAAAGGCGACGAAGACGGCTTCGTTCTGCAGAGATGCAAAAGGTAAGGAAAGTCTTGAATCAGCGAGGGTGCGCTCGGATAGCTTGTTCTACATCTTGATTGCTGCTCACCTTGTCGGCCTTTGCCTTGAAAGTGGCATTGATATGATCTGTCATGGTTGTATGCGACTGGATGGATGGATTGAAAGCTCTAAATGTCCATCCACGAGACTTGGCCTCCCCAGCGACCTCTCTCTGCCTGAGTCATCCCGCGGATCGGGGCCACTCTTGAGCCGCCGGGCAGTCGCGCACTCCACTCGGCCACTCGGACCGGAAAGGGGAGCACGCTTGCAGCAGCCAAGACCATCACGAGTAACACCGTAACGGCTTCAATCTACGTCGTCACTGCTGCAATTTACTTCGACAATGGCAGAGGTACTACGGAACCCGGGCGGCTCGTCGCAACATCTCCAGGGTGAGTCAAAACGTACCATGTCTAATGTTAGTCTGCCAGCGACTGACCCGGTTGTCGCGCCTCCTGATTGCTCCTCTGAACGCTGTCTCTCCAGCCGGCCCATCCTCGCCTCGTACACAGTCCTACTCCCAACTTGAGCACATCGTTTCTTCTCTCGAGTCGCAATCGTCTTCACACATGTCAGAGCCATGCTTGATGCTACCTGCTCTCCAAGCTCTTGAAAGTAGGGTCCAAGCGTTCAAGAATCAATCCTCATCAGCGACTACAAGGTAAGTCACAACAGCGCTGCGAGGCTTCCTTTCTCGCTTGGACTTCCCACAGTGTCGCAACGCTCAACATATTTCATGCCTCAATGTGTTGCATACAGCCGCGAAGTGGACGCCTTGTCAGCCAGGGTCAGACACCTGATCCGCCAAGTAGTCACGCAGCAGGTGAGTAAGAAGAACGTCTACCGAGCCGCTGAGCCTGCTACCTAACCAAGACGGCTTGAATGTTCTCCGCTTCGCAGGCGATCGATTCCCGTACGGCCTCACCTCGACTCAGCGAGACAGTCGCAGTCCAGTCGTATCTCTCCTCGGCTTCGATGGCTCGCTACCTGGAACGCAGTATCAAGCAAAGCAGCCGTAAAGCGGGCTCACATAGTAGCATCAGCCTTCCGCCAGTCCCCAGGCTGGTCGTGGGCAGCAATTCTCAGCCGGAAGGGGAGACTCTGGATCAAGCTGCGCGCGAGAAGGCGCGCTTGCGTCAAGAAGCAGAGGAAGCAGAGATGGCGGAATACGAGACCGCAAGCAATTTACGGCGGAGAGGCGGCTACAAGGCAGCAAATGACGAGAGTGAAGATGGAGAGAGGGCGGGCGGGACCAAAGACGAAAAGGCTGCTTCGACAAGCTACCCGCCTTCTACCTCTACAGCGCCCGTGGTCTCTGGGGACCGGTCGACGCAGGAGGCTCTTTCTTCCGAGCTGCTGCGCATGGCTTCCATCCTCAAGAACCAGACCATTTCCTTTTCCTCGGCTCTGGAACGCGATCGTAAGCTGCTGGAGTCTACAGATCAGCAACTATCCCAAAATCTAGATCTTATGACGAGGACTAGAGGTCGCTTGGGCGAGTATGCGCACAAAGCTCGAGGGATGGGTTGGCTGACGCTGGGCACGGTGGTCATGGTGGTGATCACGTGGATGCTGATGTTCGTTGTGATCAAGTTGACGTGACCGTGCGGACGCATTTGTAAAGAAGAGGGGCAGCCCACCTCTTTGTCCCAGCGTTGCGAGGAGCGTGTCACAGCAGATGGCCGAATCCCCCATCTGCAATGCAACTCTGCGCCTCTCACCACCAATACTCGAAAAGTCGCACAGTCCTCGCCTCTTCTTCTGTCCACAGCTTGCTCTCATGATCTTCTGTAGCAGCCGTACAACCGGTCAGGTGTCGGCTCTGCGCTCCTTGGCGAGGCTATGCGAGGTCAAAGCGTGGCATTCGGCGAGAGTCTGCCTTGGTGGGGGGCAGTGGTAGTGATCAAAGAGGTCCCGTGCCTTGTTGATTGTACGAGTCCTCGTGCCTGCATGTGCGTATTGCAAATACCCTTGGCCTCTATCACTACTGGCCATTGCTGCGCCCTGAGGACCTCTGTGCCCTTCGCTTGGTCGTATTAGCAATCATGGGCCTGGGGAGCAACTCTGGTGACCGGAGAGGTCCCCCTGTTTGAGATTTGCCCGCGTGGGTGTGAGGTTTCTGGGAAACTTCGGCCGTGGGTGCGTGCCTGGATGCGGCCCCGACCCGCCGGCGCTGCGCCTGTCGAGTGCTGATCAATTCGGGGCCATTTTGCAGGCTGCCCATAACCGGTGAGGTCGCCTGGCCCCCGCCCGCCCACTCGCCCGCCTGGCAAGCAGGAAGCAGTTTGCGCCTCCCAAGGCACACAAAGGGGCTCCTTCATCCCATCCTCGGTCATCTCTCAGTGCCTCAGTCGTCGATCCTCTTCCGTCGGGCAGCTGTACTTAAGGCTCTCACTCCTCTGCCATTCCTTTATCCCGCGGGCGGTATACTACCTACTTCACTTCTTTTTGCTTTGGAGCGGCTCGCATATCTCCCGGCGCTGCTAAAAACTTCGCAGAACCGGTCCCGCAAAGATCAGCTCGACTCTAGCCTCCTCTTCACGTCTCCTCGCCCCCAACTCTCCTCCCCTACAACGACAGTACAATGGCAGACACAGAAGTCGAAGACCCCTGTGCCGCTGAAGGCTTTAGCGGCTCCGTCGGTCTCCGCATCGGCGCCATCTTCATCATCCTCGTCTCCTCTACCTTCGCAACACTCATGCCCATTGTAACAAGACGGGTGCGCGTGCTGTCATTACCGGCCTCGGCATTCGACTTTGCAAAGTACTTTGGCAGTGGAGTCATCATAGCTACCGCCTTTATGCATCTGCTTGCTCCGGGAGCAGAGGAGCTATCGAGTCCTTGCTTGAACAGTAACTTCCAGAACTACACATTCGCCTTTGCATTTGCCATGATCTCCATGTTGTGAGTCCGCATACACCAACAGAAGGGCAGATGCCTTGCTGCGTATTGCAAAAGCTGGTCAAGATCGATTCGCTGACATTACTACTCTTGCCCTCCGACGCCTTGCTAACCATTCGCAGCATGACTTTTATCGTCGAGCTACTCGCTTTCCGCGTCGGATCCAAGATCGCCTCTCGTCTCGCCTACGACCCGCATCGTGGTGGACACCACCACGCTAACGAGCACGACCATGTCTCACCAGCCATCGCAGCAAAACACAGGGAGACCGAGCTCCTTGCCGGAAGCTCCTCTTCCTCTTCCCCCCAACCAGACTCCGATGACAAGCCTGCGGTCGCAGAAACACTTCCGCGAGCGGATGACCTCGAGGTGCATGCTCTCGAAGGCGACGTCCCCGAGCTGTCTGCAGCTGCCCGCGAGATCCTCGGTGTAGCCATCCTGGAATTCGGAGTCGTCTTCCACTCGCTGATCATCGGTCTCACACTGGCCACCACCAGCGACTTCAAAATTCTCTTCATCGTCATCATCTTCCATCAGATGTTCGAGGGTATCGGTCTCGGTGTCAGGCTTAGTCTTCTCCCTTTGCGTGCCGGCAGCATGATTCCATGGCTCGGAGCCTTGCTCTACTCCTGCATCACACCGCTGGGTATGGCCATCGGTCTAGGGGTGAGAAACACCTACAACGGTAACTCCGCTACGGCTAACTACATCACTGGTACCTTCGACTCGGTCTCTGCGGGAATCTTGCTCTACACTGGGCTGGTGGAGCTGCTAGCGCACGAGTTCATCTTCAATGAGAAGATGAGGAAGGCGCCCCTAGGCAAGGTCATGGTGAATATCCTCGAGGTCCTCACTGGAGCCGGCATCATGGCTCTTCTGGCTCGTTGGGCTTAGGGCGAGAGGCTAGTGTGCAGCCTATGTCCAGATCATTCTTTATCAGCATTGCCTTGCCCTGCCCTACCGTACTTTTCATGACTGTCACCAAGATCTCGCGCGTGCCGATTCTCCCACCTTTTTTATTTCCTCCAAGTCATTTCATATAGAGTTCCGTTACAATTCACACATTTGATTCCCTCCGAAGTCATCTATCCCACCGTTGAGTGATCATTGCACAGCTTGACATCGGATGCTTGACGGCAAGAGAGCCTGCGGTGTGGACCATGGGCAGAAGACGTGGTGCTCGAGGCCACGCGCGTGTGGCCCGAGCGTATCGCTCGATTGCCTGCAGCGGAAGCCGTGAGTTGAGCTTAATCTCTCCTCCCCTCGTCATCATCCTCATCATCTCTACTTTGCGCAGACGGATGCAGACGAAGAAGACGACTATGACCTCTTCCCTCCCCATCATCTCCCTCACCTCTCCCACTCTCCCCAGGGACCTTCTGCAAGGGCTCTGTCCTTCAGGTCCTTCCGAAGGACCCACCGGCTTTTTCTACCTCGTTGATCACCAGGTCCCTCCGGCTGAGCTTCACGGAGCCTTTGAGGCTTCGCGGTGCTTCTTTGAAGAAGAATCAGAAGAGGAGAAGAGGAAGACGATTGATAGGACGGGTCATACGGGGTGGACTGGAGTGGGAGAGGAGTCGTGAGTCTCGAGGTGAACTCGACAGGCGCTGGATGCGTGCTCTGACTGCCACCCTTTCCCCTTCCCATGGCGTTGGTGCTGGACAGACTTGATCCGACAAAAAAGGTGGCAGAAGCCGACGTGAAAGAATCCTTCTACGTCTCCCTCTCCGTCCTTTCCACTCCGCCATCGAGGGAGTGTTCACCGCAGACACTCCCTCCCACTCTCCTCGCCAAAAGAGAGAACCACATCGCCCTCACCGGTCTGCTCCAGCACTGCCGCCGGGTCTGTGAAGCCTTGCTAGATGGGTTCGAGAAAGCACTGCAGCTCGAAGAGGGCCTCTTCAAAGAGAGACATCGCGGCGGAGAGGATGACAGGATGAGGCTCATCCGCTACCCCGCTCAGCACCCAAGTACACCCGCTACAAACGGGCAGGGGGAGCAGCAGATTCGCAGCGGGATTCGAGCTGGAGCCCACTCCGACTATGGTTCTCTCACGCTACTCGCACAGTCCGATATTGGAGGACTACAGGTGCGCGATCAGACTTCAATGGGGACAGAAGAGAAGTGGCTCGATGTACCGCCGCGAGAGGGAGCACTGGTGGTTAATATTGGCGACTGCCTCGAGTTCTGGTCGAGGGGACTTCTGCCTTCGACTGTGCATCGTGTTGTGGAACCGCGGGTTGATGCGGAGAGGGACGCGAGGTACTCGATGTGAGTACACGAAGGTGCAGGCTCACATTGACAGAGGCTCGGGCACATTACCGGCAGACATGCTGAACCCTTTGCCTAAACCGACCCAACTCGTGCGACAACACAGAGCCTACTTTCACCATCCCTCGCCCAACTCTTCCCTCTCTCCCCTTTCACCATCGTTGCTACCTCCAGAGCTAGTGAAGCGTTTCCCGCCACTGGAAGAGTGGAGAGAGAAGTGTCTGCGAAAAGGTATACCCGAGGAAGCGTTACCGAAGGAAGACGGCTCGGAGATCCAGGCAATGACGGGTGGAGAGTACCTCAAGAAACGGCTCAAGGGAAGTGGGCTATGACAGCAGATGCGAAAGCGGAGGGTTGAATTTCGGGTATACCTCGACGTACAGATGTACATGCACAACAGCACGTCTAGAATGATCACTTCGTTTCACCAGCCTCCTCACCCCCGAGCTCCAGCCTGACTTGCATCACGCCCCGCAACGCGTTACACAACCAGATCCGTACTCTTCCCCTTTGCACATCGCGAATGAGATCTTCGACGGTCAAGTCTGCCTCTTCTACGAGCCCGCGCTGGAGGAGGTAGGAGCGCATCAGGCCAGGGAGAAAGCAGACGTCCCCTTTGCTCGGCGAAGCAGACACCGGAGTGATAGGGGCTAGCCGTGGTGTGAGCCAGCGAGAGGAGCCTCCAGTAGCCTCGGCCCCCTCTCCCTCATTTACCTGCACTAGGATATTCGCTATACTACTCTCCGTCAATAAGCGCCTCACCTTTCCTCCATCCAACGCACTGCCTGACGCCTCACGACCGCTGGTGGTCGTGGTCCACATCAGCACCTCAAAGCACGGGTCTGCATTCCCCTCTGCAGGCGGCAAACCAAGCGTAGCTCCCACGCGCTCCCGAGCGGCATCGTAGAAGCTTCTGCTGGACGTCTTGTAGAGGTAGGGCGCACAAAGCTGCTGCCGCTGCTGCCTTGAGAGAGTCGAGTGAAGGGTCGAAGAAGACGAGGGACCGCTGGACTGCATGTCCAGTCGCACCGTTGGAAGAGGGGCGCTGCCAACGCCCCTCGGTGGGAGCCAAGGAGCCATCTTCGCAACCACGACGTTGATGTGACCCTGAGAGTTGAGCGCAAGGCGCACACGACGCCGATGTCGCTCCTCGTCGTTGCTAGCGGGTACCATGTTCGGTCCCAAGCTATCATCGAAGCGCTGTAGTGCTTCTTCGAGAGCAGTGAGGATGCGACTTGTCAACGTCGCTGCATGCTCTTCTTGTCCTTCACCCCACGTTGTCGGGAAAGTCTCGCGCATTGCGTGCCGAGAGCTGATCAAGCGGTCGACGTGTGCCTGAAGCAAAGGGACATGCTCGAAAAGCCGACGTGAGATCGCAGTCGTGACTGTTTTCCGCTCCTGTTTCGAGCTTGCAACTTGAAGGGCTGTGGGCAGCTGGAAGTCATCCACTGGAAAGAACTTATCTGGCCGAGGTGCGTCGAGGTAGTAGCAGAGAGTAGTGAAGACTTCTACAGGAGCTGTGGCGCCTTTAGCAGCATCCGGGACTGGCGGTCCGACGGCCTTGGAAGGTCCAGGGACCTCCTGCTTTCCCTCACCGGACTTCATATGTCCCTTGATGCGGCCCTGCCCCACTTCCATCTTGGCGCTCCTCGCTCCGAATTGCATCGCCCGCTTCTTCTCCGCGCTGACAGACTTCAGCCCGGCCCTCCGAGCCAGCTGCCTCAGGAGGATCTTATCACCGACACCTTGCTCCAAGCCCAGCTCGCACTTGATGCGCAGTGGGAGAGAGGCGATGAGGGAAACGACGTCGGAGGACAGGAACGGGTAGCGGCCTTCGCGTCCGTGAGAGGAGAGGATGCGGTCGTCTCGTCCCAGATTGCGCGTAGGCAGACGGTCTAGGTCCATCTGAAGCTCTTCGATCAGGGCGGCCCAATTGCCGGTAGATGGGGCTTTCTGCATGGAGGCAGGGGTAGACGTCGTTCCCCTACCCTCGAAGGCTTTGCGATGCCTTGAGTAGCCACCACAGAGCTCATCTGCTCCAAGACCAGAGATGTACACTCTGGCCGCCGTCTTGTACTCCTCCCTCTCACCGTCCTTCATGAGGCTGCCCCATCCTCTACTGGCGAACCAAAGCACGCTCCCGAGACTGAGGTCCATGACGCTCTCGCAGGGATGCATGTGCGCAAGGATGTCCTCGCGCGCCGATTGGTACTCTTCATACGTTACATCGATCTCTACGAGGTTCCACTGACGCCCGGGCGATAGAGCTTGGAGCTGAGCGAGAGTAGCATGGGACAGAAGCCTGTCTGGCGTTGAGAAGCGGGAAAGAGAGGAAGAGGCACCCTCTGTTAGGCTCAAATGATCCTTCCCTACCCCCTTTCTCTCGGCTTCCCTCCCATTCTTAGCAGCCTGCAAGACTCGCGGGTTCTCGAATGCAACGTTGAGCAGATCGATGCTCTGCTGAGCCGGCAGGGCCAAGTGCGTATACCAGGCTAGGAGTGCACTGTCCAGACCGCCAGAGAATAAGATTGCCACAGGTGATGGCTTGTTGTAATCGCTGCGAGAGCTACTGGTGAGCGACAAATCCTGTGCCACCTGCCCACCAATGGCAGCAACTCGTCGTGCGACGCTCGTCAGCAGCGTTGCATGTAGAGCGTCAAGCGCTTGATCCCTCTCAGCCTGCGATGGTACCGCGTATTGATCACTACCAGCAATCGGCTTTTGACTTTTTCGTAGCTCCCGGAGCAACACCCTTTGTGAGGCTCTGCTACCGAACATCCGAGGCCGCTCTTCCGGCGTTGTCGAGCTCCAGATCCAGAATCCGGCACAGTCTACTTCTGTGAAACGCAGGCCAGCCGACAGAGCTTCTGGAGCGGCAGCCGATGCGAGCAGGATGTCAATAGATCCGGATGTTGTCGCATCTGATACAAGGAGACTCCTCCGTCCAAGCGCATCCCTTCCGAAATAGACGTCTCCGGTCTGATGATCGACGAGCGTGAAAGCCCACTCGCCTTCTACTTGAGAATCGAGTATGAGAGGTAGTACGCGCTGGAAGACTCTCCTACGTGCTTGATGCTGCCCCTCGGAGGCCGATGTACCATCCACGAGATATTCTTGAACAGTACTCTCTATCCATCTGGCCAGAATCATGCCATCGTTGTGTCCGTCCTCGAGAGACTGCCTCGCTTCCTCGTAGTGTTGAGGGTGCGGACCCTGGAAGGGCTGCAGAGCGTACATTTGACCGTTCCAAGCCAGCGTGAACACAGCCGAGGATGAGACTATTGGCTGTCTGGTCACAGCTGGCCCACGTAGGGAGAGGACAGAGGCAGCGAGGAGTGCTGAGCCTGACGGCAATGCGAGCGTAGAGCTCGAGATGCAGTGTGGGCCCCTTTGGCTGCACACGCTGGCCATGCTGTCCCACCATGAAGGTAAAGCTTCGCTGGCCGTGGAGCCATCCTGGCACTGCGCGTCCTTTGCTCTTCCTCTGGCCAGGAAGAGGATACCGCACATCTATGACAGTCCGGGAGAGACGGAGTGGAGACGATCAAGAAGGATCAGATCGGTGCGAAGGTGCGCAAGCAACCTCGGCAAAATCTTAATCGGAATCGCAGAATTGCCGAAGCGGGAATTGAAAATCAACCGTGCGAGGGCAGCGCCACGGCCAATCGCCCATTTCCAAGCCGCGACGTGATGCGGGGAGAAGACTTTTGCTTGCAGATAAAGGCAGAAGGTCATCGATACTCCTCACAATCCTACCACCGACTACGTAGGAGGCGCAGATGATGGAAGCAGACGCACGTGCTGTAGAGCTCACCGGCAGGGCCCGCTCGCCGCCCGTCTCATCCCGCATCGTCCAGCGCCTTCCCGCAAAAGTGCAGCACCTCTTCACCCTCCGGCCCACCCTCTTTCTCCGCTCCCTCACCCTCTTTGCCCTCGAAGCATCGGTCAACCTTCTCCTCTGGGTCGTCACTCTGATCGTCGCAGCACCATCCTCCTCAAGCAACTTTGCCTCACTAGCCCTTATCGCGTGGACCACCGGACTGAGGCACGGCCTAGACGCCGATCATATTTGTGCTATAGATAACGCTACCAGGCGCATCGTAGGCATCAGACGAGCCGGCCGAGACCAAAGACGGCGCAATTGGAAGGGCAAACTCTTCTTCTGGAGGAGAGGCTCAAACGATGCTGCCAATGAGCGCATCGAGGATACTACTGCACAGCCAGTGCAGCAAGAAACGATTCAGAGGCCGCTCCTCGTCGGTCTGTGGTTCTCCCTCGGACATTCCACAGTCGTCATCGTAGTCACCGTCGCCATCTCCATCTCTCTCGCCGTCGCAACTCAGCTAGATGGCTTTGGAGGCGTGGGAAGTGTGATAGGTCCTGCCGTCAGTGGTAGCTTCCTCTTCCTGGTAGCGTTGGGCAATTCTATCATGCTCGCTCGGGCCTGGAGAGCTAGGAAGAGGGCGCAGAGGGAGGAGAAAGCCCGTCTGCAAGCGTTGCCCAGCTCAGATGTGGAGCGAGCATCAGCCGATGATGATCAGGCGAAACACGAGCAAGGTCGCTTCATGGGCATGCTCACACGGCTCACCATGCCGCTGATCAATGCCGTCAGCCGTCCTCACCACATGTACGTCGTCGGTGCCCTCTTCGGCCTCGGCTTCGATACGGCCTCTACGATCGCTCTTCTGAGCGTATCCGCCTCGGCTGGTTTGACACAAGGAGGCAATGCAAAAGTCGTGCTGCTAGCTTTCCTCTTTACTGCCGGCATGACCTGGGTTGACTCGTGCGACTCCATCTTGATGGTCTGGGCTTATGCTCCACCAGATGAAGACCAAGCAGGAGGAGGCGGAAGCGGCAGTAAGCGGTGGTGGGCTCTGTTCGAGGAGAAGAAAGCATCTTGTTCAGCCTGCGAACACGAGCAGCAGCTAGGGGATATGAACCAAGATGAGCTCAAGGGCCTCGTCCCTTCCAAGTCTGGACTGCCGGTACCACCTCCCTCTCAGATCGAGGCTGCGCAAGATGTGGCGCCTTCTCTATCGAAAGAGTACGACTGTACGGATGCTCAGGAACAATTGCGAGAAGACTCAACAGCAGTGCCTGCAATCCCGCTGAGAACTCTTTCAGATTCCGCACAAGCTCTCTCGCACCTCCTCACGCTCCTATCCATCATCCTCGCTTTTGCCATTTCCATCATCGTCCTCATGGGTCTCATCGCTTCAGAATGTCCCGCATGTGCACGCTCCCTCGAGCTACACCAGGAACCTCTCACGGAGGAAGTGTCGCCCGGTAGTGGGCAGGAGAGGATTGTGAATGATGGAGGACTCGCAGGGAGATGGTGGGCTTTTTGGGATGGGGCGAATGAGCAGAGTGGATTCATTGGGGCGGGCATCGTCGCTTGCTTCGTAGTCGTCGTTGCTGGTTGGCGACTGAGTGCAATAGTCAGGCAGAAGAAGAAGAGGCGCAGCAGCAGCAGGACGGAGGAGACGGTAGAAGAGCAGCAATCACTGCCACACGAGTAGGAAAAGGTTCATGTCACTTGCGGTGCATCAGGCTTGTAGGTGTTAGTGTTTGTAACGGACTGCGTCACGTGAATTGATTGATGAAAAAGCATGAAGGTACACTGATGATGTTGTTGATGATGATGATGTGGCGAAGGCGCTAATGATGACGGTGTTTGAAGCGAAGAGACGAAATTCGGAGCTAGTAGAGAGATGAGCACATCTATACGACTTCGCACTAGCTGAGGAAGGTAGGCATGCTGACTTTCACTTCAATGCTTGATTGGTACAGAGGCTTGTGGGATGATGCTGTCTCGAATCAAGAACGTCGGGACTGAGGAAGCCGTGACGCATCAATCGTTGCGGAATTGTAGAACGATTGCGGATCCTGCTGATGCGACGAGGGATTGCGCACAGGGCCAGAGACGGACCGGTGTGAGGGGGACCCTCCATCACTACCGTCCCTCTGGTTTGCAAGAGACGGACTCGATGAAGAGTACGACATGCCCCTGCTACCGCTCACAGGGAAGGAGCCGCCGGACCTCAAGTCTCCGACACTGCCGACTCGGTATCCCAGCCTTTTTCCAGTGTTTGCAGAAGACTGCTGGGGCGGATCTACTTCGGATCTGCTCGCCTTGCGCCGATCCGTGTCGGATGGGAACCCTTGACCGTCTCGAAGCAGGTCGGAATCATAGGGAGCAGGTCGGTTGGCAGCGTTCGGACCACGCCCATTAAAGGCAGTTTCCAATTCTCGCTCCGAGGCGAAACCGTTCGACTGTCTGTCGTAGTCCCCTTCACTACCTCTGCTCAAAGATCGCCCCATCGATGACGAATGAGAACTGGAAGCACCACCACCAAGCCAAGCTCCAGAATTGCTTGCGAGGTTGCTGTCAGATGCGTTGGGACTGGAACCTCCTGAACTGAGAGAGCGGTTCGTAATCCTTTGGGGGGCGAAATTGGGGGAAGTGCGGGGTGAGGTGTTTGATCCAGAGCCGCCTCCACTTCTCCTTTGCTGTGAGCTGCTGGAAGTGTTGTCCTCATAGGAGCTTGCATGATAGCCAGTCCCAGAGCTTTGCTGTGTGTAAGTATAAGGCAGAGCTCGAGGATCGATGACTTGACCGACAGAGATACTGGAGGGCATGCTGAATTGCTGCTGCTGTTGGTGCTGCTGCTGCTGCTGTTGTTGAGCCAGTGCAAGGTCATTGTTGATTTGACGATGCTGAGCACCGTATCCGGCGGGCAGAATGGGCTGCTCTGCGGATCTGCCGACCGGCGCCCGATTGGGCTTCACCAGACCTCCCTTTTTGCTTTTGATTGGGGCGGCCTGCTTAATCACTGAGACGAGGCCACCCGACGATGCTTCCGAGCCCATGACATTGGTCGAGTCTGTTGAGCTATTTGCAGAAGTTGAGTGACCCGTGGCTCTGTCTTGCACAGCTACGTCAATCACGGCAGAAGTACCAGAGTGCGTACCTGGTGATGTGCCCCCTCCCTCCGACTTCAGTCCAGCCGCAGACGGAGACGAGCTGGTAGATGCCGACTTTCCACCGCTTCCGCTACTAGACTGCAACTGAGCGGGCTGTTGCTTCTGCTGTGACTGAGCTTGCTGCTGACTCCGGTTTACAATGGAGAGGTACCAGAACATCAAATTGCTGATTAGAACCTGCTCATATAGCGGGCGTCTGGGGTTAGCGAGCTTGATATGGCTCAAGCGGTAGACGGCCCGCTCGACGTGAATCGGGTAGCGAGCATGACCGTTCACCAGACGCCCGCCATTCGCCATGGCTCTTTGGTCCAGCAGGCTGCCAGCGGTGATGTTGTCTTGGTTGCGGTGATACGGTGCCTCTTTGCTGTCATCGTTGCCCTTCTTCTTGCCGAACAAAGCCCCTAGGAAGCTTCCTACGTCCTTGTCCTTCTCCTTGTTATGGTCTGTTCTCGCTTGAGCGACACCCGAGCTCGGACTGTGGCTGCCAGCAGCACTCTCATCCTCCTTCTCTCTTTCCTTTCGATGGTGTTTCTCGCGCTTCTTGTCCTCCTTGCTTGACCTCGCGTCTTCCTCGTCTTTACCGATGCCGAACCAGCTCGCAAAGCCTCCGGATCTCTTTTCTCTGTCTCTGCTTTTGTTTGGGGTAAGGGGCGCAGAGGAAGGAACAGGTGCGACGGATGGCTTGCTCTTCTGCTGCACAGGAGCAGAAACATTTGCGCTGGTCGGTTTAAGCGGTTGCTGGTGTTGTTGTTGTTGCTGTTGCTGTTGCTGCTGCTGCTGCTGCTGCTGCTGCTGCTGCTGCAATGCCAGCTGTTGTGGCGCTGAGGATTGGGCACGGCTTTTCTCGAATGAAGGTACAGGTGGTACATACGAGACTGGAATGGGCCAAGCAGACTCCGGTGGCGTTCCCGTCGTGGCAGCAGGCGTCGTAGTCGGTGCTGTGTTAGAGGGGTATTCGTGCTCAGGGGACTGCAACGGCGACTCGGAAAGCGCGCCACGTCTTGTTTCCGAGGTAGGAGATGTGACAGACTCGTCTTCGGGACCGCGAGATGTGAGATCAAAGTACCCTCCACCACGTTGAGAAGAAGTCGTCGGCACTGGCGTCGGCGTCTCCGGCGGTGAAGGTATCGATAGTGACAATTTGCTCTGGTGAGCATCTACTGTATCGCTTTCTCCCAACGACGTGATGTCTGTTGTCTGACTCGTATCCGAGATGATCGAGTCCCTCGAGTATGCATCAACAATGGAGTCAGTAGCGCCTTCAGATACCGGCCTGGCCTGCGAGCCGCCCGCCAAGCTCTCATCGTCACCTGAAGAGAGCTCAGAGTTATCACTGGGACTTCTCTGCATGAGTGTCATGGCCACAGCGGCCAGATTCGGTGTGCCAAAGCGATCTCCTTCGAAGAGATGTGAGGTATCACCGCCTCCCCTGCTAGGGTCCTGGTCGGTAGCCGCTCTCCTTCGTGATGAGGAAAGCCGATTGATGCGATCCGCCGTCTCTGGCGATGCCGAGATGGAAGATTTCCTGATCTTGGTGCGAGCTGCTCTGCGAAGAATCTGTCCCGGAGGTGGTACAATGATGGGAGCATCCGCATCGTCTCCTACCGGAGGGACAGCATCGACGGTGTCCATTGCTGCGAAGGAGGAGGACAAGAGGGTAGGATATTATATCAGTCGGATGCGCCAGGAAGCTTGAAATTGCTTCTACTCACTGCTCGTTCCCGCGCCCAAGCTCATCGTTCTCCGGAGCACGCTTCTGAGCTCAGTTTCATCTCTACTCTTCGTGGCCTCTTCCGCTAGCGCTTCTAGTTTCTGTAAGTCACTGATACTGAGAGCCGGCTCTCCATCGCGTGGCCGCAGGGACGGCGATGGACGGCGAGGAGCAGCGGTGTGGTCCTCGTCATCAGTGTCATGGTCCGGTCGATACTGTCGACGTAATGTACTTCCTCGGCGCGCCATTGAGGTCCGTGGCATGAAGCTCATGGGCGATGTGGACTCCGAATTTGGAGCACCAGACGCAGAACCAGGACTGCTCGGCTGCTGGTTCGGTAAGTCCCGTTCCCTTGCAGCTCTTGAAGCATGCTCTTGAAGGAAGTCGCGGAAGTGGGAAGGAGACAGCTCCGGATGGACAGAGGCAGGAACCCAAAACAGATGAGAAGGGTCTGAGGGTCTTCCCAGAGGTGAGGTGGAGTCGCTTGTGTTAGGGCTGCGAGGTCGAGAGCCGGAGGCCCTGCTGTTGCTTTGTATGGGAGGCGCATTCGCCGCTTCAAGGGCAGAAGCTTGATTGCGCCGCCGGGCAGTAAAAGCTTGCCTTCCAGCCCCTCTGGTGAGTTGCGGCTCGTTGTTTGAGGCCGGCCCCTCGTCTGTGAGATCCACACCGACTCTTCTTGAGGGCGATGATGGAGAGGAATTGGATACGTTCATGGGGCCGCGGGTGAAGGGAGGAGAGGGGCTTCCAGCAGCGCCCAAAATCTCCTGCCCTCCTCCTCTGATAGCTGCCATATCGGGGAGGTCAGGATCGAGGATTGGACGATTGGCTGAAATCCTTCGGTGTGACTTGAGCGCCTCGACCTCCCTCTCGAATTCCTTGGCTGTGATGTTCTGCATCTTACAAGGCTCGGGTGTTGGTGAGAGGCAATACGTAGAGAACGTGAAACTTTGTGACACCAGCGAAATACAGTCGTACAGTTCTTCCTTGTGGGTACGGGCTACCTTGTGAACAGGACAAGGTGAGGGACTGCTCCAGCCTCTGGCGTCACAGACTTCGAGGTTCTTTGCGCTCGAAACCAGCGAGCTAGCCAAGGGCAGCAGCCGGCAGATCAACCTCTACCTCAGCGTGGTAATGCACGATCGGAAGATAGGAAGGGTCTGGGGTGTCCCCAAAGGCCGAACTTGAGCACCACAAGTTATATCTGGTAGCTCCTGAGCTCAACTGGTCACGACGGCAGGCCTGCTCGGCAGTATCACCCTTGGAGGCTTGCAGCCTCGTGTGATAAGCGAGTGTTGCCGAGCTTGATTGAGGAGTGAGAAGATGTGGTATCCTCTCGGATGTTGAGCAGAAAGATTTGCGTTTTGACAGTGTTCGAGTATGTGGGACGTTGAGAAGGATTTGGAAACGCGATATCCACAGGTGGAAAGCCTGATGTCTCAGGGGCCAGCAGAGACCTGAGACACGGGCAAGTGTGACGCCGGGAACACAGCACGGTGAGCCAAGACTGAGCTCTACGATGACAGTGTGTAGGACAAGGCCGCGTCTTGATCGTTATCCAGGGGAACAGATGCCAAAAGGACGGGGATGGGGTAGAGGAATGAGGAGGAGGGTGTGACTTGTTCGTTCGGCTAGGTCAGACGCCCGCCTCCGCCTTTGTGCGGACGCAGACTGCCAGGCCCGACGCCCGCCTGCAACGTGGTGCTTGGCACTAGACAGGAGTTCAGCGATGGCTAACTCGACAAGGATCAAACGAGGGAGAGTAGCAATGAAAAGCATCTGATACCGCCGACAAGCAGCCGATGTTCATGATACTGGTGGCGCAGACCCCAGCGCTCCTCAGCACTTTCCCAACCCTTCGTCACTGAGGACCCTTACCTAGCACAGCGTGACAGATAGCGTAGAGCGACCTCTCATACGGATCATGAGTCAAATATACATTGCTCTCCACACACAATGGAGCGTAGCTAGACAACACTAAGCCTATGCCCATACGAAGATGTCATCGCATGACCTTCCTATTCGCAGTCTAGAGCGGCAAGGTCCCTGCAGCTCCTGACCTCCACACTAGTCTCAGCAAGTCACTGTCCCCCTCTAGGTGGCAGGCAATCAGCACCGTCGCTTACTCCGCCTTGACGGCGTTCTTGTGCAGCTCCATCTTCACCCTGACTACTCGCTCTAGTAGCTTGTCCACGACAGCTTCGCGGTTCTTCTTGTATTGCTCCTCGATGCCCTCCAATTCCTTCTGAGTCTCCTTCTCGACCTGTGATTGAGCATCAGACTGAGATCCCTCATGCTTTGGGGAGAGAGGGGTAACGAAATTGTAGGAAAAGTTGACAGTCAGATCCTCGGTTCGCTTGAGGTGCCCTTACAATCTGGACAGCTGCTTGCGGAGGAGCCGAAGCAGTGGCTCCACAACTGACTGGACAATAGTGTCTCTGGCGTACTCACCTCCTTCTTGTACTTCTGGAATTCTTCCTCCTTCTTTGACTTCAGCTCCTCGATTTCCTTGGCAGCCTCACTGCGAGCGTCCTTCAGCTTCTGTGTTCGATCTGCGGGCGGGTTCAAACAAAGTTCATACGTCAGCCACCCCCTCCCAGGGACCCCTCGCCAAAGCTCCCGGCAATGTGAAGAACTTACAAGTCCTCGCCTTCTGCACAATCTTTGCTGCCTCTTTCTCAGCTTCCAGCAGAGTCTGGATCCCTTGCGATTGTTGAGCGGCCTGTTGAGAAGACGATGTGGAGACGAGCAGAAAGGAGAGATGTCAGGCATCAGAGGTCAGCACTCGTCCGAGATCTTTGGCGTCGCTTCGACGAAGTCAACGCACCATAGTGGTTTGCGAGTGGAGGGCGGCTGAGGTATGAAACGTCTCTTGGAGCAGCTAGAGGATTAGGGGTATCGACGGTAGATCGGAAGCGGTGGGTGCTTGTGGAAGCGGACGGGAAGGTGAGTAGATCAGTCCAGACTGGCGTGAGACGATGCACGGCTCCGTTCCGCTCGCGCGACCGATCTGGGGCCAAGGTTAAGTCGCCCGCACCTCGGCAAGCGCCAATACTTCCAACGTTGGATCGTATCACTTCGGCCTTCTTCTCCCATCTTTCTCCGACACACCCATCCCTGTCCCTCTCCCAAGCGTCAGCTGTACATGGCAGACGGAGCAGGGTCTTCGGCAGGTAGCAGCGATGCCCTAGGTCTGCTCAGTGCTGCATTGAATGCTGCCGACTCTACCGCGGAAGCACACAACCTCCGACTTTTGTACGACCTCTTCCGACAGCAGCCAGGCAATCTGCCAATCTTGCTGCCCAGCCTTGTGTCCCTCGTGCCAAGATCAAGTCCTACTGTCAAGAGATGGGTAGCAGATGTCCTTGATCTAGCCTTCTGCCGGCCTACGCTCAGCTCGGAAGGTCGAAGTGCTTGTGAGTGAAATGAGGTCTGCGCGAGGGGGGGTCGCTGCAGCCTCGATGGTCACGCCAGACTGATGCCGTCTTGTCAATATGTCTATTTGATTCTATCACCAGTATCCGTACACACTCCCGATGCGTTGCTGGTCTTTCTTCGCGATCCCCAACAACAAGAGGCTAAGATCGCCATACAAGTCTTCGCTTCCGTATATGCATTTCTGTTCAGGCACTGGTGAGAGTTCCACACATGCATTTGAATATCGCGCCAGGACAAAGCTGAACAGACGCATTGAATCCCGACTCTCTATCTGACAGCTGCAATGACCCGTCCTCGCTGCGCGTCTGGCAGTCCATCGAGCAGATCAAAGATGCGATCTCGCAGCTATTCGAAAGTGGACATACCGGCATTCGCGTTGCTTCGATCAAAGCTTTTCAAAAGATAATACAGGTGCAATCCAAAGGTGGCAACCCGACAAGCAAGAACGACTACAACCTGAGGATTGTCCCGCCCGGGCATCGCTTTCTCAACGTACCTGCCCTAGAGGCTGAGGCTAACAGGCTGCTCACGCAGGTAGTGACGTTGGCATTCACTAGCAAGTAAGTCAACCTTCTGTAGCTGCTTTTCCTCTTGAAGCAATGAAGGTAGCTCACACCCGAACGTCTTCCCTTCATCATTGATCTCGTCCTTCAGCAATGTCGATGTGGTCATGGCGTGCTTCAATACCCTATACGTCTTTCCCAAGCAAGGCCGAGGCTTTACTCAGATCATCTTGGAAGCTTTTACTAGCTGGACGCCAGCAGCTCTAGCTGGGCAATCTCATGTTCAGATTCGCAATGTAGAGAAAACGTTGAGACTGGTCCTCATACACTACCATAGGATGGGCATGGCAGAGCATGCCTTGAGAATTCGAGGCGCTCTAGAAGCGCAGGGTGCTCGAATGGAAGCGGCTGCCGACGCCGAAGACGAGAGAAGAGCGGCAGAGGCGAAGCGTAAGAGGGATAATCTGGACGAAGAAATCTCACAGGCTGACAAGCGCCAGAGAGTGCGGGAAGCTCCACAGGATCCGGCCGCGATAGACATCTATTCGACGTCAGCTGCTGTCGCTGGACCCTCAAGCGTGCCAGATCAGAGCAAACCACCATCTCTGAGTGGCATTGAAGGGGCTCAAGCCTTTGTCAAGGCAGCTACAACTGTCGCCGGACCGAATGCTTTGGCTGCTTTCGATGTCAAATCTCTTCCCCTGCTCTTGGTGGTCGAACTGATTCTGGCGAACCTGCAAGCCGCTCCTGACGAAGAACTCCACAGAACCATTGAGAGCACAAGGCAACAGCTCAACCAAGATACATCATCTGGTACAGCACCGCCACCGCCAGCTTCGGTACCCACTGCCAAGCCTGCCCCTCCACCACAGGGCCAGGATGCTAAAGATGTGGAAGTCGTACAAGCACCAAGAAACCCGCTCAAAGAAGACATAGAGGACGAAGATCTGCGTAGGCTGGCAAAGACAGGCGACGCCTCTACGGAGCATGCGCGGGAAGGGGCGCTAGCCGATGCTGATGGCGAAGACATTCATGATGCCCTGGCTGGACTTGAAGATTTCCAATTGGCGCCGCCTGAGCCTTTCAGTCAGACCGAGGCTCGCGCGCTGATAAAAGAGTCAGTTGCAAGGATGTGCGACATGGGTGCTCAAGCTGCAGCTTTTAGTGCAGAGCTGGGTGACAGCGTGCCTTCGCACACACTCTGGGCAACACTTGCCACACGGCTGGCCAGCAGAGGCTTTGCAGGAAGCGATACGGAGAGGCCGGGAACGGATGACGACGCCGCAAGCAGTCAACAAGTCGTGAAAGCTGACAGAAACTCTCTGGAGGGCCAGGCAGACGTTATACGTCATATGCTCCTCGAATTCCTCAAGGTCAACTTTGCGAAGAGGGCTCCCTTCGCAGTTCAGTGGCTGACAGAAGAGTGGTATTGTGACTTGCAGCGTAAGAAGAAAGGCAAAGAACTTCGTTATGCCCATTGGCTCCGGCAAGTCGTGGCGAATGCTTTGCTCTCAATCGACAGCAAAGACAAGTCTTTGTTCTCCTTCCTCGCCGAGCTGCCTAGTATACCCGACGGAGTCATAGAGCAGATCGGCGCTCTTTGTCACGACAAGTCAACAATGGCAGTCGGCTTTACTAGTCTCAAAGATCTGGCCCTGGCAAGACCGCCAAGTCGCGCCAAGTCGGTCGAGATCCTTCTCGATCTCGCCCGCAGCGAAGAGAAGGGCCTGCGAGCACCGGCAATCATATCCGTTCGGGGATGGGTTGGTCAGGGCGGCCCATTGGAGAAGATCGTATTGGACTCAGCAATTGCTTCACTGCAGCGGCTGACCGTACATAGCGACAAGGCTAGTGCGGGCGCTCAGGAGACTAAGCCTGACGCTAATGGTAGCCAGTTGGACCTACAGAAGGGACAGGACCCAATCAAGGACCATAGCTTCCAACTTTCAGACGAAAGCCAAGTGCTGCAATTTGTAGAGCTGCCTTTCGCCCTGAGCGTAAAGATGCCAGACATGCTCGACAACGTCTTCTCCATCTATCCGTCAATGCCTGCGGAAGTGCAGAAGGCCGTACGACAGCACATTGCCGCTCTCATTCGCTCCTTGGGTCCCAACAATCCAAAGTTGCTGCAGTTGCTGAGGTCGTTCCCTGCTGGCTCGGATACATTAGCTCTTAGCGTCTTTACGGTTATGGCTGAGAAAGGAAGAACGCAGGCACTCGTCTCGGCCGTGAAAGAGGTGATCAACGAACGGGAGGTTGATCCGCACTTCTTGATTCCGATGCTGCCGACTCTGACCAAGGCCGAGATCATGAAGCATCTTCCACGCGCAGTCACCATCCTAAACAGCAAGACGGCAGAAGATCGTGAGCAACTCAAGTCCCTCTTTGCCTCCATTGTCACGAAGCCGGCCCAAGGCTTTGGTAGTGTGTCGACCAACTTGCCGCGTGTGCGAGACTCGGAGATGCTCACTCCCGTGGAATTGATGGGCCTCCTACACTCTGCGGAGAAAGAGATCGGCTTGAAGACGACGGTAGATGCTATCCGTATCTGCTTCTCTATGGCAGACATCTTCCGCTCGGAAGTCTTGGCGGCGGCTCTGAATCAGCTCATCGAGGAGCAAGATCTGCCGGTCCTGTTCATGAGGACGACGATCATGGCTGTCTCTAGCTACAAGTCTCTGGCTGGGTATGTGAGCAGCAACTTGCTCTCTCGACTGATCGTCAAGAAGATCTGGCAGAACAAGCTGCTCTGGGACGGATTCATCTTGTGCGTGGAGCAGACTGCTCCTGGATCTTTCGCTGCCTTGCTGCAACTGCCGCAAGAGCAGTTGGTGGACGTGATTCAGCGTAAACCAGCTCTAAAGGATGGACTGCGGGCGCATTTGGAAAAAAAGGTTGGTAACAACAAGACGAAGCTGGCTGCGTATATGGAGTTATTGGACGGTGCTGGGGGACCGGGAGGGTCGGCTACTCCGGTCTCTACGCCGGGTACACCTCAACATGCTTCCGCTACTTCGTAGGCAGGTGTGGTAGTGACGAGAGGCGCCCGCAAGCGGGCGCGGGAAGCGGGATGTAATGCAATGCATGTACTAGTACTTTTTCAAACTCAAACAGGAGGCTTGTGCAGCAATCGACCAATGTGAACATGAAACGTGACGTGACGCGCCGCGTGTAAAGGGCGGAGAGGACCCTCTGGTCGTAGGGCCGCTTCACGATGACAGGCAAGCTGACACCTGCTCGGTCATCGACCCTGGACAAAGCCGGACAGGGCGATCAGGGGCGGCACATTTGAGTGTGCATCGGCCGATGACGAGGTCCAGGCACCGCCACTGGAATGAGGACTTGGGGAGACGCGACAGCCTTGCAGGCGGGAATGCAGGATGCACGGCGGGCACCAAGTTGAGGAGGCGACTGGAAATCCCAGTCGCGCCTCGCGACACGCACACGCTCATCTCGCAAAGGGGCGCGGCGCGCAGGGCTCATTTTCCACGCCACGGCCTGGGCGGGCGTTGGCTTAAGTGGAAAGAAACACCAAGACGCAACCACCTTCCTTCCCATCCTCACCTACCACTCCTCCTCCTGCCATCATCGCACTGCTCCCTTCCCCTCCCGCACTCCTCTGTACTTGACGACTACCATTTGACGACAGCACAACACACATTAGCATCTAGATTTACAGCATCGCCGCGATGTATGTCTACAAGAGAGACGGCAGGAAGGAGACGGTACGTCGCGCTGAGTCGGTGCACTTGCTGCATCCATCTAACTGATCATCCACCTACCGTCACTTGCACCCACTGAACAGATTCGTTTTGACAAGGGTGAGCGCCTTTACCTGCGTGTCTCTCGCGACTGCTGAGCGCGACCGGACTGCTCACATCACGTCTCCTACTCTACGCTCTACGCGTATCCAGTCACTGCCCGTATCGGCAAGCTTTGCTACGGACTCGACACAAATGTGAATATGGCACACGTGTAGAGTGGGTCTCTTTCCACCATGCTGACGTTTGTTTCGTCTTCTGTCCACGTTTGTTTCGTCTTCTGTCCCTCCATCTAGTACGTGGACCATTACGAAGTTGCCAAGAAGGTAAGTAATTGGCGCGCGACGCGAGGGGTGTCAAATGAGCATCTTGCCACTCAAAATTTCCTTTACTCACGCGATGCCATCCACTTTATCCTACATGCTCTTTGACTCCTACTAGGTCATTGATGGTATCTACGCTGGCGTGACCACCGTCGAGCTCGACAACCTAGCAGCCGAGACGGCCGCGTACAAGACCACCACCCACCCCGACTATGCAGTGCTAGCAGCTCGAATCGCCATCTCCAACTTGCACAAGGAGACAAGAAAAACCTTTAGCGCCGTCATCACTGACCTCTACGAGTATGGTGAGTCATTGGGGATAGCAGCAAGGTTTCCGCGCCACGTGTGTGGTATGGGCGCGAAGGCTGAGCAGTCCCTCTACATGCTTTCCCTCCCCTTAGTCAACCCAAAGAACGGCAAGCACTCGCCGATGATCTCAAAGGGCACCTATGACTCGATTATGAAGAACAAGGAGCAGCTGGACGGAGCCATCATCTACGAGCGGGACTTCCACTACGTGAGTTAGCACACCCTTTGTGGCTGACGCGCCCATTTACGCGTCTGCTGACCCGAAACTGGTCTGTCGCGTCTCCATCCGCCACCCACAGAACTTCTTCGGTTTCAAGACTCTTGAGAGGTCGTACCTGCTGAGAATCAACGGACGGGTAGCAGAGCGACCACAGCACATGCTGATGCGTGTCGCTGTTGGTATCCACGGAGACGATGTCGAGTCCGCCATCGAGACATACAACTTGATGTCAGAGAAGACCTTCACCCACGCTTCGCCTACGCTGTTCAACTCGGGTACACCCAACCCACAGCTTTCGTCGTGCTTCCTGGTCTGCATGAAGGACGACTCGATCGAGGGAATCTACGACACCCTCAAGACGTGCGCCATGATCTCCAAGACGGCCGGAGGTATCGGTCTCAACATCCACAACATCCGAGCTACCGGATCATACATCGCAGGTACAAACGGTGTGTCCAACGGCATTGTGCCCATGCTGCGAGTATACAACAACACTGCTCGCTACGTCGACCAGGGAGGCAACAAGAGGCCCGGTGCATTTGCCATCTACATCGAGCCCTGGCACTCGGACATCTTCGAGTTCCTGGACCTGCGCAAGAACCACGGAAAGGAGGAGGTGCGAGCCCGTGAGCTCTTCTACGCCCTCTGGATCCCTGATCTGTTCATGAAGCGTGTGGAACAGAACGGTGACTGGTCTCTCATGTGCCCAGCGGAATGCCCTGGTCTCGCTGAGGTGTATGGAGAGGAGTTCGAGGCCCTCTATGAGAGCTACGAGAAGCAAGGCAAGGCCAAGAGGACAATCAAGGCTCAGAAGCTGTGGTACGCTGTGCTCGAGGCTCAGACCGAGACTGGCAACCCCTTTATGCTGTACAAGGACGCTGCCAACCGAAAGAGCAACCAGAAGAACCTCGGAACCATTAAGAGCTCCAATCTGTGCACGGAGATCATCGAGTACTCTGCTCCTGATGAGGTTGCCGTCTGCAACTTGGCCTCCATTGCCCTCCCTGCCTTCATTGATGCTACCACGAAGGTGTACGACTTCAAGAGGCTGCACGCCGTTGCCAAGGTCATCTGCAAGAATCTGAACAAGATCATCGACGTCAACTACTACCCCGTGCCCGAGGCCAAGAAGTCCAACTTCCGCCACAGGCCCATCGGTATCGGAATCCAGGGTCTTGCCGATGCTTTCATGATCATGGGCTTCCCCTTTGATTCTGCTGAGGCAAAGAAGCTCAACGTCCAAATCTTCGAGACCATCTACCATGCCGCACTTGAGCGATCATGCGAGCTAGCTCAGGCTGACGGCCCTTACGAGACCTACGAAGGCTCCCCAGCTTCGCGAGGTGAGCTGCAATACGACATGTGGGGCGTCACGCCCTCGGACCTCTGGGACTGGGCTGAGCTGAAGGAGAAGATCGCCAAGCACGGTCTGCGCAACTCGCTCCTTCTGGCACCCATGCCTACTGCCTCGACGTCTCAGATTCTGGGCTTCAACGAGTGCTTCGAGCCCTACACCTCCAACATCTACACGCGTCGTGTCCTCGCCGGAGAGTTCCAGGTGGTGAACCCCTGGCTGTTGCGCGAACTCGTCGAGCAAGGTCTGTGGAACGACACGATGAAGAACCGTATCATTGCCCACGGTGGATCAGTTCAGAACGTGCCCGGCATCCCTGACAGGATCAAGAAGCTCTACAAGACTGTCTGGGAGATCTCACAGAAGACCATCATCGACATGGCTGCCGACCGTGGTGCCTTCATCTGTCAATCACAGTCGCTCAACATCCACCTCTCGGCTCCCACCTTTGGTCAGCTCACCTCGATGCACTTCTACGGCTGGAAGCGAGGACTCAAGACTGGTATCTACTACCTGCGCACTCGACCTGCTGCCAATGCCATTCAGTTCACCGTCTCTGCCGAGGAGCAAGCCATGGCCAAGGAAGCCTCGCGAAAGGCCTCTGCCAAGAAGCAGATCAACGGCAGCGGCACTGCCACACCTGAGATTGCCGTCATTGGCAACGGTGCCAATGCAACGCCCGTCACTGCTGCACAGGTCAATGGCAGCCTCGCTGATGGCGTCGGCCGTCTTGGCGTTGACGGAACGGTGACTCGGGATGGACCTGGCATCATCAAGGGCTCCAACTCGCCCTTTGCCCCCGCCAGCCCTGCAGTGAGCTCGAGCGAGTCCGAGGGTGATGTTTCTGCCGACAAGCTGCGACTTCCGGCAGCTACGCCCGCCTCGGAGGAAGAGGAGAAGATTGCCATTGCCAAGGCCAAGGCTGTTGCCCAGGTCGAAGCCAGCAAGACGGCCGCTCTGGAGTCTGAAAAGGGCGCACAGGTAGACGAGGGCTTTGCTGCTGCTCTGGAGCGTCAAAGGCAGAGGCAACAGCAGGCCGAGGTGCTTGCTTGCTCTCTCGAGAACAAGGACGCTTGCATCGCTTGTGGCTCGTAGGTCGCACGCGCACCCCTGCTGTACTCGTCTTGATCCTCTCCCGCTTTCCCCCTCTCTTCTCGGTCCCTGTCTCGTCTCTTCTGTCGTTACCCTGCTGTCTCGTCTGTCTCTCATGGCTCTATGTTCTCTGCGTTCCGTGTCTAGCACCCATCCTGTTGGCTTCCATCTCATGTCGCGTGCCTCGCGTGCAGGGCTCTCTTTCCCCTGTCGACGAATGTATTCAATTCCATGCCATCATAAGTCTTCTTGTACTGCATGTGCTTGCTTGCTTGTCTGCTGCTGTGCCTTGGGGATCTGTGCCACTAAGTCGATCGATGCAAGGTGAAAGAATACGACTCGATTATGTACGCAGAGTCAGGCGAAGGGCTCGCTAGACTAGTCGGTCTGTCTTCCATGGATGCTGTGTTTGGCTGGGCGGCGGCCATGCCCCGCACTGCCGCTGTCGCTGTCCGTTGGACTATGACTTGTCGATTGCCCGCGCGCGCTGCAGGGGCCAAGAGGTGCACAGAGCTGATAGTCGTCGTTTCCATCGGGAGCAGAGAGGCAGAAGGCCAGAGGTCAGGGGAGGAGGGGCAGCAGAGCGAGAGGCCCAGGTCTAGCCGGCGGGTGGAAAAGCCGCACACGCACACACACACACACACACACGACGGAATGTCGAGGGCGGCGCGTGGTGTGCGAGGCGCGCCGTGCTCCTGTGCTGCTGCTGCTGCCATGGCCGTGCGGGGGCCCTTGTTTGGGAGAGCAACACCCACATGCCTCGTACTCCGCTCATCATTCCTCCCGCGTATGCACGACGGACAAATGGCGGCGCCGGTTGAGCATCCACTCATTCTCTTCGTCACGACCCCTCTGCTCTTCGCCATCACCTTTTAGCTTGTGCTTCTGTCTAGATACCCCTCCATCAAACATCCCATCATACCCACGCTACGTCTCTGCTCTACAGACAGCCCTCAGAGGGCCCTCCTCAGGACGGCAAGCAAGTGCAACACTCGACTCGGCAATTGCTCCAGGGCTCATTTATAGCCACACACCGTCACTACTCACAACAGAGCCTCGACACCGTCTGTGTCCTTGGCAATTCATCTCCCCCTCGTCCTCTGCTTGCGTCTTCGATCGTCGAACTTGTATACCGTTGAAAGCATACCACCACGCAAACCCGCACACACACAACCTCACCTTGGTCAACATGGTGTCTGTGTCTCGCCCCGCTCCGAAGACACGCCGATCCCTCTTCTCCTTGAAGAAAGCAGCAGCCAGTCAGGATATCCCTAGCGTGGACAAGACAGCGGCTCCGGCACCAGCAATTGCATCGGAGGCTGCTCAAGCTGCCTCGTCCAGCTCCCGGCCGCCCTTGGTCACTCAAGGCTCTAGCTCGTCTTGGATCGAAGACTCTTCCCCTCCCTCCTCGCCGCCGGCCAAGTCAAGGCAGTCGAGCGAACGCAAAGGTCAGGTGGCCTCCACCCCGTCTCCAGCCTCTGCCGCTTTCAAGTTCCCAGCACTAAGGACCAGCCGAGTTGCTGGATCATCCCATGTGCCGGCAAAGGCAGCCTTGACGACAGGCTCATCACCCAGACGACCTCGCTCGCGTAGCTCGCCAGCGGATCGCGCCCTAGCACGTCTGGACAAGCACAGCAAGAATCGCTCCCACTTTAGCATTCCCGATGTTATGGTCACTGCTGCCGAGGAAGATGGAGAGGAAGTCTACTTTGAAGTCGAGGTGCCAGCCGATGACAGGAGGATGAAGCTGCACACAGATGCTGTTGCAGGTGAATTGGAGGGTCAGAGCCAAGGCAATGGATACGAGGGGGCGGGGCTGGATGTCGAACAACCACCGCGCAAATCGCTGGGCGGTAAGATGATGCCCTTTTTGCGAAGAGAGTCTTCCGAGAGGGACGAGGTGAGAGGTGTTGTCATTACCACTTCTCAGGCTTCGAGTGGTCCGGCTGCACGCGCACCCAAAAAGGCCATCTCTGGCATCTTTGGCAAGAAGGAGAAGAATGTTGAAACGGCCGTCCCAGTTGCTAGCAAACCTGCAGAAGAGACGGTGGCACAGAGAAGTAATTCGCCATACGGGCATCCTGGCTCTGCATTCGACTCTTCCGGGTCTCTGCCGCTCTTGTCCTCCAAGGACTCGCTGCCTTCATCATCGACTTCGAGCCATTTCCCTCGAACACCGCCAGCCAGCGAGAGCACGTTTCCAGAGGGCATCTCGGGCAAGAAGGTGGTGCCGGTGGCATCTGCAGTCTCAAGTGTTACCACGGCGGACGTCGCAGCGAGCAAGAAGCAGCGCAAGGCGAATCAAAAAGAGGAGCTAGCGCTGATCAAGGAGCTGGCCAGGATTGACAAGATGGTCCGCGAGCACGATGCCAAGGCAAAGAAGGAAGCTCCCGTCAGTGCACCAGTAAAGACGCCCTCGAGGATGATGACGATCTTTGCGGCGAGGAAGAAGGGGCCGGCGCCGGCCAGGAAGGTTAGCATGGTCAAACGCAGCGCCAGTGTTGCTGGACGGGAGCGCAGAGTGAGCGCTCAGCACAGTCAGAGCAACAAGGGTGGCGCCTCAGTATCGTCGACCAAGGCACCCGCTGCCCCGAACAATGGCCCTGCAAATCGCAGCGCAGCTGGACCATCTGCGCAACCGGCTGCTCGCAGCTCTCTCGACGGAGGCGAGCGCAGCGATGACAGTGAAGACCGCCCTTCCTTTTCTGGCAAAGAATGGTCTGCAGACCTCCCCACTACTGCATTGAGCAGTCTAGCAGGCAAGTCGGGAATCCGATACCCGGGTCTCTCGACGGACGACACGCTCGACTTTACGCTCTCCTCCGACAGTGAGCTCCCTGTAGGCGTGACACTGCCGAGGGAGGACTCGGCGGTGATTCCTCTCGCGGCAGTCGCAGATGAATGCAACGGTGAAGAGGGTGAGGAGGTGGAGAGCATCTCACCTTCATCGACGTGGAGCGAGAAACTCGATGGACAGGAAGGCGAGAACCACCAGCCGCTGCAGCAGGAAGAAACGATCAGCAAGTCATCAGAGAGCCCGCCCGTAGAGTCTGGCTCAGCCGCCTCGCCCACGCCCCTGACAAGACAAGTGTCGCCTCCAGAGGCCGCGTCTACGCTCCCTCCACGTCCCCCTCGCCGGCAGAATTCTGCGCCAGCTGGCGACGTGCCACGCAACGACGCTAGTGCCAGCCGTCCTGTCCCTCTGCAGTCCCTATCGATGAACAAGATGCATGGCCCATCCTCCAGCGCCAAGGCCAACGCCAACGCCACTGCCGCTGCTGTCGCGGTACAAACAATGAGCTTCAAGCCCGGTCAGATTATACCAGATACCCTTCCGAGTACTTCGGGAACTCGATGTGATTCGCCTTCGCTGAGGTATGCGAGCAAGATGGCCAATGGAACCGGGAGTGGGGGTGGGCCGGAAGAGTTTACACCTTTCAGGGCGGCTATGATGGTTGCTGGCCCGTCGTTTGTGGCTGATCGGACGGGTCAGCGGATGTGAGTGAAGCGGGCGAGAGGGACACGAGCCATTGGCGTAAGAGTTCCACCCCTGCTCTCTGTCTGTCCCTTGCGTCCTTCCTTTCCCTGCCTTCTACCTCTATTGCCGCGCCGCGAGACCCGATATTCCTGCTTCCTTGCATGTTCTTGTACAACAGCTTTGCTTTCAGTGTACCTATGCCATTATTGATCTTCTTGTCCCGCTGTTGAGCAACTTGATTTGGACTCTCGTAGTGAAGCGCCGCCCACTGTGGTGAGTTGATGCCGGGGAGCAGCGTCGGAACGGAGCCGTGCATCCGGCCCTCCCTTTTTCACAGCGCAGCGCAGCGTGCGGGGGAATCCGCGAGAGGCGTGGCGTCCCTCCGCGGTCCGGGGAACCGGCAGAAGTGGAGAGCCGGATGCGTGCGTGTGCGGGTGCGGGTGCGGGTGCGGGTGCGGGTTTTGCGGGACTGGTGGCCTCGGATCGCATTCGCAGCACGATTTGTATTTGCCGGTGCGGATCTACTCTACCTACCTTACGATACTATTTACCCCACTCTCCACTTTTAGCTGTGATTGCCACTTGACGCTTAGCGCACGCATCTAGCTATACTACGAACAGAAACAGAAGCAGATACATACACATACACGCACTCAGACAATATGGCAGCTTTGAAGCAAGGAAAGCAGGCGATCCTGGAGAAGAATGACAATGATGGTGAGTCTTTCGGCTCAGCAATAAGGGATTGCCACCTTGCTCAACTCTAACTCATCGCTTTCTCCTTTGTGCCTGCTCCCAATCATCTCTCTTTCTCAGTCGTCATCGTCTCCGCCCTCCGATCACCCATCACCCGCGCCAAGAAGGGTGGACTGGCTCAGTGCTGTCCCGAGGAGATGCTGGGCAATGTTTTCAAGGCAGTCATTGCACAGAGCAAGATTGATCCCGCGCTGGTCCAGGTGAGTCGGAGCGCTCAGGGCGTGGAGGAGGGTGGAGGGGGACAATGGGCGACATGCGGATGCTTGGCCGGCCGAATCTCCTATCTGACCAGGAGCAAGAGGCGCGGGGTGGCTACAACGATGCTTTTGGACAATACTTTCCGGAGCAGGGGACTCTATAGCTTGCTTTCCATATTCTGATCCATCGGACATATCGTACTTACCATCTATCTCCCGCCCTTCCGCATCTCTGCAGGACATTGCCGTCGGCAACGTTCTCCCTCCCGGTGGAGGTGCCACCGTGGCCCGTATGGCCGCCCTCTGGGCTGGATTCCCCAGCAGCACTGCTGTCAACACCCTGAACAGGCAATGTTCTTCCGGTCTGGCTACCATCAACCAGATTGCCAATGAAATTACCGTTGGTCAGATTGACATTGGTATTGGTGAGTGGAGAAACACGCCTTAGCGGATTTGCAGCCAACCCGAGATTCTTTATTCATCCCTTTACCTCTTGTTTCACTCGCGCAGGTGCCGGTGTTGAGTCGATGACGCAAAACTACGGAGCTGGTGTCATGCCCGAGAAGATGTCGGATGCCGTCATGGAGAATGAAGAGGCAGCCGACTGTCTCCTGCCCATGGGTATCACTTCCGAGAACGTTGCCAAGAAGTACAATGTCGACCGCAAGAAGCAGGATGCTTTCGCTGCCAACTCCTACGCAAAGGCCGTCAAGGCTCAGAAGGAGGGTTACTTCAAGAGCGAAATCGTCCCCATTACCTACGAGGACGATGAGGGCAACAAGCGCACTATTGAGATTGACGATGGTATCCGAGAGGGTGTCACTGCCGAGTCGCTTGCCAAGCTCAAGCCAGCCTTTGACAAGGACGGCTTCACCACTGCCGGAAACGCCTCGCAGGTATCCGACGGTGCCGCCGCTGTGCTCCTCGCGCGTCGTTCCGTAGCCAAGAAGCTCGGCCTTCCCATCATCGGCAAGTACGTTACTGGCGCTGTAGTTGGTGTGCCACCCAACATCATGGGTGTTGGTCCTGCCTACGCTATTCCCAAGGTTCTGGAACTCGCCGGCCTCAGCAAGGATGACGTTGACGTCTGGGAGATCAACGAGGCCTTTGCGTCCCAGGCAGTCTACTCCATCGAGCACCTTGGTCTAGACTTTGCCAAAGTCAACCAAAACGGTGGGGCTATCGCTTTCGGACATCCCTTGGGCGCATCGGGCGCCAGAATTGCAAGCACAGCTCTTGCCATCGCTAAAAGAACAGGTGGCAAGATCATCTGTGAATCGATGTGTATCGGTACAGGTAAGTCCCGCTGCGGTTAGGCAGGACGCGCTTCCGTTTGTGGAGTAGGAGCTGATGTGCTGACGAAGCTACTTCCTCTTCCTCCTCATTCTCTATCACAGGTATGGGCATGGCAGGCATCATCGTGAACGAGCAGTAGAAATGTGTCGACGATGTAGAGCAGGGCAACGCGTCTCGATGATGACGCGCTAGTTCCGCTGTTGGCTCGATTGCAGGCGACTTTCAATGACATCAGAGCGATACAATGATCCGAGGCAGCGATGACTGAGATTCAGCACACCATTCTCAACGACTGAGTCAATCGACCTAAAGAGACCGCGGCTTCGACTGTGTCTGGCTTTCTGTATCTGATCCGTCCCCCCATAGGCAAGGCGGCCACTTCCGTTCCGCGGCAGGCCCGTGCACCTAGAAGTGGTGCGTGCACGACGGAAGTGGGCACGCGTCTTGAGCGCAGTGGTGCTCCATTGCTGCCATTAAGCGCCGTCTTTGCTCCTCATCACACAGCGCACCCCGTCCCTTCGCCCTCGTCTCTCCTATATAGAGCTCCCCCTTCGCCCACTTGCTCAACCTTCCCCCTCCAGCGATCCAGCGATACCTCCAGCTGCCACAGACATCCTGGTAAGCATACACTGCCCTTAGCAGAGGATTCACAGCACTGCACCTGACGTCTGTCCAGCCATCTCCCTACAGCCTACGTCGCTCAGCTTTCTGCTGGCCAGAGAGTTTCCTCAGGCACCTACACTACGCTATAGTAAGTCCTTAGTGCTTCAGATGTGGTCCAGACTTCCGCTCATCCTTAGCATCACCATCTTGCACCAGCTAATAGGTTCATACTGAAAGGTCTTACAGCCTCAGTCGCGAGAAGTACACTACGATCATAGGAAGAGTCTCATAGTGAGTGATATGCATGACATCGCTTGTCATCAACACTCCTCGCGCCTTCTCCAACAAGGGAGTATCAGCAGCTGACATCAGATTCTCCTCGTCTGCTGTCCACCTCTCGCCAGCGCTAGCGCTGCCACCTCTGGCTCCTGCTCTCGTGGGCGGGTTGTGCCCAATGCACTCCTTATCAACGCAGTACTGCTGGCTAGGGCCGAACATTAGTCTAATGACTCCCTTAGAACATCTCCCCGTACTATGGGAGTGTCTAGCACCCCTTCTGCAGTCTCATTGGCATGCAAGAGCCTTCCCTCACCGGGCTCTATCGACGCTGCTCGGCCATATTCTCGTCTCATGCCAAAGCATCGACGTCTGACTTCGGCTCTCATTACATGAACTCTCATGCAAAGTCATCGGCGTCTGACAGTCACTCCGCTCATTCGCAGCAGTCTGAGCCAGCTAGGCATGCATGCAAGCAAGCAAGCACACCAAGCTTGCCTCTGACATGCCAAGCTTCGCTCTCATGATGACTGGTTGTCCACTGCGACAACTCTTACTTCGGTACCTCGTACCAGGATTCGACAATCCACCTTAGGCCACCCTTCTACCTGGTACTCGCCTAGATACACGAAAGGGCAACTAGACACCGCATCGCTTTCGACACTCAAACCGAAAGCATCTTGTGCGTAGTCAGCATAATGAAGAGAACTGGCGTCTCTTTGGAAGCTGGCAGGGCAAGTGGGGCGAAGAAGCCCCGAAAAAGTGTCACCTCTGGTTCAGTTCCATCACTACCTATTGTACTTCGCTCGCCGTCACCTGTATCGCCTGTTGTAGCCCGTTCTGCGACCCCTGTTCTCGCACCCTCTCTCCCTTCCATTGCCCCTTTCACTTCTACTACTACTTCCTCTTCTGCCATCGCTTCGACCTCTGGCTCCAGGTCTCCTTATCACAAGTCGCATGCCAGAGCGTTGCCTTCTACCTCTACCTTCGCTACCAAGCCCACTACTTCGTCTTCAACTTCTGGTGCCTCTTCCTCTACGAGCGCATCTACTGGCAAGACTTCGACATCTGCCAGTAAGAGTACTGCAAAGACCATTGCCAATGCTTCGACCTCCCGTGTCTCTGCCTCTACAAGCACATCCAGTGGCGAGAATTCGACAGCTGTCAGCAAGAGTACTGCAAAGACAATCGTCAAGGCTTCGAGTTCCCATGCATCTACAGACAAGGATGAGAACGCCTCGCCTTCAATCTCAACTCCTCGCACTCCTCTTGCCGCCACCTCCACATAATGTCGCCACATCTTCTGCCTCTTCTTCCCGACCCTCGGGAGTCGACACCCTCATCGGACGCACGGGTAACACGAAGAGGTGGACGCATCGAGGCACTCTTCACACGCCGACTACGACGTCGTTTTTCACCGGATGACATCGGCGAAAGAGGCACTGCATTCAGGAGCTGTTCTTACAGTCGTCACACTACATCTCCTCTACTCGCCAGGAGACCCGAGTGTGATTTTCTGGCAATACAACTCAACGTTCATCAAGCGCTTGGACGAGGAAGGGCTACCTCGTGCCCCCAACCTTGAGTTCTGCAAATGCATGGCAATCATGCAGCTCATTTGGATGGGTTCCACCGCCGCCAGGGGACACTTGACTGAGGAAAAGTGGTACGATATCTTGACACCTTGCTGCGCTCACGAGTACGTGTACTGCATGCCGAATGTCAGCGGAGAGCAATTCAAGAAGGGTTGCGACAGGACCATGAAGAACCCGTCTGGCATCGAAAGGGCAAGGATGCTCATCGACTACGCCTGTAGTCTTGACCTTGCTCGGAAGATCGCCGAAGTTCTTAGACTAATTGCGCATCATCGAGTGGCTCAAGGCGGTCAAGACGAATCGAGCTCCTGTGCGCCGATCGCTTCCCAATTTTCTTTGGTGGGCAGTAACAGTGCACTCCAACCTCAAGACTCACACGTGGCGTGTCTTCCATCGAGACTGTTTTGCCAAGCTGCCGGCGCTGAAGCAGGCCATCATCGAGCGGGGAGCCCTCTGCTTACGCTGAGCTGCTGCAGGCCTATTCGATCGGGCAACCGGCCAATACCACTCATACAATCCTCTTCGAAAGAGTCAATTCTAGACAACACCTGCGATGGCTTTCGAAGAAGCAGCTAGCTGCTGCTCTGGTCAAGTGGGCTTCACTTCATAAGTCCGCCGTTGAGGTACGGTGGATCGACATCTTCGAATTTTGGAGGTAGAGCCAAGTTGAAGAAGGTCACCGTGGGGATCCGGATAGACAGGGATGGCTCAACGGCAAAAGACGAGAGCACTCACCCACAAAGTCAACACGATGGAGCTACATCAGCCCGTGCGACCTCGCGGCATCATCCGACGCCCTCGAGGTGCAGATCATCAGGGAAGGCTCGATCCATGGCTGGGATGACGATCGATTGAGCATCTCGAGAATGCCCTTGACCACATTTCCATACAGCCAATTGTTGTTCTGGTGAGTATGTCGCAACATTTACTCTCAGCCGCCAGTGTTGGTGCAGCTACGCCAACAGGGCACAAGTGACAACATTTTGATGTTCATCTCTTTCGCTTGCACCCACAGGCCCGCGAGCTACTCGTGCGGGCACTCTTATCGCTTGGCAGGGGGGACACAGACAAAGTACTACCAGCGCATGGCTCACATTCAGTTGCTAGAGATGGCCGCCTCCTTTGCAATGTATCCGGACCGAGAAGAGGAAGTAGAAGAGGCGTGGAAGAGGCGCTTGGAGACCAGGCTAACAGTAACAGCGGTCAAGAAGGCATTTTCCAAGGGCCTGGGGAGGGCAAGTGGGGCAATCCATCAACGAGTACCAGGGCATGTCGCGTGGCTCGTGGGTCAAGCCCGACGGATCAACAGGCACAGGTTGAGGGCGGATGTGAGTACCGTAGGGTAGATGAACGTGGACGCTGGGCGTACAGTGGGCTGACCGTCGCTGTGAATGCCATCCTCTTCAGCTGTCGGACGATGTACTCCACCATTCCGTCAGAGAGTACCTGAACAGTCCTACCTTTGGCGAGATCCTTTGAGCCACGAGTACTTGCAATCCCGCCGAACCCCTCTACCGTCGTCGCTGTCGGTAGCGCATGTAATGCAATAGCCACACCACGTCACTTGTAGGATCCCGATGACAACATGACCATCAGATCTTTAGAGTCAATGAACAGTCCATACACGCGGCTCAAGGAACAATGTGCGCTTCTTGCCTTCCGGAGGCAAAGCGGAATCACTTCATGCTACTGCCCACTGGTCGCTCAGCAGTGACTCCCTTTCTCCGAGCTCAAATTAGCGTCGTGGTCCGCGGGATAACCGTGATTCGAGACATGAGACCCGTTCCCTGGGGATTGAAGGTCAGCTCGAGCTTGCTATCGATCGGGGATGAGTACTGGGGAGGAGACTCACAGCGTTGGCGCCCTTGCCTCGCTCCTTCTTGAAGCCCTGTGTAATCTGACCCCCTCACCCGTCCGCCTCCGTCCCTTGACATTGCGCTGCTGATCGTTCTGAAACAGCTCCACGTGCATCAGCCTGTAAAGGCAGAGGGGTCACCTGTAGCTTCAGGACGCAACGGTCGTCAGCGGCCTTTACGATAGACGGAGTCTGGACAGGTTGGGGGTACAACAAACATTAGGCGGTCCGATTGCGAGCTCGGAGCTACAATCCAGCTGTTCACAGAGGTGCGAGGGAAGTGCAAGAAGATCCGAGCATCCGGCTCGCACTACTCATCGAAGGCTTCTACACCGGGCTCCGGGCGGAAGAGTGCCCTTCCACTCAGTCTGTGAAGACAGGAAGCGCGGGGCCAGGTCTTGGGAGCCAGGGATTGATTTCAGCCCCAGCAAGACCTCAAAAGAGGGGAGCGTGAGTCGTGCTCAGTGCGGTCGCTCGCTGCTTTTTTCGTAATACGAAAAGGGGGAGGTTCGTCCAGCCCTAGTAAGCTTTCCTGCCGCCGGCCGATCTTGTGCAACGAACGACCCTGGCATAGCGCATGGGAAGGTGAAACGGTGCCTTTTGCGCTCCTCTTTTCGCCTTGGCTTTGGGCTTTCCGCCTTCTGCAGGGGGTTCCGCTGCTCCATCCCCGCGTCATTTTCAAACCGCACCCTTACTCGCCTCCATTCGGTCAGAAGCGCGGTGAGGTCGTGACCCTCAGAGGCTGTCCGCACGCTGACGTTAATTGGCTTCCCCGCAATCCCGGGCTTCCTCACTCCTGCAAACCTTCCTCACCTCTGACCGGGAGCACAAGGGGGCCACGGAAGCCTAGTGCACCTCCGCCACAATCGTGCACCTCCGCAAGCCTCTTTGCGAAGAAGAGGGTAAGGGTCACGCGCGGCGGGGAGGTCTCACAAGATTTCCCGCCGGGTAACCCCACTTCTGACTTCGAATTCCAGTGCAGCACCGTCGGTTAGGCAATCCATGCAAGTGGCCTGCTCCCTTCGCCGAGGGCAGTCCGGCGGTATTTGTTTGCGGATGATCGTCGACTGACTATTGTCTCACATTGGCAAGGCAAATGGAGCCGCTCTCGCCGCCTTCACAGCAGCGAGTAGAACTCCGCCGCCCTCCTCTGTATCGACTCCGCTCGCTTAGGCATAATCTCCGCTGATTCGCTCACGTGGGCGGAGGCTCTGATCCTCTAGTCGCCGGCAATCTTCGCCTCTCATCTGCATTCTTACGCAAAGTCTTCCAAGAATTGCAGTGGCGACTGCCTCAAGGTCATCAGGCTTGTCTGCGATCCGCGGGTGGACCTTTCCGTCGGCGCCTCCCGGAGCTCGCCACTCCAGAAGCTCGGTCGACCGTGGTTCCGGTAATCTCAACATTCGACTACAATGGGCTATTTCAGACCCAGGCTAGTAGTGGCTTACCATGTCCTCGTTCGGGGTGACATATCCGTAAGTCGACGTAAGTCGATGCCTCTGTGTTACTTGATTCTGCACAGAGTCTTCGCAAGCTTCGCAGAGTGCGGTAGGCCCCATGGTGCGTGGGCTTGCCCTCCTCTCGGAAGTCCTTAGGCTTTCGGTGTACTGGGATTGCTTCATCGCGCCAGCATGAGCGATAGGACGACGGGGAAAGGTATATAAGAGGACGTCCAGGGATACTCTCGACCATCTCTTTTTGTTCTCGTCGATCAGTCCACCTCCTCCCAGCCTCTCGAGCCTCCGGTTTCCAAAACGTCGCCCCAAATCTCAAGATGAAGATCGCTTTCATCACACCCGCCCTGGTCGCCGTGGCTCTGACCTTGGCCTCGACCTCTGCACGACCCATTGACATCGATGCCCTTGAGGTTAGATCCGAGACTATGCCTCGCGGTGCCGTCGAAATGGAAGTGCCACTGAGCGCCAGGGACAGTCACAAGAAAGAGAAGAAGCCCAAGAAGGGCGAGGTAAAGTGGAAGCCAAAGGCCGAGATGCACAAGCACCACGACCAAACCCCTCATAGCCACAACAAGCCTCCTCACAAGGACAACAAGCCTCCTCACAAGTATGGTCAGCCTCCTCAGAGCCACAAGCAGCCTCCTCAGAGCCACGACCAGCCGCCTCAGAGTCACAAGCAGCCTCCTCAGAGCCACGACCAGCCGCCTCAGAG